TGGGTAAGTTCCATAGCGGGTTGAAATCTCGTGTTTCAGCCAGGTGCGGCCTAGAGTCTGATGCCTGGGTACCTCGTGTCTTTATTATTATTTTTACTTCAAATATTCAAAAGCAGTCTCATTCGGATAAAATTGAAAACGACAATACCCATGTACCTTGGAATGGTTCTATCTCTTTCCGATCTTAGCTCAAGCTCAAACTCGTTGATGCTGGGTCCCTATCCGGGTGAGAAGTGGTATGCATTCAATGCTGTGGGTATATATATATCAAGAAACCAGAGCTCCAAAATAATGACACATTTTATAAATCGTTGCACTACCAGACTACCTAGGTAGTTACTTGTCGAGGATTTTAGAGGGCTAGACTTTCAAGTCAAGAACATCGGTCATGTCACGATCGCAAAGTTCGCTAACATCTAAAGACCATAAAAACCAAACATCGTGGTTGGTGGGAATTTAATCCCCTGTCCACAAGCCCAATCACAAACAAAATGCCGAAATCTGGTTACAACCTGTCAAAGAAATCAAGCATAAAGCGTAACATCCGAGAATCTAGAGCCTGAATGGCCATCTACCAAAAAAACATCAGCGCCTAAAAGCCATGAAGACGGCCCAGAAGGTCACGCAGACCGCATTAAAGAAAAGCAAATGGTCTAGGGCACAGACATCACTCGGGCGCTTTCAACGCCTCTAATTAGCACCGGGACCGCCCTTGATCGATCGACCAGGGGAAGGGGGGTCTAGATTCTCGGCCCCCGTCCTCATGACCATGAAGAGTCTTTCAAAGATCAGCAAACAAAGCGTCATCAGCGGCAGTATGTACGCCAGATCAGCCACGATCACACCGCGAACCGCCAGATCGTGCGGGATTTGGGGCTGTTCTGGGTGAGCCGCTGCACTTGGCCAATGTGAGGGGTAGAAAAATAAATCATCAAGCAATGCGACCTGTCAGAAGATAACATAACCGCCTCTCACCCCAGTCCGGATGGTAATGCACATGGTCTCTTCCCAAAGCTCGACCCCATGTCCGTTTTTGTAGTGTTTTATTGGTTGCTATGCTGATATGCAGGGCGATCGACTATATTTGTGCTTATGCTTGAAGCTAGGAAAGGGATTACTGGGGCCCCCTTGGGGTCAGTTAACTACCCCCTAAGCGTGGTGTCACCTGAACATTCGTGTTTTTTATGTCGCTTAGGGGCGACAAATGAAGTAAAGAAAATGAGGGTTGTTTCAAAATTGGGGCAGTTTGAGTCCTGTCAACACATCCATTTCGACTCAGTGGAAGGGGCCAATTTAGAACAGCCGAATCAGGTGCGAGGGGTCTTCTATGTGTTGGATCCTACTTTGAGATTCATTCTTCAGGTGTTTTTGTTGAAACGACAGAACCTGGGTACCAAAGATTTTCCCGATATAGTAAAACATCAATATTGTGTACTTTTCCTCGCGTCGATAGGATATAGTCGATGATGACGAGGTGGCTGCAAAAGCGTAAAAGACATAAAAGGATTCTTTGAGAAATGGCTTAGTCTAGCCCTGATCGCGGGTTCATAGCGTCGGGGAATGGTCGTAAAGGCATGCCAGGGCTCCCAAATATCCGGTACGGATCTACAGGAAGGGGATGGCAGATTAGCTCACATATCTGGAGTGCACACATGCATCCAAGGGGAAGCTCACCTGGTCTTTTTCAGGTATTCTAGGGCTAATGTCCATCGATTAGGCAACGTTGTTTTGTGAAAGTTGTATATCAAATTCGGTCTTGGATAGAGCTATGTAATGGATCCAAAAACAAAGATTAGTTGATCCCTACTGACAATCAAATCTAGGGCCAATCACAACCTTCCATGGCCCATATGGGTATTTAAGCCATAACCAATGGCACAGTGTGACGTGTGACCTATCACCAAAGAAAGGGGTGGGTTGAGTTTACCCTGACAAACTATTAAGTACAACCAGGTAACGTAAATCATTTCAGGAACCTCTGTACAAATGTTTGCAGACTCCTAGCGGAAGTGAGATTGTAACTTGACCGCGGATGCACAGGTCCTACATCCGGTTAAACTACAGAGAAATCCATCGGTTTCAGCTATTTCACTTGACAAAGTCGATTGTTGTTGGTTGATATCACAGTTGCCCAAGGGTTCAATATTCACATCTCCCTTGTAGATAAAGTCACCCACGCATATGACCCTTGGGTCGATCATTACATGAAATGACTGCAAAGCAGTAGAGTAGATAAGCCAGTACAATTTCCGATCAAAAGCCCAACTGTCTCGATCTGAAACGGATGACGAAAGGGATCTCAGAATTTCGTTGGGATGTTACCATTGGAATGAGTTCAGATTGACTTCGTTCCCGATCAGCAACTCTCACCTGACCCCGTAAGTCTAGAAACTATGTCCGGATTCTACTCCCGCTTCCCCGCCACCAACATCCCTTGCGTTAACGAATCAGCGACTCGGACATTTTTGTTGCTTTCACCCTGCTCCTAGATATTCAGAAGCTTCAAAAAATACCATCGTTGGACCTGTGTTTGTATCCCTACAATAATCTCCCTTTTCTGTCTTGCGGCAGTCTGGTGCCTCATAGGATAGGACGGGGGAGACGGGCCGAAAATAGGGCGGCTGCGACGTGGAATGTGATTCGCCGTCTCTGTTTCTTGTGTGATCCCAAGAGAGAGCCTAGGGACCCGTCGTTCCTCCCACCTTGGTGTATATCACTACGACTTGATTGTTTTGGGATGCTCATAGGTTCGCTCATCATCAAACATCAACAGCCCATAGTCAGCGGTTATCGTGGCACGACCTATAATTTTGCTTTTCTTTTTTTTTCCCTTTTCTTCTGCTCTCTTTTCATTTCTTTCTTCGGCCTGTCATGACATGTGCTGTGGATGAAGTGTTGTTTAGTGGCAGGAGATGTCACTCATTAGTGGCGTCACGCTTTGTTCCAGTTGATAGATGCATGTTCTTGACGGTCAAGCCGAGGCATGTAGTAACTCAGATGCCGTGCCTCCTTTCGAACGCAAACACTTTCCAGGATTGTTTTCTTTGCCTTTTTCAGCATTTGATGGTATTTCACTTATACCAGCCACATGTGCAAATAATGAAGCCCGATCAAAGTCAATGATCGACGTAGAAAATAGAACAATTCAAGGGTTTTATGCATGACTTGCTTAGTGAGACCATGCTATTGAATATGCCCGAGGGGCACCGTAGGACAGCTCTGGTAAAATAGAGCCCAGTTCGTTGGTATGTAAACTATGATCAACTGGCATATCCCCCGGATGCTCCAATCCCTGGGCATATCAAATTGGCCGGCACCTGATATGGAAACCCCTGATCCACATCCATTGGATCCGACCGGTAACTGTCATCACAGCCGCCCTGCCTCACACAAGCCCCCGAAACAAACTAGCGACGCCGAATGGAGCCCCTGTTAAAAGCCGAGACAGGTATTCAGCGGCCTTGGTATGAAGTACGTCACCGTCACAAGCCCCTGCCGAGGGCGTTCCTGAACATCATGTGACGTGCTCTCGTGACCTTTGCCACTAGTCTCCATCCATTTAGTGACTTAGCAATTTAGCGGGTTACCGCAAGTATTGTCAGTAACCAATACCTGTGGTTGCAGTACACTGTACGGCGATTCCGAGGCGAGCTCCAAGACGAACTTGGCCGGGTCAGCTGTTCTCCCTACGGCCCCATCTGATCCACGCCTCGGCCGCCATGCATCCGCTGGCAAAACACCGGCATCTGTGGCGGCTCTTCTTAGGATACAGATATAGTTTTTTTTTTGGGGGTTACGAATGACTCGATGGAAATCTTAAAAAAGATACATCGCCTCGGCAGTCTGGATTTTCCGTTAACAGCCTCGGTTAAATTAATGTTCCGTAACGGCAAAATCCAAAATGTGATCTTAATTCCGGGATCCTGGAGGACTACGGAGACGGCGTATGAGATGTAGATGCAGGTGTAAAGTTGAGGCGTGCCATGGTGAGACTTCCCCGGGAAATGCGATCTGGTCCAATTACTGGCAGCCGACGAGTCATTGGTGGAGCTCCGTCGGGCCAGTATATTGATATGTCTCGAGTAATTCCAATTTTCATATCGCCACTCTAGGTACCACCCGAGATAAGGGTATTGGATGGTGCGACTGAGACAGGGTACTGAGGCGAACACGTCCTAAGGTCATCAATATGTTTAGGAAAATCCCCCAAGATGACCTTGAAAATGATTAGAACAGTTGTGCAGAGTCGTCAAGAGCGGGTCAGCAGCGATCACTCCCAAACCCAAAGTCAGGCTGCACAAGCGGGCCTGGAAGAAATGCTTTGCATGCTGTAGGTAATTTTGACATTGTCGTACATCCGCAGGGAACAGTGCCGTTACCAGCGAACTGTTTCGGTCGAATCAGAAGATGAAGGTTGTGGTATACGTATACATCGTACTCTCTCGATAGCTTCATTGTGTTTCTCTTTTTCAATTCTGGTTTTTCTTCTTCTTATTCTGTATTCTTCGGACTGCGAATCCCGAGCTATCAAAGATAGGGGTGATTGCCGATATCAAACGACCAACGAGAGACCATCGGGGATCAAGTGGAGCCCAGGTGGGTATCTCTTTCTTTGCCTCCTGGGCTGACCGACTGTTTATCCCCGCAATTTCGTGATTACTTACTCCCCACACCCCGGTCCACCCCAGACCAAATAGATCAGCATATCCATGGAAAAAGAAAAGTCAAAAAAAGAGAAGGCAGAGTGAAAAGTACACAGAGAAAAGCAGGTTCGCAGATGATGCTTCACATTTCCAACAAGGCAGCGATTCCGCTGCTTCTCGTTTGAGTGGAACATCACATGATGGTTGAAACGTGCATCTTGTGCAACTGAGCCCCCGACGGCGCGTCAAGGTCGATCGGTCTGTATCGCCCAATCTACCGGGTTGAATGGGATTTTCCATTAGCGGGGACCGAAGGATGTTCGAACATCCGCCAGTCCGGACCAGGCAAGGGCACTATTACACCCCGTGGACAGCCGCTTGCCCCTCAAGATGAGGGAGTGCTTCCTCTCTCGATGCAGGTCCGCCTCCGTAGCCTGATGAGTGTACGCTGATCCCTTCCCCCTTGTCTACTTCGCCCTCGATGCCAGCTGGCAGACTCGTGACTGCGGACTGTGACACTGGCACTGCCGTGTTCTGTTGGAAGTTCATCGCTGGCAAGGATGTGGCATATCGGAAGATAAGGACTCAAAAGGGCGGTAAACCTCCCTTTCTTTCCTTCCCCCTTTGGCACGGTGGCTGACAAAGTCTATCCCACCTGATACATCCCGCGAGAGGTAAAAGAAAACAGCAAGTGTAGACGCTATTATCGACCCGCGTGGATGGCAAACAATAGATCCTTGGAGATCATACACGTAGAATTAAACACGCACACTAGAATCAAATTGAATCGTAGAAGCGCCATATGGTGTTTTGTTTCCATATGAAACCACGAACCAAATTTGTGATCTACGGAAGTATCGTAATGGTTCCCCGGTATGTGGCCTAGTTTGAGAGTCAATCAATCGACCCATCCCTTTCTCCCGGATACTCGCTGTAGCGTAGATGGTATTTTGGGCCGGCATGCTTCCCCAGGAATTATCCAGAAGTCCGAATAGAAATAAAAATAAAGAAAATCTAAAAGAAGACCATAATCTGGGGCTGAACGTTTTCGTCCCCAAATTCCGGCTGAGTATGTTAGCCGTTGCCAGCAAGTCAGACCCCAGGATTTTGGTCGTTTGACCACCAACGTGGCTGAAGATCGTAGGGAATATCCAAGACCGAGGCCAAAAAGATCTTTCTCGCTGGCCCCCGTTATGCGGTGCACCCAGCGAAGGGAAGCGTCCGTGACGAGAATAGCTTAACCGCGACACCTATCAGTTGGCGAGTCAGCCGGACCTCGATGCCCTTAGGCGACCAATGGTCGATGGTGCGACAATTCATCAGTCAGTAGGCCATTATGTATATCAGTCCCTCAGTAAATTGCAGTGGCGAGGGCTTGTTCAAACGACCACAGTGGCGTAGAAGATGGTCCAGGCTTTGCCTTCGGTTTAGACCAGTACATTGTTACCATTTGACTATGTATCTTCCTTTGACCTGTATACTATGACCAAAATCAGCATCATGATCCATGATTGTTCTGCCCAACAGGTCACAGGCTCTGAAAGGTTTTTTTTTCCTCATCTTTTTCTTTTTCTTCAGATGGTATAGATGACTATGTACCATTCCCTCGTTTTGCCTTGGAATTCGCAGTTGGATCCCAAGAGACGTTTGGTAGCAGAAGTTCCTCCGGAAACAGACCGGTATTGTATCTCCTCGCTGTATGCGTGTATGTTACCCGGGAGAGGAAATCGGGGACATCTGGAGGAAACAGGGCAATGTTATTGGGTACGGGAAAGGTACCGGGGTACGTCCGATAACACCGCGCACAGATCAAGTACCATGGCTGTACTGTATTTCGGGGCCCCGTGATGCAACTGAATTTTCTTCGCTCACCGACTCCGGGTCCAGGGTTTGGTGGCCAGCTGGCCGGATGTATTAGCATGTATATTTACGGTAATCTTACCAATTCTTTTTCGAAATTTCCAATTTTCCGTAAATTCAAAATTCAAATAATAAAAAAATGGATTTTCGATTTTTCGATTTTCGTCTTTTTTTGAATTTTGAATTTTCTTTTCCATAATTTACAATTTTCCCCCTCTTCCACTCCACTCCACTGCCGCCCCCGTCATTCTTATTATCGTTCCGACAGCCCTTTTCTCCTCCCTTTCTCTTCACCCATGCCCTTCACCATCAACTTCACTTCACCTCCCAACGCATACAAGGAAACGCGTCAATCTCTCTTTTAACGCGTTCCGCATCGACTCACCTACCGCCAAGGATTCTCCGCATCCGAACCCCGGTGGCGCCTTGACGGAATTTGAGACCACCAATTCAAACTCCAAAAAATCGACCTTTGCCTTCCGCCTCACGACCAGCTCAAATCAGCTAAAAAGCAATCGATTGCAACTTTAGTGCCGAATCTTCGATTGATTGACTCCCTGCAACAGCTTGCTGGGCCCAGACTTCGATTTTCCCAAGGCCAATTATCTCACCCGCACAATACTCGAGAATCCTCACCACCCATTTCCAACCGCCGTACGACCACTCTCGGGGAAGACGGCAACCCCGGAACACCAATATCTGCTCGAATTTGATTCAAATTGCTCCCATCATACCCTGGGCGCTCTCACTATGCCTCTCACAACCCCCGTCTTGACGGTGGATGCGGATAATATTCACAAGGTGGATACTGCAAATGCTCAGAGCCTTCATGGCATGTGGATGGGTAAGTTCTGATAGTGAATTTTATGGTCAATGAGGTTGTCTTTTGTTTGGCTAACAGGTATCTCAATAGTGTTTTCTAAATGTGCCGACTACATGGACCAGGGCCGCAGGCTCGAGAACCTAAGTTGGCGATTGTGGACTCGTGAGACCTTCTGCGTTGAGCCCGAAAGCTCCAAAGGTACTTCAGGACTGCTTAAGTTCCGTTCCGAGGCCGGTGATCTCCCGGAGCTCTCCGCTAGTGTTGAGTCGGCCGCGTCCGACCAAGCCGAACGCATCGAAGCACACATCAAACGACCTAAGTTCTCCGACTACCGCCCGGCTGTGGTTCGTGAAGACTCGCTAGCCAGCCTAGGCCGAGGAAAAGAGAAGCACATCACCTCGCTGGATCTGGAACGCATGGTTCTCAATATCAAGGAGAAGAAGAATCTCGAACCCATTGCTACTGTCGAGCCCGCCGCCCCTGTCGTTGATATCACACCCCGCCCATCGACTCCTACCCCGACTCCTCCTTCCGTCTCTACTGCTAGACAGGTTCCCGTGTTTCCCCGTCCGTTCCAAGAAGCCCACGAGTCTACCGAGTCTTGTTCGACTACTGCACCCGAAGGCAATGAAAGCGATGGAGCTGAAAATGCTGCTTCGGATACAAGTGTCTCGTCCTCAGGTGTTCTTCCTAGTGCCTCGGAATTGATTAAATCACCCAGCATCATTCGGGGCTTCTCGCCGTCCATGATCTCTTCGTCCTATCGGTCGCAAGCTAAGTTGGCCGTCGATCCCAGCCCTTCCCGCGCCACTACTCAACTTAAACCATCTGCGTTGAAGAAAAAGGGAGGCATGTTCACCTTGGGTGGATCTTCTGGTGACGATGATGAGAGTTCCTTTGAGGAACGAATGGTCGTCAAGCCAACTCAGGAGAACGCGACCGGTGGACTACTACGACCTACGACCAGCAACCCCAGCCCCTCGAAGAAGGTTGCATCATTCAGCGATGAAGTCGCTTTCCGACCAAAGAGCCCGATTCACCTCGACGAGGATGCGATTGAGACCGATGATGAGGTTTCTGAAAGTGCCATCGAGGACGACGAAGATTCGGACTGGGAGGACTCGGTCACAGAAAGCGGTAAATCTAGCGTGGACGAGCGACCGGAGCTCTTCAAACGAGTGGACTCTCGCCCTAACCTGGTCTCTCGCCGATCGCTCCTTACCATGATGATGCACCAGCCGCCCAACATGAGACAGACGAATGCGTTCCGCTCCAGTCCTGCCCTGCAGCGGTCTCGGTTGACATCACCCAACGGCCCGTCCATACCCGCTTCGCCCCCAGCAAAGGATGATGAAACCTTGACTATGCGTGTTCCCGACGTTCCCCGATCGAAGCCCATCATTATGAAGTCCCCGCCATCGCAATCCGCTGCTCATTCGCCTCGCACCACCCGTCGCAACATGCTTGCGACCGAGTTAACCGAGTCCCTTCGCAAACATCTCTTGTGGGAGCGCCAGCAGAAGAGTGCTACTGCCAATGCCTTCCTGAAGCGACGACACACTTCCCATGATGTGAAGAACCTACAAGAGTACCCTGGACCAAAGGGACCTCATCGAACTCCGGGCGCAGGGCCATCCGCCCCCGGTGACGCCAACCAGACTCGGGATAAGGACTTCTCGAAGAACGGATCATGGACTAACTATGCCACCGATTACGGTCCATGGGAATACCATGTCAAAGGCTGGTAAATGATACACCTGTGAACTCTCACTCTTACCGACACGCTACCGATTCTTGATACCTCTCGATACCCGTCTCGTTCGCGAGCGACTTCTTACTATCTTTCTCACCGACACGTACGATCATGAACATGCATTGCATCTAGGCGCATCTATGGATTTGTTTTACCCGATTTGGGTCTCATCGGGTCCGGGGTTTTGGTGTGTTTTACCATACAAGCATTCACTGGGCGCGTCCCTGTCTGGATCTTTCTGGACCACCTCCAAAGGAACGATCACCCATTACGACTTTAATATTCATGTACAGCTCAATCTCTTGTCCTTTCACCTGGGCCTTCAAATGGTTTATGAATACGGTCTTATCCTTCTATCTACCAAGAGATACCCCAAAGGTTTCTTCATGACCAATTTTCAAAACAAAAAAAATGGGTTTATCATTAGCGCATTGCAGACCTTTCATTTATTTTCATGGCTGCGGCAAACATGTTAGCTTTCATTACCTGGGGAACGGTTTTCTTTTTTACTCGATACCAGATACCATACTTCTTCTGTTTGGGTCCTGTGCAGCACGCCTGGACCACTTGTTCCCTGTACGCTACTCATGAATAATTGAGCGCTAAACAAAAACCTGGAATGAAACCAAGTGAATATTTTAATAAACTTCCCCTTATGCATCTCGTATTTATCAAAGTAAATAGTAGACAGTATAGACCAAGAAAAAGCATCACAAATCTTGGAAGAGGGCTGGCGCCATGCATCGCATCGACCTCAGTTGAATTGGCGGTCTAGACGAGGTCCATGTCCATGTCTATGCCCAACACATAATGTATTTACTGCTCGAACACCTGGAGGCTTATGGCTCTGCAGAAGTACGTTTGAAGGAAGTTCCCCGAAGACATAATCCTTGCGTTATCGGCGCCAGATAACAATCATGTGGGAGTCCGGGCGTTTCCAGGAGGCTTGGTGGCGTTGACACGTCAAAGGACAGTGAAGGAGGGTGGGAGCTGATTACTACCGAGTTGGTCACTATGAACTCATGGTTACACGCAAAAGAATATTTATCCACACAGTGGCTCTCTTGGCCAGAAGCTTGGATTGAAGGATTTGAAATTCATGTGAATTATTGATTGATGAAAAGCTCGGTCAGCTTCATTTCTCCATGTGGCCATGGGATGCTATGAGTAACCTCATCTTAATACATGCTACCCAGTATGGAGAACGGAAGTACGTATTGTGTAGGGCTATATTTCAATAGGACGCTATCTACAGTATCCACAGTCAAACGGTGGTACTGAGCTAATATAGCTATCGGATTTCGCAATCAAATCCTATTACTACCTGCCTAGGTGGGTATAGAATTGCGATGTCGGGGGACCCGACACAAAGGGAAGGATTCGAGGATCTACAGGCGGCGTAAAGTTAATAGAAAAAGAAAAGAAAAGGGGGTGTCAGGCGGACAAAAAAAGGATTCAGTCAAAAGAAAAACAGAACAAGGGGCTAAATTGACTGTCGACTCCGATCCTCTTTGTTTGGGGATAAGATGCGAACGGGCTTAAGAACAAAAGTACGAGGTTTCGGGGAAGTTGGGAAACGAAGTCTGAGAAAAATTTAGTTCAGAGTCGCCAGATCTAGCCCGGAGCCTTTTTCTCATTTTTGTCTATGGATTGTCACCGCACTGTTCGCTTCACATGCGGGACCATGACATGTGTTCTACATTAGCTCCTGCAGCCAGAGCTCTCAAGGAAGGCAGTGAGGAGCGGTGGTGGAGCTGGTTGGCATAAAGACTCGGCGAGATAAGCGCTCAGTCCTTGAGAGTGGTTGGGAGGGACGGTTTTTTCTTTGAAGAGATCTGGTCATCCCCGGACGATGAGAGGATATGTACTATGCAACGAATCGAGCTACACATGCATGGATACAGGGAACTGGGGTTCTCAGACATGTTCGGCGATCGGAGATGCCGTGGTGAGGAAGGCCTAGACTCGGCGGATATATAGATGCACTTTAAAATACTTTGCGCAAAGAGATCCCGGTGTAGCCTCATCATGACAATGCATGTTTTCATTATGATGCGGGGGAACAGCCCTGGAGGTAGCAGTTCTAAGTTCCATCGGATATACTCATAATTTTGCATAAGGCAACTCCCGATTTAGAAGCGCTGGCGATCTGAAAAAGGCAGGAATGGCGGATACTATTCTTGGTTCAGCCATAAGATACATGTACATTTCATGCATAGTTTCCCGCAGGATAGACGGAGTTGATGTCATTTTCCCTTCCTCCGGATCATGTGGTCTCAACAGTGGAGATCACGGGCATCCTCGTGACTCCGGGGAATTTTCCACTCCTCTTTGACGTTCTCCGATACGTTCTGTTGAACCATCTTTCCGTCTCGTCTATTTCATCCTTGGTTGAACATCCTGAACAGTATAGTGCTATGATCATTTATAGGTCCCCCCCGGTGCCAAAATACTCTACAAATGACGTAGCCATAGCCTCCCGGTGCTTGCCTCTTTGAGCATACCCGTGTGTTGAATCGAGCCCCCAAGTGGAACCGTCCAAACTCCCCACACTTTTCCCTCCTAAATCGCCCGACTCGAGTCGTGCGGGATCCTCTTTCCCCAGGCTGTGAGCTGTGACTGGACATCTCTCCGACCATGCCCGACATTCGTGGGTCTTTAATGAAAAAATTGCAGTAAAACGTCTCGATGTGCTTAGATCCAAAATTGTGATCCAGGGCACAAGTGACAGGAAACATGGTCTTCTTTCACCGAAGAAGACACGAAACTCCAAAGCTCGTGTTTTGACAAGCAGCTCACATTCTTCGTTTGACAGATTGTGCATGATCGACTTATTAATCCGATCAATTATTCACGGCTACACAGTGATCCCCGAGCCGCCGGGCAATTCTAACCGTCTCAGTAATGGTGCGGGAAAAATCCAGCCACCTCCAGGCCTTGACACACCTCTTAAGCCTATTCAAGCTATTAAATCCCCAAATATCCACAAGGAACGTTTGTGCCTCGATCTCAGCTCGCCTGGTCAAAACTAAGTGGATTCATAGTGGGTCGACCAAAACTTCGGTACTGGGCTTGATTCGCACAAGGTCCGCGGATTTTTCTTTCTGGGACGTCCCACCTGTAATGGTATGTTTTCCATAATGTGTATGATCTAGTAACATTGACATCTGGGGCCGGCATTGCTCCTTTGGGCACTGATGTTTGTTCACCATCTAAATGAGCATAACGGTGAGGCTCACAGGCAAGCAACGACACCATGGAAAAGTGGACTCAGGATTTAAAATTCAAACTACATTCTCTTGTTGGCTAGTCCGTTTTGATGTGCGTCATGCAATTCGGCATGCCGATGATGCATCAATTGATGATTTCTGCAGTTCCCGGTCCGACATCAAATTGAGGCCATACACAGTGCATAATCGACCAATCGCAACTATCGGGTCGAACATGCAGATTCCTTAATACATATCGCACTTGGATGTTTCGAACGTATACGAACACTGGTTTTAAGATGATTGCATGCGTCTATACTGGGCGCTGTTTATCTTGTTCTACAGATTCGATCGAGACCTCACATCACATATGCATGCGCTTTGTCAAGGACGGAGGACAGTATTCCAGGTGGATCATGCCAAAAACCATCATAGTAAACCGGTTTATACATCTTTCGGTGAGACTCTTTGAACTACACGCGTGTTTATACGTGTCAATCTTCAGCGCGTCCCCAATTTCACCGGTGACATCCCTTTTTTCTTCCTGGGTTTCTCCGAGCCTACTGCGAATAACAGAGCAATGGGCCAGAACGTCGAAAAGGGGGACGACTAACTTTAGTTGAAACCCTATCCCCATTGCTGCCCTGGTATCGGGATGCCGATACATTGGGCACCGGGATCCACGGTCTAAGTCCGAAGCTATTGACTAGTGCGTAGCAGGATTGCACGGATCACGATGGAGATGAACTGGTCGGTAACTCCGTCGTACAAAATGTACGGAAGGCCTCCACCACGCGGGAAAAAAACGACAATTGTGTGCGGCGTGATTGGTCTTCATCCGCGTGGGTCGAGCCTCACGTGAACCAGATTGGGGAGCTCTGTCCTCCGACAAATCATCACTGCTTAGAATCATGCAAGCCACACACGCACGGGAACTCCATGTATAGGAGTATACCAGGATCAGAACGTCGCAATCATATATCTGAATTGCAGTTACCGGCCATGATTGCCGGATCCGAATGCGGATGCTCTTGTGAGCGTGGTATGGAACAATCCCATGGTTTTTCAAAGTTGCACCGAGGGCTGGTTCTGGAAGGATTCTGGAAGGATGATCCGGTTGGTGCGTTTCACGACCTAGATGGCGCTAGGCTGCTTTGGGATTATGTCTTCTCTTTTAGGAAATTTACGATACGGTATTAAATTACCACTTGTTAGCGGTTTCTTTGTATTACACAGTGGAGCGGTATGTAAAATTGTACACATATACACGCCGGGGCATTAATGCCCTTGTTAGATATGCATCCTGGGGTACATGACAAGGAAGCCTATATAGTACAAGACAGCAACGTTAGCCTTGATGAAAGAAAGGAGCTCTTGAGATATTCCACCTTGCATTCAGGCATCAATTTGAAAGTCATATTTTTCCGACCGTTGGAATGTCCCCGAGCCTACCTCAAAGGCTGGGGAACCCCAATGCAACTAGTGGAGTCTATCAAAGCCACCAGACCAGGGTATCCCCAGTGCAGAGAAGGGGGTGTGACCATCTCAATTTTTCTCGACTAAGGTTGAAGCGCCGCAAAAAGACTTTCCCTGCAAGCAGTCCTGACACACCCGGCTTCGTTCTGAACCTTAAGCGCGGCAATGCGGTCCAAACTTTGAATCTGAATTGATCTGCGGAAAGACCAGATCGCATTCCGATTCACTGCTGATAGTGAGATCCATTTATTTTGATTAACCCATCTGTCATCTGATATTTTGTGGCAAATCATGTCCATCATTCCGGGGTATCTTTTACCGACTCGATATTGCACTTTACATTTATGATGATAATTAATACATTCTGACGCACGAAGTAACCTACTTAGGGAGGTACATAGATGTGCCTGCATCAGCAGGGTACTTATCTTTTTGGCTTATTCAAGGAAAAATCTTCACCTCATCTGATCCCGTAAGCCCCTTACTCTTACCGACGGGGGACCATCCTGTCGGTGTCTAGGTACTTTGGTGCAGAGCGGGGCTAAATCATAACCCTTTGGAGGCGTGCCCTAGTTACTAGTGTGCAGTCGGGCGGAGTTCTGGAAGCCGAACCCCTCATTCTCCGCGTAACGCGCGACCTGACCGCAAGAGCCGGGGTTGCGCGAGGATTCCTTGTTCAGGTAAGCCGATGGAGAACGGTGTAAGCAATAATGTTGCTCTGGTGGGGTAGGTAAGGTGGGAAACGAAGCAGCAAGAATTATGGAGAAATATCAAGAACAAATAAAGTTGTTTGCATTGTTTGTGGGTTATGTACACAATTCATTAACAGCCTAAGGCTTTGATTACGTTATTGTGCAGGCGTTACTAATGAGTTGTGCCTTTCAGGTTGTAATTGACATTGGTAGCTGACCCGCTAAGATGAGAATATATTTGTTTAGATATGATTGCCCTCGCACAAGAGAAATTGCCTCTGTATTCACTTCCTCTGAGTCACATTCTGTTGTCTTCATGAGTCTTCCATGGAAAGTGGTGAGTCAGATTGGATCATAGTGGCATGGCTACCCCACGTCGAGAACAAACTCAGCAAAAGGTCTTGGCGCCACCAGCTTCGGTAAACACTATATCTTCACTCTATCAGCATCAATCCTGCTTTTTTTAGAGCACGCGCCTCCGCCAATCCCGGTCCTTAATTGCAACACACTATTGCATTCTATTGCGCCCTGGCATTTCTTGCTCGCGCACCGCGGCTTGCCTGTTGTGCACTGCAGATCTGGTCCTGTCGATCCCGAGCAAGGTCACCCGATCTCTGCGTTGGCATTTCAAACGTCACCTCGCCTCGGTTTGTTTAGGGTCTTCGCCCCCATTATTGCACTACCGCCTACACCTAGACCCAGCGATATGGAGAACGGGTCAACTGACAACGCGGCGGGTCCGGAGCCCCAGGTCCATCGTAAGTTCCGTTCTGTTTTATTGGGCCCAAGACACATGGTGTCGTTGGTGGCTTGTCCCTCCTTCGAGACCTCCTTCACGGGCCCGACCTGCTTTTCGTGTTTTTGTCTTCCTGCAAGCCCTCCCCTGTGTGGCACAGCAGGTCCATGCAGACTCACCTCCACGCACGTTGAGCCACCATGACAACTCATGGATTGCCCTGTTGCCTTCGCTTCCACGGGTGTGGCCTTAACGGCGGCCCGCAACCTTTTTGATCACACGCTCATGGTCCTTCTACACAGGGACGGAACAGCCACCCTTGATGAGTGATGAGTTGTCAATCCCAACTTTGTCGCATGGCGTTACATCCACGCGGGAATCGAAGGCTGCTCGCCAATCATCAAAAAAGAAAACTGGCAAATGTCGCTATTTTGCATCCAAGAAAGGTACGTACTCTCAACTGTGTTCTTTTCCTGTGTTATGGGTTTAGCCGTTTTTTATCATTTTACTATCTTTTGTATTTCATGGTGGTGTTTTGGATACAATCCCTCTGAACAGTCTACAAGTGTTGACCTGAATTCTGGGCTTTGACCGATTGAGACATTGTGCCAGTCTATGACTCAATAGTTGAGTAATAGAGTGATCAATACTGGCTTTTTGTCCATTTTCTTATCTGCTTTATGCGTGGCTGAAATTTAAGATAAAAATACTTTGGCTGTCTACTTCCGATGCTGACCTCAGTCTAGGCTGTCGTGCTGGGCCAGAATGCCCGTATATTCACGCTAGTCCCACCAGCGAGCAGGCTCTGACTCCGGCTGATCAGCAGTCCGGGTCGTCTGCTCCCTTTAATATTAATCAGAATCTAGACCAAAATGTCGGCACCGCAGCCCGTCATACGGCTAACCCTGGGGGGCAATCAAATCAAGCCATCACAGCAGTTTCACATGCCGCTCAGCCTCAAAGGCCAATCTCAAAGGCAGAGCAAAATGACCCGAGAGAGTTCCAGCTAAACCAATTGAGACGACGATTCCAGCCAAAGGAAACGACGGATAGCGATGGATCAATCTTGGAGTTTGGATTGGCTCCCTCTGATCCTGATTTTCCGTTCGAGTTGGACAAGCTGCAATGCGTGCTCCGTGTCCCAAAGTCATATCCTGGTATAGGACGACCGAAACTCACGGTAACTAACCCTGAAATGGAAGCTGCATATCAAGCCAATGTTGCGAGAGGCTTCGATGATATTGTTGACTTTACAATGCGCACGAATGGCCGAGGAGTACTCCTCAATTGGTTGAATAGTCTTGATAAGCAACTTGAAAAGCTTCTTACCACTCTTGAAAGAGGTCCTAAGCTCACATTTGTGGCCAATATCGGCGACCGTACAGCCAGCAAAGGGCCAGCCCCAACAAATGCTGTACCTCAACATCAAGTTAAACTGCCTGTGCAGCCAATATCAGTGCCAGTGAATGCTGCCAAACCTGTAAAGCCATTACAGACACCCGTTACAAGAAAAACGTACACGGCCGAGGAAAGAGCCCAAGCCGAAAAGCGGAGATCAACAGAAGCGAAACAGCTCGAAGCTCGTCTGGGGAGACTTCCATTGTTCCAGAAGCGATCGGAGAATTCTTTCGTGATTCCGATTCAACCGAACAAGAAGGACCGTCTCCCAGGACAGCTTCAAGCGGTGAAAACAGTGAAGCTTCTCGTTCCCCAACTTTATCCACTGGAAAGTTCCTCAATCGAGATTCAGGGCATTGATAGTCCAGAGGCAAGATCTGTGGAATGTGGTTTTGCACAATGGGTAGCAAAGAACTCCCAGTTGAATCTGGTCTCTCAGATCAACTATTTGGCAAGTAACATGCATAATTTTGCCAAAACAGCCCTACCTGAAGTGGCCGAGTATTCTCAACATGAGCATTCTCAGGCGGCCATCGAGACTGTCTCTCCCGAAAAAGATCATTCAAACGCTGCTGAAGGAGTTGCTGAAGGGGTTGAAGACCCAGATCGACCGCATTTGCACATAATACCACGTCCACTTGAATGGTCTGTACCCGAGCGCAACAGTGACAGCGAGGTGACCGATGATTCAAGCTTTGATGAAGATTCTGAAGAGGACGAGGATACGAGCGACGGAGGCGCACCTGTCCCCGTGGCTGTTGACACACCTGGTCGCGGTGTTGCGCTCTCATTCCCTTTCCTCGAACTCTATGGAATCGAACTCTTGGAGCTCATGTATCTTGCTATCACAGTAAAGTGTGACAGGTGCAAGGAGTCAATGGATATCAAGAATGTCCCCAATATCGCAGATCCGAAAAACACGCCGAAAATCGAGTCATGCAAGAAGTGCGCCAATTCTATGAGTATCGGTGAGTTAAGATCTATCACAAATACTGCTGGGTATTCGAGCTTATGCATCTCATTAGGTTTCCGCAAGCAATTGATGCATTCTCATGCCAATCGTGCTGGATATCTGGATTTGGATGGCTGTACCATTGTGGATCTTCTTCCAAGGTAAGTGCTTACCTAGGCATCTAAAGTGCTCAAACAGTAGCTAACTTTGAGTGCAGCAACTTCATCCCGACTTGCTCTGAATGCTCAACCCCGTACCATGCACCCGGCGTATCTGCAGTCCGCGGAGAAAGCGCCATGGCTATGTGCCGTCATTGTCACAAGAAAATGGGTATGATCTTATCATATCTGCCTTGATTGTTGTCTAAATCTGACAACCTACAGTGTTCAAGGTTCCTGAGGTCAAGTTCCTAGTCGTAGGAACTGCTGCAAGTAAGTTTTCTTGAGTTATTTTTCATGCAATTCAAGTGACTCACCTTTGATAGTCTCCTCTCGGTCGGGTCTTTCTTTGAGAAAGAAGGTAAGAGTGCATAGTCAAGAGACCTGAGCCCATACTGAATGTTTTGCAGCCTAGAGAGGTTCTTGGAATCGTAGCTGGTCAGGAGCTTCCCCGGCGTGGTCGATGCCAACATTACTCGAAGAGTTTCCGCTGGTTCAGGTAGGTTGCTACACTTTTCAAAAAAAGAAAAAAAGAAAAGAAAAGAAAGACCAGAGGTAGATACTGACAAAAAGCAGATTCAGCTGTTGTGCGAAAGTGTTCCCATGCGACAAGTATGTTTGAATTAATCCTGCTAGCTTGCTGATTTACTAATCGAACTAGATGCCACGACGCAGAAACAGATCATCCAAACGAACACGCAAATCGCATGATATGGTATGTATGCCCGTAGTTCCAAACACCTAATCCGATGCTTACATTACTCAGTGGATTCTGTTCACGAGAGCAACACTTTAGACCAGAGAACTGTGGGACTTGCAAAGCAGTGCTTGTTGGTAAAGCTGGCAGTGGATTCTGGGAAGGAGGAAAGGGTACGAGAAATCGAGCTCTGATGAGCCGCAAAGGTATTTGCGTCCCTCCAACATTGTTCTTATTTGTTACTGATGAAGAAGCAGACCCCCGTAAATACAAACGCGTGGGAGCCACTGCTCCCGGTGGATCGAGCTCTAAGAAGAAGTAGGAAAGGTAGCATATATTACCAGTGACATATAGTTCAATTTAATATATTTGGCCTGTCTTGCCCTGCATTCTCGGTATTCTCTCCGACCTGCGGTAGCTGTCCCACTTTAGTATGACACCCCGCCATAATCGGAGCACCTCCGAAATGAAGATCAGGCTAAGATTGATGAACAGGCAGAATATTGGCAGTCACGATCACCTTAACAATCGTTCTTTCTACACACCACCAAGCACAACAAAGCATCTTAATCCACATCGCCCCACCATCATGAGCTTCCAACACTTCCATGCCGCCTTCGAGCAGATAACAGGGCCAACCCCAGAAATCAAATGCGACCTCGAAAACAACGTGTACCCCTTCGCCCACGAAGCGGGCGTGTACATCGCCTCCAAAGATCAGCTCTTCATAACCAGCAACCGCATATTTTCAGAAGACGGCAGTCAACGAGTCCAAATCTCGAAAATCCAATTAAATAACAACACAGCATGTGTCCAAGAAGAAATCCACCCCGACATACCCATGGCAAATGGCGGCGTGAATTATGAAAATGGCGTCCTATTCTGCAGCCAAGGAACGCTCGACCGACCCTCTAGCCTGATCCACATGGAAATAGAAGCACCATATAAGTGCACAACTATTCTAGACAGTTTCTACGGGCGGCAATTCAATTCGATCAACGATGTCGTCATCCACAGTGATGGATCAATTTGGTTTACCGATCCTATTTACGGATTCAAACAAGGCTATCGTCCGACTCCTGACTTGCCGGTGCAGGTTTATCGATATGATCCGGTGACTAAGTCTGTGCGAATGATGGCAGATAGATTTGGGAGACCTAATGGGATTTCTTTTTCCCCTGATGAGAAGGTTGTTTATGTCACCGATACGGATGCTGTTCAGGGAGATGGGAGTGTTGATTGGAGTCGTCCTGCTACGATGTGAGTTCCTCTCATACATCATCTATGCTGTTTTTCCTTCCTCTTTTGTACTACTTCAAACTCTGACGAAATTGATGCGTGTTGACAGTTATGCCTTTGATGTTGTTTACCATCATGGACAGCCATTCCTCACCAATCGGCGTGTCTTTGCTATGTCAGACAACGGTATTCCTGATGGAATCAAATGCGATCTTGAGGGCAATGTATACAGTGGCTGTGGTGATGGTATACATGTCTGGTCTCCGGGTGGTGTACTTCTAGGCAAGATGCTCATTCCTGGTGGTGTTGCCAATTTCTGCTTTGAAAAGCCTGGGAAGATATTGGCTCTGAACGAGACCCGATTATGGCGGATATCTTTTGCTCCGTCCTGCCGGGGAGCCTTGCTCAGAATATAAGGTTAATTCCCTGCCATTCGTGTGATCATCAGTAACTTGATGTTTCCTAAATCTTGTACTATCTAGATAGATACTTCCAAGGTTTATTAGATAGAGGAAACAAAGCTTTCACCGGGTCTAAATTTGGCCTGTATCTATATTATCAGAACTATAACAGGAACCTACAATCCCACGAGGCCCCAAAAAGAATGTAGATGTAATCTTAGCCGGCCACAATGCAGCGACACCCTTTTTCTTTCGTCTACAGAAAGTAGGCGAGGTTGAATGGATAGAAAAAGGCAAAAAAAAGATAGAAATGGGGCGAGCCGGGATTGAACCGGCGACCTCACGATGACAATGTCAGACTGTAGTGAACTTCAGTCGTGCGCTCTCCCAACTGAGCTATCACCCCTTGATATGATAAGAGGCTCAGTATTTGCACAATTGAGCGAAGTTTGGAACTTTGAGTTCTTATCAAGAAACCTTATATTCGTGCACGCACCGCTTGGTGAACTTGGATCCTAATATCGGACGGGGAGCTAACACCACAAAGAACATCGAAAATGTCTTTGGAGCAGCTATTCAAGCAAGGAGAAAATGACTTAGGGAAAATTGAAAACTTTGTACATATTAAGATTCCTCTGTCTCCGACGTTAACATTCCTCCGTGTGCCACCTTCGGGGGTTTAGAAAACTACAGCGATGGTGGACGGCTATAAAGACTACTCAAATGACGATTCTGCGTCTAGGTTCAAATGAAACGATGGGTTTTTTTTCAAATGCCTTGATCATTCTAGAAGCAAGTTCATTCTAGGTTTCAAAAGAAAGAAAGAAAACTTATCACCCACGCCGTCTGTCTCCGCAAGCTTTTAGGCTTTTTGCTCTCTCTTGTGCTTCTTTCAGGTCGAACCGTCCCCCATGGTTACTTTTCAGGTGATAGATTATGCATTGAATGCTTTTAAGCAAATTTTGAATGCGCAGTCGTTGAATGCTTTAAGCTTTATTAGAGTAACGGAGAGCCAAGCAATCCCAACAGAGAATGCCGGAAGCGACGGGAATATTGGAGAACAGCTACTCTGTTCGTGACATATGAAATCCTGAAGAGGGTATCAATTTCGAAGTCGTCTCTTCAGCGACAATGACAATCTATACTCAGCATCATAATTTACATCCCACGAGTAGTCGGGGCGCGCCTACTCAGCTAGCTGATGTGGCCGCTCTAATCTATTTGCTATCTACGGCGGCACACAAGTATATGATTTCGTAGATTGGTACGTTCTTGGGACTCTTTGTAAATCAAGTCTTTGCCTTGCTCCCCAAGACGTAAATAAATAACCCAGCTTTTACACATAAAACACTCAAATAGCCATGGTTCCCATCCCACAATTGATTTCCTCGAGCTTTATAAGAGATAGTCTGTTTCAAGGCCGATGCCAATTGCTCAACTTCTTAATTTCCAGCCTTATTGGTGGGATAAGGCTAGTTCTGTACTAAGTACACCAATCATGCTTCGTAGCTGGAGATATCAATCGAGTTAGCTTCTTCTCTGATGCCAGCCAGATTCATGTTCAGCCCACATATAGTTCAACACGTTATTTCGACACAGGGGCATTTACCCGTAGAATAACACCATTATCACAACTTAATTATCAATATAACCGAAAAAGGTCATCGTGAGTTTGATTTTCAAACGATAACCACTCCATACCCAAAGTCAAAGGGGTCTCTAATCTCACGCACTTGCCCAACCACAATTCAAGACACCCATAGAATTCTTAGTATAGGGAATATGTATTATTCTACATACCCATCTACTACTACCTACTACCTACAAGATTTATCGCAAATTCCTGAGTGGGATTAGACCTCAAAGTCCGTGCCCTGTCCCCCCAGAGCCTGAACAACAACTTTAGCCAGATGTCAATTAAATGGCACCATAAGACAACACAAACGCAAAAAAAGGGCATATGAGGCAAACTAATTGGGTGTCTAGCAACCAAAGACAGCAGCATGGGCAGAATATGATAGAAAGTTGAAAAAGCAAAAAGAAGATTGTAATGGGGCGAGCCGGGATTGAACCGGCGACCTCACGATGACAATGTCGGACTGTAGTGAACTTCAGTCGTGCGCTCTCCCAACTGAGCTATCACCCCTTAATATGACAAGAATCCCAGTACTAGTCGCTATATGCCAGCAGCAAGGAATTAGTGCTCAAAATATCATTGTCATTGCCGAGGTCGTTTCTGATGTCGGTTTTGTGGACAAAAAAGTGCGTAAGTGGTAAAAAAACAATATTTTGATGGGGCGAGCCGGGATTGAACCGGCGACCTCACGATGACAATTGTCAGACTGCAGTGGACTTCAGTCGTGCGCTCTCCCAACTGAGCTATCACCCCATTAGATGAAGGTTTTTAAGGGAGTTTGTCGATGAATAAAATGATTGAATGTCTAGTTGGGTGATTGATCTACATTGATTAATAAGATGCTCAATCCCCAGGCTATGTATGTTAGCTAAGTAATTGCGGACAGGCAATACTGTATATTTTTATTTTATAGTATAAGACTCCCATTATTGGCTTTGCATTAACTATTCATGTTGATTCATTTTGGCTCCCACAATTTGACAATTATCTGAAGAGGATCCCACGACTATTTATGAGCTGTGTATGTGGGGCACTAAAAAAAATTCAGATAAATTGCAGACAAAAAGAGATAGAATGGGGCGAGCCGGGATTGAACCGGCGACCTCACGATGACAATGTCAGACTGTAGTGAACTTCAGTCGTGCGCTCTCCCAACTGAGCTATCACCCCCTTGTATGGAATAAGCTTGGATCTTTGCCTAGATGACCAAAAATCCCAATAGGCGGTAGTGAAACGAACGAACTTCGAGAATCATTCCAAGTCGTTCGATTAAGTTTTGGTTACACCACAACACTTGAGATAGTACAAAACTGTATATCTCTGGAGATATGGATGCTTCTCTATGTACGTCTTGTGTTTGCATTATTGCCCAGATGCTAGCGGACGTGTAAAGAATTCAAAAGGTCATAATCGCATCCAGCTGCTGCTATATATTTTGTTCTGCCCGGTATATATTTCGATGCAAACCAACCAGTGGAGTTGTCGCAAACCCTTGCTCGACTGACGCAAAAAAAGGAGTCCCTAATTTATCCACTCCATAACTTGCGATGACTTTTCGTCCTCTATCAGACTTCAGATATTCGATGAACTTGGTTATCTCTTCGTTGGAACTGGAACTTCCCAGTGGCGTATGAAGAGCGTAACAAGAATTCATCAGTAAATGGAAAGGATCAGTAGGCTCAAAAAAGACAGCCCAATTGGCCACGGTACGCCGACTGACCTGCTTCAGGAGAGTCGACCGATCAATAAGTAGATATGCCCCCGTGGCGGTTGCAAAGGATACTGCATCTGCCGGGTTATACGTAGTTTTGATGTACCACTTCGATGAATTGGAATTTGCCTCCCATGGATGACGATGGCATCGGCTCCAGATTTCACGTTCTTTATACATAGTCGCTGACCCATCGTTTCTGTTGTAAAACAGGCATTGGCTTGAGGCAATTCGATCAAAAGCTTCCTCAATAGACTTTACTTCACTGACACTAGCTGGGTCGTGTTCTGGGCCAACTAGCGTGAAGTGATCATGGAATATACATCCAGCATTTTCAGCCCAGCCTTCGGAGATGGCAATCTCCTCCTGCTCACGTTCATACGTGAGAGCAATGTCCACATATCCCTTGAGAAGCGCCAGCTGGGTGTTTCGAGAATGGTTGCAAATCCACTCGATTGAGCCTGGGTTTCCCCTCATTGACAGGTAGTCTCTGGCTAAAGTCCCTAATAGTCCCGTTCCGCCTGAACAATGAGCTTTGTTTTTGGTGTAGGTCTCTTTGTGCTATGGATGCGTACCTGCTCCCCCATTTCTATCGAGATACTGTGGTTAGCTGGATTTCAAGGCTCATCCTGTGGCGGGAAGGTCTGACATACCCGATCTTTAAGATCACCTCGCCTTCTCCAAATATTTCTAACGGAACTGAAGAAATATCTCCATGCTGTTGAATCACGGTATTCATTATTTTGGTCATTATGAAAGTCATAAGTGTGTACGTGAAAGGAGGTTCGTCATGAAATGAGAGGTGGTGTCAAGTTCTAGTGCGGGGTCAGAGGCGAGTGATACAGTTGGACCTCTTCCTGTGTATATCGCATGGTTCAGGCTTACTATTCGACCTCGGTTGTGTTTCCTTCGGGTGCCGTTCTGAGGCATAAATTAGAAAGGGTAAAAAAAAAAAAAAAAAAAGAAAAGGTATTATTTGATGGAACTACGCACACCAGATTTATTAGAAGAAGGGCAGCGATTTTTCCTTTACTGCCTCTTGTAGAGGGTGCATTGATATCTGCAGCTTGACAGTCAAGCAGTCAAATATTACTACCGGACTGTATGTGTTGCAAGTGGGAGACGACGTCCGCAATGAGTAATCGGTGGCCGCTCAACAAACAGGTTCAGTCACAATATAACTTTCGTTGACGAGTTCATCCGAGGCTCGAGAGTCCAATTTCGTTAAAATATCCAATAATGAGGAGAACAGCGAGTTAGCTCGATTGACGACTTGTGGAGCTTGGACCTGATGAATTACTTCGAGAAGTGTAGCGCCCATGTATCGAATTTTAGTGACCTAAGATTCAATCAATCAATGTAAAGTTGAATAAAGCCGTTTGCACTTGGGGAAGAGGGAAAGAAGACAAAAGGCGAGAAACTATGCAAGCGTAGAATGTCTTGATGACTTGCGAGATGAACCCAACTTACACATGCTTCACCATTCACCTGTAGCGAGTCGAAAGGAACACTTGTTACGAATGCATTCATATCGTGCGCAATTTCGGTCTTCCGCAATGCAATCATGGCGTCTGTGCTCTGCACGCCAATCATCGTCGTCAGTCCATGCTGTGCGAATCTATTCAGAACCAGCATGCGCAGGCAATGATATTGGACTAATAGGTTAGTGCGCTGAATCCAGAAATTACGGCGCTGAATCGCGGTGGCGGCCGGATCTGGAAGCTCCACCGAGTCGGGCGAATGTAAGAACTGGGGTAAATGGTCCAGCACGCTCAGGAAAGCAGAATAGGGCTCAATGAAGTAGTCTCCTTGTGACTCAGACAGCGTAGAGATGATAGATGTACCCCGTCGGTCGAGCCGAGCGAAGCACTCGAGGTCCACCAAGATGTCGGACGCCGCAATCCAGACCTTTTCAGAGAGGCTAAACGCCACCAAGGCTTGGGACTCGTACTCTGGTGGCATTCCCATTGGAGAAGGTGTCATCATCATCGGCGGAACGTCTGAATCGGCGTCTATGGACGTAAGTGCTGACCACGGTGGGTCGCATATACTTAAAGGGTGATTTTCGAGGTCTCGGTGGTAACGTGCGGAAATTCGAAGGGTTCGAAAAGCCATCACTCGGAGTCGAACCTCAAGCGGGTCTAGACCTTGCAAAGAGCGCGGGTCGTGCAGCTGCATCTGTTCGCCAAGTCGGAGTGCGGCACCGAACAAATGCCACGAGGGGCGCAATTTGCTATCTGTGTGTAGAGCACCTGCCTGGAACATGCGGATGACGAGTGAGCTAGCATCTGGACACTCCACATCGGCATATTCGTAAAGATGTAGCATTTCATGAGATGCATGTAGGAAGATTGGTCCAACCAGGGCTCCATTGGGGCCGTCTGGGGTTGACAGCAGATAAGCGGTCCCGGCACAGAGAGCAATGACAAGGGTATACGACCGAATTTCCTCCAAAGCTCCCGGCACAGTAGACAAACACACCGACCGGGAAGAACAAGAGAGAAAGCTGAATTCAGCGCTCAAGCGCGGAGGTTTGAGACAAAGGTTGGATCGGATTCGAGCCTCACATACAATAGGCCGTATACCAAAGATGACCTCCATGTAGACGTTGATACACCTCTCCACAGTTGCGCTCAATGACCAATTACTATCTACTGCCGCTAAAGAGCGCACAAGGTCTTGATGTATGTTTTCGATCTTGTCATTCAGGTCCGCTGCCCCGGAAGATGTAAACACCTTCGAACCGGTGGCAGCGGTCAATACCGTCGGTCCCGAGGTCCTCCTATCGACGGGGCTGACAGGTCCAAGCAAAGGCGAAGCTGATGTTGTTAACGAGGAAGTATCATCATAATTGGCTGATGGCGATGACATCCCATGGGAAGCGTGGGGACCGGCGGCACTGGCAACGGAACGCCTAGATTTGGACTTCGGTCCTCGCTTTTTCGGCGCTTGCTCGAATTTACAAGCTGTCCCTGATGTGCGGCAGTGGAAGCAGGGGATATGATCTGGGGAAGGGACACCATCGCACTTTCGGTCAAGAACAGGTTAGTGTCGAGGAAGAAACCAGGGTCAATGTCGGTCAGGCACTCACTCGGACTTTGCGAACTCGGCATCCATCGCATGCACGAAGACTCATTTGGGATTGACTGCTGAATTTCCCCGAGGGGATACTCTAGTTAGAAATGATAGCAGAGGGAATTCTCGGGCAAATTGAGGAGAGAGTTTTGCCGAGCTTTTCCACCGAGTTTCAATCGTTCGAAGTTCGCTTCGGCTGTCCACATTGCACCAAATTAAATACTCGGGATCTAAGTTTCCTGACAGGAGCTCACGGAAGTCGTGAATTCTCGGCCACAAGAATCGTCTCATGATGCATCTCACAATTTTATCCCGTAAAATTCCCACCTTGAACGAGGCTCAATTTCGCCATGAATTTCGAGTTATTCACGCCGAGCAGACTATTTCCATCGCCCAAAACCTGGGCATCATTCACCAATACGAGCAAGGCCTAGCCCTGCAAACCCTCAATAAAACAATTCTAGACCGAAGTGCCTTACTTCCTCTCAAAGAAGCATCTAAATATGATGCCTTCGCTCGACTCACCTGGCCCAGGCTGGAGGTTATGCAGGGATCCTTCACAACGGAGGACTACCGCCGAACGGCTGGAGAACATATTTTCGCGGAGCCTTTCCAAATATTCATCACTGAACCACTGAGCACAGAGGCAACACGGCAAATCGCGAAAGATTCCCTGAGCGAGGAAGAAATCGTCCGAGTGATCATTCCCATACAGCACTCCGCCAACGGAGTTGTCAGTGAATCGGACTTTGAGGAACGATGGGATCAGCATGCGTCTTTTATATCCTCGACAGGTGCGGTATATACCCGCCACCGGAGCTTAGATATTTCGCCCGATCAACTGGCGCGGATATTCGACCAGACGCAATTCGATTACCGGCTTGTGGTTGCTCGGGGAGGGTACGAGGAGCTGTTGTTCCATTCGCGAGCGGCAGCAGAGAAGTTCTTCAAGCAGTATGCTGGGGAAATGCGGGACTCATATGACCGGTTTGTCGATCCGGCCTTGGAGCTGTTTATCTACGACCATGTGATGCAGTTTGCAGCAGAGAAACGAGGCTGGTGGCAGGTGGGCGCGGGATTGGCCGTAGGAACGGCGCTGAGGATGAAAATTATCATGGGGGTTTGAACATGTAAGCTTCATAACCTGTCATAAAAGAAGGACGAGAAGGGCATCAGCCATAGATGGCAGAGGACGTTTATTTAAGATCAAGATCGCTTTGACTCAATTTGTAAAGTTGACTCAGGAGCATTTCATAAAAATTCATCTCTATATCGGTTACTATGGCACAAAACATCTATCTTTTGAATGGACTGGCATAATACAGAGCAAACAGAACATATACCCTCAAGCACCATACCGAAGACCGTGGCCAAATCGGAAGAGAGGGTCCTGAGTATCATATGGAGTATCCGAGTTTGACTCCTGGACCGCCTTCATGGACGAAGGCAGATCAAAGGGCAACTTACCCTCAGGGCCATAAACTCCTAGTGCGACATCCAGGAAGGCATCGGGCGAGCTTCCATACGACAAAAAGACTGCAGATGCCTGTCGGATAATCTCCGGTACCACCGGAGGACGATCAGCGTAGAGATCCACGATGACCGATGGCACTGCGGCAAAAACCTTTGCTTGACGGGCTTTCTCCTCTTCACTGTACTCCAAGGAGCCTGCGTGGAACATCGACTCAAACTTGCCGGGACGAGGTTCATATGCTGTTTTTAGGCGCAACAGAGCGATGTCGGCGTCAGCGGGGTCTTCCACCACCTTTAGACCCCGTGCTTCCACAGCTTCTGCTGGTATGCCCTCGAGATAAAGCTTAGCTGTGTGGAGATGAGCGTGCGATAGTGGCAGGCAATTGTTGGAGTTAGTCAGTAAAGTATAGCTGCGTCTTTGCGCATCAGCACCCAACTTGCACCACTCCGCCTTGCCGACTATTTGCGCAGCGGCATCTTCGTCCACGAAGCGATCGTCGAACAAGCCCAACAGGAACTTCTCCCGCAGAAGACGACGAACTGACTGGTCTAGCCGTTGTTCAGTAATCTGACCATTGGCGACTAGCTCGCCGAGCAGCTCAGGACAAGACTCGCCACCCAGTTGATCGCATCCTGCATCCAAGATGCGCTGAATGCGCTCTGATCGAGAGAGGTGCTCAAGGCCCCATGCCCTTGCCGGCATGGGCTCGCCAAAAATGGCTTTATCGGTGACCAGCCCCCAATCCGTAACAACAATGCCCTGGAACCCTAAGTCTTCGCGCAAGAGTCCCGTAATGAGAGGCTTGTTGAAAGCAAAGCCCACCTCCTCATACGACGTGTTGACTGGCATCCCGTAATACGGCATCATCTGCGCCGCGCCCGCGGCGATAGCAGCCTTGAACGGCTTCAGATGATACTCAAATTGGTTTCCCGGATAAACCTGTTCACGGCCATACGTGAAGTGCGGGTCTTCCCCATCCTTCTGGGGTCCACCTCCGGGGAAATGCTTGGTCATCGTCGACACAGCATGTGGCCCCAGGCCGGCTCCCTGGAAGCCGCGGATGTACGCAGCCACCAACTCCGAAGTCAAGTCTGCGTCCTCGCCGAAAGTAGCGTTGATGCGCGCCCAACGCGGCTCTGTAGCTAGATCGACCTGCGGGTGCAAGGCCAGTCGTAGCCCGACCGCTAGATACTCCTGCCGGGCAATGTCGGCGAACTGTTCAACGAGATCGGCAGACCGTAGCGCCGCTAGCCCGAGTGATTCGGGCCACTGTGAGAAGATGCCTGCCTCGAAGCTGGTGCCCACGTTGTCGGTGAAATGATTGCGCGGATCGGTGGATATTGTCACAGGAATACCCAGTCGTGTCTTGAGGGCTTCGCGCTGGATGTTGTTATACCACTTTGCAGCTGTTCGGGCATCTTTTATTGGACCCAGAAGATTGAAATGTGTCATCTGCTTCTGATTGATGAGATCTGAGTTGCTGGGAATGTTGAACTGTGCGACTGCTGGCGCAAGAGCTCCGTCTTGGCCCATGACGATCATGTCATGGAACAGAACAGCGGCTTTCTCGTCTTTCGTCATCCGGTCAATGAGATCATCCAGGCGATCATCAATTGAGAGACCGGCATTTTGATAGGGAAGGGTATCACTTGGAATTGACATGTTGAAAGCTTTGATTTAATAGCAAACAGTGGTGAAGGGGGGGGGGCACGCGCCATGATTAAGTAGAGTCAGCGACAGACGACAAGCTCCACATTCGCCACGTCTGAAATATCGTGGGACGGTGTGTTTTGTTAGCAGCAAAGATTGGGGTCGACACCGTTTGGTCACTTCACGGCGAAACTCGGGGGAACTTGGGAGTGGACCACAATGAATTTCGCCGCGGCGAAATAATAAATAATTGTCCAACCATTGGAATGGTTGACGTGACAGCACCCACTAACGATATCGCAGAAAGCCTCCCCCACAAAATTTCGTGCAGCCCCGGCATTCTAGCGGCTATCATCACCTTTTGTCGGGTTCATGATCACGGGGCATGGTGAACTGCAATTCTTGACTATTTAATCCCCAACTTCTTCATGATTACAATGTCCTCAATGCAGACGTACAGCTCATACTATAACCATCATTTACCCTTACTCTGTTAAGATTCCACTCATGAGCGAAATTGAAAAGGTAAGGCAAGATGACCTGGAGCACCTTGAACAGGTCTCGTCTGCACAGAAACAGGATGAAAGCAACGAAGAGCAGCGGTCACTTTGGGAGGCCTGCAAGCAAAGCCCTCGAATAATCACATGCTGCACCGTTATGTCCATGAGTCCATTTGTGTTTGGCTTCGATAACCTCCTCATCAGTCTGATGACTGCCATGCCCGCCTTCCAGTAGGTCTCCCCACTCTTGCCTCGATCCTTCCTTTCTAACTCGTGACATCCAATAGGGCATCATTTGGTGATAGCTCTGGTACGATTCCTGCTGTATGGCTCTCCCTCTGGACATCAATGGTGGCTGTGGGTATCATGATAGGAGCCATGTTGTCTGGTCCTTTGTCTGACAGATGGGGTTGCAAATTCTCTGTGTCGTTTGGAGGCACCATTGCAGTGGCCGGAAGTTTGATCTGTGTTTTTTGTGATCAACTTGACGTGTTACAAAACCGTCGAGTTCTCTTCCTCTTCGCAAAGATCATCATTGGTGTTGGATTGGGCTTCATGCTTCCAGCCTCGCAAACATACATCTCCGAGGTAGCCCCTGTGGAACTGAAAGGGCCGCTGTTGTCAGCATATACTCTTACCATGGTGCGCTCCCCTTAGTCCAATTGTAGTCAGATTCTTGGCTAACTAAAAGTATCAGGCCATTGGACAAGTCATCGCCGTAGCTGGGCTCAACTCGCGAATCTCCATGTCCGGCCAGATGGCCTATCGCGTAAGTGCAACTCATTCTAAGACTCCGGAAAATCAACATTAATTCAATTATACAGCTTCTGTTCGCCCTAGAAACGATTCCCACCGGTTTTGCAGCCATTTGCCCCTGGCTCATCCCAGAAAGTCCCAATTACTTCGTGAAGCGCGGGAGCCTTCCCAAGGCGACCGTCGCCTATACCCGCCTCCTTCCGGAAGCGCAAGCAGAGCCCGCGGTCCGTCGCCTTGCGCGTGCCCTCGAGCATGAGCGGGAGGCCCAAAATAGCGCTGAAGCTCCCGCTTTCCAGGAATGTTTTCGTGGCGCGAACTGGCGGCGTACGCGCATTGTGTGCTATGCAAACATGCTGCAAAGTCTCGTAGGCATCGCTATGATTCAAAACGCGACTTATTTCGTGGAGCTGGGCGGGATGAGTGCGCAGAATGCGTTGAATGTCACGACCGCCTCCTTGTGCCTCCTCATTCCAGCCATCCTGATATCATGGTACTTGATGAATAGAGTGGGACGCCGCGCGATCCTACTTTATGCAACTAGCGTTATCACGGTTCTATGGTCGGTAATTGGAATTGCAGGGTGTTTTAGCTCGTCAACCGCCTTCTGGTTCGTGGGCTGTGCAATCGTGGTGACTAACTTTGTTTACGGCATGGGTGTGGGCAGTACCTACCCTGTGGTTGCGGCGGAGATGTCGACTCTGCGATTGCGAGCCAAGACCCAAGCTCTGGGATTTACGGTGCAGTTTGTCTTTAGCTGGGCGTTCCAATTCTCGGTGCCGTATATGTATAGCACTGCGGATGGCAATTTGGGAGGCAAGGTTGGGTTCATTTTTGCCGGATTCTCAATTATTGCCCTAGCAATCATCTTCTTCGAGATTCCGGAAGCGAAAGGACTGCGGGTTGAAGAGATTGATGCCCGGTTCGAGCAGAGGCTACCGACAAGGGCATTTCAGCAGACAGCAACCATTCAGGCTTAAGGCCTTACTCCCGGACTCCAAAGATGAAAGGAAGGGCCATTCCCATATGTATATAGACTTGTGTCATGCGCTTACGTTTCGGTGGCTGGGTTCGAAGGTCCTTGTACGAAGACTGCGAACTTCTGGATTTTTAAAGAATTTGAATATCTTAGCCAAGGCCCTGTCAGGACCTTCGGGGACATTAAGCCGGCTTTTTCTTTTTATTTTATTTCATTTTTTTCCCCAACTTTTAGAGCTATCAAGATTAAAGCACTTACTTAGACCCCCAAAATATATAGGTGAGGTCTTAGGGGGGAGAGGCATCGAAATAGAACCATTAGAACTGCTCCAAACAGAACTAAGAGTTGATGTGTAGCAGATACCTACTTCTATATATTAGAGATGAAAGATCCCTGCTCGGTGAGCATCCATGAATATAGTAAAAATGGGCGAAGCTAAATCACCTGCCGTTCTCATGACTAGGATACTGGTTAATAGAACGCTTTGATGGCGTCGAACGCAGTGATTGTCAATGCCCTATGTACTGTACCAACGCCTAGCGTTCCGGGGTAATATTATACTGTAGTAGAACATATGTATATGTTTAACATGTATATACATGGAGAGCCGCATATCCGATCCAAGGAGGAATCGGGAAAAAATGGAAGAAAGTTCTTCGGTGGCACAGCCACCGAAGATGTCATGCACGATCGGATAGGCCAGTATCTTACCCTTTGACCCCGGATCGAGTAGTTCGCAGTGAAACCTTGGTTTCTTCCTGAAGCACCCGAATCACAATGCATAGTTCAAAGCAGGAAAAGTTAGTAAATCGGTGGCGACCGGGTCAATCATCACGTGTAGTCACGTGTACCCCGGGCCGCAAAATCGAAGAAAAAGTCGTCGACCCGCAACCCCGACCTTATCTCGTCCACTTGTTGCCGGTTCAGCTTACCTTCACTACTTGGCCCGGACTGCCATCCACTTGTCGATCTTCCGACCTTTCAATTCAAATCAACGATCTCGTCTATCCCCGTCACCTTCGAGACGCCATCTGCCCTCCCCGAGTGATCGCGTCACTTTCCCGACCTTCCGACTCGTCATCCCCTTCTGACACGACCCTCCCTCAAATTAACACATAATGGATCACACTCGGGATCCCTGCCCCTGGGTCGCGTTGAGCGATTTCGGTGGTGCTTTCTGCATGGGTGTATGTTTTGGTCGACGCGTAGCGTCAATCGCGTTGAGATCGGATTACTGACCTGTGTTTCTAGGCTATTGGTGGTGCTGTCTGGCATGGTGTTAAGGGTTTCCGTAACAGCCCCTATGGTGAGCGCCGGATAGGTGCACTCACTGCCATCAAGGCTCGCGCGCCTGTGCTCGGTGGAAACTTTGGTGTTTGGGTATGATTGCTTGACAAAGGATCAGGTGTATAATTTTGTACTGACGTATCAACAGGGTGGTTTGTTCTCAACATTCGACTGTGCTATTAAGGGTATCCGAAAGAAGGTATGTCTACTGTCGGAGATTTTACCCGGGAACATCTTATTGACGATTGGGGAATTTAGGAGGATCCCTGGAACGCCATTACCGCCGGTTTCTTCACCGGTGGTGCCCTCGCCGTTCGTGGTGGTGTCAAGGCCGCCCGTAACTCCGCTATCATGTGTGCCGTCTTCCTTGCAGTTATTGAGGGTGTCGGAATTGGTTTCCAGCGAATGATGGCCGACAACACAAAGCTCGAGGTATGTGAAGCTCCCTTCAACGTAGTCTATGAGCCATTGATTAACTTGAGTTTGAATTTAGCTCCCTCCTCCTCCTCCCTCTGAGCAGAAGGCTCTTGCTTAAATCACCCCTGTCATCAATACGATCGATTCATACTCCTCGGTGGCCGATGGCCCCTACTTCTCTTCGATATCTGTCTTCATAACATCCCCACATTGAGTCTCTCTTCTCAGGTGTTCGGTTCTGCTCATCATTTTTAAACGACATGGCATAGAGTTCCTGTTTTCGTTTTCCTTTACGCTTTTTATACCGCCTTCCCGGCTTGTGTTTCGGAGCAATGTGTTTCTGTGGACGGCGGGTTTATCCACATGGCTGGTTCCTGAGACCGGCGTATGTGTTCGTTTCGTGGCCGGGTGGCCCACCCAAAAGAATATCTCTGCTCATCTGATGCAAAAAGCGGTTTGGAGATGGGTCCGTGGTGGATTCTTGTACATTAACGCATCGCTAACAGCATAATACACTTTTACTCTGCATATATTAATTCCGGCTTCGATAGCTTTCCTGAGTTCATACCTTGAGAAACAAACTGAAGCTTGGGTCTCTAGGATTCTTATCTTTCTCAATGCGGACTATATGCCGTGTATTCCCGTTTCTCCGCTTTATCTGCACCGACCTCTACCCCTCACGAACACTTCAACACCTCGCACTCACACCACAGCCATGGCAATGTCTGAAACCTCAGCGTCTTTTAAACCTGCATTAATCCTCCACGGAGGAGCAGGAAATCTTAAACGCGCCACCCTTCCGCCGGATCTCTACGCCGCCCATTACGCCTCGCTCCAGTCTTATCTCCGCTCCACTCATGCGCTCCTCACCAACGGTGCCTCGGCTCTCGATGCCGCAGTGCATGCCGTATCCTTAATGGAAGATGACGAGCTATTCAATTGCGGAAGGGGCAGCGTCTTCACTACAGCGGGCACAATCGAGATGGAGGCCTCCGTAATGGTCACATCAGTACAAGGTTCTGCCGCCAACCTAGAAGGCACAATAAAGCGCGGCGCTGGTGTCATGGGTGTGAAGAATGTCCGACACCCTATCCGTCTTGCACGCGAGTCCCTCTTACGCACTGGGTATCATGTGGACGGCAAGCGGAGCAATGATGGAGGTTCTTTGCATTCTCAGCTGCATGGTCCTCAGGTGGAGGAATTGGCTCGCGAATGGGGACTGGAGTTCAAATCTGACGAATGGTTCTGGACAAAGCGTCGCTGGGACGAGCATCAGCGGGGTTTGAAAGGGGAGGCGGAACCTCTTTCACTTAGTCAGGGCACTGTCGGCTGTGTTTGTTTAGATCAGTGGGGTAATTTGGCTGTTGCTACCAGTACTGGTGGGATGACGAATAAACTCCCCGGTCGAATTGGGGATACTCCGACGCTTGGTGCTGGCTTTTGGGCCGAATCTTGGGATGAGATTGTGTCGGATGGTAAGCTGGCGGCGGGCGCGTCTTCGTCTCCATCGCTTGGAGATTACTTCCAGGAGGCAAAAGGCTGGTTGGCGGACTGTCTACCTCCGACCTTAAGGGAAACCCGTGCTCCGGCTTATACATCTCTTCCGACTGGGTCGAAGACAGATCAGACAGACTTGGGCTCCGAAAAGCGTGCCTTGAGCTATGAGAGTCCATCTGATACGACTTCCAAGAAACGTGCCATGGCAGTCTCGGGAACCGGAAATGGAGATTCGTTCCTCCGTGTTGCGGCTGCGCATACCGCAGCTGCAATGCTGCGGTTTTCTGCCCCCGGTCTCAGTCTAGCTGATGCTATCACTGCGGTAGCTGGCCCTGGTGGTGAGCTACAACGCTCTGCTGGGCAGCGATGGCGCATTACTGGCGAGGGTGAGGGTGGCATTATCGGCATTGAAGCTGATTCCGCTCCGGCTGCTTGTGGGCAATTGCGCCGAGGCAAGGTCGTCTCTAACTTCAATTCTGGGGGCATGTGGCGTGCGTGGATTGAAGAGGATAGTAACGGACAAGAGACTGAGAGAATCATGGTTTTCCGAGAGGAATACCGATAGACTCTGGGGTGTCTTTAGAGTATGACAAGGTTTCGAGTTAGGTTTAACCTCATAGATCTCATTGAAACAGCTAAGACAGAACACATTTTCACACTCAATTTCTACGGACTGAATAAGCATGGCACTACATCATGAAAGCAAGGTACCTGGTACCTATTCTCTGCAAACTACGCGGGCTTGTCTCTTCATGACCTCAGCAATCGCCCTGTTCCTGCACTGTCTATGTCATTCCTAGTCCCCTCGGTGTAATTGTCTCTATTTTAGTACCCGCTTTCCTCTTGTGCCCCCCCCAATAGAATGCTGTGTGTTAAGCCAATATATGCACCCCTTGCATTTGACCATCATTTTGTGTAACCGACGATCATCAATAGCCAGCCATCATCATTCCAGATGCTGTTATTTAATAATTAGCCCTTAGGCGTACCTCATGCGCCTAACTTGTTTTTTTCCCCCCTATTTTACTTTTTTTCTCGTTGACCCTCTCTAGGCTATATACCATTCTTCAAAACATACCTCAAGATGATGTCCTACAAGGTCCTGGCACTGGCACTCCTCTCTTGCACAGTCTCCGCCGCAACGTATAAGGTACGAATTCTTTTCTGATTGGGTGCTTGACAGATCGAAAGCTAAGTGGACGCCAACAATCTACAGGATCCGGCCATTCTCTATTCTCAGGAGAAATGCTCGGGAAAGGAGATTGAAATCAAGGCAGATGACACCTGTGTTCTGCTACCAGTTGGATCGTAAGCATTGATCTAAGATGACGGATCGGAGATGAAGCTAATAATCGACAGGAGAAAAAACATCAACGGAGCTGAACTCCCAGAAGATGTTGTATGCGACTTCTATACGTGAGTTGCAGTTAACCCCCCGTAAAAAGCGGAAGTGATGCTGACGGTACTGTATAGCGACGAGAAGTGTCAGGAGCCACTCTGGATTGGAATGGAGGACCCCGGTGATTGCAGCTTCAGTGAGCTGGAAATTCAGAATAAGACAGTGAGCGTTCACTGTTATGATGGCTCGGCCATCTATGACGACCTGTAGATGTTCGCCTAGGGCATATCTATGGTTTATTTTGTACAGCTGCTACCCAAGAGTCAGTAACTTCTTGGGATTGCTCGAATGAATGTATCTCCATTTGTTCAGTAGAGTTAGCGTACAGGAAAGAAATACTGGAAAACACTACTTCGAAACATGTTTGCCTCCGTCTCACAGTTAGAATCTCTAGAAAACAATTACTATCTGGTCGTAGAGTTATCAAAAGGCTATAAGATAATATTCTTGTGGTAGTTTCTACCCGAGGAGCGATAAAAAGAACCACCACTCTTTGAGAGTCTTGTGTCTCTCCTTAACCAAAGCAGAATGCTTGGAAGAAGCATAACAAAGAAGGAGACATCCATGGAAAAACAAACAAAAAAGTAACTCCGATAGGGGGAATCGAACCCCCGGCTGTCGTGTGAGAGACGACGATGTTAGCCACTACACCATATCGGATGTGCTTGTGAAAGAGTGGCTCCATAATGGCGATATAAAGGAAGTGAAAAGTTTTCCCGATATTGATGGGTCGGGTGGGGCGGTAACAGGATCCCGATTGGCCAAACCATAAGTTATGGGGCTGAACAATCCTTAGTGGCGTTGAAATATATATCACCTGGGCAGTCTAAAGGAAGCTACCGAGCCTCTATAATAAGAGAAATTCCATGAGTGGAGTGTTATTTCCAGGCTATGTTTCCTCCTCAATTGAAAATACCCAAGATTGCTGAAACTAGCATACATACAGATTGCCCCCCTCAAGAACTGCCATCGATCCTGCCCTTTGCAACTACCAAGTCAGCAGTTTCTGGAAAGTGGTGCTCCACCCATGACATCAAACACAGCGACAGTGGCATACATTCTCAGCCAATTCTAGTTCCGCACTTTGACTGCCATCAGTGAATCATTACCATATATGGACAGTGGTTTGCTCGGCTCGACATCCCCGGGCGAGGTTGACATGATAAGCGCCAACTTGACAGCAAGCGCTGGGAAGACGACTTGAACTCGCTCAGCGGAGCCGGTAGGCTGTCGGAACAACATGGCTAAAGCAACGGCAGGCTGGCCAACATTACCCAGATTATTGGAAGCGGCAGAATCGCGGAGATACGAGAAAGCTGCCAGACAGGGCCGGCCAAGCAAAGCAGACGGAGTTCGACCTTGAACAAGATCATCTGCCTTTCGCAGGGGCGTAGCCGAATCGCAGACAATGGTCAGTAAGGCTAAAGAGTCGGTTTCTTCGATTGGCCACATCTGATTTCCGATTTATACTAGGTGCAGGTCCAGCGGGGAGGGTCCAATGGAAATTATGGGGCCAAATTTGAGGCAGGGTGTATTCTTTTGGTATTGGTGCGGCTTCATCTTCTGGGAGCGGAAAAAATTTAATAAAAAGGGACCTGCCAGTGGCTACTATCAATTTCGACATTCTTATACTACCAACCTCCCAAGCATATGAATTTTCTCCTTGATCTTGGAAAATGGAGACTGTTGCTCAGATTCTTATTATTGCATCTCTCCAAGGTTTCATTGTGGTCAAGGGTTCCGCTCCCGTCCCGGCACCTTGGAACGCCTTGACCCATGTTTCATAACCCTTGTATCGGTGTATCCACTAGAGCGGTGCTAAAAGTGCAAACGCGGACATTATTCGCTAGCAGAATATAACTAAGGTATTTTACTTACCACAAGCAAGCGATCACAACGTCATTGCCTTAAGTTTCAGTACAAGACGCGATCAGCCCCCTTTTATATACAAGCTGTGTCTCAAATTAGACCCACATGCACATCCAGTATCATTTCATTTCAACGCCAATGGACCCGTTTCCAAATCTCGAGCTCGAATAGATCACGCACTAGCACGGGTAGTCGTCTCAAGACTTTGGTGGGCTTAATTAACTTACTAACTATGAAAGGGAAGATTGCCGTGAACATCTCATGTGCACCAGTGAATTTTACTTCTTAAATGCATGTGAACAACTTACTTGCCAGTTGTCGTTGCAAGAAGAACAGAGATGAGTAGCTCCTGTTACCTCAATATTTGGACCTAGCAGAGATTTGAAAAGGATATTGGCAAACTACTAAACGCAAAATTACTATAACGGAACCTATATTGCGTATCTCTGGTTGTAATACGACGTCACGCAATTAGGATTACCCCTAAGACCTTAGTGTAGCGCTTCTGCCTGGACTTCCAAAAGAGGTATGAAATTGCGGTAAAAGCCTCTCAGGTCCTTTCATTCGTCGCTAATCCTAGTTTCCCAATGGAAGAGAGGGGTAATGAAAGTCGCCGCCGGTAGGCGTTCCGGTGTTTGGTAGCATCACGCCCCCATAGAGCTTGGGGCTGTGGGCTGCACATTTGGTATGCCACCATCTTCCAACACACTATCCGTCTCATTCCTCCGGGTCAATAAACAGCTATGCCCAATGAAAAAGTCTTTTATATCCACCCATCTAATTGGGAAAATGACCCAGAAGAGGAGAGGTTCAAAGTCTCGACGCTCGACTACCTGACAGTTTGCACCTACAATAATTACGCCCTCTTTTTTCGACTGGACGATGCCAATAAGAGCCGAGTAGCAGACTTGTTGAAAGCCGGCCTTGAGAAGACTCTGAGTCAGGTTCGCCATATCTGCGGTACAATCGAAAAGGATCCAGCAGGCGGACATTCCTTTGTCAAGAAGAAGGACAGCACTGTTCAGTTCGTTGTTCAATGGCTAGACTCTGCAGAAGACAGCGGTATTTATCCTTCTTTTGACGAGATTGAGAAAGCCAACTTCTGTACTTCAACATTGGGCGATCTCAATCGCTGGAGCGTGCCTCCAATGACGTATGGAGAGAAGCCCGAAGCTCATCCGGATAACAGCCCAGTGGTGGCAGCCTATAAGGCTAATTTCCTTCGAGGTGGACTGGTCTTTATCATGCACCACCATCACTACAGCAATGATGTTATGGGATGGGCTGGCCTCACCCATCAGCTGGCCGAGCACTGCTTCGCAATCGTCAACAACACACCTGCCCCCTCCTGGGATCCCGCTTGCCTCGATTTATCTCGCATAACCAAGGCTGAAGTACCTGAGGAATCCAAGATCGATGGCCCACCAGCGCCAGAGCGCCACCCCGGCCACATTGAAGCGGAGATGCTACTTTTTCATTTGCCTAAGAGCAAGGCAGCAGAGCTTAAGAAGCTCGCCTCTCCGACCGATGGGTCCTGGATCTCCACCTACGACGCCTTCTCTGCATTCATTTGGCGCACAGCCTCGCGCCTGCGGGCTCCGGCATTCAAACAAGATCTGTCGGACCCGTTGTTCTGGTGTGAGGCCATTGATATGCGGCGAAGAATGCACAGCCCCAAGCCCCCTGTACGTATTCAACACAACGTCATGGCTGGTGCCCTGTCAAATGCTGCGCCCGTTCAGTCGCCGACGGCAAGAGAGGTTATTTTCGAGTGGCCGATTTCCAAACTAGCATCGTACATCCGTGCGCTGACGAACAGTATTACCCAAGAAGCTCTCGATCAGACGTTGGATGTGGTAGCCACTGTCCGGGACAAAACTGCGTTGAACATCCGCATCGATGCCCATCCACCAATGTCACTACTCCAGACAGATCATCGTGACGCTAACATCACCGCTGCCGACTTTGGCTTTGGCAAGCCATTAGTGTACCGTCACCTGATTGATCGTTTGACGCAAGGTGTTATCATCATCTACCCGTCGCGCAATCCGTCTCCTGAATCGGACGAGGGACCAGAGTTCTCCATCTCCTATGAGACAAGCCTGAAGCAGGCGTTGATCGAAGACCCTGAATGGAACAAGTACTTCGAGTACCGGGGTGTGGATGCCATCAACGCCCCAAGGGTAGATTAGCTGAACAACAACGATTCTGATTATGCCTGTATGTGTGATTCCACACAATAAATAGCTTTGCAAGTAAGTTGGCCATCATTACAGCTCTGGATTTCTTTGTATGCTAATAGTGAAGTGGGGTTTAGGTCTTGATAAGTTGCTGCCTCGTTGCATTGAGTCAGCAACCTCGAACTATCAATGATGTCGATAGGTACACATGTGTGGTGTCGTCTACAACAAGCACTATTTCCCTTAATATAGTATACAGCTCCAAGGTCACAACTCACACATAATAATCAAACAGTCCAGAAGTTTTAGTAAGTTGGTTACCAACCTTGTAATTACTCAGCGGCTTGCACGGTCACGGGATTTTCACGTGCGGCGATAGCGCAATATGACGGAGTTAACGAGCCTTTGAAGGCTTTCACTCCCCTTGAATAACAGCAGAAAGAAGAACTGGTCCTTTCCAACAAATTTCAAGGGACTGAGATGGGAAGGAGCTCTTGGCGCGCTAAGAGCTGTCGAACATGTATTGCAAGGAAGGTCAAGGTAGGCCGGGTCATCCTTTTGTAAGGTGGCCAGAAACGCTCATGCATCGCCGTAGTGCGACAAAAATAATCCGCAATGCTTCCGGTGTCAGTCATCAGGTAGCTTATGTGGCGGGTATAGGCAACTGTGAGTGATTTCTCCTTGCTTGCCAGAAATCAATATACCAATCGAGGATGTGAATGTGGCAGCAACGGTGTAATGGCGAGAAGGAACTCGCCTCTAATGCAGAGAGAATTATCTCTTGCAGCAAATCAGAACAAAACACAGCTATTTTCTCAATTTATGGATGATTACCTCCCCCCAAAATCATCCGCCTCCATCACTTATCAGTCGCCAATTCATTGGGTGGAGACTCTGTCTTCGCTGGTGAGCTCGCAGTCGAGACTCGTCAATGGGTCATTATCTGCTCTGGTGTTGATACATACTGCCAAATCGCGGAAAGACAACACGCTGTCGCATTTGAGTAGACATTCTTATGGTCTACTCGTACAGCAGATATTAGGACTAAGACAACTAAGCGATCCAACCGATCTCATTCGCACTGGAATGATCTTGGCACTCTATGAGACTTATAATTCGGCCCCGGATCAGAATAATGCATGGCAGATACATGTGGAGGCAGCTTATAAACTCATGTCCGAATATCGTATTTCCGGCGGAGGACTCAATGATCACGACCTACGTCGACTACGTACTATCGAGGTAGGACACTGCATTTATTTCAAAATACTGCACATTGTGTGTTGACAGATCTAGATTCTTCGCCTCTGCATCGATGGCCCGCAAAAGCGTGCCCCAATAATGCACTTGCAAACAAGCTCTTTGTTTGACCTATTCGATCAGCTTCTCGAAATTCTGTTCAAAGCAATTACACTATTCTGGGACCTACAGCAAAAGAAGGACATTGGCGACATGAATTGGGAATCAGCTGATGAGACATTAAAAACGTCAGTGGATATTGAGAGGGACCTTCTGAGCTGGTATCATCAGCTAGAATTGGAGAATAATCTCCCACTTTTCATGACCCAAGCCGGCCCAGCCTCGTCCATGCCAATCGATGCACACGACCAGATGCAAACAATAACCTTCTCCAATATTTCCAGCATACATATTCTACTGTTCTACTGGCTAGGGCTGGTTGTTGTATATGAGTCTATGTTCGAGGCGCTAGAGACTCTCGCACAGTCAAGCCGATCCCAAACTCCCAGCGACCTCTACAAGAAAATGGGAGCGACCGATTCACTCTGCCGTCACTTTTTTACTCGCATTTCCCAATGCCAAGCAGACGCGACTACTGGAAAGGGACTAGGAACTTCCATATTTGCAAAGGCGACGTTTTTGGCTGCACAGAAAATCAGGCGAGAGTGGAAAAGAAATGATTATACTACGATTGCATGAAGCATTGCTTTCGAGTACTAATAGCGGAACTTCTGGCCAACAAGGTCCTCACTGATTCTCCATAGCCTCTCTGCATTTTGTGAGTCGAGAGCGTAATCCGCTGCCTCACTATTGTTGACCTGGCTGTTGACCATGTATGATCCATTCTGGTCTGTATGCTGCCCGTTAATATCGATGATTGTGAACACCTTACAAGAGGAAAACAATGACGATGCATACCGGAAATGCTTGGATTGTACGCTGCTACAATCAATGTAGCCGCACCATGCCTTGTGGTCGTCCATTTCAGCTTTGGATCGGTATTCATGCTTCCATCTGAGTGCTTCCAGCCTAGCATTGTGATCAAAGTCAGCTTTGCCACATGAAAACTGGAGTTATAGACGGAAAGATATACCAGCCTTGAGCCAATCTTCCATTGACAGATGCTTCACAATTCCGGTAACCATTCGGCCTGGATAAAGACTGAACGACTGTACACCCTTTGCTCCAAGCTTTTCCGCCAATGATACGGAGAAAAGTATATTTGCAGTCTTGCTTTGCCCATAGGCCTGCCACTTGTCATAGGATTTCCCATGCTATTTGAAAAATGAATCAACAACTTCAAGGCATGGAAGACATATGCAAGAAGAATAGTGCGTACCTCGAATCCAGGATCGTCAAACCGAACGGGCCCTCTCTTGTGTCCAGAGCTGCTAACGTTCACCACTCTAATGTTTGTAGCACCTTTTTGTAGGAAATTGCCCAGAATCAAGTTTGTTAAGAGGAAATGACCAATATGATTCGTTCCAAATTGCAATTCCAAACCTTCTTTGGTGACACTGTATGGAGTGGCCATTACACCTGCACTGTTGATCATAACGTCGATAGTCTCAGGATACGCGTTGACCTCCTCAGCGGCCTTGCGAACGCTTTCTTGGGAGCTTAGATCGCAAACAAGCAGTCTTGTTTTAGCACTAGGTGTTTCCAACTTGATTTTCTCGTCAAGTTCCTGGAGGGTCTGGGTATTGCGGCCTGCTAGGACAAGCAGCGACGGGGCATGTCGCGAAATTTGAAATGCCGCTTCGCCTCCTATACTTCCTGGAGTGACGCCAGTGATCAAGACTGCCTCAGATCAGTTATGTTTCTTGGGTACAGGTAGGAGGGAAGTGACCTTCTGTTCACTCAGTGGACGATACCTTTGCGTGCATTGATGTGAGAAGAAAGAATTTTGCAGACCTCCTCACCAGTCGACGCAGACGTGAATGGGGTCATGTTGTATAGCTTGGCCCGGTCAGTTGTTTGAATTTTGCGTTGGAAAGAAGTTGTATGGTGAAGATGTCTTAACGAGGGGCGACAAGTGCGACTAAATACTTTCTGTAATCATATGAGCCGGAGTTAATCAATGAGCTTGTAGACGGAGCTTAGAATATCTCCGAGTATTTAGGGGCAACGCAAAGGGGCATTGCAGTGCTACAGCCAATCGACGTTGTTAAACCACGGAGAATCCGTGTGTATACTTCGCTGTGGAGCCAGCTCCGATCATTTGCGGGACGCATGTAGAGTAATATCCAATGAGAGCCAGAATAACACCGAGAGCTCCACAGTGGATCCCACAGGTCGATCTCATGTCCTTATCTGACGAGTCACTAATCACCACCTGTAGCTGTGACATTGTCTTACTTTGTCTTCTTTTACAATGGCATTTTCTCCATATGAGTAATGGTCACTCCGACCAGAATTGCTGTTCACAAACTAGGGAGCAAGGGGGCTGTTTAACTTATTTGATGTAGGTAATCATGTTCATCAAATACAATTGCAATAAAAGTACTAACGCTGGAAATCAATTCTTTAGCTATTTGAGCAAAGTGCCATTTCATATAGTCTAGTACAGTAAGAAAGAGCAGGGATTTTAGTATTCAGCATCCTCTGATGGGAATACAATGGAATAGACGGACTTTCCCACATCTTCATTTCTTGATGCTATGGCCTCATCTGACATGGTCATTGTCAAAACATTCATCCTCACATTATACTTTTTGATCCGTCGCTCCATGGGTTGAGCAACCGCCAAAAACCGCTTTCTCGTCTTTTTTTTCATCTCTTGGACATCAGCATTCGGCACCAATAACTGGCCCAACTCCAACTGCGCTTCGCCCAGAATCGAGAACAGCTGCTTTAGATTCGCAATCTCGCTCACATATGCTTTCAAAACTTCCACCACTGACTTCAGATCTGAAATTGGTGTATTATTAAACAAAAGTAGAGTCTCAATATTCCCTTCGGAAAGCTTAATGACGTTTCCTATCGTGAACCACCACATGGAGAGACCCGTGCCCTGGTAGAGGGTCTCAAGTCGCTCGTAGTGCATGCGTCTTCTGTAGACACCATCACCATCGTCTATCTCGTACAAACCATGCCATAAGGCCTTCCAAAGGTGTATGATTTCGGTTTGAAGCTCGTGGCGGGATGGCGTGTCCCCTGCCTTTTGGGTATCTCTATCGTGGTTGTATTGAGGGAAGCCATTGACATGTTCATTGCTGTCAACATATTCACTGCTGTCAACATATTCACTGCTGTCAACATATTCACTGCTGTCAATATATTCACTGGATGCGGCAAGATCTATGATCTCAGTCTGAAGCTTGTGGTGGGATGGAGAGATCCCTGGCTTTTCGATGTCTCTCTGTGGCTGTATTGAGGAGGACTTTCAACACACTCATTGCTGTCGATATAATCACTGGGTGTGACAAGATCTATGATCTTGGTTTGAAGTTCGTGGCGGGATACTATGTTCGCTGGATCCTCGGTATCTATACTGCAGCTATCTTGTGGGGGACCGTCGGTACGGTCGCAGAATGTATTATAACATTTTTTAGATGCCATGATGCTGGATGAATAGCAAGGCGACTTAGTGGCCAGAGTTTTCTTTGATTCTCGCGAAGATATGTTAAAAAATGCCATGACTCTTTGGAAGAATCGACAACCTCGTCGGAACTTCATTTGATGGTTTCAAATGGAACGGAGTAGCTGATTGCACAAAAGAGTGATCTCTAGAATCAAGGTCAATAAAGCCAGAAGCTCAAAGCTCTGCATGCATATACCAATGGGTAGTGGTTGGTAAGTAAAGATGAAGGGCTTTCGACTGAATGGGGTGTCCGGAAATTATACTCCACCAGGACTGCGATATCTTAGCTCATGGGAATTTCTGTTCGAAACATTTTAATGGATTGAAGAGGGTTCAGCTTGAATGTGAGGAAGCTGTAATAATGGCGTCGCCCGCGATGACCCTTGATCTCATCATCTTCACATGCTTTAGGTTTTATGTTCTTGCTGAATCTGACTTCGGAGGATATAATGTTCCAATGTAAATTGCATATTCTGTCATCTGAGATACAGGCAACTGTAGAGATTCCATTTTGAAATATGTTGATGCCTTCGAAAAATAAATGTTTAAATCCATTTGGGTATACCTACGGAACCTCTAGTCTTTGTAATGATGCATGAGTGACGGCAATTTGACGATGAAAACAGAAATAGCAGAGAGAACAGATGAATGTAACCTAATGAGCTTCGCACATGCTACTGATGGAATAGCTTGTCTCGTCCTGATAAACGAGTATCTTCTCTTTAATAATTTCAGCATGCAAACGACGACTACGCAAATTTGAATCGCGAATACTTCACGAAGAAATATCCATGACGCGGGCAAAGGGGCTAGATGTATTGTACAATCCCAAGAGGCATCATCGGGAGACAAAGACCAGCTGGATCAGCGAACATTTTCTGAAAATTGGAGGAGAAAATAACAAGCATAGTAACTGTCACTGTAGTATTAATGTGAAACAGGATCCAGGCCAAATATATTCACCGGGTGTAGGAGATAACAGAGTTAAACCGTGGGACATCAGGGTTTATCGATGACTTCATGATCGGAGTTGCTAACCCCGCCCGTTGTGGAACCTTGGTACCCGAGGAGTCATCCGCACGTTTGACCCAGATCGGGGTATGCAGCTCACATAATCGGAGAGCTTGAACTTACTTCGTCATTCTGGCGAGATGTTACTTACTGGTTCCCGGTTTGTCGGAATGCAGCGGGTTTAGGAGATTGTAATCGGCAGAGTCGACGCTCCGAGGCCGAACACGAAAAATCTTATCTGGACATCTGCGAGGGACCTGATATTTGACGTAATATGTATTCTTCAAACTGGTTATTAGTGTGCTGAGGTATCTGTGTAACCTGAGCGTAAGAAGTTTTATTTGCAAAAGGGATGTTCTGGCCTGTAAACTCTCTACCTACGTGAAGGCAGTGTTAAGGGTCTAGAAGCAGAAAGCAGTCCAATACTCAAATCCCAGACGGCTTTGTTTCTGTCTTTCGCACAAGACATGGACCGAAACATCTCAGTCAACAGTGACAAAACACTCGCTCAGGAAGAGGCAACTTCTCCACGCATATCCAACTCGACAGCTAGCAGCGTTTCTTCCAAATCGGACAGACAGAATGATTTTACTGCAAATGACAGCGCCTCATCAAATGGATCCGATGATGATACGAATACTGCTCATCTCAGTCAAGCTGCCCTGACTCAGACGCTCAGTCAACGAAAAAGTCAAGCATCGGGCCATGAGGGCGAAGAATGGGCGCAGATCGAAAAATTGATTTCACGAATGTTCGGCCATGAGCGGAAGGCTAGTTCCAAGGAAGAAAAGACACGACACGCTGGAGTGGTCTGGAAAGATCTTACTGTGAAAGGCTTAGGCCTTGGAGCCGCTCTACAACCGACCAATGGTGACATCTTCCTTGGAATACCTAGGCTTATCAAGAAGCTATTCACTCGTGGAAGGAAGGGCGCTGGCGTGGGAAAACCTGAACTTCGTACCATTTTGGATGACTTTACAGTAGGATTTCATTTTCCCGGCGAGAGGAATACATTCTAACGGTTCGGAAACAGGGCTGCGTTCGCCCCGGAGAAATGCTTCTGGTCCTTGGTCGACCTGGCTCAGGATGTTCTACATTTCTGAAGGTCATTGGCAACCAGAGATACGGATATGAAAGCATCGATGGTGACGTTCTATACGGAGGCACAGATTCTGGTGCAATGGCCAAAAACTACCGCTCTGAAGGTATGAAGATCAATCATAGGCCTTCAGATATGAAGCTAACAGAAAAGTCTCCTATAACCCGGAGGATGATCTTCACTACGCTACGCTGACCGTGCGAGAGACCCTGCTGTTTGCTCTGAAGACTCGAACACCGGATAAAGAATCTCGGATTCCCGGTGAGAGTCGCAAAGATTACCAGCAGACCTTTTTGTCTGCAATTGCCAAGCTGTTTTGGATCGAGCATGCAATGGGAACCAAGGTTGGCAATGAACTCATTAGAGGCATTTCCGGAGGGTAGGTGAATCAGCAACATCTCTTGATGAGATATATACTGACATAATTATTGCACGATGAAGAGAGAAAAAGCGTGTCTCAATTGGAGAGGCTATGGTGACCAAAGCCAGCACCCAGTGTTGGGACAACTCCACTCGAGGACTAGATGCAAGCACTGCACTGGAATATGTGCAAAGCTTGCGAAGCTTGACCAACACCGCTCAGGTTTCAACTTTAGTAGCTCTTTATCAGGCTTCGGAGAATTTGTTCAACCTTTTTGACAAAGTCATACTCATTGAAGATGGAAAATGTGCCTTCTTTGGTAGCTCGGATGATGCAAAGTCATATTTTGAGAATTTGGGGTTCGAGTGCCCACCACGATGGACAACGCCGGATTTCTTGACGTCCGTTAGTGATCCCCACGCAAGGCGGATCAAACCTGGATGGGAAAATCGAATCCCTCGTACGGCAGAAGAGTTTCAAGCAGCCTACCGTCAAAGTGATATTGCAAAGGCCACCCTTTCGGACATTCACGATTTTGAGAACGAATTAAAAGCTACCGAACACGAGAGAGAGGCATCGCGACAAAATATGACAACGAAAAACTACACAGTACCATTCTGGAAGCAGGTAATGATCCTCACTCACCGTCAGTTCCTCGTGATGTTTGGAGATCGGGCAGCTCTGGCGGGCAAATGGGGAGTTATCACTTTTCAGTCTTTGATTGTGGGAAGCTTGTTTTATGACCTGCCCAGTACAAGGTTTGTTTTTCCTTTCACACTTTTGGTGATATGATGTTGATTATTTATAGCTCTGGAGTTTTTACTCGAGGAGGTGTCATGTTCTACATCCTCTTGTTCAACACTCTACTTGCACTCGCTGAGCTCACAGCTGCTTTCCACAGCAGACCAATTTTAATGAAGCATAAAAGCTTGTGAGTATCAAAATTGTCGATGCGTGGAGTTTGGTTGCTCATCAAAGACAGCTCTTTCTACCGTCCGGCAGCATACGCCTTGGCTCAAGTTGTTGTAGACATTCCGCTGGTGTTTATCCAAGTTGTTATATTCGACTTAGTTGTATACTTGCAAGTACATCCAGAAATCTTTTTTGTTCTAGAGCTAACAAGTCCAATCTAGCATGGCGAACCTTTCCAGAACACCGTCCCAGTTCTTTATCAACCTGTTGTTCATTTTTACACTTACCATGACAATGTATTCTTTCTTCCGTGCTCTAGGATCGCTATGCGCTTCATTGGATATTGGTGAGGCAACGACATGGTTTTAAATACTCCGAATTAGAGTTGCTAACTATCATCAAGCTACTCGACTTACGGGTGTCGCCATTCAGGCACTGGTTGTATACACTGGTAAATATACGGCCCACAAACATTCTATTGGATAGCTACCATACGGGTACTGACAAGAGCAGGCTACTTAATTCCACCTTGGAAGATGCATCCATGGCTTAAATGGCTTATTTGGATAAATCCACTTCAATATGCATTTGAAGCATTGATGTCCAATGAGTTCCACGATCTTGAAATCCAATGCGAAGCGCCATATGTTGTCCCTTCTGGTCCAACGGCGAGCGCTGGCCATCAAGGTTGCGCACTTCAAGGCAGTTCTCCCAACGACCTCACGGTTCAGGGATCCGACTACATCAAAACAGCCTTCACATATTCCCGCAGTCATTTGTGGAGAAACTTTGGTATCATCATTGCGTGGTTTCTTCTTTTCGTCTTTTTGACCATGCTTGGGATGGAGATCCAGAAACCAAACAAAGGAGGGAGCTCAGTCACTGTCTTCAAAAGAGGCGAGGCTCCCAAGGCAGTTGAACATGCTATCGAGAATTCAGGACGACCGGCAGACGTAGAGTCCACGGAAAAGGAGGCACCGTCTGCAAAAATGACGGATGACGAAGCGAATGAAAAGGTAAAAGATCTCGCCAAAAATACGTCAATTTTCACGTGGCAGGATGTGAACTATACCATTCCTTACAAAGGTGGACATCGGAAGCTTTTGCAGAATGTGAATGGTTATGTTAAACCTGGTCGGCTTACGGCCTTGATGGGTGCATCGGGTGCAGGGTAAGTTGGTCTGCCTTTCCTAACATGAGCAAAAGCTGAATGATTTTGTTTTCTAGAAAAACCACACTTCTAAATGCTCTGGCCCAGCGCATCAACTTTGGCGTGGTGACCGGCAGTTTTCTGGTTGATGGACAGTAAGCCTGAATAATTTCCTAGCATATCAGCTGAATTTCAACCTCTGGATCTAACAATAGATAGCCCTCTTCCAAAGAGCTTTCAACGTGCGACAGGCTTCGCTGAGCAAATGGATATACACGAACCAACAGCCACAGTACGGGAATCCCTACGATTCTCTGCCCTTTTGCGGCAACCCAAAGAAGTCCCACTCCAGGAGAAGTATGATTACTGCGAAAAAGTGATTGATCTGCTAGAGATGCGATCTATTGCTGGTGCCACAGTCGGATCGGCTGGCTCGGGACTGACTCAAGAGCAGCGCAAGCGACTTACCATTGGAGTCGAGTTGGCCAGTAAGCCTGAGTTGCTACTGTTTCTGGATGAGCCAACATCTGGACTTGATTCTTTAGCAGCGTTCAATATCGTTCGCTTCCTTCGAAAACTGGCAGATGCCGGTCAGGCTATTCTTTGCACCATCCATCAGCCCTCTGCTGTTCTTTTCGAAGAGTTCGATGAATTGCTTCTGCTCCAGAGTGGCGGACGAGTGGTTTACAATGGTGCTCTCGGATCAGACTCGAAGACACTCATTGAGTACTTTGAAAGAAATGGCGGAAACAAATGCTCGCCAAATGCCAATCCAGCCGAGGTCAGTTATCCTGCTCAACTACATTGCTTGACCTTTGTCTCACATTTTGGAATTTTAGTACATGCTCGAAGTTATTGGAGCTGGTAATCCAGAGTATAAAGGCCAAGATTGGGGAGATGTATGGGCTTCCTCACCAGAATACAAAAATCTCTCTACAGAGCTGGAGGACATCATTCGCACTCGCCACGACATAGAAAAAAAGGAGACCAGAGATGACCGTGAATTTGCCATGCCTCTGTATGTTCAGATCGTGGCAGTGACTAGGAGGAACTTTGTGGCCTACTGGAGGCTTCCGGACTACATACTTGTAAGCTCAATGCGGAGTTGGATATCTCATATACTAACCTTCAACCAAGGGCAAATTTATGCTTCACATCTTCACCGGTCTTTTTAACACCTTTACGTTCTGGCACCTAGGCAACAGCTATATCGATATGCAATCGAGACTCTTCGCTGTCTTCATGACACTCACCATTTCACCGCCACTGATTCAGCAGCTACAACCACGCTACCTGCATGCTCGAGGCCTCTACGAATCTCGCGAGTCCAGTTCCAAGATTTACTCTTGGGTTGCTTTTGTTGTAAGCGCAATTCTACCCGAACTGCCATACTCAATTGTGGCGGGATCTGTCTACTTCAATTGCTGGTAAGAACATGCCGATCGAAACAAGAATCGAAATGAAATTAGACAACTTACTGAATATAGGTACTGGGGAATCTGGTTCCCACGCGACTCTTTTAGCTCCGGCTATGTTTGGATGATGCTGATGCTGTTTGAATGCTTTTATGTTGGCTTTGGACAGTTCATCGCAGCCTTTGCGCCAAATGATCTATTTGCCTCCTTGCTAGTTCCCACATTCTTTACTTTCGTCGTCTCGTTTTGTGGTGTCCTTGTTCCCTATTCTGCGCTCCCTCATTTCTGGCAATCGTGGATGTATTGGCTCACCCCCTTCCACTATCTCCTAGAAGGGTTCCTAGGTGTGGTGACTCATAATGTCCCTATTCGCTGTGTTGAACGGGAGGAGGCCCACTTCAGTCCACCCCCAGGACAGACCTGCCAGGAATACGTAGGAACTTACGCTCGTGAAGCTGGTGGTTATGTCAGTGACGTTGGAAATGGGATGTGCGCCTACTGTCAGTACTCTACAGGAGATCAATATGTAAGTCATCCCTGCTTTTGCGAAGGGGAGCTTCCACTGATTGTCTGCGATACAGGCTGCTAGCTACAATGTCTTCTATTCGCATAAATGGAGGAACTATGTGAGTCACCTTATATCACGCACCTCTGTATCAGTCTAACAACATCTAGGGAATTTTCTGGGCTTATGTGATCTTCAATTTCATGGTGGTCTTTTTGTTCTCCTGGTTGTATCTCCACGGGGTTCGGGATATGAAACGGTGGTTCAGTGCACGAAAGACAAGAAAAGTAGCAAATGCCTGAGACACTGAGAGGCTCTTAGAAGTTTTAGTTGGAAACAAAATTGATTCTGTTATGATCAAAGGGACAGTAGATAGAAATGAAAAGCACTTGATCTATAGAAGAGCTGAAACGGGGCTCCTCCGCGAAAAGCTTGGCGCCTCCTCTTCTACCTCCGCCCCCAATTTTCCAAATCCAAATCCCTTTTCTTCAGCGCTGATCGCTCGCGAACAAGAACAAATTAGGGCCCTTTGCCATGCTGTCATAATTATAATCCTTGTCGCCCAATATTCTCCAATCAGGCCTCCCACACAGCTTCCCCCCTCCTTGACACGTTTAGCCATGAAGGAAGAAACCCCCAGGGAATCGCCTGAGGGCTCGCGGGCCGACGACCAGTCGAACTCGAAATCCGGCGGCAATTTAGCTTCCAAGGATCGGAATTGCCAGTATTGCGGTCAACCATTTACTTCGTCGTCCCTCGGCCGCCATCTCGATCAATTTTTGTTCAAGAAGAAGCCGGACGGCATTCACGATGTCGAGGAGATTCGTCGCATCCGCAGTGGGATCACACGTCGGCAGGCCCGCACGAATTCCGCCAAACGTGACGATAGCCCCGATCGCGCCCATAAAAAGGGCTCAGTCGACCCTTACACAGCTCCTGGAGAATCTGCCTCGAAGGCGCGCGAACCCCCGCCGCGCATGATGTTCAACACCCCGACTTGGCATGCAACTGGAGTCATCAATGATATCCCCAACCCAAGTCGCATGCTGGATGGGCCTCGCATCATGCCAGCTCAATCGCGGGCAGGCTCCTTGCAGCTGCCGGATTACGCGAGCCGAGGGGCCAATGCCAACAACCCGGATACGATGAAGGCGCTCGAGCTGGCGTTGCACGAGGTGCTGGACAACATTAAGGCTGCCACGTAAGCTCTCTCTTATCCTTTGTTTGGCCGCAAACTCACAGTACTTCTTTTAGCTCGCGTTTCCGCCCTCGATTATCACCCTTCGACTTCGATATCCAAGCCCAGACCTTCCCCTCTCTATGTCTCCAACTTCTCCCTCCTCCGCCGAGCTTGTTCGCCTCTCACCCATTCTCCTCGCCAAATTCGTTTCCACTACAAGCTCCTGGGGTGGAACATCTTGACATTATCCGTCAAGCGCTTCGCTCTAAGATTGCCCAGTGGAAGTCCGACCAGATCGCGGGAGACCCAAGTGCACACTCGAAACACATGGGTGCGAGTCCGGACCATAACATGATATACCGAACCGCACAACAACACGAAGAAATAGGGCTGAGACATCTGGAGCTAGCTTTCAATCATTGGAACTCCCTCCCCCACGAGACTCGTCGCGAAGCATGGCAACTAGAGATAACCCGCGCATTTGCCCGCGAATCCGAGCAACGCAAATCTGTGGATGAGCAGTTGGCCCGAGTCCAGCAAGAAGCAAACCAGCTGCGAGCTCAGGTCGAGCGACTAGGGTCATGCCAGTGGCCGCGCGAGTTCGCCCTTTTCCCTCCTGACACCCTCCCACTTTCTCGGGATGTTGCTAGAGAGTTAGATGCGAAAGAGAGCCAGATCAGTCCGGATTCCACGCGATGGGACTACGACCATGTTGTCAGCAAGTGGAAGCGTGTTGTCATGCACGATAAGGGCATGGGTCGAATTGGAGTAGGCTATGCTGGTGGTAGCGCGATGGCCGATCTAGATAACAGCCAGCAAAGTCCTAATGTACGGCCTCCCCGACCGGGCGAGGATACTTCAACTCATCCCAACCGCTTGCGACCTCTGCAGTCCGCTATTGCTATGAGCCCAGATGCGGGCACCGCCTCTACGCCTGCCTCGTCGGCCAACTACGCTTCTCCATATTCGCATGGCGATCCCCGCAGCCCACCGGGTGGCGGCGTCGGAGCCCCGCAGGCTAAGCGTCCTCGTTTGATGAATGGGTCTGATGGTCCAGCGGCGCCGTCTTCCGATTCGGCTCCGTCCTCAGCCAGGCCATCGGGTCCTTGGCCTTCTTCCTCCACTCCTATTCTCTCTAATTTGGCAGCGCCGTCGGGACAAACGCCTCCATCGTCTTCTAGGTTATGATCGAATCAAAATTCGCTGGCCCTGTATTTTTTATCTTCCACGAGAAAAACAGGTCTCTCATATACGAATAGACATGTTTTGGATGCCTTTTGGATGATTTTACCGCATATACCCTTTGTATAGTTAAACCTAGCCATGAAGGAGCTTTTTAATTGAACACCACAAAATTAGTTGAACACCCTCACTAAGCGCATTTGAAGTAGCACAGTATTCAAGATTCAGAGAATAGTAATGTTGAGTACATAACCAGGTATCTAATTGCTCATGTTACTCTGTAGACTACGCTGGAATTTGAAGGTGATTAAAGAATGATATGATACCCACTGAGCTACCTCTTTTTTACTTACATCATGTCTCTGATGAAGCGTTATCTCATATATTGACGCGGACCAAGCGAGATGATGCGATGTTCTCAAATACTTGAGATAAAACTGAATTACAATTACTGCGCAACTTCAAATGCAGTTAGTGAGGGTGTTCAACTACTGTTGTGGTGTTCAATTAAAAAGCTCCGCCACGAATCACTTCACTCATACAAAATCATCTTATAATGCTAGGCTGACTATTGTCACCATCGTACTAAATTTCCAATAGAGCTAGCCGTTCAAGGGCCAGTTACATTAGTTCAGATCCTGGGCAATCTCTTTCCCAATATACTCAGCAATTGTTAGGATTTTCTCTTCTTGCAATCGTCTTCCCATCAACTGGACCCCAACAGGAGCACCATCATATGTCTTGGCATCATCTGCATAGCTGTTAGCTGATACGGATTCCTTCAAAGTTATTGACAGGGGCGAAACAAAAAAGCTTACAATCCCATTCGATATAATCTTCCAGCTCGGCAGCAGACTTGTTCGCGGGACGGACATCCACATCTTTATCCGCAAAAGTCACCGGAATGGCCACACTGGTATAGTCCAGTACATTCACGAAACTAGTGTAGCCGACGTTACCGTATTGGCCAGGGATGACTGCGGCATGTGATGCCAGTGGGCAAAAGACTCCATCAACCGGACGTCCTGTACCGGTCAACTTGACAGTGCTGTTCCAGTAATCCATGTACTGTTTCTGGTACTCCCGCTTCGCGATGTTAATATCAGCGATCGAAGATGCCTTCAACTCAACGCCTTCTTCGAGGAGGAGAACCTGTGGTGCTTTTTTCTCGCCAGACAAACCAAAGTGGTGTATCATATCTACACCACCGTCCATGCCGTAAATGTGGTTCTATCATAGTCAGTAAGATTGCCGACACAAAGGTCTTGTCCGGAAAAGGGTACACATACAGCTAATTCGTGAGCCGTGGCATGAGACGGCGGGTACCAAGTGATAACTTTATGACCCAGTCGTCTCAACGTCTGCTCGACAAGTTTCATGCCCCGTGCAATCGGTGGATGAATCCGACCCACACCGTTATAGTTCATGAACCCGAATGCAAGACTTGGGACACCGTTTCCAGCCTGCTTAATCAGAGAGCAAGTCTCTTGCACGATCTCATCACGCCACGGCAACTCCAAAACAAGTGGATCATGATACCACGGTTCCTGGCTCAAAATTGCCTTGAAAAGGAACGTCAAAGAGCGTGCAGTAGGGGCTAACGGCCCGATAACAGATAATATCGAGTTCTGCCCATCCATCGAATTCGCAGCGCCCTCATACGGTATCCGTCCAGCAGACGGACGTATCCCGTACAAATTGTTGAAACCCGCGGGGATACGGACACTGCCTCCGATATCAGTACCGAAGCCGCCGGGGGATCCTCGCAGGGCGATCAGTGCTCCTTCACCACCAGAACTGCCGCCACAAGATAGAAGTCTGTTCTTCGGGTTCCAGGTATAGCCGATGATGTTGTTGACTGTTTCACCGGCCATAAGGGTTGCAGGGACACTGGTTTTGCAGTATAGAACCGCACCAAGGCTGCGTAGCTCTTTGGTAAGTTCGCTCTCTTCTACTGTCCGACGTGAATCGTTGGATTTGCCTTGAAATGTGTTGATCCAACCTACATAGCCCATCGTTGTTTCGACACCTTTGACGTGGAATTGGTCTTTTAGACTGACGGGAAGGCCGTGCAATGGGCCAATTGGAGCTTTATGCTCTGCAAAGTAGGCATCGAGTTTCTTTGCATCTTCGATGGCTGCATCGAAGAAGATCTCATGTAGACAGCTGACCTTGTATCGGGGTTAGTTGAATATTTGAACTAATGCTTCAGGGGTCACGACTTACAAGTTGATGAGCCAATGCAGCACGGTGACAGAAGGCTTCCGTGACTTCGACAGCGGACCAAGTACCCGAGGTAGTCTGTGCAGCAATATCAACTGCATCAGATTCGGTGATCTCGATCTCACGCTTACTAAGATACTGCTGAATATAAGATCCTGTAACATCGGGCACTTCTGTTGCAGGAGGAACAGGGTCTTGAAGTCGCCATTTCTTGGGGATCGTATCAAGGGTAGCTTGACGCTTGGCTGCGCCCCGGGAACGCCAGTCGGGATCTGCTGCCATGATGTTGCGACGTAGTACGTGCAGAATAATTCCCAAAATTGGAACCGGTGCAAAAGAAGGGATAGAATGTCCTAATATATATGCTTTGCAAGCATTGTTCTTATCGCCCTGGGCGGGGGTGTTGGGGTCATTTGGAGACGGTACATATCAACTTGGAGAAGTACATGTGTGACCTCGTATTTGCCAAGGATAAAAAATACAAATATCTGCCTTCTTACTATTATAGTCATTCTACCATCAAGATTAGCTAGATACATGTTTTAATGCTATGTACAGGTTTGTTAAACTACGAGTAGATGTCTTGTATTCTAGAGGCAAACCGTTCGTATTCGGATGCGGGATCTCTATATCTCCCATACCGCGCCAAACTTTAACTGCAATTCAGCAATTAGTCACCCAAATTGACATCTAGTCATATTTAACTCTCGAAGTTGATTAATAGAGTCATTAAATCCAATATACTGAACCCCTCTTCAAGGCTCACTGGTGCTTTCAGAAAGCGTTTTCATGTCTCCGTTACGGCATTGCCTGCAGTATTACACGCTGAACTTTTCAATGTGTGCCATTGTATTGAAAAGGCCTACAGGTGTAGGGCAGAGTCGCGGTTGGTCGGTCAGATAATTCTCTATATTATGAAAGAAAACAAATCCTCAAAGAAAACATAGCAAGAGGCGAGAGTTAATTGGATTTAGTCAAATCATACACTGACCGCCTTCCCACGACGCGGGGGCCACTGTTTGTTTTTCTCCCCACCTTGAACACCACCAATCCAAATCTTACTTTTCCAGGCAAAAAGAACTTCCAGACGACTATTTCTTCGTGGTGTGGGGACCTGAGTTGAAGCCAAAGCCTCCAGTGGTTTCACAAACTAACCATCAAAACGTACGTCTCATTGAGTCCATATCCCTATCCCTCCTTGCTTCACCCTCGTCCTTCCTCCATTGCTCCAAACTGCATCACTTCCTTTCCCCCAGCCCATTGCAATTTTTCTGACGGAGTTGAAAACAGAGCAGGACAAAACCCAATTCGCCATGGAGAACTACCAAAAAATCGAGAAAATTGGCGAGGGTACGTGTGGTTGACGAGACTGTGTGGCCCGATCAATCCCTCCTAGGTTTGCTTTGTTTATGCCCAACTCACGCGTCATCTCGTCTCCATAGGTACCTACGGTGTTGTCTACAAGGCTCGCGAGCTTAACCACCCCAACCGTATCGTCGCTCTCAAGAAGATCCGTCTCGAGGCCGAAGATGAGGGTGTCCCAAGTACCGCCATCCGCGAGATCTCCCTCCTCAAAGAAATGCAGGACCCCAACATTGTACAATTGCTGAACATTGTTCACGCCGACGGCCATAAGCTCTATCTCGTCTTCGAATATCTTGACCTCGACCTGAAGAAATACATGGAGGCTCTGCCCGTCAGCGAGGGTGGCCGTGGAAAGGCTCTTCCGGATGGTACGATGATGGGTGCCAACCTGGGTCTCGGTGAAGCTATGGTTAAGAGATTCATGGCTCAGCTGGTGGAGGGCATTCGCTACTGCCACAGCCACCGCATCTTGCACCGTGATTTGAAGCCGCAGAACCTGTTGATTAACGTCGAGGGCAACCTGAAGCTGGCTGATTTCGGTCTGGCCCGAGCATTCGGTGTCCCCCTGCGCACCTACACCCACGAGGTTAGTATACCTGCGCCATTTGGAAAGGGGCCTAGAATTGATCTCTAATTGGCTTCTAGGTTGTCACATTGTGGTACCGCTCTCCAGAAATTCTGCTCGGTGGCCGTCAGTACTCCACCGGTGTCGACATGTGGTCTGTTGGTGCCATCTTCGCCGAGATGTGCACTCGCAAGCCTCTTTTCCCTGGTGACTCAGAAATTGACGAGATTTTCAAGATCTTCCGGTCGGTACCTCTTGTCTGTTTGTGTTCGGACTGTGGACTAACACTTCTATAGCGTTCTTGGTACCCCCGATGAAGAGGCGTGGCCCGGTGTCACCTCTTTCCCCGACTACAAGGCCACCTTCCCCAAGTGGAAGCGCCCCGATACCCCCCTGGTTCCCGGACTGGAGCCGGCTGGTTGCGAGCTTCTTGAAGCTCTGCTCGAATATGATCCGGCGCACCGACTTTCGGCCAAACAGGCGTGCATGCACCCATATTTCCGACACGGTAGCTCCCACTACTCAGGTCGCAATCACAACGGCACTCACTAAGCGATCCTGACTCGGATTTTTACTTTTCTCGTGTAACCTTATTCACGACGGGTGGCATGCAGACGCTTCCCGGGGACATGTTTTTCATTGTGTTTCCTTTTCTTTTGTATTTGGCGTTTATCGGGGAATGACCAGGAGGGCCGGGATTCCAATTTTATCACCAGTTTTAGTCAATGCAAGGCGTACATACCCCTTTCGTATGGGTTATAACAACATATACAGTCTTCACGAAATGTAACCTCACGTTTTCCGAATGTGGGATTTCGATGCTCAGCCCAGATTTAATTCTATGAAGATCACGTTGCACCTGGGCACAGTTATGAATCATCTTATCTCCCCAATCAGATCTCTTGAATCTATACTGCGGTATGGAGTTGTCCCGTGTCGAGCTGACGGCGCCCCACACAACACGAATGTTTATTCTTGGAAACCACTTTGGGCCCAGAAGCCCGCACCCAGGTACACAACCTCACCAATCCCTTCTGCAAACCCCTTAATAGATTCTGCGAGGCACGGTTATTGGGGGCCTATTATTTAAGCCCTTTCAAGCAGCTGATTGGCTGGTAATCTTTGAAACAAGAGCCAGCTGAACCTGGGGGGAATGCCGAGTTGGGGGCCATCAGCGCTAGGCTTAGCCTATACGCCTGTTCATTCGCGGGTCCACCGCGAGTCTAACGCACGCACCTGCAGCCTTACGGCACAGGCCCGAGGACCTGAATAAACGAGTTTCCATACGTGCTGATGGGCGCGATAGTCTCGGCACCGGCGACGCCGTGGTGGCCGTGCAATGTGAATTAGTGCCAGTATTTAAATGATGTGATATCCTGAAGACTCAATATCTGGAGACTCAGAGACGGTATCCTTTTCACCTTCCTGAAGTATCAAAGAAGTGTGCATCACCTGCATTTCGTTCCAGGTTTTGGATGAGATCGTCGCCAAAGCTGCATATTAGTGCGATATACTCTGTAGCGCGCTAGGAAAAAATTCCGATAGCACATCCCCTCCCCCTATTGCTCTTATATTTGTTTCAACTTCATAAGTCAACCTTGGCAGCAGCAGCAGTACCTGAAGACCGTGTCTCTCAGAGGCCGCCACCATGGAATTCGAAGATGAGATGTACTGCAATGGCGCGGCTTCCTCACGGTCTAACAGCCGCCCTCCGCACCGGGCCCGCTGCCAACCCCCGCAGGAATCCGTGAAGCAATTCTGGGAACAGTTTAACACCAAGTACCCCGGTAAAGTGTACACCGTGTTGCCAGATAATCCTTATGCTCGCACGCGTGCAAAGCGGGTGCCAAATGGTGTGATCCAGGGTCATGAGGCTGTTAAATCATATGAGCAGGCAAAGCGCGAGTGTGAGAAGTCCGTTGATCGTATTGTGAAGGAATGTAAGCGGGTGAACCAGAAGTACACGGATCCCCATTTCGATATCGAGTTAGATTTGAAATCTGGGCGTAAGAATTATCTGCATGGGTTGGATACGACAAACGAGGAGATGAGGCCTCGTGGAGTGAAGAGGGTGACAGTACGTTTTGGCGAAATATCTCGATCATCTGACAACTCAGAATCGTGTGCTGATACAATTATAGGAAATCTTTGTCGAGCCCCAGTTCTTTATCAATGGACCGACAGCCTCAGACGTGCGCCAAGGCTGTGATGGGGATTGCTGGTTGATGGCTGCGCTGTGTACGATGGGCAACAAGGAGGAGCTGATTGAAAAGATATGTGTTGCTCGGGACCAGACCATTGGGATCTATGGCTTTGTGTTCTATCGCGGTAAGTTCCCAATCTTATGGCAAGCAGCCAGAATGCCAGTCTGACCATGAACAGATGGAGAATGGCAGCAATGCATCATTGATGACAAGCTATATCTTCGTGCCGCTGATTACGATGAGTCGATTGACGAGCGTCCGCTTTGGGATGATAGCATTGGCACAGATGCTGAAGAGGAGTACCGCCGAGTCTGGCAGACAGGCTCTCGAGCATTGTATTTTGCACAGTGTGTTGACCCGAATGAGACTTGGCTGCCTTTGCTGGAAAAGGCATTTGCCAAAGCCCATGGTGATTATTCAGCAATTGAAGGTGGTTTTGTGGGAGAAGCTATCGAAGATTTGACTGGTGGTGTCACTTCGGAGATTCTGTCGAATGATATCCTGGACAAAGATATGTTCTGGACTGAAGAACTGATGAAGGTCAACGAAGAGTTCTTATTCGGTTGTGGAACAGGTCTCTTTTCCAATTGGTTGGATCCGAAGTATAAAGGCCCTCCACGCGATCGAAAGGGTATTTCAGAGAACCATTCATACTCCATTATGGAAGCAAGGGAGATTAAGGGCAAACGTCTTCTTCGTTTGCGGTAAGTAATTTTGATCACTTTCTGTAGGAGCTTCTGCTGACCTCTTCAGGAACCCGTGGGGCAAGAAAGAATGGCACGGTGCCTGGGGCGATGGATCTGAGCAGTGGACTGCCGAATGGATGGAGCTTCTGGGCCATAAATTTGGCAACGATGGGGTATGTGCTTTGTATCGTGACGTGGGACGATTGATACTGACTATAGTAGTTTTTCTGGATCTCTTACAGCGATCTGCTTCGGAAATATCAGCATTTCGATCGCACTCGTCTCTTTGGGCCCGAGTGGACTATCACACAACAGTGGACGACGCTGAATGTTCCATGGTCGGCTGATTACCACAGCACAAAATTCATTATGAATGTCACCCAAGGCGGCCCAGTCGTCATTGTCCTTTCCCAGGTATGTGGTACCTCAATTTCTAAATTGGACCTTTATTCACCATTAAAACAGCTTGATACCCGATATTTCAAGGGACTGGCCGGCGAGTACACCTTTGTTCTCAAGTTTCGCGTCCAAAAAGAGGGCGAAGAGGAGTACATGGTGCGCAGTCACAACAGCCACTTTATGGACCGATCTGTCAATGCTGAGATCAACCTTGACCCGGGCCGCTACCATGTTCTGATGAAGATCACCGCATTCCGAAACGAGGAGGTCGAGCCGACTGAGGCGATTGTCCGCCGCCTTGCATCAAGCAGAAGGGAAAAACTGGTACAGGTTGGTCTTTCATATGATCTAGCCCACGCCAAGGGTCTGGTTGGCGAGACAGAACAAGAACGCTATGAGCAAGAGAGAAAGAAAGCCCGCGAGCGCAAGAAGCTCCGTGACGAAACCAAGAGGAGACTGCAAAAGGAATGGATTCGCGAGCGCAAGTTGGCTGCAAGAGGACAGCGTATGGAAGCCCGTCAGCATTGCCCTGTGAACAATGGCTCGATGAACGGCCCAATGCCCTCGCAGATCACACAGATTCTAGGCGAGAAGCCTACCGCCTCGCCTACAGATAGCATCTCCAGTGATAACAGTGACCGGCGGCCGACTCCCAACAGCTCGGTCCCCACTATCCAGTTCAATGGGCTACATGCTAGACCCACATCAAGTGGTCACCGCGCTCGACGGACGGACTCGCCACGACCGAGCCTGAATACACGTCTGGCCACAGATAATCTGGACATGAGCGACTTGGAGTTGTTGGAGGGGTTTGAATTTGACAGCGATCTTGACATGCCTCCTGACGAGGCAGACAACAAGTCCGCCAACCGGATGCCCGAGATTGAGGGACCTGCTGCCGATCCGTGGAATGCAGTATGTGTGGTTGGACTGCGTGTCTACTCCAAGGACCCGAAGCTCAGCCTCGAGGTTATGCAACCGGTGCCGGATGACGATACGGAAGCTCCTCTGGACATTGATGACCCAGCTGCGTCCGCGACTATTGAGAAGTCGTTTTGGAATCAAGGCCATCCACATGCATAAATTGGAAACTTTCATTTCCTTCTAGATGAGATTTATATCTGTGGAGGCGGAGTACCTGTGCTTTTATATAGCGTTCATGTAACCATACTTGCGTGTTAAATATGCCGGATTACTGTCATCGCGAATGCAAATGCTTCAATTTTCATGACTCTTGATGAGAACTTGACTAATTCAGTCAAATACTAGTACGTTGAATTAGAAATAAAATAAAGTGTTAAAGCTTATGTGAATGTCGAGTGACGTCACGTGGAACCGGCCTTTATTTTGACGGTTCACAGCCAAACAACTCCTGCAGCGATGCGCGCTTTAATTTCTCAGTCACGCCTGGCGCGTCTGCCCAAACGAACTCGTTTAAAGGCTTATGTATATATCCGCAGTGTCCGGTATTTGTCGACGTGCCGCGATGAGACATTCTCCGTTTCGATCGGTAACAATGGTTTTGTTTCATTAAGGTATGATAGCCCCGAGTACAAAAATGCCCCAGAAGATCTCGATTTATATTTTTGCTTAGAGTTACACGACCAGCGACGACCCATTGTGATGTCCCTTCTGGGTCGAAGGTGATTCTCTACCTACCACCAGGTCCCATATTCCAGGGATCCGAGGGGGAAAAATCAGTTCAGAACCAATCCGATCATGATGTTCCACTTAATCCTCGAAGGAATTTGGTATTAGGGCTTTCTGGCTCTGATGAAAACTCTCTGCAACATGCTCTGGCCTCCATGACTTCCGCGACAGTGGTGACAGTGAATTATCGTCTCGGGGCAGCAGACAAGGAGACCCCCTTGACCAGAGGCACTGAATCACAGCTTGAGTCAGAGAAAGGACCAGATTCAAAGTGCCGAACAGCGGAGTTTTACAAATACCCGACTCCAGTACATGACACTCTGGCCGGATTCGACTGGATCAAAAACAATCTCCAACCCACGAAGCTCGGAGTCTTCGGCTCACACATCGGCGGTTCACTGTCATTAATGTTAGCGCTCACAGAACCGCAACTCGTACACGCTGTTGCTGCTTACGAGCCCATATGCGACTGGCCAGGACTTGATGAGTACTGTACCCACGAAGATAATGCAGACCAAGAAAGCTCAACGAAACAAAAGCGATCAACTAGACGGAAATCCGCCCCTGCAGATCTTGTTCCCCTTCTCGAGGCACGTGAACGATTATTCGCATCCTTTGAGCGGTGCTTTGATGCATTTGCCTCGCCAGTCCTGTTTCTTCGCTCTGCGGGACGGGATATTCCAAAAACATTTCCTCAGTATCTGACGGGGCCGGAATATCCCATTCCAGTGCTGAAGAATACGGGCAAGATGACTTCCGAGGAATATGATTCCCCTACAAGTTCTTTATGGGATAGAGACATGTACCCTGGCTCAGACACTGACGGGGATATTGATCCACCCGTCCGTCGTCGGAAGGCGCTGTCTCGCTGGCCACCGTATGGGTTAGATTATGGGCTTAATAATGAAGTCTGGACTGGTCCGGATCATGGTATTGGTAGACTGCAAGTCACTTTGCCGTGGGTGCGAGTCTTTTTGGGGAATAGGTCTGCTGGATCGCAGGTCACTTCGAGCAGCAAGGGTACGGCTGCGAGATCTACAGTTCTTGAACACCAGGGTGAGGAAATTGTGTCCGTTATGCGGAAGGCATGTTTCTGGGGTCGTGAGAAAGGGTTCGGAGAGCGCATAGTGACTCTTTCAAGAGAAGACGACTTTCCTGGGCAGGAAGTGGCAAATTACTTCCAAGATGTATTCAATAAAGAAAGTAGTGATGACGACTAGGTACCCCTTTGATGGCTGAAGTATTCATTCGTCGGAGCTATATCCAAGCAAACCGCCAATATCAGTTCGGGAGTGAGATCAGTCCAATAATAATTATAGACATGTACAATGCACCAGACAACGTCGGTAGCACTGCTATATGTTGTTACATGATTAATACTAAGGATCCACGAAAAAAAAAGAAGGAAAAAAGGGAATATAAGTAATTCTGACGATATGCACCAAATTCGCCCTTATAATTTCGGTCCTCCTAATCCTGAGCTCCCATTGGGCGATCCCCACCAGCCCTCCATATCTCCTAGATCTGGAAGCATGCTCGGATCACCCGAGAAATGCGGTGCGGCTATACTGCCCAAGGAATTTTGATCAGCACCGAAGCCATGACTTCCAGGCAAGATGTTCAAATCAGAGTTTCGAACCCAGTCAAAATCGTCTTGTTGTTGTGCCGAGAAAGGTTGCTGAGCGTAGACATTCTGATGAGATGTGGATGGTTGTGTGGGTTGGTATGATGAATTATCAGCAAAGGTAGCGGGATTGACGTTTGAAGTGGAATTTTGTCGAATGTTATGGGAGTGTACATCGGTGTTGGTTACTCGAGACTTCTTGCGCGAAGCCTCTGGGCCCTGTGTGGTATGTGCTGAATTGGCAGATGCTTTTTGTGCAGAATTTGATAATAGGTTTCCACTACTGATTTGTCGCTTGGCACGGGAACCAGAGCGACGCATGTGAGTTTGCCAGCGTCGTTGAAGGGTAACGAGGTAGTCGCGGGTTCGCTTGGCATTTTCAAATGATTGGCCGAGCTCGTCAAGTGCGCGGAAGCAAAGATTGAGATATGCGACCATTTCAGCGTTTCGGGGGTGAGGTTGATTGGTCTCGCCAACTTTGGTGGGCATTAGCGGAGAGCTGGAGACAGTGACGAAGAGTAGCATAAGTGCGGCGCTGAAAATGATGGCCACGACCTGGTTGGTCATTCTTCTGAAGGTGTAGTGCTTCTCGTATATCTGTAAAAGTCGTGCGATGGCTGTAGCTGATTCAATGCACATGCGTCGTGCGTGGTGATAGCCAGGTCCTTGGCGAGGACTGCGGGGTTGAATGTAGCTTTTTGAGACCCAGGGACGATGGAAGAAAATGACAATCTGGTGGTATTGCATACTTGAAGATCATTAGTGTTGGCCTTGACTGCTACTTCAAATCAAATAACTTACTGGAGGACAAGCAGATGAGGGAGTATCGGAGTGGTATTGTCGCTCAAGTCAATCTCGAGATTTGAGGGAAGGTTGGCTTTCCAAGCGAATAGATCTTCTGTGACTTGGAAGCATAGTCTTTGCAAATCATGGCGAGATATGTCTGAGCATCCGTATCTAAATAAACGTTAGCAATGGACTCAATCTGCAGATTTCCGGAGTGGAAACATACAATATATGCCCGACTGGAGAAATCATCTCCCATAGAACAACAAACTGTCTGCAAACAAGCTCCGTGGGGTCCTTCAAGCTACAATCTATCTCTTTATCTTGAAGGCCATAAGGCTTCCAAATCGTCTCCTTCTCAGGGCCAAGACCTGATGCAGGCTTGGGCACACTGACGTCTCCTGCATTCATACGGAATGGACGACCAAGATAGAATCCCCAGAAACTTTGATCGTCAGCAGCTTGGAACTTGTAATCGAATGCGGTATGACTTACTGGTCTGCAACATAACTTCCCCAAAATGCTGCCCGTCGCACATCAGCCTCACGCTGGCTGATATCTCCTTGCTTGACGTATAGCCTCATATCAATATGTAAACCAAGATCAAAGGCCAATCGCATTGACATGCCTGAATGGAGTGTGAGTGACCCGAATAATTGAATATGCTAAACGTTAAATCACTTACCACTGTACAGCCAGCCTCGCGCATCGCGATTCGATGCTCCCTCATGACAGCTCATAAGCACAAGGGCTTGAACAGTTGCAACACAGGGAGAATCAAGTTCAATCTCCAAAAGCGCCTTGGCTCGATCGGCGAAGAACTCGGCTAAGGACTTTGGGAATGTGATGAATGTAGGATGATAACGCGCCTCAAATGCACTACCGATAGCGCACCTGGGAGAGGTCAGTACACAGATAGATCCAATAACCAGAAAATCACTGACATAGCATTGGTCAGCACCTCCGAATAGAAAGGTGTGTCGTCAAATTCGTTGCGCCACTTTGACCGCGCAGTCATGTACATTTCCTTATCAACCACATAGATGCTAGGATTCTGCCAAGTAAAGTAGAGCTCGACCAGGTGATCCTCTAAGGCCTGATCAACTGGTTGGCCAACCCGAAGATGATTGAGAATATCTTGACCATCGTGACGCACAGTGCGAGCATCTGGTCTCTGACGTTGTTGTGTAGCAGAAACGTCCACCAGGTTGAGGTTGGAGGTAGCGCCGTAGAATCTCAAATGGCCGTCTCCTGCGATTTTCAATGTACCAATTCGATTAGATAGCTGTTCAATAACGTCGTTTTCCGCCTCGTTTTCCTCGTCGCTGTCGGACTCTTGGTGTTGCTCCATTGGCAGCTGGCCCAGTAAGACCCCAGGTTGTTGGGCCATGTCCATACCAATCTGCAAGCTATCTGGACTCAGACCAGTGTTTAAATGCATTCCCGATCCATTGTTGATATTTGCGTAGATGGTATCAAGACTTTCAGCCGTTGGAAGCGTAAATCCCCAGTGGACGAAGTTCTGGTTTTCAGGTGCGGCCCGTACCATGTCAAACTGGTTCCAAGGCTCCACGGAGGTTGCTAGTTGTTGGTTTGGTACCATTCCCTGCGATGCATTTGATTCCGGGGTGGCTGAATCATTTCCTGACTGCGTCTGTCCAATAGGGGTCGAGGCAGGTGAGCTTTGCACGGGAGATGTGCTTGAGATGATAGGTTGCTTGGTCTCAACTTCCTGCTCTTCGATCGCCATTGTATCTTTGCTTTTTATGACCCCACGCGGGATTTGAAGAGTGTCAAGCACCCTATCCATGCCAGCCTCATCCTCTGGATCCATGGGTGGGGGCTCCAGTCCTTGGTCATGGATAAACTGGCATAATTGATCTATTCTCGCCGAGAAAAGCTCAGTAGCAGCTCGGAGAGATACCCTAGCGCAGGACTATTAGCCATGCCCTTTTCCTCAATTTTTGAGTTTGCGAAATCGAGAAATTGCCCCGCGTCATAAGAGATCATCATCGCACTAGGTTGCCAACTATGCATTTGAAGCTTAATTCAAGTTCCCACTTACTTCCGTTTGTCATCGCCATGCTGGTACTTGCAATCTTTGCCCTTGCGTTGGCAATTTTGGCAATATGGCGTAGACCCGTCACACTGCAAGGGTGAGAATCAGATACCGCCGATCCCTACGCGATAGGAGGGCACAACAGATACATACTCGGATTTTACTCTCACGACAAGGTACGCAGGCCGTTGTGACGTGCTTCCTCGGTGCCTTTTTCGGCTTCTCAGGATCGGGCGACATGTTGAGATTTTCCCGGGGTTTTTGCCTCCAGGTCTCGGGATCCCGCCGGTCGATTTTAAGTGTGGGGTTGGCGGTCGACAAAACGAGTCGTGGCACTTGTTCAAATGAGACTTTACCCAGTGTAGCGTGTCAGCTCATCCTGCAGTATTTGGTTCATCGCTATTTGATGTACGTCTGATCTGGATCTGGGATGAACTGAATTTCTGGAAGGTTTGGTCCAGCAAGATGTTCGTTCTGGGGGGCGGGGGAAAGGGTCCACAGCGTCCGCCTATGATAAGTTAGTTGATAAGCTGCCCCCGTTTGCACTGGAATTTGGGCTTGTTGGGCTTATTAGGCCTGGATTGGTTAATTGCTCCAAAGTCATCATGTAATAAAAACCGTCTACAACATTTCGTTCTTTATGTAGTATGATCAGGAATGATTTCATTTCTACCATTTCTTTAACAGTTTGGACTGGGCTTGAACTTCTCGTTCTGAATTACCTCAACCCAGTACTGGTCGGGATCAAGCAGGAACGCAACATTGTGCATCCGACCATCGGTCAGGCGCTTCTTCCAAGGGAGACCCAGTGACTCGAACCGTTCACAGGCCGCGTCGAGGTCATCAACGGAGATACCTGGAGAGGAAGATTGGTGTTAGATTAACCCGAAATATTGCCGAAGAGTGGCACGGTGAAACTTACAGATATGACCGAATCCCTGGGGCTCTGTGTTACCGTTGTGGTAGACAGGACCCTCCTGCTTCTCAGTGCCGTAGTTCCAGGTCAACTCTAGCAGACCCTCCCACTCTGAGACGGGGTTCCTGGCACCCTCCTTGATCTCGGGGTTGGACTTGGGGTAGCCCAAGAAGTACAGGTTGAACTTGTGCTCCGGGTTCTCAGAAGTGCGAACCAAGGTCATGCCTAGAGACTCTGTGTAATACTTGAGACTCGCCTCAGCATCCTTGACGCGAATCATAGTGTGGTTGAGACGGTAGGTGCCCGGGTCGGTGGTGGTGCCAACATCCTCTTCACCACGACGAATGATCTCTACCCAATATCCATCAGGATCCTTGGCGAAGGCAATGTGACGCATGCGACCATCGGTCAACTTCTTCTGGAAGGGATAACCGGCATCTTCAATGCGCTTGCAGGCGGCCTCGATGTTATCGACCGAGATGCAAAGGTGACCGAAGCCCCGGTAGGGCTCGGTGTTACCATTGACAACGCTGTAGTTCGGGTCGTCCTCAGTGCCGTAGTTATGGGTGAGCTCAATGTTGGCATGGCGATCGCTAAAATGCGTTTCACCCTGCAACGACTTGGGACCGTCGTAGGTCAGGAAGTAGTTGCAGAACTTCCATTGGGGCATATCCATCTTCTTGATCAAACTCAGGCCGAGGAACTTGTAGAACTCCAATGATCGCTTCGGGTCCTTGACCCGGATCATGGTGTCTATAGAGCCATTGTGTCAGTATCGGGAGGGGTGATGTTGCGGAGGGGCAGGGATCACAAACGGTTCAATTTATAAGTGGAGGGATCGGTGGCCATGGTGTAGGATCGTGTAGCTACGCTCGTTAGTATGATTGGCTCGAATGAATCTGGGGAAATTGATCTCTTACCAAAAGAACGAGGCGTGAGGACCTTATGAGACAGATTTGATATGCGCCACATCACCAGGAAAATGACGGTGTTTTGTCAGCGTGAGGGGAAGTGGGGCTTCAGAGCATCACCGAGATCAATTACATACTGTACACCAGTTGACGGGTAAAAGTGAACGGAAATGGCCAATCTGGGACGCCGATTTTAGTGCTGAGTCATTCTATATTCACGTGATGACTACTTCGAATATAACCATCTTCAACGAATCAATTAACTGGCTATCTCTTGTACCTGATAATGTGGCTTCTGTGATCGGCCTAAAGTCTATTGTGATGAATTATATGTACCCACTGATGCTCAGCTCTTCCCTATAGGGAGTTAAAAGAATGTCAGGATGACCTCTACGACTGCAGCATTACCCTGAGGGCGGAGGCCTCCCACAAGGGCAAGCATTATCTAATTGGCCAAATTTAGAATCATGAGGCTTAAATTCGGGTAGTCTCCGGGGCTGTGTTTTGATTGGTGTGCATGCAGTCCAAAAATGCCTTAGCATGCCAGGTGCGCCGGCATGGGCAGCTAGCCCTAAAGAGGATACCAATATCAGATTGGCCACAGTGAGCTTCCTATGTTTCAAGACTGAGATGGCATGACCCCGAGTAAATACAATAAGATAAGAGGCCCCCGAGAGTGATTCGATCTATTCCTCCTACTTATGACATTCTGTCATCAATCATTCACGCTTTTCGTGCATCTTCATCATGCAAACAACACCCATAGTTCCTTCCTACTTACAACAATACCCGTGGACCGCAATTCCTTTGAAGGAAATGGCAATTGCAATACCAAGTATGGTGATGCTCCGGTTAATTGCTGAGCAGTTTCGTAGGCTACCACTTCTGGTAGATGGAAATACGTGCATCGGCAAGGCATATACACATGGCCATAGAGTTCTTCAGGTTTAGTAGAAGCTTGCCCTGGAGGCGAGACATTTATCAGGCGATAAAGAAGCGAAAGAAGGGTCTCATTGTAGTCTAGAGGGTCAAGTTTTAGTACCTGCATCCTCTCTACCTCATTCAGTAGCCCCGAGAAGCCGAACAGATCTAACATGACAGGTGGCATCCAAGGATGGTCACTGCAAATGACGGGGCCGCGTAGTATCGAAGGTACAAGCACTGCATCCCTGCGAAGCAAGGTCGTATTTCAATTTTGAATGGCCAATTCAACCTCGAGTCTAACAGAAAGTAGTGGAGATGATAAACCATTAAAATACATAATTTCAAAGCGCGCCATGCATACCTCGATAGTTTCAGAGCTTGTGGTCGGGTTTCTTGCACCAGCCTAGTGATTCAACCCCGTAGCTCGATCATACGACATATTCCGTGGAGATGTATAAGTCCAGTTTCGGACTGGTGATGTATTTGCTGGTAGATGGCGAGACTGACCACGGCATCTATGGCACTGTCGGAATTAAAGAATGGACTCGACAGTCTAGATTTACTAAGGCATACGCCGCGGAGATATGGTGCAGTTTTTTCGCGATATCCCCGGTTTCCGGTGGGAAAAGTAAACGTAGGCTGAGATAGCCAACGTGCTATGGAAGTCTGCATTCTTGGTGGTTGATACGGTAGAGACAAGCAATATGAAGCGAGCGACGACGCCACCACTTACATGCTTCGTCTCCTAGAATGGAATCAACCCAGGTGGATTTGACGATATGGAATTTACTACAGAAATGCAGCGGGAAAAGTGCATCACTAATATCAAAAAACCCTGTCGATCTCTCGTTAGAGACAAGGGTAAGTGAACGAACAGCCGAATGAAGACAGCATAGATCGATGCATGACCGCCTTGGACTCAGAGTCAAGCTCTCGAGGGAATAAAGTAAAGCATAGGTCGCCCCAGAACACTGGCTGCGGGATTAGGTATCCACATTTTGGAGCATTCAAGGGGACATTGGTTTGCCTCTCGGTGGATCGGCGCCTGCCCGTGTTCTTGCCCCGCATTACGAGCGGATGATGCGCCTGTCAGAGCGGCCTATCCCTTTGGAGCTCTGGTCAATAAACTGCAACTACATACTCGAAGTGCAGAGATGATTTCAAGGGTACGAGTGTGATCACTCCCTTCTAAAAAGTGGTCAGCGCGGCACCGGGGCTTAACTCGGGCTGTTGCTTAGCCGATCGCAAGCTTACTGTAGCCTTATCGCCAACAATCCAACAGAATTTCATCCTATCAGCCACAAGAGACTAAGATCTATAATAGAATTACATGAAACAATAGTCTAATCGTTATATGTACGTACTAATATATCGAGTTTAGATCCATGCATTGTCTCGGAGATTGACATCTCGGCCCGGTACAGCATGCCCATTTGCGGATCGTTAATCCTTCCCTTTCTCCTCTATTCAACTCCCCTCTCTCACACACCTGCATATCCACTCAGGCAACACCCTCAACTTCGCACAGGCCAGGTTCGTGCTTTTAGATTTTCTTTCTCTGCACTCCGCATCATTCCCCCAAGCCCATTCCCCCGCCCCCGAATTGATCGTCCGGCGCGTATCATTGGCCTGTCACCCCATCCCTCGTGTTGAATACCTCACTGGAGCGCTCTTAAGGCCCTTCCATGCTCTCGAATTCTTTCTTTTTCCCGCGCTTAGCACACTTGCATATGTTGCCTAACTCCTTTCTCGTTCGCATTCCCACCCTCCAATCATCATCCCAAATATGCCCACGTTCCTCACCCAAGCCCCCCATGCTCTCTCCTCCCTGATCGTGGCGCTCAGCCGGGGCGCGGAGCCTCGCTGTATCGCATGACTACACTCCTATCCTGGCATGTATAAAAATACCCGTTCGATCCCCCGAGCTTGGCTTTGTGCAACCGGGCGCGGGAATCATCGCGACTTGTCATCTGGACTAGAAGCTCTGAGTCAGGGAGAGACAAAGTAAACACGAGCCCGCGCTTTACAGTCATATTCTGCCCATTTCCCCTTTCCTAGCCCTAGCTATGAACATATTGCTTTGTCCTATCCCGCTTGAATCTTGTTGGAAAGGAAAGAGACACGTTCTCTCCGATCCCCGCGCGTGCGCGTATCTATCTGGCCATGGGTCTGAAGATGGCTGAATTCGAACCGCTTCCAGTCTCCGAGTTATTCTCCGTTAAACCCGATCTTGCGCCCCACGACTGCCCGTTTGTTCCATATTGGGCTCGCTCTCACGTGCAGTGTGCACAGAACCTTCTCCCTTCCTCCAACGAGCCTATCGAATACGACGACGACGACGAGGACTTTCAGGATAATTGCTTCTTCTTCCCCGAGGACTGCTCCTATACCCCACCTAAGGACTGGGTCGTAGAGACTCAACGGCAATCCGTGAAGAACACAAAAGAGAACCAGGTCGAAATAAATACATCGGCTATTCACAGCGCCACCGACACAATGCTCCCCGAATTACCTGATATCAAGATGCTGGACTCAGAGGCGCTGGGCGACCTTCTAGAGGATAATCTCTGCCCGCCGGAGATCACAACAATGCTGTACGCTTTTCCCCCTTACTGTTTCCTTGTTCAGGGCTCATTGTGGATGTAGCGTCTTCTCAACCAATGGCGCAGTCTTTGCCTATGCTTCCTCCCTCCCATCCCGTCAACTTCGGAATCTCAGTGCAACTTACGGTGCCGCATACACATGTTACGCCAAGACCGCCTCCAGTGGAAACCTCACTGGTGTGAACCCCGCCAGTCATCCCTCATCCTACGTAACGGCCCAATCGATGTCGTTAGGCGACGTGGGCTCCATTGTCTTCGAACTTGATGACTCTGTGGCGGTAGTAACTCGCCTCGCCGACAAGGTTCTCCTCGCCGCCATCGGCCCAAACAAAATCGATCAGACCACACCAAAAGGAGCCGATCCTGACTATCTAACTGAAGGTGGGGCCTCGGCAGATCCATCCGTCGGGAATGGTGCCACGTCAGATGGGTCTCAAGGTGATGGGCAGCGTACACCAACTGCAGCATCGCCGTCTCCGAATCCCCCCGCACGAAATGGCACTCTCGATGCCCAACACGAGATCGACCGCAGTGCGGATCTTGCACGTCTCGCCAGTCTGAATCTCTCTGCTTCCCCCTCCGTACTGTTGGCATTGGAATCAAAATGTGCTGCGCTGGGTCGATTCCTTGGACAGAAGTTGCACGATTTGGAGAGTCCTGAGGATTTCTGAGGGGACTATCACGGGTTGCAGATGGTGGCAGGCTGCTCTTGGAACCTGCTGCGGGGTACATTCGATCTGCAGAGTACTGCGATCCGAATAAATGTTTACACTAGTGTATTACATATATGACCTTATGACGAATTTGGGTGTTCCTTGTTAGCAATCTTAGCAAGCGGAAGGTCTCTTGGACCAAGTTATTCAAAATCAATTTGTTGTATCACTCGTCCACCTGGCAATCAATTGTTGGGTGTATCCACACCATGGATAGATTTCAAGAATACACAGCTGGAACTGGAAGCTCGGCTGATAGTATCATCTACCCAATGTGAGAGTAATCGTCAAAATCATTGTATTTGCGAACTATTAGGACAATATATATCTCCAAAATTGTACACCCACTGGCAATCGAAGAACCAGCTGAATTGACTCAGGGCGCGCTCAGGTCTAACGAGCAAAATGATCCCAAAAACAAAACAAGAAGTGAAAAGAGAAAAGAAATAGGAGCTCGCAATGCATCATGGAGATGCCTGGTAAGCAGTCCAAGGCAGTGTAGACCGAATCCACGACCAAATGAGATTGGAAATCCTAGACACACTATTCAAGAAATATCAACTTCGCTTACGACTTCTCGGTCTTCTCTCCCGCAGCAGTGCCATTTGCTGCGAAGTAGCTGCTTCCTGAGCTAGCGGTGCGGCTGATAGGCTTCACGGAACCAGGGGTCTTAACCTCTGTAGGGGTACCAGCAGGCGACTGGGCATCCTTCTCAGCGTATGTAGGAGGCTGGTTAGTCTTTCCCGAGATGCTGCCAACAGGGCTAGTAGGGCCGTTAGTAGGCGAGACGGGGGAAGCCAGAGTAGCAGCAGCGCCAGTAGCAGCAACGGCAGCAGCACCGTTTGTAGATTCCTTGATAAGGGACCACCATTGCTCAGCTTGGCTAGCGGTGGAAGCCTTGAAGTTAAGCTCGGTGGTAGCATGGAAGGCATTGCCAACCACATTGCTGGAGATATCCTTGCCCTTAACGCTGAACTTGACACCGTCGATCGAGGCGATAGTGCAGTCGGGTAGGTATAGTGACAGCTCTGGGGAGGGGTCACGGCGGAAGTCATCGTTGTCCTTGAACTCGTGCAGGTAGCGCGCGGGTGTGATGACATAGTAGCCTGAGCTGTATCCCTTAATGACGGCTCGAGAGCGGCGCTCGAGCGTACCCTCGAGAAGAGGCTTGGTTGCGCGATGGTTTTGGTTGGGAAAAGTGATGTTGGCGAACTCGCGGGGTGGGGAGTCTGGGTTCACGAGCTTGGCGTCGTTGCTTACACAGAAGTTGATCCATTCGAAGTCTGGCGGGATGCGCTGGGCGGCGCCAAGCACGTCGGCGTACATAGCGCGCTGGCGGTCCAGCTGACCACCCATAATTTGGTGGAATTGTTCTAGAGCAGCCTGGACGGTTTGCAGGATGTAAGCCTCAAATTGCTGGAAGGAGTTCTGCACTGTGAGGATATCCTGTCGGTGGTTGTTCTCCTCAGTCACCTGCTTGTTGAGGCGGTGGTTGATTTGGCGCTTAAGGATGTAGGGGTCGTGTGCTTGCTCAATCTTGCTGCCCATGGCAGAATCGTGTGAAGCAGAGTGCTGGCCCAAAAGCTCGATGTGCTTCTGGGTCACATTGCGAGCCTTCTCAACGGCCTTAGCTCCCTTGGCTGCTCCTGACTTGAGCTCCTTCGACTTGTTCTTAATTTCTTTGTGGAGACGTTCGAGAGTAGGGAGCACGGTGGCTTTCAGGTTATTCTCAGTTTCAAGATACATGTTGACCATGCCCTGTAGGAGTTGTGTGTTAGACCCCAGGCTATTGACGGACCCGATGTGTGTGTGTTTAGTGAACTCGTACCTGAGCGTTGGTGCGCATGTTATTGAAGAGACCAGCCATGCCGCCCTCGGACTGACTGAAATGATGGGCCTCCTTCAATGGCTCACTGACAGTCTATTCCACCGCCATAATACCTCGTCAGTTTCCGGATCTTGCGTGCGGGGAACTTTAAACACTGACCTTGAGAATCTTCTCATGGTCCTTCGACTGAGACTTGGACAACTTGGCAGTGGTCGAGACATAGTCCTCAAGGTTTCCACACATGTGCTTCCATGCACGAAGACGCTCGATTAAGAGGTTGCTAGTCTAGAAAGAGGAAGCAATGTGTTAGCGCTTTGAACACTTCCACCGCGGGGTTGTCCCTCAAAGCCAAGGCAGCGAGGATCCCAGGGCACTCTAGACGTACCTCACTGCTATCGGTATCCGGAATGGCCTCATCATCACTAAAGGATGTACGGCGGGTGAAGCTGCTGCTAACGGTACCGGTTCGCTGGGGGAGCTTGTGCTCCACGGGGCTAGCCATGGTGAAGGCGGCGGGCGGCGGATAAGAGGCGGAGAGGAAAGACAGGTAGCGGAACTGGCGAAACAATCACAGCCAGGGAGAAACGATGCAATTGAAAATGCGTTTCTAGAGCGTTTGTGATCTTCAAGATCTTTGAACAGGGGAGATGGAAATTGCGGGATGCGGAAGTGTATGGATATGTGGCTCCTGTGGCTGAGGAATAACCGGGAGCCTAATAGCGCTAGTCTAGAACCGAACTAGTCGTGGAATGCAAGCGCCTCGCAAGAAGATCAAAATCGTTCTTTGTGGGTCAAGTAGGATTGCGAGATGGAAAATATGGGATGCCACCGCATTCTTAACCTGTGTTGATCGGCCATCGAACCGATGAAGTCATTGCCCGCATTTGTGGCGCATATTATGCCCAAGGATCTACTTGATTGGTTTTGCAATTTGGAATCAAACTTAAAAAGCCAGAAACCTTACAATGTCCAGAGAATAACTGAATGCTCTTTCGATGATGTTTGCGCCTTCAACTCTAGACTTCCTGGAACCATGTTCTGGGAACTGAACGCCACGGGTGGATCCTTCCAAGCTTTTCCAGGTACGGAGTTGGCGCTCAAATGCGGGATGAGGTTGCATTCCAACAATCACATTATGGGCCTTGACCGGGCGTAGGACGAGTGCGGATCTACAGTGGCTTTTACTAGATCGGGAGAACGAGGGGCATAATTCAGTAGCAAAATAATTGTGAATAACCCGTGGGTCTCAAAATGACAGAAATTAAAGTACATGAAACTGGTAAAAATAGGCATTGATGCGTAAGTCGTGCTGCAGTCTAATTCCCCATACAGCTGGCTCGTTAAAGGAGCAAATGGTCATGAAACCGTCTATGAGATATCCCAGTCCTGTCTAATGTTGTCCGAACGCCGAGAAAGTAAAGGGCTGAAACCCATATCTGTCGAATGCTGGAGATGATCAAAGCCACAATTTGAAACAAGAAAGTTTCTGAGAAGAGAGTAAGAGCAAGGTAGAGAGGAGGGTATGAGCTCCAGTGGCCAGCACTGGAGCTATGACTTTTGGTGTTGAATAGCTGGAAAGACAATGCGAAAAGGTCGGAATTGCGGTCGAATGGTTGTAGGGCCTCTACGCTATCTAGCGCGGGCTTGTACTAAGCGGAGTCTGCGTTCGGCATCGTCAGCATTGGCGCCGTTTGGGTTGAAGTAGCCGGGTGGATTCACCTCTAATGGTGTAGAGATCCCACTGGCCCGGCCACTGTTGCGACCACTTCGAAGGTAGGCCTGTTGCGGAGACTGGAGCATCGGCGTGGTCGGCAGGCTGCTCGCAATGACGGCATTGTAGTCGGGTAGGCACGAATCGAAAGAGCCAACGGCGGCACGGACGGCGGTTGAGTAGCTGGGGACTCGGCTTAAAGTCTCTACCTCGGCGTATTGAGGGTGGAAAGGAGTCGCCATACCCGATGGGATATGCTCAGGATCTACCTCATCAGAAGTTCGACGAGAGAGCTCAGGGCTAGCTGGGCTGTGCGAATTCGAACCGGACGAGGGTCCGAAGTAGTCATTGAAATGAACATTCAGCTGTCTCGAGTTGGGGTGGCTCTCCGCGTGGGAATCGTTCGATGGCTCGTTGGGAGACAGGTTACCCAGGCGAGCGGCATTATTCAGGCTCGAAAGACGGCTATGCAATGCGGAGGCAGAGATATCGGTGTTAGTCAAAGCATTCATAGAGGCCAGATTATCGGCCGAGATATTGCGACTGAGAGGACCGAAGGGTGTGTTTGGTCCGCTGCCGGGGCCAGGTGTGCGGTAGCCATTAGGATCCACCTCGCTGTATAATTGATCGAACTGGTGTTCACCGTATAGGGGAGGAGCCTGGTGAGCCGAGAACTCATCCGCAGCTCGTCTTTGATGAGCCGAGTGGGCTGTTTGAGCGGATGAATCGCGGATATTGTTGTTGTCGTCAAGGGCGACGTTGGGGGAGATGAAGATCGAGACCGGGAGCGTAGCACGCAGCTCACTAATATGGCCATCGGGGTTGTGGAGTTGAATGCGGAACTTCAACTTGTGACGAATCTTGATACCCTTCGTGTCTGTATCTTGAAGGCACCGGGTCAATGTTGACGGCATATCCAGATAGCGGGTAAATTGATAGCCTTCGGCAGCCTCATCAATGACCTCGATATTATCTTGATCCACATCGTACTCATCAGTCAAGATCGTGCGGGTGATCTTGTAAGTATTGCGTATAGAATCGGGGTCTTCCGGATTGAGGGTGAGGTCGTGACTTTCGATCAACTGTGACGTAGTTTGTCCGATACGCAGGCCCTTCAACAGCGGTATCAACTTGAAATCCACTCGGATCGACGTTCCGAAGATGACCGCCTTGGTAGGAGTGCTGATGGAGTATTCGATCTTGTTCGGCCAGATATTATCCACAGACTATAGACGTCATTGTCAGTGCCCCGCTCAACCCCACCATAAAGAAAATTATGACTCAACTTACCATAGCATGCGAGAGCTCGAGTGCGCTCGGATCCAGTGTTCGGATGATGCGCAGGGGCTTGCGAGCCACAATGTCCTTGGCGTACTTGCGTCCAATTTCGGCCTTGAAGCGATACATGACCCAAGTCTCAGACAGTCCCTCCACGCTCTCCGGCATGGATCCCTCGAGGACCACGTCGAATGGGTATTCGTAGTTGCCCGCCGCCAGGATTTCGGTTTTGCCCTTGCCGGGGTCCCGGAATCTCCATGTCTTATCGTAAAAGACCCGTTCTCTCCAGGATTTGCGGCCGCCGGCGGTCGAGCTGGATGGTAGGTGCCAACTAAGACTCCGTTAGCTTGAATTTGATTTCTCCGTCATCCTGACCCTCCAACGTACCAGACACGAGACATTCCCGTCAATTCCAAACGAATGTGCTTGATGGCGAGGGGCTCCGACAAGCAGAGAACCAAGGTCCCCTTTAAGTGAGCGCTGGCAGCCTCATGTTCGCCGCCACGGAAAACGATGTAATCCTCATTCAATCTTAAAATTTGTTAGAGATGATTCTCATGCACATACTGGTTATTCAACTCCACATACCGGATATCGAAATACTTGGCATTGCTTGCACTCCCGCCGCCACTAAAGAAGCTGAGAGCCATTTTGAGAGATGGCCGCCACGGCTATCGGGCAGCCGGTGTAGTTTGACAGGCTGGTTATGCACGATGGCAAGAAGAATAGCGATCTGGAAGGGAAGAAAGAGATCCCAAATAGTATGGCGGGAGAGGAGGAAAATAAAGCAGGTATGACAAGTTTTTTCTCAGCGAAAACCCTCTATGATCTACCGGACAATGTCCAGAATCGCAGGCCGGTCCGACCAAACGGGTCCCACTGTACAGTGGAGAAGTGCCGTTTTCGGTTGCAACTTGGGTGGCGATAGAGAACGGAGATGATGCGAGGTGACTAAGCCAGCGCGATAAGGAGCATTTGCCGTTATAATAGGGGGTAAATGTTGTCGGGAAAACAAGGAGGAATTTAGGAGAGAGGAAACAAAAAAAGAAGAATAAGCAGGAAGTCAGTCCGAGCCCCCAAAAACCCGTGGAAAGCGTAAATGAGACCTGGCGGTTGATCTGCCTGATTTTACGTCAGCGATGGGATCATATGAAGGTCAATAATAATAATAGCACATGCAGAACATGCAGAATTGTATACATCTAGGAGAGTTTTAGGTGATATTTTATTCTATTTATTTATTTACTATTTAAATTCATTAATTTTTTTTTTCTGGCAAATTTCACTTAAATGATCATTATGACTCTTTCTTCACCGATAAGGGCTCTCGCCTTCTCTGCCCGAGACTCGGGGCCTTCATTTACCCAGAAAGCCCATCACGCCATAACCTCGGGATCGCCCTTCCCGCGATCGATCCTCTTTTTGGGTAGATCGTGCCTGAGATGCATAACATGCATGTTACACTACATTATCGTTATATCCTGCACTCCACTCAAATGCAGGTTACTCTGCAAAGAATAGAGACTACGCCATGGTGAAACGCAACACTGGCAACGTACTCCGTACGGAGTACATACATCACGTATATCCCAGCACTCATGTTGTCTGTGCACCTGGTACTACGAGGCCACCCAGAGCTGAAGGTCGAGACCATGCCGATCAGCTGCGATGGTGCTTAGCAGCTGCCTACATTGACATGGTCAGTTTCCCCCGCTCCTAGGTCACACAAAGAGGTGCAGCGCATGGCACCACGGAGAAATAGGCAATTGCAAGGTCAGCTATCACCATTACTGTATACCTGAGGAAAGCCATGTGGACATGGCATGCACACAGCAGAACTGTGACTGGTTTGAAAGCGGAGAGTTGGTTAGTTTCACAATTGACGGCCTGTGCTATCTCAAGCTCCCCCACCTGCGGTAATTTTCTTTGATCGTCTTTCCTATTTTCGGAGCTACCCGTCCATTTCCCTCATTCATGAAGTCCCTGGCCGCGGTTCGAGCGGGAGTGGTAGATGTTCCACTAATCGGCTCCACTGCCCAGGTGTCAAACTGTTCACCGGCTACACCAACCCAGCCTGTTTCCCTGGATTCAAATGACGAGATGGCTGGAATCTGACGTGTGTGGTTTTCCTTGGTCCTTTTACTTTGACTTCCATAGGCAGGCTCATTTACTCGGTCTTTTGAACGAGATAAGGCATTGCGCCCCGTTTGGACCCTTCATGAGAGACGTCTAATGTGGTCTATGGTGGCGTCTGCACGCCCCCTGCAGTAGGGCACCTATAGGCTAGTAGTTTTTATGTACTACTATCATGACCAATAAAGAGAACCGTTGATAAGATTGGTTGTCAGGTAAGCCATCTTGAACAGCCTCGAGCAAAAGCCAAAAAGCCTTGTGGTCTCGGCCTGGTCTGCCGACCACGGGGACTGTCGGGATGCCTTCACATGGATGCTCGGGCATTCCCGCTTCCATCGGAATCCCGACTCCCTCCCGATTTCTCTGCCCGATTGCGCGTCCGAATTGCCATCGGACTTTCTCCTGACGATCTAGAATAGAACGTGCTGTTTCAGATGTTTGTTAATTCCCGCTGTGGCTATGAATAACAGGGATTTTCTTTTCTCCCTACTATTCGGGAAAGATATGGTCATCAATGGATGATAACATGGCCACTCAAATGACACAATAGATTCGGATAAATTCGAGTGGGTTTACAAAAATGGTAATACATATAGATTTTTTTTCCCATTATAAAATTCTGAAAATTTGGGCATCGTTCCAAGGTCCTCAGGGTTTTTTTATCAATTGAATTTTTCTTAGTCTACGGGACCCACAAGTAGATCATTGAATTGACGGTGAGCTTTTTGGCAGAGATCGGAGTTTCTCCTGGCCATTGATTGCGTACCCGCTGGATCCAGCAGTCGGTGAAACTAGGTTCCAGAACCAGATCCTGTTTCTATTTGAGCGGGTACTATCACATCATCTAGACCCATCTATTTATGGCGTTATGTCCTTATCATGCCCATATGGGAATGCTATTGCGTTGGAGGATTACATATGATCAAAGTCTATGTCATTGTTAGTTCACAGACCAGGTCTGTCCCAATTATACACAGGTCCTCACGAATAAGAGAAGAAATGAATACAGTATCCGCTGAAAATAGTGTACGAAAGCTTCTCGAAAAGCGGAGATATCCAAACTCTTGTCTTCGATCTACAAAGTATAGTAGATGAGCTCCAAGCTTAACTCCTTCTGCAAGTCTAGACGCAATAAGCCAGCAAGTTGACGCAGCCTTAAACATAGCTACCCAACTGCAAGAACAAAAAGCCGGACAGCAACGCCGGAGAAACGCTTCCAGCTCAAGAAAGGAGAGGTGAAATTTCTTATTGGTGCGCAGCCCGAGTCGGCCAGCCTTATCAATTGTGGCGGCTAACCTCCCAAAACCATCAAGAGCAAGAGAATACTGCGACAGCAAGGAGTGGAGACAGTCGTGGCCAGTCACCAATTGCTATTCAGAGATAGGACACGCGCCAAAAAAAAAAAAAAAAAAAAAGAATGAGTACATATAGCTATGACCCATAACTACGACCCACCACGGAGCTTTCAGGCGCCACAGGGTTTTGACATTCTTGACTCGGAAGGCGAGAATCGGCAACTACAAAGCGAACGCGGCAGTTACAAACACTCACGGAGTCATCCGTGTACTCCGGCAACACTGCAGCAAGCCCTCTGCAACGGTGACCAGATTATGAGCTGTGCGTTGCGTTCTGGCCCCTCGGTAGATTGATATGCCGAACTACGGGAGTTCATATTTACTTTTTGCCATGTACTTTTGCTATTTTTCGGCCCTCCGATGATCGACGCGATATCCTCAATGTCTCGAGTAACAGCCGAGTTGGACGGGAACTAGTTTAAACACAGCTCGGGACGATCTTTGCCGCCATGGCATAGGGGTGGGTAAAGATTCTTGCGCTGCCGAGCCGCCAATCGTGCCATATGATTGCGCCACATGGTTCGTGGTGTCACTTCGCGAGTGTCGTGTGTTGCTGCTCGAGATGTTACAGATTTATTTCCATATGCGTTTGCATCTGCATGCAGCTATATGATCATGCAATAGACAATGCCGCTTACATGTGTGAGGAGATGCTAAATACTGTGTGTCTTTTACTTATGATTGGAGCTTGGTGCATACTTATGGACTGATCAATTGGAGAACGGCTATCGATATACCGGGGTCTAGCAATGTACAATCACGCGGCACAAGTTGCCACGGGACGAGTCTACGATGGCGGCATATTTCCCGGCAATGACATACAGACAAACTGCCTTACAACCTATGAAGCTCATTCCGCTGTCATGGCAAGAACTGCCGAGTGATACGTATACTGTTACTCATACTAAGTACCGTGACGGGAAAGAGTTCTTGGAGATTGTCCCCTGCTTACTTGGCGACATGAGACTCAGTCAATGATTGTATCCACATAGTGGTGAGATCGCTGACACATTAACAGTGTATTTGGAGAAGAGCCCAGACGACAAATAACATCGGCAAGAATTATGTTCAATAATGATGAGAGGACTACTAACACAGATCTGGGATAGAGAACAAGAACCCCAGAAATCAAAATGCAAGCATAGCTGTGTCGCACGAAAAAGACAACTCCGCGCATGTTGCTGTATAAAGTTCATTAAAGCATCAATCTAGGGATTTGAGGCTGTCGAGGTCGGTGGAGATCCGCTCATAACCCGATAAGCGATTACTTCGGGACCCTTTAACCCTGAGTCAAGGCAAGGGTATAACGAATCACATATCTGAGAACGGGCGAAAAAGAACAGGATGAGGTACGACACTCGCTGCGTGGGCGCGACTGGATGATCCAGCATTTGAGATGTCGAATGAAAGGACGGGAGCACATCTCGAACCAGCAAGAGCATCCTCGACCATGGCGTAGATTTAATAACGGAGGTAGAAAAGGGAGTGTCGCCGGCGGGTCACATCACAGTGAAGTGCAGTTCGAAGGCCATCTAAAAGATCCAGCCCAAGATGATGTAGAGCAGGACACCGGCCCCAATGACCATGCCCGCAATCTTAAGCACCGCCACCGTGTCGCCTTGTTTCGCCATTCTTGTCAGCCGGGAGGCGCTGCCCTTCAGGTTCGTTGACATAGAAGAAAAGACATCGTTCTGAACAGTAAAAATGGTATCAGCAGCCGGCTTAAACTAAACGCCTATCACAAGGGTCCTCTGGTATGGATGTCCCTTCGGTGAAACATACCGAGTTATCGAGAGAGTCTTGATCCCGCGCATTATCATGAATGTCAATCGTCACATGTCGGAGAGCGGAGACCTTGGATGAGAGGGAGTTCAGAAGCGCATTGTTTTGCCTGTGAAATTTAAATCAGCGACAAGGTCACCATAGGAGCGCAGTGTCTGTGGCTCGGCAGCTGGCACTCAGCAGCTCGGAGGAAAAGGAGAACATACTGCTCACGTTCGTAGGCGTCACTCATTTTGTCTGGTTTGAGATGTGTCCGGATACTGACTGAGGGAGCGTCGAGGGAATCCGGATAATGTGGATGTGGCTGGTGGGGAGGAAGGAGGAATGATCGGGGTGATGAGTGGCTCGTCCGGGGAAAGCAGCGGAGCCGGCGCAGGTTGGTGACAGGTCAGGTGACCATGCCTACATAGGGAGGTCTATTATACATGGTCATGGTACTCAGGCTGTTAATTTGAGGTTTTGTTATCGGTGACGGTGAATTATTGGCTTCATATCACACTGGAAAAATTTAATCTCATCTAAGATCTAGTGTATGGTGCTACCAATGTGTCATGGACCATGTATAGAAGCCGAGCGTAGTTCGCCATCCAGTGGGTCCCCACTTCGTCCAGCAAACCAGCAAACTCCAATAAGATTCGCTGGGCATGACGGGGTCCAGGTTCATATTTCTTTCCGTCAATTAAAATTGGTCCACCAAAGCGGATAAACCGTACGGCGGCATCTTCCAATCTCGCTGGATCATGTGGTGCCATACTTGGAGTTCCATCATTGGAGATCCCTTCATCACCGATAATCTTCCAGTCAACAACCGAATTTGCGAGATCAAACTGATCCCATTTAGTCGGGCCCTCCATATAGGCATTTGCTGGGCTACCGAGGAGATAAAATCCGAGGATCAGAGCAGACATAAACAAGGTTCGAACAGACTGGAATGCGGTACCATCTGCAGGTTTTCGGTGGGACAAGGTGCGGAATGTCTGAGCGGCATGGACACATGCTCTCCGTGCAGCAGGAGTGTAAGCCCAGAACGTAAGGTCTCGACGAGCATCAGACATGGATTTGGGGCCATCCCGACCAGCAGCACGGGAAAGAAGGTTGAGATCAGCTGTGAGCAGCATACAGACGCTATGCCATATCACAATGCAGTTGGGATTCGATTCGCGCAAGGTCGTATCGTACAACTGAACCAAGCTGACTAGGAGGGGGGAGACAATACTAGCCCGTTTATCGAGGCGACAAATGTTCCATGGGACGTAGTGGTGTTGCTCGGCCGGAACCAAGTCCGAGCTAAGGATTAATCGGCGGGTATCTGTGGAGACGCGAAGAAGGACAGAGCATAATAGTCCGTACATGGAGAATACATGTATTGGCCCTTGTAGGTCGGGTAGATGGAAGTGATGAGATGATAATTCAAGCCTTTGATTGGCGTGGGGAATCTCTGTGAGCAGCTGAGACCATTTCTGGCACGTCGGAGCTTGATACAGAATGGTTTCCAGAGGCAGTGGAAGGATAAGTATGTCGGTTCGAATGATAGGATTCATAGAGAAGAGCTCTGACAACCAAGAGTCATGCAGAACTAGGCCAATTATCAAGCTGTTACCAAGATTGTCAGCTTATGGGTTATCATGGGGCCTCTTTATAAACAACGCCGTACTTTTTTGTTGATTCAGCTCGAGTCCAAGCAATCCATCGGGCACGTTCTTCAATGTGTGGTGAGAATAACATATCATAAATTTGATCAAATCTGGAGCAGAAGAAGCCATATTGCCTTGCCGTCTGTCCGGAGCAGTTAAATCGGGTTGTTTAAAGGCAAAGTTAGATATGAGGTTTCTTACTGCTGTGGTATGTAGATAAAGGGATCGAGACTTTTCTGGGCAAAGTTTCCCCTGATAACCTGTTAGATAGCGCGGGATCCATAGACGATTTTGATGACGAACCCCGGTAGAAATGAAAAGAAAAAGCGTATGATGTGCCAGCACAAAATAGTTCAGAAGATCGGCGGGGGTCTGACTGTCCGCGGCTGCGAAAATGAGTTGAGCGTAAACCTCGTTCAAGATTCCCTGTAGATTGAGAACCCATCAGCTGGGCCCCATGATATGTCTTAGATATACTTGGACCTGACATACCGGGTACATTTTGCGAATGAAGTCCACGGCATCTTCTGTCTTAAAGAAGGAAAGACCAATCATGCACATGACGAATAGCAATAATTCGGAGACTTTTTCGGGGTTGAAAGTGGCAGAGTGAAGGATCGGGTATGAAGGCTGATACCTGCGGAAGTAAAGATAAAGTCCTTGCTCAAAAACCTCCATGGTATTGATACAAAGATATTCGTGACCACATTTGATCTCGTCCAAAAAATCACTGCATCCACAGACCATAAGCTTTCTCTTGAGATTCCGAAGGCGTGCTTTCGAATGGTCTGAAAGACTGATCTCCCACTCATTGATTCCTTTGCGGTCCTCCAATGCAGGATCCAGCACTCCCACCGCAAGATCGCAGCTGGAAAAGATGTTTTCCAATGATCCAAATGCAATCTCTTGCCAAAAGTAAGGCCTAATATTCGAGTCTGATTGCTGTGGGCTTGCTGGCCATACTTTTTGAATCCTGCTTGTGATTCCATCAACGCCGCCTCGATTTGATATTGAGCTGTCTGGACTGAAAGGGACCGCATTTGGAAAGATTTCGGGTACGCTATGATTCAAAGGTAAAATCGGTGCGTTCCCTGGTAGTTCCAATGGATATAACGACTGTTCAAAGGAAGAATTGAAAAGAACGCTTAACATTTCCGTGTTGGAGTCACCTTGGCCGCTGAATGATTGACTCAGGCCAGATAAGGGCATGGTCACTCCATGACCATCCTCGGGCATACCTGTAGGATCCGATATACCTGTAGGAATCAAGATCTCATGATCATGATCATCAATGGCTGGATCGCAACCAGGGCCGCATGCTACTGTCTGTTCAAACGGATCTATCGGAGATGTATGCTTGGTTGGCATTAGCAATTGAAAACCTTCAAGCCAACTAGGATAAATTACAACAATATTTGGACCACTTTCAGCTGTATGATTTCGGCGATGGCGCAGAAGAACATCCCTAATGAAAAAAAGATTAACCACGAAAGCAGAAACCGAGACAGAAAAGTTTACCTTCGCGCAAACTGCTTTGTACAGATAGAGCACTTATATGGCCTTTCCCCGGTGTCTAATGTAATTTTAGAAATGTTCTCACTTACAGTGGTCTTGCCACTGTCATGAGAGACTGGGGAACGGCGTACGGGCTAGTTGATGGCGGTTGAGATGTTCCGTCTTGGAGAACGTCTTGTCGCATTGCGCACAGGATATCCTGCTTGCATTTGCTTTTCGTCGCTGCCGCATTGTATCTCAAGCACAGGGAAGGGGAAAACGTAGTGATAAAAATTCGGCCAAAAGGATTCCTATAGCCGGTTGAAGGCCGATTTGCGGGGTTAATCCCCTTAGAGTTGGTTGCCTCATTCATCAGGCATTAGATCTTATAAGTCCTAGCGTTGTTTCGCAAATTTCGGGGCTCAGACAATGCATTAAATTCGTCAAGGGATATCTATTGCAATTTCAGCTGTCAGTAAGTCCTTTGTAACAGTATTTTCAGCCTTGGAAATCTTTTGGACTTTGGTTTTCCTTACTGAAGAGCTGGCCAGAGCGGTACCTCTGTGGGCCGAGATGCGGGTTGACTTGAAAGACTGTGATCATCTTGCATTACAATGCGATCATCATTTGCAACTAAGGTTGGGAGACCTAACTTCACCTTAGATCGAAGGCTTGACATCAAGACACATTTGAATTCTGGTGGGAAAAAATGGTGGGGTCGCAGATTCCCCACATCTTCAGCATGAAAATGCGGGGAAACGCACGTAAGCCAGAAACTTTGATAGACTGGATGATTGGCAACCTTGGAAGCAGGTGGCATTCATTTCTAGTATTGTGGGGATATCACCTGGATGTAAAAGGTGTATAAATATTGTCTGAGAAAACCCAGTGAACAGGAAAAAAGAAACAGTACTCTAAGATTCTATCCCATTCCTCACACAATGACTGCTTTCCATCTTTTAGACCACCCCCTTGAAATTGCATTGAGCAGTCTATTCTGTTACTTTACTGCTTATGTCGTTTATCAACGCTTTTTTCATCCACTGGCGAAATATCCCGGGCCTTTCCTCGCCTGCCTTACAGACCTATGGCAGGTGCATCAGTTCATGACCCTGAAGCAGCCTTACCACCTCACCGAGCTACATGAGAAACACGGCTCAATTGTTCGATATGGCCCAGACAAGCTAAGCATTACTGATGAAGAGGCCATCAAGTCAATCTATCAGTCAGGAGCTCGCTTTATGCCCAAAACCGAGTTCTACGATGCTTACGGCGCAGCCCATCCTAACGTATTTGGCATGCGTGATGAAAGCGTATGTTTTACATTATGCGAGACATCTTCTAACTAGATCTGACTTAAGATATAGTTTCATTCTCTTCGACGCCGACAGATGTCTCATAGTTTTTCCACGAGTTACGTGAAAGAAATGGAGCAACATCTCGATGAAAATATTCGAATCCTCCGCCAGAAGATATTATCTTATGCTTCAGCTCAAGAAGTCTTTGATCTCAAGAAAGCTTTGCACTACTATGTCATTGACACACTGGGCGAGCTTGCCTTCAGCCAAACATTCGGGGTTCAAATATCTAATGACGAGACGCGGGTTCCGCCCGTCATTGAACATAGCCTGCTGGCAGCAGTCACAGGAGCTTGGCCAAGTATGACTGCTCGTCTGAAGAGATGGCTTCCTCTTATCCCACACAAAGGTCTTCAAGCCTTATTCAATGGCCGAAAGGCCTGTGCTGAAATGGCTTCACGATGCGTGAGCATTCGGCTGAACGCCATCAGATCGATGGATGGATCAAATGATATGACTTCGGAAAGGAAGGACATTCTCACGAATTTGATTATGGCAAAGCACCCCGATACGGGTGAACACCTGACTCAAACTGATCTGGAAACAGAAGCATTTGGATTCATGTATGTATTTTCCTGCATACCCTTTGGTCCATGGTTCGAATGTTTAGTGGCTAAAAAATATCGCGGCTTAGTATAGCGGGGACTCACACTACTAGTGCCACAGCGGCTCTACTTTTCTATCATTTACTACATCATCCAGATATCCTGGCTAAATGTGTCGCAGAGATTGACGCCGATCTGCCTGTTCTGCAATCAAGTGAAAGTGCTTATTCAGTCACCGTGGCTGAGGCATCATTGCCATATCTACGGAACTGCATGAAAGAGAACTTTCGGGTCACTCCAGTGTTCACAATGCCTCTTGCCAGGCGTGTGATGATGCCTGGAGGAACAACTATTGCTGGGAATCATATCCCTCAGGGAGTAAGCTGAACCTAATTGGCCTGAATATATATTCTCTAACTGTCAATCGAATTAGACCTCAATCGCGGTGTGCAATCATGCCTTTCACCACAACCCAACGGTCTGGGGACTTGACCATAATTGTTTTGACCCGTCTCGATGGGATGAGCCTGAAGTTGAGGGTAAATCCAAGCTGTTGATGCATTTCGGGCTCGGTGGCCGCCAATGCATCGGCAAGACGGTAGCCACAACAAATATTTACAAACTAATGAGCACGTTGTTGAGTGAATTTGAGTTTGAGCTAGCTGATGATCTTGAGCGGAAGCAAGCACTTGTGAATGGTTTCCATGGGAAAATGCCAGAGTTAATCAGCGTTGGGATTAGTGATTTAGCTGCGCCTTTGATGGTCAGAGCTAGAAAACGCAACAGGGCCGTTGTTTAAGTGATCAGATGATGTCCAGACTGATGAAATTTATAAAAAGGAACCTTGATTCTTGATACACTTCCATAATTTCATTCTTAACCCAGAGTAAAATGGTTGAAAGATTTGGTCAAGTCTACGGGTAGCTTGTATGCGACCTTGTCCCCGGCTGACCCACTGACTCCACGCACTTTTCCCTACAAACTTTCTTGCGGCACGCCTCTACCGGCAACTACCATTTAAAATCCGCAAGTTCATTTGAAAAAAACCGGTCGATCTATATTACTGAAAGAGCTCATCTGTCAAATCTGGTATGAACCAGGCCACACCGGATGGCGCCTATCGACGAGCGGCCGTCCAAACGCGCTCGCCAGGCCTGTGAGCCCTGCCGGTAAGTACCCGAGAGCCACTTTATATGACTGCATGCTCTCTGAGCTTACTATGGACCAGGCGCAAGAAGTCGCGATGTCCCGGAGAAAAGCCAATATGTTCCTATTGCGACCGTTTGGGTCAAAAATGTGTTTATGCCGGCGAGACGCTGGAAGAGGGGTCGGATTATGCGAAAAATATGGTAAGATTTGTTGGGAATATTCCCATGGTCAAGGCTTACAGTAATTTCCAGGAGGATCGTGTTTCTCGCATCGAGGGCAAGCTTGAACAGCTGATAGATTATATCACGTATGTTTCGCGGACGCTGTTCCTGGTTGCAATCTGACCTTTGAAGCGGCAGTCACCAACCCCCAACCGGGGCCGGATCTCCGGACACCAGGAACATTACGACAGATTCACCAGCAAATCTTGCTCCGGCTCCTATCAATAGGGCTTCTGTGTGAGTAGCGAGCTCTCGGGTGATGGCGTTTTACTAACTGGTAGCAGGGGCGACTCGCAAGATATATCAGCTGTGGAATTATATCTCACTTTCTGCAACTCGCAGCCTCTGCCATTATTTCCTCAGAGAACTTCTGCGGCATCTCTGTGTGACCGAGATCTGGAGCTTGTGCTTTCCATTGAGGCCGTTGGCCTTCGATTTAGGGGAAATGGCGTCAAGGAATGCCCAATTGAACAAGAGATCACGTCAAAGACCGAAAGATCCTGCCAAATGGTCATGAAACGTCTAGCGGATGGGAATGTGGAGCTTTCAACAGTTCAAACTCTGTGCCTTCTTAGCATGTTGGAGTTTACTGGTATGAGCCCAGCCATAACTCATCATTTACAGTATACTGACACTATTATACAAAGCTGGAAACCTAGTTCGAGCAGGATTCTATACAAGAATGGCAGACTATTTCATGCAAGACGTCAAACCAACAAACTTCGAGTTCCTCAAATATCTCGAAACGGAGCAAGACGAGCGAAAACTGTGTTACGCAAGCGTGACGATGCTCCAGAATCTCCAAGGACCTTCACAGCAATCTATTCAAGGAGCTTCTGACCGACCTGCATCTGCGGGACTTGCAACTCCTGCCTTTGAAACATTGATACCAAAAGTGGATTCCAGAAGAGGCGGGAGTGATCCCAAGCGGGATATTGGTATCAATGCAGCCGTGGGGTATACCACTGACTTGTGGGCACTGGCCTGTAAGTATGCCATGAATCATGCTGGGAAGGACGCAAATCCTCCCTGGTTTCCACAGTCAGATTATGCGATGATTACATATTGGCACACAGAGCACGAGAGTTGCATGCCATTAAAATTTCGACTCCATGCTAGTCGCTTCCCAGACTATAATCCGGCTGATTTACAGGCGAATCGCGACTACTGGGGTCCTTGGCTATTTTATCAGATAGCCTGGCATGCTATCCCATGTCTATTGAACCATCCTTTTCTTCTTTCCATGCGACTGAGAAACTTTAGAAGAACCATGCCCCAATCATTCCTTCGCAACTCTTTTGAGCAGCTCACCTTCCACTCGGGCTGGATAATATATTTCCTGGAATTGTTTGAGACAAAAAGTTATGAGGTTTCAGATCCAACATTGGGACATTGTGTCGCCATTGTCGCGACGATTTATCTTCAGCACAGCTTCGCCGACGACCAAAGCTTTAGCAGAAAGGCACAAACTGGCTTTCAGAAATGTCTTAGATTTTTGCGACAAATGGGGCGTCGTTGGCCACACATTGATCGACAGGTTAAGTCATTCGAGTTCATTTGTCGTGCTGGTGCTAATTCTTAACTAGGCTCGGCAGCTGGAGCAGCTTCATGGCAGCATTTCGCCTGGGGGTCAGACAAGCGATACAGGCGTACCAGCAGCGTCTGACCCAAAGTGGTCCGTGAATTTACATTTAATGTGGAGAATCCTGGTTTATTCCCGTGCAAGCAGAGCTCCAGATCCCACTGGGGACATGTATGGCCCTGTACTGGCCAAGGAGAAATCCAGCGAGCTAGGGATATCATCAGCTGATGCAATTGCTGAACGTGACTTTACACTTATTGGATCCGCTGGGATTTCAGGGCATAAAACCGTCGCTCCAGAATGCGTTACATATCCCCCAGAGCAGGTTGAGCATCAAGAGCTCAGTTCCGAGCCGTCCGCGATGGAGTTCCCGGAATTGCTTAGCTCCCAAAATTTAGATTTTGCAGGCGGAGAAACGCTTCTTTTGCAGTTGCAGGATTACGACAAAGCATTCGAGGATTGGCTAAGCCTGAATCCTACATGAAAGTATGGAGAATATTGTACGATAGTCCTTTGCCGGGACACGGCCCGCTTCCGTGTTCTCCGGACGCCAAGAACCGGCATTGAACCGGCTTCGCCATCTTCCTCCACATCGTATCTTTTTATGAGATTAGACTCTGAGATCATTCTTGCTAGATTATACTTCCCTGTTCCTCTCAATAGCTGGACAAAAATGGGTATTTCAAAGGGCGATTCGATCATCATCGTGGGCGCTGGCGTGTTCGGTCTGTCCGCCGCGTTAGAATTGAAACAGCGCGGATACACCGATATCACTGTTTTGGATCGATATGCGCCTCCAGCAGTAGATGGAAGCAGTGTCGATCTGTCACGTATCATCCGAATTGACTATGCTGATCCGGTATACTGCCAAATGGCTCGCGAAGCCTACCAGGGCTGGACGACAGAGTACAAAGATGAGTACTATGAGTCAGGATTTGCATTGCTGTCTGAAACTCCCCGGAACGACTGGATCGAGAATTCCAAAGCAACAGTCCTCGCAAATGGTGGCACTGTGGAGGATCTCAAAGATGCTACTCAGTTGCTCAAGTCATACCCGAACATTCAGGCCGATCTCGCCGGCATGAACGGGTATCTGAACCGGAGAGGTGGATGGGCCGATGCTGCCCGCAGCATCCAGAAGCTGGCTTCGCGATGCAGTGTGGAGGGTATTTCTATCATCTCCGGACCTCGCGGGACCGTGAAATCCCTGCGCCGAGAAGGCTCCCGAGTTGTAGGAGTCAACCTTCTGAATGGGGGGTTCTTGCTCGCATCCCAGGTCATTGTTAGCACCGGAGCATGGACAAATCGTCTTTTGGATGTTTCACATGCCGCGTCATCCTCGGGACAACCTGTCGGTTTTATTCAACTGACCCCGGAAGAGGCCCAGTCCTTGGAATCGACCCCTGTTATGATCAACATGAGCTCGGGAGTCTTCTGCTTCCCGCCTTACCCGGGCTCTAACGTTCTCAAGCTCGCGCGCCACGGATACGGCTTCGCAAATGAAGTCACTGTCCAAGCCGATGGAGTCACTCGGACTGTTTCATCACCTAAGCTTGAGAGCAGCAATGCACAGACAGGATATCTTCCTGAAGACGCTGATGAAGGCCTGCGCCAAGGCCTTCGACAGTTCTTCCCCAAGATTGGTGACCGGCCATGGATGAATCGTCGACTTTGCTGGTACACTGATACCCCGAAGGGTGACTTTATCATTGATAACCACCCGGAACTGCAAGGTCTGTTTGTGGCTACTGGTGGAGCCGGACAGTAAGTTTCTCTCCTTCTGTGCGAGGTGTATAGTCAAGTTAAATCCCAAACTAACGTGTACTAGTGGATTCAAGTTCTTGCCTATCCTGGGCAAATACATTGCTGACTGCTTTGAGAACAAGGCTTCTAAGGAGCTACGTGAGAAGTGGCGATTGGCACCGGCGCCTGCTAACTCTGCGGCTTATACTATGAAGGGCGATGGAAGCCGAGCTGGGCCTCCATTGCGCCAGCTGACGCATGTTGAAAAAGCGAAACTGTAAATTGTGGCACCAAAATTCAATGTATATTCTTAGTCCCTCCAAGAACAAATATAAATTTTCGCACTTCTTAGTGAAAAGAAAGAGTCCTCCAAAAATTATGTCCTCGTGTATTGCTGACCATTCAGCCTCTCACCTTACGATCGTAGCTCAGATCATATTGGCCACAGTGAATGTTTGAACCCTTGCCTTTCATGCCAATCGTGCCCACATTGGAGTCACCAGTCAGAGTCCACGTGCTATCCGCATCCACATGGACAGAAACCGTTCCCGTACTGTTCAAAGGATTGATAGCTCCACTCCATTGCGATCCAACCAAATATACATTGGCCTCACTTACATCATCGACATAGATATCACCCGAGATATTTAAATCAGTCAGGAACAGGTTCACGGTTCCTCCGTTAACGCCTGATGTTCCAAACTCGTCATCCGCAGTGATATTCGCCAATATGCCTGACTTTGAAGTGATATCCACGGCCGTGAAATATACATATGCTTGAATGTTTGCCACAAACAGAATACCGTATGTCCCATTTGTCTCCGCAACAGAACCACCAGTGACATATGCGTAGGCTGTGTCAATAGTCCCATTACTTGACACCGTGCTCACAACCTGGAATACCCCATTGTTCTGAGTGCCAGATGTAACAGATGGATTATTCAGAGTAAATGAGTTGGATCCATCGATACAGGCAACAGGGGCAATGTCAGAAACACCGGACAATGAGGTTGCGGTGATATTTCCAGTCGAGTAAACAAGAGCGGATAAAGCTCCGTATGTATTGGCAACGCTGTCTTTGACTTCAATCAAGCCTCCGCCCTGATCGGTGGCAATGGCACTTCCATGGCCGTCATATGTGTTGACTATGAGGTCTTTTCCGTAGATAGTACCTCCGCCCGTGTAAACTCCGTGAGAGTAGTCTCCTTCAGCGTGGATATGGACGTCGGAAAGATAAGCGGTTGATCCATCTTCATACGTGTGAAGTCCATTTGCGCCAAGCCCGTTGGTAATTATCTTGCTGTTGGTGATGTATATAGTGCCATTTGTCTCTATCCCGACGGCAGCATTCAGGTCCGTGAATGAGCTATCTTCTTCAGCTGTCGTGTTTCCACTTTTGATTAAAGTGCAATCAGAAACATATGCAACACCTGTTTCTTTCACGATGATCACTCCCTCATTCGTACCAGTTGCCGTGAGTGTCGTGTGTGCGAAGGTAGTGGTAGTTCCATCGACAAAATAGGCGGCGGTAGTGGGTAGCCCGGTTGTTGACGACGATGCTACCGTAGTGGATGCAGATGAAGTTGGGACAGCAGACGTAATTCCCAGGAATGCAGGAATAGTGACAAGCATCAGAGCACCCAATCGACGGCTGGTAATGTAATTCATTTTTGAAGGCCACGCTGTTTCACGTGGGAAGTTCACAGAATCTGATCTCCAAAGCGTTCAACTAACCTTCCCATTGTTAATCTGCGTAGGTATATATATCCGAGCTCCGTGTGTATGCACTCCAAAGTTTTAATATACTGCTAGTCAGCCCACTTCCAAGGTACAATATCTCTATCGGTAATGTGGCCTTCGAACGTTTGTAAAAGCAAGACATCCTCAGGCCTGCAAATTTGAAGGAGTATGCGAATAAACATTCTGATGCGAATCGGCTCCACATTCATGAGTATACGTACCACCTATATTGAAACAAGATCTAGTGGAGCACACATCCAAGAATTTATGACATTTCTCTGGATTTGATTGAGGTAATCAAGCCACTCTTCTGGGGTAGCCCTTTCCCCGCAACACCCCCCGGAGATCTCTATCCCCCTATTGGTCTCAGGCGCATATACAGCTGAGGAATTTCCTTGATTCTTGACGGATATTTGGAAATATCAACATAGCTAATAGAAGTATATTGTGATATATGTAAGCACCAGTCCCACGGGACTCTGATGTTTATTTTCCAATGCTTCTCAAGTCTTCAAGTTTGTAAGAAATTATGAAGAACACCTATTCAATTAGTTAGAGTGACATAAAAACTTGGATCGTCTAACTAACCCCGCATTATGGCAGATCACAGACCCTTGGCCTCAAGGAAAACAAACCCGCGTCAGAATGGACGTTTCTGCGTCCACTATAGTTCAAGTATCCAATTCGGCCCCACGCAGCTTGACCCGCGATGGAAGCAAATATTTATTCCCGGCTCCGAGGTCCACCAAGGGTCAATATATGCAAGCGCTCGTCCTTAGTCCAATGCCATCCATGTTTTGCAGGACATTGGATCATTATTTCTCATATGGTTAACAACGGCAGGTGGGGTCAAGCTTTGGGTATGGTGGAGAGCATAGCCGGTGAATTGCGGTTGAATACTTCGTACACGTACCCACTTTCGGAAATATACTAATGTAGAGAATCTATTGGGTTATTCGGGAAGTTTTCACGGGATTGTTGCTAGCAACTTGATGTTTTAGCAGGTTTCAAGCCATTCATGATTGACGGGAGCTGACTTTGGTGTATCACAGCCACTGGCATTGCCAGCAGGTACAGGGAGGAGAAATTGCGTTCCTGAACTTTGCAGTCGACAAACTCCTGCTATAACTGCTTGTTTGAACCTCAAACTGAGCTAACAGCGATAAGTAATAAAAGGGGTCCGAATGCTAGTTTGTTGTGATCCATAGTTGTTTCCTAATCATCATCTCTGCCAACAGTCTGTAGAACAGCTCATAAGGTATATCCATTGAAATTAGTCTATCTGTCTATTTACTAATGTGTAATGGAAGGTGGGAAAAACACTTGAAGTATCAATCCCCACAAATCCAATGGCATCATTTCACAACATCTCAAGCTCTAGACTCCAGCAAATTTGACGGCATGTGTTCTACTCTCGGTCCTTGTCCTTTTGTTTGAAGCAGTTCCCTCCGCAAAACTGCCATCTTGACAGACCGGCCACTCCTCAGGTCTCAACCAGTACGAATCATGAGAAGGATGGCCTTTGATCATACCCTCAATGTCAAGCGGATCAACAAAAGTCTCCCACCTGGACCGACGATCAATCCAACCAGGCCCATACCGTTCAGTAGACTGGTCAGTATCAAGATACCGGATCTTCTCCCTTGGCAAAAACCGGCCAGGATGCAAGATGTTAAGCCAGTACGTAAAGATCAACATTGGCCCCAGCTCAAACGCATATAGGTACCATTCATTGCTGAGAATAGGTCCACAATTCTCGCGACAGCCCAGGTTCCCAAACATCTCAAATGCCTCGATAGCACGGCAAATACAGCGCAGCAAGACGAAAGTCGAAGTACCGTACAGGGTAAGGCAGACAGTCCGAATATTGGGTGGAACTTTTCCGGCCCGTGATGCCCGTTTGTGAAAGGTTGCGACAATCCCGACAAGGACACATTCTACTACAGCCTGTAGAACGAGCCCTGCAGCGATGAGGACCCCGCCGGATTTGTATTGGCTTAGATCTGTGCCTGCTGCGGCATTCTTCGCTGCGCCTGCGACTGTGATGCCTTCAACGGCGGCGCCAACGTAGACAAAGAATATCAGGACACGATTGGGATTGAGGACGGCGTGCATGGGGGCATAGTTCATGAGTCGACCGACAATGTTGTATGCGGCGGCTGAGTAGACGGGTGGTGCTAAGTAAATGAAGACTGATTGGGCGATATAGAGGTTCATGTTGCCGGGGTGGTAGCTGGAGATACATCTGAGAATCCAGCCTGTTGTGAAAAGGACTCCACCCCATGCGATAAAGAAGGTGACTCTCCAGAATTTGTATTGACTGGTTGAAAAGTTTGTAAGTGTTTATCACGAGTCTTAGTTATGGGAAGGCATACAAGTTTTGGAAGACATGCAACAACATTGAAACGCCGACAATTGCTGCGAACACCGCGGGTAATACATGGCTGGGCTTGTATATATAGTAGCTAACCACTTCATCTGTATGGGAACTCATGGTGCAAAACGAAACGCTGGAGGACGGTGAACCCCAGCATCGATGGAAAAACCTCAACCTTAAGTATTCTTCAACCGTGTCAGCAATACAGGGCTAATTTAGAGGCGCAGCATAAACCCAAGATTGGCAATGATAAATAGAGCGCTAGGCACTCTACCACGAGGAATCAGTCACAGCCACAATTAACATCCGCCCGACCAAACTCCTCAGATAAAAGGTCAAGACTCAAATGGCCCCCACGTTGATACTTCCAACTCACAGCCAATCAGGGACGCAGCACTCAGCCTGGACGGCGGCACATGGAACCCGATCAAGTTAGTCTGCACCACACAATGACGCTGGATGATCAGCTCCAACCCATCTTCTAATAACCTCGCAGTGGCTTTTTAGCGTTGTCAATACAGTTTAACCGGAATCGGTATCATCCAGCGACATCCACCCCATCAACGACATTTTCACCTTAGATCTCTGCTCTGGTGTGCACGAAGATCCGCATTCCCCACACGGTTCAGGGTCTCGGGCCCACAAGTCTTACCTCCACGCTTTCCCTGATTTCCAACATGCCAGGGGTCCCTACAGGGCGTGCGTGCGACGGATGTCGCAAACAAAAGAAAAAAGTAATACCTAGATCAGTATAGTCGGGATCTATTCTCCGAGAAATGTCCACTTACAACTACTCTAGTGTGACGAGAAACAACCCGCCTGCTCACGCTGCATTCGCCTTAAAATGACATGCGTGGGATCGGGTCAACAGCGATTCAAGTTCCAGCAGGACAAGCGCTTCGCATTTGCAGTCTCGTCCCAGCCCAAAGCTCAGACCAGGGAGTCTGACTCTCCAGAAGCGATCAGTAATGCCTCGGATTTTGTTACTATAGTTGCTATGCCGACAAAACCTGAGCAGATGAACATTCGTCTTCCACCGTGTTCTCCAACAGCGACTCTGACTGATGACCTCTCGTCATTAGCGAATCGCTTTATTAAGACTATTAAACCATCCACCGATCTCCGGTATAATCTTTGGTGGACGTTTGGTATGTATTTGGAAGATATCCCACGAAGACTGGGCACGAATGAAGCGCTTGATCGCTCAATCGAGGCATTAACAGCCGCTCATGCTGGGTTTTGTGGTGTGAATCGGCAAGGAGCAACAGTTGAGGCCTTAACAAGCTATTCGCAAGCATTAAAGGTCCTGCGCATTTATCTTAATGATCGAGCTCATGCGCAATCATCTAACACGCTATGTGCGGTGATGATCCTGTTGATTTGTCAATTGTTCCTGGGTCACACTAGACAATGTTGGTCCGGGCATGCGGAAGGGGCAGCGCAGATCCTTAAAGCGCGAAAAAAAGTAAACCGCGTGATCTTTTCGAGAAGAAATTGTTCCTCTCGTTACGCGGCAGTGTAGTAAATACCCCCCACATTCCTCCCCCAGCATTCTGTTGCTTGCCATCCCTTGCATACTGGAATACTAATGACATCACAGCTCTTTGAGGGGCTCTTCAACGACCGAATAAGCCTCACTCAGAAAGAATGGGATGATCTCGTTACCAGTGAATTTGATGAAAATACCCCCGAAGGCCGCATGCTTGGCTGTCTGGCCCAAGGTCCTGATCTGATGCGCCGGGGCCGTCAGGTCCTGCAAGTAGGCACCGACGTAACTGTCATTCACGCTGAGGTCTTAACTTTGTACCAAAAATGCAAAGTGAATCTTCTTGAGCTGAAGACTCGAGCAATCGTTAACGATGTCTCGTCCGTTGACATGACAAGCTTCTCCAAGCGTGCCGAGAAATCAGTCAGGGATTTCTTTTATGCACATTACCAGCGCACGTATGGAATCGGGCTGGTCGTGACTTTATTTTTCAATTGCATGCTTGGTGCACTGGTGACGAATGATGAGGAGGACGTTATTGTTTCTTTTGATGCAAAAGAGCTTGCGGAAGAGGTCCTTGCACTCGCAGAGCGATCGGTGATATATCGACCTGTTGGCGCTGGTTATCTGCTTATATGTCTTGCGGCTGCGTGGGCGGCTACTAATGACCCTATGTTGAAAGCAAAGGTCAAGGCTGCGCTAAATGATTATTGTGAGGACTTTAGAGTGAGGGATCCGGTGAATCTGTCCCATGAACTGGAGTGGACAGCTGAGCACCTAAGGCTAGGAGTTCCTTTTCGAATTAATGGGGAGAGTTATTACTCGAACTTATAGAGGTTTGCTTATACACTTGATGAGGTCTGGAATATTGAATACACGATACATGAGATAAGAGCGAGTTTTTGTCTATTCACCGCTAGACTCTTTGATTATCGTGTTTACTGGGTACCATCGCGTGATTTCAACACCATTTTATGTGTACTGGAATGAGCTCTGGATTCTGAAAGCTGAGTAAAATTGTCCGTCATTCATAGGAGAGATGTGGGAGGGGTGAAGATGTAATGGTTTCGGACAAGGAGAACACAAAAATAGTCCGAATTGTATGGACACAGGATGTAGACTCGAGGCGAAAAAAGCATGAGGACGAAAAAGCAAACCCCAGACGCTATGCGAAGAGTAAAATCAGACCAAGTGTGTGAACAAACTATATGGCAGTGCACAAGACCAGGGCCAGGGTCATTGTTGCCAATTTGAAGGATCAACCATGACTTTATAAGAAACAATAGAGCGTATAGGGCAACACTCAAATGTGTTCCAAATGACTTCGCAGACCTGGCATGGTGCGTAAAAATACGAACCCATGGCTGCTGGCATGATGTGCCAGTAAAAGCTATGGAGAATGTCAAGAGCTTCAAAAAGGATAGTAGGATGTGGGAGAAAGGATTTCAGGGAATAGGGCTTGTATACAGGCTTTTAGCAACAACCAAGGCTGACAAACGCATGGATGGGTATTTCTGTGGACTGCAGAAAACAGTAAAGCAGAATGGCAGGCAAAAGAGGAAAAGAATAAGTGGAGACGCCGGCGCTTGGTTCACCACATATCATCGTCATCGTCGTCGTCCAGTTGCACATCGTCACCAAAGGACGAATGCCCATACTGGTAATGGTCCGAGCCGTAAGAATGGCTGTTTTCGTAGCCATGCTTATCATGCCCGTGGGCCTGGTAGCGATCGCGTGGATCATCATCGTAGTCGTACATGGACGCTTCATCATATGCAGTCTCCCCGTAGTGTTGTTGTTGCTGCTGCTCTTGCGCCTATTCAGATTTCGTAGGTTAGTCACCCATCTCCATGTAGGGAGCACAGTCTACACTTACTTCTTGATATCGCTGATATTGAAGGTACTCGTCTGGTTGCTGTTCTCGTTCTCTTTCACGTTCTCGAGATCTGGATGATCTGGATGATCCAGAGGAACCCGCCACCTGGGGATGCATCTGCTGCACCTTTTCCAGATACGAGTACATGAAATTACTCAGCAACACCTGGGAATGAAGAGCTCGGCGAGGATTTGCCAGCTTAATATGGGCCATGCGGTAGATCGCTCGTTCCTCCAGAATGGAGAAACGAGTCCAAGGGTAGTCGACATCTGGCCGAAATTCGCGCATCGGGGGGTCGGGAGACAGGTTTCGAGATGAGTTCTTTCGGTGATGAGAACTCTCCCCGCTATGCTTTTTCCTCCCACCACCAAATATCGAAGAAAATATGCCATCCTTCTCTTTTTTGTCCCCCGAGGCTCTTCGAGCACCATCCTTCCGTCGCTCTTCCTCCAATTTGGGGTCAAGGCGGTCAATAATGAGACTTGCACGGCCTTTGGGGGTGCTGTCCAAGGAGGAATGGGATGGTGGATCGGAGCGCGTACTGCTGCTGTAACCCTTGTCGGCAATCTTCGACTTGGCTTTTCTTGAGTCACTGTCTCTTTCCTTCTTCTTCTCCTTCTCTTCGCCTCTCATTTCTTTCACCCAATGCCAGGTTGACTTGCGGCCGCCATCGTTCTTCTCCTTCTCCTTCTCTTTTTTGGACTTCTTGCCCTCTGCCTTGCGGTCTTCGGATCTGCGCTCTTCAGGAATGGTCGGAATGAATGATAGGCTGTCCGTACGAGTGCTGTTTCCGGGTATCATCTGGGGGTTATTGGCAAAATCATTGAGAGTCGGGGTTGTTTCTCGGCCCTGTCGACTCGGCCCCATTAATGATCGTTTGCCGGGGGTCGAATCCATGGACGAATTCGTTGACTTGGGTGAGTATGAGGATGTGGCATCGCGGTCCGATGAGTGACTAGATTGTGATGGCGGGATATGTGATGAGCGACTAGGTTCGGTGGCTTGCGGTTCGACAATAGAGGGGATAGTTGGTTCAATGGATGGTGTATTGGTAGATTGGCCGTTGGAATTGGGATGTGATTGCCATTGTCGAGCAACGTTCGCTTGCGCTTCGGCGTCTGATTGGATGAACGCGGCATCCGGTTGTGCACCAGCTGACATGGCTCCATGTTCGGCTTCTGGGTTGTCAAGGGTTGAGTCGAATCCTGGACTGTTCGTAGAAGCCGGAGTGTGGGCTGCAGCTCGGGATGGTGGTAATGGGGTCTTGGCTGTTCGAGTTGCTGGGGCGGAATCCGATGTTACTCGAGTGAGACCCAGTATGGCTTTGTCATCGGGCGAGGGAACAATCGCTGGAGCCGAGTCCGCAGATTCCGAGAGGCCCCGGCCTATTCGTTTGGAATAAGGTGGTTTCTCGCCCTTTTTCAAGCTACCCTTGCGGTACTGTGTTCGAGTTGACCGCCGCAAGCTATGTCCTGGGGGCGCTGGCGGTAGAATGGGCCTATCCTCGTTTGCATTAATGCTTGCATTTTGCATATCCCGGATCAATGTATCTTTATTTGACGAAGAATCATCAACCAGAGTTTCTAACTCTTGCAGGTTCGGACCCAGCATCCCATCTCGCCTACTTGTTTGCGAACGTTGGCGCTCCAGCCGCTCTGCACCATCTGTATAACCAGCAGAGTTATCTATCTGCTTTGACAACATCGACCGCTTCCGACGAAGACTGCTTTGGGACCCTGGTCGTTCCGGTCCGAGAGAGGAGTAGTCGCCCGATTTCCGTTTGATCAAATCGGCTTTGCTCTCGAGAAATGACTTGAACTCCCCGGGGGCCAACTCTGGATGTAAACTCGCTGGAACCCAAAACAACCGTGACGCATCGTTCTCATCGGCGGAGGGAGAGGGTGGACTGGGTGGAATGGAAAGGTTACTGCCAAACGATGGAAGGTCGGGATCGCCAGCAGCCGCGACATCCATCGACATGCGCCGAATGGCTGCAAGGTTGTTCAGTTCCTGGACTACCGCGGCGGGATCTGATTCGTAGTCCACATCGTTGAGAGGGAAGGAGGACCTCGCGGTTTCTGAGGGAGATCGAGTTAGCTCGGGCGAGCCGGGATCGCTACTTCGATCAAAGGACCGAGGGGAGACCAGTGGCGGGCGGAGATGTCCATTTGTCTGCTTTTGACCCTCGACCGGTGAATTTTGTTGGGATGCCTGGGAAAGCTCGGAATTGGCGGCTCCTCGCGGAATAGTGGTGATAGACTCGGCATGGGGAGACGATATATAGCTCAAACGCCTAAGATCACGGTCGTAGTCATCGTCGTACATGTGCCCGATCGCCTCCGTTACATGGTGGCTAGGGTCGCTGATCGACAAATGGGTTGCATGTCTCCTCGTCGCGTGTCCTCCGCTTGCCTCAGGGGCACTCGTGGAAGCCTGGTCACAGTAAAAAACCTCTAGTCAGCATGGGCAATGACACTCCTTTTCCAGGTTATGGGTACTATTCAATGGGATATAATCGCGAAGCACGTGTGGGATGGGGGTGTTGGAGGGGTCCGGGTGTGCGTGACGAGGGGGGCAAATAGGCAATCGTCGCGGCCTATACTGAGGCTTTCACGAAAAGGCAAGAGCTCAAGATAAAATCAATATAGAATCACAAGTACGCACCTGCATGGGAACCAGCTCCACAGGAACCAAAAGGGCCCAAATAACCCAGAAGACGGGGATGCCTTCTCACGGAGGGGGGAGGGGGGCAGAAGGCTCAATGTACCACGAGAAACAGATCGATCATCGAAGCGGGGGGGTATGGAACGAAAATAGAGGATGGCACTAGACCAACCGTCATTAGAAGAAAAGGTGGAAAAGGCTCCAGAGTAAGAATGGGAAGAAAGAATGGAGAAGTTGGGGAATTGTGATAATTTAGCGGGCGGAGTCAGTGGTCACAGCACCTGACTTATTTAATTTGTTTCTCATTCTTCTAAGTGATTTTTTTTATCTTTCTCATATAAAGCCTTTCTCTCTTTCTTCCATTTTCTATTCTTTATTACTGGGTTCGCGCAACCATCTTTTCTCCATTTTCTCTTTGGTCCCCACTTTTCGTGAGAAACGAACAGAAACGGGCCATAGAGCCTAGCCAAGGGACGATCACTTACTGACCCAGGGTTGAGGGTTGATCGACATAGATTGGGCCATCTAATGTCTTTCTCTTTCTTTTCTAGAGGACATAGAACAGTCCTTGCTAAGAAACTCGATGTGTGCCATTGAAAACTTCCAAGGTTTGAGCCCAACCTTAACCACCCCAAGATTTGACACTAAATTATACACTAATCTATATTAATCCAATTGCAATTTATACTGTTCCTCGCTAGTGCTAATAGGTGGTCCGGCTTCAGACGGCGATTGATGATCCATTTTGGTTCGAATTTCAACACTGTCGTATGACCATTCTCTAGAACCATAGACAGCTTGACCATTTCCTTGATCTGTGCTCTATTTTGGTTGTGACCAAGTACCTACTAGATCATTTTATTTCCATGGATGTGCATGTTGATTTCATGATTAGAGCTCTATTTGTTTTTCCTCTTACAAGGACAAAAACATCCTTAGTAGCACAAATTCAACCTAGTACACTAAGTGGACAAGGTTCTAGGGCTCAGGGGGCGCTTTCAGTGTTTCCCTGCAATCATATAAGCGCCCGTAAACAGGGAAGGGGCCGTGTTACTCTACACGGCGACGGGGCAATGGACAGAACTTGTGAAAGCATCAGGGCTATTGCTACAGAGGTATACTATACGTAAGCCGGAGTACATGGGTCTATTAGATTATGAAGCGGAAATTCAAGGTTATTTGCAAGCGATGATAGGTAGATAGAAGGCGGAACGAGGACTCTAAGAACGTGCTGAACGGAAGGATCCACTGCGCAAAACGCAAATAAACGTAATCCCAACGCACCTTGGACCAGGCGCTATGCCGGAACAGACAGGAACCAGAATAAGAACTGCAGCGCCCGTGTAATGGAAGAAAAAAGTAAAATGACAAAACGCAAGTGGGAATTTGAAAATGAGGGAGAAAAGACACGAATCCACATACGCCCCCAACTAAATATTCATCCCTATCCGATCATGTCTTCATATGCCCACAATTCGTAAGGAGTACTGGACGATCATATTTGCACGACAAACTTAGGAGGTATCAACGTAGTTGCTGGGAATGCAGTTAGCTATTTGGAGCTCATGCTCATACCTTGGGGGATCTTCAATGCTTACCTCGGGAAAATACCGACGCGATCGCCGATACGACCAGTCCACCAATCCTCTGCCTTCTCTGTTCGCTTGATAATTGTGATGATATCGCCCTTCTTGAATCCCAAGTCACCTTCCTGGTCCGCATCAAATGTGTAAAGTGCGACCACCTGGTCCTGCCGCAGTCCCGCACCAGCACCCGTCTTTTGCCCAAAGACCGGCTTGGGGGCACTAGGCCGGGTAGGCCGACGGTCTGAGTAGGCATAGTCGTCGTTGTCATACGTGTTGCTCCTGCTGCGCCCGTAGTTGTCATAAGTATCAGCCGGGGGAGCGCGCGTGGTAGCCGAGCGACCTAGGCCTCCTGCCGGCCGATCATAGGTATCGTCTGCCCAGGTGTTTGTGCGTCGGGGGCTATCGCGATATTCATAGTTGTCCTGGGTGTTTGATCGTTCCCGTCGTGCACCTTGGCCATAGGCCGAGCCTCTTCGGCCCTCCCAAACCACATCGTCATGACTATCGTCGTAAACCGGCACGTCGTTGTACATCGCATCGCCCTGCGCTCGGACGTTGCCTTGGAAGATACGTGAATCGAGAACGCGCATCAGGGCATCGGTGGATGGGGGTGGCCGAACGGTACCAGTGAGAAGCTGACTGGCCGATACCCTGCTTTGATACATCTTCTCGTTGGCATCTTTGCGCTCCACTAGCATACTACCCTCCAGACTGACACCGGCGAAAAGTCCCTTAGTCTTTGAGTAGGAGAAGACGGCCGCGACACCCTTTGTGCTGGCTGCACCAGCGGCTTCTGCGTTTCGACCGACCGGTCCCGCAGCGAGTGAGACATTACCACCCAGTGTAAGTGTGCCGAATTGCGAGAATGCGCGGACAGCCGAGGCGTCATTTAGAATGAAGACAAAGTCAGTCAGTTCGAATCCGATCTGGCCACCGACACCCGCGCCAGCGGTGAAAATGGCGGAAGGAGCCGACCAGGTGCCATCAGCAAGACGAGCGACAACGAGACCTGAACCGAATCTACCAGAGCCAATAAATCCGGCTTTCAGAACCGTCAGAACCGCCAAGCCCTGGAACACGTCGTATGTCAGCGGGCCATCCCCAACCCCGCGTTGAAGGGGTTTCACTCACCTTTGCATTGGCCAAAATCTCTGGTGGAATGACCTTGTCTGGACCGAAAGCCTGCTTTGGATCAACGAAAGAGGTCAAGATCTTTGCCACCTTCTTGCATTCACCTGGTTGTCGGAAGAGGGATTGTTAGCCGGACATGCCGCGAGCGATTGCGGGGAAGCGGGCAGAGGAGAAAGGGAAATGCATACTGCTCAAAGACGACGGTAGTGGATTATGGATCCCGAGAGGCATCCTGAAGGCGTCAAAGAAGAGAGAGTGAAGACCGAGAGGAGAAAAGGCTGACAAGGCGAGAAGGCTGTTAATCGGACTTCCCAAGGTCGGGTAGGTTAGTCAGGAGGATGGGGCTGAATGTGGGCCCAATGACGGACGCGGGATAACGGCTTGTGGTTGGTGTTGTACCTGTAAACCCTGAATCTTGTACCTAGATCTGTTTTCTATTGATTGAATCTCCGTCTACTATCACTGAAAGATCACTGAATGGTGACCTCTGCTCAAACGGCGTTTATGTACCCAACAAGGTCCGGCCTGATCCCCTCTTTCTTAAATTTATAGTGGCGCAGTCATCATGTACAGCCTCGCTTCGAGCCGCCGGAAGGCCTGCAACCACAAAGTCAAAATTCATGACTCCCCCGGGCTTTACGATGCCCTCTAATTAATATCTCAATTTCTCTCTCACTGTCTTAGGACTATAGAACCGTGGAGGCAGGCGACCTAGCCGATTGCAGTAGAACCCTGGAATGGAATTAGTATTTACATATATGTTTCTTATTGATGTGCTCGAAAATCAGTATGGAAACCATGTATCCCTAGATGGATGTATTCCCAACAAGGTTGGTTAATGCCTAAACCCATTTACTAGGTACTCCAAACAGGAAATATAAATCCAGTAGGCACATGTCTGGCCGGATGTTCATGGAAAGAACGGAAGCGCGTGTCGGATGCTGCTGGCTGATGTAGTTAAACATTTTGGAGGATATTTTCAGGTCGAATGGGTTGCAAACCTCGATGTCATATCGATAGTGTGATTTCCATAAACCATTTAAGTGCATGAACACGGTGAAGGCCAAATTACGTAGTTATAAACCTTAGCTAAAGCGGTGGGAGTTATTGCCGCGGCCCCGACACAACTCTCGTTATCATTTCCAAACATCCTTGGAACCCCGGATTATCGCCGGTTACTCGGTTATGCTTCGACTGTAACTAATTTTGTCGCCTCGCAGATGGCCACAGGTACTGTGATTCGAAAAACGGCAACATTGACGCGCTATTGACTTATCTTTCTCTAGTTCGGATTTGTGTCTGCGGCGACGAAGGCACCGGCAAGTCCAGCCTAATCACTTCGCTGGTTAAGGGTGTCTTCGTCACAAATAAGATTCAGCCTGTCCTTCCTCAAATAACCATCCCTCCTACGATCGGAACACCGGAGAATGTGACCACAACCACTGTCGTTGACACCTCGGCCCTGCCGCAGGAACGGACTAACCTGGCGCGCGAGATCCGCAAATGCAACGTCATCCTCCTAGTGTACTCCGACCATTACAGCTATGAGCGTGTCGCGCTATTTTGGCTACCATATTTTAGGTCGCTTGGAGTCAATGTGCCCGTCATTCTATGCGCCAACAAATCAGACCTGGCAGGGAGCCACAACGAGGCGCAGGTCATCGAGGAGGAGATGTTGCCTTTGATGTCCGAGTTCAAGGAAATAGACTCTTGTATTCGCACGAGCGCGCGTGAACATCGCAACGTTAATGAAGCGTTCTTTGTCTGCCAAAAAGCCGTTACCCATCCTATCGCGCCATTGTTCGATTCAAAGGAGGCTGAATTGAAGCCGGCAGCGGTGGCAGCGCTACAGCGCATCTTTTACCTGAGTGATCAGGACCGCGATGGATACTTGTCGGATAAAGAAATCGGAGATTTTCAGACTAGGTGTTTTGGCAAACCCCTGAGTGAAGAGGACTTGGCCCACATCAAGGAAACCATTCAGAAGACCTATCCTGAGTCTGTGACTGAGTCCGGGATCGATTGCCCCGGATTCATTCATTTGAACAAGCTATATGCAGAGAAAGGGCGCCACGAGACTGTCTGGATTATCCTGCGAGCTTTTCAGTACACCGATAACCTTTCGCTACAAGAGAGCTTCCTACATCCTCGTTTCGAAGTCCCACCTTTTGCATCTGCAGAACTTTCCCCCGAGGGTTATCGATTTTTCGTGAATTTATTCCTTCTCTCGGACAAGGACAATGACGGTGGTCTGAACGATGCTGAATTGTCATCTTTGTTTGCACCGACTCCTGGCCTACCCGCATCTTGGGCCGACGGCTCATTCCCCTCTTCAACAGTCCGCAATGAAGCTGGACATGTGACGCTTCAGGGCTGGTTGGCCCAATGGAGTATGACGACTTTTATGTCTCCAAAGACCACGTTAGAATACTTGGCCTATCTGGGCTTTGAGTCTTCGGACCGAAGCAACCCCTCCACCACAGCCGCATTGAAAATGACAAGACCCCGTAAACGGCGCCGGCGCCCTGGTCGAGTCGGGCGCAATGTGGTGCAGTGCCACGTTCTTGGAGCACCCGGGTCAGGCAAATCTGCCCTACTGGATGCCCTCCTTTCGCGTGGTTTCAGTACGACCTACCACCCCACCATTCAGCCCCGCACCGCGGTCAATACAGTCGAGCTGCCTGGCGGCAAACAATGCTACCTCATTATGGACGAGATGGGCGAATTAGAGCCCGCCATTCTTGAAAACCAGACGAAACTGCTTGATCAGTGCGATGTGGTCGCGTACACATACGACTCGTCAGACCCGGACTCCTTTGCATATATTCCCGCACTACGCGCCAAGTATCCTCATCTAGAAGAACTCCCCAGTGTCTTCATAGCTCTAAAAGCCGACCTAGACCGCACAACTCAAAGGGCGGAGCACCAACCCCACGAGTACACAGCCATGCTAAACATGCCCAGCCCACCACTGCATGTCAGCGTCACCTGGAGTTCTATCCAAGAAGTCTTTGTTCATATCGCCGAGGCCGCGATGGAGCCTAGCACAGCATTTCCTCGTAGCGAGGAAGATGTTGAGGGCAAATGGATGTCATGGGGTATTGCGCTTGGGGCGGTGGTCTGTGCCGGAGCGGCTGCCGTAATGATATGGCGCCGAGTCAGTGGCAGTGGGAATTGAACCTTGTTGAACTGCATGTAGAAAATATCATAATAATACCCCATGGAAATATTTCTCTCTCTTCAATTCCCTTCTCACATTCTATATTTAAATGTAAAGTGATGCAGATTAAATGCCTTAATCTCTCTCGGTCGTCCGGAGTTAACCCGGGAGCCCCGCCTGCCCGCCAGGCACGAGACTTCTCCGCTCGCCTTTTACCCCGGACCATCGTCTCGCTGATCTCTACGTTTCCTCTTCTCCTCACAATCCCTTCCTTTCTTCGCCCCCCACAGTCCATTGACAGGAATACCTACGTTTCCGCCTTCACACAGCATTAGTGCGACATTGTTCTCTTTCTGACCGTTCAGGACTAGGATCTTATCCGACCGAACCGGGCTGTGCCTGACCTGTTTGAGCTAAAGCTGTACCATCCTCGCCTATTCGGCTCGGAGGAAGAGAAACTTAGTCCGGCGCTATAATTCCCTGCACAAGCTGCAGTGACAATCAGAGGGTCTCGTCGAATCACAAGTCGGTGTGCTGATTGCGAGTCCGAGCTGCAAGTGGGTTGGTTGCACAGGTTTATCTGGTCAGAACTGGAACTATAGTTCAACAATCCAATCGCCATGTTGTAAGACAAGCCCCCTTGATATTAATTCTTCCGTCTTTTCCCGTTGCCGCCTAGCAATCGCTGGCGAGCTCGCTATCTTCAAGACGTCATAATCGCATACCCGGCCCAAAGTCATTGATATGCGATACACGTCATGTGTCGATAGTGATATCGATGCGACAAGAGTGTTGCTGCTGTTCCTGAAGTTATTTTTATATTATTTTTTTCTTATTTCACTGACCATATCAACAGTGTTTTACCACCTCCACCTCCCCGCTATACTATCCCTGTCGCCTACGCGGCGGGGGCGGCAAATGGTATGGCGGTCCCAGTTGTCGAGACGAACAACACCATTAGCCACCCGGACGGTGGATGCCCACTGCAGGTTGGAGAAGGTACGTCTGAGAGCCACTCATTTCCATGGTTATGGCTGTCTGGTTACACACACCTTACCTCCAAAGACCATATTGCTGACTGCTGGGCATTGTTCTAGGAACCTACACACTCAAAGACGACCTCCTCCTGGCAACACCTCCTCCTCACCCTTCTGAGGCCCCGATCATCAATCCCAACCCTCTTGCGACGGTTCCCAATCCCCCCACATCTGGTGTAAAGTTGTCTTTGGTCAGCCTCGACCCTCGCAAGAAGCCACCAACCTTCCTTAAGGGAGCCGTCTCCGCTCCTCAATTTGGAGATGGAAACCCCGCGCTTGCGCAACCAGCACCACCTGCAAAGGATGCACTGAAGCGACGAAAGCCCAAGAATAACATCATTAAGAGTAGCTCATCTTTTGTCTCGCGGGTGATCACTCACGAGACATCGGCCAAGCGATTGAGTGACCGCGATCCAAATGGAACCTTCGCATTTGCCAACATCAATCGTGCATTTCAATGGCTCGATATCACCTCGGCGTCCAAGGAAGAGCATCTCACAAAAGTTTTGTTTACCAAGGCTCACATGTTGTGCCATGATATCAACGAACTGACCAAGACCTCGTCTCACTTGGACATTGTGATGGGATCTTCTGCGGGGGACATCATTTGGTATGAGCCCTTATCGCAGAAGTACGCCCGCATCAACAAAAACGGTGTGATCAACAACTCCCCTGTGACACATATCAAATGGCTTCCTGGATCAGAGAATCTCTTCATGGCATCACATGCGAATGGTGTTTTGGTGGTCTATGACAAAGAGAAGGAGGATGCCTTGTTCACAGCAGAGAACACCGGCATCCCGGAGAGAGACCCTAGCCAGTACCCCTTGGAGATTCTCAAATCAGTCAACTCGCGAAACCAGAAGACCAACCCCATCTCATCATGGAAGTTGGCCAGCCAGAAAATCTCTCACTTTTCGTTTTCACCAGATCAGCGGCATTTGGCAATCGTTATGGAGGATGGTTCTCTACGCCTCATGGATTATTTGAAAGAAGAGTGGGTGAATAACATACTTGTCAAATTGCCATCGCTAACAAAAAGTAGGGTTCTGGATATTTTCAGAAGCTATTATGGTGGGTTGATCTGTTCCTGTTGGTCACCCGATGGGAAATACATTGTCACAGGTGGCCAGGATGATCTTGTAACAATTTGGTCATTCCCCGAACGGAAAATTGTAGCTAGATGTCAAGGTCACAACTCGTGGGTGTCATCAGTAGCCTTCGATCCTTGGCGCTGTGACCAGAAGACCTATCGATTTGGCAGTGTCGGTGATGACTGCAGACTACTACTTTGGGATTTCAGCGTTGGAATGCTCCATCGCCCTCGTGCGGTATGTTTTCTATTGTCCATTTTTGGTGTTGCCTTTTGTCTAATATCCTTCAACAGCATCATCAAAATTCTACCAGACAACGCACTAGTGTTGTTGCACCGAGCTCCCAGTCTATTCGCCACCGTGCCGACAGTTGGGGCAATCGGATGAGATCCGATTCTGAAAGGACGGAGAACACATACGACGATGTCGAGCCATTGACCAGCCATCCTGTTGAACCTCGGTCGCGGACTGCTCTTCTGCCACCGATTATGGTACGTTATTTTCTAGTGAATTGCATTCTACGTAGTTGACTAACCTTGGGATATAGTCTAAAATCGTAGGCGAAGACCCCATTTGCTGGCTAGGATTCCAGAAGGATTGTATCATGACATCCTCCCTTGAAGGTATGGATCAACTCCTCTAGGCTTTTCGTCGCAAATTTACTAATTGGTTGGATCAAGGTCACATTCGCACCTGGAATCGCCCAAATGACAGCGTGGTCAAGTCATGACGAGAGTTTTTAAATTGCTGGCTATGCACAGTCTCTAATTACTGTCGATCTGGAAATTTACTTCGCGATTTTCTTTTTCAGCGTTCAGGAGTAGGATGTCTCATTTTCGTATTTCCCAGATACCCAACTTATCGAACACATTACAAGCTTCAAATTCTTCTACAGTATAGAGTATATGGTCAGTAGAACTGTACTTTCGACCAGTCATTCACAGCTTCACACTGCCCGCTTCTTCCACGTCAAACTCGGTCGTGCACAATAGGAATGTATCCCGAAGGGCCTAGGTAGTAGTCAGTACCAATATATACTACTCAGGCATCGATATGTAAAACGATAAGTCTACTCACCGACAGCCGATACTTCCCATTGATGGCTTGATAATCATCACCAGCCAACATATCGCAAAAATGGCGAATAGAAGGGTAATGCACGATCGAGATCTCATTCCACCACTCATTCGCAGGCCGGTCACTCGAGCCCCGGGAATCCCGTCCCTGGCCAGGCGGCACCACATTCCCGACCAACTTCGCACTTCCACCTCGTTTCCCTGCGACGGGTCCAAACGCTTGACCATACTGATAGTAGTTCTGCTTGCCATTGGGATGGTGGAAGTGCAACAAGTTTAGCATTGTGACGGGCCCCGGGTGTGTTTTCGAGACCGTGGTCATGAAATCCAGCAGCTCGGGGGAAACTTCTAGATTTTGTGATGTGTCTTTGGCACCGTCGTTTATAATCTTATCTAGGGAGCCGGTGAGCGGGATTGAAGATGCATTGGCCTTGAGCTCGGCATCTCGGGCCGGATAGCTGGTGATAAGCTTTGATGGAATCCCGGTAGTGAGCTTGTATTCGGAGATGATTGATTGGCGGAGTTCGGATGGGATTGGATCTTCGCTTGGTGCTGAGGTGCTCTGGAGGAGGAGCAAGAGGTCCCACTTTGTCGTGGCTAGTGGGCTGTTGTCTAGAATGGATGGGTGGATTACGGTGTGCCTGGGACGTGAGGCGACGACGACTTTGGTTGTGGATTGTTTGAGCTGGTGGATGAATGATTGGGGGTCGGTCGCTTTGTTAAGCGTGAGGAGATGAAGAGTGAGTACAGGCATGTTCAAGGTGATGGGGTATGTCCGTGAGAAAGCTCTGGAGATGTTCAAGCAATGGGAATGAAAAGTGGTGGAAGCAATGATAAATGTCCCAATGCATGCGGGGAAAATGAAATGATCGACAGTCCAACCGAGGTTCAAATGGATACACTTGATTGGCTGGGTTCGGGAGCATTCAATATGCAGAACATTAATGCAATTCATATTAAGATAAAGGACATAGCATAATTTTCGACTCAGAAAAACAAATTTAAATCTCAAAATCCAATCACAGCACAAATAAAGCGCAAATCAAACTATATCTTCCTCATCATTATCCCGCACTATGTCAGGAACGCTCATCATAGACATCACATTCTTCCGTCATATATTTTGATTTAGGTTAAATGAAGAACTTGTCGCTCTCAGTACAGCCGGAAAGAGCTATAATGATAATCAAAGTGCCAATGCAAAAAGTCCCAGCAGCAAGCTGCCGGCCTGACTCGGAGGCATAAGGTAGCCAGCGGCGTTCGAGGTGCTAGTAGCCGATGCGCTCTCAGTGGAAGTCGCGGTCTTCGTATGCTTAGTAGTGGTTGACGTTTTCATGGAGGCCGTGGTAGAAGAGCTCGCTAATAGAGACAAGTCAGTACTGAGAAAAACCGGTGATCAGTGGTCAAAAACAGCATATAAAACTTTGGAAACCAAAACATGGCACCATTTACTCACCACTTGTAGTGGGGCTAACGGTGTGTGACGAATAAGGAGTGCGAGAGAAAGAGAACGATGACATAGAGGAAGACAGGGTCTTCATGGAAGACATAAAAGAGGAGGACATAGTAGAAGAGGGAGTCTTTGTGGAAGACCAGAATGTAGACGACATAGAGGATGAAGGGGCTGATGTAGAGTGAGTTTTGGAAAATTGCGAAGAGCTTGTGGCTGAAACAGTGCTTGAAGGGGGTGTGGTCCATGAAGAATAACTGGATGACGCAAAAGGGGTGGACGCACTGGTAGAACTCGTCATAGCAGATGAGGTATGGGCAGAAGAAGAAGTAGGTGAAGCAGTAGATGAAGGAGAAGTGGCAGAGGTAGACGCACTGGTGGAGGTGTGAGTAGCGCTCGTAGAAGCAGTAGAAGAAGCTGTTGGAGAAGAAGTATGAGAAGCAGAAGTCGAAGAACTCATCATAGTCGACGATGAGATGGAAGTAGAAAGCATAGAAGTCGACGCATATGTAGAGGCAGAAGTAGATAAACTTTCACTAGCAGTACTGGTTTTCTTACCAGAGCTAGAGGCTTCAGAGGCCTTGGATGGAGTCACTTTAAACTGCTGCGACTGAGCCAGAATGCCACCACCAGTTGTGGACACAAAGTTGACTTGATAACCGCCACTGCAGTGTGAAATCAGTATTTCAGAACATCTTCGCTTGATGGCAACATTTACATACCCAGTGTCAACATCATTAACCTCCTTGGCTTTGATGACGTATTTTCCGAGACTGGTATCTACACCTGTAGCAACCACTTCTTGGGTGTTGGGGTACGCATTCTGATTGACCAGATAAATATCCATCTTAGGGGGGTCGGTCCTAGGTACCATATTCAATACTCTGTTGGCTCATAAAATCATTCAAAGTACATTCACTCACGACACAGCTTCCCATCTGACTGTGATGGTGTCATCCTGGGGCACCTTTTCATCAATGGCTGGACTGATGATACGGAGACCTGATGAAATAGTTATTAAATTAATCGGTTTCTTAAAGCCTTCATATCCGTACCTGCAGCCGTAGCGGCGAAAGCCAATAGGTATGAAGAGAAGGCGATGCGCATCGTGACCGATCAAATCAATCACAAACTATACTGTAGAAGGGAAAGGAAAAATGATCGATATTATTCTCAAATGGAATGATAGGCCAGAAGGTTGGAAAAAAGAAACAGATCTAGAAGAGTGGCCGAAAGAGCAATATCTTATAAGATTTCCAGAGACATGGGAAAGCTCTTGGATCTCCTAGGGTCCTCCTCATGCCTTGTCAATCTTTATTTTTGGACTAGGGTACTTGTTATGTTCTCACGCGTCATGTCTCATGGTTCAAGATTAAAAGGAGTACAAGAGGCAAAACGCAGGGACTGTATTCTCTGAGCCTCGGAAAGCCGTATAGTTTATTGTAGAAAAACGAAGATTCTGGGTGCCATAGCTTGCAAAGGGTTGATGTTGGTTCAAATTAAAACCTTGACCCGGCTAGTTCATGCCACACAACCTATTTAATTGAACCGGCCGCGCGTCATAATTTCTGCGCAGTGCCTGTTTGTGTTGAAAGTGAGATAGGTATGTTGCACCTTGCCTCTTCTACCGCAGGCAATTGGCTAGGGTACATGGCCCCTGAGGGTACCGCTGCAGTCCGTTTAGCACACCGCAAGTACTGACCACAGGGCCCTACTTACAAACGACTGTGGTTACTCAGTCTAAATTATATAAAGGTCAAATTTGCTGACCATTGCCACCAGGTTTGATTTTTCCCCTTGAAAGTTGAGCTATGCCTTGCTTGATATGAATAGATCAGATGTGAACCCGGAGGGGGGAGGCGATTGGGTTAATTTAGCACTTATCAGATCAATCAAATTTTCATCCATCGCTTACTCAAGGCTCAGAGCTTTGGTAAAACGCCAAGAAGATAATCCGACGGCCTAAGCACATCAGAAAAGCTGGATTCCTTGCACATGGTCTCGGAAAGTCACCATAGACCCTTGTAGCACAAAGGCAAGGGCCGAGCCCATTTGGGTTTTCAACTTGACTTCTTTCTTCGCGCAACACGGAAATGTCATCGTGAGCTCGCTAACTCTACCGAGCTTCACAGATCTCCAAGGCTGTCATGTTGCATATCGCGACTCTTTGGCTATTGTTTAGGAAGAGTCAAACGCGGCTGCCTTGGGACTAACATCCTACATGACCGGCTATACTCGTACAGCATAATCAGTAATTCGGAATCGCCATGATTGGACAATGGCTGGTGGAAACTAAAATACTTCAAATGCTGGTCGGATTGGGTTGCACTTTAGATCCTTGTTATGGTTGTTGCTGGCAAAATGTCACATTCAGGCCTGACGCGTATTTGTGTTCTCCGACGCCTCCATAATGGTCGGACTGAGATCCAAGTCTTGTTGTCATTTTTATATGTGTATTCGCCCAGGTGATTAGATAAGGGACATTTAGGGCTTGAGTGAGACATTCAGGATTCCCGAAGCTATATGATGCTTTTTAACAACTTCCTTCAAACCTTAGATATTGAAAGTATATGCTTATCCAGGTTTCAATCCTTCCATCTCCTTACACAGAGATTTTTGGCCTGCGTGCGTATCTGAAGATCACTTGGAAGAATAAGATGAAATTGTCACCTAGGTGGGCAGGACCATGGGCTATATCTTCGGAGGTTCGAAATGGCCAGGTCTCTCGCCAGCATAGGCTCCTCCCGGTGCTCTCTTTATAATGTGCTACGAAGTTACTATAATCCAGCTAATATACCAGTTTAGTAGGAAAGAATCATATTCCTGAGGCTTTAGACACCTGGCTATTGTGCCAGAAATGTTCTCCGTTCTCTGACTCGACTTTATCGCAGCTCCGGTCTTACTCGAATCAGGGAACGGACCTCAATGGGGTAGATGAGGGTCCGATTATGATGTGTTGAAATGAAGATCCGCCTTCAATGGACCCTCTTTAAGGTATGAAAGTAAAAAGACGAAAGCATGAACGTTGACCTGAAATCCAAGGTGTCAGCGTGGGGGGAGGCGGTCATGTTTATACGGCAGAAAAAAACAACGTCAGTCTCTCATGTTACTTCGCCCATACCCTCCAAATGTTCACATCTGCAAGCATCACATTCCCTGCTCATCCTGGCTGTGTACATATCTCTTGTGCTTTTGTGGAACTAATCACAAAGTTCCAGTGATCTTTCTTTCTTATCAAGACTCAAAAAATCATTCCGGGAATGCATCACGTCGTACCCCGCTAATCTCCCCTTGACCGCCTTTAATATCGAGCCATGGGGGATTCCAGTGAGGACATTTGGGCAGTGAGTGGCGATTCATATGCGATCAGAAATTGAAAAATATCTTGAAATTGACATATTCTGGTACTCAAGGAGCTTGAAAAGAGCTATTGCCCACCCGTAGACTCTGCATTGTTTGCCGCGATAGCCTCCGAATATGACTTGACCGTGTCCGAGGATATCAACCAGCTAAAACAATCCTTGGACGCCATTAAGGAACTAGCCATTGAACAGGAGGATCTTCCATTTGATCCGTCCGGTACTGCAAATGATCATGGCTTGGAAAATTTCGACATGAGCGGGGTGCGCTCAGAAATTGGAACATCCATCCATGGCTATGAGTCCCTATGCACCGCAACTGATGTCACCAGCATCTCCGAGGATAGCCGTGATAAGAGTGCTCCGCGCGCAGTATATACAATTGCGGCCGACGGGTCTCTCGAGCTGACCGGAGCGACACTCGACGATAAGACAAATGCCCTCATGGAGATGTTCCCCACAATGACTCGCTTGAACGTGGCCCAGGCATTAAAGACGAGCAGCGAAGATGTCGACAGAGCAATGGATGTGCTGTTGAATCTGTCTTTCTTCGATGAAACACAAGGGGCCGAGGACGATGACAAGATTTTCATCCCTAAAGGCATCGACGGTTTTAATGCTGATAGTGGTGATGCCGGCCGTCAATCTGGACGGAAGAAGAAGCGCAATAAGAAACAAAAGGCACATATTCTCGATGAGAGGTCATATTCAGAGCCTCCAATCGCCAACAAATGGGAGGCTGGTATGGCTGACATCGAGTTCATCTGCTCTCGGGCCCCAGATTTTCCAAGGGAGGAAGTCAACTCTGCCTACCATGCCAATGGGATGTCTCTGCCAGCGACTATCCGAGCAGTGGCCCTTGCTGAAGCTCCCAAAGATCCAAGTGAGGTTGATGATGACCCAGTAATGCTGGCACAAGTGACCGAACTCTCGCATGACTATCCAACCATTCCGAGAGCCACTTTGATCGGGCTACTCAGAGTCACCTGCAATCTTATCTCGGCAACAAACGAATTAGCCGCAGTGATGGTTCAGCAGCCTCAGACCTCAGCTCATGATATCATCAAATTGAGTGCCGCTCCGCTTGATCTCACGCAAGATAATGAGGTTGAAGATGGTCCTGTCCGTCGTCGAGGAGCCCCCAGAAGTACTCTCGGTTACGAACAGGCTCGGGCAGCTGCTGAAGTTCATTTCGCGGCAGGCTCTTCCGCATATCAGCAAGCAAGTCAAGCCGCCCGTCGCGCCAAGTCCAACCCCCTCTTCGCTGGTGCAACTGCAGTCTATCGCGAACGGGGACAAGAGCAGCGTGCGCTCGCGATGAATCACCTAGCGACAGCCTCGGACAGGCTTGTGGACCGTCAGTCGACCAGCTGCGATCTTGATTTACACGGGGTTAACGTGACTAATGCCGTTCGCATTACCCGCGAACGAGTTGAAGCCTGGTGGAACAATCTGGGAGATATCAAGCATGTTCGTGGAGGCGGTAAGCACGTTCATGGCGGGTACAAGATCGTCACTGGTGTGGGTAACCACAGCCATGATGGCACATCCCGCCTGGGGCCCGCTGTTAGCAAAATGCTGATGCGAGAAGGGTGGCGTGTGGAAGTCGATCGAGGATGTCTCGTTGTCACAGGGAAGGCTCGGAGCTGAGATCTTCTCCGACTGTATAAAGATCATTTATGTATCTGTTTGATCTATCTGGATACATTCGTCTCAAGTTAGTGTTGTTTACTACTTATTAATGGGATACCCGCAACATAGCAATGGCGTCGATTGGTTCGGTTTTGGGTCAGACCCATCTAATACATCTGCTAATAAATTTTGATAATCGATTAGAGAGGTGTTGCTCTCACTTGTTGGATTGAATGTGCCTAGATCTAGTATCTTCCATGGTTCACATTCGCCGCTCCCCGCAGTGATGACGTAAAAAGCCTGGACCTCAAGCTCACTTGGACTTCCTCATAAAGCTCCATGAACAAAATACATCATTGAATCCTCCTCCATGCGTTCCCAAGCTGCGCGTATAATCAAGACCCCTCTTAGGCATCGTGCCCTCGTTCAGCCTGCAACGCTACTCCGACCCTACTCTACCTCCGCCCGCAACACTCGTCCGACAGTAGGCTCCAAAGTACTCCGAGCCGCCCCGACGATCCCATTCTTTGGCGCCTTCTTCAGCTCAAACAAGCCTGACGACTCAAAAGAAAATATGTCGTATCCTGATCAGCGAAGCGAAGCCGAGTGGAGGGCGGTTTTGAATCCTGGTGCGTGTTTGGCTCCCGAATGACAAGCCATCCGAGAAGCCATCCATGCTAACGTTGCTTGAACTTATAGAGCAGTTCCGGATCCTCCGCGAGAAGGGAACAGAGCGCCCCGGCACTGGTGAATATGATTCCCACTCTCCTTCGACTGGTGTATATAACTGCGCCGGTTGCAACGCACCACTGTACAAGGCCGACCACAAATTCAAGTCTGGCTGTGGTTGGCCTGCCTATTTTGACTCTATTCCCGGTGCTGTAAAGAGACATGTGGATAGCACCTTTGGTATGAAGCGCACGGAAATTACCTGCAGCAACTGCGGAGGTCATCTTGGTCACGTCTTCGAGGGTGAAGGGTATCCGACCCCGACCGATGAGCGTCACTGTGTGAATAGTGTTAGTCTGCGGTTTACAGAGGATGAAGGGACCAGTGGAAAGCCCAAGGCGTAATTCAATAAGTGACCCATTGCAGATCATTAAACAATAATTTAAGGTGTTCTAGAAAAGAAAACAAGGCTTCCATGAGTACTTTGTATGCGGGCATCAAAGGACCCTGGGGCCCGGGGTCCATTGACCACAAACCAGCCAACGGACCAACCATATCACAGGAACACTGTAAAAGTACTAATTTTGCAGGAAGTGACACTTTGCCATATTACCTCATATTATATCATGTAGAAGATATATTCGGAAACCAATTTTCAATTCAATTTTCAAGTCAATTTACCTTAAACTGCGGGTGTGGCAGCCCTGACCCGCCGTACTTGCCCCTGCAAGCCAAGGTTAGGCCGCATTGTTCACTTCAGTCCCCATTTCCCGCCACTTGCGCTTCTTCCTTTCCTTGCCAACTATTTCCCGAGAACGCTCAAGATCATGTCTCGACGCGCGACCCCGGGCCAGGCTGCCCAGAACCAGCAGACAATTAAGAGTTTGCTGAAACTCGAGTCCAACAAGATCTGTGCCGACTGCAAGCGCAACAAGCGTGAGTGTCCACATCCCTCCGACTGCCCGCCCACGGGCTCGTATAGCACGCTCTTATACGAGCCCAGTTGGTTTCCACAATACAATTACTAATTATACTTGCTCAATCCAGATCCGCGATGGGCATCATGGAATTTAGGTGTCTTTGTTTGTATCCGATGCTCGGGTATCCACCGTGGAATGGGCACACACATCAGTCGAGTTAAGTCCGTGGATCTCGATACCTGGACCGATGAACAAGTCCACAGTGTGGTTAAATGGGGCAATGGGCGGGCAAACAAGTTCGTTACAAGCAATTGACCGTGTGGACAATGTAGCTAACGGTAAATAGGTACTGGGAGGATAAGCTAGCACCCGGCCACGTCCCATCTGATGCGTGAGTGAACTCCAACTGATCGTACCTATGGTCGCGATTACTGACGGTACACATCAACAGTAAGATCGAGAACTTCATTCGGACCAAGTATGAATCCAAGCGCTGGGTGATGGATGGACCGATGCCAGACCCGTCGACCCTTGAAGGTGACGATGACGATGTGGTGAGTGTTCCTGAGATACTGCCCGGATGGCTTTGAGATCGCTTAGGACAGCATACTGACCGACCAGCCTCTTGCGGTTGTACAGGAAAAGGCCAAGATTGAACGTTCCGCATCCCAACGAGTGGCACCAAGCCAGCCTCCAATGCAGCGCCGCCCACAACCGTCGATCGACCTGTTTGGTGATGATATCTCTCCCCCAGTGCGTCCCAGTACCACCGAACCCGCCCCTCGCCCGCCACCCAAATCCTCTCAGCCTGTGGCGCCGCCAAAGACTCAGAAACCCGGTGATTCGTTGCTTGGCCTCGACTTCTTCGGCAGCACCCAGCCAGCTGCGGCCAACCGCCCAACGAGCACTGCATCCACACCTGCGGCACCTAGTGGCATGTCGCGGCCAGATTTGAAGCAGTCAATTTTGTCCTTGTACGCGAAGCCTCAGCCTGCTCCCAGTCAGCATGAGCGGACCAACTCCTTCGGCGATATGGCCTACGCAGCGACCCCGTCCGCATCTTCCAACATGGGCGGCTTGACAGACGCGTTCAGTGGTCTGAGCTTCCCTTCCACTACCTCTCCTCCTCCGGTTAAGCCGGCCGAGAAGCCATCTCCTTTCGCCAATCTTACCAGCTTCTCGAACATCAAGTCCACCCCCGCCGCTCCCAAAGTCACTTCACCGTCGGGATCGGCCAGCAACGATCTGTTTGATAGCCTGGCCTCTCCCACCATGTCCGCACCCAAGCCCCAGTCACGAACAACCTCCATTTCCTCGAACTCTCAAGATTTCGGTTTTGGTGGGTTTGCCTCTCCTCCCCCCGCCCAAGCCCTCGAAGCCCAATCCCCCGTCGTCATCTCTTTCCAACGACCTCTTTGGTCTCTCTTCCCCTCCCCTTGCTCCGGCGGCGCCACCTAAGCCCACTGCTGTCTCCCCGCAACAGGAGATGAGCTCTGCCTTCAACCTTTCTAGCCCCTCCTTCCAGCCTCCTATGCCCCCTAAGCCACAAGCCCCAGCTGCCACAGTCGCCGCTGCGGGCATCATGGATCCTTGGGGTGGTAATGCATGGAACACACCCGAGCCTGCCCCGGCACCAGTTTCTTCCCCGCCTGCTGCCTCTGGTGCATCTATGATGAAGCTTCCCGACACACTAACTGCCAATGATATTGGAGGTGGTTGGGGTATGTCCAGTGCGGCATCCAAGCCGACTCCCACCGTGGCTGCTGATGAAGACTTTGGCGGATGGACCAGCGCTGCTCCTGTCTCCTCTGGGCCTACTTCAACCTCGAACAACTCAGCCAAGCCAGCAGGCGGGTTTGGTGGATCTGACGACCTCTTCTCCAACGTATGGGAATAAAAGGGTATTTCAATCCGATAGGAAATTGAAATATTCATTGCACCTCGCACTGTTCTGTTGCATTAGTGGTAGTACTCTACGCAATTGGGTTTGCACATATTGGTGTCCACAACGGCTGAGATTTACGCCTTGATGATTCAGACCACTGCCTTCTGTTTTAATCCGCCTTTTACCTACCTTGTTGAACCTTTTCCGTCTCCCATCAAGACCTTCTTTCGCATTGGAATGCGGGCATATCCCGGATGCAAATGGGCTGGTCTCATCTTTACATTTGTTTTGGCGTGTACACTTGTTCCAGTGGTCTTAATTTTCCGAGCTCCCTGGATTGTATGTAATGCATCATGACTTTACTCCCATGGCTCATGTTATCCAGTCTGGCTCTTTGTTTTAGTTTAGTATTATAGATGGGATTATTCATGAATATCGAATATCTATTCAAATATTTCGTCCTTGATATTGATCAAGTCGGCTTCTCCGACGGGGTATATGCAAAAATATCTAGCTAAAAAAAATCCATCCCAACCGAAACCCGACATAAATAATCATTCCTCTCGTAAATCAAAAAGAGAGAGAGAATCGCCCAATTAGTAGTAAGACATGCACAGGAAGAGAAAGTAGAAAGACAAAAAAGGAAAAGTGGTATCTCGTAGAGAAAAAGTGATAATCAAGTCATCAATAAGGGGATAGGGAAAATTCGACCCTCAGACCAGAAAGAATGGGAAGAAGGAAAATCATGAAAGAGAAAAGAAAGAACAAAGAGGGGAAGGAGAGAAAGAAAAGGATCAGAAACTCTCCCGATGAGTATGAACCAAGTCCTTCGTACTCGCAGAATCATTATTGTCAGCCGGTGTAGAAACCGTCTCTTGCGTCACAAAGGTCGTAACCTTGATACCGTTGAGCGCGGCCTTAGACTCCTGCTCCTTGGAGAAACCATCATAGGACGAGCCACTTGGGGATAGATTCTCCAGATCATACGCTGGGTCTTCGAGGTCACGCCCTCCGATGACGGATGCTTGTACGTTGGTATGTGTGCCAGTAAGGGCGCTCCGGCCAGTGCGCGACGGTCGTGTCTTGCTGCGGTAGCCGTTACTCCGCGTGGAGAAGATATGGGGGAGTAATTTGGATAGAAGGGCTCGTGTGCTTGGGAGGGCAGCGCAGATGATTGCGACGTTACACTCGATAGCAGACCACTCAGCAGCACCGACATTGTCGTCTATAAAAGATTCCTTAGATCGGTTCTGGTAGTTGAGGAGGTTCGTTACTCACGTGTTGGATCGCTGGAGTTAGAGATGACGAGGAGACTCTTCAAGCGGAGGATACTGGTGATCACAACACTAAATTGAAGAATTGTGTTAGTGATGAGTGGATAGTGGGTACATGGGGACAAGAACATACAATCCACCTAGGGCAAAGACGCCCATCAAAGCAAGCTTCTGTCTACTCGGCAATTGGAGAGACCTGATGACAGGCATAGGATAGATGAGAATCAAAAGATCGGTCAGGATGTGGATTGCCGAGTTCGAGAACCACAGTGCTTCTTTATTGAAACAAAAGCCCGGGACTGAAGGATCCCAGAACTTCTTGAGAGGAACGCAGTTGGCCCAGGCACTAATAATTGTCCAGGTGCCGTAGACAGCCAGGAAGCCGATGAGCAAGTTGCAAGCCAATCGCATGCGAGGCGTTGTGGAGAAGACTCGTCGGTACTGGAGGAGAATCGACATTTTGGTGGAAATCAGACTAGTCTGATAGATTGGGACGGAGGCCCAGAAACACAGCATCTGAATAATGTAGGTCTTGTGGGGGATAATATCGTAGTCGGCACCCATACCGTGGTAAACCTCTAGTAGGATGTTAGTGGTTATCGCTCAAGGTTCGTTAGGGCTAAATCTTACCACCCACGAACAATCCGTAGAACCCCCATGAGAAAGCCTAGGGAGAGGGTTAGTCAGAACTTCCCATGTCTGTATTGTTAGAATCCGCTCTTACCAAGGCAACTAGGATAGCATAGTCATCCGATCCCATCTGCTTCACCATGAACGCTCGGGTGTAGATACGAACGGCCACTAGGACTGTGGCCAGAGTGGTGAAGACCGTGCTGCACGCAAGGGCCTCACGGCCTCGAACTGTGGATAGAGTAGTCATCGTTGCATGAAGGAGTGTATATAGTGAAACGAATGCAAGAATCCACCGATGTAGATCCAATGGGTCTGGACAGTAAAAGAAGAAAAGAAACCAAGAGGGGAGATCGGAGCCAGGACCACTTTCTTTAATACTGTATTCCACCCAGGAACGGATTAATGATGAACGTGGGGTTGACCTTGGAAGTATGGCCCCTCTTCCAAGCCCAAAGGGGAAAGTATGGATAAAAAGAATTTAAGGGCTGGAGGCGCAATGAGCCAGATTTAGGATTGCGTAGCGAAAAGCCCAAGTAAGCCACCGTGGAGACTAGAGGAGGATCCTATGATCAGATTAGGAGGGGGGATTTTGGGAAGTATTGCAATTTAAGAGATATTGTTCGCTATTAAATCCACACGGGCAGTCGCCTGGTCTGTGTGGCATTGCGTTACATGTTCTATGCAATTGAATTGCTCGACTGGGCATGGAACGAGTCGAACAGAGTTCGACGGTTGATTATCGATGGGCGCATAGCAGAGACAAGTCAAGTACACTCTACCCTGTATTTTCTTTGTACTTCAGGGGGGCGTTCCAAAAAGTGGAGCTCTGGGCAATGAACCATGAACCTGAGAAGTCAAGGGCCGAAGCACTGACATGCCCCATAGAAGAGCGGAGCTCTTATGCACCAGTCATAGCCCAATAATGTCAACTCAAGTGGAGACATTGGCATCTTTCCATTGATTTCTCGCTCTTCCCTCGGCATTAACGCGGTAGATAGGTCATGGTTCCATGGGTCAGCCCGTGGTTTATCCCGTCCAGACCATAATGTTAAAAACTTTGTTCACTGTATTGTCAATTCCCAGTGGATCTCATCCGAAGTCTGGACAAGAGACTCGCGTCCTTCTGCTAAACTGTAAGTCCCATAAAGCATAATGCACCTGAAGGATCGATTAGCACATATGAACTGTTCCGAAACTGTTCTTATGATTCGGGATTGGGGAACGAAAAAAGCAATCACCGGTGCTCACGAACTCTGCCCAGACGCGACTAAACTGCTAGTGAGTGCGCTATCTCGGGCCCCCATTGCCTATGGCGGGTATGATTTTCAATTTTCCGGGATCGGAACTAGTGTCGCCTGTCAACCGAGAAAGCATCGCCGCCTAAAAAATCGTGGCGTGCGATAGCTTCAATAGCGTGGATTTTGGTGGCCAGCGGGGACAAAGAGGAATAGTTATCCCCGCCACCTCGGCCATAAATTTTGGGACTAGATCTGCACGAAGCGCGCAGTGTGGGAAAGAATCCGGTAGCTCTCATAGCTTCCCTGCAACTTCCCTGCAAATCCCCTGCAAATTCCCTGCAACTCCTCTGCAACTAACAGGTCTCAAAAGCGGTGTCTGATGCACTCAGGGTTCGGGAGAAAAAATTCCGAGTCTCCCGGTAGTTATCTGTCATGTCGATCAAAATGGTTCCTGTTCGCCGTCCATGACGGTACACCGTTAGCCGCGCACGGTCCGCACTTCGTTACCAAATTTCTCCGTGGAGCCGCCAGTTGGCGTGCGAGTTGCGATGATCGTGATTTCAAGACTTTAGTGCCAAAATGCTCTCCACTTTCCCAGGTGTTCCTGCATTTTCTTGGCCACCTGAAAGCCCTTTTGGTTAAGATCTTCACAGGACATGCCCCGCTGTTGGACATATGTGCCCCTCGCGCTAGCGATTGGTGGTAGATTATGAATAGGAGAAGGGCGATCTATGGATTCTGTGTTGATGTAGAGAAAGAAGCCACGGGATTTGGCGTCGATCCCTGTGGAGAATAGCCCGAATCGTCTCGCATCGATGATGCTTGTCCTCGTGGCCATCAATTCCGGCCTTTTGTTGAGTATCTTGTGGATGCAATCAATAATGCAGCCATACTATTGAACCTCCGTTACTTCGGATGTCTCCGGCATTGTATAATTTGTCATAGCTTTGGCAAGGACGAAGGTCTAGCGTTAATGAAGTTTGTAGTTGAGGTGAAATCAAGGCAGACTTGCAAATGGGTGACTGATAGTGCCCAATCGTGCCGACGCCTTTTCCAGACATAGGAGTAGAAGATGTTCGGAATCATGACACTAGGAAGTGCCACTCAATATCGGATTAACTTTACAGTTTATTTTCCTGTGTTCTGTTTGCTGGCCACAATCAGTCCGTCTCTCGTGGAAAAGAAAATTGATAACCACGTATATCTGCATGTCACACTTTGTCTGTGGAGTAGTCTTAGGGCGTTGTGGGTGTCAATGCAGGGGCGATCTATGCCTCATACCACGAGGGGGCCAAAGTAAGCTAAAACGTACTAATTGGGCGATCAATCAGTTGGGTAGAGTCAGTGCGACTCCGGACTCAGGATTGAATACCTGAAGGTGTTCAATATCCCTATAAAACTCCTGTTCACAGTAACGGACGTCAATCTCACCCTATACGCTTACTTCCGTTCACACAGAGCACATATCATCAAGATTTATGAGTTTGCTACCGAGTATTAGAAGGATTCAGATGGAATATTCCGGTTTCTGTGATGGCTTTGTCTTCTCCTCCTCATTAATCCACCTCCAACTCTGACGCTTCTGTATTCACTTGTCTTCACCTTCTAGAGTATCTTGTGTGCTCACACTATACATTCTATTGCTTGCTTGGGCAGGTAATTTGCCAGGTGTCCATCAAGCCATCAAAACTGGCCTACATTCACCTCCTGTCAATCCAAGTTCAATTTCAGTATGCCCGAAACAAATAAAGTTCATATTTTTGGGGGTCTATGGCTACCAGACCCCGACCGTGAGCTACCCAGACAGGAGTTGTTATATGTGAGAAAGTTACTTAACCTCATTCAACGTGCTGGAGAGCAACAGTTGGAAGAGGCAAAAGGACTCAAAGGCAAGATATCAGCCATCCAATACACGCCGGCCCAAAATAATCACAAAGCAGACTTACAAAATTTTCCTGAGTGGAATCTGATCGAAGCTTTTGAGATTTTCAGAAAGAAAGAAGTCGGTTGGTGGAAAGAACGAGGCGTCATCCGACCTGGAGAATACTTGGTTCGCCCTAGTGGCCACACGAATGCTGCTGTTGCTTGTCACTTATACAACCCCACTTTCAGTGTTAATGACCCTCTTGATGGAGAAACCGAAGATTTGACAAACCCTTCAGTCGCCCAGCTAAACAGAGCCGGGTTTTCGACCAGAAATAACTGTTTGCTTTTCGATCATCTTGCACGCAGAGATATCAGCAGACACTGCAAAGAGATTTATCCAGAAGATCTCTTTGATATCCATGAAGAATTCACCTTTGCGCTTCGGGCAGCGATGAAGGCGAAGGTTGAGATTTGCTGGGGCGCTAACGTTCGCCAACGGATGCTTAAAAAGCTTGATCTGGAACCGCTTCGCCTTTGGGGTGATTTTACAGGCTTGACTCTATACCTAGAGCTAACATCAGACAAGAAGAATTGGAAGCGCTTTGTCATTTTTGTCGCCCACCCTCAGCGTTTCATGTATGTGAAGAGTGATGGGGAAAGGGCTCAAGCTTGGCGTCGCCGATTCGGAGCATCGCAAGATCGAGCGTTGACCCTTGCTGCTGAATTAAGTGGCATACAAATTTCACCAAATTTCTATGAGTTGGATGTCAGATTGCCTCAAAACATATGTGTCCCACGCCGAACAAGTGCTAGGAAGAACGCTTGGAAAGGCCAAGCTGTAGCCCAGTTGAAGGAAGTCTTTCCCGATGCCATTCTTTCAACAGAATCATCGCATAGAATCCGAGCCACAAAGGAAGATAAGGCAGCACTTCTGAAAGTATTGGGTGTCCTGGGTAAATTTGAGCCTAGCAGGGTTAGCCAGACGGTGAATGGACCCCGTGCTACAGATGACAAGACCTTGGTATAATTACACCTAACCCACTTTTGACATATGCTAACCTCCAATAGAGGAATCTCCGATCTCAGAAGATAGTGAATTTTTGGCATGGCCTGAAGAACCTCGCATACGCGTTTATACCGAACGCCGATACCAACACTTATTGTTTGCGAACAATCAACGCACACACGATCAGCTATCTTTCGGACAAGCTGCCAGCAGAGCTTCAGAGGTCCGATTGCTGGGATTGGGAGGACCTCCCAGCGTCGTTGGTGGAGTTCATACAAGTACAAGATGGACTGAAATTCAACAAACGCAAAATAATGTGTCGAACTGATCTTGAAGTTGCGTTCTATCTCCTCCAGAGATGTGAAGGCAATCCTGAAGTATTGGACATACTCACACTCGCATTTGCGGTGTTGGCTGCTTACGGCTGGATGATTACTCGTCCAAGAAAGCCTCTTATCGATAACATGCTTGTCCTCCGCGAGTCTCCGAATGATGTTATCGCCCGGAAATGCTCTGGATGCAAGAGGGAACAATTGGACGATCCTTTTGCCTACTGGTCAAAGTCTGACCCTGATTGTTACGCTCTTTGGTACTATTTCAGATCTAATTGTGGTCGGCCAGAATGCACAACGCAAAACGTCAGCCTTTTACCGCTTGATAATCTGATAAGGTATTCGCGCGCTACGCATAGCGGTCTAGAGGCAAAACGGCTGGACCGATTCGAAAGGTGGTTTCTGCTTCACCCAGAGGAATACGGAGTACTCCCCGGCCAGCTCAAAGTCAAGTGCCAAGGTGAAGGCTGCCAGGAAACAAGATTAGTTAAGTCGCGGTGGACCGCTCATGCAACACCGAGGTTTGTGGTAGCCGTGCACAAATGCGCCAAGTCTCTCAAAAGAACAAATTGGGTCCCTTCTGGTTACCCGACTGTCCATGCTGGAACCCTCAGCGTGCTTTGGAAAAGATTTCACGAACACCCAGGTTTCGAAATTACCGAATACCCACGCAGACCTGACATTTACTTTAATACAAGTCTCAGTATTGCTGGCCGAATCGCTTCTTTGATAGAAGCCCAAAGGCTACTTGAGAACAGGTCAAATAATCGGAAGAGGAAGGCTAGTGAGATGACAGTAGCTGAGGCGAGGTAATCTAACCCAGTTACCTGGATACAATGTGAAACAGACATAAGCATCACCTTTTTGATTTCAACATGTAATTTACTGAGGCCCATGATACAAATCTATTTTGGCGTTATGACATGGATGGAGACTTCGGCGTAGAGCTGCAGGTGAGGTCTTCTATGGTTTAGGCATCGATGTAAGTCTACAGATAGGTATGACGGGACCACGTCTGAGGCCTGCCAAGGTGCCAACAAGTCTTCACGTTGTTTCCATTCTTCTCTGTGGATAGTTCTTGTGACTCATCCCACCAACGCTTCATGCTCGTCTCAGAGCTTGGGCTCGACCTTCTCTGTATATCAACGTAGTTCCGACCATGCCTATGACACATGTATTGAACACTTGCGCTCAGGTGCAATTGTCCTGTTGTGGGTTCTTCTAAGTCGTCGAGGCATGGTAAAATTTCTAAAAAGGGTACCAGGCAAATAATAGAGCAAGAGCCTTGGTGTCTGTGAAAAAAGCGCTGCTGATCAATTCCAGATCAAAAAGAGTCTGGAAGCAAAAAAAGAAAGGAGGGCCCGAACCGCGATTCGAACGCGGGGCCTCCTGCAGTTAGGATGTTAACCCAAAGCAGGAATCATACCTGGGAATTATTAGTAAAAGTCAGATGACTTGAAAAGTTGCGGGGTAGCTTACCACTAGACCATCCGGGCACCAATTTTCTTAATAAGCCAGCTTTTAGATATATCACCAGCTATTTATATTGACTTAAGGGGAAAAAAACAGTGGATGGAATTTGTGGGCAAAACCAAGGTCATTATCAATTCCCCAATTCCCCAAGCTAAAAGATAAGAATGAAATATTTTTTTTTGATAAAAAAAAAAAGGAATTGAAAGAACATCAAATGAAAAAGTTACAATGAAGATGACAAAAAGAAGAAAGGAAAAAAAAAAAAGATGGAGGCCCGAACCGCGATTCGAACGCGGGGCCTCCTGCAGTTAGGATGTTAACCCAAAGCAGGAATCATACCTGGAGATTTTATTAGAACATGTCAGGTGACATTTGCGATTGCAAGGTAACTTACCACTAGACCATCCGGGCACTTATGATGAAATTGTCCGAACAATCGCCTCATATCACATGTACCCCCAGCCTAGAATAGTGCAACCCGATCGAGCGGTTAGACTTCAGGGTGTTCAACCACAGCCATTTAACACCTATCTTAACGTCGAGATAAATTTCATCACAATGGCCCTGCTCTTGTCTATGACTGTTTCAGATAATTTTTTTCTCTCAAATATGATTGGATACGAATAAGAATGATGAACTGATTTTCAGGTTTTCAATGTTCGATATTGGCTGGGAAGCTGGTACATGGCCTCGGGCGCTAAACTGTATGTGGAATCAGCACTCAGCACGCGGCCCAGATCTCAAACCCCAGCCACCGCGAAAAGCACATGGCTGGGAAGGATTCATCTTCCTTTTAACGCCATTCAAATTCCACATTTTTTCTTCTCTCAACTTAATTTTGCGAGTCAGCTTCACATCTTGCTACTTTTCCACATTCCAAGCAAGAGAGGGGAAAGTGCCTTGTTATCCATACATCTTCTACTATCAAGAGTATACAAGTATACGTACCCCTCACCGCTGCCAACACACTGCTAAGTGTCACCTCAAACCGCATCACCCTACTCAGTCGGCCAGAGGTATTGCCAAATTCTCGAAAGATACCCGAAGCGCAACTTTGCTTTGCCTCCGACCTATAATTTACTTGTGGTCTCTCAAAAACACCACCTACTCTTTCTTGGCCCTTGGGGTCCTTGCCAGACAAGATGGTGCAGCGCAACATTACCATCGCGATCATCATCATCGTGCTTTTCGTCCTCCTCGCCATTGCCGGATTTGCCATCTTTGCAGTCCAGCATCGCATCTCGTTCTTCTCCAACGGGAAGAGGGAAGTAGATGAGGAGAGTGCAGATGGAGGGTGACCTCTTCGAGAAACTCAATTATCTTGTCGATTGGTTGATCTCCGAAAATCAATCTCTCACAGCTGCGATACCGATATATCGCCGACCACCCGCCTCCGAAAAAGATATGATATCCCCTTTGATTCTCTTCCGCCTTTGTTTTCTTTCTTCTTGCAACCATCATGACGAGCCGCTTTACGAGCCCCTATACCGATTTGGAGTTTTGATCACATCTTGCGCTTTTCTTGTACAATGCTGAGCCTGCGGGGCCATATATACACGCATTCACACCTTGGAAATTTGATTGTTCGGAGTTGATGTTTCTGCTTGATCGTGTTTTTGGGCGTTTCCTTTTTTCGATGTACCTTTTGATGAAGCTTTGAGATGGATATGCGCTGCCATTGATACTATGATATATGACTTTTGCAATGACCAATGCATGCAGTTGCCCGTTGGGCTAAAGACAAAAACCAAGCGCGTAGGCAATAAACCAAAACCGAAGTGTTGGGAAAATGCACTTTGATCAACTGTGAGTCCGTGAGGGATTAGTCAGGTTGTTTATGAGGAATTTTCAAGTCACGAGTGTTTAGTGTTGAGCGGTGTGTGTCCACTAGTATACAAAGGGGCATCGAAATTGGAGACTAGAACCTTGGAATTGCCCCAGAATGCGGGGAATGTTCGGTCCCCACAGCAAATGGAATCATAGAACTCAACCCCGGCCCGGCCTCCCGAGTCATTTTCTGCATTTCTCTGAAAATAGAAACCTATTTACTAAGAGAAACGTAAAATTGAACAAGGGGAGTCTCAAGTGCTTCCACGTGTGCAAGGTCACTTGACTAAATTTGCGCGATATTACCTAAAACTTCGCTTTACCTCGGGGGTTTACCTACCCGATCCAGCCGGTCCTGACGTTTGTGATCACGCCTGAGCCTAGAACCCCTTGATTTTACGTGATTGTTCGTGGATCCCATGACGATGGCTCAATATTTGGATCTCATACCTTTGTTGATCCAAATAGCGTCATACTGATCTACCTCCCCCGCAAAATGGTTATAAAATGAGCTTTTCCCCGGACTTTTGGAGTACCAAACAAGCTCCTCTATACTTGGCAACCTCGAGTACCTTATTCAGTTCATTCCACTCAAGTCCAACTCAGTAATTCAGTGTGAGTAGGACATATTTTCCTTCATCTGCCAGTCACTTATACATATCTTAGTCAATGCGACAGAGTCCACCATCTACAATCATGACTATCCAACTGCTCGAACGCGCGACACAGGGCTGGAAATGCCAGCAATGCGGACTCCCGGGAGTTCGTCTATCCACACGCCCTGGTAGCTCCAGTGCTACCGGTCGGGCATACTATAAATGTGTCCCGTGCAATCGCTCCCTGGGCCTTTGTCCTTGCACCACCCCCGGAGACCGGACGACCTCTACGTGTCCGTGTAGTGACTCCGAGAGCAGCGATGCCGAGTCACCCAGTCTAGAGGACGAGCCTCATGGCGACTTCATGTTTTCTAAGAAGCAAACGGTCAACCCACACAACCCGAACTCGGGATTCGATGAGGATTGGGAAGCAAATTGTAGTCCCGCCTTCATGGTTTCAAGGTTCAAGGCTACGGGCAAGGAGTTGCTTTTCTGAGCGTGAAAAATTATGCATCAACTGTTTTACATAGCGAGCCTTGCTTCATCAATTAAGAGGCCATGTACTGCTCCGTGCCAGTGAGCAAGTCAGGTTACTCGGGCGTCTTCAATCTAATTTTACCCAGTGATAGGTGTCAGCACTAAAACTGAATGGAAAGCCAAATGCCTGGCATTACCTAGTACCCGAATGAATCTCTAGGAAAAAGTGATAGTAAATGTAGCGCATATATATAGGGACTTCGGAGGTGGAAATGGTAGAAATGCAGTCGTGTCATTCGCTTTCACAAAAATCAAACTTATGCCGCCGATGGTATATCCACGTTCCGCGAAGAAAAATATGCATGCTATGCACCCATGAAACCATCATCTACATACTAAAACATTTGAAGAAGATAAGGGAGAAAGAGATAAACCAGAACGCCGCCCAATCCGGGTATGACCATGTCCTTGCCCCTAGAAAACATAGCTCAGGAGCTCCTGCGCACGTAATGCGGTGGCAATATGCCATGGCAGCGTGTTGCCTTGGACGCTGCGCATGCCTCTTGCCCGGGCCAGGGACGCAAGATCCCGATACATCCCTAAGATGTCCTTAAGGAGACCTTCGTGCAATGAAGCAGGCCGTTGTGAATGAATAAGATTGGCGGTCATTGTGAACACGCCGTCGCCATCGGTGATGCCCTTTCGGCGAAGAAGATACCCGCTAGCCAGCGCGGGGCGGAATTCGGTAACGTGTGGGGAACTGTTCAGACGGTGGGACAGTGTAACTGCCCAGGATTCATCCGAGATGTCGGTGAGAACGACATCCGAATCAGGTTCTAGGGAGAGTTCGGTAGGAGTTGGTGCGTTGTAGGTTGCGCTGGGTGTCGGGGCGTTGCCTGTTTGCTCGGGCGAAGCAATGCTAACACTTGGGTTCGGAGTCGAGACGGGAGTAGAGGAAAAATGTGGATTGAGAACGCTAGAGGTAATGTAAGAGGCATTTGGCTCGAGGGATAGGTCGGGAACAGTGTTGACGGCCACTATAACCAACTCTATGGATCCTGGTCGCATCTTATTCTGTTGCTCAGCCAGATTGCTCCACGCTAGTCAGAGTTAGCAAGGGAGCTTTAGTAAGGAATGGGGATGTTGTTTGCGAATATTTACCTTCCACTTCATCGGGATCGATAGGTTCGGAATTGACCAAGATGACTTTCCACTGAGCTTGGAATTTCTCCATGATGTGCCGCGTGGTAGCCCATACCTCATTGCGCACTTCTGCGATTGCTCTAGCAGTACCGCGATTGCGATATCGCAAGCAATAGGACATACTAGTTTGAAGGCTGCCACTGCTATCGGACCATGCTACAGACAACCATCGCTGATCAGAACTTTTGGAGTAGGCGATATGGAGACTTCTCCCATCCTGCAGAGGCGAACCCTTGTCGGGTGCAAGGCGGAAATTAATAGCTTTTGGCAAAGGATCAGCCAGAAGGACTGCCGGAGCACCAAGTAAAGGGCCTGAGCTGGTGTCCTTGGGGCGACAACGACTGTAAACTTCCAGAGCTAGGTTTAGGTATTCCGTCTGAGTAGGCACAACCATAGAATCCTCAGACATGATGAAGTCCATCGGAATAATCTGTAGGGCAACCTCATTAATTGGCTGACCGTGTTGACGATCTGCGTCAGCAGCCATTTGCTGAAACAGATTCCAAAACGCCGCACAAATATCAGCAAGTGCTGCGGCATGTGGAAACGGATTGATGATATAGATAACACAATTGTCTGTGCTAGGTGAGTACTGAGACAGATCGGTTCCTGGTCGACAACGTTAGCAAAAATCCATCAATATTGTTGAACATGGTCTCTGGCCTACCGAGTTCTTCACATAGACTTTTCAGCGATTGCATCATAGTAGCATAGCTAGACGACTCTGAATCCCATGATCGAAGTCCATTCTCAAAACCTAGAGACTTGTCGCCTCTGGTATGACTTCCTAGATTGCAACTCTGGTAATGAAGGCCAAATCGATTCAAAAATGTATCGGCTGCACTGGTCGCCGCGTAAGGATGGATACAGTAAGCCGATATATCTTTTGGCCCATGGGCAGGCTCAAGACCGAATGTTTCCCAGAAAGAAATGGCAGGGGGAAGGGTCTCTAGGTACTCCTTGCCCCGACGCATGCGTACGTGTGGAGCAGCTACCCTTGAAATAGACCCTTTGGGAGAATCCTTAGGGGGCTGCTGCGCAGGCGTTGCAGTCACCTCATCTTGCAAGGACGCATATGCCTTGAGATCAAGCTTCGCGACCTCACCCAGGAAGGTTGTCTCTTCGAGGTTAGTCCGCCATGTCAAACTCTCGTTTTCGAGTTCAAAAAGGCCAATGCAACCACCAAGCGGGTGATCCAGCGAGGACTGCGTGATCTGGTCAACGAGCAGCTGAGCGATAGGAATCTGGTCTTCTCTTCGCACAAGAACTGGAAGTTGCTGTGCCTGAAACGCAGAGAAATAACCAATAAAGGACCAATCTGAAAAGTTGGCAAGGAAATTCCCAAGAAAAGTACAATTCTCAACCTTCAGATTAGAATTCACATCAGGCCCACCGGCGGATTTGGCTGGGGATGCGGCGGATTGAACATCAGACTCAGAAGGCACTCGCTTTCTCTTCAAAGATGGGACAATGATTGGGGTGGGGACATGTTCGGAGGGTGACTCGTCGCTATCACCACTGGTTTCACTGTCTGAGTCCGCAGCGGCCTCAAAGTCATTATCCAATGTAACCGGCGAAGCATTTTTGCCTGCCAACTTTGCGTATGTGCCATTAAGCCCGGATCGACTGCGATGAGGGAGTCCAATTGTGGGAATGGAGTTCGGGCCTTGATCTGAAGAATCAAGCTTACCCCCGGAAGCAAACCAGAATTTACCCGCAGCTCCATACTTTTCGTTCCAGTCTCCAATTTTCTTTTCAAAAGCCACTGGATGGTAGTGCCCTTGTAAAGTGCGGCCATCTAAAGGTCGCTGAGTGCCTTCTTTTTCTGCCCCCGAGAACAGGATCTTCTTAACCTCCACGGGGCTTAAAGGAGGACTGATGATGGCTGGACTCTTGTGGTCTGGTGAGTCTCCAGGCGACGTTTCCATGGCTATGGGGCCGTTACTTGGCTCCATATCTTCGTGTACTGTCTCTTTGGGCAGCGGTTCCTCCAATGTTACGCCTTGGGCAGGATCTTGAACATCCGGAGGGGCGCTAGAGGGTAGATCATTTGTATCCGCTGCACTCTCCTCAAGCTGACTTTCTTCCAGCGCAGGCAGTAAAGATTCCTGGTTAGGAACAGCAGGGGAATCGTCATGCATGTTATCAAAATCCGGGTCATCGAAAAAGCTGAAATCAGCATCAGTGATTCCTTTCGATCCAAAATCCCTCTCGTTCATTTCGCCAAAGAGATCTTCATCATCACTGGCATCGTAGCGGCCCGTTCCAATGCCAACCTCGGGAGAAAGCTTAAAATTTGGGCCGGTTTTCGGATCTTGCTGTGCATTCGGGGACATTTGAAAGTCGGTATCGTCGCGAAAGTTGTCCATCGGATTTACATGGTTCAATCCTATCGCAGCAGCCCCTTCGGGAGGAGTTGGGTAAACCAGGTTGGCGGTTGGAAGGTCGGTGTATTGGGCCATTCGAGAGAGACTCTCGAAACCGTCCAAGCCGTCAACTTTAGGTGATGACATGTCTTCATCTTTGGGTTGAGGTTCATCTATCACAAGAGCGGGCGTCAAATGGTTATTTGCTAGGGAAGTTTCAGCCTCTGATGGCCATCGCTCTGCAAAGTCAAGTGGATCGTCGGCAAGGCCCAAGGGCCAAGATTTCTCGTTCCTTTGAGACTTGGTTTCGGAAGAGGTTCTTTTGAAGCAAAATCTTGCGGGCCACAGCATGCGTTTCAAAGGGAGTGGAGATTGGGGCTCATCGGTTTGCCGCCATGCCTCCCCAGCCAACCTTGCGAAAAAGGGCTCCCATACTTCTACCTCAACCCACACTTCCTCGTCAACAGAGTTAATATGCAAACCGAAATTCACTAGCCATTGTACCACGTCCAGTTTCCATTGTCTTTTTTTCGCTGCAAAATTTCCGGAGACCGCAAATCCAGGCGAAGGGACCGTTGGAGGTTCAACATTGGCGGAGACAAGCCGTGCAACGGTTCCATTTGGACACAGCCAGAGATCGGTACCTGGCTGCATTTGTAGAACATCTGTGGTGTTGTCCTGGGGACCACAAAGACGTGAAATACCAACCTGAGAGATAGTTTGTGTCGAGATCATCAATGTCCCAGAGCCGTTTAGTTGGATATTCATTGACGTTAAGCAAGACTTAGAAAATGGGCTATCATTATCGACACGTGGGCTCTCGTAGCCCACCTTTTCCACCGCCGTAAACAGAGTGCGGGAACCGAGGGGAAAGGCACCGTGAGAGCGAATCATATGTAGGCTGATTGCGCCGGTAACGGCAGAAATAAAGGAGGCATAAATAGCAGCGGAGCTACTATGGCTCTCGGGTCGCCTGGCATTGGATTGACTCTGCTGGGGCCTTTGCTGCCCAGTTTGAGGTCCGGCCTGGTTTTGAGTCTCCGACGAAAGGCTTCTAATTAAGTCTTGGGATGCGATGCTGCCCGATGCGGAGACTATCTCAGAAGTTAGTGAGTGGGGATATTTCATAGCCTAGAGCTCATCCATTTGACCTCATACCTTTGAGAATGGTCGTATCAACTAGTATTTTCTTGGACACTTCGCATCCCTCCTTCACATATAAAGTTCCTAAGCTTTCAAAGTCCGGAGTAGGGGAGAAAACCCACAGCCCAAGGCGCCTCGGGCATGAAGCCAAACAGTTGAGAAGTCGTAGCTTGGCCTCTAGATCTTTCAAACGACTGAGATGCTTCAAAATTGTGTAACCATTGGGTGGACCTTCGGGTGGATTGTTCGCAATGCTTGTCTCTTCTGTGTATATCCTCCAATAGATCGTGGAGAAGCCATCCTAATTTGGGTCAGATATAGGACAAAACCAGTATGGGATCACTTACAATAAGATGAATATTGGTACTGGCATTTCCGGGAAAGTCCATGATTTATCGGTCGCGGACAGCCCCGGGAGCCTTCATAAAACGAGAGGAGGTGGTCGCAGTTGAATCTGGGAGTCATTTCCAGTGCTGGAACATACTCTGTCGAGAACCATACGCGCGTGCAGTTGGTAATTGCGAGTAAACCCCCATCAGGTAGGTCGAGTCATCTTAGTATTGGCCAGCGAAGCGCTCATCTAGATTGTCGCAAATGCAAAACACCGAGATGCTGCGCAATTCCGGGGGAAGTTCACGGGGACGCTCGGGCCAATCACCGATATCCGCTGCAGTACATCACGTGGTCCCTATCGGTTTTATCTTTTTTTTTTTATCTTCGACTTTTTTTTTATCGCGCTAGTTGCAACTCGCTGAGAACTTCGCCGCCATGAAGCTCTCTAACCAGTCTGAGGTGCCTGTTTACACCATCTCGGGCTCTAACACTGCCCGGCCACTCCCAGAATGGCTTGCTAGACGCCGAAAGCGCAGCTTAAAAGACGATCCCGAGTATGCGAACCGGGTGGAGTTGCTGCAAGATTTCGAGTTTGAGGAAGCTAGCCAGTGTGTTCGAGCCAGTGAAGATGGTGAATGGGTCATGAGTACAGGTATGATTTATCACTCACAGTATTCTTTGAAGCGCAGAGCTAATAAAATATCGAACAGGAACTTACAAACCGCAAATCCACACCCATTATCTCCCCCAACTGTCTCTGTCCTGGGCTCGGCATACTGTCGCCCTGAACACAACCTTCATCCTTCTATCCTCCGACTACACCAAATCCCTCCATCTTCAGTCTGACCGTTCTCTCGAATTCCACACACCGCAAGGATGCCACTACACAACCCGCCTGCCCCGATACGGACGTGATCTCGTATATGACCGACAATCGACTGAGGCGTTTATTCCTTCCGTCGGTGTGAATCAGGATGGCATGGGTGAGGTTTTCCGTTTGAATCTGGAGCTTGGAAGGTACATGCGCAGCTTCGAGGTGGATGTTGGTGGAGATGATTTCACTTCCACGGGAGGCGGCACCCTCCAAGGTGGAATTAATACTGGATCTGTCAACACTGGTGCGATTGCGGAGGAGAGTCACAACTTGCTCGCCTTTGGTACATCTACTGGAACAGTGGAGTTGTGGGATCCTAGAGCTAAGGGCCGAGCGGGTATTCTCTTACCACCCACTCAACAGTTCAATGAAGGACGGGCTGAGATTACTGCGTTGGAGTTCCATCGCTCTGGTTTGACTCTTGGAACCGGTTCCTCGAACGGTCTGATCCACCTTTACGACTTGCGGTCCCCAGTCCCTCTTCTGAAGAAGGATCAAGGATACGGCTTCCCCATCCACACACTCAAATTCTTGCAGCCCTCAACTGCAACCCGTGAAGCAACTTTGGACCCCAAAATCATGTCGGCAGATAAGCGTATTATCAAGATCTGGGATCCTCGCGATGGTACTCCATGGACCTCAGTGGAACCCGCAGTCGATATTAACTCGGTGGCTTGGTGCAAGGACAGTGGAATGCTCCTCACAGCCAACGAAGGCCGACAGCAACACTCGTTCTTTATCCCTCAGCTTGGACCGGCACCGAGATGGTGTTCTTTCCTGGACAACTTGGTGGAAGAAATGGCCGAGGACCCCAACGACCCGAATGCCTTCACCAGTTCACAGGCTGGTGCTATTTACGACAACTTCAAGTTCTTGACTGTTCCTCAGCTCCGCACCCTGAACCTGGAGCACCTTATTGGACGTACCAACCTCTTGCGACCATACATGCACGGTTACTTCGTGGCCCAGAGATTGTACGAGGAGGCGAGATTGATCGCCAACCCGTACGTCTGGGAAGAGGAGCGTGCCAAGCGAGTCAAGGAAAAGATCGACAAGGAGCGCGAGAGCCGCATTCGTGGCAAGAAGAAGGCTGCTGTCAAGGTGAACAAGAGGCTGGCCGAGAGATTGATGAACGCCGAGGAGAAGGCTGAGCGTAAGAAGGCTCAGCGTGTCCTTGCGCGCGGTGGCGACGACAACATGCCCGATGCTGTTCCTGCTACATCTGAGACCAACGAAAAGGGTGTCCTTCGCGATACTCGTTTCACCAAGCTGTTCGAGGATGAGGACTTCGCCGTCGACGAGACATCCCGTGAATTCCAACTTATCAACCCCAGCACTGTGCCTGACCAGGCCACGAGAAAGGAGCGCGGCCTAACAGCAGTGGAGCAAGAAGCCGTCGATGACGTTCCTGGATCTAGCGATAATGACTCTGGCTCCGAGAGCGAGCAAGAGAGACCCGTCAAGCAGAAGGCTTCCAACAAAATCTCCTCCGTCGACTACAAGCGCACAAACCGTCCTCCTCGCATGCAGGTGTCTTCTTCAGCACGTACGAACTCCACACGCGATCGTTCATTTGGCTCGCGTGCTCAGAACATGAAGTCGAAGGCGAGACCCTCGCGACAGGGTGGCCCCGTCGGCGAGAGAGAAGTCAGCTTCATGCCCGCCTCCAAGTCCAAGAACCAGAAACCCGAGGTCCAGTACGACAAGACTCCCTCTTCTTCCTTCCGCTCAAAGGAGCGCCGCAGTGCTTCGAACAACGCCTTCCGGGGTATGTAATTTGGCGATTTTGTACTGGTACCGCCAGGTGCTATGTCATTGAGATCTCACATCACATTACCACGCCCCGTCCCCTGCCGCGGCAGTCTCTCAGCCAAATTTATATCTACAAAGATGCTTATGGGCTAGCCTTGGTAGGCTCAGTGCCAATTCAAACGCCAAGCACCTAAGAGCCCCTGGCTTGGGACAACTGTGTCAAGAGCCGCCTCTTGGCTCATTCTCATTGGAGGAGAACCGGATTCCCCTTATCTTCTAGCATGTCAGCTGGATATGTACTGTTATTATGCATACGTTGAATGATCGGGTCATTGTTTTTTGCATCTAGAGCCTAATTCGTTAGATACCTTTTACTCGAGTTTGGAGCAATAAAAGTCTTGAAGTTTCAATGTATTTTGTCAATGGTTCGTTCATATCAAAAACTTATGTAGATACCTGAGACTTTACGGGAGTTGCAACTTCATAGCTACCATGAATAAGCCAGAATAAGTTGTTAAGGGGGATAAGCCCACATGATATTCAAGCTGCCTAAGACACAACCTTGAAACCAGATCACAAACTGTCAAGATGCAAGAAAGATCACGTTATCATGAGAAGAAAAAAGTTACCCAGAGCTAAAGAAACGAAAAGCAAGGCGCCAGTTTCTCAAGAAACATAAAATCATCTCAATCATGCAGTTGCGGAATAGCAAAGTAGTATCAGAAAAGACAAACCGCCGCTGACAGAGAAAAATCACGAGAGACGCAGAGAGAAAAAGAAAAGAAAAAGAATGAGACACGATTTCTATGGACGAAATGATCAAACCCTGAGTATTCAGTCTATGAAGCAGCCGACCGTTAATGAAAAGACGTGTTTTGAAGAAGACACCAGCCAATGGAGCGCAAAGTATGAAATGGGTATTCGAAGATGGCGGTTTGGGAGAAATCAGGAAAATCAAAGGGTATGAGGCGATGAGATCAGAGTAAAGAAGAATTCAGTCGAGGCACAAACTAGTTCCAGCTAGGAGGCCCAGCTCCTCGTCTGGCACTGCCACGTCGAGAACCAGCACTAGAGTCAGCTCCTCCGTGATTGCCATGTCGGTTCTCTTCCAAGCTACGACGAGAGGCACCGAAATCGCTCATAGCGAACAGCAATGGCTCATCATCCTCAAATTGGGATGGCGGTGGACGGCGTTGGTAGGAGCTACGTCTGATTTCCATAGTTGAGTTGCCGCTGTTGCTGCCACTGGCGTTGCCGTCGCGGTCCTCCCGCTCGGTCAGATATTGTGGGAGCGTGCTTCCACGTGCAAGACTGCTGGATGCGGAGCTCAGCGAATGAGGACCACCGGAAGAACCTCGGCCACGAGGAGGAAAACGAGGTTGATAAACGTGGGAAATAGACGATGCGGATGTTGCGGGGGGAACAGAGACAGTCTGGCTTCGAATTGCCTCGCCGTCCCGGTTCTGCGCTGTTGCAGCTGCAGCTGCAGTTCGTGCACTGGGATCTTCCAAGGACAGATTCAGTGAGCCAGGCTCGAGCAAGGTGTTCGCATCCGCGGTTTCTTGGTCATTCTGGCGTCTGAGATGCGAGCGCTCTTCAGGCCCAAGGCTGACACTTCGCATGCCGAATGAGAAGATATCATCTTCATCAGCAGGAGGCGGTCGTCGGCGCTGAGCAGCAGAGCTTGAACGGCGAAAGGCTGGCGCGAAAGGTCGCGGGGAGGTGGGGATATCAATCGCAGCTGCTGTAGACGACGCTCGTGCTGTTGTGTCCACGCTAGAATTCTCCTCAAGCGGGGAGTCATGGCCGTCATCTGCAATGCGTGGCATTCTTCGGTCGTGCTCAGGGTTGAGATCATCGACCACACTGTTAGAGCTCAGGCGGGATCGAATTGCAGGAGTGTGTGGTGTGTGGGGAGAGATTGGCTTTCCAGGAGATGAAGCAGTAGAGATGGAAGTACCAGCAACCATGGGTGGGACTCCAGAGAGTTGTTTGCTCGAGGAGATAGACGAACGCTGAAGCTGCACCGAAGCTGACATTGAATCCGATAGCACAGCATTCGATTCACGCATCTGTTGGAAGCGAGCAAGGGAAGTAGAAGCGGCTGTGGGTTTCCGTGGACTAGACACCTGAGAGGCAGTGCTAGGTGGACGACGCATTAGATCCTTCTCCTGGTCAAGGAACTTGAGGAAATCAGAGATGTTTTCATCGTCTGCGTGAATCGATTCTGCACTTGTTCCAGTAACTTCTGCAAGCAGACCAGAGCCCGGTTGGACGTTGGAGGATGTCGCGCTTGCCTTCCCACTGGAGGTTTCATCTTCCATCTTGTTGGTGCCTCCGAAAGATGGGCGACTTCGCCGGTGACTGAATGAACTACTGAATCTAGAGAGCGGTGCAGGCTTCGGGGAGGCCGAAGTAGATGAAGGTATCGCTTGGTCGGTCATTAGAGAAGGGGGTCGTCGTGCTGAGGCCGCAGAAGAAGGAGGTGGCATTATTCGAGAATCGACGGATGTTCCTGTTGAGCCTCTTGCGGAAGTGGTGCGAGGAGACACGCCCAAAGGAGTATCGATCAACGCAGGGGAATCAGATAGAGAGCCTGCTTTAAAATGGGGGAAAGAAACGGAGGGGCGCCGCGTGATGTTCGAGCTGCCACCCTCACTTGCAAGTTTGCTTGCTCGTCCTGTCGCCCCGATTTTTGCAGAAGGCAACAACTTCTTGTAAGATGAATCTGTTGGTGAAGGAGAACCGGCGCCAGCATCCCGAGCAGCACGCAAAGCTGAAATAGGACTCCCACCAGTGGCTGGACCGACTTGATGAAATGTTGATAGACTCCCATACGCCCGCGAACGGTCTGGATTCTCGATTGTTCTTCTTTCCACTGGCACCGACCCAACTTCAGGATTAGCCCGACTTGTATCATCCTTGGGTAATGAAGGACGGAAGATCTCATCATCAGCACCCATAAAGCGAGAGCTTAGCAGAGCCTCAGAATCATCAATTCGGAAATCACAATTAGTTCGGTATGAGACCTCTACCGAGAAGGGTCCCGCCGGAGATTCTGTGACACCGAAGTTGTATGTATCAACCACTTTGCTCTCTCCCTGAAACAACGGAGCTGTCAAGTTATCCAGAGACGCTTCGGATCGAGAACTCCCATCTACCACACGATACCTAATCTGCAGTGCGGGGCTTCTCCGTGCCTTCGAGTTGCCCCTAGAAAACTTCCAAGCGGGTAGAAACTTGGAGTATGTGAATAACGATCGGAAAAGAACAATGCTTTTCTTATACACCGTCGGCAAAATGGAGCCCAGATCGGCCGGAGGTCTGCCGGAGGAGGCTCCCAGCTCGATTTTCCATCGCTCCAGAATGACCTCCTCAGATCCTGACTGCTTCGAGCCCAGTATTGGTGACGCCGCAAGGGATTCCTGCACATCCCAACGCTTCCCGTTGTCATCCAATATCACCAGACTTTCGTTATTCGTGAGGCCCCTCGTGTCTATGAAGGTCTCGATTATGAGGGGTGGTGGTCGGTGATCTGTGGCGTCACAGGTTCGCCAGACTTGCAGCGTTTCTCGCAAAACGTCGGTTTCGTCCAGTTCAACGTTAAACTGTCACCCAAAAAGTCAGACTTCTGGTTCCATGTCATGGAAGAGGGCTGGATTTCAAAACAACATACCCATCGGTTCACCCTAGGTGAATGCGAACCTTTGTTGTAGGACCGGGGCAGTTCAACCCGGGAGTGGAGAATAATCAAAGCCGCTTTGGTGTGATAATTCTGGAGACAGCAAACAAAAATAGCGTCAGCATGGGGACCAGAGTGTTCAAAGGCTATTTCCAACCCACCGATATGATCTGATTCAGCTTGGCCAGAGCTTCTTGCCCAGGAGCCATCGCCCTAGTCGGCTCAGAGAAGCCTTCTCCAGCTTCTATTCCTAAGCCCTTGGTCTGATTTGTTCGCATATAGGCGGTTGGGGATGCTGGGGTCGATTCTTGGTCTCTGAGGTCGTTGCGAGGCGGGTGGAGTTTGGAGGGGAGCTTGGGCGCCGGCGCCGCCGGTGGCCCTGCCGGTGACCGGGGGTTTTGGTGCATGGTGGACGTGTCTCTGGGTATAGTCAGTGAGACCGGTTGAGCAGCGTTGATTCAACACGTCAAAAGAAGCTTACCCCGACAAACGGAAGCCGGGGCCGGTTGCTATCAGCGGCGGATTCCGTTATCAGGAGTGCAGAGCGAGTGAAATGGAGTCAGTGGAGACGTCCATGCTAACAGGTACACCAGATAAAGGAAGACGACCATCTAAGGGAAGCTTTGTGGAAATGGAAAGGATGGCGAATCGTGGATCAAACAATGGGAGAAACTGAGTACATCGTGGGGTTGGGACCTTCGGAGCCTAGGCGCTTCTCCGCATCAAATTAACGGATCCGGAGATGATTTCACACAGATACGCTTGTGAAACCTATGGAAGACTAGCCATCCTCACGGTTGGGGATGTGGTTTAATGGTATTTGAGTTGCGGAGGGAAGGGGAAGGCGGAGATTGTCTGTGACGCACACCCGGTGACTCGACAGGTCTCGAGTGTCCAAGTCAGCCTGGAACGCCACTCCACAGCTGATCATGGCACCGTTGATATGTTTTCTTTTTCGATTTACATGTTGACTCACAAATATCTACGAGAAAAGCAAGCATACATAGATTCTTTCATTGTATGCGCTTGGCGATTGTTCTGACAGTTATAGTCTACCTTATAGACAGACCGCTTCGTGATTAGGGAAAGATAAGGGCAGCTGATCTCGGCCTCCGGTGATCGACATCGATGGCGCGAACCACATTCTTAGTATAAAGGATACTATACATCACCCGTGGACATACAGTTAAAAATCCTTGGTGGAAAGGATATAAATATATCTATTTCAAGGTAAATTCCAGACATACAACCAAAATTCTCACGGTCGCGCGACGAGGTTCGGGGCCTGACAGGGTGCTCGAGCCCCTTTTTCGCATTCGGCAGCAGCAGAGCCGCGGATAAATGACGCAAGCGATTAAAGTGGAATGAGCAAAGTTTAACTGTAAATGACGAGGGAGATATGATGTACGGAGTACACGGGAATAATTAACCAATAGGTACATCGTCCAAAGACTTATCAAACATTATATAGTATCTCCCATAGATGCCCGGTCTCTCCCGTTCCCCACTGTAGATCTACGGGATCTTCATTCATTCCAGGGTTGACACTATCTTTACCATGTGACCACATCTTTCAGCACAGTAAGGTTCTGCTTGACCTTTGAGTCACCAGTACCAACGGTAGTGAGAACCTCGAGCAACTTCGTCAGGATAGGTTCCAGCTCCACGCCGAGTGCAATGGGGTTGAGAATACTGGCCAGCTCGGTGTTACTCGAGCAGCCGCTCTGAGTGGTGCCCGCAAAAGCCGACTCGACAAAGTTGATCGTATCGGGTAGACCGACGACTTCGGTCGTCGCATGGCCACCATTTGCAAAGGTCGTGAATTTGACATCAGCACCATAATTACACCACGAATCGACCATCGTCGACGCTTTCGCATAAGGAATGATCTCATCTTGCGATGCATGGTAGACAAACACCGGTGCAGTCGGAGTTTCCTCCTTCGCCACACCCATAGTGCACTGTTTGAGGACGGACTGAATAGTAGCCTCATAGAGCAGACCATCGCCGAGACTCTGGAAGCTAGTAGAAAACAGCGACTGGTCGGCAAAGTTGAGAAGATCCTCAACGGCGCAGGTGGTCTTGGATTTTTCGATGATAGATTGGCCCTTTGAGGTAACAACCTTATTAAGGATAGGGTTCAATTGAGCGCCATATGCACTTGGGTAAGATAGACCAGCTATGGCTGGGGGTATGAAGCCGCTGAAGGGAGTATCGTCAATGAACTCCAGAACACCCGTCAGATTGGCTGGGGTGCCACCTTGGGCCCAGCCTTTGATATCCAATTCAGGGGCGTAGCTGGGCTGGAGAGAAGCCGCCCAACCCGTGGCAATCGCACCACCTGAGTAGCCAGTACCAACAATCATAGGCTTAGCACTTGAGAGACCGAGTGCATCGAAGCTGCTCACAGCTCGCATATTATCAAGGACCCCCATTCCTGCCAGGCGACCGGGCCCGAATGCTGTATCAGGGCCTTCATAGTCGGGCGACGCCACAATGTATCCTAAGAGCAAATAGGACTGAAGGATCAATTGTTCCGCGGAAGAGATGATATCGGTTTGTGCCGCACCGAGCTGATAGTTGTAGCTGGGGTCACAGATCGAGGCGGAACTATCGTAGGCCGTGTGGAAGGACACAAATCGATCTGTCTTGGGGTTGGTGGGCTTGAAGATCGTTGTCACAGTCGCAATGGCAGAGCCATTGATGGCAGTGGTGCGGTACAATAGCTGATATGCTTCCACTGGGTCTGGAATGAGGCCTAGAAAAGCAACAGAGATTTCGCGCTGGCGTAAGATTGTTCCAGGTGCCTGGGACTCAAAGCCGGCCGGGGGGTAAATAGAACGGATCATCACTGGGAGCCTTGGGAAGTCCACGGGCCTCATAGGGCATATGAGCCACGGGTACGGCTGCTGGACGGGCATATGCGAGGCCCAGCATGAGGGCCACAAAAACCGTTATCGTCAAGCGCACTGAAGAACCGGAGGAAACCATGGTGGCTTGATACTGATAGTCAAGGCTTCAGTGGGGTCCGATCCGATCCCGAACGGGTGGGAATCGAGATAAATAACTGCCCTAGAAAGGCAGTGAATGTGATCAATTCATCCTGCCGAGGCAGCGCAACTTTGGGGTTGCTGATCGCCCCTGAAGCCATCCGCGCAGTTCCTGGACCCATAAAAGGGACTAAAGGCAAGACAAACCTCTGTCCGGTTTTCTATTGGATCCTTCAAGTGGATCGGGGCTTTTTTGTCACAATGTGCACCAACGAGGAAGCTCCATATCCAATGAATTACTTGTGCCTGAGCCAGCGGAACAATGGCGACGTTTCTGTACCCTGGATCAGCACGCTAGGAAATTTTGGGGTAAGCGAGTGGATATCTTTTCAACCCCGCACTCTCGGAGTTCCCCCAGGGGCTATGATCGACGAGAAAGCAGGCCATTTGCTTCACCGATGCGGTTCTTCGCATATTTTTCGGCGTCGGATCTCAAAGCGACAGGGTAGATGCTACCCAAGAATGCATATGCCACAATCATATGTCAAATCGGACTTACCGGGCATGGTGATGGGAGCGGTCGAGATCTAAGCAAACCCTACTGTTGATTTACTTCTGCAGGTAACATGAGCAGGAATATCAGGTGAAGGGCGTGGGGAGTATCATAGTTACATGAATTAGGCTTCGCTTATTTCTTCTATTATTCAGACTTTGAAAAGCAACCCCGCATTTCAAACCGACTTGCGGTTGAGAGTCTATCAACTGTGGAGGTATTAGGATAGATAGAATTCGGCTCTCGAGGTCGGACAGATAGTGAAAATGGGGCCTCAAATATCACGAGACCATTTTAATCTATCAGCCCTGAAGTTGTTGAAGCTCTCAGATGAATGCCAAGTGAACCCCTTGAACGTGCATTAACAAACCCTTGCAAACCTTAAGATCATCCAAAATTCAAATAGATTGCGATACGACCTCAGCTGTACGCCTTTGACTCACAAACCCAAGATGCCTAGGTATAGGAGCCTCGGTATTCTGTCTTCTTTTCAAAAATTATACGACCCTAGAGAACCTTGGAAGCCGAACAGAAATCCAAGGAAGGTCCTTCGCGGAAAAGTAATCTTGCAAAGACCTCCAGCCCTGGAGAGCTTGGAACATCTGGACAGACCATTCGACGCCCTGGAGATTCAATGATTATGTAGGGAACCATGGACAAGAGCTTGGGCTCACGGGTACCTCTCCTGGACCTCCAGGGCTGGAGGGGAGACCTCGGGAGTCCAGATATCGAAACTTGAATGGAAATTGCGGTCATAGGTATGCATATATATATTCCTCCACTGAATATCCATAGAGCCAACCTTGCGGGAACTGATCATTGACACCCTCAAGGCTCAAGTGCTCCAATATTCCCGCACTCAATTCTGGGCAATACATTAATCCTGAGAATTCTATTTGTTTATTCTCACATCACAGTCCCCAGAGGCACATCATACTACAATTGTGCTGAATTCTTACTGCAGGGTCGAAATCAGGTGACGTAATATCGTAAGATCCGCCCGGGAAAAAAATACTTTAATCAAGAGAAGGTCGCCTTACGCTTCGCTAGCGTCATTTCGATAGGTTCTGCAATCCATGCGGGTCTGGAGCTGATTTAAAGTCCCGGCCACGGGACTTCGTATCTGGGGGGTGATATATCAATACCCTCATCTCCACTAAATGCGACTTTTTACCCCGCGGAACCTCGGCAGTCAGATGACTTCGTCATTATCATCGTCAAGTTGACGTATCGGAGAGGACTCTCTAGTGTCCAGTGGCAGCTCGATGAGGCTGCCACTGCGACGCTAGGCGTTAATTGCCAGGTGTTAACATAAAATACGATATACGGAATACGGGATACGGAAGGCTTTCAGATTCTATCACTTATGATTAGTCCAGTCGGATCAGGATCCACTCGCCCCACAACAGATGGGAAGATCATCTATTGCAAGGTCCATGTCTAGGGGCGTTTATCACTAGTTCTTCAATCTAGGCATCAGGGATCCTGCCAATCACTGAAGAGCTCTCGGTGAGTCCGCGTAGAAACCGGGGCTCAGCCTAGCGCACAGAAGATGTTGGCAGAAATACGATGTGCCAGAGAAAATGGACGTGGGTATATAGCTTGACTTGTGGCACATTTTGAACTCCGTTTCTCTCAAGCATATACCAATCCTTGGACCACTTGTCAGACCTTTCAATATGGCAGATTGTCCTTTCGCCCGCTGCCCTACAGAGGTTGTCCACACTATATTATCTTATCTCGATCACACGTCTCCACTCAGCTTACGGGCGCTAGCCTACACCAGCAAGGACTTCTTATTGGTGTCTTCGCCTTTCATATACCACACTGTCAAGATTCAACTAGATCGAGAAGATCTTGAGACAATTACGACAAAAACAAATCGACTATATAGGGAGCTGAATTGGGTGAATGCCTTTTCCGAGGTACGCTGTCTGATTATCGAGCCCCCACGACACGATGGAAAGCAGATCTCCCTTCCATCAACACCAATCAAGCGCGACGTCAATGCGCTGAGGCAATATGTACTCGACACTCCCTCAGTACCTTGTCAAACAGATTTTCAATATCCTACTACAACACAAGAAGCAGATGACATGTGGTTACCAATTGCGAACCTCCTCAGACAGCTGCCCTCACTGAATGACTTGCTATACGGTGGCTTGCATCAATTTGCTCCGTGCCTTCTCAAGGCCATCCATGAGAACTCCTCTAGCTGTCAGTTGTGGCTAAATAATTTCAAGCTGCACAGCTTGGGCGCGGAACAAATCGATTCACATGAACTCGCATTGCTCTCGTCGCCCTGCCTTTACAGCATCAAACTCGATGGTTTTGCCCATGAAGACAATGCTTCGAGATATCGCTCTCTTGACCAAGAGAATGTATATAATGAGGAGTCTATCTGTCGTACTGTGGCCAGTCTGTCTCCAAATCTGAAGGAGTTCCATGCGCATTATTGTGGTGACCAGGCATACATCCCCACGGATGAACCAGAAGAGCAACAAAATCGCAGCAAAATCCAGACCACAAGAGGCTCTCTACAATACCTCAGTATCCGTGGGGATGAGAACAAAACTATCAACAAGGAAACAGTGACCATGTGGAACGATTGCACTGATTTCTCAGCGCTTCGTACTCTTCGAGTCACAAGTCCATTGCGCCACCAGGCTTTGGAGTTCCTTGCAAATGACTGCAACTTCACATCACTTCAATCACTAGAGCTGAACTTGTCTTTATTCGCAACTCGGCTCGCATGGCGTCTCGGTCAATTCGATACCCCCGAGACCCGCTTCCTATGCAGCCTTCCCCCTCTATCCACCTTGACTCTTCACAACTGGACCAACAAATACCCCCTCGAATGCTTTCTGCCTCACCATGGTAGCCAAATAACCAAACTTGTCATTTCAACCGGCAAGAATGCACCTATCTCGCCATCCGATCTGAAAATTATCAGCGAATATTGTCCCAATCTCCAGGAGCTCGAAGTCACCCTACGTCGCACCCAAGGAGATGACACCGAAGTTGAATGCTATCGAAATATCGGCAGCCTCTCACAGCTTCGCAACCTGACAATCAAGTTGGACGTGACAAGTATCAAGCTATGTAGCTCAAATTACGGAGGCACCGATGCACCTGCCGCTTCCAAATGTGTCATTACTGCTCCTGATGCCTCATTCAATGAATTTGATCTAAAACCTTGTGTGAGACGAGCAAAGTTTACCCCTCGTGGATGTCTCTACCGCAATGGCGACATCCGTGAGATACTGATCAATCATGCTATCGATGAAAACCTGGCACAAGGGATATTTAAAACCATTCAAGGCAGCAAGAGGCCAGGGACTGAGCCACTTCAATCCTTGAATATCTCTTGTGTTGGAACAGTGGGTCTGAAGAAACACCACACGGGTTCCGTTTGGCGTTTCCCACACCAGGAGGTGCTTTCTGCTCTGAAGAGACCATGGCGTCTCACTCGTCTCTCCGAGTGTAAATTGAAAGTGGAGGGCAAAGGGTCAACTATATTAGTTGAGACAAACGGACCAGGGGATCGCCCACTTCCAGCCTGGCTGGAAGTACCATTGAGGCGCATTTGGCCGCAGAAGCAGGAGGGAAGCAGCTGGTTGGCTGATTGGCATAGTCTTCCACTTTGCATGACTTAGTTCCTGAATTTTTCCTGAATGGCGTCAATGTTGGATGGGACTTTTAATTGGGATTGTGTCTAATAGTCATTAATAATGAAATGCGGCAATGAAATTGTAATCTAATGACGAAATATATCCCATGGGCCTGACATACAAATCCCTTCTTTTTTTACGTTACCGGATTGCCTGGACCGAGATTGCCAGAAAAGTAGTATACTACCCAAGATATCACTATGTACCTACTTGGCAACAACCTTGGAATCCAGTGTAGCATAGTGGCAAATATATAGTGGCAAATATAATAAGAGCTCAACACAGATAACATGACCGAGATTCAGAATTCCATGCACATGCGGCAAATGCATATGCAAGTAACCTGAAAAGGCAGATACGTGCAGAGGAAGCCTTTGCCAGGCAATGCCAATGCGCATGCGTATTTTTACCTGTCCCTGACCTTCACGCTGTGACGGTAGCTCAAATCATCTTGCCAATTTCACCATTGCGCTATTGCTAAATAATACTAGCAGAAGCAAAAGGATCCCAGTCAGGATCAAGAGAATGGTCAAGTCTAGAGAGTCTAATTCCTACTCCCTACTTTTTGAATAGAAAAGACCCCTCAATATTGGAGGAATCTCAAGGCCAGGATGAGAGAATGAGGGGAAGGATAGGAGATTTGGATTTCAAGAAAAAAGAGCTTATAGTCGGTTGCATTCCGCTTTCCGAGAACAAAATCGTCGCATCACGGAGCGTTCATCCCACCAAGATGTTCATACCAAACGCAGTAAATACGATAGCAGCAAAGAGTATTCGAGGAAATGCAGTTTCAAATATATAGATCCGTGGATAGGCTTGACCAGAGATAGACTCCACTTAGTCATACATCTTAGCTGTCAGACCGGGAATGATATCAAGATCGCCCTTTCCATAGGTGAATTTCCCCTCCTCAGAGATCTTGATGTCCTTGTTACGACGTTGCTGCTGGGACTGTCGCACCTTAACCCACTGTTCCATAGTGAGGTGCTGACCAAGCTCAGTGAAGGCATTACTAGTAAGGCCTAGACGATTCAGTACAGGGCTGTTCTCGATAGGGTCCAGGACGATGTGATTGTTTGGTCTGTTCTACAGATCAGAATTGCTGAAAATGATCTCACACAAGCGACTTGATATTTTCACTTACCGAGCAAAATACAGCACACCCAGACGATCAACATGGGCCTGATCTGCGGGAGGAGTGTGGACACGGTGAATACTTGATTTGATATATCCTCCAGTCAAGGCTGTAAGGGCATCGCAAGTGTTGATTGTGATAGTTCCATCTTGAGGTTTGACCCACTTCCACTCCCCTGCGGAGTTGAGGATCTGTAAGGCGGCTACGGGCTGGCGGAAAAGCAGTGTGATAGATCCCAGATCTGTGTGTCCAGCACTGTATAGCCCACCGACCTTCTTGTTCTCCTCGGCGCTACGCGCTGCGTAGTGCATGTAACGGAGATGGTCTTCGCCCTTCACATCATACTGGTGATCACGAACCAGCTGATCCTCGCTTGGAAGCTCGAGGAGGATGGCGAATAGTCGAAGTAGCTTTTCTACTACCTCGGTGTGACATTTCTATGTTTTGTGAGCGGGGGAACACGCAGAAAATGGTGGAAAGTTGACTTACCCTGCTGAAATCTTCAATCTCGTCAATGTGGTCAGAGATAACCGGGGGCTGTTGTCGCTTGTGGTAGCCATCAAACTTGGGAATGTTGTAGACCTGAACGTTATCCTTGATACCGTTACCCATGCTGATGAAGAGTCAGTGAAATTCTACTCCTTGAGATTTAGACCCTTCTCACATGCGGTGACCGGCAGGTCTGTATCCGTTATACTCGCCATTGGCAAGATCATTGGAATTGTGATACTTCAGTTTCTCCTCAAGAGGGAGATCATAGAATTCGCGACCTAGAGCAAACTGGCGATCGACTTCTTCCTGGCTGATGTTGAAGCCCTTTACATAGAAAAAGCCTATAGGAGGATTGTGTTAGCGACGCAGAAATATATTTGATGACCGATAAATGCCCACCAACATGTTGCACGGCATGTTCTAGCTGCTTGGCAAGCTGCTCTTTACCACCTGGTTGCTCAAACAGGCTCAGATCGAGGGTGACAAGTTCCGCCCAATCCACTAGATCGCGTTAGTAGGCGTGCGATGGCGTTCAGGTAAAACTCAAATATACTGACAGTCTTCCTTGGTAACTGGAACATGATCATATTGATCAATTATTTTTCCGGGCATTCTTATGACTCGTGTGTGTTGGCTGTTCAACGCGTTGTGTCTTTACCGTAGAATGTGGCGCAATATGTGATCCGGGATGAACAACTCGGATTATGCAACACATATATAAAGTACAGGACTTTATTTAGGCTGAGTTCAACCCCGCACTTCTCGACCTCTTAAATCTCGCGTTGATAATCAAAGCACGTCATTTATGTATAGAATGAGACTTCACGCTTAATCGTCGGTGATTGAGGGCCGCGACCACGGGCACGCCATCGCGGTGTACCATGTCGCAGTCATTGCATTGACAGACAAGGGTGTCGGCACCTATCAAGACACATTATGACTGATTGCCATCCAACTTTCTTTGGATGATCCTGTTTCAATAGGGAAGTATTATTCGGGGTTCTTCCGATGAATATGATCGCGACAGGAAGTGGAGAAATTGCACCGACATCAGCCATTCATCTAGACATTAGATATCGAATGAGTCCAGACCTTTGCAGATATAACAGCCGAAAAATCGGCTATACTAGCGCAGGTTGTTTTTTCCTATTAGAACGCGCAATCAATCAAGGACCTGTTTGATCATCATGTCGGACCTCCAGAAGTCAAAGCCTGCAAGGCCGACCCTTTGGGGATTCTTCAAGGAAGTTTTCAATTGGTATCCATCTTCTTATCCTTCTGAAGAAAGAAAGTATGTGAAATACTAGGCCTGTCGATATTTTCATGCCTGACCTTCTCGTCAGATTACTCTTCAAGCTCGATGTGTCAATCCTGGTATTTGCCTGCTTATGTTGTGAGTACACCGATTCTCTGCGGACTGATAAGTCATGCTAACAAGACAGTCTTCGTCAAATACTTGGGTAAGGTATTTGTACCATTTGTTGCATTCTAGGGCTCACGAAAATCCTCAGATCAAACAAATATCAGTAATGCCTACGTGAGTGGGCTCAAGGAGGACTTCGGTCTATATGGAAACGAACTCAATTATTTCAATGTCTGTTATTACACGGCATATGTTGTATTTCAGGTTCCTGGTCTACTCCTATTGTCACGTCCAAAGTTGTAAGTTCAGGTAGAATGACCAGTGATCGTGAGCATACTCTAATTCCAAACAAGGGCTCGCTGGCTACTTCCCGGACTTGAAGTCCTCTGGGGTATCTGTACATTTGCTCAAAGTCGTGTCACCAGCGTCAATCAACTTTACGCCCTTCGATTTCTTGTTGGAATGCTGGAGGCTCCTGTTTTTGCTGGGACGCATTTTATTCTTGGTAGGTCCATTATCAAGGCGCTTCATGCAGAAGTTAAGCGTGCGCTAATACCTGACCTAAGGCTCCTGGTATTCTGGTCCTGAACTTTTCAAACGTGCCGGTACCTGGTTTATCTGTAACCCGCTGGGAAGCATGGTAAGCGGATATCTGCAATCAGCCGCATATACCAACCTCTCGGGAGTTGGAGGTATGCCTGGGTGGAGGTGGCTATTCATTATTGACGGCATTTTCACAATCCCGGTGGCTTTCATTGGGTTTTTCATCTTCCCGGGCATCCCAGACTCGCCACGTCCATTTTATTTGACCGAAAGTGATATCGCTTTGGCCAAGGAGAGGGCACGCAGGGCAGAGATACGTCGCCCTGGTAAACTAGGACTTGATGTATTCAAGCGGTCTCTGAAGCGGTGGCATATCTGGGTCTTCGTTGCAACTTATGCGTGAGTCATTGATCGAAGTATAGACAGAGATCAGAAGAGTATTAACACATCGCTATAGGTGCATGATTATCTCATCTTATCCGACGTCTTATATGAACTTGTGGCTCAAAGCTGAGGGATACTCAGTTACCCAGGTCAACCAGCTACCGACAGTTATTTATGCCATCCAAATTGTCGCATCTTGGTTTGGCACGACTATTGCTGCAATTTACCCTTCTTGGATCATCTATACAATTGCTTCTTTGGGTTGCCTTTTCTCGACATTATGCATGATTATTTGGAATATTCCAAAGGGGTTGAAGTGAGTACTCCTGCACTATTGAGATAAACAGTGTATTAATTAAATACTGCAGATTTGCTGCGTGGTATTTCCTCGGGCTTTCGGGCTGTCTAAGTCCTATTCTATATTCCACGGTCAACACTATTGTTAAAGATGATTCCGAAGAGCGAGCACTCATCCTGGGATCGATGATGACATTTGGCTACTCATTCCAGATCTGGGTTCCACTGCTTGTGTTTCCAACCTCTGGTCATGACGGGGCTCCACAATGGATCAAGGGATGGCCCGTGTCATTTGTGTTCTATTTCTTGTTGTGGGCAGGATTCATCACTGCCCTAGTTGTTTATCGACGGTGAGCACTAAATGAGCCTCGTGAATACCGCCCTGCTAATCCATGGGTAAAGGGACCAAAGGAAAAACGTCACTGTGATGGCATCCGACAGCGAGGATATTGAGATAATCGTGGACCAAGCGCCTCCGAAATCTGCCGTGAAGGACTGAGGGAATCTTTTGAGAAGAGATACAGGTACTCAACTGATCGCACGTACCTGGTATACTTCAGATATGCGCGTGAATCCCGAGGTCCCAAGGTAGTAGAAAAGTGTTGGGTGCGGGGTGAAATGCAAGCAAGAGCGGGGAAAGAAGATTCTCCTGTAGATCAAAGAATGTCAGACTTAAAAAAGAAACACTGTCCTATCGCTGCTCCACGGGCGCTTGATTACCGAAATGACCCGCACCTCTCGTCCGGGGACATGGAGGGACGTGCGTGCTGTCATTGGTCGGTGCGACGGGTTCCACGATCCATGGATGACGGAGCCTCGATAAAGCAGAGTGTACGCCGACCTTGAATTTTCTCTTTGACTCGATATCGCATTTCACTGATACTTCCCTTTGTATCCGGGTTGTTCCGCGACAATAAAACTCCCTGCCAATACCAGAGCCCTAGTTCCGCAACCATCGCCACCGCGCCGCGACCCCTCCTCGAATCCCACAATCGATTTTGGTGTCACTACGCGTTGCTGCACTCCCAGTGGAAGCTCATTGCCCAAGGACGCGTCGATCCATCGCGAATCGGCTCCTCCCCCTTTCCCTTCGAGCCGGTTTCGTCTTATCACCCAGCTCTTCCGTCGCGGTCAACCCTGGTGCGTTGACAGCGACGCTTTGGCTTGGGCTTGATAAGAGATTCGGTGACACAACCACATCGGGCACATATGAGTAGCAAACTTTGGGAGTTTTTTATTCAAGATGATGTGGAGAGCTTCCAGCGGCTCCTCGCAAACGCAACGTTTGCGGGGCCGCGAGCTGCAGGGGGGTCCGGAGGTGCTTCCTTAGCTGCGACAGCAGCTAACCTGACCTACAAAGCTGGAAGCCCCGGGTCGCTGATCTCATCCTCCCCAAATCCTCCAAAGCAGAAGAAAAACATCGGCTCATCACCAGGAACATCAGCACCTGAGCGGCCGGGCTTCCAGCGAGCTGGCATCACTTTGTCGCGCGCCGACATCAATGCTCGTGACCACTATGGCAGGACCCTCTTACATCACATTGCTTCGTCGTCAAAGCCCACTGCCACCAAATTCGCTCGCGCACTGTTCGAAATCCCGTTTCTTGACATCTATGTACAGGACTGGGAGAGTGGATGGACGGCACTCCACCGTGCCCTTTATGCGGGCAATGCTACAATCGCCTTAGCATTGATGGAGCGGAACCAGCGGGATGCGACCGATTTCAGCAAAGTGGAAAAAACAGGACAGATTGGAAGCTTGATCAAGATTAAGGACCGTGAGGGCTACAGCCCGTTCGATGTTTATGGAGCGACCATTACCTCTCGTGATATCAAACGGATGACTTCTTTAAGACCGTGGAACCTTGATACTGCCGTTGACTCCTTGAGAGAAGGCGATGCTGATTCGAGTGCCGGATCTAATGACGAAGATGACGTTGAAGAGGATGTCTATCTTTCTCGATTTTCATTACAGTCAACACCAACCGATTTTTCCGCCGATGAAGTTTTTACCTTCGGTAGCAACAAGAACTTGAACCTTGGGCTTGGGGATCAGGATGACCGTCAGTTTCCTGAACGGGTCACCCTGAAGCGTCCCGAACATCTTTTGAATCGGTTTTACCGTGAATATCAGGAAGAGCTAGGGCTTGAGCCTGTTACCACAGATGGATTGCCAACGCTTATCAGAAACAAGCCAATGAAAATACAAAACACTATCATGTCCAAGTTACACACTGCAATCATCACGGATGATCCGGAGGCCAATCTGTTCATCTGTGGGTTTGGACCGGGCGGTCGCCTGGGGACGGGCGATGAAGCTACACGATTCACCTTTTCCTGTATCGAAACAGGTGGGTTGTCAGGAAAGAAGGTCATGTCGGCCGCCCTCGGCCAAGACCACACCCTGGCTATCACAGAGTACGGCGAGATCTTTAGCTGGGGAAGTAACAAGTTCGGACAGCTAGGATATGGTCTACCCAGGACCAACAACAAAAATGATGTTCCTATCCAGACGACACCCCGCCAGATTTTCAACCCATTCAAGAAGGAAAGAATCCTTGGTGCAGCGGCATCTTCGATTCACTCGGTGGTCTTCAGCACTTCCGGTCTGTATACCTTTGGCAAGAATGAGGGCCAGCTCGGCTTAGTAGATTCGGATGCACGTTCGCTTGAAGTTCAAACGACCCCCCGGCGGGTTGGAGCGTCACTCTTCAACTCCCCGATTCAGATGGTATCTGCCATTGATCAAGCCACTGCTGTGCTCTTGCAAAACCATGAGGTCTGGGTGTTTTCACAATATGGCTACTCGAAGCTAGCATTTCCGCTGGAGGCCACTTCAAGGTTTATCCGAGACAGCTTCATGGCGACAAGATATGATGCTTCAGTGAATCGTATAGTCAAGCTGACATGTGGTGGAAGCACTATCTGCGCTTTGTCTAGCTCTGGTGATGTATTTACTGTCCAGGTCAACAAGCCCGAGAATCCATCGATACCGACCTCGACCACAAACCCAGCCAAAACCCGCAATTCTTTAGCACCACCCGTGAGAGCTTGGTCTGCTAAGCAGTCGCACATGGCTGCTAGCGATGTGGATGTGGGCCAGGACGGATCGATCATCATCTGCACGACATCGGGCTCCGCCTGGAGAAAGGAGAAACGGACAAAGAAAAAGGAAGGCACTTTCAAGGACTACAAATTCGCCCGCATACCGTCTCTGTCAAGGGCCGTAGCCGTGCGCAGCAATGCTTTTGGGGCCTATGCTGTCGCCCAACGCGACTACAACGTGACAAGAGAACAAGTCCACATCTCTGGAAGTACTCTTTTGGATGACCTCTTGCCACTCTCGCCCTTTGGGCTCCCCGCTCCGGATGATGTAGAGACAATGTTGGAAGGTGGAACAGATCCAATGGAGATGTCTTGTGCAGCAGCCATCAAAAGAGCCATATTATCGTCTACGAATATGGAGGACCAATACCTCTCTATGCGCACCGAGGGGACTGTTTGGATCACTAGCTCTCTGTCCGATGCACGGATTCCAGTGCACGAGTTTTTGCTAAGTGGTCGTAGTCCCGTTCTCAGGAAGGCACTTCAGGAGTTCCGGGCATCATACTACTCCTCTGTTCCTGATGTTCTCGACGTCGAGTACGGAAAGGATGGTCACATGCAGATCCAGCTCCATGGCGTTGACTTCCTCACGGTTCTAAACCTTGCCCTCTTCTTCTACACCGATAATGTTCTCGATGTTTGGCATAAAGTGAAAACCTCTCCCCAAAATGCCACCCGCTATCGGCAAGTACGCACAGAAGTGATGCGAGTTGCTCTTCAGCTTGGGCTGCCAACCCTTGAACGTGCCGCGAGATTAATGCTAGACCCTGAGCCAAGTTTGAAGCATGACATGGCCCTTGCCATCAACCATAGCTCATTCTTTGATGATGCAGATGTGGTGGTTCAGCTTAAAGGTGATTCCGTCAAGGTTCACAGCCAGGTGGTTTGCCAGAGATGCCCGTTCTTTGATGCGCTATTTCATGGGCGATCTGGTGGCCGGTGGCTTGCCCCACGAAAGGCAGACCGCTCGGGGGCCATTCATGTTGATCTCAAACATATTGACCGATCGACATTCCTCTTTGTTCTGCAATACATGTATGCAGATACCGAAGAGAAATTATTCCATGAAGTGCGGACTAAGACTCTTGATGACTTTATTGACTTGCTCCTCGACGTCACTTATGTGGCGAACGAACTGATGATTGACAGACTATCGCAGATCTGTCAGAATATGCTTGGTCGTTTTGGTGAGTCTGAAATCGGTGACATCGTCGTTTCTCCTCTGACCTTAAATAGTCAACACACGCAATATCACGTATCTTCTTAACTCGGTCTCCCCTATCTACATGGGGGAGTTCAAAGAGGCTGCCCTCGAGCATATTTGTCTTGACCTCGAGTCTATGCTTACGAACAGGTACTACCACATGATATGTTCTACCATTTCAAAAACTGACTCGATCACTAGATATCTCGACGGACTTGATGATGATCTTCTCGCTGCGCTCGATAAAGTCTGCCAAGGGAATCAACTGGCTTCCTATCCCATATCTCGTGGACGCAACACCGAAGCATATGTGTTCGAGAAATATCCGGAGATTGTCAGCTCGATCAAATCGGACCAACGACGACGGATCGATGCAATGGCCTTGCAATCCCGCCTGAGCCAAGTCGAGTCATATGACGTTCGATCTCGCCCGCCAACAAATGACAAGTGTAATGCTTCTCCGTCTGTTCGTAAACCAAAGGCTGGCGTTTCTAGGGAGATGACTAGTCCCACCACTAGCCCTATGCTGAAGGCACAGCAGTCGACGGGAGACCTCATGTTCCAGATGGATGATGAAGCTGCTCTTTCTCCATTCGATGCCAAGGGCAAAGCACCCATGCGTGGACTGAGATTCAGTGAAGATAGAGGCCGATCGTACCCCAATTCTCCGGCATTGGGAGCAAGCATCCCTGAGGATGATTCGCTACGAGATCGAAGCTTTTTGGATCAGCAAATGTCTTCTCCGCGAGGTCCATTGCTTGCCGAGTCTCCGACTGAATCTAAAGCAATTGCCATGCACCAAAGACGGAGCTTGGCGTCATCAGGTGACGCCTCTACGGCGCCGTGGAACTCCCCTGTCATATCTGATGGCAAGAGAGACCTCCAGGATATCATGAGCGAGACCTCCCAGTCCCGGGTGTCAAATCTCACCCTTGGTATGACAGCCAGAAAAGAAAGCAGTGGTAACTTCACGCCGAAAATATCTCAAAAGGAACGGAAGAAGATGCAACAGCAACAAATGCAAGAAAAACTGGCCGCACAACAAAAGGCTAAGGATGCTCCATCAAATCCATGGCAGTTGCCGACGTCGACTTCCTCAAGTGTACAGGGCAAACCTGGTCCCCTGCCAGGCCAGAGTGGGTCCAGTACACCAGCTCCTGAGCCCGTTAAGACGCCCCAAAAACCTTCCATGACTCTCAGACAAACTGTAGCTGGCACACCGCCGCCTCGGTCTCAGCCAGTGGCTACTCCAGTGCAGCAACAGAGCCGCAAAGTCTCGGCCAGCATGCAACAGTCCCCCTTCTCCAAATCACCGCCCTCCGGCCCTGCCACTCCATACCAACAATCCCTTCCCAAACCATCCCCCCAACCTAGCATTCAATCAATCCGCCACATTCCACGTCCCGATGCCCACCTTCGCTCCCCGTCTTATGGGTCATTTTCCATAGCAGCTATTTTGGAGCAACAGCAGGCCGAAAAGGATGAGATCCGGGAAGCAGCTACAGCCAAGCATAACATGGAAGATATCCAAGCTGAGCAACAGTTCCAGCAGTGGTGGGATCAAGAGAGCAAGCGTGTACAGGGCCTTCTCGAGCCCGAGCCAGAACCCCAGCAGCGCGGCGGTAAAGGTGGCCGTGGCGGTAAAGCTGCTGGTGCATCTGGAAGTTCACGCAAGCGTCGTGGAAACAAGAATCCAGCTCCTGACGGTGTCGACTCTCGGAGCCAGAAGCAAGCTTCAGCCCCAGCTTCGGGTCAGGCCACACCGAAAAAGAATGTGAACGGCCCATCCCCGCTTCCACAACAACAGCCAAATGGAAGTGGAAACCATGTTTCCACCGGGCCGGGCAAAAACGCTCGTCGTGGAGGTACCTCAAGCAGGGGCAAGGGACGAGACCGTGGATAGGAGTATCTTTGTTGTTTCATTCTTATCTACTTTCGTTGTCGATACATTGTTCTCTCCCCTCATCAGCTCATATGAGCATATAATCATGAACATTCTACTCCCTTTCAATTTTCATCTTTGCGGCCAAGCTGTGGCCTTTCTAGCGTTTAGACTTCCGGTTGGATACACCGACTTCTGCACGAACCCTCTATTATGTGAAGACTTCTAATAAACTATTATGATTTCTGGGCTCGGGATATACGAAGCTACTATACTCTGTTGATACTTGAAATAAATCGAAGAATTGAATCTCGTTTCATAGACACAAGCATCCTTCTTCCTTTGGCATACACGATTAGAATAAAACGATCCCACTCCGACAATGGAGCCTAACATCTCCACGTAATAAAGCAACAGTTCACTCATGCCTACGTTCCCACCGCACTGTCGCAGGCTGCACCGGCCTTGAAAAGAGAGACTGCAAGTAAGAAAGACCAGTTAGCCTTGAAATTCACAAAAATATCCACGAACGAGAGCAGACAACAAGAAAACGTACCGAATAATCCGTCTCCGGAACCCCAACCCGATCTTCAGGGTTATAAAACTTGAACTCCCTCACAAGAGTCGCAACAATAACCGCCAGATTCATATAGGCAAATTTCTCCCCAATGCACCGGTGCCTACCAGCCCCGAACGGCAAGTACGGGCTGCGCGTACCCTTCGACACTGCACCATACCCATAATCTACTGTATCAGTCTCATCAACCTGGTCCTCAACACGCGATTCCCACCGATGCGGATCCCAGGTCAGGGCATTCCGGAAGTACCGTTCATCTCGCGCAGTGACACCAGGAGAAGAGAGCAGCGTATGTGTCGTAGGCACGACGTAGTTCGTACCCGGCACGGGAAGAGGATTCTTGACTTTGCGCATGAGGGTATGAATAGAAGAGTGGATACGAAGGGTTTCCTTAATAGTGTATGCAAGCAAAGGCAGTTTCTCAAGATCACTATATGTCAACGGCGGCAGCGAGCCCGAGGAACTTCCCAGGGCATTGATCTGCTCGGCATAGAGTTTCTCTGTCATCTCAGGCTCCGATGCCAACCGGAGTAGAATCCAGCAGCTGATAGCAGACGAAGAGTGTTGGCCCGCCATCAACAATGTGATCATCATATGCGCGATCTCTTTATCTGGGATTGGGGTTCCATCTCGGTATACGCAGTCCATGAGGTGCCAGATCATATCTTTAGCCTGGTGTCCTTGGTTGGCGCCGGTCGCGACTTGCTGACGACGCTCATTGATGATGTCTAAGTAGATTTCGCGCATGCGGGCATGCGCTACGTCTCGCTTACGGTTGTGAGGTAGTGGTGCCCAAGGGAGCATGAAGTTGATAGGGGAGAAGCCCAGATCGAGGTCATGGAAGAGGTCGGCGAATTCCGAGGTCAGCTTTGCGCGGACTTCGTCGCCTTGCAGCGTGCGACCTGCTGTGAAGATGGTTATCTCGGCCATTGTGGCACCGAGATCAATTGTGCCCGAGGTGCCTTTGAACCTGCTGGACATTTTGATGTATTGCTCCACCTCTTGCTCGATTAGGGGCACGTATGCCTCTAGGGCTTCTTGGCTGAGGCCGAATTTCACGAACTATAGGGGGCACAATGGTAGTTAGGATCAGCTTGCTAGAAACGGAAACGAGAATCTCAGAGTTATCAGACCTTCTTCTGCTCCATCAGTTTCGAATTCGGACAATCGTAAACCACATCCGATCCGAAGACTGGCGTGGTCAACTTGCCATACACTTCTTCCGCGTTGACATCCTTGAGTTTCCCATTGAGAATGAACTCGTTTCCTTCTATCCCTAGGTAGACAGTGGTTTTCTTTCCCAGTAGGATAAACGTGAAGATGTCTCCGTACTAGCGATTCTGTGAGTATTCCAGACCGACCTTCGATCCTCATCAAGCACACATACCTTTTCTCGACACTCAAAGAAGAACTTGTAGGGATCCATTCCGTAGCGCACCGTACTTCCGACAATGGGAAACCAATGGAACACGACTGGGGGTTCATTGCGACGGTAGAAGAATTGTTGGTTGATTATGTTGACAAATACGGAGATGAAGGTAATGGCAATCAAGTAGCAAGTGATGCGTAGGATTTGGCTAGCGACGAGCTGAACAAGGAGCTCCATGATGTTTGTTTATTAACAAGTATAGAGAAGAAGTATACCACGATAAGTACAGGGAAGCAAAGATCAAATCAGGAGCTTGGGAATGAGCATTAATCATCATTAGGGCAAAGAGACCCGGAACTGGGGAATGTAGTGTCAGGCCACGGCAGATCCCCCGGAACACGATGTACCCGAGACCAATAGCATCATTAGGATTTGATCTATTGAAAGGTACAGAACGGGAGCTATGCACATTGGCATCTGCCGAATAAATCCAGAAATCAAAGAACATCCTTCAATCTGATTGGGAAAGAAGAAAAAGAAATACATGCCACCAGCGCCAAAACTTGCAAGTAACTAGAAGCTCATCAACGTAAAAGATAGTTATGCAGGAATGTTCATTAACCCGAGGTAGCCACCTCTCGACTTTCCCACATGCGACGGACCATCATGTCAGTCCCGTCAACGGGGTAGTCTTCATCGTGATCACCTGGGATATTATGTGAGGCCTCGTCAGAACTAGATAAGATCCGCTGCGAGGGGTGTTTGGATTTGACCCCTTGTATGGTGTCAGTGGATTCATTCTGGCTCGTCTGATCTTCGGATGCCGAGGAGTGGGGATCAGGCAACTGAGATCTGGATTCTGAGCTTGACGCGAGCCGGCTAGGCTGTCTTCCGTGCTGCAGGAGGGGCAATGACGGGGCTGATTTTACTGGTTTGCCTAGAGCTGATCCAGGCTCTGCACGGATGAGAGCTTTGGATGCCCGTGCCACCGCACGAAGTCGGTTGAAGCTATCGCCAGTAGGCGACTGGAATCGCCTTACCACAGTTAATTCGAGAGAGGATTTTTCATATGCTTTTCGAATATGGCGTGCTTCGGTGTCCTGCCCTAGAGCTCCAACACGACCGTTACCGTTCAAGGCCCTGCTAGAATCATATGGACCACCGACAGGACGAGTGTGGCCTGCTGCCATAAAATTAGGGTCGCTGGTTGACGGAGGTCCCGTCGTGGAAACGCTATGTGAGTCTGGCGGCGAATTATTCAACGTAGCGGTACGTTGGAGCCAGAGCTTCTGTTGCGTTCGCGACAGCTCAGCACCTCTGTTAGGTGCCGGGGAAGCAGTTGGCTTCCCTGATCCTCGGTTGGGGGAGGGTGGTGTTTGAGGATGGTAATGAGGAAGGAATGAAGATGGGGTATTGGGATCTGAGTCGGTTCGTGATGATGCGTGGAAGCCGGTTTTGTTGCTTGGAATGAAGCGAGAGACGCCACCTTCCATCGAAGAAGAGGTGGCTGTAGCTTGAATCCCACTAGGCAGGCTGCTCAGTCCAATGGTTGAGGAAGAGAAATTGCGGCGAGCACCTTCTGCAGCAAGATTAATAGAAGAAGCATTGCGCGATGCGGAGTCCGTCGGCTTAGCCATCGCAGAGATAGAAGACATGGCGGGCGGAGCTCTCGCGGAGTGAGAGGGGCTAAGAAGGCGGCTAGCGATGTCGCCTTGTTCAGTCGATTGGGGGTCCTCTTCAGTGTCGTCGTTCTCCTGGCGCTCCTCCTCCTGACGCTCCTCCTCTTCGTCGGCCTGCTCTCTTAGGTATCGGTTGGTGATTGAATCTGGAAGGCTCGTCGCGCGAGGCACCTGTGGGTATGGGCGTTTCACGAAGGTAAGGGGGTCAACCAGGACTTGGGCGTTTTCGGCACTGTGGTTGGACGGGACGACCGAATTGCGTCTCGTGCTTTCAGGTGATTGTGTAGTGTCCTCCCATTCAGCTTCGTCAGTCTCATCGTCGCCCAGCTCAAACCCGACCGTCTTCTTCTTCCCGGCGCTCAACAGAGGCCGATCGGTAACCAGAGCTTTCTTCCCGAAAGCCGAGTTATTGCGTCGGAGGACCGGGGTGGAGTTATTTCTTTTCATAGAATGATTCTTTGGATGATCTTCCACAACGCCGTCCCAGCGTACGTGACTCCGCTCCTTGGGGCTGGCGATAGGGGTTGCGGGGGCGGATTTCTTCCGTTGATGATGACGACCGGTGGTTTCGGGGGCCAGCTGAAATCGTTGCAGCTTATTTATGTTCTTCCCGATCGATGGATTACGGTGGTGGTTGCGACCGCCGCCCACGACATGGGTGCGGTTGGCTTTATGAATGGTGGCCTTGGAGGTCTGCGATTCTGACAGCTCACTATTGGAGTTGGTCCGCGTGACAACCGCATGCGAAGAAACGGCGCGGCGGCCGAGGCCGGGGCGTTTGACTGGGGAGGAAGTGCTGGTTGGCATTGCGGCAGAAGGAAGCACCAAGGGAGGCGGGTAATCAGCTGCGTACACGGGGCATCGAAGGGGATTGGCCGAGGCAATGAGTAGGTATCACAGCAGACGGGCGTGCAGGCGAGAAAAAGCAACGAGACTGGGAGCAGTTGAAATGCAAGCAGTTTCTACACCGCCGCGCTCGATCCCAGTCAAGCGCGGATGAAAGTGTGAGGTGTCGATTGGAAATTTTTACCGGGGTGAGAGTAGGAAATTGGAGGGGAATGGAAGGAAAGAAAGGAAGTGAAGTCGTTGGCTGTCTCCGGCGATTTGGGGGAAATCGGGTAATATTACCGTATTGAAGATCAGTGTGGAGTTCACGGAGCAACTCTGGAAGCTACCATTTAACTTTACTACAATTTGCTCAAAAGACAATAAAAAACGAGTCTTTAGGTATCATCTGGTACACAGGAAATGAACGCCATGAAAGGAAGAATGTTAAAAAGTACGCTACAGCTCAATCAAGCTCTCTTCCACTGCGGGCTGGTGGGATGCGGGGAGTTGTTGTCCGGCGTCCGGGTATTGTCCCGGTTGGCCCGTCGTCATCGGTGGGTATCCAGGAGGGACTGTACCAGGCTGCTGCGGCTGATAATAGTATGATTGAGGTGGAGGACCTGTATGCTGCTGGTGCAATGGAGGCGCCGCGGTAGAATATAGAGGTGTATGCGCATGCTCGGGTGACTGCGGCTCTGGCGCACTAGGTGTCGGAGCCCCAGGCGCACTGGGCTGGTATTGCGAGTCTCGCCGCATGATGGGAGATGGCTGGTATGTAGCATCCGAGAACTGGGCTGTGTGTGGATCTTGCTCAGGTGCTGCTGCATAATATTGTTGCGGCCCAGTGGCAGGAGTAACTTGATTGCTAGGCATAATGCCACTGGGAGGTGGGGGCGACCCTAAAGAGGGATATGCATTAAGACTCCAGGCAGCGGTATGTGACTCATTCACAGCAGGTCCACGTTGACCCTGTGTTGGGTACACGGGGCTTGTAACACCACTCGGAGGTGCGTCATACGCGCCGCTATTCATCTGTGGGTGCGAATAACCAGCGGTTGAGGCGTGAGTCGGTTCAGTAGTATTTCCATAGTAAAAGTTTTCAGCCCCTGACTTTGCATCGGCTGCATAGGTTGGTAACCCAGGCATATTTGGGTACTGGGGCATGCCAGGGGGTGCACCATACCCATAGTTTGGTTGAGAATAGGTACTAGTCAGTCTCTCTTCCAGCATTCGATCGTAATATCGAACAACGGTCGATAGCTTCGCGTGGAGGTCAAGAAGTGTGTCTAGAACAATTAGTCTAAATACTGGAATGAAGTAATTTTAAATTTTGGCTTACCGTGCTTGCTCATAGTCTCGCCATAGCTCCGAGCTAATTTAGGTCGAAGTGCACCTATGCTTTCATAAAGCTCCTGAATCTGAGGCTCGCGGAGAATCGTACCCGGCGGTTGATGTTGCAACCGATCAACCAAAGTAGAAAAGAGGTGGATATTCTCTGCCTCGACCGGGGTGAGCTCGTACGGGTTCTTGGGAAATGGAGTTGGTGTGCTTGATGAATCGCGGAATGATTCATTAGGCGGCACATTGTTCTTCAATGCGGCCGCATGGTTCTGTTTATGCTGCTCCATGTCGCGCATTGATGCTTCAATAGCCGCCTTCAGATCGGCATCTTCCTCCTCGATATTGGTAGGCCCGGGTGTAGTCTTTGCTGGTTCAGGGGCATTGCCTGTCTGAGGCACGAATCCCGACGGACCTCGCCCTTCCGCTTCCTCGAGGCTCATTTCCAGCGCGCGACGAAGATCATCATCAAAGCTCGTATCCGCTTTGGCACCGCGAGGTTCCATGGAGCTAGACTTGGTTATAGAGTGGTTCTTAAATGCAGATCGATCTGAAAGTCCAGATGGGGGGAATGGCTTCGAAGTCAATTTAGCGTAGCAGCCGTCGTCAACGCGAACCGGCTGCAAAATCCCGAGATGCGGTAATGGGAGAGTCTTGCTGGAGCATTGTGCATCGAAAACATTTCCGCAGTTCCGACAATGGTGTTTGCGGTTCATAAAGCTAAAGGCGGTCCGACACCGCATACAGACATCCGAGTCTATCCACTCCGGTGGCTGATCGAAGATATTAGCGTCTTGCTGAATCATAAGAAATTACGAGATTGAGCCTTACAGCATTGCTTTCCAACATGCTACCACTCATTTCCGTCTTTGGCGGGAACTGGAATCCCTCGTTTTGTAGTTTGCGATATGTCTCCCCCAAGTACATCAAATCCATGCGGCCCTGGGCTGCCATGGCCCAGTTTTGGATCAGCTCCAGAACTTTGCGCTGAACATCGGGGTTCAAAGGCGCCCCCTCAGCCTTCAGCAGTGACACCAGGTTGTCCATGAATTCACGAGAGGCGATCTCGGCCAGGAAATGGGTGCCTCCATTTTTGACGCACGTATCGGTCAACTAATGATAAAAACTTGTTAATATATTCTGTACATGGGGTGCCGAACTTTCAACCGACCTTCAATGTTGCTAACTGGATGTTCGGGTTTCGGTTCTCCAGTCGACGCTTCAAGGACCGCATAGCATCTTTGGGCTGGACACTTTTTGACCGGACCATATCGGTAATTTCCAGGTTGAGAGCAATATCCTCACTATGGCGTTGATCAGTCAATGGATCATCAAAACCATAAGTGCATTCGAAGTAGGCGATCGGCGCCTATTTAGGCAGAAGGTGATGATAGGGAACACGTACAGTGAGGAAGCGGTTGCCCGCTCGATCTGCTCATCGAGCGGGGATGAAGAAGAGAACCAGCCTGCCATAGTTGAAGGCTCAGCCGATACACAGCAAGTGCGCACAGTCTATTAAATCAACAAGATTGTGTCAGTTGGAGGTGTTGGGTAATCTAGGATGAGATGAAGCTCCTAGGCTGCCCGCCGTTGACTAAGCTCCTCCTGGCGTCATAGGCGGCGAGGGCGGTGAATGGTATTGTCACCCCAGACCCGCTTTTGTTCCTGGAATCGGCTTGAACATCTACCTATTACCCGGCCACTCTTTGTTTCTTTTTGCCTCTCGCTGCGATTTCTGCTGCCTTGAACATAATCTTGCCTCAAATCATGCGCTGAACCCCGCACCTTTCGCTGCCTCGACCATGCCCCCCGATGCAGCGGCGTTACCATCTCTACCAAACATACCACCGTGGAAGGACAGGCGTCCTTACTCGGTGGGGGGCAACATGCATTCCACCGACCCGGTCACCAGACATGGCTCTTTTCAGAGTGGCTCCCCAGCAATACGACCCCGATATCCGAACATTAAGGACCTGCAGGATCAGGCTGCTTCATTGAATGTAAACGAGAATACCTCGGTCAGTCTACAACCCCCACCCCCTAAGGTCGCCACGGGACCAAATACTCATTTACAGACACAGCTCGACACTCTCCTAAGTACAGCGTCCGAGGCAATCGGGCAAGCCAGGGATCTTGCAGACGACGACAAGTCGGACAAGGCATATGTGCAGTACCTCCGCGCTTCGGAGATCACCATCAACGTCATCCCCCACCATCCGAACTACAAGACAGCGATCACTCAGCACCCCGGATGGTACAAGGAGTTTGCGGGATTGATGATGGTATGCTTCAACATATCTGTTCCAATACGCATGGTCATGTGCGCTTCATCACAAACAAAGGGCAAAACTGACGCAACATTCGGGATACTATAGGCGGTGCGAACCAAGCAAGGAACGATGGATGCGATCAAGCAGGAAATTATTGAAGACAACTTGAAAAGCAACATACAACCCATGGGACTATATGCATCCGCATCCTCTGGAAACGAGCAAAGCTCTATGACTCCCCGGGGCCGTGAGAATCGCGAGGCGGCAGGCCAAGCCATGAGAATGCCGAGCCCAACACAGTTTCAGCGAATACCTGATCCCCAGGCCATTCCGAAAAGACTCTCAGCTCCTGCTGATGATATACTTGCACAACGCTTTGCAAGGCTCAAGCCTTTCCAAACCCGTGAAAACGAGCCTGGCGCAAACATGCACTCTCCATCAGGACCTGCAGGTCAGGTTTCCACCTATACCTCCAACACTCCGCCAAGCAATCATGCGTCCGCCTATGGATCACCGCCCAGACGACCTTTGGGGCCTCGCAGTATGGGGTCATCCTCCGCGGTTCCAAGTCTTCCTCCGAAACTCCCTCTGGCGACATCTCTTCCACGTGCCCCCGATCCTGCCTATAGTCCGATTTACACTGTGCCCACGCAGCCTCCGTCGAACCCGCCAAGGACCTCCACCGAAAGTGTGCGACCAATAACCCAAAGATACTCCCAGTTCTCTGATTCCCCGCGGGGTAGCCCAAGCCGAGGTCCTCCTGATAACCCTTATCGGTCAATGACCCCCAATGGTGTCAACTCTGTGCGAGAAACACGGAGCAATTCCCCCGAACTGCCCTCGAATTCGGCAATCTCAGCCCAGGATCTTCTTGAATATTTGAGGAAATTCAACGTACTTGTGGTCGATGTTCGTCCCCGGGACCAGTTTGACAATGGGCATATTTATGCCAAGTCCATCATCTGTGTTGAACCGGTGGCTTTGAAGGAAAACGTGTCTGCAGAAGAGCTTGAGGAGCGCCTTGTTGTGTCCCCGGAGCATGAGCAAGCATTATTCGAGCGACGAAACGAATTCGACCTTGTTGTTTATCACGACCAAAGTGCATCGTCGGTCAGCTATCTTGCAGGTTCGCCCGTCGGAACGTCTGCTCCTCACTTGAGAGCTCTACATGACACTCTTTATGAATTCAATGCATACAAACCCCTGAAGGGCGGCCGCCCTCCTGCGCTTCTGCTTGGTGGTTTGGACGCGTGGATTGATTTACTTGGACAACAATCTCTCGCGACATCTTCCACTGCTGCTATAATGGGGTCACTCCAGACCAAGAAGCCTGTCCCGAGGCCGGGTCGCCCATTGGGTCGAGTGCCGACCATGGCCAGTGCTAACTCAAGCTTGGAAGTTCGCAAGAGGAGACTTCGAGAATTTACACCCCTCAACTCGGAGGAGTTGACGGCGTGGTTGGAAAGATCGAAGAAAGAAGAGATCGACACGAGCACATACCTCGAGGATGAGCCGTTCACTGAGGAGCCCCAGGAAGAGATGGAACAGCCTTCGGTCCCATTTGTCCACAATTATGAGGATTTCTTGCGCCGCTTTCCCGAACCACATGCTCAACAGTCTATGGTGCACGCGGCTTCCCGGCCAGCTGTCATGCCTGTTCCTAACTATGCTGCTCCGGCTCCCGTTCCCGTAGCTCCATCGCGCCCCGCTCCTGCAGTTCCTCGGCCTAGCTACAGCGGCGTTGCCGATGGACGACTTGCTCAACCTCATATGGAACGGCAGAACTCGGCCAATCGTACGGCACTGTACACACCTACCTCCATCCGGAGTCGCAAGCTTCCTCGAACTGGCCTTCACAATTTCGGAGTCACCTGCTACATGAACTCGACGATTCAGTGTCTCAGTGCGACGGTGATGATGAGCAAGTTTTTCATCGACGATCGGTTCCGGTATTATGTGCAGAAGAACTGGAAAGGATCGCAGGGTGTGATGCCTGGGCTTTATGCCAACCTCATCCGATCCTTATGGAAGGATGATGTGGAAGTGATCATGCCGACTTCCTTCCGCAACTTCTGCGGTCGATTGAACCGGGAATGGGTCATTGATCGGCAGCAAGATGCCAAGGAGTTCTTCGATTTCTTGGTGGACTGTCTTCACGAAGACCTGAATATCAATTGGCAACGGAATCAGCTACGACCCCTGACCCCCTCGGAGGAGATGCAGCGCGAACGGATGCCGGTCCCTAAAGTCTCCCAGATTGAGTGGGTCCGGTATTGCCATCGGGAGGAGTCGTTCATCTCATCACTGTTTGCGGGACAACATGCTAGTCGACTTCGTTGCACAACCTGTCACCAGACATCTACCACTTACGAGGCTTTCTACAGCATCAGCGTGGAGATTCCCGAAACTGGCACGGGCGATATCTACCAATGTCTGCGTAGTTACTGCAAAGAGGAAATGCTCAGTGGGGATGAGGTGTGGAAGTGCCCGCACTGCAAATGCAAGCGTAGGGCCACCAAGCAGATCATCATCACGCGCGCACCGCAGATCTTAGTGGTCCATTTCAAGCGTTTCTCCGCATCCAAAACGCAGAGCGCACGGAAGATCCACACGCCGATTGAGTTCCCTCTGCACGGGCTACGAATGGACGACTTTGTGGTTCCGGGCCCCGACTCTTCGGCACCAATGCTGGACGCCACGGCCCCGCCCTTTAACTACGACGCCTTTGGCGTGCTACGTCATATCGGATCCTCTATGGGCAGTGGTCACTACATCTCGCTTGTCCGGGATGCTGAGCGTCAGTCCTGGCGGCGGTTTGATGATGATCGAGCGGGTGACTTTAACCCACGCGACCTGCGGCCTCGTGATCGATTGCAGAATGAGCAAGCATACATAGTGTTTTATGAGCGAGTTCCAGCGAAATGAGCGGATTTGTTTTGAGCTTCATTGTTTTTTTACCCCCTGCATGTTACGATAAGCCATGATATAGAGGCGCTTGTGAGTTTAGGGTTGGGTATATATAGGGCGCGCGATGTATACCCCAATTAAAGATTTTCGTTCGTCAATACAGTATCAGTAATCAGATGGAAATAAAGATAAAGATGATCGGCGGGACTTGTTCCGCCAGCGGATAGCGGAAGCCGTGGGCCATACCCGTGGCCCTACAACCGAGGGTACGGTTATGCAGGCAGTTGGGTTCGGACTTTTCAACTCAAAATACTATGCTGATCGAAAGGGAATAACCGGGAATGACATAAGTCGTATGATTTTGCGCAAATATGTGCCGCATAAATCATTGTTGTGTATCTGGCCACATCATCACGATTCCTTCATATACACCGAGGCTATAATAAGCAGCCGCTGATTCGCCCACCCTTGTCCGCGCTGGATCATAACGATGTCTCGTTTTTCGTGCCCTACAGATGCAACAATGTAGAAACTCTTTGGCCAAGTTGAATGCAAGGTCCCTAGATCACCCGTAAGCCACCTCCAACCCTGGAATACCCCAGAGAAAGGCAGTGGCCAAAGTCGGGAGTTAGCTGCGGCATGGTAATCATCCAACCAGGGCCCACACCGCGGAGAGACCGCCTAAGCGCACGTCCCAGGTACATGCCAATCTAACTTCTTCTCCTCTTTCTTGTGAATCCGCGGCTTTCTTTGAGTTTCTCGCTTTTCGTTGCACATATCTCTTTTCCAGCGCTCTCTTTCTCTCTACTCAACCCGTTTTTCTATGTGAGTACTTCTTGTCGGATTCATTCTCTCTATCGCTTTCCTCTTTCGTTCTCCGAAACGAAAAAAAAAAACAATCTCCTGTCGATTCTACTCTATCCGCTTCAACCTCGGGTTCGCCTATACCAAGAAGAAACTAACCTCGTGCGATCGCATTATTCTAGACTCTTCACCAGCCATCATGTCTGAGACTAAGGAATTCACCCTCAAGGAGGTTGAGGCCCACAACACCAAGAAGGACCTCTACATGGTCATTCACGACAAGGTCTACGACTGCTCTAGCTTCGTCGACGAGCACCCGTACGTTTTCGCCCTATGAAACTTCCCTCTTGCCCTCCCTGCTTTCTGCGGTCTCGGTGGCTGTTGGCGGTTCCGTGATCGCGGGAATTCATACCCCTATCGCAAACCCTTCGGCCCACCCGCACCCCTCCACCGCCAGGACTCCACACCATTATGTGCAACATAGAACTGACTAACAGTATTCGATAGTGGTGGTGAGGAAGTTCTTCTTGATGTCGGTGGCCAGGACGGCACTGAGGCCTTCGAGGATGTTGGCCACTCCGATGAGGCTCGCGAGATCCTCGACGGTCTGCTTGTCGGCAACGTGAAGCGCATGGTACGTTTAAATATCTCCTCCCTTCGTACCCTGTCTACCGAACCCCCTATTTCAACTTTCGCGCAATCAATCTGGCAACAATGGCTAACGGATCCCAGCCCGGTGACCCCGAGCCCAAGGCCAACCCCTCCGCCTCCTCCGCCTCTTCTTCTTCCTCTTCTTCTTCCGGTGGCTTCGGCGTCGGCCTCTACGGTATCATCCTCGTTGGTGGTGCTATTGCCTACGGTGTCTACAACTACCTTGAGGCCCAGAAGCAGCAGCAGTAAGCGGAGTACGAGGAGTGTACTGTCATGTCCCACTCTGTGGATACTCCGAGTGGTACAGAGAACTTTGAGTGCCCTTTGATTACATATAATCGGGGATCGGAGATCTCGGGAGTTAGATTAAAAGAGAATATTTTGGCTGCAGCTGCGACTGCGCTACGGGGTGTGATATCATTTGCAATGTTTCGGGTCTGAGGGTTTTATCATTATTATTACTTATTATTAGAACGCTTTCTAATTCTTGCTATTCCTCGGATCGACTGCTAAATTGCTGCCTCCAAATTATGATATGGCCCCGTTGTGGATCCTTGTATACGGAACTTCGTACTTCGGAATCTTGCTTTCCGAGTCTGTGGGGTTTCCGTCCGCCAGGTCCGTATGGTGAAGGATTGAAGGAGCGCCGAAAGGTACCGGTTTAGGTGACCCCCGCTTGCCATTCGGGGATTTTTTGCTCTTTTGGGCGTTCATTCCCTATCGTGGGGGGTAATATTCACCGTTGAGTGGATCCGGTGCGGAGAGTCTTGTTCTTTGGGGTTCGATACACTAATAGACCAACTGACATTGGCTTCCGTCTTTGCCCCGCGTCCCGTATCACTTCTGAAAGGAAACTGAATGTTCAATTGATCTATAATTTGATTGATCGCAATTTTAAAGGTCTATTATCCCAGCTATTTTATAGTACATTATCACAACATCTACCAATAGATGATCTAGTTAATCCATCCCTTAGGACCGGCCCAGTTACCCTTCACCATGTGTGTGTAGTACACCCACGGGAAGAAGTCCTTCTTCAAGTAGTAGAACGAGCGGCGCGGCTCAGCCTGGTCAATACCGAACCAGTTACCAAAGGTCTCCTTGGGCTCGGGACCATACTTGAACTCGGCCAGGAGCACCTTTCCGTACTCAGTCAGCAGCGGGCAAGATGTGTATCCGTCGTAAGCGGCATCGGGCTGCTTGCCCTCCATGGCATTAAGCAGGTTCCGCACAACAATGGGAGACTGCGCGATCACAGCGGCGGCAGTCTTGGAGGTGGGACAGCTAGACGCATCACCAGCGGACCAGATGTTCGCGAACTTCTTGTGGCGGAGGGTGGCATCGTCGACCTCAACGAATCCAGCCTCGTTCGCGATAGGGGAGTTCTTAATGAAAGCGGGGGATCCCATCTTTGGCGCAACGTGCAGGAAATCGAAATGCTTGGTCACGGTCTCTGCGCCATCGGGACGAGCGAAGATAGCGTTGTTGCCGTTGATCTCGACCAGGTCGTGCTGGAAGAGCGGGTTGACGCCGCGCTCCTGCTGCATCTTTGTCAGGGCGGCGTTGTACTTGGGCACACCGAACATGACCGGGAGACCGGTAGCGAAACTGATGTTGATAGCCGAGCCGGAGGGGTTGCTGGGGTTGTAAAGACCGGCGCGCTTCCAGTAGTCCAGGGCGAGCCACATAATCTTCTGCGGGGCACCGGCGCACTTGATCACGCCGGCGGGCTGGGTGAAGATGGCGTGACCCTTGTCCATCTTCTGAATGGAGGGGAAGACCTCCTGGACGGAGTCATAGGTGTAGATAGAGGAGACGGGGGCATCGCGGTTGGCGAGGGCTTCGGGGAGACCCTTGATGTTGGCGGGGGAGACAGTGAGACCGGGAGCGACGATCAATTGGTCGTAACCGATCTTGTCACCATTGGAGAGGGTAACGAAGTTGTTTTCCGGGGCGAAGGTCGCGACGCTATCATTATAGAACTTGAGCTTAGGGTCGAAGAGGCTCTTCATCGGACGGCGAAGCTCTTCCTTAGTCTTGAGGCCACCGCCGACGAGGGTCCAACCAGGTTGATAGTGGTGCCATTCGGCAGGGTCGATGACGGCGATGTCCTCAGCCGCGAACTTGCCGGATTGCAGGAGCTGGTGACTGATATTCACACCTCCGGAACCACCTCCGACCACCACGACCTTGTGGTTGCGGGTGCCCGAAACCGGGGCGGCAGTTGCGAAATTTCGGAGGCTTGGCACGGCCTGCGTGCGGGAGGCCGAGCGAGCGGCGGTTGTTAAGTGACGGTAAAGCATTTTTGTAGAATTATAATGAAGGAAATGGAGAATTGAAGATAGGGACCGCTTCCACTTAAGTAAAAAGGAAGAAGAAAAGGGAGATGGCGTGAGGAATGGAGGAAGCTGATCTCGGGCGATGAGGTGATCGCCGGTAACTTTACTGTCTGATACACCCCGGTTTTTATACTTCGACAATCCACAGTCCAACCCGCAGTATACTATACTCCAGGTACCTACTGGAATTAGTCCCCAGAACTCATAGATTTGGGGAATATATGTCAATCGGCGTTTAGTGATAGACAAAGAGCTCAGTGGTTCAGGAAGCTCAAACATCCTGCAGGAAAAGCGACTACATATTGAGTTTGTAAAGACAGCGTGTGTCCAATCCAGGAGTTTTCATTCGATTTCATTGATTATACTATTAGCATAAAAACAGCAAAGGTCAATTTATAGAAGGTTATAGCATTAGTTACGTCCTCAAAAATATATTTTGAAACCCTTTTAATCTTGATACCAAGAATTAGGTACCCAGAGACTTCTAGTCGCGCCATACTACTACATTTCAATTGTTCTGTATGCCCACAATCATATGATTTATTTGTTTGAGAACCCGATTAATACTGCCGACTTCCGAAGATATCTTATTTCAAAATATTCGCTGCAAAAAATCTAACGGGGCTGTTCACCGAAGTAATATCAATCGGCGACCGAGTGGCGATCGGCGACCACATAAGTTCGGCATCCAACATCAAACTTGAGTACTTCAGACTTTCTCACCCCCGTCCCAAATTTGCTTTATCAAAATTTCTTGCGCTTAATATGAGTCACATTATGAAGTCACTTCGACTTAAACCCACCTGCGACAGCCTATCGGCAGGGGCTCGACCTTGGATGTCAGCCATCCCTTTCTTACCTCACCATCGGACTCAGAGCATCAATGCTCTGAAGTCAAACAAGTCATATTCCACCAGGTCGAAGACAGGCATCAGGCGCACACAAAATCCATTATACAACTCAGTATATCAACCTACGCCTGCCCCTCTGGCCGTACCAAATGGCCAAACAAGTTATAGCACCGCTGCTATCAAGGAGCCTACAATTCACCCCGTATTTGAAGATGTTACAGGAACATGGCAATACATAGTCTCAGACCCATCAACGCAGTCTGCAGCCATTATCGACCCAGTTTTGGATTATAACCCTGTCACCCAGGCCATCACCACAGACTCAGCCAATGCCTTACTCGCTTTAGTCAAAGAAAAGGGCTACAAAATTGAAAGAATCTTGGAGACGCATGCTCATGCAGACCACTTGACTGCAGCATCATATCTCCAAAAACAGCTCTTTCAGATACAAGGGTACAAGCCGCCCATCGGTATCGGCAAGCGCATTGAGCAAGTTCAAACGCTATTCGGTCAACGCTACGGAATCCAGAGTGAAGAGTACGATACCGTCTTTGACAAGCTATTCGAAGATGACGAATCTTTCCAAATCGGTGGTTTAACAGCCAAAGCCATTCATCTTCCTGGACATACACCAGATCATCTAGGATACCAAATCGGAGGTAAGACAACCTATTCTCACTGGCCTAAACGCTGTCGCTAACATTCATCCCATAGATAATGTATTCTGTGGCGATTCTCTATTCCACGCGGACATCGGAACAGCACGTTGCGACTTCCCAGGTGGAGACGCAAAAGATCTTTTTCAATCAAGTCGTAAGTTGTTAGCTCTAGACGACCATGTCAAGATCTGGCCAGGCCATGATTACCCGCCAGAGGGACGAGATTCTCCTGTTCCGTGGATGAGTGTTGCCGATCACAGGAAACAGAACAAGCATGTTGGAGATGTCGTTTCTGAGAAGGAGTTTGTGTCGTTACGGACAGAACGTGATGCTACGTTGAATGCGCCGAGGCTTCTTCATCAGTCTTTGCAGGTGAATATTCGAGCGGGCCAGCTTCCGAGGCCTATGAGTTCGGGATATAGGATGCTTCATTTGCCATTGAAATTGAATGGATTGGAATGGTAAAGCTACTTGTGATCAACTATGTACTTTTCCAAGGTTAGAAATAGAAACCACTTTTTAATTCTCAATCCTCTACCGATCATACGTAGTATTGCATTCTTCACCTTTGTATATTACAAAACCACTCAAGTGAAGATCTCTACGTATTCAAGTAGATACTACTTTGTTTCTATTGTCAATTCACGCGTCAGGATCTAGTGGTGGTAATACGCATACAACTCAGATGATGCCATCCTCTCTCGCCCGAGTAAGCCCTTTCTCGCCCGAGCGCTGTTCTCTCGTCCGAATGCATGCTCTACGTCCGAAGCAATCGGCGACAGGACTGCTTTTTGTCCAATAATCATATGTAGGGAGAGACCGATAGATAGGAAGTAGCAGATTCTCATAGATCTGTAATTTTTAGACCGAAAGAGTCCAGGTCATGTCCGGGGATAGTGCAGGGCTGTGGGTCTAGATTGACCAATAGGGGAAGATGTAAGTCAACATCTAAACACCGCAGCGTTGCAGCCTCGGCTGCTGATCGCTTAGTCTACCATAGTTCGCAGGGAATATTAATAAGACAATAGAAAGCAAATGACATAGTCCTACTACAGTAACTGTTCAAGAACGTCAATGATAATGTATAGTCAAAACAATGGAAATCAACATCATCAGGTACGGGCATCAATAAATCCAAAAATGCAATTTTCTCCACGTGAACGATCCCCGAAATGCCCCGATAAGCCCTTCATCATCTACCAAAAATCCACATCCAAGACATCATCCATAAAAGCCATTCGTTTCCAGGCCCGAAACACCTGATTTCGGATTATTTAATTAAACGGCGATGGTCGCCTCCGTTCTCCGCCGTCTCATTCCCGCGCGAGTCGCAAACACAGGCTCCCAGCAGCGCGACCACCATGCCAATGAGCGCACCTTCCTCTCATGGACGCGCGCCGGCCTCGGCTTTGCAGCTATGGCACTAGCTTTAGACCGGTTAGAGGCTATTGACCGGGTTCTCTGCTCTAAATTTGGCCTGGGGCCTCTTGCTCCATCTATCCCGGCGCAACTGGAAGAAATGGCTGCAAATCAGAAGAAGCTGGGCCAGGGCCAGGGCCAGGCTCAAAATCAAAATCAAAATCAAAATCAACATCAAAGTCCAGATGCTCACTCTTCGACTACTACCCAAGGGCAGCATATGTCCAGCCAGCTTCTGGGTGCCGTTTCGCCGGCGAGACTATGCCAGGTACTGGGAGTGTGGTCTTTGGGTTATGGATTCTTTCGTTACTGGTCTATGAGGCGGTACCTTCTGGTGGGAAAGTTTGTTCCTGCATTTTGGGGACCGGTGTTTATGACTTGTGGAAGTTTTGGCGCGTTCATGGCTTTGGGATTGCAGGTTGATCGGAGGGCGTTCCTTGTGAATATTTGATTTGGATTCCTGTTTCGGTTCTGTATAGATTGTAAGATTTGACTGGAGGAATAGATATATGGTATAGATTCAATAGATTGATAGAATAGATATGGCATAATTGATACATAGGATCATAGTTCATTAAAGTACATGCGAGATCAAGCAATCCTGGTATACAGCTCAGACACCATCATCGATTATTTCCATTGCCCAGCATCCTCGACTCCCCTTGCAACTCTCTTCGCTCCATCTTCCACGCCTGTTCCTGCACTACCCAGTGCATCGCCAACGGGCTTGCCTGCACTTCCTGTAGCACTGGTGATGGTATCGCCCACCCCACGCGTCGCAGCGCCAGTAACGCCACCCACTGTGCGACCTACTCCACCGACTAGGTTTCCAACAGTTGAGGTAGTGAATTTGGCAGCGCCTGTTACGCCGCTATCTTGGGAGTTGCCGATGGGCATTTTGGTTCGGTCGTGTTGTATGGTTATATAAAGTAGGTATCTTTGCCCAGGGGGTTGGACTTGTTTCAAGTGAGGTTGTTTGAATGGTGCTTTGATGGGAAATAGAGTATGTATGAGAGAAAAAGAGAGAGAGATTGTCAATATTCAACTCATGAAGATATTCTTATACTAGAGATCTGTAGTCCATACTATGATGTCATTGTTTACGTGTATGATGATGGCGGTGGCTGTTCGAGGAAAGGATTATCACAGGTCACCGTGGCCAGATAAGCCACATGGTGCATTTGGAGTAAATGTGGCGTTATCATTTAATTTGAGTTTAATTAAATTTGTTTGAATCAATGCGTTTCATTTCTGTTGTGGCTGATCGAGTTTTAGACAACGCTTTCCTCCAGAGCTACCTCGAACATGAGCGGAGAAGAGAATCATTCTTTTGAAATAAAGGGAAATACAAGAAAATACCATGGTAAGTAAGAAAAAAAATTAAACCAGGAATAAACACAAGAATGCCCTGCTCCAACGCTGGAGAATGGTTTATATGCTCGAGTTCAATATGTTCTGCCGTGCACGCCTTGAACAAAGAATCTCCAAGAATTCAGACCAAGAAAGCTCTCAACGAGCAGAGCCGTTCAGGCCATTCTGCACGGCCTCCAAAATCATGTCCTTGGCTTCTTCCAGACCAGCCGAGCTGCCGCGGATCTCAATGGCCTCGCCACGTGCCTGGTCCTTGGGCACGTTGATACGGCAGCCGGTCTTCTTCCGGATCGCGTTGATCTGGCTACCGCCCTGACCAACAACGAAACGGTAGGTCTTAGGATCCGGCAGGATCAGGTAACCAGTAGCGGACTGTTGGCTAGCAGAGGCAACAGCCTTCTCAATCGCGGCACGGGCCTTGGCGACATTTTCCGGAGAGCCACTAAGGACCCACGGGAAGGGGGTGGTGTCAGCATCGGCAGAGAGGCTGTTGTCAATCACCTTCCAGGAGTGGGCATCTGTGGCCTCAGTGGGGTCATCGGTGATAAGGGGAAGAGAAGTGCCATTGGCAGAGCTGCGAGTCTCCTCAGAAGCCGGATTGGCGGGTACAGACTTGCCGGCATGATCAACAGTGACCTGGTGGTCACTGCGCAGACGGCGGAAGAAAGCACCGTTGTCAGCGACAGCGTGGTGCAAGTGAGTTGGAACGAAAGCTGTCTCAGCGTGCTGGTCCTTCATCATGCCCTGGATGTGCTCCTTTGCCTCGGCAACAGCACCGCTAGCACCCTTCAGCTTGACGTCGGTGCGACCAGAGCCTTGCTTGGGAATGTCCAGAGTGACGTTGAACTTCGACTCGATGCCGCGGCGGGTATCACCTCCACGACCAATAAGGAGGCGGTGCTGAGCAGTGGGGACATCAACAGTCTCAGAGACCTGATCGGCACGCTCCTTGACGAACTCCTCAATGGCAGCGATGATACTGTCGACAATCTTTCCATTACCCTCGAGACGGATGGTAGACTCGGTGCTATCAGGCTTGGGGAATCGGACCATACGAGCAGCGCTGCCATCACTGGGACCACCAGCATCAACGACAATCTTACGGATATTGGCACCTAGTAGTCATTAGTAAAACGAGGCCCAAACAAAATCTGTTGACTAAAAGGGGAAACATACCACCACCCCCAATAAGGGCCTTATGATACTTCTTCTCAACCTCGATAGACTTGGTGACAGTAGCATCAAAGTCGGTGGCCCGCTGCTGCAAGATCTTCTTAGCCTCGGCCACCTGCTGCTTGGTACCCTTGACACGAATCTGGACACGGCCCGATGCATCCGGTGCATCATTCGCGGCAGGAACATCAATCTGAGCACCAGTGTCCGCCCGAAGCTTGTCCATCTCACGGCCACGTTGACCAATGAGCGAAGCAACCTGGCTCTGGGCGACTGAGATAGTGGCACTGTTCGAGTGATCAATAACCCACTGCAACAAACCGAGAATCTCATCACGAGCAGCGTCAGCGCCCTTGCTAGGACCCTTGATAATGACCTCATCAGACGCCTGCTGAGGGCGGTTGCGGGCAACACCAGCATCGCTGGCAGTCTCGGCAACGGACTGGTCGTCAGTAGAGGCGGCTGCCCGAGGGAACTGGACGCGGACTGAGTAGCGGTCCTGGAGACGGTTCACAAGGGTACCCCGCTGTCCGATAAGCTCGCGGTGGTACTGGGCAGGAACCTTCAGGACGTGGGTGGTTTCATCTTCCCACTTCTTGCCCATGTTCATGATACGCATGCGGGTAGCATCCGCCTTGGCCTTGGGGCCCTTGACCTCAACTTTGCCGTTCTCAACCTTAATGTCGACATCAAATTCCTCGCGCAATTTGTTGATGTTCTCGCCACGCTTTCCGATCAGGAAGTTGGCGAACTTCTGAGGGAAATCGAAGGTGTTTGTGTAGCCACGCTCCAGATCATCCTGCTCCTGCTCCACAACAAACGCCTCCAGCTTAGCAGCGAGCTCCGAGACGGATTCGGAGGGTCCGCGCAGCGAAATCTCACACTTAGAGGCCTTGGGCTCACCAACAATAGCACGCACAGGAATGCTGTCTTCACCCTTAGCATCCTGCTCACGGATGATGAACTTGCGGGCCTTCTCCTGGTATTTGGCAGGAACAGAAACCGATGCGCCAACGATATCATTCTGGTTACCAAGTGTGCTCAACAAGAAAGCCTGAGCCTCCAGCAAGGACTTCTCAAACTCGGCAACCTCCGCCGGGGAGGGACGCTATCTCGGGACCTCAAAGTTGGAGGCAGTGGAAGTGGGACCCTCGTAAACAAGGACAACTTCGGGACTGTCAATATCCTCGGGCACGAGGAGATGAACACCGTAGTCACCCTGGAGCTTGCTCGCACCACGAGAGCGCAGGTAAGGGTGGAAGTAGGGGTCAACTGGGACATGACGGAGACGAGACGGGGGGTGGGCTTGAACAAGGTTCATGATATCTGAACGAGCGCGGATGGTGTTCTTGCCATCACGAGAGTAGACCTCCCAGGCGACAGGGCCCTCGACACTTGGGGAGAGAGCGATGTGCGCATCATAAGCCGACTCGAGTTGCTTGATGATCTGACGACGCTTCAGGTACTGAGTCAGAGCACGAGCGTGAGCGTGGGGACCAGCAGGGGCGTTGGGGTGTTGGCGGGACAGGTCAATGCTGGCCATTTGCATGCTAGTCGCAAGATCCATCGCGTGGTTAACACCAGCCTCAATTTGGTCAACGGGACCGGTGATTGTGAGGAATTCGCTGTCGTCCGACGCAGGAGGTAAAATAATCGCACAGCCAGTCTGCGCAACGAACTGGTGCAAAGCGTCGGCCTCGTTTCCAAGAATAAACTGGTGCTGGCCGCGGTTGATAGCCAATTGGCGGAGGGTCAATTTACGCTGCAAGTCGGCGGCCAAACGCTCAATCTCTGCACGAGCTTCCTGGGCCGCGGCACGCTCTCCAGAAATGAGAATGTGCTTGTCGGCAACAGGCACGAACTGCACCTGGCCGGGGTGTGCCTCCTGGGGAGGGGGCTGCGAAGTCCAGGTGTCGTACCGGGGTACGTTGATCTGTGCCTTTGTTCGCTCCTCAATCTCGCGCAAAGCTGCGTCGTGAGCACCAGCAATGAACGGGAAGAACTCTGGCGGGACGGTCTTCAAGCGCAAGCTCATGCTCGAGCCCCGCTCTTTAACAATCGCCTCGATCTCCCGGCGAGCCATCTCAGCAGCAACTGCATCACCCTCAATCAGAACGTCAATGGTATCATCGTCATCATCTTCAGCGGCAGCGGCATTGCTATCGGCGCGGGGAACTTGAACACGAGCACCGGTACGGGTCTGAATGTCCTGAACCACCGCACCCTGGCGGCCAATGATGTGAGCTCGGGCAGAGGTAGGAATAGGGACACGGACGGATTGCTATGAAAACAGAAAGTTAGACCAGTGATTCGATTGAGAGGGCACGTATGCATACCTTAGATCCAACCTGCTGTGCAACCTCCTTCAGTGCCTGGCGGACTGATTCGACGGATCCCTTGCCTTCAAAGATAACGGAGCCACCGGGGCCACCACGAATATTCACAGTAGCCTTGGATCTCCGAGAAATGTCACGGAGGATATCTTGCAGGGGTTTCTTCATCTGACCGCGGGGAAGCATCTGAGATGGGGCAAGGCGAAGCTGCTCCATGTGCTTTCCGGGAAGAGACATTACTCGGGGGATATCTGCTAATCGTTAGATAACCGGAGATATGCAGTGCTCTGTATTTAGAATATCTGCTTACCCATTGGCTTGGCGGGCTGGCCATGGGCCACAGCGGCTGCTGCAGATGGCTTCTTCGCACCCCAGGTAGCAGCCGCGGGGGCAGAGGGCTTAGGGCCACTGCCCAGTGCTGGGAACAGCTCCTCCGACTGTACATCAAATGCCGGTGTCTTCTTAACGGCAGGCTTCGAGATTGGGGAGGGGGTGGCGGTCTCAGCCGGTGTGGTGGATTCCAAGACAGGGGCAACAGGGGCCGATGAGTTGTTATTCACCAGGGATGATGGCGGCGGGTGCTTGAGATCCTCCTCATCGATGACGTCCTCAACGGTGACATGATGGTCTTCACGGGTGTGTTGCTCCTCCAGCATGGCGGCAAGAGACTTGGAGGCAGCACCATTGGTGGCGTTCGATGCTTCAGCGGACATGATGAACCGGCGCAATTGGAAGCGATATCAAGGACCAGGGGGTAACGGAGGCGATAGAGCCGTGCAAACGTAGCCTGCAATCAAGACTAGACCGAATCAGTATTGCGACGGAGGCAGATCGCAACAGCCTCGGGCCCTCAGAATCGTAGGTAGGCTGGCGAGGGAGATGGTTTTGGAAGAGGGCAGATGGAGAGCAAGACTTACAAGCTCAGTGCTACACTTTCGAATTGAGGCTCGGAAATGATTGCGATGCCCTATGACTTGACTGGCAATTCCCCGGAGAATGGGGTGGAGTGGGATAGGAATGGGAATTTGGACCAAGCACCCAAAGAAAACCAATATACAAAATGCCCGAGGGCAGGGTCCCCAATAAAAAAACGGAGAGTTGGGAGGAGGGAGAGAGTGGAGGAGTGGGTGGAAAGAGAGAGAAAGGTGAAGGTCGAGAACCCCAGAAGTACACAAAGTGTCAGAAAAGGCCAGCTCGAGGCTCCGGGGAAGTTTTCTCCGAGTCCGAGTCGACCACTGTTATCAGTTTAATGTTGCACGCAACCCAGAAAGCAACAATTGAGATGGAAATGGCAGAGAGATATCTAGAATCTAATGATTATATTAGTGTACGGGAATAATTGCTGTATTGTAATCTTTCAATGTTGTTGGTGTGGCTAAACCTCAGGAGACCCTTTGCCACCTGTTCCCGGGGCTCCAATCCAATCAATGTAAAAATGACAATTCTTGGCAAAGATGAGCCAGAGGTATATAGGTGTCAAGATTAAGCATATGGGGATTCTAGAAGTGCACGAGTCAACCTTCCAAGCTCGTGGTCGATCACGCTTTGGCATTTATCAAAGCCAAAACAAAGCAAACACTAGCACAGAAATCACGAGTCAACATGTATATCAAAGATTCCGGGGGCTTAATTCATTTCTATTTGAATTGTTTACGTTAGCAACGATAGTGCTCTCAGATATAACAACTCCTGGAGTTCTCGTAAAAGGCATTCCCAGTACTAGACGATCTGCTCCAAAAGGGGCAAAGATTCGGACACAGCCGACCCCACATGATAAGGAGATTCCTCATCGGAATAGAAAAGCTTAACCCATACCATTAGAAGGAGAATGTACATTTGCTATGTGTCTAAAATCACTGTCGTCAAACAATTTTTAATTGACATCGACCTCTGGCAGGTCAATATCAACGTTGCATACAAGTTGCGAAGCCCTGATAAGAGGCCACGCAGAGAAAAGGCAACTCAATTCTCCGACGATAAAGCCCACTTCAACCCTTGAACCCTAGTTCAGATCATTGATGTAGATGTGACTCGAGGGAAGTGGGGACAGGCTCTTTGTACTATCTTTCTGTTTCTCTCTCTATTTCTTTACCTGTCTAAGCTCTTCGCTTGCTGACCAATTGGCTATCGCGATAATCTCGTTACATCCTAAACTCTACAACAGGGCCCGAAGAAGCTCTGATAGTCCTCAAAAGTGGCACATTTGAATTCAATACAGCATACAGTGAGGCCTAATGGCTTTTTTCGAGCTCACTGCTCTCAGAAATGGCTACATCCCAAATTTGGCATGAGGCCTACACTACATTCTTGATCGCGTGCGCCGGCAACTCTTCTAGTCTATTGGCCATGCGCTTTATACGAGCATCTATCACAATGAGTACAAGTGGCTCAATATTTTCGAATCTTGTTTCGACTCTTTGGAAGACGAGCACTGGTTTTGGAAACGGATAGGGTACATGCGCAAGAATGAATCTTGTGGCTATACTAGAGCAGGTGAGGTCAAACATGAGAGTGCAGCGTTTCAAGAAGGTGTGGGGACTCCAGAATAAAGGGGGGCAAGGGGAAGGGAAAAGGTCAGCTTGCGTTCTCTGATTACCCCCAAGTAGAGGAAAATATTTGTAAATTGTCGTCCAGTTGTTCTAGTGCTTTGTCCCTCAGTGGCTCAAGATCTAGGGACGCTTGGTACTTGAGCGGTGTCTAGTGGCGGTTCTGGCCCTCGACATCGGCGTTCGGTTAACAACGGAGTGGCCTATCCGGCGTAAGGCCCTAGTGACACAGAAGCTTTTTGAAATTCGACCATTCGGTTATGGCGGTGTGAAGTGCTTAGATGTATAGAGAATCGGAGATGTGGCAGTATTTTGAAGCCATTCAGAGATATTTCCAAATTTTTCCCACTTTCTCTATCAGCTCAAGGCTACAAATTTAAACTCTGGTGACCTTGCTTATTTTGGGAGCTACATTATTTGATGCCCCTTGTAACTTCATTTTCTACGCTTACCATTCGATCGATTTGAATCTTCATAAGATTCACTCAGGAATACTCGATATCCATCGCATCTTTCTACCCGACATGTAATTGGTTTGGCGCCTATGAGAACAATGGGTACCGCAAATGCCTCGAGTAAGCAAATCTAGAGCCGTAATCCCCCTTTACTCCTCAACCTTTGCCCGTTCTCTGTTATCGGCGCCCGGCCATGATTGAACCCAAATCACAGGCGAAGTAACTCTGAGGGTTTTCTCGATTGCTGGCGAGTGGCAATTCTCGTGAGCGGGTCTGCTCTTCCCATTTAGCCTTGTTGTAATATAGAAATGCGGTGCATGTTGTTCCATGTTAATGTACGGAAAAGGCTTCCCACCACGCTAATTTGGCGACTTTACATGTCTCTAGCTTGGTTACCTTGGCCTATCAATTTTTGATTCTCGTGAAAGTTGAAGTTTTTGGACTTTAGTAACTACACAACGGAGAACAACCCAGATCAAATATTTTATATATACGATATTTGGTACCACTGTCCTGATAATTTTACATTGGTCAGGTGTTCAATATGATCAGCACCGAATCTCTAGACAACGAAGTAAAAGAACTTGTCCAAGCTTGCAAGTATCTCAGGATAGTTTCAGGGGATGATTTCGTTGAATGAACTCAGGCCAAGTTCAAGAATGCCCAGAATACCTCGCAAGGAATATGAGCAAATGGGCAGACAACTTCTGCGGGAATAAACTTAGAAGTTTCATATTGATGATCATTTAAAGCGATGTTGTTGATCTCCGACACGGTGGAGACATATCTGCGTACTCCCTACGTTGGCGTAATTGGAAAGATCATCGTCTCGGACGTAAGACTCTTTTTGAAAGAGTGTGCCTGCTATGTACGTCAGTTTATGGCGATGTCCAACGAATGTGCCTTTGTGGATTACGAAAGGCGTGAATGGGGCGTTCCCACTCTTCAATCAAGATTAATACTCTGTAGAAGATCTTCGCAGGTATAGCGATCTACACGTGATACATAGTAGCAGCAATTAAAAGGATGCGTAATCATGGCGATCAAACGAGCGGTATATTTGCTGGGTCCTCTAAGTAACATGGAGATTGATCAAATGTGCATTCCCTGGAATGAGCCTCCAGGGACGGATTAGAAATTAGTAGTAATCTGTGACACTAATGCATGATCGTGCCAAAAGGCCGCACATGGGTATCGAGAAAGACGAGCGTATAACTCAAAAAGGCATGGGAACCCAACCATCAACAGAAAGAAAAGCAAGTAAGCAGCCGAGCTCTCAGCCGAGAGCCGAGCCATGCAGACAATATATAAGGATTATACGATGTGGTCCTACCAACTCCACCATATACCCAAAGTGGAGAGGTCAAACGATCACCTAGATGTAGGCAATATGGTGTGCTTAAGCAGCCTTGACGACAGGCCACCCATCGGTAAAGCCGAGCTCGTTCCACCCATAGCGGTATCCTGCAGTACCATCGCCACCAGCCTCCTTCTCAGCGAGGGGATAGTAGTGGTAGTAGAGAATAGGTCCGAGATCACTGTCTGTGAGAACACCCCTAGAAGTTGATTGGTCAGAAATTACGCCTTGTGGAGTGCAGATTTGCATCGCATCACTTACTCTCCACCGGGTCCATAGACCTGGTTGTGGCTGGCCAATAGCATTGTTCCGCCGGAGTTTGTACAGGCGGTGCCGTCCTTATCCACCTGCAGATCATCAATCCCGTTAGTTATGACGCGTATTTCCAAGGCACAGGGGCTACCTTATTTTTGTCTGAACAGGGAATTCAAAACTTACAAATCCACCAAGTCCGGTAGTGGAGCGACACACACGAATACTGTACTCAGCGCCCGCAGCGGGGGTAGTCGCGGTGTACGATCCGGCAATACCAGCGCTGAAGAAGAGGTAGTAGTAGTCACCGTGCTGGTACAGGAAAGATCCCTCCTCGCGGTGGTTGAGAGAAGCGTTGTATGCTATCTGGTAAGGAGTGTTGGAGCCGACTTTCAGTGCGCTCGTAAGCTCGACTTGGTGAATATCTTGCCAGAAAGAACCGAATTGAAGGTATTGTTTGCCATCGATCTCAATCCAGTTGGGGTCGATGCGGTTGTAATCAGAGTTTGCGGGGATACCAACAATGCCGTGGTCAGTCCACGAACCGGGCTCCATAGTGGTGGAAGTAGCAACGCCGATCTCGGATGTCTGTGTACCAAGGGCGGAAATTGCGTAGTACATGTAGTAAGTGCTGTCGGCGTAATGAACATCGGGAGCCTACACCCAAAAAGGTTAGATATCAATAGATACGTTTTTAGATTTCTTTGTTTACATACCCAGATATTGGTCGTGTTTGCACCACTGAGGTCGATCTTGGAGCCATCAGGCAAGGCAGCACCCAAGTCTGTCCAAGGTCCCTTCAGGGCCGGAGAGGACATGATGTTCACACCTGTGCCCGTGGAGAAGCGGAAGTACTTGCCATCTGACTGACGCTGGATCATGGAAGGATCATGAGCCCAGCAGTCACCAGTGCATGGCCCCCGAGCAGGGTAAGCCGCAACTAATGAGATGAAAAGGGAAAGGAGCCCGAACATGGTGAGGGGAATGGGAGGAGATTGTCGAGGAGGTCGGAATACCGTGGCTATGTTTCTAGAAAAGAAAAAGACAAACAATGGCGGAAGTGGCTCAATTTATGTTGATTTACTCCGTCCTTTGTGGCCCGCGATGGAGGGTCATGCAGATGTCGTCTTTCAAGGTGGGTTTTTCGCCTTGATTAAAGGTCTTGGGACCAGGGGAGGCCAATCACGTCTTTCTTTAAGCTGCATATTGGTCCTATGAATGTAAGGCACATGTCAGTAGCAGTTGGGGTCCGACGTGGCTCAACTCCAAAAGAGGGATAGCAATCAAAGAATCACCAATAGAGTGGATCATAAACAGACTGGGTAATTTGCAAACAGGGGCCCACTTCGAGAGATCAGAAATGTAGTTTGCTTAGCTACATCCCTTATGTGATGTCTCGCATCTCGTAATGCCTGGACTCGTACCTCACAGGGGAGGCTCCACTTCTGTCCGACCTTGAGATTACCAGAATTTGTCTACTCCTATCTCCTTTCATCTCCACAGGGGTGCATGATTCGCAATCGGGAAGTGCGCAAGTGCATGGATCCACCCTTGCGGGAATCGGGGCCGTGGGCAGGACGTAAGGGATCATCACTTCGTCTTGCACTATTGAATTTGATTTTTACACCTGCTTCTTGCATTGATATTACATGTACCTCAGTCGTTGGAGGCGTTGCTATGCCAATCAAAATTCGACGCGGTCACGCCAACTGTCCGCGAGATCGACTCTCGGACTATTATTCAAGATGTTATGATGATGGCGCTGGCTTAAGTCCGGGGGTAAATGATCGACATGCCGTGTGGACCCTCGGCTCCGCCCTATCGCCAATAAGCTTCATTTAAGAGGCTCACCAGATTCCCCAGCTGAGTGCCTCGACCTTTTTTGCCAAGGAGCTTGAGTTTCTCCCCGGATTTGTCCCGTATGTTTATCGTTCCTGGAAGATTCGGTGTGACTCCAAGTGTGATTTTGACTTGGATCTACATGTTCTTTGTTTTGATTTTTCCCGTTTCCTTGAATGATTTGGAAGCAAGAAAAACAAATAAAAAGGCCGCGACAACGTCCGTTCGCACAAGAAAAGGGCGCATTTGGGGGTTCAGCAGGGGAGTGGAACCCCCAATTTTTACTTCAGAATGAGGAAGCGAAAGCCGAGACCCGACAAGGGAGATCGGGAGATTGGGTCAACCACTCGTTTCTTTCTCCCAAGATATCCAGCTGAGATCAGCAGTAGTGTCAGATCCTACACCGACTCCCGGTATCCTATTTAGAGAAGAAAATAGCCGTCGGTAGTCAACAGCCCCGCCATCTTGGCTCTCGTCATCAAGCGTCCGCTCCAATTTTCTCGATCGCGATGAGCCCCTCAACCCCCCTCATGACAAAAAAAAACCCCTCAAGTCACGCGAGGAGGCTGCTTCCAAAGTTGTATTAGCATCTTGTGTATCAGAGGGCAGTGACGAAATAGAGAAGAACACATGGCACACCTCGCATAAAACATGGTAAATGGAATGATGCACCACCCCCTCAGCCATAATGCGGCCCCTTCCACAACTTAGAATATACTTTACTCCAGGGCTGATGCTCCTGCACCCTCGGCACTCCTCTTGCAGATGACCCTGGATGATGACACGAAGACTTGATATGATGGCACCACTAAATTGTCCGACCGGTTATAAATAATTCCAGTTGACACGTACTGAGTAAGCTGGTGCCCGATCTGGATCTTTACATATGTATACTCGTCCACTCATATTCTTTGACAATATCTGGGCTCTGCGTTTTATGAGACATAAACAGGGTAAGCCGCTTGGCTTCATTCCACGAATCACTGGTGATGTTGGAACCAGGGTCTATGCTAAGCACTTGGCCCCCGGGCCCCTGGGATTCGCGCTCATAATCAAAGCTACCTAGCCAATGAACCTACTAAATATATCCACGGGGAGGGATCAATGATTATATATAGACATTTATGGATGGTCCTCATTCGTTAAAGTATTGTCTCAATTCCCAATCTAGTCTCAGGATCCTAAACAAGTCCGAGGTCTATGCGTGAAATATATTGCGAGCCTTGGACGTTTATTTTTGTCACACCGCAACAGCTTTGGGTCTCAAATTCTATAGTTCTTGATGTTGTCACCGAATTCAGGGCAAGGTTACACACCGCCAAACAAACCTAAATCTCCAAGTAAAGCTCATGAATCAATGCGCCAGATAGACATAAAAAGCGAGGCTAAGTTAGTTCGGGAGTCTCAGGAAGACCCATGCACCGAGCGTAGCCCAGGATCCATGGATATTTCTTGACGGAACTTGACGACGGTGACCTCGGGGACCCTCATCATTCAGTCAGTGAAATCCTTTGGATTCATTATGGATACACAGTGGTATACCTATCCACAACTAGGAGCTTGATCATTCGAGGATTGCCGCTGTGTAATTTTCACTCCGATACATTCCGATACATAATATACACCCACTTGATAACGTAGATGGGCAGATTATTTAGATACTTACGAGCCGTTACATCGATATACGTCCGGCATCTGCCAATTTTTACGTCCTATAGTTCGGTTTGGTCGTCAATCCGGTTTGAATAGCCAATACTACGCTTTGTTCGATCCCCATAGAGCAACACTGATCGGGCCGATTCTCTGATTATTGAGAATGATGCCGATGTACCCGATCTCGTACTGAATATAAAAGATCTCTGGCGTCCCTGAAAAGAACTAAGCTCGAACTACCTCATAAACACTCTAAATCCTTCACTACATATATCTGAGAATGGCTGCGACTATCCAGACAGATGTGCTAATTATTGGTGGTGGGCCGGTAGGCCTACTCATAGCCCACGGGTTGGCCAGACAAGGCGTGGACTCTATCATTGTTGGTAAGTAGCCCCTCCGAAGTCTGTTTATCTTGATTCTCGTCAGCTATTGATCAGTATCTAACTCTTTCCACAGAGAAGCATGACAAGACTGAGCAAGCCATGTATGGCCGAGCGACCACCTTATACCCGCGAACTCTAGAGATGTTGGACCAACTCGAACTCCTGGACGAACTGAACCAAATCGGATACATCGCTCGAAACAGCGTGACATTCAAAGATGGCGAGCGAGTGACCTCGCGTGGATGGCATGTCATGTTTGAGCGAATGCACGGCACATTCTTGGATTACTGCCTGAACATCAGGCAAAAATACTCTGAAAACGTGATCCGGGATACATATGCAAAGCTCGGAGGTCGTCTGCTCATCGGTTGGAAACTCGAGGATTATGCCATCGACGACTTGCCCAGGGGTGATTTCAAAGTATCTTCCCGTATCCGGAAGGGAGACACTGAGGAAGTGATGTCAATCAACAGGTAACTCGTTGCTAAGACTGTCATGAATGATCCAAGTACTGACTTTGGTCGTGATAGCAAATTCATTGTTGGCGCGGACGGAGGTCATTCACTTGTGAGAAGGATCGCGGAGATCCCAGCTCAAGGTGACCGCACCCACTATAGATGGGTCCGTATTGATGGTGTCTTTAAGACAAACATGCCCGACGCCGATGTAGGCTTTGCTTCGATCGAATCTAAGAGTCATGGGAATGTTCTATGGGTTCAGTTGGATCATGGCGTTAAACGCATTGGCTTTGCCATGACGGAAGACATGCTTGCCAAGTATGGTGATAAACTCACCGAAGAGCAGGCTGTGGCTGAAGCAGTCAAGTCGATGGAGCCTTTCTCACTGGAGGTGGAGAAAGTTGAGTGGTGGACCTTGTATAGGTATGTACTCATTTGCATTGAAAAGACGAAAACACGATAGCAGAGCTAACAACTGCACAGCATCAATCAACAAGTCGCCGATTCATTCTTTTCCAACGAGCGCATTCTCTTAGCTGGAGATGCATGCCACACCCACTCCTCTGGAGCTGCCCAGGGAATGAACACAGGCGTCCACGATGCCATCAATTTATCCTGGAAGCTGGGAGGTGTGGTAAAGGGTTGGTACACCCCCGAGATCTTGCAAACATACGAAGATGAGAGACGCCCCGCTGCTCAGCATCTCATTAAGCTCGACAAAGCTTTCTCGGCAACCATTTCAGGCACTGTGCCTGATGAATACAAGGGAACCTCTCTCAATGCGAACGAACTGTTCACCAAGCTCTTTGATGACACCATTTTGTTCAACCTCGGCTTGGGAATAAATTACGGTGAAAGCATCATCAACAAAGCACCACCAACAGGGATGATCTCGTCCGGTCGCAGGGGACCTGATGCTTTGATTATGGCCCCTGGTTCTCGTGTTCCAACCCGTTTGTACCAGGTGATCCGAAACACTGGGCAGTGGAGTATTCTCGTGTTCGCTGGACAGCCCCTGATTACTCACGACAATCTAGCTCTGTCAGTGGACAAGCTGAAGGAGTTCCAAGCCACTCTCCCTAAAGACATGGTTCGATTCCTCACCTTGATCGCTGATAGCCCGGATGGAGGGGACAAGATGTTTGGAACTCCCAGAGTCGGAAATCTATATTACGACAATACCAGGTCTGCCCATGAAAGATACACTATCTCCACGGGAAAAGGTGCAGTGGTGGTCCTCCGACCAGATGGAATTTTGGGTTATGCTACCGCGTTGGATGATTCTGAGAGTATCAGAAATCTCTTTGCTGATTTCACCTCAATCATCTAATGGATGGAAAATCATTCGCCCATTTTGAAATGGAAGAGAATAACCTGGGGAAAAAAATGCGGTGTGTTTGCCACGACGTTTTTTGACAAAAATAGAGCATATTAGACTTTCGATAGAAATATAGAGTTTGGAATCATTCAATGCATCCAATTTCACGAACGGGTTCTCCAAGTTAGGATTCAATACTAGGACTAGTGTAAATCTAAAAAAAAGAAAAAAAAAAGAAAAATTTGATCAATAAAAAAAAGACTTTTAACACAAAGATAAGATTTAATCAAGGGCAGGGCATTGGGCTGAAGAGGGCGAGAGAAAGAATCAGCAAGGTCGTGATTTGGAGCGGATCATCCAACATGTTTGACTTCAGATTTACCGAGTCCAAGGGGCACATGTACCGGTCCGCGCATTATGTACACAGTTTGGTGCTTCACCGCCAAAGCTGTCGCGTTCCCGGCATCGTCCGAGAACACGACCAGGTTCAATCATAAAGGCAACAAATGTTCAGTCCAGCCGACGCACAGCCCAGATACGTCAAGAGGAAAAGAGTCAGCGTTGCATGTGGAATTTGTCGATCTCATAAAATCCGCTGTGATGGAGATCGACCTAAATGTGGCACTTGTCAACGCCGTCGAGAGAACTGCTTTTATGACGATGAGAATGACCAAAATGACTCGAGGTATGACTAACGAAGCGCGTGGGATCTTGCGAGTTCATATGCTGATTCGAAGTGAAGACCCACGGGGCCCAATGCAGGCACAAGACGCCATGGACCCGACGGTCCTGGAATACAAAAGCCTGTGCCTAATCAAACAGCCAGTGAATGCATGTCAAGCGTGACTGCAATGGGTCTGGTCTCGAGACCGCTTACTAGTGACCAAGAGTCGACAAGCGGGTTCTTTGGAGACTCGTCCACCATCGCCTTTATCAAGCAGTTGCAGGACACGGTCAAATCAAGGACACCAAAGCCCCCACAGGAGCCTTCCCATCAGGATTCACGTCGATCTGTGAATCAGGAAAGCCCAAGGGCCCTTATAAACGTCGCTGACTCTCGCGAGTTGCTTCCACCACGCCACTTGGCAGACCACTTGGTTGACTGCTATTTTACCAAAATCCATAGTCTGTACCCATTCGTGCATAAAGTGGCATTCTTCACGGCTTATGAATCACTGTGGAGTCAAGACGGACTCCCCTCCAGTGCACGATCAACCCGTGGACTGGGTCTCGGTGATTCCAGTGAGACTCGCACGACCTTTTACTACGGGCTGAACGTTGTCTTTGCTTTAGCATGCCAATTCTCTGATATAATCCAGGTTGAACGCGAGGCCACATCCGAAGCCTTTTTCCACACAAGCAAACCAGCTTTAGATGTAGATTATCTCGAAGCTGGTGATCTTGCCCTAACTCAGACCCTCCTTCTGATGGCACACTATCTTCAGGGCTCTCGTACCCCCAACCGATGCTGGCATGTGATTGGGACAGCCTGCAGACTAGCTCAGGGAATTGGATTGCACTCTGATGTGGGAAACAAGCACCGGTCATTTGCCGAGATACAGGTTCGGAGGAGAGTATGGCATGGCTGTGTGATGCTAGACTTGTAAGAGGGCGCATATCCCATTTGTCTGAATACTTGGCTGACAAAATTCTCAGGGCAGTAAGCACCATTCTTGGTCGCCCGGTCATGATATCGCATAATCCATCCACCCTTCTACCACAATCTATTGATGACGAGCACCTAGTCGTGGAATCCTCAATATGTGTACAGCCACCGGGGTTGTTTTCCCGCGTCGAGTGGTTCATTGCGACTTTGAAGCTGTATGACCTTCTTCGGACGACATTGAATACACTCTACGATAATGCTGAAAAGAAACCCAAAAATGATTCAGACAACTCGGTTCATAGAGGGAGGACGGAAACTTTGCGCCAGATTGAATGCATCACACGGATTGACGCAGAGCTCCAGGACTTTCGACTGACGGTTCCTGGGCAACTTCGATGGGACGTACCAATCCACGAAACACAGGATAACCAGTTCTTGAGAGAAAGATGTCTGCTTAAAGCCAGGTATATTACAATGCATTCACCAGCTGTTACGGTTCCTAATAATCCTATTGCAGATTTCTGTACCTGAGAATCCTTATCTACAGGCCAGTTCTGTCACAGTCGCTACACGAGATCTTGTCCTCTCCAGGATCCGTGACTGAACTTAACGCTGGACGGTTGGGGACTGGAATTCACGCAAATTTTACCATGGATTGCTCGATCTTTTGTGTGCAGTCAGCCATTGATCTCATTTCCTTAGTACACGAGACTTGCAACAACGATTTATCAAGCGTATGGTTTTACAATGTTTTCTGTACGCATGCCAAAGTTCCGTCTTTCTTATTTCGCAGGCTTACTTTAACACAGACTTATTCACGGCTGGGTCTGTCACGCTGCTCGCTGAGCTTGACCAATCTATTGTCAACATCGTGACCCGTGAAACATTGAAGATATCTTGGGATAAGTGCCAGGCAGCTCTTGAGCACCTGAAAACCTACAGCATAGTAGCAGAACGATGTGCCGATAGCATGGGGACGATTCGATCAAAGTTGTTGGCGGCCCTGTCGGGTAAGAGATCTATCCTCAGCATTAACTGACGTCGAGCTAATTCCAGGAACAGAACAAGTTGAGCAGCAGCAAGACCCCGGCGAACAATCTGACATAGCAGCGCACAGCATAGGGCAAATGCCGTTTCCGGAGGATCTCTTTCGTGATTTGGCTTTCGACGAGCAAACCTTCTTTGACCCTTTCTGGTATGATTTGGAGTTTTGAAACCCCCACTGTTGGTTGAGAACTAGCTCTCGCACTGCAGACGCTAGTGCTTAGTGGGAGTCTGAAGGAAAGGCGTAACAAAATGAAACAAAGACGGACGAATCGTGATAGTATGAGGATGGAAGCTGCTTGACGCGAAATCCATATAGAAAATTATTGATAGGCAATAGAGCATGTAACAATAGCATAATACATAGCTTCTATAAGAGAAGCGAGCAGAGTAGCAAAGCTCTCACAAAATTATCATCGTCACATAGTCATTCATCTACACATTTCCCTGCTTCTCTAGTTCTTCCAGAGAGTGCTGCGCAGAGTGCTGTTCAACTGCGCGCGGTAGACCTTGTTCTCGTTGAGAATGTACAGCTGCCCCTTCTTGCCAAACGAGAAGTTCGAAGTGCCATCCTCAATCAAAATCTTACCCAGCAAGACACCACCAGACGACCAGACATAGACACCGTCACCGCAGCCAGCGTACACATTACCGTGCTGATCAACCTTGAGGCCATCAGGAATACCATCACCAGGCATGGCAAAGACCCGGCGGTTAGTCAGGAAGGCCTGACCGTTAATAGTGGACACATCGAAAGCGTAGCTAGACAAGGTTAGTCAAAATTCCCCATTGAGTTCCATTCATGCCCGAATGAAACATGATCCCAGGGTTCAACTTACATAGTGGCAGGCAGAAGCGCATCGGTAGTTCCATCGCCGATTGTCTCGGCAGTATCGGAAATATACATGGTCTTCTCATCAGGCGAGAAAGAGATTCCATTGGGCCGACCGAACCCATCCGCAACAACGCGCACAGCCTTGGTAGCAGGATCATACCGGTAAACCTGAGCTGGGAGCTTGGGCTTCGGCCGGACACCCTGAATGTAACCATAGATGGGATCTGTGAACCAAAAGGAGCCGTCGTTGGCGACAACAACATCGTTTAGAGAGTTAAACTGGCGGCCGTAGAAGCCTCCCACGATGAACTCGGCCTTGTTCGGCGACTGCGCAGACATCTGCCAAAGACCACCTGTGGTGTTCAGAGTGCCCTGGCCAGTCCAGAGGATGCCACCATCGTGATTTACGCCGCCATTGGGCATGGGAACGGTTGAGTTGAGGATCTCGGAGGTGACGGGGTTTGCGGTCACGTTAACCTTTGAGATCACGATAGTGGTTTCATTAGTGACTGGATCAGTGAATTGGTTGCTAGACATGAACAGTTCATCTGTCGTTGGGACATAGACGCTTGCTTCGTGGGCGAAGGGGAAGTCATTGTTTTCCAAGATGACCTCCAGCTTCGGGGCTGAGCCAAGGATGCTATAGAAGGCATTGTCGTAGACAGTGAATGCAGACGGAATAGAGGTGCTGGCCGCGAAGGCCGTGTGTGAGAGAGTGGTAGTCATTATGCGTCTGATTTTCTGGCGAACTGATGGAAGGTGTGTCTCGGGGAATTTCTTCAGGGGGAACCTGCGAGCTTATTTAAGTCTAAATCGAGAAGAGCTTGGACTTTTTGACTCAAGTGATGTCAGCGAACATTGATCCACTATTCGCAGATGAACAAACCAAATGAAGGTGGGGTTCTATAGTTTCCTGGCACTGAACCAGAAACTGATTAGATCGGCGCTGCTCCACGATCCATGGCTGGGAATTTCCCGAGAATTCGCCTTGTTGATCCACCCTTTTTATGGTATCATACGGGAATGTTGACCGGGATCACTTGGCTTGAAAAACCATCATTAATAATGACTGAGATAAAGCGGCCAGGTTCTGTCAGGCCAGCGGTCAATTTTGCGAGTGATTGGCGGATCACAATATTTGCGGAGTTTTACCCCCTTTGGATTCTTGGCTAGTGCACCAACAAAGCCTCGAGGAACTCATTTGTATACACATAGTTATTAACTCTCCTTAACCCAGGGGGCATTCAAAATAGAACGAGTAATTTTAGCCAAATGCCTGGTATCTGAAACAAAGAACGGCCAAATAGCTTCCAAAAGGTTAAATGTAGTGAAGAATCAAGGCTCCGTGTTCGTTCAGTTGTTAGTCTTACGCGATAAAGTCAAGAAGTATAGCCTCGACCAAGGCTTGCGTGCGATAATACTACACGGTGTAGCTCTCTGAGCCGGGTGATGATAGTTTTGTTAGATTATTCATGCATTTGGACCGCGGGTGATCGAGACGCCGTGGCTTGCTATAGAATGTCACATAATGACCAAGCGGGTGGGCAGGCGGAAGCGGCCCACCGAAGAATGTGAAGACGTGAGTCTGTACAGGCTGAGGAGGCAGCCGGCTTTCTTGGGGGCTGAGCTCTGCAAGCGCACCTATTCAAGCTTTGGGATCCGCACCAAATCTTATGGTAAAGATTAGTACTCAAGAGCCACTCTCGTTTGGGAAGGGTTCGAAGTGATTTGAGTGCTCGCCATTGAAGAGTTGGCCAGCGACGCTTGCAAGCAAGTGAAACCAAGGTGACCGAGTCTAGCATGATTATACCAGGAGTGATGTAAAATTCATCCTAAGCCTGGTGACGCCGATAGCATTGGCTGTTCATCAAATTTACCCCAAAAGGCTCGTGCCGTTGGGTCAAATGGCCCTTACTAAGTCTCCCATACATTCATGTTTTCTCTGATGCCTCTAGGATGTCAATGCCAATTTTAGTATGTGAGACCGTTGAACCCACGTCGAATTGTAAAAGCACATAGGCAGTGAAGAAAATGTCAATTGTGGTATTGAGAGGGAGCGCATCGAGTCCTTCTTTGCCATTACTGGTACAGGTATTATCGGTCGATTGTATAGACTGAGGTGTAAGGAAGGATCGTTGAAAGCAGCCCGGGATATTTGTGGAGAAATGAAATGGTTCTTTTTTTTCAGAATGTCCCAAGGTTGGTATTTCGTTTGAAGGTTTTGGGGGTTTGGCCCCCAGTCGCCAAGGTAGCCCTAGCAAATGTTGGCTACCACGCTATGTAGTCGCTCCTGGGAGCATAAATATTCGCGGTGATTCAGCCGGTCAAAGTACCCAGATAATCAAGTCCACCAGAGCGAAAAGGCAAAACCAAGCAAATAAGCAATCTAGCCACGGATAGCAATTTTGAGCTACATGAATATGACATGTATCTTGTCAACACAAAACACTCGCTATTCATTTCTCAAAAATCCGTAGCATCTTGGGTATTCGTCTCATGGATAAATTCGAGGCTGAATCCTCTGTCCATTCTTTTGAAGAGCCACTCTGCTCATAGTCGGGAGGTCCATCGATTAGATCAAATGGGTTCTCAGTATAGCCATCAGCAAGACCATATATTGAGACCAGCATTATCTTTCGATAGTATGAACGATTTGAAATCGGATTTAGTGGATATAACTCCTTCATAGCTTGCTTCGCTTTGTCTGTAAGCACGACCCCATGAGCCTTCTGACAACACCAACACTCAGTGGTACAGTGCCCAGCTCCAAATTGGCGTGCAGGTCCAAGCTTACGACCTTGGCAGCATCCACAGTCTCGACCGCAACATCCACCTTTATCAGCACAGTCCTTCAAGAGCGTTTTATGTAGGTACCATTGGGAATGTGACCGCCATAGGTTCAAACCTCTTATAAGCATTTCAGAAGGATAGTTGTCAAGGAATCGACCCCTCTTTTGATCTGTTATGAAACATTCCTCTCTAAGATTCAGGAGCTCTTGCTCTATCTTCTGTGATCTATCCGAGGAGGCTGGCACTTTTTTGATCTCTGCTGATAATGAGACCTCTCTCTGAGCGATTTCTCGTAATCGGCGTTCTGCTCGAAGAAATTCGGGTATGGGATGGCGATATGCATCATCAGAGGCCTTCTTGGCACGATATTCTTGTAAAGTTTATATATCGCCCCTTTCCTCGTATTTTCTCTCCCGTTTATTTCCGTCAGGAGATTTTGCCATTTTGGATGTAGATTAAAGGATATTGATTGATATGGCACCGAGGATCCCCGTATAAGAACACCGATAAAAATGCTGCAAGGAACAGAAGTAGGTGCTCATACGTATGTAGTATAGATCTCATTTTTTTCCTTCCAAATTCCATTTCCGCCTAAAGAGCGGAGACCGGAAAAGCAGCTAACATCGCCTGACCTAGCACCAACTTCAATCTTTCCCCCATCTAGCCAATAAATCCATGGGATATTCTCTTGACTACGTGAGGGTTTCAACCTTGGCAAGCTTCCAAGCTTCATAGCCCTCTTGATACTAGCGCTTATGTCATGTTCTCAACAATTTCTACCTTGATCAAAATCAATACAACAATCATAAACAAGAAACTTAATCATGCACCTTTGTGCGCTAGGAGAAAACGAAATAAGTCTGTGGAATTGAAGCATAAAGCCGGGGAGATAAGAAAATCGATATCTCCACGGGTCCCCCCTCATCAAGGCCGCGTAGCCCGCGGAAATCAGTTGTTCCGCTCTGCCCCACACCCATGCCACTTTCCAATGATGGCCACCGCGGTACATCAATCACAGTCATAGTACAAATTCGTGGACATAAGCTCAATCCCTGTCTCATTCATTGATTCTGGGTCTGTTACACCCATCCCAGGAACAATGGCGCCTCTGGTAACACTGGCTACATGTGCGCTGAACCAGTGGAGTCTGGACTTTGAGGGAAATTTGAGGCGCATCAAACAGAGCATTATCAAAGCCAAGGAAGCCGGTGCAACTCTGCGTGTCGGGCCCGAGCTCGAAATCCCGGGATATGGTAAGCCTCTTCGAAAATCATGATCAAACTCTCATATCATGCTCACCTTGTACACTAGGCTGCTTGGACCACTTCCTTGAGACGGAAGTATATGAGCACTCGTGGGATTCTTTGTACTCCATCCTGACTGATGAGTCACTGCACGGAATCATCATCGATGTTGGCTTGCCTCTGCTTCACCGGAACTGCAGATACAATGCACGTGCTATCGTTCTGGATGGCAAGATCTTGTGTCTTCGCCCCAAACTGTATCTCGCCAATGATGGCAACTTCCGTGAGATGCGCTTCTTCACCCCGTGGAACAGGCCCAGGCACGTGGAGCAGTACTACCTTCCACCAATGATTCAGAAGCACCAGGGAGCTCGCCATGTTCCCATTGGTGACGTGGTTCTCTCCACAATCGACACTTGTCTGGCGGCTGAGACGTGTGAAGAGTTATTCACACCTAACAGCCCCCATATCAATATGTATGATTCATTCCCATTCCTATGCAGATTTGGAGCTGATGTAGTGATTATAGGGGACTTAATGGTGTGGAGATTTTCACTAACAGTAGTGGAAGCCACCACTCACTTCGCAAGTTGGATGAACGAATTGCCCTCATTCAGGAAGCCACTCGTAAGAATGGCGGTGTCTACCTATACTCCAACCAACTTGGATGCGATGGAGATCGGCTTTACTATGATGGTTGCGCGATGATCTTTGTCAACGGTGACATTGTGGGCCAATCAAGCCAATTCTCGCTGAATGAGGTTGAAGTCGTTGTGGCGACAGTTGATCTTGAGAAAGTACGAGCTTATAGATTTGCCCCATCCCGTGGCTTACAGGCAGTGGCCGCACCAGAATATCAGCGGATTGAGGTTGACTACTCCCTGTCTCATGACAATCTGGACCTTGAGATCGACCTGCGGCCTACTGCCGCACGGCCGGCACGCTACCATCTTCCTGAAGAGGAGATTGCCCTAGGACCTGCCTGCTGGCTCTGGGATTACCTCCGGCGATCCAAGGCCGCAGGTTTCTTCGTTCCATTGTCCGGAGGTATTGACAGCTGTGCCACTGCCACAATTGTCTACTCAATGTGTCGCCTAGTCATTGCAGCGATCAAGGAGGGAAATGAGCAGGTCATCACCGATGTTAAGCGGATTGCCGCCTTCTCTTCGAATCTTCCCGAGACGGCAGAAGAGCTGTGCAACCAAATCTTCTGCACTTGCTACATGGGAATGGAGAATCAGAGTAGCAAAGAAACCCGGGACCGTTCGAAGGCCCTTTCTGAGCGGATCGGATCGTATCACACCGATGTCAACATTGACAACATGTTCAACTCTACGAAGAACATCCTCACTCAGGCCACAGGCTTTGAGCCGAAATTCAAGGGTTGGTCGGCTGCTTTTGCCAGGATGCTCACATGCTAACCCATGTCACCCAGTTCACGGAGGATCGAACACGTCGAATCTCGCTCTTCAGAATATTCAGGCACGGTCTAGAATGGTGCTTGCCTACTACTTCGCCCAGGAGCTATGTGAAGTCCGTAACCGTCCCGGTGGCGGCTCTCTTTTGGTCCTGGGAAGTTCCAACGTGGATGAATGTCTCCGCGGATGTAAGTGTGCCCATCCGTAACCGCACTAAAGCATACTAATATCGGGGCAGATCTGACTAAGTACGACTGTTCGTCTGCTGACATCAACCCCATTGGCTCGATCAGTAAAGTGGATCTCAAACGGTTCATCGGCTGGGCGTCCAAGGACTTTGAAATGCCCATCCTCTTGGACTTTCTGGATGCTATTCCTACGGCCGAACTGGAGCCGATTACGGCAAACTACGTGCAAAGCGATGAGGTTGACATGCAGATGACCTATGATGAGCTCTCGCGTTTCGGAAAATTGAGGAAAGTGGACCACCTGGGGCCCTATGGAATGTTTCTTCGTCTTCTGGACGAGTGGGGTGGCGAGGGGAAACTTAGCCCCCGTGAGATCGCGCATAAGGTGAAACTGTTCTTCCACTTCTATCAGATCAACCGCCATAAGCAGACCGTTGCCACCCCGGCTTACCATGCGGAGAGCTATAGCCCCGATGATCATCGATTTGATCTTCGGCCGTTTGTCTATCCCCCTGGATTTGAGAGCTGGTCATTCAGGAAGATTGATGAGCGGGTGAATGCTTTAGAGAAGCGGAAGAAGAGACAGGAAGCATAGGTATTGAGTGAATGGGACATATGACCTGTAAGTCTAGATAGCTATAAATAAGAATTTCAAAGAACCTTGGAAGTTGACACCCGTTTATTTTCCCTAATATACTTTGTGCCGCAGTGGAGACCTACCGAGGTGGATGCCAAGAAATCCCACCAGGGTTTGCACGTCTACTCCGTATTAACATTCCACATGGTTTGGCGTTTCAGATTGTTTAGTCAGTGCATCTTACGCCCGAAAATAAGGATTTTTCTGGAAGAATGTTGAGTGGGTTACAGGAGGTAAAGGCAATATGTTAAGCGGCGAGGATGATGAGTGAGATGACGAAGCTTTTGGCGGGGACTATTTACCCGAGTGGATAGTGTTTGAAAAAAGACGTCAACCGGCTCCAAATCTTGATAAATGTTGGTTAGGGGATAGACATCTTGGGTTATTTTTTTCCAACATTGACCAGATAGAATGGACGTATTCCAGGGGGTCGTTTGACTGCTAATCATCGCAAGTGTCCACTTCCTCCCGTGTCCAGAAAATCTAGATCCTCGGGACTCAACGCCCAAATCTCTGATTCCCGGACTATTTGGTGACTTGTGATAACTCGTGCAGGGTAATTTCCCTGAGAAAAGAAATTAACGGAAATTGGTTCTGATATATCAAAACCTTTTTATACATATACCCCCGCGTCATCGCGCAACCCAAGACTCCCAGCCACCGACTCCTTTTCCACCTCCACGTGTGAATTGATGTTCATTGGCCGGCGTCACTTGTAACTGGGCCCCCTCTTCCCCTGGTCTTGGATTGATTCTCTCCATTCTTTTGACATTCCATTTTGGAGAGAAACGCTGGGCAAAAAAAGAGTTGAAAACCTCAACCAGGTTTGCTGATACTGTGGTACTTCCCACCTTTCGGCGACTGCTTCTCTGCGAATTGGTTGGAAAATTCTCCTGACCCCTCGGCCCAATTTCAATCGGTGTCTCGTGTAGAGACACACACGTCGCCCATCATGAGTGACGGGTTCTCATTGAAATTCCGTCGCCCTTCAAGCAAGCTGCAGAAGGAATCCCCTAGCCCTAGCTTCAGTTCACGCATTCTTCGGAGTCATCAAAGCGCAACTTCCTTGAAACGTCATCCCTCCGCCCCCGTTTACCCGCGCTCCTCTTCCAACAGCAGCCGCGAGCATACCCGCACTCGATCGAACGCTGCTGCTGTCTATGGTTCGTCTTCATCGTCGCTTGAGCAGCATAGCGACGGCCCGTCACCGGTACAAAACGACCATTCGTTTTTCCCCAACTACAGCTCCCGCGCCCGCCAGAACCGCTTCTCCTACGATCAGCACAATTCGGATGAATTAACGACAACCCCCTTCGAGACCCGGGGCATGCTCAGTGCCTTGGATGAGAATAGCGCGGAAACAACAGACTCCTTGTCTCCACCTCATAATCATCCACCCTTGCACTCCCAGCAGTCCAGTCCGATCAGCCCAGACCCACGACACCGCTCCTTCCTCCGACAATCCGCGAGTTTCACCACCTTGCCCACCCGGATGGATCCCTTCGCACATCGAGAGACCGAGCGCGCTGCAAACTCCAAGCGCCATTCCGACGAGGGGAGTGGCCACACTCGGGGTGGGCGCAGCAAGAAGGCTAGCTTCTCCAGTTTTGTGAATAGCATGCTGGGCTCGCCCCGCAACATCAAGATCTCGTCCCCGGAGAACCCGGTCCACGTCACCCATGTGGGATATGATAATCAGACTGGCCAGTTCACCGGCTTACCCAAAGAGTGGCAGCGTCTACTACAGGAAAATGGTATCTCGAAGAAGGAGCAGGAAGAACACCCGCAGACCATGATGGACATCATGCGATTCTACGAAAAGAACACCCGGGGCGATGACGATGAGGTTTGGCACAAGTTCGACAACGCACACGGGAAGGACGGGCGACCACCCTCTCCGCCGGGAAGCCCTCGTTTCCCCCAAAATCACGAAGGTAGCTTTGAGAACCCCCGGTCGCCGCCCCCAGTTCCGAAGGGACCACCAGGAGGAGCGCCGCCCCCGGCCTCATTGACGTCCGCTGCGGTCTCCCCGCCATTGGGCAGCCTCATTCCACATCGAGCCCCTCCGAAGCCTCCCGGCATGACACCGGCGCGGCCCCCGCCTCAGCCTCCTACCTCACATGTAGCGGCTCCCCAGCGATTGCCAGACGCCTATGGAATGGGGACACCCCCTATTCCCGAAACAGCACCGCTGCCGACCGACCCACGGGGTCCCTCTGGTCCTCGCAATGGCACTCAGACACAGGAATCGAATAAGGTGGCTTCTCCGACCCAATACCAACGGCAGCAAGAGCAAGTCATGGCGGCTGCTCAGGAAGCGATCGCATCCAAAAAGCTGGATCGAAGCCCCAGCCATCGCCAGCCGCCACCGGCACCTCAACTGGCGCCAATTGCAACGAATGTCCCCCAGAGCTCTGCGGAACCCACTTCTGCACCGGCCTCTCGAGCTCCCCCAGCAGCTCGGCCTCGTCAACAAAAGCGCCAGAGCAACGTTATGGATGTGCGCCAACGCCTATTGACAATTTGTCACCCCGGCGATCCTACTCAAATTTATTACAATCTCAACAAAGTTGGACAAGGTGCTTCGGGTGGTGTGTACACTGCCTATGAGAATGGCAACAATAATTGTGTGGCCATTAAGCAGATGAATCTCGATCTTCAGCCCAAGAAGGATTTGATTATTAATGAGATTCTTGTGATGAAGGACAGCAAGCACAGGAACATTGTGAATTTCCTCGAGAGCTACCTTCATGGCCTGGACTTGTGGGTAGTCATGGAGTATATGGAAGGTGGTAGTCTTACAGATGTGGTCACCTACAACATCATGAGTGAGGGCCAGATTGCAGCAGTATGCCGAGAGGTAGGTTTTAATTCTCCATTTACTCCATGATCTTCTATATGCAAGGATGCTAATAATCTCGAAACAGACCTTGAACGGACTCCAGCATCTGCACTCAAAAGGTGTCATTCACCGCGACATCAAGTCTGATAACATTCTTCTCTCACTAGAGGGTAACATCAAGCTGAGTAAGTTTCGATATTTTGATCCCTTTATACAAGAGTTCCGAATCTAATTATTCCCAGCCGATTTTGGCTTCTGTGCGCAAATCAACGACTCACAGAACAAGCGCAATACCATGGTTGGCACACCTTACTGGATGGCCCCTGAAGTGGTCACCCGTAAGGAATATGGTCGCAAGGTCGATATTTGGAGTTTAGGCATCATGGCCATTGAGATGATCGAGGGCGAACCTCCATATCTTACCGAGTCCCCTCTGCGTGCGCTCTACCTGATCGCCACAAATGGAACCCCGACTATCAAAGATGAACACAGCCTCTCAACAACCTTCCGTGACTTCCTGCATCTCGCTCTCAAGGTAGACCCTGAGAAGCGAGCGTCTGCCCACGATCTTCTTAAGGTATGCGAAACCCCTCCACCCTATTCATGTTGGACAATCATTGACTTTGTTTTTTTCAGCATCCCTTCATGTCCGTCTGCTCGCCACTTACGCATCTGGCTCCTTTGGTGAAGGCCGCTCGTATTAGCCGTGCCCAAGAGAAAGCGCAAAAGGGCGGTGCCTAGATGGCCGGCCTCTCATTCTCATTATGCCTTTGTTTTCTCTTATACCACTCTTCCCGTCTCGTTCAGATACCCCCATCACTCCCGATGATTCTTCTAGATCCTGGCATGCCGACGCCTTAATCCGCATGGCAGTCCCCGTTTGTGTACCGATTTGTTAACCATTTTATTTCTTGATGAACATCTCTTTGTGATGAAAAATGATCTGATCTCGCAAGCTTTGTTTTGACCACGATCTGTCTTCTCTGTTGGTTTATCTTTATCTCTGTCATTCTCTCGGGATGTCTTGTGTAGCACCATATTAATTCTACCACTCCACCCTGTTTTGAATTCGGTCGTATGTGGTGTTTCGGGTGCGACTTCGAGCTGTCTACTTATTATACTTGTTCGTCGACCTCGCGGAATTTAAAGTACGATTATCGGATCGTATTCGGCGTTTGGTTCCTAAGGAGACTTTACTTGATTTGTGTCTTATCACACTCATTCTATTTTTTCGCATCTTTTCCAATACATTGTACTGCCCTAGTTCGTGTTGGACGGCTATGTTCATATGACTGTGCTCAAGCGAAAACTAGAATATATGATACACAAGCTGCTAGACCTCGAAAATACATATCTTATCATTGTGTGGCTGTACCTCTACCATATTGGATCCAGTGGGGTGTCTTCATTCAGCCCTAGGGGACGGAGCAAATCAGATCAACCAAAATGCCGCAGCCTATACTGACTGGCATTATTGTCACTCCCTCCAGGGCTGCGCAGCAGTCAATTTGGGAGAAGATAGTCAATCAAAGAGGCGAGACAAGGGGTTTTTTTTTTCTCTACAAGGCAGACATAATTCTTTCCAACCTAAGCTACTAACTACTCTTAAATCCGAGATACGCATCGAATGGAGCTCCCCGTTCCGCCGTCGTCATTGCTGACTCAACACCACTTCCGCCCAGACACAACATTGGCACCTAGAGACCAACTTTCTTCTGCTCATCGATCGTGAAACTGCTCGAGTGTGAGCTGCGAACTATTGGGCTTTCTCTAATTTAAGATCCCCTATTTCCCACTATACCTCTCTTCGACAGTGTCGCCCTGACCTCAGCCCAGCTCGCGCTTGGAACATCTCAGCCCGCTCCCCGCATTGAACGCCCAACTACCCATCGCTGCGCACTGCATAGCTCACAATTCATTGTCGTCACTTCGATAACTGCGCTTTCCGCACTACAAGCCTGCTCTAATAAATTCACTAGTTGGATTCTCAGGACAGGTCCGACTGAGCCGACTGCGACAGCGCCGAGAAACGGTGCCCGACTCCCTGATCCTACAATACTGTGACTATTTGGTCTTTCTGCACCCACAAAACTGGCAATGTTTCGCGCTCAGCAGAATGCTTTTGATGATGCGGTCGGTGAGTTTTCGGCCATCCCGTAGCTTGGGACTACACGTGCACCTATTTGGGTACCGTGGAAGCCTGCTGGGACATGAGACCATGAACCCTGCTCGGAGACGATGAATTTCTGACCTGAGGGATATCTTCATAGCCAAGGCGACCGACGAGAACCTAACATCCGAGAACTGGGAATATATTCTGGTGCGTCTCTTCGAGCGACAAGCTGCCCGCGTTGCGATCGAGTAGTTCAGGACATGGGAAGCTGATTTGATGTTATTCTGGGAAATAGGATGTCTGCGACAAGGTTGCTGCCGAGGAATCGGGGTATGTGGTTCCTGAAATCCCTTCAGCTACAATTGCGCATTTTGGGAGTGTGTATGCTAATTTCATGTCGGTTGTATAGCGCAAAAGAGGCGGTTGCTGCCATGATCAAGAGAATGGCTCACAGAAATGCCAATGTGCAACTTTATACTCTTGAGGTATGCGAAATACTTTTCTGTGCCCTCATGGTGCAATGGGTCGCTTGGTGTTTGTCTTACTGACCACTTTTTAGCTCGGTAATTCGCTGTCACAAAACTGTGGCCCTAAGATTCATCGCGAGTTGGCCTCGAGAAGCTTTACTGATGCGCTCTTGCGCCTAGCAAGTGATCGCGTAAGCAGACTCATGATGCGCATTGTGGGTAATCTGAATCGCTGATCACTAGAACTTTTTCTGTAGAACACGCATCAACAAGTCAAGTCCAAGATTTTGGAGCGGATGGAAGAATGGACTGAGATGTTTGCATCTAACCCAGACTTTGGGATCATGGAGCAAGCATATATGAAGTTAAAGACCTCAAGTGAGAATATTGTGTTTCGATATGGCCCGTTACACGTTACTAACACTCTACAGACCCCAACCTTCAGCCCCCGTCGAAGCCGGTGAAGAGCGCAATTACGGATATTGACCGACAGAAAGAAGATGAAGAATTACAAATGGCTTTGGCTCTCTCTGTCAAGGAGAAGGCTCCTCCAATTCCCGTCGCTCAAGCTGGGCCATCTGCTGCGGCTGCGGCTGCGACTGCTGTATCGAGGCCCGAAACCTCTTCGCCTGCAGCCGAGTTGTCTGCTGCTGCGTCCGGGCCTGTGCCATCGGGTACATCGGCTGCCACTGTTTCGCGAGTCCGAGCCTTGTTCGATTTCCAGCCCTCGGAGTCTGGAGAGCTTCAATTCCGCAAGGGCGATATTATTACTGTCTTGGAATCAGTTTATAAGGACTGGTGGAAGGGTTCTTTGAGGGGCCAGACGGGAATCTTTCCTCTCAATTATGTCGAAAAGCTTTCAGATCCCACTGTTGAAGAGTTGCAGCGCGAGGTGCAAATGGAGGGCGATGTCTTTGGCCAGATTAAGAACGTTGAGAAGCTTCTGACCCTGCTGAGTACTCGAAGCTCCGATCTTAATGTGCAGGAGAACGAGGAGATTACCAACCTCTATCATTCCACCGTGGCTATTCGCCCGAAGCTGATTGAGCTGATTGGGAAATACTCGCAGAAGAAAGGTTAGTACACACACTTTGTTGGAAAGTATCCATGCTCATGAATTTCCAGATGAATTCACCCAGCTTAATGAGAAGTTCATTAAAGCCCGTCGTGACTACGAGTCTTTGCTAGAGGCTTCCATGGCTCATCCGGCACAACCTTATGCCCCACGACCTGGTCAGCCACAGTATGGCTATCCTGCTGGCACCCCTGCTGGATACCCTCCCCAAGCAGACCAACGATACTTTAGCCCCCAGCCTCAAGGTTTGTACAGTCCTTAGCGGCCCGCTGTTTGAGATTGAGAATTCATTAATTTAACTTTTATCTATAGATACCCAACCTCCACAGGCCCAGCCAAATGCATACTATGGTGCAGAGCAGACCATGCCTTACCGCCCTGCATCTCATTCACCCGATCCTCGTGCACAGTTTGCAGGTGGATCTCAGCAACACCCGGTGCAACAGGCACCTCCATCTGACGCTTATCCCCCTGCTAGCCACCGCCCTCAGTCTACATACGACCACCCTCAAGAACTGGGCACCTCTGTCTATGATTCTCCTGTGGAACATCCTGCTGGCCACCGCCCAGCTTACCCTCTCAGCGGTCAAGCACCACCGGCCGGCCATCAGCATTTCCAGCAGCAACAACCACAGGGGCAGGAATACTCGGCCCCGGGCTACTCGGGTGAAGAGGCTCAGCAACCCCTTGCCTCTCAATACCCACCACAGCAAGCATCGCAACAAGCTCCATACCCCAACTCCCCGGCCGCTCATCAAGCCCCCTCTCACCAACCTCCTCCAGTCCCTGGGTCTGCACAGCCGTCCTCACAATACACTGCCTTTAACCCCACTCCTTCGGCTACACCAGGTGGTGCAGAATACCAGGCATATCAGCCTGCGCAGGGAGGTGTTTCCCCCTCAAACCCTGCGACATTCTACCGATAATTCCCTGGGTTTTGTATTCGATCGACTGGTTGCGAATATTAAACTAAGTGGCATTATTCTTATTTGTACTGGATTCAAACTGTTGCCTCATTTCTTGCTAGGCCTTCTGTGTCTACCGTGTATTTAGCCAATCATTCACCGCTAGTTCAAGTTGTAGTATCATGATGTTGTCAGTACATACCTATGTAGCTGGGTACCTACTTATGCCTATTATACGTCGGGCCATTCCAATATAAGCAATTTTCATGAAGGTTTGCTTGCAGGTTTACGATCTTGCCACGTTCTTCCAACTTCCAATTTTGGAGTCCATGGAGTGCCGAAGTCAAATACATAGCTAATATATACATGCCAGATCACGCGTGCAAGCTTCTACATATGATGTTTAATTTGCACGATACCCGATTTTGATTACATGTCTTCAGATACAATGACACCCAAGTCCCGAATGTTTTCAGATTGTGCTGAGCTTCCAGTCAGAACCTTTTTCTAACGTACCTCTGATATACTTCCAATACGTTATCAGGCAAAATCGCCACGTGACAAAATGGACACCTCAGTCCCGCAACAATCTCCAGGCGGACGACAACAAGAACCTCGGACTTGAACAGCCTGACTTTCGACTTGCATTGGCATAGTCCAGAGCAGCATTATATATTATCATCTCAGGTCCGAACATCTGACTATAAACCCTATATACAAAGATCGGGCGAGTCCACCCCTTGGCTGCCCAATAGCTTCCACCTTCCCCGCAGTCGCGTCCTTGCCTCGCAGACGATGCCCGGCCCTGGCGTATTCCCACGAGGGTGAAGGGCACACTTCCTCAACCTATTGGACTCGACAGCAAATACCCCACAGGGAACGCCAATTTGATAAACGCTGTCCGGGGTGCCTGCCGGGGTTAGACCGCCATCATGGAAGCTGATTGGGATGAGCTGTCGCGTATCCCGATGCCACCACCCAGTCCGCACGGGATGCCCACGAATGCGACGGCGGTGGCATTTGATGATGTTATGGAACTTCTGTGGGCGGGCAATGAATATGTGAGTTGGAATTATAGTGCTGCTACTTCAATTATGAAAGACGAGGGATTAATTAATGCGCCCATTTTCTTTCTTGTGCTAGGGTCGAATCACTTCTTTTTACGGACCCGAGCTCCAACGATATACTTCTGTGCGAGCGCACCCGGTCGCAGAGGGCATGGTTCGACAGATCGCCTTTCATGAACGCGGTGTGATCTCGTTATCTTCGAAAAGTGTGCATATGATTACTCGTCGTGGGTTGACACAGTGGCATATTGCCGATGAGGAGATGCTAGATCTCCGATGCATGAGTTTCACAGCACAGACAAATCGAATCTTGGTGGCGGGTTGTCAGCGCGTGATGTTCACGATCGACATTGACAAGGGCACGATTGTCGACAAGTTGCCTACCGAGCACAATTATACCCTCATGAAGAAAAGCCGATATCTCTGTGCGGCTACGGATAATGGCTCTGTCAATGCACTCAGTCTCTTGGATTTCAGCGTCGTCAAGTCTTGGAAGGCCCATGGCACTGCTGTGAATGATATGGATGCGCGAAACGACTTGCTGGTTACCTGTGGTTTCTCGGTACGCCAGCTTGGATCTTCAATTGTGGATCCGCTCGCCAATGTATATGACTTGAAGACATTGACGCCTTTGCCTCCGATTCCGTTCCATGCTGGTGCGGCATATGTACGGATGCATCCGAAACTACACACGACAAGTTTTGTGGCGTCACAGACTGGGCAGCTCCAAGTTGTAGATCTGATGAATCCCAACTCGGTCAATTTAAGACAAGCAAATGTTACATTGATGCTGGGACTCGAGATTTCACCCTCTGGAGAGGCTTTGGCCATCAACGACGCGGAATGCTCTATTCATCTTTGGGGCTCACCAACCAAGATCCACTTCAATGAAATGAGCAAAGAAACAGAGATGCCAGACGTGCCGACCCGGCCACCACCCATTGATTGGTCGCCTGAAACTCCGTTGAACATGATCGGGATGCCATACTACCACGATCGCCTCTTCTCGGCGTGGCCCAGCCACCTTTTGTTTGAGATTGGGAGCCCGCCAGCACAACTCGACCAATCCTTGCTTCCATATTTACGTCCTGCGGAGGTTGGTCATGGCGCTCCGAATCCCCGAAAGACACGTCGATACCAGATTGAGAACACTCGCGCTTTGGCTACTGCAGAGCCAGCCCTCATTGCGCCTAAGTTCCTGAGTGAAAAAGCCCGGGATCACGGAAAATCAAAATCTGATGGTTCAATCGCTGATGCGGCCGAGGCACTGGCCGGGGCAAAGATCAATGGCGAAAGTGATGACGATCCCCTGCTCAAATACAGTAATGTCGAGATCAAGTATAGTCGCTTTGGTGTCGACGATTTCGACTTTCAGTAAGAAAAGCCTATCTATTACCCTGGACAATTGTGGTATTTACTCACATCAAAAACAGATTTTACAACAAGACCAAATTCTCTGGCCTTGAAACACATATCGCAAACTCCTTCACCAACTCCCTCCTTCAGCTTTTCAAGTTTATTCCTTTATTCCGAAACCTTGCTCTCCACCACGCAGCTGGCTCTTGCATATCTGAATACTGCTTGCTATGTGAATTAGGCTACCTGTTTGACATGTTGGAAAAAGCGAATGGCCAGAATTGCCAAGCGACCAATTTACTGAAACTTTTCAGCAGCTTCCGGGAAGCTTCTAACATGGGGTTGTTGGAGGAAAACCTTACAAACAAGTCCCTCTCTACAGCGATTCAAGCAGTGAATCGCTTCTTCCTGACTCAGATTTCATGCGACTTCCGCACTGTCCAGCCCAATTCTGAAGAGCTGGACCAGCGCCTCTCGACATTTGCTTCTGAGTCAATACGGTGCATGTTTTGTCAGAATGAGACAGTTCGCCCTGGAAATTCTCTAGCAAACGAACTTCTCTACCCAAATATGGACATAAAACAGGCGCGGCGCAATCCTGCTTTCCGCTTCTCCAATATTTTGCGTGCCAGCATTGAACGTGAAACGCAGAATCGCGGATGGTGCAATTACTGCCGACGCTACCAGCAGGTCATGATTCGGAAGACTGTACACCGGATGCCTCTTGTGTTGCTGCTGAATGCAGCAGTATCGACAAATCCCATATGTCGCCGGCTATGGGCTATTCCTGGATGGTTGCCCGATGCAGTAGGTGTCATCATCGACAATGGTCAAGTCATGTGCTTTGAGGGCGAGGATCTTCACGTACGAATGCAGAATAATACTCCTGGCTTGGCGGTGTATGATCTTGTCGGCCTTGTCGCAGAGATTGACATTGCAGAACATCAGAAGCCGCATTTGGTGTCTTTTGTCAATGTCTCAGTCTCGGAGCAAGAACCCCAAGAGCAAGGCAAATGGCATTTATTCAATGACTTCTTGGTTGCCGAGGTTGACCGTGATGAGGCATTGGGCTTTACGCAGAGCTGGAAGCAACCTTGTGTGCTGGCTTTTCAGGCACGGGATGCCCGTCATGTTGTTGATGACTCGTGGAAGAATGCCCTCGATACCACTTTACTCTTCCGCGGAATGTCATCCAGTGGCGGCCGTCAAGTTGAGTCTTTCCAAGCCCTTAGCGAGGAAGAAAAGCCAAAGCCTGGTACGCCTGTAGCGCTCGACACCGAGTTTGTCGACCTCGAGAAAGCTGAGATAGACGTCAAGGCCGATGGGTCGCAAGAGATTGTTCGGCCCAACAAGAGTGGTCTTGCTCGAGTCTCTGTTTTGCGCGCTTCCGGCATCCAAGAGGGTGTGCCGTTCATAGATGACTACATCACAATTCGCGAGCCGATTGTCGACTATGTCACGCAGTACTCTGGCATCAAACCTGGTGACCTAGATCCACGAACAAGCGAGCATAATCTCGTACCTCTCAAGACCGCCTACAAAAAGCTTTGGCTTCTGCTCAATCTAGGATGTATTTTCGTGGGACATGGCCTGGCCTCTGATTTCCGCAAAATCAACATTCAAGTGCCGAAGTCGCAGACCGTTGACACCCAGTACCTCTTCTTCCACCCCGGCAAGAACCGCCGCCTGAGTCTTCGTTATCTTGCCTGGGCCGTGTTTAAGGAGTATATCCAAGAAGAACCGAATCCCGAAACCATCCAGGGCCATGACTCCATTGAAGATGCACGCATGGCCATGCGTCTATGGAAAAAGTTCCAGGAATACGAGGATGCAGGCGTCGCCAACCAGATGTTGGAAGAAATCTTCCGTGAAGGATCCAAACTTGGGTTCCGCCCTCCTCCCAAGAACCCCACAGCAGCAGTTCTCTCTCGCCCTGGTACCGCAGTCACTATGCAGAATGATAGTGGCCGTAATACACCCTCTACCCCCGATGCTGGTACTACTGCTATACCTGCTGCAACCACCGCCGGAGCCGGCAGTACTACTGCCAATGCGGCACCTACTAGTGCTCCTAGCACCCCTCGCCAGGCCTTCCGGCGATCAATCGCCCTCACCCCAAGCAATGGCAGCTTCTCTGGACCCGGCGCTGGGGACTTCTTTGGTGGAAGCCCATTGCGATAGAATTGTCTTTTTTTGTTTGACTTGGCAATTCATTTAGCCAACTCCCTGAACCTTGACAACCCCCATGGCTAGTAGGACAGTGTAGAAGTAGGAGCCTACTTAAACCCATGAATATCGAAATACATATGATCTCAATTTTATCATTCTCTCGTGAGAAATCTCTGTAGCTAGTTCTCGAACCCCCAATTAATGGTAAATCGAACGTATGAGAATCTAGGGTTTCATTGACTCAACCCAAGCAACTGTGGGGAATGACGTGGTCCGCATCGCTCCCGCCCAAACAAGACCCTTCTCCCTCCCAACTTATTTCTTGCACCTCCCGTTCTTTGCAACAGAGAGTTGTTTCTCCGAATTATTCGACCTAGCTAGCTACGAGCTGCTATCCATTCATTCATTTACTGAATTGTCATATCTTGTCACATACTGAGCGACTACCCCACCCCACCCCTCCCCACCCGCTCACAGCCTTCCGAACTTGATCTCAGATCCTTCACCAAGCCCCAATGTCGAGACACCGTGTAAAGAACATCGGATATGATGACGAAGACTACTCTGATGACGGGTACGACTCGCCTGACCCTGAAGAACAGGAAAACCTGCAGCGGTGCACCCAGGATGTCCTTTCGCAGCTCCGCGCGGGGCAACCGTCGGTGACCGCTTCGAAGGAAGAAGTCCAGGAGGCGCTGTGGCATTACTATAATGATGTAGAAAAGTCGGTCAGCTACCTACGAGGTATGTCATCCCATCTTCTTCTACTGATCATTAACTCCTGAAGCTTTGTGCCACAAGCCTGTTCGATGGAGCTTGGATTTCGGAGACATCGTTTGCTAATTTTGGTTTATTGTAGGCAAGAAGGAGAAAGAATTAAAGAAGCAGCAGACGCCTGCCATCTCACAGAAGAATAAGGCTCAAGGTAAGCTTTGCGATTGTTTGAATGTTTCACTTCCTCGAAGTATTATGGCTGGGCTCGACATATGGATGGTGAACTGGTCTTAAAAGGTGTGTTTTGAAAGGTTCTCAGTGGCCCTCCCCAAATCTTCTTCAAACGCTCAAGACTTTGCGACTAACGTCACACCATTCGAAGTCTGGGCAAATATTCTAACTGGTATTCCAGTGCCGATGTACCCTGCGCCCATTTCTCCTCCAATAGCGCACTTCTCGGCCGCCGATTTCTTTCGTGACTCCCCTTGGCTTAATATTCCATCTCACCGGAGGGCCGATATTCTGGTAGAGCCTTTATATCCTCGAATGGGGTTGTTGGGTGGTGCACCTGAAGCTGGCGGCAAGGTTTCCAAGCTGGCTGCATTGGCTGCAGCGCGCAAACAGAAGGAAGGGAACAAGGCTTCTTCTCCACCGGAAGCCTCGCAGGCTGAGCAATCTGAAAAGCCATCAACTGAGCAAAAGGTCTCTCTGCGCGACAGACTTGCTGCAAGCAAGTCCGCGAAGCCAGCTGAAGGTCTGGGTGGTTTGCGCCGACTGGCAAAGCCTATACCTGCAACACTTCCAGCCCAGAAACCGGTCTCACCTGAACCGGTGAAAGCTGCGCCAGATGCTACATCTGATGCTACATCTGAACCCGTGGAGCAAACCGAAGAAGCGATCAACGTAAAGATAGAGCCTAAACTGCCAGCAGCTGAGATCCGCGCTTCGCCCTCAATGTTTGCTAGTGCCATCGTTGGCAATCAGTCAGGACCGACTAGGGCCGAGCCTAGCCATATACCTTCGCAGAACGTTGATTTGCTCCAAATATATGGGCAGGACCATACTGAACCTTTTGACTTTGCAGGTCCTAGCCCAGACGATGTGGTGCTCAATGCTCAAAATACAGCTAAAGGTTTGGCGATTCGCAGAAAGGTTTGAAATCCAATCGCCTAATGACGTGTAGGATTCAAATCCAAAACCCCTGCTTCCAAGACAGGTGGTGACAAGAAGGGCCAAGCTGATCTTGCCGGCGGCATAAATAACCTCTCAGTTGAGGAGAAAGTGACCGTCAAAAGCAAGAACTTGGATGTCCTCGCGGAATACAACAAGTCAACACGGAAGAAGTCTGCCAACTTTGTGGTGATAGGTATGGCATCTTTAAGACTTGCCACCTATAAGATAATCATTGACCGGAATATAGGACATGTCGATGCTGGAAAGAGTACATTGATGGGAAGATTGTTGGCGGACCAGGGGGCGATAGATCAGCGAACATTAGACAAATATCGCAAGGAGGCGGAGAAGATCGGGAAGGGCTCTTTTGCCCTGGCGTGGGTGTTAGATCAGGGATCAGAGGAGCGTGCAAGAGGTGTTACAATCGATATTGCGACCAATCAGTTTGAGACCGACACCACGGCCTTTACCATCGTCGATGCCCCGGGGCATCGGGATTTTGTACCCAACATGATTGCTGGAGCTAGCCAAGCAGACTTTGCGGTCCTGGTTATTGATTCCAGCGTGGGCAAATTTGAATCCGGTCTCAAAGGCCAGACCAAAGAGCATGCTTTGCTAGTGCGCAGCATGGGTGTCCAGAAAATTGTGGTGGCCGTCAACAAGATGGATACTGTTCAGTGGGACAAGAGCCGGTTTGAGGAGATTCAGCAGCAAATCTCATCATTCTTGACAACCGCCGGGTTTCAAGAAAAGAATATTTCTTTCGTCCCGTGCTCGGGTGTGCTGGGAGACAACATCAGCCGACGCAGTGAGGATCCTCACGCATCGTGGTATGCTGGCCAGACATTGATTGAAGAACTGGAGACCTCGGAACCTTCCACCCACGCGCTTGATAAGCCACTACGCATGACGATTGGTGACGTTTTCCGTGGCGGTGTGCAGAATCCGATCTCTATCTCTGGTCGTCTGGACGCCGGCAGCTTACAAGTTGGCGACCAGATCCTGACCATGCCCAGTGGTGAGACAGCCTTGATCCGCAGCTTGGAGGTAGATGGTCAGACTAGTGACTGGGCTGTGGCCGGTCAGAATGTTGTATTGAATCTGGCAAATGTCGACCCAGCACACCTGCGCTCTGGCGATGTGGTGTGCCGTTCGTCCTCGCCAATCCCCACCATAACCAGCTTCACAACCAAGGTTCTAGCCTTTGAACATCTGATGCCCATGCTCGTGGATGTACACCGAGGCCGTCTTCATGTCCCTGGCCGGATCAGCAAACTGGTTGCGACCCTGGATAAAGCTTCAGGTGCACCTATCAAAAAGCGGCCAAAGATTGTGGCACCAGGCACAGTGGCGCGAGTGATTGTGGAGATGGACACTGCAGTGCCCCTTGAGGCCCCGACTAGGATTGTTTTGCGAACTGGCGGATCGACTGTGGCGGCCGGGTTGTTGGAATAGACCTCTTAAGGCTCGAAATAGAGTTACATGCATGAGCCAAATATCAAAACAGCAAACAACCTCGAAACTATGTACTACCATTTTATTTTGATAATGATGTGTATGATCCCGTATAGTTACGTACAGGTATAAGTCCATATGAGTAATCTACAGACCGTTGCTGAGTAGGGAGTTCTGCACAGTCCCTGCGGCTCTGTCGATCCCTGACCTGGGGCCCATGCTTCCCCAATCTTGAGGATTCGTGGACAGTGGACTCTGAGTCGTACAGGCCACTTACATTCCATCGTAGGGTGTGTATACGTGGTCAAATTGTGGTTCCGCCAACTGTAGCTTCCCGTGCACTCTCGTTATGGGGCTTTCTAGTAATTTCGATTATTTGTTTTACTGGTCGCGGGATCCACCGAAGAACCGCTTTCCACCAATCAGCACGCGAGGAGTGACCTGAACAGCGTCCACTGAAAAGGACAGCATGGCGCTATTCGAACCCTTAATACAAGTAACCCTCTTTGCTCCATTTTCCACTTTCCTTTCTTCATTCCTTTCCCTTCGACCACCCACCCACCCATACCTTTAGCCCACTTCGAGGGTCATTGAGTACAACACTTGTGTTGAACTCTGCGCTGTTACACCAAGCGCGCGTGAAGCTTCGGCCTCGGTAGCTTTTCTCTGGAAGAAACTTGCTTTCGTATCCTTACACATATAATCACAATGGCTGGACTCACAAACGCCAATGGCGCGTCCAAGCCTTTCGCTTGGACCACCGTCTTCTACCTTCTTATGGTCCTGCTCGCGCCTATGGCGCTCTTCAGCGGCAGCGCCCAGGCTCAGGATAACACTGTCGAGGAATACGGCACTGTTATTGGTATCGATTTGGGAACTACTTACTCGTACGTGACCCCATTGACTGCTGTCTGAAACGGCCTTCCTTGGTTTTCTTTACGTCAAAATGACACGTGGCTAACCGTTCCTGCAGTTGTGTTGGTTTGATGCAAAATGGAAAGGTCGAGATTCTCACCAACGACCAAGGAAACCGTATTACTCCCTCCTACGTGGCTTTCACAGATGACGAGCGTCTTGTCGGTGACGCCGCTAAGAACCAATATGCCGCCAACCCTACTCGCACCATCTTCGACGTCAAGTGAGTGGCAAAAATATACCGTGGCTGCAAAGGAATATGTTTTGCTAACAAATAGAACAGGCGTTTGATTGGTCGCAAGTTTGATGACAAGGTCACCCAGGATGACGCCAAGAACTTCCCCTTCAAGGTCGTCAACAAGGGCGGTAAGCCTAATGTCAAGGTTGAGGTCAACCAGGTCGCCAAGGTCTTCACCCCCGAGGAGGTCTCCGCCATGATTCTCGGAAAGATGAAGGAGATCGCTGAGAGCTACCTGGGTAAGACTGTTACCCACGCCGTTGTTACCGTTCCCGCCTACTTCAACGACGCCCAGCGTCAGGCCACCAAGGATGCCGGTACCATTGCCGGTCTTAACGTTCTCCGTGTCGTCAACGAGCCCACCGCCGCCGCTATCGCCTACGGCCTGGACAAGACTGATGACGAGCGCCAGGTTATTGTGTACGATCTTGGTGGTGGTACCTTCGATGTCTCCCTTCTGTCTATCGACCGTGGTGTTTTCGAGGTCTTGGCTACCGCTGGTGACACCCACCTGGGTGGTGAGGACTTCGACCACCGTGTTATGGACCACTTCGTCAAGCTCTACAACAAGAAGAACAACGTCGATGTCACCAAGGACCTGAAGGCTATGGGTAAGCTGAAGCGTGAGGTTGAGAAGGCCAAGCGTACTCTTTCCAGCCAGATGTCCACTCGCATTGAGATCGAGGCTTTCCACAACGGCGAGGACTTCTCCGAGACTCTCACCCGCGCCAAGTTCGAGGAGTTGAACATGGATCTGTTCAAGAAGACCCTTAAGCCCGTTGAGCAGGTGCTCAAGGATGCCAAGGTCAAGAAGTCTGAGGTTGACGACATCGTTCTTGTCGGTGGTTCCACTCGTATCCCCAAGGTCCAGGCTCTTCTTGAGGAGTACTTCGGTGGCAAGAAGGCCAGCAAGGGTATCAACCCCGATGAGGCTGTCGCTTTCGGTGCCGCCGTCCAGGGTGGTGTTCTGTCCGGTGACAAGGCCACTGAGGACATCGTTCTCATGGATGTTAACCCTCTTACCCTCGGTATTGAGACCACTGGTGGTGTGATGACCAAGCTCATTCCCCGTAACACTGTTATCCCTACCCGCAAGTCCCAGATCTTCTCCACTGCGGCCGACAACCAGCCCACCGTCTTGATCCAGGTCTTCGAGGGTGAGCGCTCCATGACCAAGGACAACAACATGCTCGGCAAGTTCGAGCTCACCAACATCCCCCCCGCTCCTCGTGGTGTTCCTCAGATCGAGGTCGCCTTCGACCTGGATGCCAACGGAATCCTCAAGGTCAGCGCCAGCGACAAGGGCACTGGCAAGGCTGAGTCCATCACCATCACCAACGACAAGGGCCGTCTCTCCCAGGAGGAGATTGAGCGCATGGTTGCTGAGGCCGAGGAGTTCGCTGAGGAGGACAAGGCCATGAAGGCCAAGATTGAGGCCCGTAACGGTCTTGAGAACTACGCTTTCAGCCTGAAGAACCAGGCCAACGATGAGGAGGGTCTTGGTGGTCAGATCGATGAGGATGACAAGCAGACCATCCTGGACGCTGTCAAGGAGGCCATTGACTGGCTCGAGGACAACGCTGCCACCGCCACCGCCGAGGACTTCGAGGAGCAGAAGGAGCAGCTCTCTAGTGTCGCTTACCCGATCACCAGCAAGCTGTACGGCTCTGCTTCTCCCCCCGAGGACGATGAGCCCTTGGACCATGACGAACTGTAAAATTACCTTGTTTTTTGAGGCATTACCCATGGAGTTTATTATCTGTTTATCTTTTTTATGTTTCTACTCCTGAATCTGCGCGAGGTTGGTATCCTTCGCTGCATGAGTCACTAGCACTAGACTCTTCCAAATACCACGATACCTTCTGCATCTACTTCAATTCTCCTAGACCATCTTTCGCATAACTCGTAGATTCTATACACTAGTCCTTCGTATGTAATTACAAAACCTAATCTAATTTCCCCGCGCAACAAGCTCATTAATAGTCTCCGCCACAACCTGATGATCATCCTCCTGCTTCAGTCCACTGACCACCACAACGGCAACAATTCCATCAACCCCATGCACACGAATAGGATATCCACCACCATGAATGGCATACTCATCCGCAACAGCACCCCCGTTGCCACTGGCAAGCGCGAATTTCCTCACAAACGCACTCTCAATGTTATCGGCGCTCGTAGCAAATCCAAGCCCCGACGCAATCTTCTGCCGCATCGTCCAGCTCGACACACCCCACCGCAACACGGTGTTCCGCTTCCGCCGCACCCAAATCTCGTTATCGGGAAGCGTGCCGGATTCCGTGACGGATTGGAAGAGAGTGTGCGGGGATCCACCGCCGCTTGTAGCAGTGGCCATTGAGATGGAGATCATGGCGGGCCTGCGTTGGTTATCGGGGAGGGACAAGATGCGAGTGCGGAGGGCATTGCCTAGTGTCCAGGCTGTCTCGGCAGTGAAAGAGCGGAAGGTCTGCTCGGGGCTTGATTCTAGGGTAATAAGGGCTTGGGCCTATGTTGGCTGATTAGCTTGAATAGATTCCTTGGTATGATTGGATTGACTTACGTCCGTGCTGGGTGCTGAGAGGGCCATGGTGGAGTTTTTAGTAGCAAGACGTGAAGATTGGTGTGAGTATGATTCCAAGTTGCAGATTGGAAGGTGGGGGATGTTGGTCCGGGGACGTGCGGAGGAGCAGGTGGGATGTCGTAGCTAGTGGACCCTTCGGAGATTCGATTCCGTACTGTATGACTGCGAAGAGGTAATGTGAGAATGTGGAAAATTGAAAAGATGGGAACTCAATTGGCCTTTATAGGATCCCCTGGTCGTATTTATAGTCGTTCCAAGGTTTGGATCTTGGAAAATATGTTCTTGTGGTTCTATAATGCCGGAATCCACATATTCGAAGCAACGGAAGGTCCAGTCGAGGATCCGCGGAATTACCTCATCTGTCACCGATGATAGCCCCGCTTTAACTGCGCAAGCAAAGCTCCATACCTCAATAGCAAATTATCACCCCATGCCTCCTAAAAGAGCTTGCGATATTTGCATCACCCGGAAAGTCAAATGCAGTGGCTCTTGGCCCTGTGATACCTGTCGTGATGCCGTCAAGCGCGTTTCCTGTACTTATTTGACGCCGCCTCGGAAGAGAGGCCCTAAAGTTCGACGAGTGGCTAAGCAGACCCACGATTTGGAAGCGCAGGTAGTGAATCTCGATATAACAGGCGACCAACAGGAATTTTCGGAGAGCTATACAGCAGCTTACCATGAAGAACTGCCGGGTTTGCCGTTGACTGATCCTGGTGGTCCGAGGTGTATATCAAAGGCGGTGCTGGCTCCCATAGTTCGTCTTTACCAGCAGTATTCTTATAGTGTGTGGCCGGTCGTCAATGCAAATGCCCTACTGCAGAGATTGGAAAATGTTGATCCGGAGAACACATCGCATGAGGCTGAGAACATCGCTTGTCTTGCGACGGCGCTCTGTGCGGCGACAATGGCTCAATTACATCTTGCGCCGGTAGTAGATGGTGTCTTCACGACTGATAGCACCACCATGGCACAAGCCTGCTTGCGTATAAGGGGGCTATGCAACAAACACAGGGAGCACCTTGATATTAGCAGTCTGCTGGTGTCGTTCTTTTTGCATGTTTATCATGCCAAGGTAAATCAGCGGACCTCAGCGATGATGTACATTCAGGAGGCTATTTCTGGTGCTCGCATATTACGATTGGATGAACCAATACAGTTAGATGATCTTGAGTCAGAGGTTGATGACCTGATTGCGAACAAGAGTTTGGTGTTTCCGTTGCTCTGGGTTTCAGAGAGGTAAGCAATCTCACCTCAACTTGTAGTTCATTTGCTGATGCATCTGAAAGAGGTTATGCAATGCACCTGGGGTTGTCACCATCATATGTGGACCCGCCTTCATTGGCAAGTCTCGAGAATGTCCCTGGAATCGACATCCATGTGCAAGGTCTTTTGGATCTCGTCAAACTATTTGTGGCGTTCAATCAGATATCCGTCCGTCGTAAATCTCAGGATGAAATGAATCCACTCACATACTTGACCGATACCGAGACAAAGTTGTCCAAGCTGTTTCTAAAGCTCGCGGATCAAGTTTCGACAAGGACAGCAGATTGTCACATCACCCGACAGTGGATGAGAACAATCCTTTGGCAAGAAGCACTATCACTGGGGCTGCTGTCCTCATCATCCAGCACGGCTGTTATGACTTTTTCTTTTCCTGCGCAAGTCAGTCGTGATCTGCTTCACTCGTTAAGATGCTTCTCGGAGACCGATCTACTGCCACTGGGGCGAGACCAAGTAAGTAGCAACAGAGGACTGAGTATAATGGGGAAAGTTAATCGAAATGATAGTTATTGAAATGCTTTGAGGTTGCGAATTCTTTAGCAGACACCGTTCTTCTTACTTCTGCTGGAACGCATCCAGGATTTGGACTGGGCCCACAGGACTTTTTGCATGCCCTTTACCAGAAACTGCTGCCGTTTCTAGAGCAGGACACCGTTCTCAAGTCGATCCTCCGTGGTAAAACGGCCGAGGTTCTTGTCATGGCACCTGCCCGGCTACTGACAAGGCAAGTTGATGAACATCAACAGGATCACGAGTACTGCAGCTGCAATCAAATAAATGTTTGTCATTGCATTATAACTACACCTGGCTATATGTTTTCGAAATTCACTCTGTGAGCTGAAGCACAATGCGACCGGCAATTTCTCCCTTCTCCATCTCCTCATAGATCTGCGGCAGATCCTTGAACGGGCGGACCTTGACAACAGGCTTCACCACGCCACGTCGAACCAAGTCAACTGCTTCCATGCATTCCTTCAAAGATCCAACCAGGTTACCCGTAATCCTTAGTCCCTTGATCACAATCGTGCAGATTGGTGTCTCGAGATACGGCCGCCCAGGCGGGATTCCCACACAGCTTAGAGTGCCTCCGACTCGGAGCATCTCACAAGCATGGGCAAACGCCTTGGCATTGCCCGCGGTCACAACAACTGCATGTGCTCCCAGGCCAGTAATTTCCTGTACCCTTCCAATAGGGTCTTCCGTAGCGAAGTCGATGAACTCCTGAGCTCCAATACCACGAACGAAATCTGCTTTGCCGGGGCCTGTATCCACGCCAATGACCAGAGCACCCTGCGCTCTGGCATATTGCACTGGAAAGAAACCATTCATTAATACAATAAACATAGCCTCTTCATGAAGAAACACCTACCAGCCAAGTGTCCAAGGCCTCCACCTGCTCCAACCACCACAAGCCAATTTCCAGGCCGAACATTTGCGTTCAACACCGCCTGTCTAGTCGTCAGCCATGACTCCTGAAGTCAAAATACCCTTCATTTTTCATACCTTATATGCCGTCAAACCTGCACAAAGCACTGGTCCCATAACCTTAGGATCAACATCATCCGGCAAGACAGTCAAATAGTCCGCATCCAACGCAATATACTGCTGGAAGCTACCATCCTCATGATGAAGATGGTTCGTCGCATTGGTACAGTACTGCTCCGTGCCCGCAAGGCAGAATTCACAGCGGCGACAGATCCGACTTGCAAAGCGGATTCCAACTAGCCCACCCAATTTGATTCCCGTACTGTGTGTGATGTCCGGGCCCAGGGCCACAACTTGTCCTATTCCCTCGTGACCGCCAACGTGAGGTAGTTTAATCTTCGTGATTGGGTTTCCGTCTGCACCGGCTGCGGTGCCGGACTTGGTGTGGAGGTCTTTACGGTGATAGAAATCAAGAAGTGAGTCGGAGATTCTCAGACATCCGAAATGGATCGAATTGGGGACATTTTGAAGGCCATACTCACCACTTTGACAGACGCCAGTGTATAGCACTTTGGCGAGGACTTCATTTCGGCCAGGGCAAGGGACTGGGTAGTCGGTCTTGAATTCAACTTCTCCGCCAAGACTGCGCACAAGTGCAACTGTCTGGGTTTGGGGGATATTGATGGAGCCCATGTTTGCTGTTAGGATGCAAAATGAATGGTAAACAGATTGTCTAAGGTTTGTTTGAGAAGGGTGCTGTTTCGATATGAGAGGACAAGACTCTATTTATGTTTTTCATCTTTCATGACAGCATATGTATATTTACTACTCCAGTCGTATGACCCCTCAATAGATCAGCCTGGCCCAAATTTAACACGATGGAAACAAAAGATCATCGAAAACCGAATATACAGGGGTACTGAGATGTTCACAAGATCAATCGGTGGGGTTGCGCATCTGGCAATGGCCCATGCACCTATGCTATGTGGTCCACGGGCAAGTACAAATCTAGACTCGGAGTAATACAGTATTTCTCCATGGTACCAAGCATTGAGAGCTTGTGGGTTATATTTGGATACGGGCTGTGAATGTGAGTACGTTCTGTTGAAGTGAGTCTATTTCTCCGAGTCAATTCTCCGAAGAGGGGAAGCCTTGTTTGGGTGATGCGGAGATGATCTATGGAAGCTTTTTTGGAGTGGACCTGAATATTATTGCACCCTGTTATCTTGATGATCATGGTTGATGGACGAATGAGAAATAATACATATGCAAAGAAACCGGTCTATTGAAGGCTACATAGGTTTGATACATCCACTCATATACTTTATCAAAAAGCGCTCAGAACCAGTTCGTCTGGTTCCCGTTTTGGCTCAAGAGCAAGCCGCTGGACTCAGTATCCAGATTCTCAATCACCTGAATGCCCTTCCTAACACTTTCCTCAGGCTGGATTTGCCCCTTGAGTCCTGGCTGCACTGCCTGGAATTGCGACAGCATAAGTTCATTCGCTTGAACTACCGCGGCGGGTTTCTCCCCTGCGAGGATGTCAGTATGTGTTCTTCTATACCTACAGCGAGCATTATGGCTACTTACCGCTATCCCATGTATCAACCCATCCAGGGCTCAAAGCAAGCACCTTAATTCCTTTAGGTGCAAGCTCCGCGGCGTACTTGGCAACTTGAACATTCATTCCGGCCTTTGAGACGGCGTACGCCACAGCGTAGCTAACACCAGATTTGCTGATGAGATTAGTGTCCGCCATGGCGCTGGAGATATGCACAATCTTCTTTTGGATGCCCTTCTCAATCAAGGGAAGGAAGGCATTGGTCGCCCACATAGCACCATAAACCCCTGTACTAAGCGACGGCTCGAAGATCTTTTGAGTGGCTTCACGATCAAAGGGAATCTGCGACGGGGTAAGGCCCATGGAGGCTGTATCAACGGCGTTTGAGTTGTGGATAAACACATCTAGCTTCCCACCCGTAATGGCAGCTGCGGCCTGGGCTGCATCGAGGATAGACTTTGGGTCTGTCACATCTCCCTTGATAGCATGCACATTGGGGTGATTGGTGGCAAGCTCGGAAATGCCATGCGATTCCGGATTTCGCACAATAGCTAGGACCGTGTTGTCTTTGTTGGCGGCGAGTTGGCGCACATATTCGAGGCCAATCCCCTTGGAGGCTCCCGTGATCGCGTATGAGACCATTTTCTTATTGGTTTGATTCAGTGTAAGCTGTAAGCTAGTGATGGATGAGTTGATATGCTGCTGATGCTATTGTGATATTATTGTGTGATTCACTCTGGTTATATACTTCGGCGGATCTATGGATTACAAACCCCCGCACCGACCGGACGATCCGGTCCTCCCGTCTCCCGTTCCAATTGCTTAGCAATCGGATCATCCACCTCGACCGCTCCGTTCCCAGCAGGCGACATCATGGACGCGCCAGTCCCTGTCAAGAGAAGGGCCTGTGTGGCCTGCACAGTTGCCAAGGCAAAATGTACACCGCAGACCACTAATTTGTGTCAGCGATGTGGTCGTTTGGGCAAGTCATGCACATACCTCGACCTTCCGCAGACGAAACGGAAGCACAAGGTTGCACCAAGGTGATTCGTCCCAACGCAGATGGTGCTAGAGATATTAATAAAAGTACAGGCGTGTGGAGGCGTTAGAACAGAGGGTCGACCAGCTCATGTCACAGCTGGCTGCCTTGACCCAGCAGAGCATGAAAACCCCGTCAGATCATCTCAACCCGCCCACCAACGACTCGGCCTCTACTCATGATCCAGAGTTGGATTCCGTAGACACCGATGCTCTGATAGATGCTGCTCAAGATCCTTCACACGGCCCCGACCCGCCTACTACGTCTGCAATGGAGGGCCAGCCGTCTATCGTAGATCGCGGTCTTTTGAGCGAAGCCGAGGGTGAACGATTGGTTACGAGTTTCAAGTGTGACTTTGTAAACAAATTTCCCTTTGTATTGCTTCAACCCGGCGAGACAGCCGATAGTCTGAGGCGTACACAGCCTTTCCTCTTTTTATGTGTCGTGGCTGCCACGATGGGCAGTGTGGTCCCCCTTCGCAGGATCGTCGCGGATGAGATCATGAAGCATGTCACATTAAGAATCGTGGCACGGTCCGAGAGAAACCTCGAATTACTCCGTGGTCTGCTCGTGCACAGCGCATGGTATTCATATCCCGCAGAGAGACATCACCCACGGCTTCTGCTGTTAATTCAGTTTTGTGTTTCTATCTCACATGATCTGGGACTGCATAAAAAGGCTAATCTAACTTCGGATGAGCAGCGGGCACTGCTTGGTACATACTGGCTGTCGTCTAGGTGAGTCTTTCTGCACTGGTAGATGCGGCTCTCGCTAACTGCATCTCAGCCTCTGTGGAACTCTCGGTCGGCCAACTAATATGAAGCGGAATATTCGAATAGATGAGTGCATACGGAGTTTAGCATCGACGGAGCATCTCTCAGATCGGTTGGTTGCAAACTTCATTCACCTGCAGTCTTTCTTGGCAACAGTAGATGATGTTTACGCTTCAATACAAGCAAGCGGTGGCATTGTACAAGTTCAAGTCATGCAGGGCTCTCTGCAACGACAACTGAATGATGTGAAAGCATCCGTGGAGCAAAGTCGATCAAACAGCCTTTTACTGACAGGTATGTCATTGACCCTGATATGTTTGACGGGGTTAACCGATCTCGGCAGAGAGTACAATACGCATTGAACTCAAGTTCATGGAAGTGCGCCTCGAGGAGATATCACTTCGAGAGGAGTTATGGATTATGGAACCTGCCAATGCGGTCCGCATCAATATGCTGATGAACCTGGTCCAACGGAGTAAGGAGCTCATCTACACAATCAGAACCCTATTGATGTCGGGAATTGGGCAAATGACAATAACTACACATGGTCGTCTATGTACTGCAGTGGGCTACATTCCCACTGCAGTATTCATCCTGCTCAATCTCATTACTAGCTCTATTGAGTCAGCTACGGAAGCCCAAGCCCAAGCTGTTGTTGATATGGCAGACTACCCCAATCTTATCACAGAGCTTGCCAACACGTTAGATACAAGGTTTGAGGGCATGTCTGCTGCAGAAAAAGATGCAGACGTTGTGGGTAGCCTCTGCTCTAAAATGAGGCAGCTGGCACGTGCTTACCCCTATCAAGTCAGATTCATCATTGGACATGCGTTATCTCAAGATGTAAGACAGGACGCGTCCATGATGGAAGTTTCCCCCGATAACATTGCCATGACACCACAGGTCTGGCCGTCAATATATGGCGACTTGGATGGCCTGTTTTCTATTGATGAGATACAGTGGGATTCCTTATTAAGCAATTTTACAGGAATTACTAGCTAGCCTAAAGAGTACACTCTTGGATCATTGTAATGCAAGCATAGAGAAGCATCTTCCATTCACTTATTTAATCACAAGTACTGTGAGTATACTCGCCTAGTAATGCATATGGTATTCATCCTATTGTATCACACATACACCATGTGTGGGCTTAGACACCAGATATTATTGACGGACAGGAGCTTTAGTCAACACCCAGTACACCCAAAGGACACTTGTAAGATTTGACGCTAGCGGGTGGTGCGGACGCTCCGACGCGGCCCGGGCTGACCGGGCGGTGGAAGGCATTGCGTCCTACACTGTCTTATTCTAAGAATCAAGATTGCGGCTACTCTCATCGTCCACACAACTTGGAATGACCTCTACTGCTGTTGTCTCCGACTTAAGGTAACTAGGGCTGCACACAAAGAACGACTCAGCTTATATTCAACGAACAAGCCAAGTCGAAAACGAATAACACAGTTGAAGGTAGAGTGTTTGTATTGGGTTGAGGTCTCAATTTTCAAAGGTGAGACTCCTTTATTTACATATCTCTAGCTAGTCCGCACCATAAGCTTTAACCACCGTGTCGCAAAGACACTTGAAGATAATCGGCAACTACCATGAATCTGTCAGATATATTTACGACATGAACTGATTGGTAATTTGGGTGATGCGCTCTTTAGTATAATTACTTCCCAGAAAGGCTGAATCCTGATGGGTAGCTCTTCCTTGACTACCCGAAAGACACCCAAGGTATCGACCACGATGAACGCAAGGGAGAGACATATTGAAATTAACTTTACGCCAAACCGCAGGGGATTGAAGACAAGCTTCCAGATGCCGAAGCCGTATTCACGTTTGATGGTCCAGAAGAGGGATACGGTGGTAAAGATACACCATGAATCTCTGTTATTTGTGAGCCACGAAAGATAAGAACCAACATGAACAAGAAGGCAGAGAGAATTGAGCTGAAAATCGCCTCAAGAGGTCTCGTGTGAGCAAATATAGCGTTCATGTTATTGAAATAGGTAAAAATGGCATAGATTTCAAGGACACATAATGGCCAACATGAATTTGACGGTTATTATATAGATACGGGAGACTCGTCGAGATAGGAATGGTTGGTTTTTAGTCCAGGCGATGACGTTGTGCTGCCCTGCCCAGGCCCGGGATATATTGAGGCCAATTGCCGTGATAGACAAGTACCAGCCATATGTAGGCTCTTGGAGAATATGAAGTGCCATGAGGCGTGGCAAGTATCAATTATCAGGTGTTATCGGTGATCTTTATTTAGTCTGCAGTTGTGAAGTTGCAAGATTTAGAGAAGAGCTTAACATTCACACCACAATTTCTTTTAGAAAGTCGAGTTCAATAAATCTTACCAGATCAAAAGCCATGCCTCCACAGAGTGCGGAGCCATGAGAATATGAGCTATACAATTTCACACCTCTGATCGCAGTATTTGATATAAGGATTTTTTTTATGAGGATTCCCACAGCAAAAGGGCGTGCGAATCCCTAACTTTTGAGATATGGCGAGTAAGCTTTTCCAACAAGAACCATGATGTCGCATTAGTCTTCCTTAGTCTTCTGTCTTCCTCCTTGGTCCCATCTATAATAGAAGTCCGGCTTCCACCACCAGAAAATGAAAAGAGAGACCCCATAAATGCCGCCTATGAGCGATTGAACAGCCAAAGGTCCTGGGCACCAAAAAACCAACATGGAAAAGCCCATGCTCAAAACCCAGTACACAATTCGAAGCCAGTTCTTTCTCTCACTTCGGATACTCATGGAAAGTTGCAATACTGTAAACGCCAAGAAAGGTATGATGCATATGAATACTATCGGCACAAAGAGGGGTACCGTAATACAATAACTGTAGAAACTCCGTTAGCACTTCTGCGCTCTTTGATCATTGAAAGTACAATATCCAACCAGATGACAATAGCAGCTAGCAAAAGGCGCCACCAGGTTCGTCCCCGAGCAAGCCCTTGCAAGAATGCTCGAATAATGCTTCCAATAACAAGTGGCACAAGTATAGTTCCAACCATAAGCGGCATTGCAATCTCGAAAAAATTCCCTAGAGACCATGTTTGGTTGGCTCCGGAATCCTTGATAGATTGAGAGATGGTGAAGCTGTTCGAATTGGTCTCATTGATGACCGTGGCGTTGCGCCAAAACGGTTGAGGGGTTGTGTACTGGTTGAGATTCATGCCCAAAAAGCTCTGACGAATTAGCGGAGAATTTTCAAAGTATTAGAATTAGAACTTACGGTCACAAATGAAAGAGGTAAATAGAGTGCAGCGAGAATTCCTAGGATGCTAGTGCGACGGATTTGGAGCAGGTCCAGATTCTCTCGAAGATCCCGACGTACTTCAGGTATTCTTTGTAAAGACGATTCGACTTCATCGTGTAAGTATTCTAGATCTTTCATCGCCAGTTCAAGATCGCTGATCTGTTTCGCCTCCTCATCAGCACGTGGTCCTTGAATGGAGTTGACTTGATCCAGTAGTCGTTGTAGGTTAAGTCTGTTTGCCCGGCAGCAATCCTTGGCGACAAGGTGGCAGTCTTCCAGATGCCGAAGATATTGCATTTTGCTCCCAGTGGGTCGAAGTCGTCCTTCATAAACCTGGGTGGGTTAATACATGCATGTCATTTGTGCTCGCAATCTGTGATGCCCACCATATAATTAATCTCTTCGCATGCCTGTGCCGTGAAAGCCACTAATTCAGCGGCGACTTCTGAACACACGGCTTTGAAGAGGCGTAGAGTGTATGAAAGCGTAAAGACGTTGTGCTCTAGAGCCTGTGTGGGGAACTTGCCACTTCGCAACTTGGTTAAGGTATGATGAGAGTTCACTACCACAAACGATCGCCGTATCTGCTCGTATTGATTCGATGTCAAAATGACATCCAAGCTGTCTACTTGAGGATGCTTTCCGTACGGCTGAAATACGTAGACTGAAAGGTCAGTCGCGTAGTGTGGAGCATGAATCCATTTGAATTCAAATTTCATTGGCACGAGGGGAGTAATGCCAATGGTTGTCGTAAATAGGTCAGTCAGTGTACGAGAAGATGGTAAATTCGGTCGCCACGACGAGAGTGAAAGCTGCTTTGCATACGAGCTTTCCATAATCTTGACCATTGTTTCATCACTCAGTCCCCACTGACTTTGAAATAATCGTATGATTATCTCACTTAGCGAAGAATAAGCTTTTTGGCGGCGGTCATGGGTAATTAGGAATAACTTGTCAATAAACGAAAATGCACGGCCAAGGTCTGTGGTATCGATGGAGATGACGCAGACTTCGAACGCAGCAGCGTCATTCGTGTCTGCAGCAGAAAGAATTCGCTCGAAACATGCGGACCAGGTATCATTTTTGGCAAAATTAAGTTCATCCGCACCAGTCGCTTTATACATGAGCACACGTTCGGCTGTGCGAAGGTTGGGTCGTCGGGCGATTTTGCGATAGATTTTCTCCAGTGATTCGTGGCCGGAGAGACATTCAAAGACCTTGCTGGGATTCGTGGCCCAAGATGACTTTTTGTTTAGTTATCGCCACCCCGTAGAAGTAGCTTTGGCGAAGGCTTACATTGGTTCTGAAATTTTCTGCCATCCACATAGCCAGTCTTCCGTTGTTTTGTTGTTGGGAGGGCCGTCTTTTACCGTCAGCGGAAATGCTAGCTTGTCGAGACAGGTCTTCTAAGTCGATGTCCATTCCAGGAGGGGGCGACTGAAATAGCATTTGTCCGGGAGATGCTACCATGGCTGCGCGTATCGCGTGACGTGCTTTGACGCGCTATCTCAACGAAAACAATCCAGGTCAAAGCAGCACCACCCTCCTCCCCTTGGGAGATATATGGGTCGAATGGTTTCAGGAGCAGTAGAGACCACCCTTCCAGATATTTCACTCTCAAGAGCAGAGATAATGTGATCTGGATCCTTGTGAAGCGACCCGATTTGAGGGGTTAGAATAGGGGGGCAGCAGCTAGAGGCGCAGTCGCAGTAGCCGTATAGCTCCAGCTTTCATAACATGACTTAAAAACCACACGTGATCTGCAGCCTGGAGGTGGCTCAGATGTACTTTGGAGTCGAAGGACAAGCTAATTAACGCAACGGTAAGGGAGGAGCCAACGTCAAAATCTCATAAAAATTCGAAGTGAAAGCAATATTATACAGCTTGAAATCCCAATATCCATAGCCTGCTCGAGGTCCTTTTTAGGAGCACGTCAAGTCTCACCCAATTTGGCTTCCCGTAAGATCATAACACGTACCTTTATACCAAGTGACATGATTGTTTCTTTTATTCCTTCAGAACCGTGCCCGTAAAGAAAGTCTCAGGATGGCACCTCTGTGGCTAGGCTTCCGCAGCACCCAGATCTGGGTCCAAATGCTCGATCCAGCCCCAGACCCGGCCCAGGGCCCAGACTAGGTACCGGGGCCCCAGTAAACCCCAGCTTTGCATAAAATGAAGGTTTTGGCAGTCATGAAATGGCAATAAGTTATACACTTGTATTCTCTAATATGTGAAGGCCTGGGCGCTAATACGGGGGCATGATTGGACTGGTAGTAGATGAATTATATATAGGCAGTACACCACCGGTATTGATGACATAAATCATCGCTTGGAGGCCGTACTCAGATCTATATAGAGAGAAAAAACGGCGAAAGTGGGGGACCTCGGGAGGCACTAATGCGGAAAGGGAAGCCAGGTACTGTCAAAGGAATCTAGTACGAAGGTTTGTTGTAAGTTCTGGAGTGGAGATGATGTGGGGCTGTAGACAAACCGCGACGTCATCAACCGTTCGTTGTATGCCTTATGTTTCAGGTGTCAGAGGCTTTGCTTTTGCCGCCACGTGGGGGCCATTGGGCGGTCACGGCTGTGGTCGGGTCGTTGTTGATCCTTGGAAGTTGACTCAGTATCCTCTGCACAACTTTATTGGCCTCCTGCCCGCCAGCTTTATTATTGGGACGATGCAGTCTTCCCCGAACCCATTTTGGGGCGCCCAAACCTCTTATCTCAAGTAAGTCTGGATCCCGGCCAACTCATCCCTGGAACCGCTGTTGACTTGTCTTAGCTTCTGCGAAGAGGTATACCTGTCTTTCTCAGGACATTTGCCTGTTTTTGCCGTTCCCTCGACATCTAATACCAGAGTTCTCTAAGTAGGACTATGTTATCACTCGGTTCGTGGCCGAGTTCATCAATACATTCAGCAGCCTGATCTACAGTACGTAATTCGGACTTCGGCTATTCCGGACATGACACCCCACTAACAATCAAACATAGTGATATTTGGAATATATGGCTTGGTTCAACTTCGGAACAAGCAACAGGCGGGTCTCCGTCGGATGTCCTACTGTGGCTTGATTGGAGTCGGCCTCTGCTCTGCTGGTTACCACATGACTCTTAAATATCACACACAAATGTGTATGTCTCTACCTGTCTTGGTGCGAATTATATTTATCTCACAATTCTTCAATTCCAGCGGACGAGTTGTCGATGCATCTGTTGACAACACCTTTGTTATATCGGATTCTTACGTTTCAAGCCAGCCCGCAACGCACCAAGATCACCGGGGCTATTCTCCTGGTTATGTTCACTATTGTGATGGTTGTCCACATGGTCATGGACGAGTTCGTTGTGCATGCTGCCGGATTTGGGCTGGCAGTATGGTTAATCGCAAGATATACGATCAAAATGATTCCTGATCAAATCCCTGACCCTTGGTTGCGGAAAAAGATTCAACGTTTTTCATTCTTTGGCTGCTGTATGCTCTACCCCAGTTCAAACTTCAAACCCCCAAAATAAACTAACAAATGATAGTCTGCTTTGTCTTTGGCTATTGCGTGTGGCTCATTGATGAGTTTGCATGTGCCAATCTCACCCAAATTCGACAGGTAGTCGGTCTGCCCTTGGCATTCTTGTTCGAATTCCATGGATGGTATGTTTTGTGACTCAATATCCATGCTTCTCAAGTATAGAGCCAAATTTCTAACCGAAACAGGTGGCATGTATTTACTGCGATTGGTGGCTATGTTGCCGTCGCGACGGTTGACCTCATTACTTCAGGCGAAGTGCACCAAGATCCCACCGATAGCCTTGCCTGGCCAGCCCCTCTCATGGCAAAGCTCGTTGAACCGAGACAAGATTTCATGAAACAGAAATGATCCATGCAATCAGGGTTTCCGGCAGCTCAGTTGCGCCATCAGATAAGACACGGTTTTCTAGGATGATGCTGGAACATTCGGAGATTTATGTCTCCACATCCGAACCTGCTTGAGCGTGACGAGATGACTGTTTCGGAAAGCATGCACATAAACCTGCTTTCTCCATTATACACTTATATACAGAAAAGCAACTCTATCTGTATTCTTAGAAGAATAGAGCATTTGACGATAGACTTGGCGTGCAAATAAAGATTGCTGTTCTCGCCGCAGGGAGTGAATAGCTACGCAATCAAAATATTTAGATGCAACACATGAAGATTGAAGGCCGATTCCATGATAGTGTGATCAGTTTGAACTATTGTGAGGAGTAGAGTTGAAGTGAAGTGAAATTGGTATCAATCATAGCGTCAGAAGAAAGTCCAAAGCTCCAGGGGAAAGGCAATCATTCCTTCACCGTTGTGTTGGTGGGTGATGAAACTGGTTGTACTATTTCCGGTATTGATTGGCCCCTAGTCTCGTCACCAGTATGCTCCGCATGCTCTACATCCTCAAGCTTCTTTTCTGCTATCGATTTGCCGCCAAAAACCTCCTGCATCTCCTCCAATGAATGCTGTGAAGTCTGTTCATTCTAGTCAGCACCGTGCATGAGTATAACAAAATTGCCGTGGATTGAGCATACCTCCTTGAGAACCAGCCAAGAGTACCCGACAATGGCATAGTTGAAAATGGCGAACATCAGAAACATCCGCCATCCTATGTTAGTTATGGCGTGTGGAGTAACCTGAGACATCATAAAATTGAAGAGCCACTGCGATGCCGCGCCAACGGTGAGTCCAACCTCTCGTGTGCGACTGGAGAATATCTCTCCAACGTAGAGCCATGGCAGAGGCCCCCACGACATGTTGTAGCTGAACGCCTCCGCATATGTCATGATGATACAGGCAATGCCTGCAGAGGTGGGGCCCGATGAGGTGGTAGTGGAGCTGACTGGGTGAGTGGCCAGGATACAGGCAATAATGAGCATGAAAGAACCCATTGCAAAGGCCCCAGCCATGAATGGAACTCGACGACCGACACGGTCTAGAACAAATAACTGGAATGTGCTGACGCCCACAACCTTGACAATACCAAAGCATCCGGTGACAAGCTTGGAGGCTCCGCCTGCACCGACAGCTGAGAAAATCTGGGTAGCATAGTAGGCGAGAGAGGTATTACCCGTAAGCTGTGCCGAGAGTTGGATGGTAATAGCGATGAACAGTCGATATCGGTTGGCTGGGAGAAGCAGCTCTTTGAAGGTGAGGTTCTCCTTGACGCGAGCCTCCTCTTCAATACCTGCCAAAATCTCCTGGAATTCCCGTTCAAGCTCTTCCGTCTCTTCGCCGCCACGAACCCACTTCAATGACTCGCGCGCCTTCTCCAACTTTCCCTTTGAAGCTAGCCAACGCGCGCTCTCTTTCACGGTACACATTCCCGCGAGTAGCAGCGTTGAACCCAAGAGCTGCAATCCAAGAGCTGTTTGCCACTGGCTAGTACCTGAAGCCTGGTCTTTACTGACCGCGTACGTTGTCCAGTAGGCGATCATCACCCCGAGTGCAAAGAAGAGCTGGAAACAGGCCCCCAACCGGCCGCGAAATTCCTTGGGGGACATTTCGGCCGCGAACATCGGGATCAAGACAGTCGCGGCACCAATGCCTAGCCCGGCAACTACACGACCTGCATAAAAAGTACCAAGAGTGTGCGTGTTAATGACTTGTAGGATTGTGCCCAGGGTGAAAACGAGTGAGCTGATGATCAGTCCGGTGCGACGACCCAAGTACGAGGCGATTGGAGAAATGAGGAAGCATCCGAAAAAGGCACCGCCTTGGAGGATAGAAACCGCATTTGAGTTGACAGTAGTCTTCTGTGCCTTGGTGTAGTGGCTATACCCAAAGTCTTCTTGGAATGAGGTCAAGGAAAGAACTCCACCTATAGAGGAAAGTCGGGGACTGTTAGTTTGTTGTTTCGTCGGCCAGGCGATCAAAACATACTGATGATACCCGTGTCAAAGGCAAAGGCAAAAGACCCCATACAGCTGGCCGAGGCCAGGTACGCGGCTCTGATGAGACCAAGCTTGCGACCCATGGTTTCAGCGATGTGAAAGTACAGAGATGTGAAATGGAGTCAAAGTAAGACGAGTGAAACTTGTGTGAGAAAACTAGAGTTGCATTAAAGCCTCAAAGCGTTTCCCTAAATCTCTGATCACCAACTAGTGTGCTGGACACAAAATTTAAGGAGATCCGTTGGTGCGGGGAATAGAGCTTTTCATGTTGGATAGGTCATCTGGAAAGATCCCTGCTCTTTGATCCCCAGCTCTCTGATCCAACAGGATGGATCAGGTAAACTGTCCGAGCTCCACGCGAGAGCCGAACGGCTCGCAAATGCAACCGGGTACATGCTTGACCACGGCTATTGATGTTCATTGGTGCATGGTGAAGGGCCAAGCTGTTGCGGAGACTGGGCAGCTGAGCGTGCTTGCTGATTTGCAGTTGAACTTCCCGCTCGGCCCTGTAAAAGCGCAAGGGGCTCCTTCAGTACAATGTCTATGGCTAAAACGACCGCAGTCCAAGACTCGGAGATTTCTGGCAGATGATGCTTCAGCGGGGAGCAAGTCAGAAAAGCTGGAGTGGTCCAAGGTAGTCTGATTTGGACTACTGTATAACAAAGCGCCTTTGATGGCGTGCTCAGACCCTGCATGCTGAAGGATTACTGGAGAGTGGGGTCCAACCCCGCAGAAATGACCCCGGACTCGATCTTTGTGGGGAGTATTAGTGTGTAAACTATTGCAAATGGTGTAGATTTACTACTTAATACTAATATTAGGCTTCTAATTGCATTCTTTTCAAATGAACTGAACACAGTTGTTGAACTAGTTGGTTTTGTAATATCTACGATGATCTTGAATCTCTCAATTAAATTGTTTGTAATCTAATCTAGTCGTTTATTCTACTTCCTTTTTACCTATTAACCTGCGACGGACGTCATGTGTGGGAGTTGCGATCATCAAACGACAAACTCTATGCGTCACCTGCAGGAAAGAACGATGACAGCCATGATGATTCCCGTAAGCGTCCCATTACGTCCCCTCGTGCCTTTGGTAGAGATGTAATAACACTCGTCCCATCATGAAGGGCCCGGACTCTTTGATCATGAAGTATGTATCCATGTTGCGGTGTGCCGTATTCATCTTTCTCGGTTTTTTTTCAGATACTACCCATCTGCGTCTGCGCAGTTGAAAGCAAGGAAGTGACTGACTATGAGATTGAGAGTTTCAATGATAATGATGACGAGTATGACTTCGCACACTACGACGCTGAGGACTGTGACTCTGAGGACTACGACTCGAAAGAATATGACAATGAGAGCGCTTATCACGATAATTCGAGCAATTAGGATCACCAGAATGACAACGACGATAATGAAGACGATGAGATGAGGTTCCACCACAAGAATGCTCATTAGAATACATAACTATACTCACAACCCAGGTAGGTATTCAAATCATTAAAAAATTGTTTATTCCACTCTACAGCCCTGTCCCTCGGCATTTCTGGGGATATAGCCTATAGGGCTGTAATCTAAGGACTGTAGTGTTTGAGATCATCAAGAGGCCCTTTTAGTGACAAATAAGAGAATGAAAGAATCGAGTGAAACAAAGCAAATTGGCTATGCAATATGAACTTGAGAATAATTCCCATCAGCGTCAAAATCATTTACCAGAAATTCAGGCGGGCTGCCAATGTTAAAGAACATCGGATCATCAACATCTTGCTCAAGAATGGACTTCAATTTAGCTCTGTCGCAACGCAGAATCCGACAAGCTTTGGATGCAAGGCGGAATTGAAACTCAAGTGCTTCCCTTAAGACTCCCAAAGGGGCCTTCACACGGATAACATCCTCTGATCCCAAACATTCATGAACTTGAATTTCAGTAAGCGAGCCGCAATTTACCCATAGTCCACTTTCTGGGTCTGCCAGTTCCCAGAAGGGATCACTGATTCTTTTGCGCTGAGATTTATGCTTGGTATTATAATAACACCCTGGACTATCAATGTCAAGGGCCCTCAAAAAGTAGCTTTCAAAGATCATCAAGGCAGTTGTAGAGTGCTCTCCTTTCCGAGTGTCTTTAGTTCGCACCAAATCCTCCTGAAACGACGTCAACCTGAACATTATGAAATCATCTGCAATTTGGGGGTGCCATTGATGAGGGACAGAAGATAGATAGGCTTCTTGAAAAGCCAACGAAAAATCGCCAATCCCATCATGCATAGCACAATAGGTTGGAAATATGTCCCAGAATGTCTCTGAAATGGGGAAAAAACAGGCCATTCCACTCATTTCGGATGAATGCCTGGGATCACCTGGCCTGCCAAGGAGCCTTGCCTTAAGCAAGTCGCGAATACGCTGGAGGTCAAAAGAAATACTTGGAAAGTAAATCCTGGACCCAACATTATCGAGCGTCGTGTTCTCAACCAAGATATCGGTGCAAGGGGCAACTATGGTCCATGTCGAATCATCTCGCTTTGTTTTGCGTAAAAGGAGGGGGAAGATTGGAGGCCATCGCCGGGGATCGAGAAAGAACAAGTGGTCTTCTTTTGGTTTGATGAGTTCGTCGAGGGGATGTTTAGAAACCAAATAAATATTAGAAGTGGCCCCAGAGAACTTGAATATCCGGTATCCCTTGAATTCAGCAACGCAAGTCGGTTGATGGGATAACGCACAGACGTGCGTTAAATAGATAGATAAAGCCCCCGTATCAGACTGAATGGCGACTTCATAATCCCAAGGCGGCCTCCGATCATAATCGCGTACGGACGTAAGGATAGTCTGTATAGTGGACTTGTAGGAAGTCGCCCCGTTACACTCACGAAGATTCTGCCGAAGGCAGCTGATCACTTGGAGACCAGTTGGATGCGGTGTTGTGATCATTCCTGACCAAGTAGGCTTCAGATTAGGAACCCAGGAAGGAAGTGATCCGACCGATTCAAGACCAGCAGCGAGAGAGAACAAACCAAGGGCTGTGTGGTTTATGATGCAATAAGCGATAAATCCTATGAAGAAATGCTGCACCGATATAGAATAGTCAGGCAAGAGGTCTTGAGATGGTGCATTAACATCAGTTGATGCCTGGGAACTGTCATCCCTTGATGAACAAGATTCCTCTGAAGTATACCCTTCCCATGCCGGTGCATCCATCTCTGCTAATGAACTAGCTTCCACCGATGAGGTACCTATCGCGGAAGCACTATCTTCTTCTGATGAACTGTCCCCTTCCAACGAACTCTCTTCTGATGATGACTCCACTGCGTTCCGATTAGCTCCTAACATAGGAACGCCTTTGTATAGTGCCACAACTCCAAACAACAGATCCCTTGGATCTGAAGCATGCGAATTGGACACCAACCGTGGGATTTGTAGAATGGAAAGTACTGAAAACGACTTCCTCATCATGTGTTTCATCCAGCGTGCATCCGTCAATTTCCATTTCCAGGTCTTTGATAGAAGTCCCGGAGTGCGCGAGTCAGCCCAGAACTCAGTATTACCAATCCGAAAGATTGCACGTTGGGCGAAAACCAATTCTTGAACCACCCAGATTCGACTGAAATAGCGACGCTTGAGAATATCACTGAGCGATAACATAGAATGATCTGTTTCTTCTAGATCGTGAAGTGGGCGTCGCTGGATTATACCTCCGGATTCGACCGGGGTAACAAGATCCTCCCCTAAGTAGACAAAAACTTGGGTACATTGGTCGTAGATTCTGCTCATGTTTGCAACTTGCTCTCCACGCTCTATATAATCTTGTTGGTTTATACAAAGTGCATCTACCCAGATAAGACGACTCTCTTGTTCGAGACGCATGGTTCTTAGTAGTGCGTGACAATTTCGAGTTTGGAAAAGAACATCCCAATAGGATCCGATGAATATTGGTTTGCAAGGCGTATAGTCTCCATCCTCTCCACCCCACATATACGAAGTGGCCTCGTGCACCACACTACCTGCTAAGAGACGTTTCTCGAGCGATATATGGATAGGGGAGGTCTCATCACTAGATGGGGATAGGCGAGCGAGTCGAATCTCTTCACGCGAAAGCCTGGCGTATACCAGCGAGGAGGGCTCATTGCTCACAATCGTTGAGGACCCGTCTTCTCGAGAAGAGACTGATAGACCCGACCGAGTATATGGTACAGATGGAGGCCAGCTTAGATTTAGCTGACCAGGTGGCTCATCTGGGGGTATCGGAGGAGGATAAGAAGCACTGGCTTGTGACTTGGATGCTATTTCATAAGAGAAGCTGGACCCACAGGCGGTGCAAGCGGGTGTCTTATCATGGACAAATACATTCGGTATTAGACAAGACGGTGTATGCCAGCGGCTCATTGGGTAGTTTACTGTGCAAAATATGAACTTGAAGAAAAGTTGACAAGGGCAGTGGCAAGCCTCGGAGAACAGGAGGTTGATCTAATACAAATAGCCGCCAGATTAACAACCCCTCCCTTATAACGAACCAAAGGTACCAAAGTTGTCGAGGCTACAGGGACACGTGCTGGGTCCCGTGACCCGCAACCGTCTGTTTAATTTGTATTATAACCACGTGAGAGCTCTTTCTTTTCTTCAGCTTTAATACTTTTTTAAAATACTACATAAAATATTTTCATATCAAGTCCTTGTATTATATTAGAGCTCTATATATCATCTAAAGTCATATAGACTTATATCTATCCGAATGGCTATCTCAATAAATTAGAATGAATTTATTATGAACCTTGCTCTAATGCTATCTAACTATAGAAGCAGCTTGTGAAATGGAAGAACTTAGATGAGATGATGAGAGAGCTGGTCTACGACATGGTGTCTTTATCGAGTCGGCCGCCGTACTAGAAAAAGACAGAAAACTTTCATTAGACTATCCTTAATCGGATGGCCTTCGCCGTCTGCTTTGCGCCTGATAGAATGACGCATGCTCGCTGAGTCTGAGCCTGGGCGCCCTTATAAAGCGGCGGCAGCCCAGATAGGAAAGGCCCCACCCAGCAGACATTATCCTATCTATATAGCTATATAGGTGCATATTCATAGCAACGGTTCAAAGGCTTTCTTTGAAAGGCCCGGAATAACGTATTGCCGTTGGATACAGCCCGCATACGATCTGCGTTGTAGACGAGGTGGATGTCGAGCATCATCTTTCGGCTCCGACGGCTCACCGGCATGAACGACGTGAAGAGATAATTTTCTTCAATTCAGCCACTTTATTCCAAACTTCTTCATACAGTAACATCAAATGCACCGGGCCGATCGGTACCGTGAGATTTCAGGGGCAACGGGATTTATCTTTGCCGCATGTTCCAGAGTTCTGTTTTCAAAGGACCATCCAGTCGCAATGCTTTTACTTGCTCCACTCCACGGCACAGCCTTGTCTCTTCAACGGAAAAGGGTCTTCGGCACCGCCACTCACCCCATAATGTAGCGAGATAGCCTGCCAAGAAGATCGGCTAGCCGATCCCCAAGTTTTACAAAACGCCCAAGGTGTTCTTAATCTCAATACAGTGGGGCCCTAATGCGGCCAAGCTGTAGCCTAGCGCAAAGCATAGGACCCTTTCGGAACACCGGCGGTCCCGACACGGAGAGAAATAAGCCTCAGAGGATGAAACAACTACCTATGCGTCGGATACTACATTCACGACGCCTTGTTCAAACCTCCATGTAGATGAAGACTTTAGCGAGGTGGACCCAATGACGGCGGCCAAGCCTGTCTATCCAAACTTCCGGAGGGTTTCAATTCCATGGAACAAGAAACCCTACTGACGATCACTTTTTCCGGTTGTTCTGGTTGGATGAATTATCGATCACAGCCACTCATTGCCGGCACAAAGGCAATGATCACCAGGGCTCAGGTTTCGTGGCCACCGACCATTGACGGCCCCTTAAAACAAGACGCCTGCTCTTGACTAGGGGAATCAAGCCTTGGTCTCACTCCTCACTCCCGTCATTCATTTTTCTCAATTTCTCTATACCTACTTTGTGTGATATCATTTTTAAATATCCTGTTTTTGACTTCTGAATCTGTGAAAAATGGCGCCTTTATGGTATACTGCCAGCAGTGCACTGCTGTTATCAGTCACTGCTGCGGCCTGGCCATATTCCACCTACAAGTCGATTGACTTCCAGCCTCCCACGCTGCAGATCAATCAGACCGGCCCTACCGATCCGGGATTCATTTTCCTCGGTCCTCGTGGAGGTGTGCAACCTGCCAGTCAGGCCGCGCTAATTTACGACAATGCGGGCAACCTGGTCTATGAAGGCCCGGAGGAAGTCACCTCCAACTTCATGGTGCAGAAGCTGAATGGGTCTGATGTGATCACTTTCTGGGCTGGCGACATGATGGACATCGGCTACGGATACGGCACCGTTCACATTCTCGACAATACCTACCAGGAAATCCATACCGTTACTTTGACCGGAAACTTCGTCACTCCGGACAACTCAACCAAGACCTCGTATATTGACCTGCATGAGAGTAAAATTACCCCAAACAACACGCTTCTGGTCACCGCGTATAACGTCACCCAACATGACCTGACTTCGATTGGGGGTACCTCTTCTGAGTGGATGCTGGACAGCCATTTCTATGAAATCGACATTGCTACCAATGAGATTGTCAACTCGTGGAGTGCACTTGATCATGAAGATGACATTCCTTTGACTTCCTCACACCAGAAGCTGGGTGGTACCGCTGGTACCCAAGAGAACCCCTACGATGCTTATCACATCAATGCCATTACCCCTACCAACAATGGCCACCTGGTTTCCCTTCGTCATATGTGGTCTGGATATTATCTCTTTGACAACGGGAGTGTGATGTGGCAAGTCAGCGGCGAGAATGGTGCCGACTTCACCCAAGTGGGCAATGCGAACTTCTCGTGGCAGCATGATATCCGGGTCTGGAATGAGACTGATGAGGGTATGATCCTGACCTTGTTTAACAACGCCAACACCCCTACAGACAATGAGAGCCCCACCACTGGCGTCAGTCTGGCTATTGATCTCGTCAAAAAGACTGTGACTGGTCTCCGCTCCCTGAGCGACCCCAATGACCCCATCCACTCCGTTAGCCAGGGCAGCTATCAGGTTCTCAATGAGCAGGATGGTCACGTCTTCATGGACTACGGCTCTATCTCCAAGGTCAAGGAATTTGACGGTGCTGGAAACGTCGTCTTCAGTGGCAAGTTCGGCCCGGACAATGCCGTAGCCTCTTACCGTGGCTACCGTTTCCCGTGGAGTGCTGTCCCCTTCTGGAAGCCTTCACTGAATGTTACCCGTACGTCTACCGGTGCCACCGTGTACATGAGCTGGAATGGTGCTACTGATTACGACACTTGGGTTGTCTACTCGGCTTCTTCGGCGAACTCAACCAACAACCAGCAGATCGCAACTGGCAAGCGTACTGGCTTTGAGACTGCGATTAACGTGACAAGTTTGACCACCGACTACGTCCAAGTCGCCGCTCTACAGGGCAACAATGTTCTGGGTACCTCGGATATAACCTCTTTCTAGACCGTTCATACTTCCACAAGATGACCGGTCTGTTCAGGGCTTACAGGGCTCTTGTTGAGATTTGGATCTTTTCGCATACATTTTTATTGGGTATACTATCTTCCCTATTATGCTTTTTGGGTTGTACCAATCAGCCCAATATGGAGGGTTGATACTACTTCGGCATTTCAATTTAGACCGATAACCTTTTTCTGTATATACTTTTTTCATTAGACGAGTGTTCTGCCTCGAACTGTAAATGCATGTTTCTACAATCATAAGCAGCCCACCAGTGCATTTGTACATTCATGGGACAGTAGAATGTTGGTGCCTGAGGTTTTGCAGGGACTTCGACTGAGATTGTCATCGACTAAGGGTCGGTTAGAACAACAACAACCTTCTCATAATAAGCAATTACCTGCGTGATACAATATTCATTCAGGATGCGCAGAATCATAACATTTGTTTTGTTTTTCTCCCAAGGAGGTCAAGATTCTGAGCTATACCAACATGCAAGCCAGGATGATATCACGAGCTGCTTTCAAAAATGCACCGTATGCTGACTGGCGCCCATGTACTACATTAGAACGGACCGCTCGGCATTGAGTGCAATTGAGTCAATTTGAAATCAAGAAAAATATTGCGGACCATGTTTCAGCCATTCCCCGGATTTTGAATCGGGGAAATAGAAGCGATGGATCAAGATGCTAAAGCAGATGTCACATTCCATTGAAGCAAGGCGTGGTGTTGCCGGAGACAACCACCTGCACTTGGTCCATGCACATTGCAATTCGGATAATCTGATTGGATGTCGAGGTCTATTGGGTCTAGACTCATCTTTCAAGCTTGGTCTGGACAGGATTATTCTTTAAAATGGATACATTTTAAATGCCAGGACCTTGATATCCAGGGCTCTCATTCGAGGTTTCGAAAGTACAGTATAGGTACATCTCTCCACGAGGCTGCATACCCAATAAGAATCATCCGCGGATATGTGACATTCCCAGCGTGTTTTAAATGAAGCAATCGTGATATTAATTCCATCGTGGCATTGAATGACTTGAGCACCCCTTGTTTGTGCTCCATGAGGAGACTATGTGCGCCAAGTGTTTCTTTTACTAGAATCCCTAGGAGTTACAATGCAATTTGAGCAGCAGAATGTTGCGCCCCTCCGCGCGATGTGAGATCAAATGGAAGGAGAGCCTCTAGGTGTTAGGGTGTCTGCCTATAAAGTCGACATTAACCCCGGAATTTCTTACCATCAAGTTCGAACTCAAATGCGATAGTTCGTCAAGATCCACACATATCATTATGAAGCTCTCAAACCTTGTCCAAGCACTTTCTCTTGCTACATTAGTAGCCTCCCGCCCAGGCACCAAGACAAGAAAAGACAACGTCGAAGTTCCTTACGCCGCTTTGCCATCCGGCAGTTCCCCATTGCCGAGTCAGTCATTCGTGCCCTTCAGAGTATCGAGCGAAGCATCAATCGCACCATCCGTCGGCCACGCCGTGGTCAATAACCGCTGTCCTTTCCCCGTATACATTTGGTCCGTGGGAAGCGCCATTGGGTCCGCAGTGACGACCGGGCCCAACGGGTGCTATGCCGAACCCTTTCGCCATGACCCGAAGAGTGGCGGCGTCGCGATTAAGATCACCACCGTGCCCGATGGACTGTGGAAAAGTGCTCCATTGACTATATTTGCGTACAATCTGGCTGGTGATGGTCAGGTGTGGTACGATCTGTCCGATATATTTGGTGACCCTTTCAAGGGTTACCCTGTTGCGTTGAATCCAGCGGAGCCAGCGATATCCTGGGAAGATGGCCAACCCCCTGCTGGTAGCGGTGTTCACGTGCACGATTCTGTGGATGATTTGGTATTGACGTTGTGTTGAGGCATGATCTCTGGATGGATTCACGAACTTAAAAAACGGGGTTGGAATATACGACGTGACTCGGCAATGTGTGATCTTGATCAAAGTTTATGGTTGAACGGACGGCGGATATATAGAACTTGGATAATAATTGAATGGTATACTCTCCGAGATCTCCAATTTGGGGCATAAGCTTTGCGCCGTTCGGGACTGATGTCATTTGCCGAATACCTCGGCATTCAGGATGATCGAAGTAGAACATCTCCACAGCTTATTTGCTGGAGAAGCGATTCTCCATTCTAATTGGATAAACCAACAAGATGCATGATCCACCTAGCCAATGCCCGTAACCAACAGGCTCCTGTATGTGGCAGGAATTTGTGGTGGTAGCTAACCTCGGCCAGAAGTCCGAACCCGCAATGCGCTTCAATCCCCCGCGTTTTCTCCACTTCTCCAACTCCCACATTCCGAAATTCCCTTCATCTTCAATCCTTCCCTCTTCAGATTGATCACTCTGAAGTTATCTCATTGAGTATACACATACACACAAGAAAATGGTCGCTCCTGCAATTCGGGTTGCCCCATCGGCTGCAAACCGCGCGCTGAATCTACTGCGCACGGTGCAGTACACCCACCCACCTAACTGCCCCTGCCACTCCAATCCCAATCATCACCACCATCATAAGACTCCGTCGATGATGAACAATGTCCGGCGTCACCTAGCAACTCCTGTGGATCCCTCACGCCAGAAAGAATATGCCTTTGAAATGGCGGCTTCGAGTATCCGGTTCGGACCCGGCTCCACCAAGGAGGTCGGCATGGATTTCACAAATATGGGCGCCAAGCGGGTTTGCATTGTGACTGATTCCAATGTGGCCAAACTTGATGCCATGAAGCAAGCTGTTGAGGGATTGACGCGGGAGGGTATCCAATTTACTATCTTTGACAAGGTCCGGACGGAGCCGAAGGACAGCTCGTAGGTGGTGCCTCGTGAAACTTGAAATTGGCAAACATGGCTGACATTGAATGGCGCCACACAGTATCAGAGAGGCAATTGCATTTGCGAAGCCGTATAAGCCCGATGCCTTCCTTGCTGTCGGTACGTATTAAGTATTCTCGCCAATGCGCGCAAAGAGCCCACTAACAACCCAACAGGTGGTGGATCCGTCATTGACACCGCTAAACTCATGAATCTATATACTGTTTTCCCCGAGGCCGACTTCATGGACTTCGTCAACGCCCCACTGGGCAAGGGACTCCCAGTCACCAAGCCGCTACTCCCTCTCGTAGCCGTGCCCACCACCGCGGGCACAGGCTCCGAGACAACCGGCACAGCCATCTTCGACCTGGTTGAGAAGAAAGCTAAGACGGGTATTGCGCACCGCGCTCTCAAGCCCACACTGGGAATCTGTGACCCTCTCAACACTCGCACAATGCCCTCGGCCGTCCACGCCGCATCTGGTCTCGACGTGCTCTGTCACTCACTTGAGTCATGGACCGCAATTCCATACAATGAGCGTACCCCACGCCCCACAAACCCTATCAACCGTCCCGCCTACCAAGGTGCCAACCCTATCTCCGATATCTTCTCCCTGGAAGCTTTGCGCAACACAGTGAAGTACCTCCCACGCGCTGTGCGTGATCCTGATGATCATGAGGCACAGTCGCAGATGCTTCTCGCAGCGACCCTTGCCGGTGTTGGATTCGGTAACGCAGGTGTCCACTTGTGCCACGGCATGAGTTATCCTATCTCTAGCCAGAACCCTGGCTACAAACACAGTGGCTACCAAGTAGATCACCCCATTATTCCGCACGGTGTGTCCGTCGCGGTCACAGCACCTGCTGTTTTCAAGTTCACGGCTGCGTCCAATCCGGACCGCCACTTGGCTGCTGCTGAGGCCTTTGGCATAGATATCTCAAATGTGAAGCGCGAGAGCGCGGGTGAGGTGCTTGGTAATGCGATTGCTGAGTTCTTGGCCAAGCTGGGAGACCAGCCGCGTGGCTTGAAGGATTTGGGATTCAAGTCTTCGGATATCGAAGGTTTGGTTGAGGGAACTATCCCCCAACAGCGAGTCCTGATGCTGGCGCCGAATCTGAGCGGAGAGCTCGAGGCTGAGAGGGGCGAGCTGAGGCGTCTTCTGGAGGAGTCTTTGGACTACTAGGAATGCTTTTTTGTTTAGGTGATAAATTGGCATTGCGTATCAGTCACCTTGTAAAAATAAAGATCACATTATATGCCTCCGATAAATGACATTGGGTATCACAAAGCTCGTAAATTGCAGGCGGAATAACACCCTAGGACATACTAAAGCGCCATTATATCGCTTGATCATCTAGAAATCGATTCCTCTGGCACGCCATCATTGCATTCAGGGCCTGCACTCTCCGGTATTATTTTCGTTCCTAGGACACCCATCGACGAAGCGACACGATCTAACCAGATCACCGCACGGGGATCATTGCGGTCCGAGGTTTGGGATGGACCCCGCCCAAGCTCAGAATATACCCGGAACGGCAGCTTCATCGTATCAGGACAGACAGGTTGCGGCGGTGGTGTATCTGCACTGCCATCGCTAAGCGTGCCCGTCCCTGACCCAGGCGAGAAATCCTCAACGACCCGACAACGCAGCTTGCCTTCTAGGCGATCACACAACTGACGGAGAGTGCCTTGCATGTTCTCTGCTCCGCAGAGTAGCAGTGATGGACCGGTTTCTGGGAAGATCTCCGGAACAGGCCCGACGAATGTACCGGGACGTCGAGTGATGCCTTGTTGGCGCTGAGTATGAGCACTGATACAGATGCGCAACTCGGAACATAAGCTGTGCAGTCGGCGATTGGTAACCTCAATACGCTGCAGTAGACTTTCAGCGGTTTGGACCGACTCGGTGGAGCTGGAGAGAATATCTCTAGCTTCGCTGATATACCGTGGGCACTTGGCTATCTCCATGAAGGCCTTATCCGAGATAAGTGCATAAGCTGCCCATTCTCCTGGCTTTGTAGAGTCCTCGGTCATAAGCTTAGTAGTGAAATCCTGCCATTCTTCCTGGTCCAGAAAACAAGGTCTTCCCTGGCTGATAGCTGTCGCAACATGGAAGCCTCTAAAGGCAATCCAGCACGATCTTGCTACCCCTACTGTGAGCTGACTGGGGCCGCGGCTCTCCATGAGCCTTCTCACTGCATCAGAATGCACAACCCAGGCGTCCGGGGTAGTCTGGGCATACATCTCGTAGACACTCAACATCATACAAGTACAGAGCATATTATCAGACATGCCCAAATCACCAATTGAAAGTGCAAGAACAATCTCACCCAGAGAAAGACCATACATTCTTCGACTAGTCCGAAGAAGAGCTGGGTCCTGTGTGAGATGCGCCAAATAAACAGAACTCAAACAGCAAACCGCCGAATCAAGATACGCATCCTTCCCAAAATTCATAGTAATATGCTCTGCAAAGCCCGGACTCCCGCCAGCGCGGAACCGGTTGTGGAAGTACAAAGTGGGGAACGATGCACTGATGAAATCTAGGAACAGCTGTGGCTGTGCGGCTTTGAACGTCTTCCGCACCAGGGACGGCGAGACATTTTCGTCCAGCGAAATTGGTGCCGAATGCCGGCGCATCAAGGCAATCGCATCATCACGCACGACCGTCGCAACGCCGGTGCCTCGTCCATCCGAGCGCTCAATAGGTCCGAGCGCCTCGATCTGCTGTGCAGGTGGAGCACCTGCAGCTGTCCAGGCGGGGGTAGTTGTGGGAGCTGAATTCTGCCCACGGGCTCGTCTACGAGACACAGAGCGATTTCTTCGTGCGAGACTGGGGCCTTCATCTTGAAATCTGAAGGTACGCCGGTATCCTGGACAGGTACGGCCGTATCGCAGGCATTGGGTGCATGCGGGGACCGCCTCGTCGCACTAGCATTACAGGCCAGGGTCTCAGTGGGATGAACGTTGGGAGGACTGGTCAAAAGCCAGCAACGGTGCTCACCTTGATGTGTCTTTCGCGACAGAGAGCACATCCTGTACTGTGTGGTACACCCACCATGGTCAGGCTTCATGGAACTCAATCAATCAGCATGGTGCTTAGAGGCCGCATCGCAATACTTCGCTTGATTTTTGCGCAACAAATCGTGAGGGTTCAAAGTGAGCTGAAAAGAAAAGTAAAAAGAAGAAATTAAGAATTACTGGGTGGATTATAGCCGGATAGTGTCCTTTATTGAGTAGAGTGGAGAAGGTCCCCCAACCCGCCAAGGATTGTCGTTGCGTCCCGCTAGAAGTCCAAATGTACGATATCACTAGTCGACATGTATTCCGTAGGCCAGTCTCAATGACATAGCTTCGTATTCAGTACCATGATCTATCATCATCAACTTGGGAACTACAGCTTTTTTTATTCTCGACATGTAATACTCTACACTTTTTCGACACGTGGGTCGAGGCACACTTTCTAGCCTACAGATTGTACCCAAGTCTTCAATGTTTTTAAGTAGTTATAGCTTATATCGCTTGAGTGTACAGCTAAAGAGTGGTCAGCCAGGAGGCAAGATCTTTCTTGTCAGATTTGCGAAGACAGTCTCGTATGTTGCCAGACCCTGGCTAGTGACCAATTCTCTTTCTTTGTCGTTTCATCTTTCTACTATCTTTTCCGCGAGTATACTTCATTACTCATATTCATAGTCCTGCCCTTGACCCCGCCGTCCCAAGGAATGATCGTTTGTCTTGAATAGGTATGTCAACAGTGTATCAACCACAGTAGTAATGCTAATCGGCGATGCCATCATCAGAGAAGAGGAAATGGAGCAATAGACTATGAATATATGAAATATAGATAACACCTAGCGAATCATCCAGATCTGCCTGTTTGCTTTGTAAGGTAAATAGAATCGCAATAATTGTTTTCCCGGTCCTCTGGTAGTGGTCGCCTCAGGCATTAAGGCAATAGACTCTGGGGCAATGATATCAGTCAGCGAGAGCCTCCGCGATTCCCTCTACATGCATCGTTGAGATCTTTTAAGCCAACACCTATTCATTTTCCAAGAAAAGCCCTCCAAGTCAACCGCTGCCTGCAAATTTGCCCGGGCATGCGACAGGATCCTTTACGATGACCAGGCTCCGCGGAGCTTCTTTCGATTCCCCAACCGCCCAGCCCGCCAGCGGCGAGCGACAGTACTGTCGGGCCAAAGTCCCCCAGAATGCGCCCGATGTCATTGTCCAGAACACCATCGAGGTCTCAGACTCGTCACGAGTGCTGCCGTGGTATCGAGATGAGCGAAGGCGACGGTTCAACGTCCTAGTGCGAAGGTGAGTGTCAGCACTGGGCTCCGAAGCTCCAGGCAACTTTCAATGAGGAACGACTCTGACGAATTTCTCTGCGCATAGGTACAAAAACCAGCTGCTTCATGGCTGTGACGATCCAGGATGCCAAACTCCAACGTGCGCGAGTCGCCGTCGCCGCGTCAGCGAGGGCCCATATCGCCGATACACTGAACTTAGTGCGCGAACCCTTGCCTGTTACCTCGCCAGCTTGGACGATGCGGAGAGCGGACTTTGTTGCAATACCCCGAAAATTCCATCTGAGCTGACCGTACACGACTATCATCGGATTTCCTTACAACGGTCTCGTGCTATCCAAGCCCAGGCAACCGCCGCCGCCGCAGCCGCCGAAGAGCAGAGCAGTTTTCTCCGCGGTCAGGACCCTGACAGTGGCAGTGCATCTAAGAAGAAGGCGGATGAATGCAAGCCGGTCGGCTCGTTCAATGGGGCTGATGACGCGGGTTCGTCATCTTCCCCAAGCGGGTACCCCAGTGGCTATTACTTTCAGGACCTTGACTACGCTGCTGAGCAACCTTTGAAGGATCCGAAATCATTCACACAGAATCTATTCGATACAATATCGCTCCGAATGGTTGAGTGGCTACCACTTCGTCGAACTACGGACTCCTTTCAACCCAAGTCGAAACAGCGCATGTTACAACCGGGTACGGAGCTGTCCCACCCTGGCAAAGAACATGAATCACAACATAAAGATGTCCAAAAAGCAAAGCCGAACAATGATAAACCTACCCTGTCACTTATACCAAATCCACACCCACGCACTCCTTCATCGCGAGCATCAGCGACCCAAGCTCCAGGAACCCAAGCCTCGGCCGTCGAGCTCAAATTCCAAAACCAACATGTTAAGCGGCTTTCATTGACTGAAATGGACCATTGGCGACAAACCACACGATCTGGCTTAGAGGAGAAAAAAAGGCCTGAATATACAAATAGAAAAGTGTCTATGAATTCGCATATTGCTTCAAGCGATTTTGCTAGCATGCCTTCCCCGCCAGCCTTGAAACATCGACCACAAAAGCACCGGGGCAGAATTGGCGAGATGGAACATCCCAGAGTGAAGGAGCGTTCCAAAAATCAGCGTCGTGTCTCCTGGGATAGTGAAAAGGTCCTCAACCAGATTCCTCGGGCTGAAAGCCCTGGAAATCATCGTCGTCGACCTTCACAGGGAGAGTCTGACAACGCATCTCCAGGCAGCCGCAAAGTCAAACACGATTCAAGTCATCGTTCACTTGATCCAGTCCCATTGGCGCAGACAGTGACTCATTTCACTCCGGAAATCATCCATGGCCTTGGTCAGATCATGGTTGAATCCTCGGAGGAGGAAGAGACCTGGAAAGAAGAGATGGACCACATTCAGTCGACAGGGAGCTTTGACAATCCGGAATGGCGATTCGCCACATCTCGCCAGCGTCAAGTATATCCATTTGTTTCACAGAGTGTGTTCTTTGTGTTCAGCAGTGCCAGGCACATCTTGTCTTCCTTCGGGACAGACGGAAAGGGACTGCCTGCATCGCCGGAGAGGGTTCCAGACAAGCGCCTTGATGTTTCCAATATCCGGGGTTCTTTACAGAGTTTGTTTACCACATGTCCTTGGGACATCGCGTTGCACAGTCTATGGACCACCTTGGATCATCTTTTTGTTCCGCCAGATGACATTTCCCCTTCTACTCGACCTTCGCGTCGCTCTTCGCGCAGTTCAACCATGACAGGTCAAACTGGACCACCGCCAGTGGTTCGACGAGCGTCCGAGTCGGTAAGCGATGAGCATCTGTCTGACGGGGATGCCGCCTACATTGCCACTGTTGCTCTCTTTGTCTTGGTCAGCTCTATTCCAGACATTGATGTAACAATCTGGCGTCAGATCCTACAAATGCGCTCTTCGGGGAGTGTAGCGTCACCCGCTGCCATGCAGAACATATCTTCGAGTCAGGTTCAGCGGGTCGTCGAAGCGACCGATAGACTCGAACATGACCTTGCGCTTCGCTTGATTAATCGACTTGTTCGAGCTCTTACTGCCCGTCTCGCATATCATGAGATATCCAAAGCACGTCAGGTCTATACCCTTGATCTTCCGAAGCAGAGAGGTGGCAGTGTTCTTGATCGCATTGTGGATCATCTCAGCGAGCAGCATACTGTTCAGCAATCGAAGGCCGATAGTTCTTCTTATCAGCCCACCAGCTCTGCGCATATTATTTTGGAATGGTTACGAACACTGTTCTTACGTGAATGGGATGGCAATCCCGAAATGGCTCGCAGCAGTGCCACTGGAGGAGTAGTGCAAATATTGGCTTTAATGTACAGAGAACGAAATAGGCTGGGCCTATTTCCCGAAGACTTCCATACCTCGATTCTCGCAGAGCGGCTGGACCCTCTTGAGATGCCAGTGGCATGGGTGGGCAGCCTCCCAAATAACCGAACGATGCATCTCATGTCATATGCCTTCCTATTCCCCCCATCATACCTCGTCATATACTTCCGAGCTCTCAACTACTCTGCTATGTCGAAATATTTCGAGGCTGCCATGACTACGACCAGACACGTTACCCAGACCGCCTATAGCAACGCCATCAACGTCACCGATGACTCTCCGCTCTTGCAACGACTGAAGATTTCCATGTCGACTTACTTTGTTCTCAATGTGCGGCGAGATAATGTGTTGACGGATTCCTTGAACCAGTTGTGGCGACGAGAGAAGCGAGAGTTGATGCGACCACTGAAAGTCCAGATGGGTATGGATGAAGGCGAAGAAGGTCTGGATCATGGTGGTGTTCAACAAGAGTTTTTCTGTGTCTTGATGGCAGAGGCTCTTGATCCATCTTATGGCATGTTTACCATGGACAGTCGACACCGTATTTCCTGGTTTCGCCCCTGCCCCTTGGAACCGCTGTATAAATATGAGCTCATTGGCCTTCTGATGTCCATCGCCGTGTATAATGGTCTGACTCTACCCATCAACTTCCCCATTGCTTTCTACCGCAAAATTTTGGGAATGAAGGTGAAGCACTTGGATCATATTCGAGATGGATGGCCAGAACTTACTAGCGGTCTTGAGTCGCTTCTATCCTGGACAGATGGCGACGTGGGCGATATCTTCATGCGCACGTATGAGTTCAGTTTTGAAACATTCGGCGGCATTGAGACCATTGATATGCAAAAGGTTAACCGTGATGCCCCCTGGCCAGTTCCAACCAAAGCCACAAGTGCCAGCAAGATTGCAAATCCTTCAGCATCGCCTGATGTGCCTCAACGTTGTGAAGCAGCAGGATCGAGTTTGAACAGATCCATGCTAAATGAAGCAACCGAACCGTCTTCCTTGTCGGCTTTGGTTGAGACGGCCGAGTCTACCCCCGAGTCTTTGCTGCTTCAATATCCTGCCCCTGTCTTAGACGAGGCACCCTTGGTAACAAACCAGAATCGCCACCAATTTGTCAAGGACTATGTCTTCTGGTTGACAGACAAGTCTATTCGGCCTCAGTTTGACGCATTTTTACGCGGGTTCCACACCTGCCTTGATCGGTCTGCCCTGTCTATATTCACACCCGAGGCTCTGAAGACAGTGGTGGAGGGTTTGCAGACCATCGATGTAAAGGAGTTGGAGAACCACGCTCGGTACGAAGGTGGCTTTGGACCAGACCACCGAGTCATCCGGGACTTCTGGAGCGTGGTCCAACAATACTCGGCAGAGAAAAAAGCGCAGCTCCTGGAGTTTGTTACAGCAAGTGACCGAATTCCCGTGAATGGCATCTCAAGCATCATGTTTGTGATCCAGAAAAACGGCGTGGGAGATATGGTAAGTTGTGTTTTCTTTCACCAATTTTTATTTCGACACTGACTGGGCTCTCAGCGCCTTCCAACCAGCCTCACATGTTTCGGTCGACTGTTGCTCCCCGAGTATTCCTCTAAGGAGGCTTTGGTAGAGAAGCTTGACAAAGCACTTGCAAATGCAAGAGGATTCGGTGTGGCGTGAAATGATTTTCAGGGAACGGATCTATACATACCCCATTTTCTATAACGATGCATTAAGTGTCACAAGGCCACGGCACTGTACAATCTCCGAGCCTCATTCCATTCAAACGTTCCGGGTATATTTTGATAGTAAAGAGATATTGAAGAATCTCCACTTGTAATGCATGTGTGAATTGAAGAGCGAATCAGACCGAGCGAGTGGCCCTCGGCTCCAGTTCTGTAGTATGGTTCGCCATTACAGCGTGGCAATCACCAGATTTTAAAAAGCGGAGTCCTGAAGTCCGGTATGACTGTCGATCTTCAAGGTCTCCGTTTCTTTTCTCCTTTGCATCTTCTTTGATTTGCGATCATAACCTGCACCGGTGCCGTTCATTCATTGATTACCTTACAATTCCCTGTAAGGTAATCTCCCCTGCGGACACTTGCTGTTCCCCCCACTGCCCCACGTTTCTCCCGATAAGAGTCATCGGGGTCCACGAGCTCAATTCAGTCCACAGAAGTTAACAACTCAAAGCTACTTGATAGTAATCTGTCAATTTTCTGAATACATCATGGCGCCAACCATCCACTGTGTTCGCCACGCTCAGGTATGTGCATCTTACGCCGATTGCCGGCAGCTTCTGCGACTTCCCCACCAGTGACGACAGGACTCTAACAAGAGAATCTTGGAGGTTTGCGCATCAATTGGTCTCTAACATACAATGAATCTACCAGGGCGTCCACAACCTCTGCACCGCAAACCATGTCATCCCGGACCCCCTCCTCACAGACCTTGGTCATGAGCAATGCGCCAAGCTGCGCGAGGTCTTCCCCTACCACGACAAAATTGACTTGGTGACTGCCTCACCTTTGCGTCGCACTATCTACACTGCATTAGAAAGCTTCGAGCCAGTTTTCCAAGCTCACCCAGAATTCAAACTTATTGCCCTGCCGGACCTGCAGGAGACCTCGGACGTGCCCTGCGACACCGGAAGCGAGCCCCAGGCACTACAGCAGGAGTTTGCCGGCAAGAATGTTGATCTAGACATGGTTCATGAAGGCTGGAACAGCAAGGTGAGCATAGTCTTATACCCTCACGAGCCTTATGCAAATTGTATGTTTGTTTTGCTAACCCGCTTTAACGTACACCAGACTGGCCGCTACGCCCCTATCAATGCAGCCCTCCGTGAGCGCGCTCGCGCCGCTCGCCGCTGGCTGAAAGCTCGGCCCGAGAAGGAGATTGTCATGGTCACGCACGGCGGATTCTTGCACTACTTCACCGAGGACTGGGAGGATCACAGCCAGTACCAGGGCACCGGATGGTCAAACACTGAATTCCGATCCTACACCTTCTCCGACGAGGATCACAACGCTGATTTGGAGGGTCAGACAGTCAATGGTGACAATGCTACGCTCGTCGAGACTGCTGAATCACGACAGCGCCGTGGCAAGATCGGTCCCACTCCGGACCGTGCACAGCAGAAGACGCTTTACCAGCTTGGTACCCAGAGCTGGAATCAGCAGCTTAGCACAGAAGAGCAGGACTCGGCGAAGGTGCCCGAGGGCGAAGAGGTTAATGGAGTGCGAGTATGATTGGTTCTTAGACATTGCCATTATCTGAGACATTTTACAAAGATCATTAAGATAGATTAGATAGATCATGATGCAAATAGATCAAAAGCGGTTGAAAGACTTCATCTAATCTTGCAGGAAGCTGCTGAGGCTGTGCTTTGTTCCCATTGTTAGGTCTTTTGTTCTGTCCCTCGATCTATTGTTAATCCCCTTGTCCCTTTTCGTTCGTCTTAGTGCCAAACATGACAAAGACCCCGAGTAAAAGTGGTGTCTTTCATTGTGGAGTTTCATCAAGTGTTAGATCCTTTCGATGCCTCTACTTGACAATGCATACTGATCTCGAAATTAAGACGGGCACACACCAATTCGACAAGGATGCAACAAAGGATACTCGACAAGAAAGGCGTTGTCGGGGAAGCGAGAAAGTCTATATAATGAGCCTTGACCTCCATCGAGAAGTTATCACTTCACCAACACACACAATAACATTGTCTATTGGAATGCCCTTGGCTAAGTCCTGTACCCTTGCATCTACCAGATTAGGAGACTAACAATGATGAATAGGCCCTGTCCCGGCATCAAATTGTTGCTCATGCAAACCCATTTCCAACTATTGGATTACAATATGACATGCCTTTGGCTGAGTATACTCTCTTATAATGATTCTTTTGCAATGGCTAACACTAGACTGCAGGTCTCATCATCCTTCCAGCATGATTATGTCCAGAAGTCTAAGTATATATCCGATGCTTTGGCTGAATTTCTTCGCCTTCATATGTGAAGATTGCAAAGCTAACATGGCATGTAGGTGTTATTGAGGATTACGCTCACCATATATGAGACTACCTTGGCTAGGTTTGCTTGGCAGTACGAATAGGGAACTAACATACTATCAGGCATCATCGCTGTACTCGTGAACAAATCATTCATTCTCGTTTCCTTTCTAAGTAGGTCCCTCCCTCTGGAGAAAATACAGCTAACATTCCAAAGTCATTCCACAGTTGGCAGATTTGCCATTCGTCTCCCAGAGTGATGATTATTATTTCAGACTGAGTCAACTCTATTATTCTGTCTCTTGAAATATACAATGGCCTTTTTGCTAACGAGTATCAGGTATTCTGCGTCGATCATTAGACTCAGATAACTCTGGCCTCATTTCGAGAATTTTCTCATGGCTAAGTTGTTTTTCTTACTCGCGCTCCAAGATACCATTGGATCCATATTGACTCGTTTCAGGTATATCCAATTCCACTGTTTGAAACAGCCACAAGTCAGATCACTTCAGGTAAGCTCCCTTTTTCCCTTTGCTGATATTCATAGGATCGATGCCATCCCTTTTACTTGATAACAATGAGATATATTCAATCGAACGATAATCAGTCCCACCAGTTGCAAGGTACACGGTAGGTCAGCCAGATCTTCGCTAATGTTTTACGACCAGTCTGGTCGGATGAAACTTCAACGAAACAGAGATCCACAACAACACAAATGCCTTGGTATTTTTTTTCCCTTTCATCTCCATAATTGCGTTTAGAAAATGCGGATATCAACTTGTACCAGGCTCATCACTTTTAAGCAATATCAACCCTGCACCTAGTGAGTCTCCCATTCAATTGTTTCGCTAACATCATATATTACTTAGGTAGAGATCTAACGATCTAGACGGAGCTGCGATGCTGGTTCCTCTTATGGAAGTCGAATTGAAAACAGGTGCCTGGATTTGAGGGGCCATAATAGAATGGAGGCGCGGCAAAAAATGTGGGGAATAGTGGCTTTGAAACGCCCGGTAAGTCTGCAAGGTTGAATCGATAGTTCTTTGTTCCAGAGGCTGACGCGGAAAAACTCTAAGGAAAGCGCCTTGCTCGTGTCCATAGTGCCAATTATTATAGGCAGCTAGATTACTTGCAGAAGGATGATATGCATACCGGATAAGATAGCATAGCCGGGGAATCCTGGTGCCTTTAAGTATAAACGCCCCAACAAATCAGGGCTCAAGGCCTATTTTTAGGTGTCGATCACTTTCCACGGAAACTCCTGCTTTCCCTATATCACTCTCTTCTGCCCTCCCCAAACCCCTTTGCAATAGGGCAAGATGATTGACGAAAACCTGCCAAGTATGATATTCCCCTTATCCATGGCTTTATTCCCCTGGTGCCTTTCGTAACTACGTCATCGCCCCCTCAATCCTGCACAAACTGACTCCACCCCTAGCGTTCTTCTTGAAGAACAATTCGCAGACCCCTCAACAGAGTACAATCTACCATCGCCAGTATGGAAATGAAGCGGAACCGGCATATACCCTCAGATATCTCGATCCGACAGCCATCACGTCACAAAACCGCTATGGCGTCGCCCTCTACGACCCCTACGTTCCGGACATCGTCTACGGCGAAGTCGCCGTGAGTCCTGAATGGACACAACCAAGCTTATCAGCAGATACAATTCGAGCCAACGGTGGCACCGCCCCACCTCCAGAGCCTATCCTTCCCACGGAGTTCGCTATCCAGCTATACAACCCCGATCAGCAAATCGTGATCCGTCACCAGCCTAAAACGTGGAACAAACCAGCGCGATGGGAGTTCGAGATGCCACAGCGCTCATTCCGAGTCCCGTCATCTTCTACACTAGATCGGACGCAGAGTGATCCCGCAGCAGCAGATATTACCCCAAAGCTGCGCTTCAGCTGGCGCAAAGACGGGAAACTTTCCAAGGATCTCTCATGCTTGCTTCATGGAAAAACCACCTCGGTTGCGGAGACCAAGAACAAGAGTCGTGAGCCAGATATTACGGTGGCTCTATTCCAGGGCCTAAAAGAGTTGACGCTCTACGAACCGAATCTATACCGCGTGGAGATGGAGGACTTCAAGGGCTTAGAGGTCGTGTTGTTACTCGCGGCGGTAGCTATCCGCGATATTTTCTTCGGTCCAGCCAAGGAAGCCTTCCACATCGTCCCCGGTGGCACAACTGTAGTGAACAGCAGACCGCAGGCGGCTGTCCCTGCTCGCAAGAGCCCGAAGGCGCAAGCTACAGGCGCTATCCCAGCCCGCAAGCCCGAACCACCCCGATCCTCAATTGCAAACCCCCAATCCCCTGCGCCGCAGGTACGGCGAAAACAGGACGAACTGGCGGCACAAGAGGAGCGCAAAACACAAGAACTGCTTGCAGCGGAGCGAAGACAGCAGGAAAATGTACGACGTCGGAAAGAGGTCGAATTGGACAGCGAGACGAAACGTCTACAAAAGCTCTATGGACAAGAGGAGCAGCGAGTTCGACTGCACCGCCCCAATCCAACTCCTTCCTCACGACCAAGTCCCTCCTCACGACCAAATCTTCCGCTTCGTCCCAGCGGGCCATACAACTCGCATCAATACTCCCAGTCTCACTCCCATGTGGCATCTCGACCCCCGCCCCAACCTGGCCGCCATCCTCGTCCGCAATCATATTACCCCCAAAGCCAACCGGCTCCTACTGTCGCAAATAGCCCATACCTTCAGCATCCTGCTCGCCCTGACCCTCGATCACAATCTACCGTCAGCTTTGCCCAGCCTCGCCCACAGTCTACTGTGGGGCTTTACCAGGTACCTGCTAGTACTGGGGCTTTGCCAGCAGGACAGCCACCTCGTCCTCAGCTTCAACCCAAGAAAAGCAGCTTCTTTGGCTTTAGGCGGAAGGAGGAGGGCAGCACTCCGAATAAGTTGGATAAAAAGCGGAGTTCCATGTTTTGATCTGATTTTGATTTTTGATACCCTGGCATTTTCATTCTGTTTTCTCAGCATTCTCGGGGCATTTTGGTACGTATTCAGTCATGTATTCATGGTCATGATTGTATAAAGGCATTTGCATTGAACGAAGCAACATATACCTCATGAAATACAAAATACAAAACAAAGAATTTCTATAATTCCTGACTAGCATGTCCAAACGGGTAAAAATGATAACCACGACTCTTATTTCATGAATCTTAGCTAGTATGAGCTCTTGAAGATAGGATCACCATGTTTTGCGGCCTTCTCTGCTGTGGTTTGAAACAAGGCCTGTCAAATCCATGTGCATCGTAGAGAAAGAATGTCATGAACCTGCGAATTCCTACTATTGGAAGAATATAGACAGCATCGGGAGTATTGATGCGTTTGAGTAAACAAGCCATGTCGTGTGCATACTGTAATGAATTGTTGTGCCATACCGACGCACTTACTCAAGGAGCGCTAAGGTTTATAGGTTCCCATTTTTAGACCCCATTTACAGAGGTAAAATCTTACTTTCTCCATCCTCAATTTAGACTTTCATTATCATCTCAATCGGGACTAACATAAAAATGCATACACCTAGATTGACTCTCAAATCCCCCCTAAACATGTCTCAACTCCTCAAATGATGTAGACGATAATTGCATGCAAGTCTTCCTAGATCCGTACTCTCCTCCCTCAAATCCCCTCCATCATGAACATCATGACGAAGCTCAGTTAAAACAGGGCCTTCAATCTCTCCTCAAAAAGCGCAACCAAATGATCACCAGCGTCATCCCCCATCAACGAAGCCATGTTCACGGATCTCTGTGCCCATGACTTGCAAAGTTCATCCCTACCCTCCGCGTAGAAGTCCATAGCCTGATTGAAAGACAAACTTGCAAGTTTTCCGAGCTCCTCGATAGGGTAAGTATAGTGCTCGCATTCTGACTGCGACATCTCATCCGATTCGGGATCCTTGTGGCAGTGCATTTGGATGTGTTCATGGCTCTGCAAGTAATCATCATCGAACGAACTGGCAATAACTTGGTCGAGGATTGACTCCGCGATTTGGAAGTACGTCATCTGTACCGCACCATCCTTGCCCCAGACGTTGGAAAGACAGTCATCATCATAAAACTCCAGCTCTGAGGGGATAGTCTCTTCGCGATTTCGGGCTGTGATGCAGAGATGAAACAGGACTTGCAGGTAGTACGGAATATTGGACCGGCTGGGTGTGAGAAGCAGTGAGTCGAGACTGTCTTTGCTGTAGATCTGGCGAATAATTTCCTAATAAGTTCAGAGTTAGTGATGAAATTGTAGTGGCAGGGGCTTTATCTTGGAATTTATACCCGAACAAGCCAGACCTTGTATTTTGAGGGCATTGACTTGGATAGAATGGTTTCCATGTATTGAGCACTCATTTTTCCGCCATCGCATTGGCTGGAGTTATGAAAGGCCCATAGAGCCATGTCCCATTCTTGTCCGTGGATGCATGCTTCAAAGCAGAGGCCCCAAAGAAGGCTCTCCATCGCATCATCGAGCTCGGGAAAAATTCTGCTGTTTCTGAGGTTAAGCAAGCCTGTTCGGACTTTCTCGTAGTAGTGAGACTGAAGAAATTAGTCTGTGTTCTGGTTTGGAAATTGAGAACTGGGGTTTCAACATACTTTGGCCTCTTCATCAGCCTGTGCGCTACGAGCACGGCAAACATTTAAGATCAGAACAAGGAGAAGATAGCGTGGGCCAATTGCGTCCACCAGTGTAGTCTCCCCCTCTGGTCTAGGGTTGTCTGTCTCTTTGGACTGGAGGAAGATGATGAGCTAGGAGTCTGTCAGCAACGAGAAGAAATAAGCTTTTGAATGGGCGGATATCTAAGGATTAAACAGACCTCTTTCAGAGTCTTCATGAGTGCCTCTACCATCTCAAGCTTGGAATTCTCCAGCAAGATGCAGACTAAGGCATAACATTTTTGAAACACCCATTCTTGTTCGACTGCCACGTAATCATCCTGAGCTTCCTGTTGCATCATATAGGCCGCTATAAAGGTCAGAATCTATCTCAACTTGAACCAGTTTGAATGTTACCTAATATGATGTTATGAGCCATCAATGTCACAACAGGGGCCGCGAGATTTCCACTGTCCACTTCATTTGAGAGAACGTAAATGAGGAATCTGCATATGTTTGGATTAGCATCAAAAAGGTATTTGCTAGATGTGAAATGCCTCACAATATCTCCTCCCTTTCCAAGAATCCATCGGAAGGCGATTCAGGATTCTCACTTCCCTCCTGTACCTCTTCGATGAAATCATGAAGGCATTTCATCACTTCTACGGACTTTTTGAGGCGCTGTGCTTCAAGAGTGCAGGCTTGAATGAACTGCAGTCTTTGTGGGTGACCGGCCGGAGGCGAATTTTGGAGGATCTGCTGGCAGGTGCAATCTTCCGAACGGTTATGATGGAAACGATATACTCAATGTACAGTTCACTCACTTGGCTTCTCACCCTTGCACTCCAGCAACGCAAGTCTCCACATAAGAAACAGAACCTGGAAGTCGTTCTTGAAGCCGCCCTGAGGATCGATGATATTGTGCAAAGGTATAACGCTCAACATCTTTCTAGCCGAGGGCGCATCGAAGCCGTCCAGACCAAGACTCACAAACTTCCTGTGCCAAAATTAGAAATTTATCATCCGAGAAGTGATGGATTACCGACTTTTGAATTTGGATCTTGTTTGTGTAAGAGCACGCTTCGAAGATTTTGGTGTTCAGTGCGATAAGGCACCATTCCTGTGCCACGGAATAGTCGGTCTCAAATCCGGTGCTGATGTGCTTCCAGATGAACTAGATGGCAGTCAGTGAACGTTTGTCCAGGGGTTTTAGAAAGATGATTATTATACAGCTAGCGCCGCATGAGTGGCCTGTTCACTCAGCGTTTCAAAACCTCGTGAATTCAAGATTTGCGCCGCATCACAGATCACCTCGATCTTGGTGTGTTCTCCTAGGGAAGTAGAAAGAGCCTGGGATACAAGTGCGATGAAGCTCCGGTCGACCCAATCAGTTCGAGCGAGTGGCACATGCTTTAGCAACAGCTGGAAGGCTTGCAACACATGGTCCTCACTAGCAAATTGTAAGCGCGCGGTAGCTAGGGATATGATAGTATCAATGTACCTGAGATCTCCTCCATATTTGAGGTAACGCATGGCACTATGTCAGTCATTAGCAGATGTTATCTTAGATGCTTAGCGCCAACTCGCAGTTCAAATGATCGCTCGGTAAACTGCAAGCCGGTGAATACCCAGCCAAGCACTGGCGATTGAGAGTTAGCAGAAGGACACCTAATTCCAATGTCTTTCATAAACACCTTTGAAAAATTCGGCTTTGTCTTCCTCATTCGCCGGGCGAAGCGTCTCCAACTGGAGGAAAATAACGGCAGGATTGCCTCCGTATTTCTAACAGAGTCAAGGAGTGAACATAAACAGAGACCCATTACCCAGGACTTACCTCCTTGAGAATCTGGAGCTGCTCTGCCATCTTATCCTTCGTCTCGGACGTGTCCATAGACTTGTAAATTCGAGCTGATCAAGTCAGCTTGCTGGGACTACCATAAGAAAGGGACTAAGCACATACCAAGAGTATGTCTAACAAGCAGCTCCAAGTGATCAAAGCCACTTCTTTTGGGTTTGAGGTGCTCATTGCACTCATCGATACGAGTGGCTGCTCTTTCTAGCCACTTGATGGCAACATCGTTCTGGAATGATGCAAATGCATGATATCCAATGTTGTAGTAGATCTGAACTACAGTTTCGCCGTTTTTGATCGAATATGTTTTGGGGACTTTACCGAAGAGGTGCTCAGCAAGGTCTAGATGACCTTCCAGATAATGCTAAACATCATCAGTCAAGCTCCAAATTAATCGAAACCTGGAAATGGGTTACCAGCTGCACGCGAAAAGCGAAGTTCTCTGCGACAAAAGATTGGAAGATCTCCAGATCAATAGCAGGAGTTGAAGCTTTCAGGTTTTCGAGTCTTTGTGCTACCACTGTCATAATGCTGAGTGCCAGTTCAAGTTCTGCGTCCTCTATATCACTGATGAGCTTTGATAGATGGAACAGTAAGGTGACTTACCGATGCAGAAGCGAGCTGCGGTAAATGCTGCTCGTAGAACTCTGGCATGTCCAGAGGCCGTGTTTGAGGTTCCATGATCAATCAATAAGAAGGCGAACGCCCTCACTGAAGAGGAAAAGGGTCAGTTGCTGATTTGAGCGTTTAAAAAGACATTTCTTGAAAGCAAACCTCGGCTGAGAGCTATGTGTTCCCTTTTGTCTTCAACACGAGAGCACAGGGTAAGTCTACAGGTGTTCCAGAGATCTGTACCGATAGTATCAATCTCGCCATAATTGGAAGATGTAGGACCTGTGATTGACGAAAGCTTTTGGATTTGTCTTTTGAGAGGGTCAGTATCCACGCGTTGCGCCAGTTGACCACGAGGCGCCATTGTTATTTGTCTTTTCAATGTTTGCACGATAGCTATTGGAAGTTCACGCGTTAGAAAGTGATAAAACGAGGATGATAGATGGGTTTGTAGGATTATGATTGTACTTTTCACCGAGTTCACCTGCTTTGTCACATCATCATCCTGGAAAGACGCCATGACAATTGGGCGAAGGCGAAAGAGGGTGTCGCCAACTGAAAAGAAGTATCTGTGGAGGCTGGGGGAAAAATTTGGATGGGACGACGGGTGGTGGCACCAGTGCAAAAAGGATGAGCTGGAAAGAGTTATTCCAAGGGTTGAAAGAATATGAAGGAAGAGTTGATGGCGACTGGTATGGAAAAAGAGTTGATGGTGACTGGTATGGAAAAAAAAGTTCGCGACGGAGCTATACACAGGAAGTGTTGGAAGCCAGTCGACGTTGTTTTCACAACCAGACGCCCGGCCTTTTCCTCACTAGCTTTCGTGCTCTACAACCTTGGAAGCAGTAGCAGGATTTGGTGAAAACAAATCGGGAGTGATTCGATGTAAACATCCTTAGATAAGATAAATATTTTACACCTCAAGACCAAGTACACCTTTAATCAAAGGCCGCGGACATCCAGCCTCGGGGAATCAAGAATCAATATTTCACAAGCCAGCATTTAGAAAGAAGTCCACAATAAATCAATGAAAGCCGACCAAAAGCGTATGCTACTTGTGTATCCGCTGGGTTGGAAGGAAGTTTCCAACAATAAGGGAGGGACTATAGCCGGATATGTTAGCTAAGGCATAGTCAAGGGATTCAAGCAGGAACGAACATATTGTGGTTATCGCGTCGAATTGTGAATGAGAAGCAGCATTGGATCCCCTCTCCAGACCCATTTGGACTCTTCAGAGTACAGCTCGTAAGCATTGCTTTCTGAGTGTTGTCAAAAGCAATTGCTCCAAATTTCTCCCAATAGCTGACTAGCTGGTCTTCAACAATGATCTCGTGAATGGCAAGTTTCCCCTTGATAAATATTAGTATGGGTAAGATCAGACATATAAGGGGAGACTCACATCTCGCAAACTCTCTATTGGCACATCGATCAACTGTGCCATCTCATTATTACCACGGAAGATCTCACCGGTTCGTCGCCAGCAACAGGCTGGAATAGCCATACTGGCAAAGACACGGTCATACTCCATGAGACTTCGCTCGAACCACATCTCCACCAGGATCAACTCGATATCCGTTAAGCTCTGCATGCGCTCTCGGAACTTGGGCCGGAACTTGTCAAGTTGTCGGAGAATTTTTTGCCGAGATATTTGTTGCATGTTCTTTTCCATGTACTGATTGAGCCGAGCATATCCCTTGACGTAGTTGAAAGGCTTCAGCAAACCAGCATCATACTTGGCTTTGAGTAGCTTGTTCATACGCTCCTCTGGGGGGTCTGATCCGGACGGATCGGCCGCAGTCATATAGTATGTCTCGCGTGCTTTGTCATTTGCCGCTGCTGGAGCAGCGGCTCTTTGGATGGAATCTCCCTGGGGTACTGCCGGAGGCGGAAGCTGCGCCGGGAGTGGTATCCCGTTCGACATGTTCATTGTGTTCATCGAATTCATCAAAGAAGGATCGGAGTAAATTCCCTGAGGGTTGTCCTGGCTTTGGAACATTGATCCATCATCCAGCAAACTGTTGCTGAGAAAATCGCCAAGCAAGTTGTACTCATTCGTAACTTCAGGGGCATTAAACATGTACGATGGATGTAGCGAGTGCATATCCTGAAACTGGTTCTGTCCACCCATCCAGTCGTTGTAGGGCATCACTGTTATAAGCCACATCAGCTGGAGTCCCAAAGTCCTCGTCTTAAGACTTACACTGCTGGGGATTGGTATCGAGGTCCTGACCAGACGAAGAGATATTTGCTGGCTGCACAGAGGAAGGCTGGATTCCGATTGTACCATCGGGGAGAATTTGCTGACCGGCAGCATCCGGGACGTCGACATTCCGAGGCATACTTTGAACGTTGCCCAGCTCATTGTTGGACGACCCTTCTTCGTCTGCCGCGGAATGCTCCTGATCGCTTCGAGCTCGTTTGGCGGGTTCCCTGGGCTCGTCATGGCATAAATGACCAATGTTGCGCTTCACACATCGGGCACAAGGTCGTTCCTTCACGAATCAAAACTAGTTAGCGGGCACATCTTTTATTTGTCACTCTGGTTGACAACCAGTCTCTCGGCTAGCGAATAGACTGTATGGAACTAGTTTGGGAGAGGTCGTACCGAATCGCAAGTCATATGCTGTCCCACGCGACCAAGAGCTCTTTCATTAGCAAATATGATTCTGGAAAATAAGAATGTCCCCACTGATGTGGGGGAAGTTGCTGCCCGAAGGCTGTCGCATCGATGAAGCGGACACAAGCGCTAATTGAAGGATCTGACGAGAGGGAAGCTCACCGAGCGGCGACAATATACGCATGCTATAGAATTGATATGGTCGTTAGTGTCAAATGCTCAATCGCCAAGCGAACTGGAATGCAAGCGAAAGCGCCCAGACCCCTGTCGCATACCCTCACGCGGGGGGCAACTTACCATGATTGACCTTGCGGCGCTTTTTGGGACTGGAATGACTGCCAGAGCCAGATGTTTCAGCCTTGGCAGCAGATATTGTTTGCGATTCCTTTGCGCGCGCATCCTTTGCTGCGTCACCAGTCCTGGACTTGGCAGATGCAGTCCTATCGGAACCGGCGCCCGACATGCTCCTTTCAGTCATAGTTACGTTTTGTCGTGTAATCACCAGGACCAGGTGGAATGGCTGCCTGCAGACATTGCAGTATGAAAGTCGAAGGTTGAAACGTCAAAAGTCAAAAGTTCGCTGGACCTTCGCGAAAGCGGAGTGACCCCTCCGTTCTGCTCCGCGTGTGGGGAATCCCCCATCGTTTCTCGGCAACGCCACCGAGAGCCGCCTCGGAACAATAGCCTGGTTCATATAAGAATATGAGATATTAAATATTTTACATCTATTGTATGAAATGGAATCAAAATCTCTCATTCATTTCTCTAACTATGCGGGTTTTTATCGGGCGTCCGCTAGCTTGGACCTTCTCGTGGGGCCTCTAGCGCAGATCCTGATCATTGGAATTGGCCAGATTGGACAGCCACAAATGATCGACTGGGCTCAGACCCTGTTCTGGTTGAGATCTGACTGACATATCCCTCAGCAAAAAAACCCCGGAGGCTTTCACATGTCATCGATACCGGCACGCTCGTCTCGGCGCATAGCAACTGCGACTGCAGCTCAGGTATCGGGATTTCAGCACGCGACAGGGATTCCCTTGGTGGTATTGGGATGCAATGCTCAACGCTTACATCTTGCTAGTCGAGGATTCGCTGTCCTCAATTGCGGTTGTATTGATGTTCGTATTGATGTTCTTTGCGTCCGCGCGTGTGGGACTTTCGGGGTACTTTAGAAGGTCATCGGATGCTTCTTTCAGTCGTTAGATGCTGCAAAAATGTCCAGTGCAGCTTGCGACCGAGTGATGGCATCTCTCAGTCCAACAAGTGGAGCCGTATTGGTCTGCATAGATTGGAGATGGCCATGCAATTGCTTCATCAATGTTTGTATTTCGGGGTCGGTGTCGAGCTAAGATTGAAATCATAAGTTGGTGTAGTGTGGATTGTGCAACTTCATCCAGATTCCATACCTCATCCAGTGTCGCCTGATTGGGCTTAGCATCAACCAATGTAAACCCAGAAGACCCGGAGTCTTGGGGGAGCTCGTCCAGCTGCCGGAGAACAGGGTGTTCCTTGAAGCAATCCATGTCAGCAAGAATAATCCTGGTTCGCCAAAAAAGCCCTCTTACATTCTTCATCAGCCTCTTTCGCTCGGCCTCTGCTCGCTTGGCGTTCTTGTCCATTGCCTGGAGCTCCTTTTTGTCACTGGCAAGAAGCGCTTCTTCTTTCGCAATTTCAGCTTTCAGGAGGTCGGTGCTATCCTTGATTGTAGCCAGGCTTGCCTCGAGAGTCCTCTGTGTATAGTCAGTCAGCAGTGCTCATCGGTGACCGTATTAATGAGTTCATACGTGTTCATCGAGTGCAGATTCATAGTCAAAGTTCGAGTCATTTGTTATAGGGGGGAAGGGCATCCGTGGAAGTCGCTTTCCGAGACTATCAGTCTTGAATGTTAGCTCAATCCAGACACAATGCGCTCGAAGCGCACGAAGCCACTGGCTTGAGATAAGCTCTATGTTGAACGTACTTTCGAACTACTGCTTGAACTGCGCTCTGTGCCTCAATCCGTTTGCGCTCATTCGACTGACGCATAATTACTGGGCGTTCAAGTGCATGAAACATCTCCCTGACCTTGTCCTGAACTGGCTCTGGCAAAGTTGTCCATTTCGACTTGATCGTCTTTTCCGGAACACGACGAATTTGTGGCTTCAAATAGGCGTAGCGCTTTTCCGTGTCGGCTTCAACATCATTATCATCATCACCCGAGCGCTTTCGTTTTGGAGGCATGGCGGGGTGAGCAAAAAGGGTTGAAAGGGATGTGGGGTGTCAACAAAAGTCTAGGTGCTGCAGGACGCGTCAAGCCGAAACAGAGCGGACCTTGGAGCGGTGGAGATCGGCACCGTACCTTAAACCATTAGTAGGCCCCGCAATCAATGAGTTGAATTCATATCACGGCTATTATTACCAGGGTTGCATCGTATCGAAATATTTCATTCAAATATTCGTGAGCTTGGTAAATACTTCACGCAGTCAAAATTGTGCGTACATTTAATGAATCCATTTACGGGTAGCGAAGTCCCTGCTATGCGACCTTGGGCAAGAGCAGGTAGAATGGAATACATACTACGTAGTTCAGATTCATGAAAGTCGTGCTCTATCCAATCTATGTGATACATGTATGTATTTTCAACGTTATCCATGGATCATATGCATAAATCAGTTTGAAAGCTCCACTAAAAGAGTTTCAAAGCCCATGCCCGTTATCTCCACAGAAGCCTATCTGATAGGTATAAGGACCATAAACAGGAAAATGCCTACCCCAAACAGAAATGGTATCTTTCGCAAAATGAACGCCCTCTCGCCAGCCGGCAAGCCACAGCCTGCTCAACCCACCGCTGAACCGCTTTAATGACAATGAAATTACAAGAACATGAGCATGATATCCATGCCAGACCATACTGGCCTCATCTAGGCATCACGAGGCCATTGATACCTTTCATATCAGTCAACTGACTTTGCAGGATTTCGTTGCCACGCATGATCTCCTCGAGCCAGTCAGCGGCTTGAGTGAGCATGGCGCTTTTACTAAAGCCCCCGCCTCGCAGCCCTGGGACTAAAGAACAAAGATCGTCAAAGCCCTGACGAATGAGATTGCGTCGTTTTTGTTCAGACAGAATATGATTTGTGCGCTTTTGCTCCTCAGAAAGGTTCTCGCGTGCGTTCTTGCTGTTTGATTGGATGCTTGCTTTCCTGGGCGCATTGGTCGACGCACGACGCGCTTTCGCGTTGCTCATGGTGCGTGATTTGCGAGCTGGTAATTTCATCTCATCGTCATCTGAGAGAGGATCTTCTTTAATCGTTCGTGGTCGTTTGCGAGGCTGAGAGGCATCTTCTATATCGATACTGTGAATGCTGGAGTGATGAGCATGGCTGCCTGGCATGCGCTCGGGGCTAGGAGCCCGTGTGTTGGCCGCGCTGGTCTGTGGCTCAAAACAATCCAGATGGTCTAACAGCTCTCGGGTGCGTGTCTCTTCATCCGGCTGATCAGGCGGGGCCACATAGCCCTGGTCCATGAAGCTGATATCCGTACCCCACTGAAGGCTGCGGACCTTGCGAGATGGATGTTGATCCGCGGGAATGGGATCGCGCACGTCAAAGAGCATTTCCGATGTATGATACCCGGTTGGTAGTCTGCTATTTGAGGGGGAAGAAGCGTTTGCATGTGCGACAGGGGCAGATTGTGAGTTGTGACGGGGATGAGCTCCATTGATATGGGACCCGTTGAGAAGAGGCTGGGTCGCAAAAACCTGCTGAGCGAGCGCAGACCCGATATCTGTCCCATTTATGCCACCTTGGTAGAGCATTGACGCGGCGGCATATATGTCTGGGCCTGGCGTATTTCCCACCATCATATTTGGCTTTCCGAGGGCATGCTGTTGATATGAGGGCTGGGATAGAGATGTAGTCGAGCCTTCGAAGGTCGGCGGTAGTTCATCAGACCAGTCGAAGTTAAGTCCCGGTGTTTTATTGTGTTGGGCTCGGAGCCAAAAGTCATTCGTGAAGCTATTTGCATTCATGGTCGTAAAGAAGTTGTCGAGCATATTGGATTCATTATCGTCAAGGAGAGAGGGTCCCGGGGGTAAGGCCGGAGCTTGTTCATAGGGAGTATCCATTGGTGAAAGGAAAGAATCTGGCGCCCTCATTAGCAAGCTGCGACACTATTTCACCAACTCATAATGAGACTCACAGCCAAACGGGCCCGGAGGTGGGGAGTTACGCCCGGTCTGGATCTCTGGCACAGGACCATTCATCACTTCGAGGTCAAATAAGGAGAACGGAACAGGCGGGAAACGAGTGCAAGTCAATGATGGTGTGCTCTGCTATTCCAGAGCGGTTCGAACCAGCAAAGGTTGATCATGCCTTGGTCGATAGTTCTCGAAGTGAGTAATACTTCCGACTTGTCAATATACTATATCGAGATCGGCCTGCGACAGGGGACAACGGGAGGACGAGGAACTCGCACAACGAGATTCCAGCGTAGAAAAGAAAGTCACTTGTGCAGCACAAATCCGGTCATCAAGAGATACAGGAAGGAGTCGAAGTGAGAGAAAGCTGGGGAAGCGAAAGGTGGAGTTGATCATTATGCTCATCGCATCAATCACATGTGAATTTTCGCCCGGTCGCGTGACGTAACAGCATTACCAAAATTACCCCAAGGTGTCAATAAATTACCATTCTTATAGTCCAAATGGATATCGGAGTCGATCTGAAGATACATCCACGGTACCTGCTTTACCAAGATTGTATCCCCGAGGCCGTGCATTCAACTCTTAACTAATAGAATCGTTCTCGTTACTACCACAACCCACTTTAGAACCACATTTCAGGGAAAACTGGGGTTCCCCATTATTCCAGTCGGAGGTCCCAGGTATCATTCAAGGAAAGGAACTGGTCTTTGACTACTCTCATCTGCGGTCGACTAACTCGGCTCGGCATCTTGGAAAAGCCATACAACGATCTTTCCTCCATTCGGTCATTAATTAAAACCCGCGAGCTTGATACACTGCTTTTTCACACCCCGCAAACCTTGGGTGCGCTACCATCACGGATGATCATCCTTCGTCATTTTGCTGGTACTGTGTTCCCCTGAATTACAGTTGACCCTAACCCACTGCGGGGACTCTTCCTGTTCAGGAACCGAGGTCTAACGACCTAGGAAAGAAGTCCTTGGACGCGGGCCCTACATAGATTGTATCCCCGTTACACAGATCCACGGTTGATCATAGGGACCACCAAAAAAACGATCGTGCAGTTGTCCCAGACGCAGGATACTACCCAATTTTCGGGCTGGGCAAATTTGCTGGTCACCCTCCCCCCTCACCCCAAATTCTGTCGGTTGCGAGATTTGATCCGTGTTGCTGATTGGCGACCGTTGAGTCGATCCTACATTGCGAAAGGCCCTCCTCCGACGCGTCTGGTCCTGCCGGATATCTTCCCGGCGCGCAATGCTTAGTCGAGACCCCCTGCGGATCATGACATGAAGGTTACCGGCGCTATGGAACCTCCAGTTCGGCTCAATTTCCCGGATAGGCACCTTAACGCCCAGATCTTCAATCCGTGAGTCTATTCGATCGCCTAATCTGCTGGTAAAACGGGCGATATAGCGCTAGCAGCCCTGAAAAGCAGAAAATACAAAGTCCAAGGTTCTAACTGATCGTCGACAGTATTATCCGGGCTTACGCTTTGGGGTATCTCTCAGCCGTTACGCCCAGACTTATCAGCTTTGCCCGACGATTGGGAAAGAAGAATGAATCCACTAAACAGAAACTTCAGCAGGTACGTTTCGACTGCCTTGGATTTGGATATTCTCATTTCCTTGATAAATCATTCGCCCCGTGCGCCATCTGTCGTCGTTGCATAGGGGTTTGAAACAACGCAGGCTGACAAAAAAAACTTATAGCTGGCACACGCTCTGGCCGGGCCTCTACGAGTGAACAGCTTTCCAACGTTTTGTGGAATCTTAGTGGGAGGATCAACCATCCTTCCGGTCGTGTTGTATCGGATATGCGCATGCATTGTAGCCTGTTTCAAGGGTAACCTCCGGCTTTCCCAAAGAGGCCAACGGCTCCTTCAGTTCGCTACAGCATTTCTATCAGCGTGGTTTAGTTTCCAACTGCTGAACAAAAACCGTGAAATCTCACGGCAGGATGTCAGGGCTCGGAGAATCTCTTCGTCCCAACATGATTTTAACAAAACTTCGGCCAAAACTCTCGAGCGTCCTCATCCGGTGTTGGTCGGGAGGACAATGGATCTGACCCTTTTCACGGTCACAAGAGCGGTTGACGTGATAGCATGTGTTGCATGGAATAGCTGGTATCGTCGTCGCAAGGCCCAAAATCGCTGGACCGTCATGGAAACCCTTGCTCCTGGCCTAGCTGACGCCGGGGTTTTTGCATCGAGCGCAGCTATAGTCATGTGGGCCTGGTTCTACCTTCCTGAACGGTTGCCACGGACGTACGAAAAATGGATTGGAGAGGTGGCGAAGGTAGATACACGGTTAATCGAAGCTCTTCGTCGCGCTCGCCGTGGGGTCTTTGTATACGGGAAAGATACAGGCCAAGCCCCGCTCCTCGAGTCCATGTGTAGGGACTATAATTGGCCTGAGGAATGGGGAGATCCATCTAAGGTGGCTCCCATTCCATGCGAAATGGTGCACATGGGTGCCGGTCCCAATTGTGAGAAACACGCAATATCGCGCTTTGCCAGAACTTTCAAGTTTGCCTGTGCAACCTATATCCCACTACAAATTGTTCTCCGCCTACGGGGTATAAAGTCCCCGGCTGCACTGGGCCGTGCTATCTCCGACGCTGCCCGGTCATCTGCTTTCCTTGCCTCATTTGTGAGCCTGTTCTACTACTCCGTATGCCTAGCTCGGACACGGCTAGGTCCCAAGATCTTTGATCCGAAAACTGTCACTCCGTTAATGTGGGACTCTGGTCTCTGTGTTGGGGCCGGATGTCTCATGTGTGGTTGGAGTGTACTGGTCGAGAAAGCGCGGAAGAGACAGGAGTTGGCGCTCTTTGTGGCACCTCGGGCTGCGGCGACGGTGTTGCCACGGTTGTATGAGAAGAAAGTATGTCCAACCCTCACATTACCCAGTTTTTGACGGTCACACCCAAACGAACCGTGCTTCTCTATTCCCCTAACCCCGAGAGTTGTTTGGTCCGTGAATGATTCGGAGCCGTCACGCGATGCTAATGCTTTTCTTCTCTGTTAGTATCAATACCGCGAGCGCATTGCCTTTTCCATCAGCGCTGCGATACTACTAACTTGTCTTCGTGAAAGACCACACATGGTCCGTGGAGTTTTCGGCCGCATTACGACAAGCGTGTTGAAGTAAAATATCTTCCTGAGGGCACTTTGGTCGTTTTGATTCTGCCGTATTGTATTACTAAAGATGACCTTGCCTACATGGCGTTGTAGGTCATGATAGAGGACTTGGCGCATTGTGTTGTGAGGCTTAGCCCGTTTTATGTTCCCGGGCCTGTTTTTACTATGCATTCCTAGACGTGGTCCTCCACTGTATATGCAATTGTTTTCAACTCTTAACCTAAACAATAAACGAGAGGCTTTAATTATTTGATTCATTGTGGTTTGTAATATATTCGATATGCTAAAATCGTTGCGCAGGCCATCTTCTCCATACATTATAGCTCCAACGATGTGGCCCACCAAGACGGCTTATCGATAAGGAATATCACGTGACATCGGTTGCTGATAATTGCAGGCTGTGGAGTCGGACCATGCATGACTCCATCCAAGATCAAGAGCCATGTTCTCCAGGTTAATGCCCTCATGGGGGCCTCGCACAATCACAGGAGCTATTCCTAAACGATCAATATGCTCTCGAAAGGGTATGTTCGAAGCAGAGAAGCGGTACTTCTCGAGGAATTCCTTCCTGCATGCGAAACACCATGCTTCCTCCGCGCCGTTCAATACTCCTCAGTCGCAGCAGCGCAACACTTCTACAATGTGAGATTGAATTCCAATTCCGCGCCGAAAACTTCGCAGAACTGATTGTGTTCCAAATAGGTATTACACCATCAGTATGATCCTGGGAACTGTGGCACTTGCCTACGGCTCCGTCCCTCTCTATAAAATGGTATGATCCAACTACTGCAACCAAAGGTCCAATCGCCAGGCATGAGCTTTTAGATTGCTTACCATTTATCTCGCAATAGATTTGTCAACAAACCGGCTGGGGTGGCCAACCTATCACTACCCACCGCGGCGGCGGCGAAGACACAGCGTCCCGCGTGACTCCCGTAACCGATTCCCGCCGGCTCCGCATCACATTCAACGGCTCTGTCTCCGATGTTTTGCCATGGAAGTTCACTCCGCAACAGCGTGAAGTCCGAGTGCTACCAGGCGAGACCGCACTGGCCTTCTACACTGCAACCAACAAGGGCCCCAACGATATCATCGGAGTTGCGACATACAGTGTGACGCCCGGCCAGGTTGCACCGTATTTCAGCAAAATTCAGTGCTTCTGCTTTGAGGAGCAAAAGCTCAATGCTGGCGAATCGGTAGATATGCCTGTCTTCTTCTTCATTGATCCAGACTTTGCTACGGATCCAACTATGAAGGGCATTGATACGATCACATTGTCTTACACCTTCTTCAGTAAGCTTTTGCACATTTGACCTCAAAATAGCCGATACTAATCTAGAGCAGAAGCGAAATATGACGATAACGGAGTGCTGAAGCCAATTGCCTCTTGATCGACTTGTTTGAAGTACGACTTTTGAATTTACTCAAAAGGCCGGCGAGCGCTGGCGAAGGGATCTAAAGCAAGACTCGCCCAGCAGATCCTGACTTCCAGGTGACACAGGTCTGTTCATTCCCATCTCATCTCCACAGGAATTGTGTGTGTACTATATAGATATTGGAGTTCTGGAAACTGCGCAATGTCGATGCCTTGATAGGATGCATCGAATTGTACATAAAGAAAATAGAAACCCAATATACGCAATCTACCAGTATCGGACTTGCCTTCTTATAAAAGGGGTGGAAAAGCATGAACACACGAAAAAGAAGAGTTGTAGTGCTGTCTTGGTGTAGAGAATGAGCTGGATACAGAAGCGTGCACGGGCCACATATTAATTAGTCGCGCGTTTTCGACGCGTTCTCCCGCTCCCGCATTTTCGAAAGTCCACACCACCACTATTATAATTCTCAGTTGAGTTATACGCATCTCAAAATGGCCCTCCTCGTTGATAAGCTGCGACCAAAGACACTCGATGCGCTCACATACCACCCTGAGCTCTCGGATCGCCTCCGATCCTTGGTAACTACGCCCTCCACTCGCAAGGTTAGCAGGAGCTAATCTAAGGCGAATCGAACTACAGGCTCAAAGCGGCGATTTCCCTCATTTGCTAGTGTACGGCCCATCAGGAGCCGGCAAGAAGACACGCATTATCGCAACACTAAAAGAACTTTATGGCCCTGGTGTTGAAAAGATCAAGATCGACGCTCGAGTATTTCAAACAACAAGCAATCGCAAGCTAGAGTTTAACATAGTCTCCTCCGTCTACCATCTCGAGATCACACCCGCCGATGTCGGAAACTACGATCGTGTTGTCATTCAAGAATTGCTCAAGGAGGTTGCGCAGACGCAGCAGGTGGATCTTTCGGCGAAGCAGCGCTTCAAGGTGGTGGTGATCAACGAAGCTGATCACCTTACCCGTGATGCCCAGGCTGCTCTGCGTCGCACTATGGAGAAATACAGCCCTAACTTGCGGTTGATTCTCCTCGCCAACAGTACCTCTAATATCATCGCACCCATTCGTTCCCGTACCCTGCTGGTCAGGGTTGCAGCGCCCACGGAAGAAGAAATCTGCTCTGTGCTTCGTACTGCCGCGAAGAGAGAAGGCTGGAATGAGGCTGATGGATTGAACAAGCGAATCGCGCGGGATAGCGGGCGGAACCTCCGACGTGCGTTATTGATGTTTGAGTCTATCTATGCACAGAAGTAAGTGATGGATTATATATTTGTTATTGTGGATCATGGATCAGAAAAAGAGATTGACGAATTTGGCTCTCCAGTGAGAAAGTCACAGACAAAAGTCCCATCCCGCCGCCCGACTGGGAAGCGCTGATCTCTGTTGTTGCGGATGAGATTCTTGCTGAACGCTCGCCGGCTCGGCTGTTGCAAGTCCGTGCCCGTCTCTATGATCTCTTGACACATTGCATTCCCCCTTCGACTGTTCTCAAGGTATGTCTTTGGATTGAAGGCACTTATGCACTGCTGTTGACTAAAGGATACCCTAGACCTTGACTTTCAAGCTTGTTGCGAAGGTCGATGATGCGCTCAAAGCCGACGTGATCAAGTGGTCTGCATTCTACGAGCATCGGATTAGACTAGGAAGTGTAAGTACTCCACTTGAGAACCCCTGCTTTGATACCAGCGCTAATACCCATGCCAATGCAGAAAGTTATTTTCCATCTCGAAGCTTTCGTAGCCAAGTTCATGCGCATTTACGAGAGGTTAGTAACAAAGCTCAAAGCTCATAGATCATGCTAATCATTATCTAGTTATTTGATGGGTATGGACTTCTAGATTTCAGGACTGGAATTAACTTTCCAATGCATGAATGATGATTGTACAATACCAGAACAAGTCGCCAGTTCTCAAGGACATCGACACCCAACAATACGTGAAGAATATCAGTGGGTCCGTAAAATGACAGGACTGTTTCTTCACTTTGATTTTTTCGGCGCATGAAGGCATTTTGATAATCTTTTGAAGGGAACATGGCGTTTTGAGCTTCCATTTGCCCATGTGTGAATTATCATCCATCTGATAGTGACAGATCAAATACAAACGAAGTGGAATACGTGGGTGGTGCTATTTTACGAGAAACATATAGCGTTTGGCTCAATATAGTATTGTAGGCCGTCCAAGGTTGCTCTAAATATCTACGTCATCACATCCACGGATATAGTCATCGGACCGACTCCCCAAACCTGTATATAGACGTAAATCTGTCTTTCCCCGCATATCGAAACACAATACAAAATCACCTTCGAAGGTTTCTTTGAAATATTATATACGATCTCCACCTTATCTACACAATGTCCGATCCGAGACTGGTTGACATGGAGCCTGGTGGCGAGAGCACCCAGTACGATCTTCCGCGTGCATTGCACCCACTACGATCTGACAGCACTGACCTGTCGACAGATATGAATCAATCCGAGAATTTATGGTCACGCCTGCAAAGCAGACTGGTCAATTGGGAGGTCAGCTGGATCTGTGGACATTTGCAAGTGTGGTAGGGCTATCCAGATGGCTAACTCTTATCTAGTAGGCCAGCCGCACACCAAAAGTATAACGACAGCCATCGTGGATGGAACAGAGACCCCTGCCTCTGGAGACGAAGAAAAACAAGCGCAGAGACTAGGAATGGGCAACATTAAGCCCAATAAGGGTAGGTGAAAGAACAGAAAGATATCCTTCTCTAAACTCCTAATATAACAAAAATCTGCCGGAAGGCCGTGAGTCAACGGCCGCGAAAGACGTGGACGAAGCTGACAATAATGTACAGAAGATATGAATTTCGACAACGCAGAGGATGCAGCCGCCGCGAAGACCAGGAGACAACAGGGGTATGGGCCCGGCTCCGGGGTCGGGGCTTAGTTCAACATGTGAGATAGTGACTGGGCACACTATGTCGGGGTAGTGTTTGGGAACGCGCAACCGTTTATTCGGAGGGGGAGGTGCTGGAGGAAGTGGTTTTGGGCGGGTCTGCGGTCTCGTTGGTACCGAGCGGGGGGTTCCTGCGTGCCCGCTTAAGAGATTCGAGGGTCACGCCGTTACCGAGCTTGGTGATACCAACTACGGGAGGGTCGTCCTTCTTGACGAACTCCCAAAGGCCTATGGAGAAATTTGATTAGTTACCCGTGTCACTCGTACCAGAGATATGGCAGATTGTAATTTGGAATTGAAACTCACCAGGCAACTTGTGGCCAGCCAATCTGAACGCCTCGCGGGCAACCTTCTCGTGCAAATCTCCCTTCACCTCGAATACAACACGGCTAACGGGCAACCGGACAGTCCAGTAGTCGAATTTACCCTTACCCTTACCCATACGCTGCTCGTTACCCTTGGTGTACACACCAATGTTGGCGCTCACGCGCTTGTACAGCTTATAGTTCATTCCTCTCAACCGACGCTTGATGGTCTCCTCTGCGATCTTAAGAGCCGAAGCGGGCATCCGACGGTCGTGGTCCTTCATGCGAATTCCGTAGTCTCCCCACACGACTGTCGTTCCTCGTGTGGATCCACCGGTCGCGACATGGGGACGGCCCTTAGGCGACTTGGATTTCTCGGCAAACTTCGGGGTAAGCCAGTCCAAGGCCGGGGATGTGTTAGAGAAGGTTCGTGCCAGGGAGAAGGGCGCTAGAGATGCCGACGACAGGCCTGGATAATCACAACGGTCAGTTTCAAGCAACGGGGAGGCATTGCAGGTGGCGGAGAAAATTTCGTACATGTTGGGCGAAGGCCTGCCACTAAAGGCCCAGCAAACATCTTGATCTGAGGGCCCATTGTGATCAACGGAGGGTAACGATATCGAAAGTCAATGGGGTCCTCAACGCAAGATCTCAAGCACAATTCGATGGCCCGGATGCACTAGGCCCAATAGGGAAGAAGTGGAGGTCACGTGCTTGTCGTGTTCCTTACGTGAGCAAATCACGTCTCACGTCGCGCGTTGATTGCCTAGCTCCGATTGCTGCCTCGAGTACGCCGTTGGTTTATTTCATCCTCGGGGTCATCGTGGTTCTCTAGTGAATATTTCCATATTCTCTTAGGGTGTACAATACCAACTATGCCGTCTGACATTAGGAGCTTTTTTGGCGGGAAGCCACCGCAAAGCTCCGCTGAGTCGCCAAAACCTGCGAAGAAAGAGGTATGCTATCACCCTTTCTACATTCAATGCGGTCGCCTGTCGACGATCTGGGCCTAAATAGCGCTTCTCAATATATTGAGACCTTATAGCTGACTTGACCGCCTGCAGGACCCATCTGCAACAAGAAAAAGACGTATGGCACCTTCGTCACTTTCACATACTCCCCCGACCTAATCATACCATAGGTAGTAGAAAGGTGGTGGATGACAGCGATGACGAGGAAGAAGTCCCGCCTGTGAAGGCTACAACCCCGAAAGCAAAGCCCAAGAGCCAACCGTAAGCTCCCCCGCTACTCCGGTGGTCAAGCTCGTGACTTTTCTGACCTTAATCTTACAGGAAGCCCGAAGAAACGAAAGGAGAACCCACAACGACCTCAGATTACTTTGCTTCCAGCAAGAAGCGGGGAAGACAGGCCAAGACTGAACAACCCGTCGCCAAAAATGAAACACAGGATGACAAAACGACGACAGGCGAGTCTCCAGTGAAACTACCGAAGAGAGATTCTAGCAAGAAAGCCACAACTATTGTCGACGATGATGAAGGGCTCGGTGGCGATGATGTATTTGCCACGGAGTATAAAAGACGCGGAAAGGGTGATGATGATTATGTTGAAGGAGGGGACAGCGACGATGACGATGACGCTTTCGAAGTCCCGGAAGCCAAACCATCAACTGTATCCAAGCGCACTCAGAAGAAACAGCCAACATACAAAGAGGATGACGACGACGACGACTTTGAGGTAATGGAAGTTAAACCACCGGCTGCATCCAAGCGCACCAAGAAGAAGCAGCCAACCTATGATGAGGACGACGATGTTGTGATGGATGAACTCCCAGCACCTGCCTCCAAAGCAGCTCAACCGGGTCGCAAGCGCAAGTCAGAGGCTCTAATTGACAAGGACGAGGGTGGCAATTTCGAGGACGCTAAAAAGCCCGCATCTCGATCCAAGGCGTCCAAGGGATCCGATTCGCCAGCCGCGAAGAAACCTAAAGCAACTCCGAAGAAAAAAGAGGAGGTGCCGGAAAACAAGGAGATCCAAGATATCTTCGATAGCATCCCAACAGTCCGGCCTCCAACTCCCCCCCCAAGACGATGGCGAGAAGAAGAAATGGAAATTTGGTGAGCAACGCTCCCGCACTCCACCAACAACCGGGACCAAAGATATTCCCGTTGGCGCAGAAAATTGTCTCGCAGGGTTGGCCTTTGTTTTCACTGGTGTGCAGGAAACTCTCGGTCGAGAAGAGGGCCAGGAGCTAGTCAAGAGATATGGTGGCAAGGTGACTGGTGCGCCTAGCTCTAAAACCAGTTACGTTGTTCTTGGAAGTGACGCGGGTCCCTCGAAACTCAAGACAATTGCTAAACACAACTTAAAAACAATTAGCGAAGATGGACTTTTCGAGTTGATCCGCCGCCTGCCCGCTAATGGTGGTTCAGGAAAAGCTGCTGCGCAGTATGAGGCCAAACAGAAAGCCGAAGAAAACAAGATCCAACAAATGGCCAAGGAGATCGACGCAGAGGAAAAGAAGAAGGCGGAGGAGAAAAAGAAGCAGGCTGCTGCTACCAGCAATGCTCCTAACGCAAGCGCTCCACCCGCTTCGAAGGGTCCTCCCGTCGATGACCAGCTTTGGACCACCAAGTATGCACCAACATCTACTTCGATGATCTGTGGAAATAAGGCTGCCGTTGAGAAGATACAAAACTGGTTGCGCAATTGGCGCAAGAGTGCAAAGATGAACTTCAAAAATGCCGGCAAAGACGGCTCCGGAGTCTACCGCACGATCATGATTCACGGTCCACCTGGCATTGGCAAAACCACGGCTGCGCACATGGTCGCCAAGCTAGAGGGATACGATGTCATTGAATCCAATGCTAGTGATACACGAAGTAAGAAACTCGTTGAGAATGGCACTTTGGGTGTCCTTGATACTACATCTCTCCAAGGCTACTTTGCTGGAGACGGAAAGAACGTGGACAGTAACAAGAAGAATGTCTGCTTGATCATGGATGAGGTTGACGGTATGTCCGCCGGTGACCGCGGTGGAGTCGGTGCGCTTGCAGCCATTGCGAAGAAGACCAGCGTTCCACTCATTTTAATTTGCAACGAACGGAAACAACCGAAGATGAAGCCTTTTGACTTTGTCACGTTTGATGTTCCATTCAGACGCCCCACGGTCGAGCAGATTCGAGCCAGGTTATCCACAATTTGCTTCCGTGAGAAGCTGAAGATCCCACCTCCGGTCTTGGATAGCCTCATTGAAGGTACACATGCCGATATTCGACAGGTCATCAACATGCTCTCTACTGCCAAGCTGGACCAGGAGAGTCTCAGCTTCGACAAGGGTAAGGAGATGTCAAAGGCATGGGAAAAGCACATCATTCTCAAACCCTGGGATATTGTCAGCAAGATTCTCAGCGCCCAGATGTTCTCACCCAGCTCCACTTCTACACTGAACGACAAAATCGAGCTTTACTTCAACGACCATGAATTCAGTTATCTGATGCTTCAGGAGAACTACCTGAAGACCCGACCTACTCTAGCCGGAAATTACCACGACAGAGAGAAGAATTTGAAGCTTCTTGAGCTTGCAGACAATGCGGCTTCGAGTATCAGTGAGGGTGATTTGGTGGATCGCATGATTCATGGAACCCAACAGCAGTGGAGTCTCATGCCTACTCATGCTGTTTTCAGTTTTGTCCGACCAGCTAGTTTCCAGTTCGGAAACATGACCGAGAGGGCATCATTTGCCGGCTGGTTGGGTCAGAACAGTAAACAAGGTATGTCCTGCTTTGTATTTATTTCCAGCATAACAGCGCTAATCATTTTATCTAGGAAAATTGTCACGATTCGTCAAGGAGATACAAGGTCACATGCGTCTTCGTACATCTGGAAACCGTGATGAGATCCGCCAGCAATACATGCCCCTTCTCTGGGATAAAACTATCCGTCGTATGATGGATGAAGGCAAAGATAGCGTCGAGGACATCATTGATTTTATGGACTCTTACTACTTGACGCGCGACGACTTCGATTCAATGCTTGAACTTGGACTCGGGCCAATGGATCAGTCAAATGTCAAATTGGAGACACAGACCAAATCTACCTTCACGCGTCTGTATAATTCACGCTCCCACCCGATGCCTTTCATGAAGGCCAGCAACGTCGTTGCGCCTGCCAAAAAGGGTCCCAAGGAGAAGCCCGATATTGAAGATGCTCTTGAGGAGTCCGATGAAGAGGAGGTTGTCGAGGAAGTCAAGGATGAAGACGAGGAACTCGATCTCAAGAAAGACAAGTATGTCAGCCAACCTAAGAAGAAGGCGGCCAAGGGTGCTGCGAAGGGCAAGAAGACCACCAAGAAGGCAGCGAACGATGACTTCATTGACGATGACGAAGAGAAGCCTAAGAAGGCCCGGAAGAGTAGGGCCAAGGCCAAGGATTAATAAGCTGTCTCTTTCCATGTATCATATCTTGTGTTTTTTTCCAACAAGGAAGCGCTGTCCGCTGTTCATTTTTCATTTCATTGACGAGCATGAACTCACGTTCATAACTTGAGTTCTACCAGAGATTAATGTCATCCCGCAAAGTCCGTTTTGTGAAAGAAATTTGACTAAATTCCGTTCCCATGAATTCGGCATGCACCTTCTAACCAATCTATTTCACTGAAATCTTAACGCCTTTCTTTGTTTTAGCAGGACCTTTCAATATGTGCTCGCTCCTGGTTATCTCTTTACTTGCTGCCCTTAACCTGAGATTCGGGCACGGCTACTGTGGGAGCGGGGGCTTTCTCGCTATTCGACACAGGATCAACATTCTTCTTCCCCAACGCATGAATACCCCGATGCTTAGCCGCCCACTTCTTGCCTTCCTCCTGTAGTCTCGCATCATCGTCACGTTTAAGGCTGGTGCTGCGGACGAAGAAGATGGTTACGAAGAAGGAGACGCAGCAGCATGCAACCATAAAGTAGTAGATGTTGCGAATCCCATGGCCTGGAAAGGTTAATACATTACGCCTCGTGTAGCAAGGAAGAGAGAGAACATACTATAGGCTCGAATGGCTGCTGACTTTTGTGCTGCGGTAATGTCCAATGATCCCGAGCTGATTTGCGTGGGATCGGAGATGATCTTGGATAGGACCGCGGAGGATACCGTGGATGATAACTCAGTCCTTCGGAAAGAACCAACGTCAGTTCAATTGTCCTTCTGAAACTTGAGACCCAGCTTTCTCAGGCATGTCGCGTGAAACTTACCGGACAGTGTTATTCAGAATCGCACCACAGGCAGATAAAGCTATAGTTCCACCCAACAAACGCAGAAAGTTTCTGGTGGCAGTAGCAACAGCCATCTCCTTCCGTTGAACATTGGCCTGGATAGCAACCAGATTTGTCTGAAGCGTCTGACCAGACCCGATTCCACTGAGAATCTGATATCCGACTAGTCGTCCGAGAGATGTTGTTGGTGAGATCGTGGAAAGCAGACCACATGCAACAGCCCAGATGGCAAAGCCTGCCCACATATTGATGGTGTAGTTCCCTGTCTTGGAGACAAGGAAGCCGGAGGTAAATGACACGACGCATTGAGTCACAACTAGTGGGAGGAGTAGCACACCGGATCTGATTGGGGAGGCCGAGTAGACGACTTGGAAGAATTGGGGGAGCTATATCTGATCAGTAAATTGACGGTATATGTGACGAGGGTGTTTTTACGTAGTATAAATTGGCATAGAACATGAAACCAGTGAAAAATGCACCGCACAATGCACCAGCGACTGTTGCATTCTTGAAGATATGCACTATAATAGTGTCAGTTTTCCATAGCAAATGGCACAGGGACAATTTCACGTACTCGGGATGAGTGGTAATTTTGCAAATTTTATTTCCACTAGAATGAAGAGGGCCAAGAACACAATACCAAGGACAAGAGGAGCGATGACTCCAGCCGAGTTCCAGGCGTACTTAGTGCCTCCCCTAGAGCTATGTCAGTGTTGAACGCATACATATTAGAAGGGTTCACTCACCAGGAAATTGGTAGCAATATCAAAACAGCCGCGATAAGCATCGTAAGACATCCCAGATAATCAATCTGCTTGAATCTGACCATCATATCTCCTTTGACTCTCTTCAGAGGTAGGACTAGCAAGACAACGAGAATAGAAATGCTAGTCAAGGGAATGTTGATGTACTGTATACCCCTAGAAGTTAGTATCAATTCCTATATCAAGCACATGAAGACTTACGAAGCACCATCGCCAAGAGACCTTCTCGGTGAAAAGACCACCGACAAGAGGACCAATGGAGTTGGACAGAGCAACAACCACACCGATGACACCTTGATAGGTACCTCGCTTCTCCAAAGAAACAACGTCAGACACAGTGATCATGACTGATGTGAGAATGCCACCACCACCGACTCCCGCGATTGCGCCTACGCAATTGGTGTCAGTTTAAAAGAACATGTATAAGGAAGGGAAAGTTCCAAAAAAAAAAAAAAAAAATAGACATACGGAATACAATGAGCATGATCATACTCGTGGATACCGCGGACAAAATAGACCCAAATAAGAAAAAGGCCATACTGGTAAGAAGAATGATCTTCCGGCCAAAGATATCGGACAGACGCCCATATAGCGGTTGGCATGCTGTAGATGTGAGAAGGTACGATGTTCCAACCCATGACTCAACTGATGCATCATGAAAAACACGTCCAAGAGTTGGAAGAGCGGTGGACACACTATGGTTCAAATAAGCATGTAAGTCTTCCTTCAAGCCAAGTAAGATCTTACATAGTTTGATCAAGAAGCGCGCCTAGAAAGTAGGTGTCACGTCAGCGCTGGTAATACATAGTAGAGCGTTTAGGTTCTTACAGAATAAAGCACAACTCAGACCCACAAAAACAATTAGCAGTTGTTTCACGGGCAACAAATTCGTCTGGTCTTGCAATTTGATCTTCTCATTGACAGGATTGTCACTGGCAAGTTGTTGTGCCTCGACATGGTCTGATTTATCTCCACGATCGGCTTCATTTGCGGGGGAATGTGGTTCTAGAATGCCGGTTTGCCGAGGTGGCACTGGAGAAGAACGCCCATCCATATTTTAAGCGGGGCGCCGAGACCTAGATTCGATGACCGTCTGGGGTAATATCAATCAGAAGTGACTTTTTCGGAGGTGAACTTGAGTATGGACAATGGTCTATTATATATTTATTCGACAACGAAGAGTGAAATAGACCCCGCGTGATATAAAGACGGTGAAGAGTTGAGAAGAGATTTTCTTGCAGATAACAAGCTTGGAAGATAGCATCGGATTTAGATCCGGCGAATTCATCGATCTTGTTTTGACGGTTAATCGGCATTTTCCTGCTCTGCTCCACTCTAGGAAATCATCGCCGAACCGCATGCGTCTCTGCATAAGCGATATCTCCGGGAAGCTCGCTTTGTCAAAGAATGCAGTATACTAGGGTCTGATTTGAGCACGTGCTTTAGGCTATTTTCTCGCCAGTGAATTCTGGTTATCCCTTGCGCTGGAATTCAAGCTTCGGTCATAAAGAGGGAAAAGGTGCTTTATCTCCATAACTGCGAAATCATTACCAGAGTCACTCTTCGGAGTTCTCGCTTACACATCTGTCTTTATCAACGCCTTTTGAGGTATTGCGCTTCTATAAGCGAGCGTTTAATTTAATATAGCTGCATTCTTTCATTAGGACCAAAAGCTCCCGACTATCTCCCCTAGAGTTGGAATAACCATGCGCTCCTTTACTACCCGTGGCCTATCTTTCTCCCCAGAACCATCATTATTGATTTTTTGGATAAAAAATATCGAGATTTAAAGACATCTGAAATTAACGTAGCATGAAAGTTAATAGAGTCAGGCGCTACTCTAGTAGCATAGACAATATTAAAGATAGAAGCATCTACTCTCCAACCTCTCTGTCCATATCCCACTGCACCCACTTCATGACTCGCCAGCTCAAAGTCTTCTCACGAATAATTTTCCCCCAGAAGAACAATGGGATCCAGAAAACAAGAACTCCACCACAAATTGCAGCCATCTCTCCATAGGCCACATTATAGCCATGAATATCCACCCAGGGGTTCGTGTAAAATCCAAGCAAGAAACCAAAGGCAGACTTAAATGCCAGCTGGGTAACAACGATCTCTCCAGCGATGGGACGGTAGCTGTCAATTGTGTAGACTAGCGAGACATTGGTAGCCTGGGTGATAGTAAAGTTGACTAAAAGATGTTAGAATACGACCCACAAATCCATGCCTGCATGAAGGAGACGGGAAAAACTTACTAAGACCAATACCAATGGTAGGAACGATCCAGTGCATCTTCCACTTAATACCACAGCCATACAAAGCCAACGCAAGAGGACCAGTAATGACACTAATCATCATGGCAGGAAGACGCATCTCCGGCTCACGAATACCATTGTTCCGACGTGTGAACACATCAGCAACCCAATCGGAAAGATGTCCACCAAGCATAATACCAAAGATACATCCGATAATAGCAGAAACGAAGCAAAGACCAGACTGCCATGCCGCGAACCCGTATGTGTCGGAGAATGCGGTTGCGACGTTGGAGGTGATGGCTGTGATGAATCCAATAGTGACCGACATCACAAGGGTAGCCCAGAGCACAGGTGGGAGGATCAAAAGCCCAACAGGTCGGATCGTCATTTGCCACAGGGACTCGTCCGTGTATTTTCCATGATATAGCTTCAAGCCCTGAAGCCAACCCCGGTTTTTATCCGTCTCTTGAGTGAGGACTTCTTCCTGGACCTCGGAAACTGCTTTTTCGCCCTCTCCCGGCGTACTGCGACGGATGCGCTGACCGGAAGGTGACAGTGTGGTAATGCTGTCGGACATAGCTGGGGCTCTGATATAGGCTGTCTCGGGGAAAGTTGCATACACGATGAGGGTAATGGCACCGATCAGGGCGATTGCGACATAGTAGATATAGCGCCATGGATGGAACTTGACGATAAATCCATCAACAATGGCGCCGGAAGCGACACCGAAGTTCAGGGAGGCATTGTAGAGACTGAATAAATGTCAGACAGATGTTCCACGCATAGTTTCTCTCAAGGCTCTTACGCTGTGATAGCTCCACGCTCGTGCAAGAAGAAAATATCGGCAATTGTAATAGGGGCAAGACACTCTCCTGCTCCAGCTGCAATGCCCATGATGATTCTTGCGACGAGGAAATTCGCATACTGCTTGGCGACGGCACACCAGATGGCTGTGATGAAATAAATGGTGAAGGAGGTCACATAGACGGCTCGGCGTCCGTACTTGTTAATCAAAGGCATCCAGAGCAGATTACCCAAGCCCTGGAAGAGGGCCGTGCAATTGAAGAAGTAGGCTGTTTTGGCAATCGCGCTTGAGATACCCGTTGTTTTCCAGTCGGGAAAGAAGTCCTCTGCGGTTTGAACGATTGCCAGTGTAGGACCAGCAGCAAGGAAATTGCAAAGAACCATGGCGAGACATACTGCAATGGCAGTGTATAGCTTGAACCATCGTGGCCTAGAAATCATCAGAGAGACTCAAACGGACAAGACGCGAATTTTGTTTACCAATTAAGTGGGTCTTTCGGATCCGATGAAGGTGTAGGAACTAGGATGACCTCGTTGGTCTCGGAATCTCGCAGACGAAGATGACCAAGGGTCTTGGTCTGCGGTCCCTTCTCGTCGTGCTCGGAGAAGCCCTTCTCATAACGCTCTTTCACTTGTGTATGTGCCATGGCAGGAGATGTCCGTTAAGTGACTGGCGATCATCACCAAACATGGGGCTTGTTGTGGTATATAAACAATCTTTCAGCTCGATATAGTGCATCCTAGTATATTTGTGCGGGGCCCCACATAATCTGGGGAAGCTGTTGAGGTCCACTTCCCGGGGCGTGGAGGACACTGCTATCTGGTTGGCAAGTGTTTGATGGCTCAGCCAATCACAGTAATGGCTGGTACGCCAGTCAAAGTGGCCCGCTGATCTTTCTCCTCAGGGATTGTCAGGTGAAGGTACTAGCCCCAGCTTAGTTTGTAGCCGTGCTAACCCCTCGAACCTGCCAAGGATCATTTTCCATGGCTAGATTGGCATTCTTTCCGAGTGCAAATAGCTAAAATTGATCTTCAATGCGCATACTATCTGTCAGGAAACCAAGAGAAGCACACTGCAGACTTGCAAGTTGCATAGTGAGGGGGTATTTGCAAATGGGTCGATCATTCTTAGACTGGGCCACCAGGTGTTCGAGGAAGTGGAGGACAACTCCCGATATTGCGTAGGCAGAACGCCGGGTGGCGGACATTGTCCAATCAATGGAATCGTGGGTTACCACCAATGCGTACTGTCCTTCATTTGAATTTTCCTTGGTTCGTATGGTCCAGCAGTCGGGATCCCGAAGGACCAAATGTGTACGAAGAGGGTAGATGAGGGGTACTCTAGGGAAGAAGCAGATTGTAATTATGGTCCATGTTGATTTTCGAGAGATATGGGAGTCTATGTGGGGAGGATGAACTACCCTGAGGTATCAACTCAGATATTCCATTATGTACCCTACCCCGTTATTCAGTCTTGGCATCCTTCCTGTTCCCCAGCCTTTTCTCGCCTTTCGGCGCATTTCGCTTTCTCAAGCTCCCGGTCTGCTTTTTTCTTCAAGCTCTGCTTTCCTCCACCCAGCAGCAAATCTCCACTGTACAAGCGGGCCACCCAATGCGAACAATTGAATACCAGCACATATCGTGAAGGTCACTCCAACTCCAACTGCATCGATGAGTGGCATGACAAAACTCGTGCCTCCAGCAGCGAACAAGCATCGAGCGAGATTAATACTGGCACTAGCTGCCGCACTCTTTTCATGGTAAATATCCACGAGATAGGTCATGATAACGGATTGCATAGATACGACCGTCCATCCCGTAATGAAGGTTGAAATGATTGGGACCGCAATATGGACTGAGTACTGGATGGTCCAGCCAAACAAAATCAGAGAGAGACATTGCAGCACAGCAAAGACAGGGATGAGTCGGAGACGAGCCTTTTCGAGAGGGAAGTCCTCTTGCTCAGTCGTACGGAGCCCATCCATACATACTTCAATATTCGCAGCTGATCGAGCTTCAAACTCAGCCTTAATTCTCCGATAGTCCATGTCGAGTATTCTGCCGGTGATCAATGTCCCAACCATTGACCCAACTCCGTTGGCGATGAAGGTCAGGCCGATTTGTGTCTCGCGCAAGCCGTATCGATTTTTGAAAAGAGACGACATAGCGGTGATGCTCATCTGCCACACCGCATAATAGATTGCGAGGAATACGATGATAGGGGCAGCATGCTTGCGTATAAGGATACAAAATGGGCCAGTGAGATCTATTCGCTTCTTCTCACCAGGCGGTGGTGTTGTATCCTGATCCCATTCAACTTTTGTAGTTTTGTGGTAGAAATTGAGCGGATATTCAGCCATCCAGTTCGAAGGAACCCGACTTCCATTTGCGACCACTGACCGCAGAGTCTCCGGAAGTAGAGCTAGCAATGCCAAAAAGAAAACGCCGCTGTATATGACCAAGAGCCAAAATATTGCTCTCCACCCCAGAGTTCCCGCTAATGCACCTCCAATCACTGGGCCTGCGGCAACTGGGACAAGCAATCCCGCTTGGAAAATACCCATGAAACCTCCACGCTCTGCACGGGTAGTAATATCACCAATGACGCCAGATCCAATAGCAATCGTGCTAGCACTACCAGCACTCTGAAGGCATCGTAGAACAATCAAAGTGGCATAATTCTTTGCTTCTGCCAGACCGATGCAAGCGCCGAGGAAGACGATAAATGTGCCAGCATACGCAATCCGACGCCCTTTGACGTCTGAGATAGGACCCCAAAGATTTGGTGCAATGCCTTGAAATATCAGATAAGAGGTAACAGTCAGGTTGATTTGCTCTGTGGAGACGTTCATGTCCCCCGCGATGGTCGGTAGAGCGGGAAAGTAGATATTTGAAGCGAAGCCGGAGACTACTAGCAATTAGGGACAGATAACAATAAGTATGAGTTTGTTGGAACTTACAAGTTGCAGCAGTGGATACAAGGGCAATAATGAGCCATTTTTGCCTTTTATCAAAAATGCTGTAGGGCGCTTCTGGAGACGAGGCCGGTGACTTTGTAGCCGGAGCATCGGTCTGCATACCGGATTTTATTGACATGTGTGCTTCCAGAAAGATTGAAGACTAGTACGAGCGTGGGTGAATAAGTTGTCACCAGATTAATGATTTACTTAATGCCAGAGTCTTATCCGATGGATCAACAGACGTTCTTTATACCCATGGGTTGCATGAAATATGTGGAGGCGACCGGAGTTGAGCATATAGTACTTTCGGAGTTGAGGTTCTCAACTCCGTCAACTCCACACTTCCAGAAACTGCGACATTTCATACAAGAATGCCATCCTCCATAGAGTTCCTAGGGAACGCGCCAACTTTTTTTTCACTTTGCCGCCCTTGCATTACCCGCCGTGCGTGCAGGATGTTACAGCGTAAAGCATAGTCCCAAACTCATCGATTTCTTCTAACCAGTGATCCACTCTTCTGCTTCTTTTTGCAATATCAGGTGCATCCATATCAGGGGGAACCGGCCACAACTCATCAATAGTGAGGCTTTTGTCTGTCCATTCCGCGAGGTGAATATTGTATTCTCGTTCCCACTCACTCCGAGATCGAGCGTGCCAAAGAGGCTTGCTAGCAGAAGAAGGGAGACCAAGTAGTTCTGTCGCGAGGAAAGTAGGAAGAGCTTCCTGGGTAGAGAGGACACTGTCGAAGAGATACATCACGTATAATGTTCTCCGTTTTGTCTCGGTAACAATCCATTCCTCCCATCTAGGGCGTGTGTGATCTTGATCAGCCACGCACATAAGGCCTTGTTTAGACGAAAGGTGTGCAAGAGTCTGTAGGTTCATCATAGCGGGGCGAAGTTGATTTTGTGGTCCTTGATGGAGTTTGAAGAACAATGCAAGGCAATAAATGAGATATGCTTGAAACGCACCCAGTAGCGAAAGCTCATTATAGCTCTCATGACATTCCATGATGTTTTCCATCTCTCTTTGAAGGACCATCACAGCAGTGACTTCGCTTCCCGGTAGAGGGTTTTCGCATATCTTAATCAAACTTAAGCATGTTTTCAAAGGCGAGCTAGCCGTTTGTTCCGATATTTGTGCGGAGTGGACGAACGGTAAAGTCCCATGGCCACGAGCTGCAACGGCTGCGTAAGACTTCAGTATTTGGGAGATAAAACTAGAAACGCCGGAAGGATACTGCTTTATCTTCTGTCCGGGAACTGGAATGTAAGGGTTCATCCAGCGAGTCGTAATTTCGTCGGTATTGATAGGGCAGAAAAGCTCAAGATTTGAAAAGTCAAGTTCGGCCTTCTTGAAGGATATTGGGTTTAAAGTGTGTGTATTTGATGATGCAGTACGAGTATGTTCGCGCTGCCCCACAGGCTGTGCCCATGGTTCAGTCCAAGCTTCTGAGTGGCTGTCTGATGGCAGTCCACAGAAGCTTGGTACCAGTGAACCGGGTATAGAATCCGGCCTTTGCGGGCTTGGCCCGCCCTGGCTTGGGCTCCTCTCTTTCGAGGAGCACGTTTGGGGATAAACACATGGGACCTTGCGCTTTGCACATCTTGAACACCCCGTAGCTTTTCGATCGCACTTGGCTTTTGCCACTGAACAGTGCTGGCAGGCCTTTTGCCGAGAAGTGGCATACCTCGAGGTCTTCATGTCGACGTTCGACCCAGGTCTTCTCGGCAGGGTGGACTTCTCCTAGCATTCGAGTGTACTAGCCAGGTGGGGGCAGAGGAATTGAGCAATCAGTTCTGTTCAACTTGATACCTAGTGCGTCGACCCTGGGACCTTGGGAAGGACGTGTATAGTTGATATGTGGGTGCACATGTGGGAAAAGGGTTAGGAGGGATGACCAATTCCCTAGATGACTTGAGCTCAAAGAACATCGGTCCTGAGGTCTCCGATTTTGATATTTCATGAGGCGTCATTATCTTAACAAGTGGCTCCCGTTGAAATTTACTATCGAGGCTGAAGGGATAGATACTTTACGTAGGTAATTCATGTTAACCGTGCCTTGCCGTTCTAATGGCATTGGTTACTATGGTCGGACACGGATAAATATAAACAAGCAGCGCAAGCCCTGGATGAAATTTGACATACTTTAGAAGTATTCTTCATTCAATGAAGTACATAATTTGTATATGCTCAATGATATGCTCAAAATACAAATTAATATCAATTACACGTCCAAGTGCACATAAAGTAAAAAAGAGTATACAGAGTGTGGTCACTGGGCGGGGAAATGATCTGCGGAGAACCGCCACCGATCAACTTGATCAACTTGACTTGACCCTCCACTCCATGCACTCCGCGTTTACAACGTTTCAACGTGCCAACTTTCTATTCCTCAGGCTGGCCCTGCTCAGGAATCCCTTCTCTTTCTGAAAGCGTATGCTTCTTTTATGCAGCACGTGCCCTCTGTGAGCATGCCGTGTCAGCTTTAAAGCACTTCCGTTGCGGTTGAGATCCATCACTCGACCTCATCGACTGGGTTGTGCATTTTTCGCTTGGTACTAGACCTGTCTCAAGGGCTCCGAGAAAATGTCTCTCCTTCACAATGAAGAGTAGGTTGACTGTCAAGGCGTTGTCCTTATCTCCCTCCCCTCGGTACGATGTGCGCTGACCTAACCGACACAGCTTCACTATCTGGCAATTACGATCTTCCTACCTTACCACAATCAAAGACGGCATTGGAGACCGATTGATAAATGTCAACAACTCCGTCCTCAATACCCCTGGATTTCGCGCCGCGGGCTGGTCGACCGCATCCACCAACAATAATGCCAGCAGCGCATCCTCACTCAAACGTACCTACTCCCCGCCCATTCCTACCACGGCAGCAGTCTCCTCAGAATACTACCGGCTTGCGGTACGAGATGCGAATGCCGCACGGGATGAGCTCCAAGGCCTTGGTTTGGAGGACGGCGAGGAAGACGAAGGTGGCATGGTCACTGGGAAGAGCACCGTGGATATCACAGCCAGACGGCATCAAGATCGAGCCGCGAAGAAGAAGCAACGACGAGAACGTCAACAGGAAGTCCAGCGACAAGCGGTTGCGGAAGACGATGATAGCAGTGACCTGAGCGACAGTGATGATGATGGGGACAATCTACGACGGTTAGTGTACCACTGTTTGTTGACCGTGTGCATACACCTCTAACTCGAGATACAGGTCTACCGATCAAATTGATTTCCCAAAGATGCCCATTCGCCGAGAGCGATCGGATTCTTCCCCTATTCGGTCGGGAGAACAACACGAGCGATCCGAGCTCATGATCCCCGCAACCCAGAACGATACGAACCATCACCGAGCAGGGTCCCTGGGGACGTCTGTCAAGAGTCAAGGACGCCGGCCGCGGCGTGATACCGCTACAAGTAGTGAGCTATCAACGGATAACGAGGTTGATCCTCAAGGGTACAGGCCGGGGCAGGTTCAGTTCTCGACCACCAATGAAGTGATGGAGCGGCCCCGTAGACGGCGAGAGAGGACTGGTAGCCGCGGGGCGGAAAGTTTGGCCCTCGAGGACTTGCAAGAGCAAGACGAGGATTCCGGGGCCGAGTCGGTGGGATCAGCTCTCTCCTCCGAATTTGATGCTACGGCCGGGTCTGGCTCACTGCTACTGGCTGGTGTGGGCATTAGCAGTGCCTTGGATTCATCTTCCCCGGTGGCCCTCATGCATAAATTGCCGACCGGGACTGGCCCTCAGAGCAACTCTCCCAGAAAGTCGAAGACAGTTCCAACCCCCGGGCTACAGGATCTTCCACCACCACGACCTATCAGCACCGTGCAGCCTGTGAGCTTGCTGGCCCTGCAACTTAAGGCCCGGACACGCGCTCCAAGCAACCCGGTAGAGAAATTCATGGTGCTTTCTGGATCGGGACAGGCAGACCCATTGTACCTGAAAATCTACCTTCCATTTTCATCCGATCCTGATGAACCACTGGATCTACCACTCATGAGAGAATCCAAGCTCTCCGATCACCCTGCGCATGTTACCGTCGCCGAAGCGATTGGTCTAGCCCTTTGGAAGTACTCCGAAGACGCGCGACTTCCCACTCTAGAGCGCGAGAAACTGAATGTGAATCGCTGGGCATTGCGAATGGTTGACGATGGCGAAGTGGAGTATGATTTCCCGGCTCTTGGCCGCGCACTTCCCATGACGGACTTTACATCAAACAATAATCAAGCTGCGAAATCGCGAGGACGCTCACGTGGAAAACCATACGATGAGTTTGCACTAGTTGAAGCGTCCAAGGCTGAGTTCGAAGAGAACGAAAGACTATATCCTCAATACAGCCAGAGTCTAGGATCCGAGGAAAGTGAACCGGTGGCCGTGGTCCCAGGCGCCCAGCCCGTACCACAGATCAAACTCACACTTGGGCGTCAGAACCCAATCCTGGGTCAGCCGTTCTCATCGGCCCTCAATGACAACACATTGACTCCCGCGGATCGACCAGCAATTCCCGTATCGCATGCGACACCTCGTCTTGGAGTTACCAAGACCCTGAAGATTCGATTCCTCAACCTCGAAGGCTCGGCACACGTTATGACCTTGAACACAACCACCGATAGCTACATTGCGGAGATTCTAGACTCTGTATGCAAACGCTGGGGGCTGGATAAAGGAAATTACCTTCTAAAGGTTATGGGATCAAACACCGTTGCACCTCTCGATCGGACGGTGGAAGCTCTCGGAAATATAACCGAACTCGACCTTGTCAGGCGACGTTTCGGTGCAGGGCCCTCAGCATTTGGTGGTTCACCGGGCAGCTCGTCGCCGAACGCTCCACTTCAGGTGGACAACAACGCCGCCACTTCAGCTGTAGTAAAGAAGGGCAAGAAAGGTACCAATATGCTCCCGTCTTCTACTCAGAAGCAGGATCTGATTGGAGGTTACTACCGTCGGTACCATGTCTACCGCAAGCAACCCATGTCTTTCACCGCTTCCAATCATCGCATCCTCACATTCGATAACGACTACATGCATATTGTCCCTGGAGAAACAGGCAAGACTGCCTCCAATTCCAAGACTCGTTCCATCAACTTCAATGATGTGGTGGGTTGTAAAGTGAGTCGGCGGCACCCGAAGAGCTTCCGCGTTGTTGTTCTGCGTGGCAACGAAGCCAATGAGCAGAAGCGGTATGACTTTGAGGCTCGCAACGCCTTAGAAGCAGTTGAGATCGTGGACGAAATCAAGAAGAACATGGCGCAATATCGTGTTTGATTTTCTAGGGCTTACCTTTTACCCGAGGCTGGTTCTAGAACTGGCGTCATTGGGTATTTATGGGATGGTTGGGATTGGAGTTAGGTATTTATGATCGTCAAATCTTAGCATTTCGAAACTTTCAAACAACCCATTTAAATCACGCATACGATGGTTAGAGCCTCATGCATTCAACTTTCTTTAGTTTCAACTACTGTACCCAATCAGACCCGTCGGCCACGACAGGTGTTTCGGCCCCCTCGGATGGCTGTGGATCAGGTACATTGTCTGAGCTTACCCGTGTCAATCTAGGCAGCTCCGTTAGAACAGATAAATTCCCTACTGCCCTGTCATGGCCAGCCCTGTAAACACCCGAGGTCATCAAACCTCTGAGACAACATATCAGCTTTACAAATGGGGTCTCCCAAACCCACACTAGAGGCATTGACAAAGTCTCAACCCACCCCAGAGCTCTTCTACGAATCGCTTAACCCAAACGGCTCAGAAACCATTTTACTAATTCACGGCGCCTGCGGCAACCATAAAGAATGGAACAACGTCGCACCAGACCTAGTCCAAAAAGGCTACCACGTCCTCCTCCCGGACCTTCCAGCGCACGGCAACTCAAAAATCCAACCCTTTAACATAAAGTATGCCACAGACCTGATTATCAACTTGATAGCCACCCAAGCCAGACAAAGCCGCGCTCATGTAGTAGGCCTAAGCCTGGGCGCGCACGTTGCAGCCTGTATAGCCGAGCACGCAAAACCAGGCACAATACTATCCGTCATCGCATCGGGGTACAACACCATCCCACAACCGCGCTTCGTTACGCCCTTGATAATACCACCTATATACGTGTTACATCATCTGCTTAATTTCGTGGCTTGTCCGCGAGGAGAGCTGGCGCAGTTGAAGAATGGGGATGCGGGGTATGGGCTGATGGCGGCGGTTGTGAGGGCTATTTTTGAGCCAAGGGTTATTGGGGAGATTCGGGTTAGACTTTTGGCTGTTTGTGCTGCTTCTCCCGGGTCATACTTGGCTAGGGATAAGATTGACTGTTCGAAGATGCTTCTTGGGTGTGTTGTTGGTGTGGATGGGAGTCGGGCTGTTTTACATCGCGGTGTTAGACATGCGTGGCATATAGAGGAGCCGGTGTTGTTCGCGGAGATGATTCTGGCTTGGGTTAGAGAGGAGAAGCTGGATGATGCATTTGAGGATATCAAGTAAATATAGATGCGAGATGGTTTCTTCTACTCTATAATGGCGTATGTAAATAAATAAAGTTGATCGCTTTGTATAGATGCGCGATAAGATAAGGATTCTGACTAATAATCTCCAACTTAGACGTCACTTCTACACATTTTCATGCCAGGCACGACACTCACTTAAATAAACCTCCCGGCATGGAGAGCACAGAGAGGGTCAACAGTCCTCCCATGGAGTCTATGGGCAATGACAACCCTCAAAAAGAACGAACTCAAACCCAACCCAACGGCAAATTCCGCTTCAAAAGCAGCAGCTCTCGCTCAAAACACTCCTCACGCAAGCGCCACCACAGCCCAAGCTCAAGCAAACCCAGAGAAAGGACTCACAAACGCCGCCCACCCCACCGTCCCTCAAGCCATGTCCAAGACAACCCAGATTCACAATCCCGCTCCCTCTCCCCCGGCGCCGCATTTCGCGAATCCCTCTTCGACGCAATGGGCGACGATGAAGGCGCCGCATACTGGGAAGGAGTATATGGCCAACCAATCCACACCTACGCGGTCCCCGAAAAAGAAGGACCAAATGGCGAACTTGAGCAGATGAATGAAGAGGAGTACGCTGCGTACGTTCGCGCACGGATGTGGGAGCGCACACGCGAGGGCATGCTAGATGCACAGGCGAAGTGGCGCGAGGAGCAACGGAAGAAGAAGAGTCGTGACCGTGGACGAGCAGAGGATGCGGAGCGGAGATCTTTTGAGCGGGCGATGGAGGATAGTCTGAGGCGGGGGGCGGAGCGGAAGAAGAGGAAGAGGTGGGGGGAGGTATGGGAAAGTTATCTTTCGCGTTGGGAGGAGATTGGAAAGATTGTTAAGGAGGGGGAGAAGAAGGATGGGGAAGCGACTGCAACTACGACGAAACCTTTGCGGAATTTACTGTTTTGGCCTGTTGAGTCTGGGAAGAGGGTTGATGTTGCGCCGGCATCCGTGGAGGAGTTTATGCGACATGCGCCTGATTCCGCGGATTTGGGAGTTATTTTGAAGGCTGAGCGGGTGCGGTGGCATCCTGATAAGATTCAGCATCGGTACAGTGGGCTTGGGATTGACGATGTGGTTATGCGCAGTGTCACCGAGGTGTTTCAGATTGTGGATCGGATGTGGAATGAGGAGCGAGAGCGGAAGGGTTGATTTACAAGCTAATGACTGGAGTTGATTTCGCATGGCATGGCGTTTTATACAGATGATACCCAAAATTTTAGATTTGCTTTTACCAAGTTGCATAACAGTGAAAATCTTATCGTGACTGTATTCATTTCAAAGAACAGGAAGCTGCCTAAACAAAAACACGAATCAAGAGATAAACAGGCTATGCAAGACCAAGTCGTTCGATACAGACTGGGGCGACTTCATATTTAGGAAATTATGTATTCCAGTTTTCTTGTTTGATAACTGCGCTACAGCCATATAGGCCGTTAGATCAGAAGCGCGAGGAACGCGTCTTGGTCCGGTAAACAGTCCATCCGAAGTAAGCACCAGCAACGGCACCGAAGAAGAGGACAATCTTGAACAGGAACCAGGTCCAACTGCCGGTCTTCTTCTTAGGTCTGACGCTGGAATTGCGGCCACGACCACGTCCATTGTCCTTGTCCGAGCCACGGCTGCCGCCAGCGCTGTTACGACCAACGGAGTACAGGTTCTCGGCCTTGAGAGAGATGATATCGTGGTTGTCGCTCAATTCACCAGTCTCGGCGGAGAGACCCAGGTAAGCAACAGAGGGAATGGCGATGTTGGAGTCCTCGGCGTTGAGGTTGAAGCACTCGACCCACGTGTCCTCGGTCTTGTACTGAAGTTCCAGGGAGAGGGACTTGTCTTGGAAGTAGGTGAGACGGGCTTTGGTGGGAACGGGGGCGTTACGGAGACCGCGAGCCTAAATAGAGGAATCCGCATTAGCTAAAATGTACTTCCAACTGAGCATTGAAACTTCAAAATTAACTCACAGAGCATCCGGCAAGCTCGTTAGCCTTGCCGTCGTGCGCCTGGTCGTAGGTGGTCTCGCCGTCACCCATCATGGCCATGACGTACGGGAACGAGACACCGGGACGGTTGTTCTTGTAGGTATCAAAGAAGATGCCGAGACCCTCGAAACGGTCTGTAGAACCGAAGACAGGGCCCTGCGTGGCGCGCTGCTTGGTGAGCCAAAGCGCGAAGCCATCACCGTGCAAGTTGCCATTGCCGTGGATCTCGAATTCCAGTTCGATCTGGACAAAGTGTGAGCGATTTGTGTCCTCGTTCCATGACCTGTAGTACATCTAATGCCGCTGGCACTCACCTGCCAGTTTGTCGCCGTCAAAGGCACGCGGGAGTAGATCCATCCTTGCTGCGAGGGGCGGTCGGCTGTGAGACGGATGTATCTTGGAAAAAAGTCAGCACTGCACGTATCGCATCTACATTTTCACACGCAGGCAGTCTCACTTATCAGCCCGAATCACTGTATCTCCTCCGAAGTCGAACCAGCGGCTTTGGAAATCCGAATCGAGGTAGGGCTGTCGCGGATGTCAACAATGGCTGTCTGGGATCGCGTTTCTCGGCAACGCTTGTCATTGCAGCAAAAGCTGACGAGGAAGGTTTTAGGTATCATACCGAAGTGAGACTGTGGGTTCGGAGCTATAGTGGCGGGATCGTCAGTACCTCGGTTGCAAGACGGTGTAAACAGTGAAACGTACAGGAATGCTTTTGATATTGGGGTCATCGTAGGCATTGACAGGCACGGAGACCAGGCCAGCAAGGCACAGGAGAGAAGAAAGAGTCGGCAGACGCATATTGAAGTCGAATTATGGCCCAATTGGGAGAAGCTCAAGGATAGACCGGGGGTGGGATGGATGGGGCTGCGGTGTCACCAGGACCCGAGAACCCAGGGACGTTGAAACGAATAGAAAGAAAGAAAAGAAAACGGCGAGAGGCGTATAGAGAGAGCGAAAGCCGGAATGTGGTAAAGTTGGAAAAGACTAGAAGTTGGAAGGGACCGTATACGAGTGCGTGTACTTGAAGGCTAAGGTGTCCACTATGTAATTTGTGGCGCAGCGAACAGCCTCAGCCACACCGCCGATCCTGACGAAACGCCTTTCAAGGCTGGTTCTGAATAACTTCATCCAACTAGCAATTCAAGCAAACTCGAATAAGCCCAAGCCCCAACTTATTCATTCTTGCAAAACTCTCAGATTATATTTCGCTCAGAAATGGCATACCACCACTATTCGAACCAGAGTGCATGACAATAAATCTATGATTCGATGCATTCAAAGGATTTTTCGAACTGTAAACCATAATTGTTATCAAACACCCAAGTAGCCTTTTTGACATGGCTCTATTCGTCTAGATAGTGATTATATTGATTATCCCTTGCATTCACTACTGCCACAATTGATTTTATTTACCTGCTTGGAGTATGCAGGGGAAGATGCAGGGACTTGAAAGACTATGGATACGATATAATGCGACAATTTAGGTGCCTTGACGGTATGCACGAGGGTTGGAAACAGGTGTCTACTTGAAGCAAGAGCCTAATAAGGGAATCTGATATTTCTGCTATGAAGTGCTAATTGACAGTCTATTTGAACCCTAAGCCAGGACTCCCATAGGATCCCACCGGGGCAATACCTTAGGAGTCTGCGTCAGAATTGACCGAACCTCGCCTGAAACATAGTTCGAATCCACAACCGCCTGGAAGGTATACTCATCCATCCATCGATCAGTCATAACAAACCAACCCTTCTCTCCAGCAGCCTCACCCCACGAATTCTCCACACGCCAGCGAACAGGCTTATCATTCTCGAGATGTACGGCCGTGATAACCATAGCGTGAGTCATGGATGACTCCCCGCTGGCGAGGCGCTCAGCCTTGTTCATGCCAAGCGAGACATTGAATCCGAGCTTGAGGTCAAGGAGACCAGTATCCATAACACCAAGGGAACTGTCAGAGAACTTGCCCACATCGCAGCCAAAGAAGACAGGGTGTCCAGCTTTGAGCATCGAAATAACTGCTCGCTTGAGCGTCGGCATCTCAACATTGACATATGTGAGGGGTTGACCTTCGACCACGTTACCGAGTCGGTCAACAGTCAATAACCGGTTGTACTCATTACGCGGATCGTTGACTAGACTGAACATTCGTCCTGGGGAAAGAGTAGGACCACTAGTGCGCGACAGAGGTCGAGTCTGGGACTTCAGAGCCTGCTGACCAAATTCAATCGGGGTCTTTCGCACTTCACGAGCAGTCCCACTGGCATCGTAGTATTGCCAAACGAATGGCTTATCAGGGCTCGGCGCAGGGCCCAGCAGAAGAGTAACGAGCGAATGAACCTCCTGGAGGAACTTATCCTTGCTAACAGAGAGTAAATATGCAGCCTGGGGATCTCCTTTCTTAGCAGCCAGCTTGCGGAGGGCTAATGCTTGCTCTCGCAATTTGGCTGTGAGGAGCCAGTTTAGCTTAGAGCTGTTCTGCGCGTGGTATGCATCGGGGTACAGTGTGTGTGGCACAAGTCCGTACTTCTGTACTAGATTGGCGACCATATCCCACTGGCCACCGTCGGTGACTGGATCCTCGTAGAGTTTCTGGACCAACCGACTAGAGAGATCTTCGTCTGCAGTAGCGATGATCTGCTCGAAGAACCAATTCGCCTTTTCGATTTTATCCCAGTAGTATAGATATGCTTGACTAAGCTCAAATTCTTTTAGCTGGTAGGCCTTCATGAGCGGTACACGGAAGACATTGGTTGAGGCAAAGAGCCAGCAACGTCCGGAGGAGCGTTGGTTCGTGATCGGTCCTCCTTCCACTGGGATGGTCAGATTGAAAAGCTGCAGGTCTGACCGCAGAGCTTGGCGATCAGTGAGAAGCTGTGTGTAGGGCTGACTGGCGAAACTGGAGATCGCGAGGCGGTTCTGTTTTCATGAAGTTAGCAAATATCAATTGTCTTGCGCGTATTGCTTCAAACCTTGTCATCACCCAATAGAGTCTGGTTCCAGTCATTCACATGTGGGAGAGCCAAAGTCTTGATTCTGTCTCGGACAGGATATACCAAAGAAGCTGTTATTTCGTCAGTAAAGAAGACAGGCATTAAAGATCATAGGGAATGGTTCAAACGAACGATATTCAGTATATTCCTGTTCTACATTCTGACCAGTGATAGCAACCTCCATCTTCGATGAAGGTGCCTTTTCAGTGACCTGCTCTGGCTTAGAAAATGGGGAACCCATGATAGTGTTGATTGTCTGGAGGAATATAAATTATCTCCTTCTCACGACGTGAGAATATATGGTTGAGAGGGACAGGGAGAAGATAGACCACAAGGTACTCCCGGGGTGTGCGGGGAAGGTATGATGCATGATCACCTTGATTGGCGTCAGTTGCAGTTGCAGTTGATTGTGATTGGCCATAAACCCCATGACTCCCTTGCATATCAGAGCTACACTTGCTTATCTGGGCCTTGAATAGCCGTGCGCCTGTAGACTTCATATCGCTCTTATTTGGTTGGTGGGGACTTGATCTTATCTGGTGGCACTTCGCCTGTGATTTAGGCAGCCTTGAGATGTCTATGCAACCTTGCCGGAGTCTATACGCAGAAGTATTACCAAGAGCCATTGTCATTACTTTAAACAAACATGGTGCAGCCAAAAGGCACACATTTGAGAAAGTATGGACTCGAATGATCATCGTTGATCTGTGTAGCATCGTCTCAATCGCACGGACTGATCATCAACCCATTCATGCCTGGAGCCAAATCTTGTTGCATTATCTAGACATTGTCATTCCGGAGTACAGTTTTTGGCCACGATGAGTACTATTACATTCCGGGGCGGACTAGTCTGCGGTATCACTGTATCTGGTATGAGCTCAGCCGCTCTCTTGTTTGCATTGATTAAATCAACCACAGTGAACGAGAGATAACCACTCCTTTACTGTACGCTAGCAAATAGAATTTAGCCAAGCAGGATACTTCTTAGGTACTGACTTTGTCCATTTCATGGCCAAAACATGTGGATTTTGGATACCCATATTGTCGCCTGGCCTTCAAGGCACCAACATGTGGCGCACGCACCGCCACAGCGGAAGCTCAGATCTTGCCGGACCTCAAATACCATACCTCACGACACATCTCCATCCACACCTGATACCACCCACAATGTCTTTCCTCGGCGGTTCCAGCTCCTCCAGCTCCTCCAGCTCCAGCGATGTCAAGGCCAACCTTGTCCAGCAGCTCCAGCAGGAGTCTGCTATGGCCAACGCCCGCATGTTGATCAACGTACGTCACTCGCGACACCAGCCATCACACCATTGCACCTTTATTGTCATCCCTGTCGGACTAACCTGATCATTAAATATTTAGAAAGTGAACGAGAACTGCTTCCGAGCCTGTGTCCCTACCCCCGGCTCCTCCATGTCTGCTCAGGAGAACACTTGCCTGTCCAGCTGCATGGACAAGTACATTTCCATGTGGAACATCACCAGCCGCACCTACATCAACCGCATTGGTGTTGAGAGCAAGCGCATGGGAGGCGATGCCAGCGTTGTTGCTTCTATGGGCTCCGGTCTTTAAATGGGGATAATGAACGAATGGATATGAATCCCTGTTGAAAAGAGAGCTGGATCCCGGAAGAAGATGGAAACGGAGATCAAATATGGAAGATCTCGAAAGATCTGTGTATGAATAGAAAAGGCCAGGGGCCCATGTACATTATTCGGTCGTGGTTCTTTTGGCTTTAAATTCTGGTTGACCAGGATAGAGAATCGGCGGAATACATTCCACTTTATTTTATGTATATGACCGCAAGGACTCAGGTAACCCCAAAAAAAAAAAAAAAAAAAGAAAACTCGATTTCAATTGCTGAAATATACGATTCACATAATCCATCAAATGCCATTAAGCTGGCTTATATGATATCAATCACACCTGTTTTTCCTCGGCGATTCCGACTAGCGCCAGTGCCATATCCAGTCCCGAGCGGGTGATCGCAACGGTCTTTTCATATCTCGTCATAAATCGTACAAGCACTTTTAGAAGTCGGGGAAGAGATGCCCGTATCTGTGGGGAATGTAAGTTCATGTCATGCCAGTAGATATGGGAGTAAACGTACGCATCTTCACCCTCCACACCGTAGTGCTCCGTCTCTTCGGGATATTTATCGTACTGGCTTGCATCTCCCTGTCCACCGCGAATTGGCGGGATATAGGGAGCGTCGATATCCTTGCGCTCCAAGCGGTCCCAGGTGACCTCGGCGAACCAGGCGTGGTTCTTGACGTCCTGGGGTCCGCCATGCAAGTTGCCCAGACGCTTGGTGAGATCGGCAGTGATCAGCTGTGACAGGAGATCAACGGCATCATCGTGCAAGTATGGCGGGTATTTGACTCGGCCGCGGAGGATGTTCTCGTAGATCTTCACCGGGGACCCGCTATCCCAGAACGGGGTAAACCCGCACAACATCTCAAAAATGAGAATTCCCAATGACCACCTACCACAAATTGGGTTAGAAATGAGTTTTAGGGCTGATGCAATGCATTTGAAAAGGGAGGAAACATACCAATCGACGGATTTGTTGTATCCCTTCGAGGAAACTACTTCGGGGGCGAGATAATCGGGGGTTCCGCACAGGGTCCAGGTAATATCGGGAACATCCTTGGCAAAGCCGAAATCTGTAATCTTCAAGTGACCATGACGGTCCAGCAATAGATTCTCTGGCTTCAGATCTCGGTAAATGATCTGATGATGGTGCAAATACTCCAATGCAAGCGTCACTTCAGCAGCATAGAATTTGGCAACGGGGTTAGGGAATCGCTGGGAGAGAAAAAAAAGGCAAAGATAAGCCAAGTGTTCACCGAAATGGGGAGGGGAAAACCACTCACTTGTGACTTTCGCAGCAAACTGAAAAGCTCGCCACCTTCAACAAAATCCATTACCATGTAGAGGTTCCGTGAATCCTGCCAGGTTCCCCACAATGTCACTAAGAATGGATGGCGAACGCGATTGAGCATCCGACGTTCATCATTAGTGTGCTCAATCTGCTTCATCTTGACCACCTGGGCCTTCTTCAGCACCTTCATGGCATAGAAGCGATGATTGTGCTTCGATTGGACCAAATGAACTCGACCAAAGCTTCCTGTGCCCAATGTGCGCTGCAACATAAAGTCCCCCTGCGAGTACTTGCCCCGAGTGGTACGCTCTTGGCGGGGCTGCGACTGCGGCTGCGGCTGCGTACTAGGTGTCGCATTTGAAGTGTGGGCGGGGGACTGAGTACTACTACCGGCATTGGCCGGAGTATTTATGAGGTTATTGATGCTGGCGGCATTGTTGGAGGATTGGGCATGGTGCTGGGAGGATCCTTGCGACGGCTCGGCGGATTGCATGGAGGCGCCTTGACCTTCAGCCTTGTCCGGGTTAGCGTCCGGGTTGGAAGAGTGATCGGATCGGTCAGAATTTGCTTGGGGCAGCTCCTTAGACAAGGTCTGCGAGTCCTTTGTTCGCCGCTTCTTCAACAAGCCTCCTAAGCTCGGCATGGAGGACGGTTGGTGAAGGACATAAGAAGGGAGGAGAGTCCGGAGAGTGGGGAGGGGCACCGACGGCCAGAATGACGCATTGATCTCCCCTTCGGGACAAGAAACTCCACTAGATAGTGTTCTCTGCTAAACCTAAGCAAAATTGGTATTGGAATTGGGCGTTGGGATTTGGAGAATGGGCTTTTAGAGAAACTCTGATTGAGTCGAGTCGTAAGGGTATTCTGTCTCTACGCAGTCCTCGCCCCCATCTGCTTGTTTCCCGCCACAAATTGAAATACTCCGCTTAACTCCCTTCATCAAACAGCTACTGTACGACCTTTGTGTTTTATGTAAATTGCCTTGTATTTGCCCCTACAATTCCTCCACAATCACCCCAAAATTTAAACTATAGCAGAGATCTTGATGCCCATAGAGGTGACGGAGAAACCGGATGACGACGATGACGTTGCGACATGGTGAGTCCGGCATACTGGGGCCGGGGCGACTTTCATGGATAATCGTCTCCCCCCAAGATAAGCTTTGGATGCATGCGGTCAAGATATGAGATCAAAGTAAGCGTCGGCCGGAGAGATTGACTTTGTAATGAGGCCTATAGATCTTAAGATCGAATTGCTTCTTACTATTTGCTTTTGGATGAATCCAGCGCGATTATGTCATCAGGTGCTTTATGCCTGAGGTACGGGGCGTCAATACGAGGCACTCAGGTATCCACAAATATCATTATCAGCAGATAGCGCAAGTCTAGTCCAGTTAATAACTTTCTTCGCACCTCCTTTCACAATGGCTTTGGTAGCGTATTCCGACTCAGAGGGCTCTGACGCTGAGCCAGACACCAACCCAGCTCCCGTGGTCGAAAAGCCCAAGAAGTCCGACACTGGCGCTGGCTTTCAGATCGATCGCAGCAACCCGCGCAAGATCCGCGTCGCACTCCCGGAGCTCAAGCCCGAACACCCTACAGACCAGGATGCCGATGGCCCTGCGCGAAAAAAAGCTCGATTAGGTGCAGGATCAGGCGGGGCGTTTTCAGGATTCAACTCCTTTTTGCCTGCTCCGAAACGTACTGCGGAGAAGAAGGGTCCTGTCGCCACAACACGCAAAATATTCAGCCTGAAGACTGGCGCCACCCCAGGTTTTGACCGGGAAGCCGATGCCGAATTTAAATACGACCTTGCATCAAATACTACTGCTGATGCGGATGGCGCAGGTGAAGACATTCCAACACCCGGCAGTCTGGGGCAAACCGCAACCGACACAGACTCGGGAGCGTTTCAAAAGACGGAGATTGGAGAGGTTAAGCTGCAGGGTAATCCCATGATGTTCAGACCATTATCTGTGGGACGGAACCAGAAGAAGAAGAAGACCACCAAGGCAGCATCGTCTGCCCCAACACCGACACCAGCCAACCCACAACCTACAGAGAAGCCTGCCACGGCTGCCCCTCCGCCACCGAAACCCAAAGTCAGCCTTTTCTCCTTATCATCGGAAGAATCCTCATCTCGAGCAGAACTGCAGCCAGCCGCAGTGGGTACCTACGAGCCTTTGGTATACACCACCGAAGCTGAGGCCGGGCCAGCCCCCGCCCCAGAATCAGCACAGGACGTTCCATATTCCAATCCTACCACAGCACCATCGCACTCGCTAGACAACATCGCCAATGATCTGAACTTATCCAAAGGAGAACGACGCCAGCTCTTTGGCCGGAATGCGCCGCCTATGGACTCCCGTATTCTCACATTCAACACGGATAAAGAGTATGCCCATAACCAGGCCCTGGCAGCCACGGAGTTGGCTGGTACACAGCACCAACCGGTTCGTACCATCAACACAGCTGGAAAGCACAGTTTGCAGCAGTTGGTCAATGCGGCAACTTCTCAGAAAGAGGCCTTGGAGGAGAACTTTGCTACTGGAAAGAGGAACAAGAAGGAGGCTGGGTCGAAGTACGGTTGGTAGTTTTTGCATAGCGTTTCGAGTTTACTGTGATACCAAAATTCAGTCCCGATTTCTTTTACGATCAATGATAACTCCATACTGGTGCTGCTTTTGGAATTTGTGCAGCTGAAGGGTGTACCGAGTAGTTCATGAGATCAGAGTTCCGCCAAATAAGAGTCCACGGCTATCGGTGGATCGATGATTGCAATTTGGCTTCAAGTTTGTAAAGCAAACAGTCAAGAGTTCACCAATGCATCCGTAGGAGATACATCTATTATCTTATGTTGATTTGTTCGATTCCTACCTTTCAATGTCTTCATTGGATTACTGGACCACAGGTATCACGGCTTTTTCCTACAGCAAATTGTCAAAAATAATGAGAATAATGCAATGCATTTTGAACTAGACAAGCAAATCTATCTCTATCCTATACAAAAATCAAACCCAACGCCCAAAAATGAAAATGTTAAATACAAAACTCCAAACATTGCAACGCTTTTAGTAGATCATAGATCAAGAAGAAACATCAACAACCTCAGCGAACCACTGCTTAAGCGCAGTAGCCAAAACAGAAGGCAATTCGCGAACATCTCTGACGACAAGGTAGTAGGGGAAGGGGAAGTCTTCGAGATAACGCTTCATCTTCAGCTTCATCTCACCACCAGACTCAGCATCAGCCTCGAAGCTAGCCTGGGAAAGATCAAGAATAGAGCTGCCCTTGACAGCATCAACAATGATGAAGACAATCATAATGCGCTCCTCAAGAGCCTGGCGCACAAGACGACGAATGGTATCGTGATCCTCACAGATTCCATCAGAGATAATCAACTCAAGCTGCCAGAGATCTGCAGATCCAGAACCAGGGGAACGCTTCCAGCGCGCCTCACGGAAGAGAGCGATGGAGTCGGCAATCAGCTTGCGCACATTTGTACCAGTTTGCTGGTAGCTGAAGTGCTGGAAGACCTGCATACCAGCCTCGGAGGAGAAAGGCTTGCCGAATTCGTGGGCCACGCGGACGTGGTCCTCGTCACCGAATCCAAGGACACAGAGGTCACCTGCTTCAAGCATGCTCAGACTCTTAGCAACCAGGGCTAGTGTCTCAAAAGCGAGCTGGCCACTGCCGCTGCCCAGCATAGACTTGCTGTCATCGACGGCAAGCATGATCTGGTAGTTACGCTTAGAAGGAATCGAGCGACGCATCCAGATCTTGTCGCGCTTGTACTGAGAGGCAATGTAGGGAATGATTCGCTTGATGTTCAACCGCTTACCAGTGCGGAAGTCACCACGTAGCTTGGTAGCCATGGTAGGAGCGAGAATGAGACGCAGCTGCTCAGTGAGTGATAGAGAAAGGTCGTTTGTAGCTGATTCGTAGTGAGACCAGAGACGGCGGGCTTCACTTTCGGGGGTCAATGGCGGAAGCGAAGAAGAGAGATGAATAGCCGCGAGTTGCGAGTCGACTTGGTCCAATTCCTCGTTCACTTCTTCGACGCCTGGGGCACCATCCGCACGGTCTCGGGAAGTTTGATCACCAGGGATGAAAGCTCCAGCTTGGCCATCTGTTGGGACGGGATCACGATCAATTTGCATCTCGTCCTGAAGTTGATTGTCGATGGCATCTTGGTCCTCGGCAGTGTCCGGAAGAACATCATTTTCACCAGGCTTGATGTCCGACTCTACGCCCTTGTTCTGGTCAAGAGCCTGGGCCTGGTCGTCGTTTGCTTGTCCAAGAGCTTGTGTGTCGGCCTCATCTTCATCGTCCTTGAGATGCTCAAAGTCGGCATCCGCCATATCGGTATCCTGAGGCAGAGGCTGTGAGTCCTCTTCTTCTTGTGATGGATTCAGCACTTCCTTTTGACGACGGTGCCACTCTTCGAGAATGTCTCCGAGTTTCTTGAAGGCCTGGATCTGGGGGTCGTTGGGAGAATTGTCTTCACCTCCCCCAGCATCGCGACTGGCTTTACTTTCCTCGCTATCCTTAGCAGCACCGTTTTGTTCTTCGGCACTAGCAGTGGGATCGTTGGAGCCACTCTCCTGTTGAGCGTTTCCGGAATCGCCCTTGTCTTCGTTCTGATCTTGGTCGGCACCCTGTCCACCAGTGACAGCTTCACTGGGCGCAACTTCATCGGCCGTGGCCTCATTCTCGTCACGCTGGGCAAGGAATTCATCTTGCTCAGGCTCCTCTGGATCTTCGCCACCAGCTTGATCCTCCTCCTCCTCGTTGCCATCAGCTTGGCCTTCGTTGGTATCTTCTCCTTCGTCCATTTCCTCATCTTCGCCAGGGGCCTGGTCATCTGCTGCCATGTCTGCATCCTCCTCTCCAGCCTCGTCATCTTGGTTATCGCCCTTTTCATCCTCTGGAAGGGGGCCCATGTCATCCATATCGTCCATACCATCATCTTCACCTTCGTCATCACCACCGTCCATATCATCGCCATCAAGCTGCATTTCTTCGGGCAACTCGAGAGCTTCTTCCTCCTTTGTTTGGGGATCGGTTACTTCCATATCTTCACGGCCGACGGCTTCGCCTTCATCATCGGGATCTTCCTCTTCTTCGTCGTCCTCCTCTTCCTCGCCATCCTCTTCTCCTTTCTGGCCCTCCTCGGCCTCCTTCTTTTGCTCTTGAGCGGCGGCTTGCTCATCGGATTCAGCCTGGCCCTTGCCTTCTTCATTCTCTGCTTCCTTCTGCTGATCATCGTTGGCACCATCCCACATCTTTTCATCAACGGCGCCAGCATCAAGTTCGTCAACACTGCCTGTTTCCTCATCGAGATCGCCCTCCTCTTCATCTTCATCCCCATCCTTGTCCTCCTCCTCCTCCTCCTCCTCCTCTTCCTTGTGTTCGCCAGATTCAGCATTGAGCTCTTCCTGGTCCATGTTCACAGCATCGGCAGAATCGTCCATCTCTTCATTGGCATCTTCCTTGGGCGCCTGCTGAGCAAGCTCCGAGAGGTCTTCGTCATCTCCAATATCTTTGCTGATATCCTCCGCACCTTCGCCGTCACCAAGGCCAGTTCCGCTCTCCATTTTACCGTCCTGGCCTTGCTCTTGGGATGATTCAGCTGGGCTGCAGAAACCTTCAGAGGCAATTTGGACGAATGCCTTGGTCAATGTGTAAGAAGTCTTGCAGACCTCGCGGTGAACCGCGATGAAGCGATTGACCAGCTCCCTGCAGATGTCGTAATATCTATTGGCAATGGGCAAAACGCTGGCAACCAAGGCAGCAGCTCGTTTGAGATCGTTGTCATTATCCAAGTGCTGCATCTGCTCCAAGACAGCCTGAAGAGACGAAGTAATTTCGTTGATGTGAACAGTCTTTGATGCACGAGAGAAGAACTCATCACTCCGTGACAAAGCGCCGCTAAAATCGATGGAAGTTGGCACGTCTTTCAATTTCTGCAGGCCGACAAGCATCTTATCAATGGCCGCCAGAAGGCTGCTATCGAACTTCTGGATGGAGATACCGGGCGCAATATCTGTACTCATGTGGGCATGGTCAGCCATACCTGGCAAAGACCATTTCCGAATCTGAGTGAGAGCGAATGATAGATCCGGACGCTCACATTCCCACTCCAGGACATCTGATGAGAGCTGCTCGAGTAGCGCGTGTGCTTTGTCGGTCAACTCTCTCTGCTTTCGGGAGACAATACCAGCAGGGAGTGTAGGAAGCACATTGAGTGACTTGAGTATCTCCTCAAGAGCAGCCATTTGAGAAAGAAGTCCTTGAATGATGGAAGATGCATCCAGACCAGAGAACTTGGAGTGCACTGCAATGACCTCAGAACCAACCTTGAGAATCGGGATCAGCCAGGCCACCTTTCGTGATAGGAAAGCTTGTCTTTCTTCAACCATGACATAGACCTTGGTGAAAGAGGTCGATTCGACTGTCCAAAGGCTCTCCATCTTTCCAATGATAGCCTCAAGAGATGCCAAGCCAGATAAGGCAGGGGAAATAAGGCTTCTCTGGCGGCGAATCATGAACAACAAATGCTCAACAGAACCCATGCTCCTGGAAACTTCCACGTTGGTCAACTCGTCAGAATAAGTACGCGAAGCCAGACGAGCGCGTGGCATCAAATCTAACAAGCGATGGAAATAGGTGTCAGCGCTGTAGATGGACTTTGATGTCGCAGTGCCGGCTTCGAAAGCAGCACTCGTAGCAAGAACCTGTGCAAGTGATACCTGGGTTTCAATCAAGCTACTTCCGGCATTGCGCTTGACACCCATTTCAAAGACACGTTTCAAAGTGTCAGCATAGAGACGACGTTTTTGAACCTTCAGATGCTGCACGTCATCCTTGTTGTCTTCGGTAAGAGTTTTTGGGGTCTGAGTCTTGAATTCGTTGATGCCCTCAATAACGGACACAGTGAATTCATCAAGATCATTGGCAATGTCAAACTCCAAAGGAATTGCCGCATACAGGTTCTTCATGTTGCGGGAGGTACCCTCGGGATTTTGGAATCTGAGGGGTCTGGAGCTCCAAGCTTTCGTCTCCTGAGAGGAAAGCAATGCTTCGGGGAACACGGTGTATGCAAGGGCCTTTTTCTCGTACTGGGAGACACCTTCTTCTCCCGAGCTATCAGAGAGGCCTTGTTCAATGACTGGATGGACGAGCTGGGCAAGAGCCGCGCGGTACTTCCGAACCAACTTGAACAACTTTACGTGAGACCTTCTCGCACTTTCTTTGAGAGCGACGATATTGGTGTCTTTCCAACTAGCCAGCTGAATTTGCTCCTTGATATCCTTCTCGAGCGTAGCTCTCTTGTCCTGCAGGATCTTTTCCACCAAAGGTTCAAATGGCTTGAAGTGGGAAAGGAAGTTGGCCAACGCTGAAGCGAGCGGTTTGAGGCATTCATAGTCCTTGGCGAAGATCAGAAGAGTGGCTCGGAAATCCGAGACAAGCTGAAGGCGACGAGTGAATTGACCAAGGGTGGTGGACATGAAGAACTGTTCCAATGTTGAGATAACACCTTGGATGTGCTGGCGCATGTCTTCCTCGCCAGACTCAGCCATCTGAAGAGGGACGGCCAGGAGGGCTTCGTATGCGACAAACCACCAAGCACTGACTTCCTCTTCAGAATGCTCTTTTTCGATATCCAAGAGCTTCGCCCAGGTAGTCAACTCAAGGCGGCGCCAGGTAACGGTCATTGTCGTGATCTCATCGTAAAGAGAAGCGGCAGAATATTCCCTGCTGGCGACGAGCTGCCATTCATGAACATAGGAGTGAAGCTTTTCGACTTTAGTCAGGAATTTGGCCACAGGCTCAGTGTACTTGAATTGGAGAATTTCAGAGCAGCAGGTGATGACATCCTGAAGAACAGCATGTTCTGGCCATGCAGTTTGGATTTGAACAAAGCGTGCTTGAACTGAGAGTGTGAGATTCACAAGTCTGCGGGCCTCGGCAAGGTTGGAATCAGTGTAGAAATTGTAGTTTTTCTGTCGATCTTGAGACTCTTCAGCAACAACATCATCAAGAAGTAGGAGAACCACAGGCAGGTGGTTCTGGGCCAAAATTGGAGAGAAGTCTGTCTTGCTCTTAGACCATAGAGAACCCAGGATCTTTCCAGTCTCCTTGACGAAGGCGCGCATTGCTGTTCCTGTTTGGCGATCGCTAACAAGCTTTGCATGTAACGAGGCTAGTCGAGAAGCAATGAGCCTAGGGTCGAGTTTACCGACATCCTCTGCATTTGGCAGGCTCTCCTCTTCGAATGTAGGGAAGAGCTGATGCAGGTCCGCTTCATTGACCTCTTCCTCGTCCTCCCACGAACCCTTGTAACGGTAGAGTTCTGATTTTTCGGCTTCCTTCTCTTGGTCCTCGCGGAGCCTAGTCTTCCATAGATGATGGAAATCAGCAAACACATGACGGATGGTATCGCGACCAGATCGAAGTTCAAGGATGTTTGCATCAGCGTCCTTGGCAGCCCAGAGCGCAGAGAGTTCGTGAAGTCTTATTTCAATGACATTGCCTTGGCTTGGGGATTGGCTCGACTCGGCCTCAGAACCAAAGGTGTTCTCGAAGGCTGGGTGAACGGATCCACCCAAGAAAGGAGTGCGCGTGCTCAGATACTTGATGTCTTGGATATCATCGAGCTTCTCATCCGACACAGAGCTCAAGAAAAGACCAGTGTCGAGTAGTTGGAGGAAGCGAACCACGGGCTCTGTGATATCATCATATGATCTGTAGTGAGCACTCAGGCGGCTGCTGAGCTGGTGGATGTTGTCCCGCATAAGCTTTACCATTTCCTGCGTATTCGAAGATTGATTGGCCGACTGAATAAGCTGCTCTGGGCTTCGGTTCAGAATGGAATTGATCAAGTTCGAAAACTCCCCATGCAACAGACCAAGTTCAGACTTTTCCGGACGAGTGACCGATGATGGAGGTGGAGCTGATCCCAGTTTGCGAGTTTGCTCTTCAAGAAGAGCAGACCGCAGAGTCGAAGTCTGGCCAGAGAATGTGGCCTCAAATGACAGAATGGCATTTGATTTGGCATGGAACTCATCCAGGCGTTGTTGGTGTCTCCTGCGCTCAACGACAAGACCAAGAGACGGATCGAAGACCTTATCAGGAACAAAAAAGCGGAGGAGAATGACTGCCAATTGGACAGCAGCCAAGGCCATAGGATGAGCCATACCCTCAATAGGAACTACGTTAGTTGTGCCTTCGAGAGGTGAAGCCAATGACTTCAGAAGAGAGGGTAGTGCGACCTCGGCGAAGCTTTTGAAGAAATGGCCGTCTCCAATGTTGTCGTGTAATCTTATTGAGAGAGACGACAAATCACATGTGCCATCTTTCTGGATGACTTGCAGGGCAGAAACCAAGCCAGCAAATGAGTGGGGCTCGAAGAGGTTTTGGTGGCAGCCGACCAATTCGATTGTCAACTGGGCAAGGACGCGCTGGAAAGTGCGCAACTGTTCTTCGGCAATTTGACGACTGCCCACGGTGAGTGCTTTTGATAGCGCTCGTTTCTCAGCTTGGAGAAGGTCCATTTGACCCAAAGTTGTAGCTCCCACTGAGGTCAGCCTATCCAACAGGGATAGTGGAAGAACGCCACCGATGGCTAAGAAGGAACGGGATGAATTCCCAGCGCCAGTAAACAACGCAAGTCTATTGAGAAGTTCTGGAACCCCGCTCTTCAGGCTTGACGAGTTGAGTGAACGAGCAGGGCGACCGGCAAGCAAAGAAACCATAGTTTGGACTGCCGAGTCGCGGTTTCCTTCATCGGCAACAGAGATATCGCGATACTGACAGAGGGCCTCAAACGCTTCCGCAAAGTAGGGGTGCTGTGGGGAATCAGAACGTCGTACAGCCTGGCCAAGCTCAGTAACTGTTTGCTTAAGGCTGAGCACAAGAGCATCTCCATCGGCGCCGTCCAAAAGGATGAACCGTTGAGCATTGATCAAAGAGTCCCAAACGGTGCTGAGTTGAGAGATGTCAACTCTTGTTTGCAAGGCAAGGGCAGTGAATTCGGCCACAGTTTGCTCCAACTCAATAAGAGAGTTCAGTTGCTTCTGGGAAGATGGTGTGACATGTCTCCAGGAATCCCACATTCTTTGCATGCTCAAACCAGTCGTCATCGCCCAGCCAGCTTGGAAGCGAGCGAGAGCCCGGGAAAGAGGTGCTTCCAATGGCTTGAGCAACGTTGATGAGCTCAAGAGGGATGCGAAAATCTGCCGACCAACTTGAAGGTAAACTTGGAATTCACCCTCCTCAACCTTCACAACATCTGTTGCACGGTAAATGTCCCAGCACAAGCAAATGATGGTACTCAAGGCGGTGACAATGTCAGGAGATTGAAGGCTGGCTTGATCTAGACCCTGGATGTAGTCATACAAAGCCTGACCACAATCCATCAGGAAATGGCTGACGGGCTGTGTTGTATCCTTCATTAATGACTGTATGCGGTTTGATGCCAAAGATCGCTCGAGGCTGGTCATCTGGCTTGGCTTGAGCTCCTTTGCAGACTCATTGGCCTGGACCAAGCTTTGACGAAGACGATGAATCTCAAGCTTGAACTCCTCAAGGTAGGCTAGAACTTTGAGACTTGAGCGGTAGTCTGAAGTTCCAGTGATCGAGACCAGAGGCTCGTTGGTCAATGGATGAATAGGCTGAAGAGCGCCTTGAATGCTCAAAGAAGCTCCCGCCATGACAATTTCGCCCGCGATGACACTGAGGGGTTGCCATTGAGCTTTGTCGTGGAGCAGTGATTCGTATCGTTGCAAAGCACTGGAGACAAGGCGATTCATATTGGCGTCATCGGCATGGGGGAGATGAGTGGGAGGCAATTTTTGAAGATAGGACAGATCTGCAGGAGATAGGTGATCAAGGCAAACATTAACCGAGTCGCTCAAAGTAGCGAATGGCAATGTAGCATCCAGATTCCAGATATGGCGCAATCTGTAAAGAGAAGACTCGCAAGTGTAAGAGGGGCCCACCACGCTAGGAATATCCTTCACTTCATTAGACATGAAGCAGATCTCAACACATCGGTTTCGCATAGCGCGCGACAACTCTCCATTGCGAGGATCCATGGTCAAGAAGATACGGAAATTGGGATGGGGAGTGACAATTCGGGCCGATCCGTCCTCGGTACGCTGCTCGTTCAGAATAAGGGTACCGTTTGGTTCGGTCAGGGAATTCAGTCTGTCAAGGACAGATGGGTTGCAAAGGTTGGCATTGTCGAGGACCACCCAGTATCCATTCTGGACAGCTCTAGTGAGAACACCTTCGGTCCATTCAAATCCAACCTTCATCTTGTCAGACCCTTGGATCGTGTCACGTAGTTTTTGGGCTCGCTCAAGGAAGTCGTTGAGCGTTGGGTCGGAGTAAGATTTGCAAAGATCCGAAAGCGATGAGATGACGGTTTCTAATGAAGTCTCTGTGGTCTGGAAATGCTGGCAAATTTGGAGAGCAGATCCAACGGCATTCGACACATCACCGGTTGCAAAAGAATGGATGATCTGATGGCGCAAGAATCCCTCCACATCATTGACGAAAGACGACACCTCTCTTCGGTGATCGATCTGCTCGAAGCCACCAATTAAATCCATTGTATCAGTGTCTGCGCTGAGAGCCAGCTCCTCCAAAGTTGCTCCATTGATAGCGGCCAACTTGCGGATCAAAGTTGTTTTGCCACACCCGGCGGCACCAACTAAGATGCTGGGCCAAGAGTTGTCAATGCATAGAATGAGAGATTCCAGGATGTGGAGATCTTTAGGCAGAATCTTCATGTGCGGCTCAACAGAACGCTGTACAAGACGGTCTCGAGTCAAGATTCCAAGACCGACCTGCAGATGTTCGGTGGTAAGATTGTGGAAATAACTCTTCTGAACACTGTCAGAGTCCGTGAAGATGCTATCATAGATTTCAGAGACCAATTGTCGATCCTCTTCACTCCGAAAACGCTGACTGATAACAATGTCCAAGAAGTGCTTGGTAGAAATTTGCAGGTTACCCCGATCGGCCAGCTGGAGCCACCTCTGGATATCTCGCAAATTAACCTCCCAGGGTCCGCCAACCATCCCGAGTCGACGGTCTGTGACGATCGCCTTGTTCAAGGCAGAGATGAAATCGACCAGCCTATCAGTTTGGATCGAGGGACTTCCAGGGAAAAGCCTAGCACAAATCGTTTTCAGATCCGAGTCAGTAAAGCTTTCGGCATAAACGACAGTGAAACGGTTGACGAAGGATGCAGGCAGTCCCTTTCTTCCACCGCCTTGGTGGTGCGGATTTTGCGCGGCAAATAGGACGAAGTTCGGGTGCCGCTTGAAGGTCTGGTCAAGTTCGGCAATGTAAACTTGTTGTCTGTGATCCAGGCAAGAGTTGAGACCCTCTAGTACAGATTGAGAGGCAAGGTTCATTTCGTCCAGTAAGACCCAGTCACCGCGCTGCATGGCTCGTAGGAACGGAGCATCTCTCCATGTGAATTGACCAACATCTCCACCTTCGACAGGAACATCAGAACCGAATAGGTCAGTAAGATCAGTTTGCTCCGAAAGATTGATACGAGTGAGAGGCTTGCCAAGGGCTTTTGCGAGGGCCATTACTAGTGTCGTTTTACCGACACCGGGACTGCCTTCCATGAGAATAGGTTTTGATGATTGAAGTCCACGGGCGATTCTAACACAGTTCGCGATTGTGGTTGGCGCATCCATTGTGAATTGATGATCAGGCTCTGTCTCTCCCACGGTGGGAAGCGAGAAGGGCCCAACTTTCAAGAATCCAGGCTCCAAAGTCACGGTTGATGACTCCCGGTAGATAGCTGAAGCATTGACCTCGAATAACTCGCTCAGCTTATCAAGACAATTCTGTCTATTGCCCTCTAAATTGTTCAAAGAGACAGCAAGCATCGCAGCGGGGTTGGCACCGAGAGTGTCGATGAAGACCATGGCAGCACCTTGGATGATGGCAAACAGGGGGTCATCAGATTGATAGGTATTAACAAAGTCGACCCAGGCGAGAAGATCACGAAGCGATAGGGAAGTGGTTGATGTGTTTTGGAAAGTTGTCTTGAACCACACCGCGAACTTCAACATTGCCTTTGCTACCTTTTCGTCTTTGGCCTTCAGTCTCATTTGCAGAATTGGCAGAATGTCCTCGTCTTCAGACAGTTGTGGGGCCCAAATCTCGGTCATACGGTTACGAAGAGCAGCAGAAAGCTCTCGCTTACCATAATCACCTCCAGGGTTCATAGTTGACAAGAATTGGAAACCACCATCCGCCACAACCATAGAATCGATAGGACCTTTCTCGGCCAAGAGAATAGATCGGTGAGGCTCCAGAACACTGTTGAGTCGTTCCAAAACAGAATCATCCGCAAGAGAAATTTCATCAAGTAAGAAGAATTGACCGGTCTTCATAGCCGTAATGAGGCTTCCGTCAGACCATTCAAACAGCGCATTACACCGGGTAATGTTTGTTTCAATTCTGCGCAGAACATCTTGGTCTTTCTCTAGGCGTTGCTCTGGACTCAGGGCTGAAAAGTCCTGCTTCAGCTGCTCGAGTGAAGAAGAAGCGGGCTGATCTCCGTGAATGAGGATTCGAAGGTCGTCCATAATCTGCTTTTCAATAGCCGCCCGGTTTCTGATGGGTCTCTGGGCACCAATGAGATCACCTGTTTCCAAGTTGACGTGAGCATTCATAATGAACAGCTCTCTCTTGAAAGCTTCAGCAACGGCTTGACAGAGCTGTGTTTTACCACAACCTGTTTCTCCAACGAGGAGAACCGGCTCGTTATTCCTGAGTGCTTTCGAGACTAGAACGAAGAGACGTCTCATGGCCTTTGTCCAAACAACTTCACCAGGCAATTGGTTCATCTGGGGCACATTCTTCTCTAATTGCGCAGTGCTATACAAAACATCTTCATCCAAGCGGACTTTCATGACTTCTTCGATCACACTCTTTACAGCAGCCTTCTCCTGGGGATTTCGCACACGTTCGGCAAGAAGCATGAAACCGTTGATGGCCAATTGCTCTTTGTCATCCGCATCACGAAGGGCCCATCGGAACAGATCACGCAGAGTGGCAAAACTGTTCTTCTTCTCGAAGAGGCGGTTGGATTGGCGGAGCAGTGAGAGTTTTCGATAGACTGAAACAATCCGTGTGCAGAAAGAGGGGGCGATCTGAGACCTTTCCTTCAAAATGTACTCCAGTTCACTTTCCGGGATATCGTCGAAATGCAATTCCAGGAAACGGTTTCGGAAAGCACGAGAAAGAACTTTGCGACCACCATAAAGACCTGCAGGATTCTGCGTAGCGAATAGCATAAAGTTAGGGTGCGGGTGAACGACTTCCTGGGTTTCAGGGATGAAAAGCTCGCGATTGTCATCCAGGAGTCGATTCAGTGCTTCGAGAACATCTGAAGGAGCCAAGTTCAACTCATCAAGAACAATCCAATAACCGTTGCGCAGCGCCTCCACCAAAACACCCTCCTGATAACGTAGGCTTCCATCATCTGTAGAAACGTATGATCCAAGGTATTCCTGTAGATCTGTGTGTTCGTGGTTGTTGATACGAACAAATTTATTACCGGAAACTTTAGCCAAGTATTCAATCATACTTGTCTTTCCTGCGGATGTTGGACCTTGTAGCAACACAGGGAAGCGACGAGTCGAGCTAGCTCTCACAAGGTTCTTGAGGTTTTTCTCAATGAACGGAGTGATGATGTAGTGGGGTTGTTCTTCTGCGACGAAAGGACCGCGGCGCATCCAGTAATGCTTGAATTGAACATAGTCATTGCCATCCGCAGGTGGCTGAGGAGTTTGGCCAAGAAGAGATCTTGCGTTCTTTGCGTTGCTGAAGATATGTGTTTCAAGAAGGGGAACCAAGGCCCGTTCGGACTCTAGACTCAACACGGTCAAGAAACTCATACTAAAGCCTTCAAAAATTGCCCGACGTAAGCCATAGACATGAGCGTGGTCAATGACGTAGATCAGAGTGCGAACAAGGGTTCGAATACTGAAGTGCGGTTTTTGTCCGGCACCATCGGTGAGTTTGTTGTCAATGCTGAGCTTCTTGGTGGCCATGTATAGCTGCGCAAGGTCTGGCGCAGCCCGCGGGTCGCGAATCGTCAAGTCTCCAAGGTACTTTTGAATCAAAGCGAGGAGGTCATCAATATCGGTATCTGGGGAGTGTACATAGAATTCGGTGAATCGAGACCGCAGGCCAGGCGGGAGATCTCTTTTTCCAGCATCTGTTGCGGGGTTCATGGCACCGAAAATGCGGAAGTCAGGGTGACCAAAGACTCTTTCGACATCACCAGCCTCGGATAGAAGGACTGAAGGGGTTCCTTCGCTACCGTGATGCAAGAGACTTGCGATGTTCTCCAGGGTATCTGGCGACGCCAGGTTGACTTCATCTAACAGAACCCATTCACCATTCCGAAGTGCTCTCACAATCTTTCCTTGGACGAATGCGAATGCAAATTTGGCATCGCCTTGAGAGACTTGGGCTTCAAAATCGGCGAGTTGTGATTCAAAACTCTCCCATCGCTGCCGCAGGTGTTGATACTTTGGCGAGTCCAGCTTCCTCTTCTTGGAAGGTTGTTCATCGCTATTCTCAATCTCCTTTGGTTTGAAGACACCGTTCGACAACCGCACAGCCTCATGCCACAAAGTCACTAGGCGTACCCAGTTTTCAGATACCACACACTTGGAAACGGAAGACAGGAACTTTTGGTTCTTCTTCGCGGAAAATGTCAATTCAAATAGCTGGTTGAACTCATCCAACATTGGAATTGCCATTGTGCGGATGCTGACAGGTTTGAAACCTCCCAGCAGATCAGTGCTCTCACTCTGCTGTGACAGATTCACCACGGTGAGCTTTTGCCGCATCAAAGTAGCAAGCTGTTGAATAACAGTCGTCTTTCCGATACCAGTCTCTCCGACAAGCAAGACTGGCTCTGCCATTTGGATTGAGGCGGCCACCTGCTCCATGATTGACAAAGCAGATCTTGTAGAAGCAAAACGAGATGCAGCCGCTGCCAGCTTCAGTGCTGATCCACTTGGAACCTTTATCTTCTGGCATACTTCACGGCCAAGGACCAGGCTATTGTTCTTGTCTGTGTAAGTCGGAGTCCGTTCATTGAGACAGAAAAGGGCTCGCTGGGGTGAAATTTGCAATGCCTCTGCCACGACAGCGGCGAGAGAGCTTTGCATCGATCTCTCCGGGAGATATTTCAGAAAAACGTCAACAACATCGAGGAATATTTCATCGTCGATAGCTTCTGGCGTAGGTTCATATCCGGTTTTCGCGCCCATGCGTTGCAACCGGCGGTGCAATCGACTGCAGAGTTTGATCAAGTCACGGAAGCCAGGTGTGCGACCCTGGGATCCTTTGATTGCCAGGCTTCCATGGAATGCAGAGCACACTCTCGCATACACATCCATTATCACCGGCACTCGAGATTCCAAGAGAGGAAATTTTTGCAAAATAACATCTCGCATTTCCTCAACAGGGAGAGACGAGACTTGGACTCTCTGCCATAATCTACTGCCAAGCATCGAAGAACTCGGAGCAATCTCCTCACCGGCAATGTTGTATGAGGATTTCATTGTCGCAATAATCTTGAAGCCTTCGGCACACTTGATTCTCTCTCTCCGACTCGCGATAGTCAACTCTCCCCTCTCGATAATTGGCAGAATGAGACCAAGAACTTCGGATGGAGCGCGATCAAGATCTTCAATCAAAACCCAACGTCCTTCTCTCGCAGCCTTTGTCAATACACCCGGCTGCCAGGAAAATGACCCTGTCGTCGAAGACGTGGCATACATTCCAAGAAGACTTTTCGCATCTGTCTGCTCATTGAGGTGCAGTGTGACCATAGATTCTGCTTGGCCCATCGTAGATGCGATATCATTGATAAGCGACGTCTTACCTGAGTTGGACAATCCTATCAACAAGATAGGCTTGAAGCCCAGAAGCGATTTTGCGATACGGCGCAGATTCTCCGTCGTGGTCGGAGTCTTCACAACTGAAGATGACGACGACGGAAGTCCGTCTTTCAACCGAGGAATCAAGATGCCGCACACATCAGCAGATCTAAGTGTAAGGGATTCCCGTACCCGGTCCACCATTTCAGTAATTTCACTATCCGATCGTGATGATCTCTGAAGTTCAATGGTCTTGCTGAGGGCCTCCCATCTACGCTCTTCCCATAGGCCCAAAAGGCGGTAATCAATTGTGATTCCCTCCCACTCTCCTCCGATTGGATCCGTGCCGGTGTTGACGCGCAGCATACTCTCGCTGGCGGCGTCCGCCGCATGCATATACATGGCAAAGCATCGCACGGCAAGGTATCGAATGACGGGATCTTCGTGCGGGAACAGAGATTGGAGCTGGATCGGCGACACGGCTTTTGAGAAGGTTTCCAAGTCAAATGAAAGAAGCCGAAACAGGGCGAGGAGGAAATTTCGGGTGCTGCCGGGGTCCAACTGTCGCAATGTTAACTCCTTTGACCCAGTCAGCGCCGAAAGAGGTCCGGTTTGTGACAAAGCATATTGGCCAGCGAAGGATCGAAGGTATGAAGCGGTCGGGAGGATGCGAGCGAATGCGGCCAAAATCTGAATATGGTCGGCCTGAATATCGGATCGGAGCCATCGGGCTGCCAAGTCGACGGCAATTGGTTCATATAATCGAAAAATGCTCTCTGTGAATTGTGTATTTAATGCGCCGAGCGCAAGCGCGTGGAGCTGCTGAGTCCCCGATGATGACCGAATGAGAGATGTGAATTCAATCGGGAGCTGGTTCAACAGCTCGGACTCTGATAGAGTCCTCTCGTAGACGGGTCTTCCATCCATTCTGAGACCCGGCTGCGTAGAGGGAGCTCCTTTGATTTGTAAAATGTGAAAATTGTAAATGCTGTAGCGAGACTGAAATTCCCCGTTACTTTTTTTTTCTGCCGCGTCCTGGCGGTCCAGCCCCACCCACTCCAGTTACCGCCCATCCTTAACTAAGGTGACTAAGCGGTTCAGCTTGCGCAGCTCCGGTCCAGCTTGAGATAAAGACAACTCTCCCAGAACGCGTCTGGAGATGCTGGCTTTGTGGAGCATTCATGGTTCAAGATGACAATAACGGGTCAAGGCGTGGGCAGTGATGATCACTCCCGGGCGATATACCCAGATCACCCCGAACAAGAAGCAGACCTCTCGCAACCCCAGGAATTCCGTCGGGACACGGAGGGGTTGCACGAACCGTAAGTGTGACGGCAATCTGGAATTGATGCCGTGCTAATACTTGATTGATACAGAATATCCTTCAAACCAAAACAAAAACGACAATCCCGATTCAGTTTATCAAGCCTCTTTTCGAATACCGCCGGCGGGTCGAATACAGGGCTAGGCCATGCGGGATCGCCAGGCGCACAGAACGGAGATGCATCGCCTTTAGATGCTTATGGACCAGGGGGCCTGAATGGGGACCCAAACTCCTCTAAAGATGGTGCACCTCTGGACTGGTATGTGGAAGGTCCCGGTCGACGAGTCGGGTATGATGACTTTACCGCGATTGATTGGATCTACGAGTATACGAAAGAGCGACAAAGGAAGCGCTTGTTATACTCGAGTGGCCAGGGCGTCCTGGGTCATGTCCGCCGGTTTTTGGAGGCCGGTAACATCTGGTTCGTTCTGGTTGCAACGGGCATCGCCGTTGGAATTATCGCTGCGTCTATCGATATCGCAACCAACTGGCTTGGTGACCTGAAAACCGGTTACTGTAAAAACGGCAGTGGTGGTGGCAAATTCTATTTGAATCGAAGCTTTTGCTGCTGGGGTCTAGACGGTACATATCTTATGCCACGGTGGGGACTTGTTTTTAATGCTAACGGAATGCGTACATAGATCAAACAAAGTGCCAGGATTGGAAACCTTGGGGCTCTGCTCTCGGTGTCTCTTCTGTCGGTGGAAAGTATACCATTGAGTACATCTTTTTCATTGTTTTTTCGGTAAAATCTCTGCCCAGTACCTCTTGTCCTCTCACTAACTCGAGCTAGGTGGTATTCGCTTCTACGGCGTGCGTGCTAGTACGAAAATTCGCCATATATGCCCGCCACAGTGGAATTCCTGAGATCAAGACTGTTCTTGGAGGAACTGTTATTCGGCATTTTATGGGTCCTTGGACGCTCACTATCAAGTCTCTTGGCCTAGTATGGTATCCTCGCAGATGTAGTCCTCTATCCTTACTAAGATTATTATTAGTGTCTCGCAGTTGCGTCGGGTCTGTGGCTGGGCAAGGAAGGCCCACTGGTGCATGTGGCATGCTGCTGTGCCAACATCATAATGAAGCCTTTTGACAGCCTGAATGGCAACGAAGGTGTGTGCTGTGCATCATTCTTCCCATCCTATACTGATCCCTCCAGCACGAAAACGCGAGGTCCTTTCTGCAGCCGCTGCAGCGGGCATATCTGTTGCATTCGGTGCGCCTATCGGAGGTGTGCTCTTCAGCTTGGAGGTAGGCAAGAACCTTGAATGTGATGCGGGTTCCTATGATCCTAACTTTGACAGCAACTTTCCTACTATTTCCCAGACAAGACTATGTGGCAGAGCTTCGTTTGCGCCATGGTTGCGGCTGTCACATTGCAGGCCATCAACCCCTTCCGCACGGGGAAGATTGTGCTGTACCAAGTCACCTACACACGAGGGTGGCACCGCTTTGAGATCATCCCATTCATCATTCTAGGTATCATAGGTGGTCTGTTTGGAGCGTTCTTTATCCGTGTGAACACCAAAATCGCCCAATGGCGGCGATCTCGGGGTTGGTCACGGCCGCTTTTGGAAGTAGCAGCGGTGGCACTTCTAACAGCTTTAATCAACTTCCCAAATCATTTCATGAGAGCTCAAAATTCGGAGCTTGTCCAGGCGTTGTTTGCAGAATGCAGTGGCGAGACGGCCGATCGGTTTGGCCTATGTGTGTCAGGGCCTGCATCTCTAGCCGTCGTTGCTATGCTTTTGGTTGGTGCTGCATTGGCCTTTTTGCTTGCTTCCTTGACCTTTGGGCTTGATATTCCGGCTGGTATCATTCTCCCGTCCGTCGCTATCGGTGCTTTGTACGGACGTGCTTTGGGAATGCTTGTTCGAATGTGGCAGGAAGCTTATCCCAAGGCTTTCCTCTTTGCCAAGTGTGAGCCAGACATCCCTTGTGTAACTCCTGGTCTCTACGCTATCATCGGTGCGGCCTCTGCTCTTGGCGGTGCAACTCGAATGACTCTTTCGATTGTCGTCATCATGTTTGAGTTGACAGGTGCCCTTACATATGTGATACCTATCATGATTGCTGTTATGCTATCGAAGTGGTGTGGTGACATTTTCGGCAAGCGTGGTATCTACGAGTCATGGATTCAGCTTAATGAATACCCCTTCCTGGATCATCGAGACGACACAAACCCGCCAGATGTTTCTGCCCATCGAGTAATGACGACTGTTGATGATGTCTCAGTGATTACAGCCACTGGCCATACCATTAGCTCACTTCGCAGCCTCCTCGCCAACACCAGCTACCGTGGTTTCCCCGTCATCAATGAAACCTCGAAACCTGTTCTCCTAGGCTACATCACTCGCAATGAGCTGTCCTTTGCGCTGAAGTACTCCACTTCGCCTACCAACCGCAATTTAGCCGATGAGACTCAGGTCTTCTTTCTACATCAGCCATTTGCAGATCCTTTGGACACATTGGATCTTCGGCCTTGGATGGATCAAACTCCAATCACGCTCAATAGCAACATCAGCTTCTTGATCGTGTTACGAATGTTCCAGCGTCTTGGCCTGCGCTATGTTCTTTTCTCCAACAAGGGAATCCTCCAAGGCCTTTTGACCAAGAAGGATGTCTGGGCGGTCCTTAATGGCGTGGAGTTCCGTCGACAGGAGGCCCTCCGAGATGATGGATTTCATGACGCTCACACGGCTGAAGAGGTTGGCTTGCTGCATGCCGACGGAAGGAGTAGTCTTGGCAGTTCACTGAGAAGAGACTCGTTCTAGGGTATCATTTCTAGACCTTGATTTCCTGTACATGTAATGATTACTTCCTGCGAATCTAGGAGGCATTGTGCCGTGCTAGCTAGGTCAGCGACCTAATGTAGACATGAATATACTCTGATTTCATAAGGGACATCGTTATTGTCTATGTCTATGTACGTACTGTATGATCATTATTACGCTTGTAACTGAGTCATACTTTTTTCATTGTATGTGCGGGTTCAAAACAAAAAATATCCTGGTAAACTTGAGTGGTTCATGTTTATCAAATGATCTCCCACTTTTGTCGTCTCCCCACTATCCTTTTTGCCAGTCTACACCGCCCAATATCCTCGATAACGATAAGGTCCTAATTTCGCGGAATGGCGTCTTCATCTGATTGCTCTCATTCGTCTTTTCCTCCCAAGGAGGATCCTAATGCCAAGATGATGGTTGACCCGTTTGAAGTGCGCATGCGCTTCACGACCCAGCTCCAACGTCTGAGCGCCACGGTCACATCCTCGCAAAAAGCAGCTCATTATGCGCTCAAGTACCGCGATCTGGACGAGGACCTTCACTCTTGCATTCTGGAACAGCTTGAAAGAGTAAGGAATAGCCTGTTTTTTCCACTGAAACCATACTGATACGAACAGAACAACATGAATACGCGAGCCAATATCATGTCTTTTATCGAACACTTTTGCGAGATGGCCACCAAAGAAGACCATCTTCCCTACGTACGAATGATGCAACGCGACATCCTTCGTGTCGTTGATGCAGTCGTTCCTCCTGACGGCACCGGTGCAGCGAATGTCAAGCACGTTCGACGAGTACTCAGCGGTCTACAAGCTAAACAGATCCTTTCCGCCGAGACTGTGATTGAAATCGATGCCGCGCTCAAAGACCGCGACTCACACCCCGCACACTTGGACTTGGAGCAGGATGAGGCGCAAGATGACAGTGGCCCATCGAAGACAGGAACGCCTCACCATACCAAGCCACAGGTGCGTTTCGACAAGCGACAGATCGAGCAGAGAATTGAAGAAGATCGTGAGCGGAACAAACGCCTTCGAGAAAGCATGTGGGCTGTTCCTGGGGACGATGATGCCGAGGCCCAGAAGTTCTATGAAGATGTCAGCGACATTGGTGAGGACGATTTCATTAACGCCCGTGAGGAGGCTGCTGAACGACGGCTATGCGGCGAGAATGCCATGAAAGAGAACGAGCAGTACAATGCTTAGAAACGCTGGGTCGTTTCATCTGCACTGCGTGATTTTTTGTTTGGGGCTGTTATCTGTTGCACCGGACTCTCGGCGTTAACCGGCATGGCATGGCGTCTTCGTTCCTTCTTTTCAGCGGTCCCGAACCATGTGGTTCAGGTGTTTATACATGGGCATATTTGTGATACCAAGGGTGCATCTTATCGAACCTATCTCTCCTCTTCTACATGAAGAGAAATATCAAAAGCTTTTATTATTCAATCACTAAAAGCCGAGCTGTAGACCTTGAAGTGTTATGTAAATGATCCCGGGCCCTCCGTCCGTGTCCGCCCAAGCATGCCGGATTGAACTGCCACAAGAATCATGGCATATTCATCATAGGCAAGGTAGAAGCAAGGTATCAGCCCACAGGGTCCTAATTTACATCCTGATTAGGGGTGCGTACCACCATACCTTGTTAAAGTCCACCCAATCCCCATCTGAAAAGTAGTTGATATTTAATGCTGAAGGGGTTTACATGGATCAGGACTAGACTCCGCAAAAAAACCGACGATCATTGAACCTTTGAAGCGGAGGGTGGAGCAACATCCAAGCATTGAAAATCCTCCACTCGGGCATAATTACTCGTTACAGAGTTGATTTTCGGAATTATGCAGCTATCGTGGGGAACCTTGTCCGAATGCCTGCAAGTAATAAGCATTCAAGACAAACACCAAGGAGCGAAAACCATTTCTTTGGGTGACAGTAGTGATCCTAGAGTATTATTTGAATATGAATCAGTAGCAAAATAGACAAATAAAGCGGTTCGTGGCTGCTAACATGCTTCGGCGGCATTGACTTGGTCCGGCTCATTTCGCGTGCATGAAATGATGTAGCCGATCCACTTTGATCTACACTTCGGTGTATTTGTAACGCACATCTCTGTGGGGAACCTATGTTCAATCATGCTTGCCCAGACAGACATGGGGAGATCTTTGACGGTTCCAAGTGGATTTCGCTGGCTGGGAGTATAAATTCCCGGTCCTTTCTCGAGGGATGTGATCTTGAGACTCCTTCACATCCAATCACTCCTAGTTTCCTTCCACGCTTCTACATATTCTTATCTCTCTTTACATGATGGTATTCTCAAAGGGAACTGCTGCTGCTGCTCTGGTTTCTTTTGGGGCTTTTGCCCAACAGGCTGCTGCTACCCAGATGCCATTGCCCATTCTGAAAGATTTCGATGAGACTGGTGTGCTTGGTGGTCTCTACCGACCCAACAGCACCACTGCTCGATCCCGCATTGGTGTCTACATCATGCATGCGGAGCAAGACTACACTTCTTTCATTGCCTGTACCGCACTGCCGAAGCGCGGCTACACGACTTTCTGTGCCAACAATGAAGCCAGCAAATACGGTTATATGTCAGACCTCAACTTTGAAGATATGATGACCGAGGCTAGCACGGGCTTAGCTTGGTTAAAAAACCAAACCGATATCGATAAGGTAGTCGTTCTGGGACACAGTGGTGGAGGTGCAATGATGGCTGCCTACCAGAACATTGCTGAGAACGGTGCATCAGCATGCAATGGGTCTGAGAAGATCTATCCCTGCTCTGATGCAATGAACAACCTGGTGCCAGCTGATGGCCTGATGCTCCTCGATGCCAACTACGGCCTTTCAACTATGGCCTTCCTGAGCTTGAATCCTGCTATCGAAGATGAGACCAAGGCCTCTAAGCTGAACGAGTCCCTCAGTGTCTACAACACTGCCAATGGTTTCGTCAACAATACTCGGTCCAACTACACTGCCGCATTCAAGGAGCGATTGCAGACCGGCATGGTGACTCGCAACAACCGTATACTTGACCACGCTCAGGAGCGTCTGAAGGCCCTTGAGGCCGGAGAGGGTATGTTCGGCGATGACGAGCCCTTGACTATCCCAGCATCTCTCTATATCGCTTTCAACAACCTTTTTTTCCCCCAGGATACACGTTACATTCACCACACAACACACGCCTGGCCTCTTCTGCACAAGAATGGAACCACCACTCAAATTGTTCCTTCTGTCCGAGTTCCAGCAAACTTCGAGGACTACTCCAACAACTGGGAGAGTGGTGCTTTGAAGACTACCGTTCGTCGTTTCCTTTCGACATTTGCTATTCGAGTCAAGGACACTTTCAGTATCGAGGTTGACGGATTTGATGGTATCGACTACGCCTCCAGCCAGACTGCTCCTCACGCTGCTATTGCTGGTGTTAAGGTTCCTCTTTTGACTATGGGTATGACCGGTCACTATGAGTACCTGAACGCTGAGAAGCTTCACCTCCAAGCTACTAGCAACGATACTTCGATTGCGTTCGTTGAGGGTGCTCAGCACGGGATTATCACTTGCACTGAGTGTGAGTCTTACCCTGGTGAATATGGCAACACTGCTGAAACTTGTTTCAACTACATTGGTCAGTGGCTGGCCAAGCCTGGTCGCTTCCTGTGATGAAGTGGTGTCCTATCATGTGAAAATTGTAGGACATAGTATATACGGACTTTCTGGCGAGAGGCTTGTCATTCAATTGCAATCTTTTAGACGATAAAGTTCCACGGTTTGAGCTTTAGAAGAATCAATTAATGCCCAGTGTGCATTTATGAACTCTCGGATAAGTAACTACAGCAACAATTACCTAGGTATACGTCCATGGATAACTCAAGTGAAAGTTTTGGAGGTCCAGCTTGCATTAGGTAAGTTTTCAACATCAAGTACCTGATTTGCAAGTCAAAGTAGTCTTTCCATAGAAATACAAAAATGCAAACTCTTGGCGGTTTCCTCTCAGCATTTTGACATAATTTGGAAATTTTCCAAGGTTCTGAGATCCATGGATGCCAGCTAAGTGCCTATACAAAGCAACACTTCAGGTTGCCCAGGTGGGTATGGCAATATATATTCTGCCATGAGACTTTCCAACCTTTGTTCAAAGTGCTGAAAGACTGATTCACAATGGTCCAAAACTAATACACACCAGATTAATATAAAATCAAGCTCTTTATCTCAGATCTCGAATCAATTCAAAAACCATAAAAGATATTCGGGGTCATTGCTCGTATTTGACCCGATGGAACAGGTCACATGATCCCGTTATCTCGGGAAATCCTAAGGCCGATAACTATTTTTTTTTGTATCCCGCAGCAGCTCGACGCATCACATCCACCTTTGGTCCTGAGTCTTCTTTTCATTTCTGTATTCACAGATCTCTATGCTCTCTCACTTAGTCATTGCGGCTAAGGGTCTATTCGCGCGAACAGAATCTCAAGAGAACCTCGCAGATCCTGCTGGCGCCTCCGCAACCACATCGGATATGGTGACCTCCACTCGACGAGAGACCGCGGCTAAAGATGCCTCTAAGTCGCCGAAAACCAATGGTGCCGCCAAGCAAGGAAAGCGCAAGGCACCAATCGACGAGCAGCGAACCAAGCGGCAAAAGCGGAGTAGCCTAGAGGCTGCGGAGAGCGACAATGAGGAGACCGGCTCTCCTAAGACAGAGGAGAAGAAATCAACAGAATCCGAGCCCAAGAGCCACTTTAAATTTGGCAGTGAGGAGCCTGCCGCGCCGGAGCCCCAGCCTGAACAAATTCCCCAAGCATCGAACAACGACGACGACGACGACAGCAGCGACGATGATGAGGCGCCTGAGACAATCGACAATTCCGCTCAACTCATGCAGATGAAGGAAAAAGCAAAGAAGCAAGAAAAAGCGAAGCAATTGTACGTGCCACCCAAGATAATACCCGGTTTTCTGCATGGATTTTGTTTTTCTAATTTGCAACAGAGAGGATCAACTAAAGAAGGAAAAGCGGAGGAAACTTGATGAGCGCCGGAAGTTGCAAGCCAAGTCAAAGGTCAAGGAGGTCACTGGCAGCGACGATCTACTTTCCGAAAGCACAGCCACCCTTCAGGGCTCAAACACACAAGACGCTCGCCGGAGTGCTCTACCCGCATTGCTGCCCGATGACATTTTGAATGCTGAGCCTGTGACACGAGCCCCGACCCCTCCAGCAGAAGACTTATTCGTGCCAAAGAAATCGAATAAGTTGCGGTTCCTTGACAAGACGGAGAAGGCCCCTAAGGATGTGCAAGTGGGCGACGTTACCATTCGAGTGCTTGATGCGCCATCTGCAAAGCGAAAGTCGACAACAACTCTAGCACCTAAGGCCTCCAAGGCTGGACGGAATGTGAAGGATGTCTGGATGAGGGGACAGCGAAGTACCGGCCATGTCAACGGACTGCGCAGGACAGCAGGTGGTTCCTCAGGGTTTGTGCGCCGTTAAAGAAAAACTGTATTAATTTACACTAGGTTTTGGCCTCTGTCACTTTCAAAAGAATTCATAGCGACCTTGAGATGTTAATGTACAATTCGTTCTTGACAATTAAATAGCTGCTTCCGGGTAGTATATTGCGTAGTCCTGCTGTCTATGTAAGGGGAAAGGAAAAAAAAAAAAAAAAAAAAAAATCAAAAATCAAAAATCCCAAACTGAAAAATAGTCTCAGCATGAAAAGGCTCTTAATCTCAAGAACCAGTCTATGTACTTGACATAGAGTTTTAGAAATTCATTGAGTGCATTACAGTAAATCCTCAGCAATTGCGTCAACAGTCCCGATCCCAGATTAATAAGGTGGGGACCACGTGCGGAGCTCTGACCTTGCAAGCTTCAACCTTCGAATTTTCCAGCTTCATTCTATTCTCTCCCCAGCGGAGTCGCCTGTTTATCGGCCATGGCGTCTGCTGCAGAAGATTCCCCCCTGTTACCCAACCACCATAGCCCGACGTCCCCGCGGGCGAATCGGACGTCGCGGTCGGTGACATTCAACCCTCTGACGCAAATCAGTACGTATGGCGGCACCACCTCCGATCCCACCTATCGTCCATTGCATACCGGCTCTCCCCCTGTTCAGAATATCAATGCCCAGGGTGGCTCGCCTCGACCTGCTAGTCAGCCTATGCTGTCAGCCTTGAACAGTAAACTTCGCCGCCGCAATAGCCATGGTGCTCCCTACAGCACACCGCCGAATACGGCCAACGCGTCGAAAATTGGCCCACAGCGTACGACCAAGAAAGCACAGAAATTGAAGTTGCTTCCGGATCCAGTGACGGCTGAAGAGGAAGAGAGTGATGGAGATTTCCCCCGCGATGTCTATTCGCAAATCACTCGCATCAAAGAGCCTGCTGCACGAAGTCATGCGGCCCGGCTAGGCAAGGCCGACCGAGACCGTATTCCTCGGGTGACTGCGTACTGTACCGCCAATTCCTACCGCCTGGAAGGGGTGATTAAGTTCCTCAAATCCCGGGCCAAGACCCGTGGGGCCAATCCTAAGCTATACGATGAGTGTGTCTACTCTGGCTTCGACTATCAGTATGAAGAGAAGCAAAACGCGCGGGTTTTCCCACCCTCTGCCAACAACGGGCACCACGAGCGTCGTCCAAGCGAGCGCAGGTATTCAGATAGTGTCGTCGAGGTGGATGACAACACGAAGTCCCGAAGGGAAGATCTGATCGATTTCCGCGAAGAGGCAGCTGGCCATCCTGATAATGCAGAACACGCCATTGTCACACCGCAGCCCCAAGAGTATGATATCGACATAAACATTCATATGCCCGAGGTCTTCTTGTTTGACTACGGAACTGTTGTCATATGGGGCATGACCCCTGCACAAGAATCACGTTTCTTGTCTGACATATCGAAATTTGCGTCCTCCATTTTGAGTCCGGATGACACACAAGTCGAGAATTTCAACTTTTACTATGCGCGGGAATACCAGGCTCGTATTTACAACGACTTTATCTCGCTCCGCGAGCCTCGCAACCACATGATCAAGTTGGCAATCTCACACGCCTTAGCCCAATCAGTCAAGACCTCTCTTTTCGAGGACCTGGTATCTGAGACTATTTCAGACACCGCTCCGTTGCCTGCTCAGATCGCGCAGACTGGTAGTGTCAATCTGACGCGGAAGCAAATCAACATGCAGATCGGAGAGCTCTTCATCTTGCGAATCAACATCCACCTGCAAGGGTCTGTACTTGATAGTCCAGAACTCTTCTGGGCTGAGCCCCAACTTGAACCTGTCTACCAAGCCGTCCGGAGTTATCTAGAGATGGACCAGAGAGTTAGCCTGCTTACGGAGCGATTGGATGTCATTGCCGATCTTCTTGCTGTGTTGAAGGATCAGTTGACGCATCGCCACGGCGAATATCTTGAATGGATTGGTAAGCTTTCCTCTACGTACTAAAACCAGGAGCAAGCTAATGAATTGTCAGTTATTGTTTTAATTGCTGCCGAGATTCTTGTTGCGGCTATTAATATTGTTGTTGATCTTTACGCCGGCGTCGACTAAGCCTTCAGATTCCGAACATCTACAGATATTGCCTCGAATTACCACCCGGAAACTCCAAAGTGGATATCTCGCCAGTTGATACCACCTAAAACTTGATATCTTGCATGGTACAAAGGCAACGCCTACAAAAAGCACCATTACCCAATATCTGTTATCTCGGATAATCCAGAGCCCAGACCCAATTTGTGCTATGTTCTCTCGATGTCAGCTCACAAAACCCCCCCCCAGAATGTCTTATTTCTGGCAACGTCGTATTTGAGCTGCGTTCCAACTGCTCAAATCTGTCTTCACTGCATACAGAAGAGGCCACCACCGCACACGCTACCTAATACAACTTTGTCTGCTTACTGGGATCGGAGTTTATCTGCCTTGGTTGATTCAAGGGAGTGGGGTTACGGCGCGAGCTTTTATTTCTTTGTACAGATCTTTCATGTTCATACCTTGAATGCATATCGGTCCAGACCAATTAAGTTAACTACAACTCGTACGACAGCCGGCTATAAATACCTAGTAGTGAATGTAATATTTTATCCTTGGTATCAATCACATGCAACCATGCAGTAGCCTATAGAGATGACAGACTTGAAAGCATGGTAGATAGGAAACGAGAAAAGAAACAGGTCATAGGTGAGAAAGAAAATAATATCAGCGCTGTATGAAAAGACACGAGACCCAAGCAAAAAAGAAGAGAGATCAAGAAAGAGAGAGACCCTTTTTCCGTGGAAAAGAAAGACATAACGAGCCCCAAACCACCATGGGTCCAAAGAAAGAAAAGAAAAAGGCAATATAGGAAGGATTATCATTACTCCTCAGCCTTAGGCTCAGCCGTATCCATATCCATAGGCGTAGTCCCCGAATCAGCGGCCTCAGCATGTGCATGCTCTGAGTGGCCCTCGCGATTATCTTGACTGTGGGGTGTCTGCTCGCCTTCATGAGCAGAACCATTGCTACCGGTCTGGACACGGAATGAAGAAGTAAGATCCTGCTGACTTGGAGCAGGGGCAAGACGGGGCAACGCACCACCTCCCTCATGATCTACAGGCTCATTGGCGTGGTCTTGAGCAGGGTGATCCTCGTCGCCGCCATCGACCGGAAGGTTGGATTTGCGGGAGCGCTTGACACGGAGGGGACGTTCTTCGGGCTGGAGGAACAAAGTCAAGTTAGCTAAAAGCTACTTCGTACGAGCAATCGCAAAGCAAATCGACAAAGCAAATGAAATATGCTTCAAAGTCAAGGCCTCGGTAATGTCAAAAAGGGATAAGATAGCTACTCACAGTCCGCGGCTGCTCATCCGAGCTACCCTCGGTCTCATCATCGAAATATCTCCCATTGCCAGCCTGTCCTGCACCCGAACCATTCATCGAACCAGAATCATTCATCATCGCCGCCGCACGGGCGCGCAATTCCGGGTTCGCAGCACCGGACTGAGCCTCGTTGGCCATGCTAGTGACCTTAGCGAGACGTTCCAGCAGCATACAAGACTCCAGGCGCATTTTTTGAATGTATTGCCAGCCACGACGATTACGGGTGCGGATCATGTCATTCTCGACCTCGACTTCGGCAAGGCGCTTCTTTAGCGCGATACATTTGCGCTTGTAGGCGATTTCCACGCTGGGAGGATTTGCGGAGGTTGAGGAACGAGCTTCCATTGTGGAGGTTTTTGAGTGAGTGATTGTTGGGTATGCGGTATTTTGTTGGAATGAAGGATTGGGAGTTCTTTTGAATCGGTCTTGTTGGGGACTCGATGGATGGGTAGACTCGATCGGTAGAGGTGGAGATGGGGGAGTGAAAGGTGGTGATGTAAACGGCGATGGCAATAACTCAAGCGGAACTTTATATAACGGGTTATGTATGTAATGCTGGCGTCCACCCGTTAATTTCAAAGAAGAAGCCGGAATCGTTGTCTTGCAAGGAGCAGATGTGCAGGAGTTGCACTCTTCTACGCGATTTGTTTCTGCCGTGATATCAAAGGCGGTGAATCATTCAATGCTATCCATTACAAAACTAAGCTATGTTCTCTCTATCTAGTGTCCACCGGTAGTCGGCAGACCCAAGAACACCTTGAATGAGTCGTAACTAATTTATCAAAGGTTAGTGTGTGTATATCCACAGATATATGGGAGCAACTTACATCAGCCACTGGAATCCGGTCAACGTGCCAAGCATCACAATACGGACGCCTAGGCCGTTCCAAAGGCCAGTGAACCCAATGTTGCCATAAATTCGTGAAACAGCAGTCATTGCGCCCTCGCCAGCTGAATCGATAATTAGCCAATGACTCAAATTCAAGACCAAGACAAAACAGGAGACTCACCCTTCCGATCAGCATTCAATTTGCTCACCATGACATCGGCCGGATGGCTGACGATAGCACAGAAGATACCCGCAATGTATCCACCCAGGAAACTAACACCAGTCTGTGTAATCTGGCTATAACTTTCCTTAGGCTTACCCATAGTCTTGTAGATCATCTTAACAGTCTCCTCAAACGTCGCAAACTTGGTCATAGTATAGGGGATCTGACGAGCCCACAGAGGATACAATCCCTTGTAGAGACCTGAAAAGCCCTCCTTAGCCACAATACGGCTCCAACCCTCACGCAGGTTGTTTGCATAGGGCGGCAAGGTAGTCTGCATGCGGACCTTGATAGCTTCCATGGGGCAGAGGGCCATATCGGCGAAGAACTCGGCCGAGGCACTGGCACCCAAGAAGACCAAAGTACGGTTTGTCTCTGGGAATAACTGGTCGCCATATAGATACTTGAAATATTCATACAGACCGTACTTGCCGGCACCTTGGAATGAGTATCCTAGGAAAGTGGGCGACCATCCGAAAACCACACCGCGCAAGCCTTCCTTCGCGAAAATAGTGCGCCATGCCTGAATGTTTGAAGTGTAGATCTTGGGATCGACTTGGCGGCGGCATTTGACGAGATCGAGTGGTGTCACAGCGGTGTGAGTTGGTCCTTGAAAGGTGGGGTTGTCAATTGAGTGCAAAGAATATCAATAAGCCGATATTACATACCACAAGCTATAATGAGAAAAAAGAAACTCGTTAGTACTAGCTCAATTCACGCTTGAAGAGGGGAACAGAGGAGGGAGAGCATACCGATGATACCGCCAAACATGCAACTGAAGAAGTACTTGGAGGAGTTGGGTTCGATCTTCCCAAAGGGAAGCTTGCGTTCTTGGAGGGCCATGGTCGCACACTGGGTTGAAGGAGAAAATAAAGAGAGAAGAGGCTGGAAATCAGGAACGAGAAAGCAGTCAGAAATAACAAGGAGCGGAGAAGAAAGGCTGGAGGTATGGCGTCAGTGCGTCCAATGCACAGCTTATCCCCCAAAGTATGAATGGTCGACGGGAACGGCTAGACCGGCACGATGGGTCTTATCAGTAACACCTCGATCTGCGATCGCCAATTCCATGGTTTACCAATAGCTCTAGAATAGTCATATCCTCCGGTATTAGACATCAATATAGGCAATATGTAGCGATATAATTACGCAATTCTTTCTTTGCAAAGCCGAAATCAACCAACCCAAACCTCAAGGAATGAAGTTTACACGCGACAATCAGGGACGAGGATCCCCAGAATCATGACGTCACGATATCCGGTCAAAGCCGTTGGCTCCACATGGTATATATCAAGTTACATTGAATTTATGTACATAATGAAAATATGACTCCAGTCCCCTCCGTATATGTATCCATCTGCAACGCCAATTGATGTCCGTAAGGATTATTAAAGTAGTACAAACACATATGCAATACAATGATCATGGGGTATGAACTCCGGTAGGTCCGATTCGAGGGGGAGGGGCTCTGAATGAATTGTTATCGCCACGGAGTCGTTCGGCTTCGCGGGCCAGAATAAGAGCAAGATTGATGCCTTGTTGATTTCCAATGCGATATAGCACTAAGTTAATCTGATTCGCCTGTTGTGGCGAAGGCATGCCGCATGATACAATGTACCAAAGTGGCCAGAGGAGACCATAGCCTTGCACGGCCCGAATGGTTGATTGATAGTCTCCCGGTTTTGTCGGTCGGCCAAGAGTATCCACATCCGACATGGCAAAAGGAATGCTGCGGCAGACGTCGGTCGTCATTTCTTGGATGACTGCCCGTAAGCTAGTCTCATCAAGCGCGGAATTGACGACAAAGGGATCGTCAGGCTCCTTCTTTTTCGAGATGATGTCGGAGTAGGATCGTTTGAGACTGAGGAGGAGTTGTTGTAGCATGATACGCACGGCTCGGTAATAGTTCCAGATCACACAGTTGGAGATGCGATTATAGGTAAGTAAGGATTCGCCCTGCGCAGAGTAGACGACTAGAGGTAGCCAACGATCGGGAAGGTGAAGAGTCCATTGGGAGAGCTCGAAATCACACTCTTGGCCAGCAGTCATCCACTGTTTGACAGTGGCTAAATCGGGTGGACTGGGTGCTGCTTGCATGGCCAGGAAAAGTTGGCTCAGTTTGGAGGCAGCCAGCATGAGCCGTTCGACGGGATCATCGATGTTTAATTGTTCCAATATCCAGTCCATGTCGAAACGAGGTTTATCCCCCAACGCAAGAATCTCAACGGACTATACTCTTGTCAGAACTAGTTTGCGGTGAGGGAAATGGCGGAACGTACAGTGTGTGTATAAGCGAAGTTGAACATGTCACGGCCGTGGCGGTTGTTTAGTTGACCCTTGCCTCGAATTTTCATCAGGAACTCAAATCCAGCGGTGTGAGAGCTATATAGCCCATTTCGTTCACCAGTGACATCCTCGAAGAGAGACAGAATGACCACAGAGGCAAATGTTTCATCTTTCAGAGCCTCCGTAGGCGATGCTAAAGCTTCACGTAGACTGCTCAAAGCCTTTCCATATCCTCGACGGGCCTTCATCATGAGTTGGGGTGCCCGTGTAACATTGGCGAGAGTCATAAACGCCGTCGCGTCCACAGCCCATCGGAGACAAGAGGATGTCGATTTTTGCTGGTCAATTTGGGAATAAAGTAATGGCAAATAGTCCAAGTGGCCCACGCCATCTTCATTGTCGGACTTGACTATATATTGATCAAAGAAATAACATATTGCGCGATCTTCCCACGTCGCATCCGCTATTGGAATCAGCGACAGCGAGGTGTTAGTGCTTGAAGGGCTCCCAGAATGACGGTCTGCATCCCCAGAGAATTGCGAGAGGAGCGTCACACTTTGTCTGCTAGTACCAGACGAAACAATGTCCTTCTTTGCTTGGCGCTCGACTTTCTTGTTCTCATTCCGGAAAACTGCATCAGGCCGGTATCCCGGGCAAGGCCGGCCGTACACACCACAGTTTCGGCACTCAGGGTGGCCTTCATCGCACTATATAATGATGTTAGTGATTGACAAGGAAAACAAAGTTTAAAGTAAACAGTCATTGAGAATAGAGCCCCGGGTCTTACCTTAATCTTCCGCTTGCGGCACAGGTAACATCCGGTGCTAGGCTTCCCTCCATAGACCATTTTTGACTAAAGGCCGTCTATAGAAAGTGGCTCGTTTAGCCGCAGAAATAGGCTGGTGGCGAACAGCCTCCCCGCTTCTGGGATTCGGGGGGTTCCACAAACGGGGGGCCACGCAAATCGGTCTGAGGGGCACGGTTGACCGGGCCACATGGGCATCGTAGGCTTCGACTTAACGTGTTCGACTAGAACACCTGGAAGATGGGCAGTGTCTTTATAAGCAGATGTTCAATGCGGACTTTTGAGAGGGGAAATATGGTCCTTTCAAACCATTGACGGCAGCCTCAGGTGAGGCCTTAGTCAGCACTTCCAACAGCACTGGACCTGATCTAAATTGTTCTTAGTACGTTGCACAATTGCATAAAATATGGAATCGAAGGGAAAGAGAGTCAAAGTGATAAGCTACTGAAATAATCATGTTTGAATCATCTACGTGACCAACGGGAACCCTGATATTAAGCTGTGGCTGCATAGCTATCTATAAGCTTCAAGGGCCCTCAGCAGAGAGATATCCCGCATGATCAAAGGTCACCTTACGCAAGAAAATTACACAAGGAAGCCCTGTTCAAAGCTTTGACGCCTTCTTTTGTGTCCTCCCGTCCCTGTACGTCCGGCTTAACTCTGCTGCACGTGCGATCAAAAATCCATGCAGAGACTGATACTCCGCACCCTCATCCGCAAGATTGACAGGTCGCAATTTCTTTTGATAAAAAAAAACAATCCACGCGTTCGCCCCCGCAACCTTGGTATTTTGAGCCACAGACCAAGCAGAATACCTAATGTGGAACCTGTCTTACTGTATATCTACCTTCGAACGTTTCTATGCTCTCAATGAAGATCTAACCTTCGAAGTGAAATGGATGATTCACTTGGCTCATGAGCCCCAATCACACAATCTCATCCATATATACGTCTTGGATTTCCCCAAAGTCTTTGATTTTAAATTGACTTGGCTCGATAGGTAAGAAGATTATTGATACTGTTCATTTTGAGTGGCAAGGGCAAACTGGTCATGTGGACTATTGCCCCTAAACTTTATAGCGGGTCTACATCATAGCGTATAAGATCCCTCATATAAATGATCATCATGGTATTGAAGCAAAATTCCTTATTAAACATTAGAGTAAAAGAGACATTAGCGTAAAAGAGACATTAGACCCAGAAGAACCCTGAGTGAGATTAAAGCCGGGTCAAATAGCAATTCGGAACAGAATCGTATTCCACCTCGGTTTAGCGCGACGAAACAATAGCAAAAACATTCATAGTATGATCCCAAATTTTCTTATCCACACCTCGCTTCCTGAAATCCTCAAGAACCTTCGCATTGTCGCCAGCCTCTCCATGTTGATCAATGGTAAAAATACCACCTTCGGTCCGTTGAGCTTTCTGTAAGTCTCCAGCCAGCGGGACTATGCCATCGTCCACACTATAACGTGCACTGGTGATAATGAACAATCCCCTTTGGCCCGCTTCAGTTACGCTCCTGAGAAAGAGCTTGAGCACTGGAGCTACCACGTAACGGATCACCATGCCCAAGATACCACCGGCAATACGATTGAACAGCGGGGTAGCCACGATGCCAGGAAAAGCGTGAACGAAGCTGATGCGAGGATTCTCGGCAGCGAGGTGTTCCAGTGCGAATGTCATCATGGTAGTAGCATGAGAGTTACCAGAGCCAACAGAAAAGTTCTTAGGATTATCCAAACCCAAGTCGTCTTCATGTAGGGATCCTTCTTGTCCACCTGCCAGGATAGACAGCACATGTGGGCTTTTGGACTGGTTGAGTAGAGGGACTAGAAGCTGGGCCATCCGAATACGGGAGTAATAACGAGTTGTCAAACTGGCTTCAAGGCCCTCAGTTGTATCTACTACTGGTAAGTATATATCAGAAACGGATTTTTGGTGTTGGTATTCACCTTGTCTTCCATCAAGCGAGAAAAAGCCTACAGACATGCAAAGCAAGTCTAATGAGGACTCCTTGGATTTGATGAACTCCGTTACCTTCTCGGCGTCTTTGATGAGCGAGACATTCCTCTCGATGATTTCGAATGTAGCACCGGGGTTTATAAGGCGTAGTTCTTCAACAAGAGGAGCTGCGGTCTCAGCGTTACGGGCAACGATATAAACTCGAGGGCTCACAGCGTGCTGTGCAAACTCCTTGAGGATTCCCAGACCAATACCGGATGTTGCGCCTACGAATAGAGCAACCTGGGGTCCTTCCGCGTCCGAGAGGCGATTATTGGATTGAAGTACGGTTCGGAGATTAACCATTTTGAAAAATAGACAGAGGAATGCGAATCTTTGAATATTCGAGAGACTTGGAATGCGAAGTGAAATTAAGAGCGGTCACTGTTGGTCCGTTGTTAAGGTCTTGCAAATGTATGTAACAGAAGCAAGCTGAGGTGATTTTATTTGGTGGTGGGATGTAACGAAGTGATGAAGAGAAGAGGGAAAACTATATAGTGATGGCTGCTTGCTAATGTAGTAATTCATCAGAACTCTCTAGATAGATTTTGCTGCATAGATGCCAATGGATTGTAAGCATCGGGCTCCGTAAATTCCAAAACCCGGGGACACGATCTTCTCATGTAAGCTCGTAAGCTCACTGCATGTGACCTAACCCCGAGCCCCGAGGGCACGTGTTTATCACGTGAGATACACGTCAGGTGGATTCGACTTGAACTATGGTCCGTGCATCGGTCCAGGGTCCACGAACTGCAGCGCGTATAGCTTTAAAGCAGAAACATCATAAAGACCATTGGGCATTAAAGCAAGCAAATATATTTGATGATCCTTGTTTTGTTTTTGCGGGTGTAATAAAAAGATATAGAGTCACTGCCCAATAGGAACCTGCGATTTGCCCATGGCAAAGCTGCCAATCCCTGGAAAAACAACACCAGTCAACCCCCTACAGCTTTCAATCATTGTGTTTCTATTTACACTTCCAATTTAATTATTCCGTGTTTTCAGGACCCCTATACGTATTACAGTGGCTGAGCAAAAAGCCATGGAGGATATTGTGTATATCCTCACTACTAATTGGGTTTAGTGACGCCGGGGAGAATCCCCACTGCGGGGCCATCAAATCCGTATCCTGTTTCATTTCTGATGATCGGTGCCATGTTTCAGTTATTTCAGTCCATGGCCCATGAAGCATTCGTAAGTGCCAAGCAGTTCAATCTCATGGAGAATGCATTATTAATAACAGCATCTTCCCCAGAAGCCTTGGACTTTCGTCGAAAATAAAGCAACAATCAAGCTTCCTCAACCTTCTCATCATGTCTTCGCTTGCCATATCTGAGGATAATCCCTTCCAGGTCTTGATCCAAGAAACCAACAATGACCCGGTCAGTCGTTAATATGTCCATTAAACCCCTCAGGATGAGATTGTTGACGTTGGTCATTCCTAACTTCTGCACAGACTGCGTTGCAATTGCGTTATCAAAGTCACCGTGTGGCTAGAAATGAGCAACAGAGCACGAAGATCCTAGCAGACAGCTTTCCAGGGTGGTCTTTGGATCCTATTTTGAGCCGACTAGATGGCCCTGGAAAGGAAGATGGATATCTTGATCCTCGAAACTGCCTTGTGATTTGGGCCAGGCCGCCTCCTCATATTCGTGATCTGATTTGCTTTATTCAAAAGGAGTTGAAGGAGGTTTCCCCTTGTAAGCTTTTCCGTTGATCCTAAAGCATCGAGTTCTCTAGTCTCTCGACTGACTCATCAAAAAAAAGCAATTTGGCTTATGCCTCCTCAGAACTTGCACACAACAGTGTTGGAGGTTGCGCACTCCCTGACTGAAAAGGAGATTGATCATCTTGTTCAAACCCTCGAGGCTTCCAAGGATGTGACTGCAGCACAGATTGCTGAATACCCCGTTGCTCACAAGTCGCGTCTCTTGAAGCCGATGGTTAGCTTCGACGCCTCTGCAATGGCACTGAGCTTTGTTCCAGCCGCGGGTGAAAACCTGCAAGCTGGTGACAATGGCGATGACTACTCATATCATCACCTGCGCCGGGATGTATTCCAGATGGTTCGTCAAGCCCAACTCCCTGTGGCTTCGCGGTACATCGTCCCGTCTGCCCATGTTACCATCGCTCGGTTCATCAACAACGAAGATTTTCTTGTTCAGGGAGCGGAAGGGGTAGAGCTTGATCGCGCACGCGTGAAGTTGCTGATCGAGAAAATCGAGGAAATCAACAAGAAATTAGAAAGCGAGTTCTGGCCTCAGGTCGATGGCACTTTCCCCGAAGGGGGTGAATGGATTGTTGGACAGCAGAACTTGGTGATTCGGAGGGGACGTCTCTGGTATGGAGGTGGTGAGACTGTGTCGACGGGCAGTGACAATTAGCTCTGTAGTAATCCGTGGCCCACAAGATTTAGATATTAGTTTAATCCAATTCTCGAAGCAAGCTTTATTCCCCCCCCCCCCCCCCCCCCCCTTTTTTTTTTTATTACGAAATTGTACAATGACATACCAATTTTGAAGTATCGGGCCAAGCCACACACGTTCCTTACGTATCAGCAAGGAACCCTTTCAACGGTCAGTCGGCCCAGATCCAAGATTATCCGCACCATAGATGGAGTGCCCGCGGAGCGTAAAAAGGATGAGAACATTGTTTGTTGTGTAGCAACAAGTACGTCAGCTTTACACTTGGTCGGACGTCCCTTCCTAAATAGGCTTATCCACGTGTGTTCTCCTTGGTTCATTGGGAATGGGAGGCGTGATCTGATTACTAGATGTGACTACGAAACGTAATGCAGGGCCACAGTGGGCGCCTTTCAAGGTCTTTGTATAATTCTGCAATCCATCAACCCTTGCTTAGTCTTGGTACTCCGATGCAAAATACTTCGTAAGCTGGTGTATAATGGTTTCACCCTGGATTCAGAGCTCCTGGGCGCCAATATAATTTCGCAAATTCTATGCGCATACCGCCCAAAGCATGCATCTGTAGATGAAGCATGATAACAGTAATCCCCTCTCACTCTCAGTCTCGTTTGATGCCAACCTTACCCAGCTGGCGCAGCCCAATTGAACTGGAAAAGCAAACCAAGATCATAGCAGCAAAGATGGTCCAATAGGCTGCGCGATAACCCTGTAGTAGAAGAACCTCCTCAGAAGCAGAGCTGCCTTTATGGGCCGTCACTGAGGCTGCAATGGCGGCAGTGATTGCTAGTCCCACGGAGTTGCCCAGTTGAGAGATTGTGTTGAAGACTCCGCCAGCTAGTGCCTGCGACTTTCCTGGAAAAGAGCGAGATATGATCAGACTGGAGACGGTCCAGAGCACTAACAAGGTCAGCATCTTGGTTTGAAATAGGAGTAAGATTTAAAATTGACCTACCATCGCCATTAAGCGGACTCAAAGTCATTGCGATGAAAGCCGCAGTCCAATATGTCCAGGATGGGCTCGCAAGAGCCATCAAAATAGGTGAAACAGAAGTTATCAATGCCGAGACTCCCAGTAGAACATGGACTTCGACTTTGGTGACCAAGTATGCGGTCGCAGAATTGGTAAGAACACCCACAACCGCCATTGGGAGGAAGCGAATAGAAGCCTGGAGGGCTGAGAGGTCCTGCACATCTTGGAAGCTATCATTTGGTTAGTATCAATTTTAAATCCAGAAGGAATTTCAGAGGACGTACTATAGAGTAGACTGATATTGAAAGGCGTTAAAAGCTGCCCAGGTGAAAAACATCGATATACATATCGATAGAAATGGCACACTCTGCCAAAGTGAGTTCGGTATCAAAGCAGGCTGTCCACGTTTCTCCTGTCGGCGCATCCAGAAGGTAAATGTTGGAAGTAGAGCAACGGATACCACTAAAAGTGTGATATTTTGCGCATCACCAATTGTCGAATAGCTAAGAGTTATCATCCTGTATAACATTAGCATCTTCAAGAATAATTTGCGAATCGCGAATACATACGCCAATACATAGGATAATAGACCTAGGGAGACCGCGAGAATAAAGACCCCAACCCAGTCAATCTCGTTCACTAGGCGATTTAATGAGATTTTTGTACGCTTCGTGTTCGGCAACATAAATATTGACGCGATAAAGAGGAAGAAGTTTAAGATTGTTGTAATATAGAAAGCCCAGCGCCAACCAATAGTATCAGTTAACACACCACCGAGGATCAACCCGGCTGCATAACCCAGGGGCTGACCCATGCCAGTAATAGCGAAGGCAATATTGCGTCTTGGCCCCTGAGGAAATGAAGCAGTGACAAGGCTCATCGAAGTGGGCAGGCACATGGCCACGAAGATGCCTAGCATGGCTCGAAATGCAATGAACTGAGTGCCACTCTGTGCGAGTCCACAGCCCAGAATCCAGAACGAGGAGACACCACTTCCGAGGAGCCACATAGGCTTGGATCCAACAATGTCGGCCACGGCGCCAAAGGCAAGAAGTGTGCACCCTGCGGCAAGAGCATATACCGATGCCGGCCAGAGTAAGAGGTCATTTTCCAGGTTGATATCGCGGGCGATCTGTGGTAGAGCGGTGGTAAGAATTCCCGTGCCAGAGACGCTGATGAATGTGACCCCTGTCAGAATGAAAATAATGCTGGCTGCCTCAAGGGTACTTTTTTCTATGTTGTCGTTCTCCACGGGTGCGGGTGGTGGCGCAACCAAGTCAGTCAGAGGGATGGCATCAGTATTCACAATAGTGGTGGTAGCGGTGGTGGACATTTCTCGCAATCTTCAGCTGAGGCCTTCGATATGCGAGTAGAGAGAGTTTTCCAACAAGTCTCTGATAACATTAGACCAGGCAGCTACGGGCTACATTAATCTCTTATCGATGCAAGCTTACGCAAGCTCCACCACTCGGCCCGAAATTCATGCCCACTTCAATAATCCACAACTCCACTTTCCCCATGCCAATGGACTCTGTGCCGATGGCTAATAGCCGCGCATAGTAGCGTAGATTGCTTGAGTTTACCCTTGAGAAAGCACTAAGAAGAACCCGGCAATGTTTCAACCAAATTGTAGTAAGATTTTTTTTTAAAAAAAAAATGAAGTCTACGGGGCTAGATGCTTGTAGATCAAAGCCTGGAGAGAATTAGAAGGCAAATGATATCGCGATAGCTAATGGAGTCCTCCATAGTCATTGATTTCGAGCTTTTGATATCATGGAATAAAAACTAAGAAAAGTCATAATAGGCCATGCGGCTAAGCAATTTCGGAAACAGTCTCCTCAAGTCGGGGTTTAGCTCTCGCTGCCTTCGTGTCACTTGAGGATTTCACCTTGGAGGCCTTCTGTGAGACGCTGGCGGGAACGACATCAGCCCAACGAAGATAAAGATCATCTGGAAGCATCTTCTTCTTCTCCGTCTTCTTCACCACAAGTTTATCCTTCACGGCATCGTACCGGATAGTTGAGCCCCCACCCCAATTTCTGGTCACTTGAAGTATGCGATTGATAAGTGCAACAAGTTTCGTGATGTCCTTTTGGTGAGCCTTTTCCCAATTCTTCAGCGCGGCATCGACATTCTCCACTTTTGGCATTGAGAATATCCCACGTTGATGATAAGCTCGGACGAGCTTGGGCGTTTGCGAAGCCCACAGCTGAGGCGCCACTTCCGATAGCTCTAGAGATTTGTGACGTACTCGAGTTTTGATCTCTAGAGTCGACTCTCTTGGTACCACCCGGCCTTCCTTCCTGATAGTCAATTTGGAATGAATGGAGATATCTTCGGCGGATGTAGTTTCCGGCGAGAGAGATAACGAATTCAGCATGTTTGTAAGATCTTCCCCTACCGTCTCCTTCTTCACTTTAGGCTTTAAGTCACCAACACACCCGTCTGTCTCATGGCGTACAATAAAGCGCAGACCACCCAGTTTGTACTGAACAATGCGGTGGTGTCCAGTGCTGCCTTTTATCTGATCGATAGTGTATGCTTTCTCAAACTCATGACCATAGCCCTTGAATTCCATCGGCCCAATCACTTCGGATGTTGCAGTCTCATCACGACAGAAGATTGCAGTCTGAGCGGCTATATCCACTTGGATTGTGAATGAGTCAAGACCGTGTTTGTTCAAAGTGGGGTTCACAAACGTCAGGAGCTTTCGAATATTGTTTCGATCGGTCACGATGTCGATTGAGTTGATATCGAAAGAGGGTTGCTCAATGTAAAGGGAGCGGAAGAGCGGCTCTAGAGGGCTGTCGGGGTGGCGAGCAGCATTTTGAGCAATGTAGACTAGACCGCTGTCCTTTTTCACAGATCTGGAACCCTGTGGAGCAGACCAATAAGCTGGGCTGCCTGGAACAGCAATCGTAGGTGTAGATGCTTCGATCCAGTTGTAGATGTTCCACATCAGTGATAGTTGCTTCCGCTGGAGCAGAGGACTCAAGGCCAAGACGGGAGATCTCTACCAGATCTTCAGAGGCTTTTTTGGGGCCTGTCATTTTTGCTCCTTTATCTTGCGAGTACTTAAAGTTCAAAGAGATATATGATATGTAGCAAATCGATTTACTTTACCCTTGGAACAGGGGATTGCCCGCGTTATAAGCTAATAGTCTTCCATTATTGTGGAGTTCCAATACATAGTCTAGCCGCGTAACGTATGAAAGCATACATTGCTTTCTTGCATGGCTAGTCAGCCCATTATAAAATAACAAAACGCCCCTCTTCTACCCATGGCCAACTTCGTGACCAATGACATAGGTTCTTGGCTTTTCTATCGTGTTTGATACTTTGTTTACATACCAAACAGTCATAAGTCCTAGCGTAGAAAGAATAACTCATGAATTATGTGGCCATATACTGTAATGAAAGGCCAAATCATTCAACAACTAGTCTATGGGCTCGCTTGCAGTAACATATTTCTAAAACCTTGGAAAGGTCCGTGCCACCAACCCCGCCAACTGCAGATATACAGCAAGCCAAGCGAATCACCTTTGAACACATTCTAAGCGACTACGATCAGCCGCGTGTTGCATGCAGTCATCTCCGTATAAGGCATCATACATTGCATTGCATATTCCAGCTTGGATATATCATCGTAGACGCGGCTCTGCTCTTCCTTGAATTACCTTGCCAGAACAGTGGAAGACTATGTAGCCGTCATTTACTTACTGAATCAGACCTGTCCGAAATCATGGTAGATAGTGATAGATTACAGGTAAATCTTGTCCATCAGCCGTTGCGGACTTATTTTGTCTACGGGAATTGGAGAATATATTGTTTCTGTACCCATGGTTCTAGACCTTCCGAAAGTGGTAATGACACTATAATTACGCAGGGATGTGATAAAAGCGACAGGGGCTACTCATCTTTCTTCCCGTTCGAATATGATGCACATTAGCAACATACTGATCATGTGAATAATGCAATATAGCAAGACGGATGGCAATAGTCAACGCATAACCAGGAAGAGCATACAAAAGGCCGGTATGAATATTCACAGGTGCAGACATATTGTAAAGGATTCAAGGAAGTCAATACTTTGGTATAGGGGCGGCTAAGTGTTCATAGCATGGATAATCATAGGAGATACTTGAGCTACCTTAAGTCATATTTTTCCCTAATCACTTTCAGAGGGTCTAGACGCTGCAAATGCGACTTCCATAAAGAGATGACATCCTGAACGGGCGTTTGATTATTTCAAACAACGACCTTGAAGGAATACCGCTAGGTGGTAGAAGTAAAAATCACTAAAAGGGATTCTTTGAATCCTTCCTTCCTTCATTATTCCTGGAGAGCTTGCCTTAGTTAACGGCTCATATGCATACCGCTGGCGAACCCAACCTATTCCAACAGGCAATCACCCAATGATCACCCAGCATTTTCTTTGATATCATCGGCAAATCAAAGCTTCGAGATATTAAGCTCAACAAATTTCCATGAGCACGGATTTGCACGATTCCAGACTAAAAGTTGTTCCCAGCCTAGCAGGCCGCGATGTTCACATTTTTGATCATGTGAAAATACCCATGTTGTTTCAGATATTCCTATAATAAGACTTCATCTTGTATCTAATTCATACACCCACATCTCCGGAGATACCGACTTCTCATAATTCAGACGCAGAAGAGCTTTATTCATGAACAATTCCCATTCTGTCAAGAAAGATCGATGGCAGGCTGTGCTCATCTTGCGCAATAATGAGCTTCGTTCTCTCTTCATCTAGTAAGAATGACTTCGGCATCCACGACGGTGGCTGTTCGCCCAAAACCATTCGAGCAACCGCCTCTCCACATGACCAGGCCTTGTCCATTCCATGCCCGTTATAGCCGCCCGCAATCCATTCGCCGCCACCCGCACGCTTTGTGAAAGCCGCAGGCAGTTGCCCTACCATCGGTAATCCATCAGCAGTAAAGCCCATGATACCAGACCAGACTGATATTGGCTCAACTGGCTCAGAGCCTTGCAGGATTTTGGGCACCACGGAGCAAAGATTACTCTTAGCATGCTCCGATATAACCGAGTCATCCGCGCTCAACATATCATCAATTTTCTGCACCTCACCACCAATCCAGAGATCACCCGTTTGAACATTTTGTTGAGCATAGTACAATCCGATATCGATGATCCCCGTAGAAGAGTCCATACTTGGCTTGCTTCGGTAGGACCAAGAAAATTGGTCGCCCAGTCGTGGAAATGACGGTCCCAATTTCTGACGCGACATAGTACCCCGCACTGGCCATAGCTTCCCTACTAGTCCCGGTATCAAATGACCTGCGTGGCCATTTGTGCAGTGAATGACGTGGTGAGCTCGAATTGATCCTCGAGGCGTCTGAAGGAGATACGCTGCGTTGTCTTCAGGAGCATTTGGCTCATAGCTGATGGAACCAACAGGTGTGTTGGTCTCCAGTGTAAACCGGCCTTGATGCTCTTCAATCAGAATCTTGTATAGCGCTGTAAACAGGCGGTACGGCCACAGCGCAGCGGCGCCTGTCTGTTGAGCCGCACCAGCAATATTCGGGTTGAATTTCCACTTCTGTATGTATAGCATGGTTAGAAGGGGATTATCGATAAAGGAAATATTCAAACTCACCTCCGTGGCATGCTCTACAGGAACTATTGTTTCTGGTAGCGCGTAAGCTGATAAGTCTTTATTTTGCTGGACAAATTCAATCGCCCGTTTGGCCTCGTGAAAAGTCTTCTTATCCTCGAAGACAATGGTACTAGCCAAGGATCGTAATTCTGCCGCTTCCTGATCCTTTTCACTCAGGCCAGCAGCGATCTCTTTCAACCGAGCAATTGTCCTTTCACTCAGATGTGCCACACTTTTTGCTTCCTTCATCCCCATTATTTCAGCTACTGGCGGGAAGAGCTCATCTGCGTTGGATACAAGATGGCCTCCGTTGCGGCCCGTGGCCCCACTGACTGCTTCACGTGCTTCGAGTATGGTAACCCGGAGCTTCGACGCATTTGGGTGGTTTAGCAACGTGTACGCGACTCCAGAGCCAGTCACTCCAGACCCAATAATGGCAACGTCGACTTCAGATGGTAGTCTGGGTGATTGAACCGCACCAACTGTCGGGTGGCGTGGCTCCTGCCAGGCAGACATCGTTGGCTGAGGGCTTGGCAGCCCAGGGGGCTTATTAAGCAAGGCGTGCATTCGTTCTGAAAGTCAGGTTCAGCTTGTGTCTTGGGTTTGAGGGACTGAATACTCACTAATAATAGTCATCGTGAGCTATAAATTTTGGCGCTGTGCAAAGAGAAGAAAGTTGAAGGAAGTAGTTGAGACGTCCATCCTTCCAAAGAACATTTCGACCTTTAAGTAAACTGATCAACTATTTGCCGGTAACCGAAGGGTCACATTCGGGATACTGGCACTAGCTTTTTAGTATGCATTTTTACTTTTGTGAGGCTGATCTATATCCCCACAATGCTACCATAGGTCAGCATGGATTCGTGTGGTTACCGCCCCACTATATTTGAATTCAGCCAATCAAAGCGCAGTAAATGGGCCGGTGCTTATCTGTACAACCCCGCATACATTCATCTGATAAATGATGCCTAGTGTGAGCTTGTTTCGGCAGGACTTTCTCTTTCAAGATAGAAACATGTGGGCGTTTGGAGAACAATATTGCTATAAATTGTGGGATCACAGGGAACTTTCGGCTTTTTCCACTCCGTAACACTCATTCATCAACAGTCCAATTCAGCTTATCTCTTAGCATCTCCAAACATCAGCTGAAGAGTCATCTATCAACCACATGAGCCATGTTGTCAAAAGGTTGGTCCACTATCTTACCCGCCAGCGCGAACTGTCCCAACTCAAATGATGATTGAAATCTATAGACGCGCTCGTGGCCCGTATCAAGGCCGACCCGCTGCTCCCAAGACCCAACCCCACCGCTACATTCTGGCAAGAGCCGCCACATCCCACGGTTGCCTCGATACAATCTCAGGAGCTTCCATCAAAGACGGACATTGCTATCATTGGCTCTGGAATAACCGGTTGTAGTGTCGCCAAGGCGTTATTGGAAGATCCGTCGCTAGCTGGCAAGACTGTGACCATTTTGGAGGCTCGTGAAGTGACTAGCAGTGCAACTGGCCGTAATGGTGGCCACCTGGTGTCTGACTGCCTGGAAAGCTTTGCCCTGGTGTCGGCGACTTTAGGCACCGATCATGCTGTGGAAGTTGCCAGATTCAGTTTAGCCAGCATGCAGCGGCTGAGGGATGTTGTCGCTGCATTTGGAGGCGATCTGGCTGAGAAATCTAAGGTCAGGGAAGTGATCAGCACATCAGTTCTTGGAGATGAAGAATCTCTGGAGGAAGCGCGAGTCAGCTTGGCGGCATTCGAAGAAGCGTTACCAGATCTTAAAGGAATGTTCGTCCTACTGGGGAAGGAGGAAGCGATGGAGGTGAGATATGACCGTGGCATGAACAGAATATCCTTTGACAGAGACTAATTATAGTGATTCCGATGAGCAGAAATATAAATACCGCGATTTATTCGGCGTTATGGAACAATATGGTGCTGGTGCATTATGGCCATATAGATTGATCACTGGCATCTTCGAGATACTGCTGCAAAGGTACCCCGATCGATTTTCAATCGAATCATCTACACCGGTCACTGCTATCGCCTTTTCGGCTGAATCTCCTGAGGATCCATACCCATACAGACTTAGCACACCACGTGGCACCATATCTGCAACCAAGGTGATCCACTGCACCAACGGTCATGCAGCCCACCTGCTCCCCGGGCTGAGTGGAAAGCTGTTCCCTTTTAGGGGAACCATGTCAACCCAGGCTGCCGGTAAAGAATTCCCAAACAATGGGTCAAGCCTTTCCTGGAACTATGTTGGCAAGAGCATCATAGATCCAGAAACAGGTATATGGTCTTACACATTATACTACATCACCCAAGACCCGGAATCAGGCGACATCTTCATTGGCGGTGAGAAGCAGAAAGCCGACGAAGTGTTTGTGAGTGACGATACGGTCCTTCCGCCTATTCCTGCTGAAAACCTCACAACAATTCTACCAACCATATTCCGTGAGGGCTGGAACGAAACAGCACCCGAAGTGAAGAAGATGTGGTCTGGCATCATGGGCTTTACCGCGGATGGTCTACCACTGGTGGGAAACCTTCCTGAAAATGCAACTGGGAGAGCAGGAGAGGGTGAATGGATTGCTGCCGGGTATAGTGGTCACGGAATGGATAAATCATGGCTCACTGGAGAGTCATTGGCTGGAATGGTTTCTGGAAAGGGTATTCCAGCAGGTTTCCCTCGGGCCTATCTCCTTACAGATGAGAGACTGACACGGTTGAGTGCGGACGTGTTTGTCGAGAATGTCTTTGGACATGTGAGCACTGACTGAGCAGAACAACAGGAGGCAAGCGGTTGATACCCTTACTCGCAATTTTTCAATGGACCTTTCACTCTACAGTTGAGCTTTTAGGAATTTTCTTCTCGGTCTCTCTACGGCAAGTAGCAGCCTAGGTACCTGTTTTGATCTAAGGGTGCATTTAATTTACTCACTCAGTCTCTATGGATTGCTTATATATTTCTACTTCTATCACATAACTCCTCCATCAAGGCCTCGGCTTCAAAATGCTCAGCATAAAACAGTCTCTCACAAAGAAAGATCTATTTTTACCCTCGGGACCACCCTTTATTCATAACCTGTATTTAAAATGGCTTTGTTAGACTCGACCATCCAAATCTCGATATTCCAAGCTCAGCTATTGTTCTACTTTGTGAAGCGAGGCTTTGTTGCTTCTATAAATAGGTGGGTCCTGAGATCATCGACATAAAGGACTTTCAATAGTGAAAGACTGAAAGCACTAGGAGTCTCCCAGCTGCTCTCGAGTATAAAAACAGAAGGCTCTCCCCGGGTGCAATCATCTTCGCATCCACCAAGTCTTCCCTTAAGCCAATAATCTTCCTGGAAATTTGAACTAAGATGGCCTCCAACATGCAGCTATTCCTCGACCAGCGCTCAAGCATCGTGAATGCACTAGATCAACTCATCACTCACATTCCACTCATCGAAGGAACCCAATCTACACATACTGACTGGCTTCGGATCACAAAGTCCCTAACTGATGAAAAGGCGCGCTTGAACTCGTTGCTTCCATCCAATAACCCGCAAGATACAGGGAACATTTCTTGTCTTGGTGATAGAATCGGTGTCATCAATTCACACATTGACAGAATGATCGAGGACCTGGAGAATTTCAATGCCGCACTCACCGCTGACTCCTTGCTGATCATTAGCACGCAGATTGGACTACTAAGTTTTCAGGGTTTAGAAGATCCACAGGCGGCTGAAATGGAACGGCGTGCTCAAGAGCTCGAGCGCAAGTTCAACGCAGGAAGTTGTTTGCCGTCCGGTGCTGGCCCTAGACCGAGCAGTCTATGGGAAGCACTTACTTTGAGTGTTTCGGGCTGCAGTTGTCGGCACTGCAAGAATCGGTAACTTCGTCTTGAGATTGAAAGAACAACAAAATAGAGTTGAAAATAGTTTCATGAGATATATTAGTATACGAAATCAAATTCACTCCTACACTTTCGGACTTTCAATCCCTAGCTTGCAACACGTTGGTCTAACTTGAGACATTCCCCAATAATCCCTATCAGGCCGTATCTTATTTCCTGGTAAAATATGAACTGGTCATTGTTACAATACCGTAGTCTGCCGTAGAAATTGATAAAATCTTTAATGTAAAACGACCGAACAAAGGAGGCAACCATAAATAAGCTTCTCATTAGACGCAGCCTCCACTTCCACTCATTTGACATCCAATAGAAGGCTGAATTTTCAATAGAGGACCGAACCTGGTAGGCAGAAAAGAAATTTCATTGTCGTGGCTGCTGTTTTCCTCATTAATTATTATTCGTTACCGTTCTCAATCGAAGGCCGGAACTCTTGGAAGCTGACACGGATCTTTCGGGGACTGCCGTTATTTGTAAAGATGAGACGGGCCAGATCATGATGATCCAGTCTCTCAAGTCGGCGCTCTCGAGTTATGGGAACATGACTCGCAATATTACTAGGCCTGTGATATAGGGGGGCTCTTTTCAGTCCTAATTATCGAACACGCTAACCCAAATCTGGTAGCCTTTTTCAGAGGTACAAAAGTGGAATCAACAAGTCTACTGTAGAAGCCTGAGCGACTGGAGGCTTTGCAATATGTCACTGATGTTCGCTATATGGAAATGATTGGGTATGAGAGTACCATGCCTCAGCCTCACTTCTCAACCCCGCTGCTCCCAAACTCTGCATGCAGTTCTTACATGCCCGTCCATTGTGAATCCACTGCAAACTTCCATTTTTTTACTTTCTTTAATATAACGGCAACTTGCGGGAAGGCAGGCGAGACATACTCAAGTTAAAATGTCGGTGGGGTTTGGCTTCTCTTTTGGCGACTTTATAGCAGCCCTTGAGCTTGTGGGCACCGTTATCGACGCCCTGCGCGAATCCTCTGAGGCGACCTCATCGATGCGGTCTGTGATTAATGAACTTTATGCACTAGAATCGGCACTATTGCATGTTAAGCGACTCGATACTGGCATCGATCAAATTAACATGAAGGCATTGTGACAAGCTGCGTCACAATGTCAGCTCACAATTACTAAATTTTATAAGAAGATTCAGAAGTACCAAGTCCATCTACAACAAGGTGGAACGGCCTCGAGGATACAAGATACATGGATGAAAGTCAAGTGGACGATATGTAAAAAGGATGATGTCGACAATTTTCGCAACGAGATAAGGGCCCATACATCAAGCATTCAGATCTTGTTGCTTGCTGTGCAGGTGGAGATGACGACAAGTCAAACTAAGAAGAATAGCGCACAGCACAAAGGGCTCGCCACCTGGATTCAGCACTTCTCATGCAAAGTCATGGATCAGCTGAGTAGGATCACCAGGGACCTAGCAGAGACCATCCAGCAAGGGAAAGCGCTTCTCGAAGCAAGTGCTCAAATCGTTCAAACAAATTTGCGTGTCTTTCAGATCACGCATGATACCCACTTGGCCATTCTCAAGATTCCGGGGCAGATCCAAAGACAACAACCGATTTGTCTTGTTGATCCCTTGAATAGAGAAAGTCCATTTCACCTAGAGTTTGTAAGGTCAGCTGAGGCGCTACTGGCCGTGGTCAAAAGCAACCTCAAAAGCTCAGGATGCGGTCCAGCTATGATCGACCGCGGTGAATTTGCCATCGAAGAGTCTGGAACACAAAACTCGATTGATCTCACAGGGCCATGGGAGGATTGTTTCTATCCCGGACAGAGAGTTGTCATGAGCATGATCTTCAAGCAGCAGCAAAGGCATCCCGGTACTACATGCCCTCGATGTTACACAGAGCACCAAGAGTCAGCTAGAAAGGAAACAACCTGGTAAGCTGTAGATTATGCATTCGGGGTCCCGGTATTAACTCTGGTAGCATCACCTGTGGCACTGTCTTTCGTCGCATTGAGGAAGTCGTTGAGCAAAACGCGACATCACCCGACAGTCCTGACTACGCCCATATGAGAGAGCCCCTAGAGGATGCATCAAAGAACCTCCACAAGTTTCGGCGCATCCAAATCATTACTATATCAGATACTCAAGACACACGCGAGCGCTCTTGGGAAGAAAACCTGGATATGACCCTCAACATGAATGGAATGACAATTCGCTTTGCTGAGGAAACCCTCACTAGCAAGTCCATCAGCATTCGCACAGGTGATCAAGGAGCCATGCAGTTTAATGTTACTGATGGCACCACCCGTCGGCCCAGAAGATACTTTCAGGGGTCTTCCTACTACTCTGAGAATATGCTTACGGGCGACTCTAGCCGCCGAGTGCAGGAAGATGGAAGACGTGTTGCAAGCGAACGAGACGACCAACGATCTGTAAGATTTGCTCACCAGCCTAGCCACCGAGCAGGCCGGTCTAGGGCTTACAGCAGAAGATATCAGATATAAATTGCTCTGAAGTTCGCATTGTTTAGCATCTTTGCCACTAATATAGATCTCTTTCCATTTTAATCCATAATTATGGAGGTGATTTTATCGCAAATCGGCATTGTACTCCTTTGTATACTACCAGGCCATCTTTTAAGCCCAAATCGTTCGTGATAAAGACTCTTGTGATGCTAGAGGTAACAATCACAGTTTGAAACTCATCTCAAAGGAAGACAGCCATCTCCTTGGGGTACTGACCCAGTTGTGCTAAAAGATGATCGTAGGGCGTATTTATTATTAGCGGTTTTACCATTGGTATGCAATTAATGCGAGTTAGGGATGCGTGGACGTTGCCAAGTTGCCCAACTTTTAATAAATATTCATGATCGTGACCTTGCCGCGTTCGGCTTCTTCGGCCAATTAAGCTGCGGTTGGACCTTGATATGTCTGGCGCATCAGATTTAGACCTACACTGGCAAGACATTTGAAGCGAGGGAAATGTCCAAAGCTACTAGAATCTAGCGTTCAGAGTCAAGTAATAAGTATGAATATGGTAAATATAATTCTGAAAGAGGTAAATTTCGCAGGGGAAAAAGAATATCCCAAGGTATCATCTGGGCCCAAGATTTCAATACTCCGAAATGATTCAGCGCAAAGCTGGATGATATAAATCCAAATCAACAACTGCATTCCGCCGGGACAAAACTCTAGATTCAAAACAAAACTCCGCAAAAATGCCATTGGCGATGACGGCCTCGGGGATGGACAATTTCTCCAAAATGTCATGGGATATGCGGATATGAAAAATAGATAAACACGAACGAAATCCCAGATGATAGGCAACACCAAATATGCAACCGCTTGGTGCCCTCGAGACAAGGCTCGATGGATATGCCCAGCGGCTCATTCTGAGAATGGAGGTAAAACAAAGGAAATGAATGCTCGATGGAGGCCAAAACCCACGATGCTAGATGGTAGGTCAAAACAAAGAAAAATGAATGGGATATCAGCGGTCATTATATGGGGAGATATGTGATTATATGGTTCATGAATGGATTCAAGATGGTGCGTCGGGCATGGCTTGATCGGCATCACTTCCTAAGATGGTTGGGGGTGGGTCGGAGAAGAGGGTTCGACGTCGACAATTAACTGTCAAGTCTTTATCGTCTGTAGAGCCGAGTCCAGGTGTGCTGGAGGCGCTCTCGATGAGCACGCTGTCATCATAAGTTTCAGGAGGTGGCGCAAATGACCAAACCTATAAAAATTAGTTGAGAGAACAGATAAAAAGGGTGGCATAACAAACCTCCATCACTGTTCGACCAGATCGACTGGCCATGATCACGGCTTTTTCTTCTTCGAATGCAACTCTCCAGACTGCTTCTGCCGGCGTCGATAGTTCTCGTAGCAGCTGGCCAGTCTGTAAACTCCACACCTTGACACGGCCATCGCTTCCGCCGCTGACGATGCGAGAATTATCGAACTGAAGACTAGTGACACTGTTGTCATGGGCAGCCAGTCGGTGGATAGGCGCCATCTTAGTTAATGACCAGACACGTACTGAACCATCAGAGCCACCCGTCACAAGAGTGTCACCGCGCATCTGCAACTGGCCAACCAAAGATGTATGGCCTTGGAGAATAGCATGGCACTGTCCAGATTGCGGATCCCATATACGAACACTGGTATCCAAACTTCCAGTTGCAATTCGACGTCCATCAAAAGTGATGGCGTAGATCTGGCTGAAATGTCCGCTTAGTGTGCGCAGGCAGCGGCCTTGAGAGATACTCCATATCCGCGCCGTGGTGTCGTAACTACCGGAAACCACAATATCGCCATGGATCGCAAGACACCTAACACTTGCTTGATGCCCAACCAGAACATTGCGACATGTCCCCGTTGTCAGATCCCAGATACGAAGTGTGGTATCTCTGGATCCGGAAATAGCGGTGTTCCGATCGGACATTTTCAAACATCGGACCGTTGATGTGTGACCTCGAAGTAGATGGATACCCGCTCTGTGATTTGTCAGTCTTTACTCGATCTTGACACGGCCAAATTAAACCAAACTCACCCAGTTGCCATATTCCAAACTCGCACATCCCGATCGCATCCTCCGCTAACCAGAATGTCATCCCATGGAACCATGGCCCATACCCCCATCACGTGGCCTTGCAGTGTTTTCTGGTTGTCGCCGTTGGTGTCATAGACGTGAATTTTCGCATTATCCAAAGCAACAACAATGTATTTCGAAGTCAGATGCAAGCTCGTCACGACACCTTGGTCGGGTGTGATATGACGCTGTGTGCACCGACCCCCCTTGTTCCAAGCAGACTCGACCATGTATTTCCGCTTGAACTGCGATCGGTAGGAAACCGGTCTAGTCCGACGTCTTCGGGAGAAGCTAGTGAGTGGCAACCAGTCGCCAGACACAGTGCGGGGAAGTTCGGGGTCGCTCTCGATGGTTGGTTCATTCGAGTCCGACCGTAGTGGTAAGTCGTTCAAAGAGTGTGTTTCGAGGTTCGAGTCCACGGATCTCGGGGTAACCGGTTCCATGCAGTCATCCTCCTGGATCCGCCGTACCAAGTATGCATGCTTCTCGCAGAGATTCTTCCATGTGATATCGTCGTTTAGTAACTCACGCCATCGTATAGAGACTTGCGATGCCCTGGCGAGTGTCTTCGGATCGTCGATAAAGGAGAGCACCTGAGCGGGGAAATGAGTCAGTTAGGCCCCTCGATCCATCATAAATCGGGGGAGAGAAAAAAACAACATACCCTCAAGCATAGTTCATTTGGAAAGACCAAGAACGGATCCTTGCGCAGTCGAGGCCCGACATAGCTTGAAACGAAGCTGAGTTGTTGGCTGTCGCATACGTCCAAAAGACCCTCGAGGAGTTTTTGCTTCCGAGTATTGGATAAGGTACTGAAGTGGATGCGCAGGTTCAGCAGGAATGTATTCTCCTCGTCGTCAGCTGAGTGCCAGTCTGGTGGACGTTGGTGTGGGGTCGGGCTCGGCGCAGGTGTTGGTGGAGAAGCGGGTGCCGAAGGCAGGAGGTTTGCGGGTATCGGAGTGATGTTTTTCTTGCTGATGCTGAGTGATCGGCCGGGCGTACTAGTGAAGCTGGATACGGAGTCGCGATTTGACTGAGAAAGGGTATCCAACTGATCCAAAACGGTCGAGCCTGTCGACTCCTCTATATCAAAGGCTTGGGAGTCCATCGCGGATAGAAACCCAAGTTGCTCCCTCTCTCCTCGCAGTTTATCTCACAAAAATAACGGTCGCACGGAGCCGTCGGTAGGCATAGAGGGGGAATACCCGGGGTGGTATGAGGGGGTTTCAAGATAATGATGGAAAGGCGGTTGGTGGAAAACCGAGGGAAAGGGAGAAAAACCCGATACCACGGAGGGGGATTTCGGTTAAGTCACGATAATGATCGCCTTCTTTGTATCTCTTTCCACAGGTTTGTCACTTTGCCCCTAAAAAGAAAATCCATCCAAGTAGAAGCAAAAAAAGTCGATGAATAAGGAAAAGGGACATTCCAAGCGGAGATGAATGTCGTGACCGTCTCGACTCTGACAAAGCCGCCAAGCTCTGCCCCGTGTTCTCCGTTCTCCACTCTACCGGACTCGAATGAAACTCCGTTTTCTACTCCGTTACATGCTCCACTTCAAGAGGCTGAGACAGTCGAGCTTCGAGTTTGCCTCGTTGCCCACTGATCCGCAGAGGGCGCTTTCCATGCAGATCGGGCGCAAGTCTCGGCCAATCTTAGGCGGCACAGAGCCGCTCGGGAAAATTCAAAGGATCCGTGAAGGAATCGCGAACTATATGCCCCGACGGTTTGGGTAGAAGGCTCGGTACGCGGTTATTCGACCATGGATCAACCCGACCAAAGGCAATGATTCAGCGTGACGAGACTGACGAAACCTTTCATCACCCGACATGGCAAGATGATCCAAGCATGAGCTCCCAGCGAGGTGATCGCCCGCTCTTATATAGTACCCGTGAGCAACGTCACGCTACGTCGGTGTGATCGTGAGAAATGCAATCATGACCCGCCCAATTTAGTACAATCATTCTATTCAAACACTGGTATCCTTCTACTCTGAACACATGCCAAACAAGGGGGTATATGCTCCTCATATCCATTCCGTGGCGAAGATAAGAAAAAAAATTCGACAATGATAAAGACACAGTCCGCATCGACATGGCATCCCGTTGCCTGCTACTGGGGATGCATGCGATACGAACAACAAAAACACGAGCAAAAATAAATGAAGAAAGTTCAATGAGCATGACCAATCTGGAGGAAGAGTGGCAAGATCATACCCACGACGGACGCGATCAAGTCCCTCATCGACTTATCAGATCCATCCGGGGATTCGCGAGAATCACCGTATCCATTCACAGATGATTCTCGGGGGGTGGAGCCAGGCCCATTCTCTTGCATGGTGTGCATCGCCACATACCTGTCTTAATTAGCATGCCGTTGAAAGGCAAAAAACAAACATGTTCCAGAAACTCACAAGAAAGTGCCTCCGGAGAAAAGCAAGAGCATTCCGGTCCGCCACAGAGAGCCAGTCTCGTCGCTGCTAGAAGATCCCACCATATGTACAAAGAGGAAAGTGGCAAGTGCACCAACAGGCGCCGCCAAGCTGAAGATCAACAGATGCGCCCTCGCAGCCCGGCTGGATAGCCCCTGCTTCAAAAGAATCGAGGTCAATCCAAAGGAGGCGGGAGCCTTGTGTACCATAATAGCCAGGAAGATAATAAAGCTCAGCCCGGAATCGGAGCTGGACGCACCCAGCGCGATGCCGTCGGCTGCAGCATGAATAACCAACCCCGTAGTCGTAGCAAAGCTGTGTCCTCGTCGGGAGTTCGAATGGCCGGCATTCAGATGTCCTCCGTCGCGCATGGGTGAGGAGCCCCGTCGCAATCCAGATCCAAGGTTATCAAGGGAGATGTGGTATGGGATCCGTTCGATTTTGGTCGGCGAAGCAAATTCTGGTACTTTATCGATCAGGTACATCAGAATGAACCCGCTGACCAAAGCAACTCCGATCCAGGCATGCGGGGAGTTCTCTTCCGCTTCCTCTTTGCTCGAGTGGTCGTCGTCCTTTCGTGCAGGTAGTCCTGCTACTATACTCGACGACTGGTCGCGATCGGAAAGGGGTACGGACGATTCGTGGTCTAGCGATAGAAATGGAAGGGGGGTGTCCGTCGGTAATAAAGCATCGTCGTGACGGTCTGATGAAGATCGCACCATGACAGGGAGTCCCTGTGATTGCCAATCAACATTGGCCGACCGCGTGCTGAGGCCTTTCTGGCTCGCAGAGCTGGCGTAAAGAGTCTCGACGCCCTCAGGTATAATAACAATCAATGAAGTTCCCACCAACACACCCATGCCAATCGAGGATATGAGGCGGAGTTGTGAGGGGGAGAGGGTAAAAGCAAGAGGTAATGAACCGACAACAAAGGATCTAAAGAGGTGTCAGTAGTCAGGCCATTGAGTCGCTCTTCATCATTGTGGATAAACACTCACGTTACGGCCATCACAATGCACAGGGCGAGCAGAGTAAAGAGTCCCTCCATGGTGGCCTCTTTGTCGCAAGAGCTTGGCACTTGTGCTCGGGCTCTAGACGTTATCAATCATTATGTCCAACGCGGAAACGACTGTAAGATAAGCCCGATCGTAAGCGACGGGGTCAGGGATGGAATGGGTGAAGGAGTCAGAGAAGGAGCGAAGAGGGTACTTGGCACCCAGGCAAGTCGAGACCCACGCATTCTTGTCAGGTACCGCTCCCGGATCAAACCATCTCCGCGACTATTTTTGGTTTCACCTTTATACTCAACCATGCTTTTTCTGGGGAATACTGAAGTAGTTCCCAAGCAGATCTACTTTTAAGAATTCTGGTTGCTTCTTGATGTTGTGATTTGGTCAACATACAACAAGGGACAATACGCCACCTATCCCTAAAAATGGGCATCCTCCCTTGACTATGCTTAACCTGCACAGGGACAGGCACGGGGTATCTCCAAGCTTGTGTCTTTGACTTGGTCTTATTGGATGCCTTTGCCGATAAAATGAGAGGGAAAATTGTCAACAAAAGCAATTGATACATTTACTCCGTCATCGGTGCCAATACAACGCGTTTTAGACTTGGAAAGATACACCACCGCTAACAGTAGACAAGTTCGAGGTTGTATGAGTCGCTCAGTCTGCATTCGTACTATCCGCGAGCTCTTCAATAGAGGCAATTGACATTTTACTAGATAATAAAAACGGTTTCCTGGTAGGAATGAGGACACGCTGGATTTATTTATATATTGATCTTGAGGTTACCCAGTCGAGAAATTAATCATTGCATACACCTATGCAATCTTGTTATGCAACATTGAGCCGGCAGAAAAAAAATCAACATCATCAATAATGATAGAAGAAATTAACTAAGATTCCTCCAGCTCCGCAACCCATCTCAAGCGACAGCCTTCGGGGTGAAGTTCCTTGCAATCGTCATCCTCGGTTATTAGACATTCAAATTTCCAGTGTGTTTGGGTCTCTTTTCCAGCTTGCTTCCACAATTCAGACAAAGATTTCTCATTGTGAAGAAACATTGATCGGAACTCAAGGGGACCATTGCTCCACGTGCCTGCAGAGTGGCTGCCAAAATGAATTCCGGCGATCATTGATCCGCCTGTTGGTGACACTAATTGAATCATACGCTTGGCCGCTTTCAATTGGGTATCCCAGTCCCACAGGTGCATGAAATACCCGGAATTGATTATTTTGATATTTTTGGCCAGGCTGCTAATTTCTGGCGTGTCTTCCCAAAAGTCCTGGCACAGGAAACTGGTATCAAGAGTGCCTTCATCCTTGAACAGCTCGTAACCAAGCGCAATAAAAGCATGGTGTAGGTCAAGTCCAACAATGGATTTTTCTGGTGCACCATCCCATACCAGACGTCGTATATCTTGTCCAAGGCCGCATCCCAGGTCTAATACCATATGACCAGACTTGGTCTCCTCGACCATTTTGGGATAAATGGGCGAGCGGGCAAGATCGAAGTGTAAGAATAAGAACTGTTGAAAGCAAGGATATTTAAAGACATTCCAGCCTTTCTTGGCCTGGATCCGTCAGTTTGGCCTGGGGAGAGGAGGGGGGGAGGGGTTGAAAACTGACAACACGCTTTACATGTTCTTCCATTTCAGTGGGGTCTATCTTTGAATAGTCATGAAGCAGCCGCCCTGCTTCCCCGTCAAGGAGACCAGATATGTCTATCTCATCGTCCCACGGAGGAGAACATTCAACCATTCCAGCCATGGTACTGTGCAGTGTTCAAACTTGGAAGGCTTCGTTCAATAAGGTATGTAACGAACCTTATAGGCGTGAACCGCTTGATCTTGACTCAGTAATAGCGTGAGATAGATAATTGAAGTGATCTAACTTTCCTTGGAACTTTGAATCCTCTAATTCTCAAGCACTGGAGGGCTCAACTATTCATATAGTCCCAAACCTTCGCACAAACTACCAGGTGCACGCTTGCCCCTCCGTCAAGTGCTGCTGATCAGAAAGTTCAACCTCGAAAGACAATTTTACGAGACGTATACAACATGCTAAAAGCCTAGAAACAATCTGCAAGAATCCCTATTGAGTGTTCGATTTGCAATCATTGAACGAAATTGGTAGGTTGTTAACGACCAGGGCCGTATCAGAGTGCTTCAGGTAGTGCAGTGCACAGACACCAGGGTCAAGAGAATGGTCGCAAACCTCATGAGGTATACTCCATACTGCAGAATTGAAACTAAATTAGTCGCTGTGCATCCCGCTTGGTGATAAAGAAAAAATGAGCTTATCAATCTTCAAATAGTCAACACCATGTCTTCGTACGGTGACGTTGAATCAAGGCTGAAACAACGCCAGATTTGGCGAAGTGCCAGCCCGAAGCTTATAAGAATGGTTACACAACACATGCAAGCAACTATTTTGGGAAAGATTATATAGTTGCGATCCCGTCATGGTGTGGTGATCATTGATGATCAAAGCCACTCCTTTCCATATGCACTCCGCCACAATGAATGCAAGCACAGACCTCTTATCTCGCTGCATGATGTGCGAGACCTGTAGCAAAGTCATCTGAGTACGCACAGCTCTGATTCTACTCCTCAGATTATACGTCAGTATTTGACTTCCAGGGTTGCTGATTCTTATGCTCCTACCTTCACTTATACCCCAGTTTTGGATAACCCCTTTGCCTGACAGAACAGTCATCATAGAACGAGGAACCACCTTTTTTTATCAGTCAGGTCCTATATATACCCATATGGAACGGAAGTTAGGCCAGCAATCTGATGAGCAAGGTTCTCCACCCCGCATCAGAAAGCCGTCCCTCTTCAATTTCTGAAAATTCCATCGCGTCGATATGTTACTGAGGGTTCCCCGTTTCGTCGGGTACGCTGATCAATAGACGATCGGACCAAGGCTTCTTCTAAGCATATACAAAATCCGACAATATGGGTATTGTTTCAATATTATAAAGCATCATGATCGCATTTCATGTCACATAATGCTTGTCTGGATTAGCAATGAATCACTGGAGGGACTAGTATGGCTATGTCCGACTCGGGCTAGCTACTTAAAATCGCAACTTCGCAGTCACTTCCCACTCTATAGTACGCAAAGCCCGACTATCCTAAGTAATTACCTAATGAAATCGCAAAGTTGCTGTGACCGCCGCATCCAACAACAAACTTGTCGCGTTCACGTAGCTTGCCGACGGACTCAGCAGGTAGGCAATTGAATCACCGACTTCCTCGCTATCGGCGGCGCGCTTGATGGGCACGACAGCTTCGATCTCCGCACGCACCTGGGGGTTCCGCTCCAGTTCGACGTCGAGTAACGGTGTGCGAACCCAGATAGGGCAGACAGCGTTACAGCGGATACCTTCGGCAGAGTGATCCAGTCCTATTTCATAAGAATGAGACTCTTATGGAGGATAAAAAGCCAGACAAAGGATAGATTCTAGAGATCGAAGGGCAGACATGCTAAGACGATATAACTTACCAACCATTTTTGTCACCGCCATACAAGCATGCTTAGAGACAGTATACGACCCCTTTCCGATAAGTCCGGCGAAAGAGTTGGCTGAACAGACGTTCACGATAGCTCCGCGACCGATATCTCGTGTGCCGGTGCGGCTAGTGAAGCTACGTGAGGTCTGCTTGCGCATTGCAGCGGCTTCGGCGCGGCAGCAGAGAAACATGCCGCGAGCGTTGACAGTCTGGATGCGGTCAAAGTTCTCGATATCAGTATCGGCGAATGGGGTGTGGACGCCGTTATCAATCTAGTAATGAGTCTAGTGGTTAGCCAGAACTTATATTTCCGTCGAAAAGAATATGTACTCACACCGGCTGCATTCACCGCATAGTCCAGGCGTCCGAACTTCTCGACCACAAAATCAACCATAGCTTGCACACCATCTTGGTCGGTGACATTGACTGTGAAGTTGGTAGATTGATATTCGGGGTTTGTGGCGTATTGCTTGCTCTCCTCCGCAGAGGCGGTGGCCGTTTCGCTGTTCATATCAGCGAAGACGATGACGCGCGCACCAGCTTCGGCTAGAGAATAGGCGGTTTGTTGACCGATTCCACGACCAGCCTAGATTAAGAGATTGTTAGCTGGGAGATTTGTTTGTGTTTCGAATGGTGATCCTTACGCCGACAACAAGGGCGACGCCATCTAGTTGCGTGCCTTTGATGACCATTTTGTGATTGTGTATGATCTTGAGGATATGTGTGTATAAAGGAAAGGGAAATAGAGAGCTTGTTGGAGGCTGGCGTGTTTGGAAATGAGAGAGAAGTGTGGGAAATCTCGGGGTTTAAGCTAATGTCGAGGGGCTATTTTTTAACAGAATAGAGCAATGTATTGCCTGTCCAGCCAGTTCTTTGTTGTCCATTCGGACCAATGGTCATAGTCTGTAGCTACCAACAGCATTCAATTGCGGGATTCCCTTTCATTGGGTGGAAGACCGCCAGGCGGGGTTATATGTGGGTATACATGATTGCTATTTCTGTTGGAAGTTAACTTCGTTGGTAGTCGATGTACGTTGTAAACCCCTGCTTGGGATACATCATGACGCGTTTTTGGTACAAATGCATTGAGATCAGCCCTCTTTCAACAGAATGGGTTAAGTGGCTGCAGCCAGAAATTAGATTCTAAAGTGATCGGCGCGCTGCGTGTCTGCCCCTCAGGCCAATTACCCGTGTAGGTCAGACTCTAGCGCTTTGGAAATTGGGGGCTGAAATGAAAGCAGGGAATCAGCAAGAGGGGTACTTGAGCGGTAAGTTACTGAGAAACAGAGGACATAATGGCCCCCAATTAATCGGATCTATCCTGGGTGGAATTACGTACTCCGATTGTCAGCACCTAATTCTGCTGGGATCAAATTGCGGCGGTGGATTCAAGGCTGAAGTGGCTGGAATATAGCTGAACCCACAAAAAGCTTACTGATACGCCTTGGATAGCTATAGTATTATATCAGCATTCCACACAATATGCTATATTCTCGAATGAAGTCAAGGATCAACGCTGCCATAGATTTTTCTTTTCTCCTAGCTCCGTCTCTTCTGTATCGGCGCTTTTCTCTTTTGATGGCATCATTTTAATATGGTTGTTCGGGTTTCTTCATCACTATGGCTTTCCCAACGCCATGAAGATCGTCTGGCAAGGGCTCCTCCCCTTTAATTCGATTCTGGAAACGCTCACCATTCCTCAGGTCAGATGCTCCACATCAGCCCTGGGGCATGTGCTTTTCGGAAAGCAGCGATAGAAGTCTTATTTCAGTGACCCTTCACTCATTCTGACTTTTGGGTAATAAATGGCGGGGTTTCGGACCAGAGGGCGGAGAAGGTAAAAGACGAAAAGAAGACAAATATAAGGTTGTTTTATAGGAAGATAAGTCAGTGGAATATGTTTGGATAGAGGTATATATGGAAAATGAAGATAACAAAGACAAAGTGATCATCTTATACTACGAATTGGGACTAGTGTGCTGACGTGAAGCTGTGTAACCCTGAACCCCTCCATGTGACTTGGCGAAGTTAAAGTTTGAAGTTAAGTGCCTTAGAACATGAATTCATCTCTTTCCTCTTGCTTCAATTTCAAGAAATGGAACACTTTTGCTACTCTGCTTCCGTTGGAACACATTCCTTAAGCTACGCACTACGAGGAATCCCAAGAGAGCCAGGTACACCTCTTGTCATCATCCTCCCCGGAATCACACGCAGTGCCTTGGAATGGAGTGCAGTCTGTCGTTATCTCGAGTCTGACGCATCAATCTTCCTATACGAACGTTCTGGATATGGTCGCAGCGAAGAGTCTCCAAACGAGCCTGACTCACTCACAATCATAAACGAACTATGCCATCTACTGAAATCTGCTGCCCTCGATCCACCATACCTTGTTGTGGGGCACTCGTGGGGCGGAACCCTCGCTCGGGAATTTGTTGCAGCACGACCAATTGAGGATATCTCCGGCTTGGTACTAGTTGATGCAGTACAGGAACGCATGCAATTCGAGACATGGCCCGATCCTAGCATTTCAGCCGTCTCGGAAGGTTTGGATTATTTCGATGTTGTTGGACTCACAAGGAACCACCAATTGACGGCTTCCGAGTGGAGTGAGTATATGGCTGAGCAATTTAGCGAGAAGCACGTTCGACAGGCAAATCGAGAATTGCCTTATCTTCAGATTAGCCGGTCTGTCATTGAGCAGAAGCGACAACTTGAGCCTGGCAAGAATCTACTCCAAGGAAGGCCTCTGAGTGTGCTTATGGGGAACTCCAGGCGGGATGTGGCGTTGATGTATGCGGCCGGCGTGGCTCGTGGTAGAGGTACTGAGGCTCAGAGAGCTACTTTTCGGGATTACTTGGCTACATGGGATGAAAGTGAGAATTCCTTTCAACGAGAATTTCTCCATATGTCAAGCTTGAGCCGCTTATCCGTGGCAACAAAGAGTGGACATAATGTACCAATCACGGAGCCTGAGTTGATCGCTGACGAGATTCGATGGGCGCTTCAAAATGTTCCCAGTTAGTCTACGAGCTCTGGGAAACGCTCCAGGGCTAAAATGAGTGGACCGCCCAAGTTTAAACATATTACATGGTCAAATTCTGCTTCATCTATTAAACAATTGCGCTAAAATCCTGAACACATAGCTCACTAACCATGGAAGTACAAATATAAAAGCCAAAACCTCAGAGACAACCTTGGCATGTTAACTGACAGTAACAGTTGACCGAGCTTCTTTGGGCAGACGAAGGCCCAGGTAAGGCAAATATATTCCAGGGTGCCAATAGACAAACAGCGCAACGCAAGGATATATGACCAATGCATCAAAAACATACATCGTCCATTCCTGCGTGTTGACATACCCAGTAACACTTGAAGAGAACTCCACAAGCCGATAAATAGAGCGGACCTATCAATCCAAGTTCTCATTAGCGACATGCATTCCATAATCTCGGAGCATCACTCACCAGAATCAGTAAAGTAGTAAGATTAACAACCCGCAACAATGCAGGCCAGTGCTTGTTCTTCACGATCCCACCAATAGAATAATTCTTCTCATCAACATGCTCATACCGCTCGTCCAGCCCTTTCGAGAACTCCTTAGAGGTAAAATTGAACCGCACAGCTGCCACGGAGAAGAGCCCAAATGCAGCTAATTGAATAATGACACCAGCCTGGGCGATACTCTTCCCCTTGTCGATTTTGCTAGCTGCGTCCGTGTCGGTGGTGCTGACGGAAGAAATCATCACAGCTCCGACCAATTGGAGCATCAGAGCGACGATATCGAATCCAACGAAGATAGGCGTGATCCATCGGGGTGGAACCCAACACAGCTGGAATGTTCGAGCGTCATGAGGAACTACCAGGAAGAGGATGCGACTGAACAGGATATAGCAGCAAGCAGCCATGAGGACTGGCGCGAGGATGATGAGGGCGAATTGGAGCACGTAGACTGATCTTGCTGATACATTCTGAGTAGAAATGCATCGGCCAATGTAGCCAACAGCCTCCACTGGTAGTGTGTTAGATGTGAAGATTATATGGGAATGAAACTGGAGAGATGAACTTACTTGCTGAAGCTACGACCATGATAGCCCATATCCATGCCTTGTATCGGATCCATTGGATGAATGTCAAGATGAACGCAATTGAGTACAGAACAGCCGCTACGATCGCAACTGGCAACGAGGGGTCATAGCGGTAGTATGAGGCCCCGGCCTTGTGGGAGCGTGTATCTAGTGTCATGGATAAATTATATCAATGAGTCACTAGGCTGTAAGGGTAAGTTTAAGGATTTGGTTTATGAATATGGAGCAGGTATTGGATTTGCAGGGATTTATAGTCTAAGAAGAACGGTGGCTCTTGGGCCTACTCTTGATACCATGGATAGGAATTCGGGCATTTCACTTTCCGCTGTCCGTGACAGGTAATGAATTCGCCGTGGATCTATGAACTGCGAAGTTTATTATGTGGCCCGTATCCGTGATAATAAAGGTAGGTGGACGGGTCATCTTCTATAGCCCCGCTGTTTTAAAGTCCCTGTAATGCAGTGATTGACGCTCTAAGCCACCCTCTTACAGGGTCCCTTGAAGGGATTTCAGGCTTCCATAAGAAAATTCTTAAGTCTAGCACTCAGGCACAGATATCTCCCGTCACTAAACGGCGAACTGCCCACTCCATTAGGAATAGTGTCCCCGAAGACACGAAGTGGATCGACCTCCACCAATCAAAGCGCCGGCGGTCCACCGTTCTAGATGGCTGCTTACCCGGCTCAGCCTCCGAAATCGTGGCGGCGCAACGTCGCTACTGTCAAGGTGAAAAGCCCACGATTCTTTTACCCCTTTCAAACTTGGTTTTCAAGAAATGATATATCCTTTGGAGCCAAGATACCATGCCTTTTTACGGCCGTCCCAGCAAAAATTGCGAGAGTTGTCGGGAGCGGCGAATCAAGGCAAGCATCTGTCGGACTCGGCACAAGCTAACTGAACTAACGACGGTCTATGTAATAGTGTGACCGTATTCAACCGGTCTGTTCGCAGTGCATCAGGGCGGGGAAACCATGTGGCGGCTACCGTGACATCCCGGCCTTGTTGTTTCGTGACGAAACAGACAAGGCGGCCCGCAGGTCCGCAACGGCCAAATCTAGAGCTGGAGAGCGTCGAAAGACCCCTGTCACCCCTCAGGTGAATTCAGAATCATCTTCAAGCTCTGAAGAAGATTTGAAGGCTGTAGTGCAACAACGGAAGTTCAATTTGGCACTAAACCCCTCCATTCCCTTAGAAGTTCCCACTACTGTGGAAGATCGGGGCCTGGACTTTTTTTGCTCGCAATTTGTAACGGCCAGTGCGGCGGCAATGGAGGGACCTTTTGTTTTGTCGAAGACATCATTCATAAGCACGATATCTGTCGAGTCACAGTTTCGAGATGCAGTCGTGTCGGTTGGGCTGGCTGCGCTATCCAATGTGACTCGGGATCGATCTCTTCGGCTAGTGGCCAGGGAAAAGTATGCGGCATCCCTTAACGCCGTGCGTCAGGCGGTGGAGAATCCATTTCAAGCTAGTCCGCCTCAAATTATGAAGATAATTTTAATGATAGGTTTATACGAGGTATGCCCCATCGACCCACGTATTGCCCTAGCTTGCCTTGGCTAGTCCACTGACCACTCCACTTCTCCAGATGGTTTGCTGCACATCGACTCAGCTTGACTCGTGGACGGTTCACTTGGATGGGGCTGCGGCCCTACTCAGGCAAGCGACCTTTGGCAAAGCGATTAAAGCTCGTGATCCGCGCGCCCAGTTGCAGTTCTTCTATTTTTCCATGGTCAAATACATTCACGCCCAAAAACCCCTACCTATAGAATTTTCCCTCTTCAACATCAAGATGATTCAATCTTCAAATCCCGATGACTTCCCTTCCATTGGTCTTGTTGACACCCTGATGCGGTTCATGAGGTTCCACAACACCCGCAGTGATCCAAGCTTCGATCCCGAAATTGGAGTGCGAACAGCAATAGCCTTCGATGAGGAGCTAGAAGAATGGGAGAGGAGCCTCCCACATACATGGGAGTTCTTTATCAAAACTTCCACGAAGGCGCAACACACATTTAACGGGAAGTATATGACTTATAACGACCTTTGGGCATCAAGAGACCTCAATTACTACTTCTGGGGCCGGTTGATCGTCAATGAGATGATCTTGAACAACATCGCCAAGCTGGCAAGGATGGGGCTCTTGAAAGTCTATCATCTCCAACAGCGACAGCGAGCACTTGACATGGCTTCGCACATGGCGGCGTGTATCTGTGCTGGCGCTGCGACCCTAGTGGGCGGTCTGGGAAATGGAATGCCTCTCGAAGGAAAGACTCACGTTCCTCCCTTGAACGGTGTCTTTATGTTGCTGTTTCCGTTGACGATCGCTGGTGGCTCGGCTGCTGCTCCAGATGAAGTGCACGAGTGGGTGAAGCGGAAGCTTCAGACCATTGGGTCAAAGATGGGAATACAGAGAGCCATAGAGCTGATACCAAGGATTCAGACAATGCGAGCTTGGAAGTCGCAGTTGATGAGTATGGAGCTTCATTAATTATAGACTGAATTAAGTAGACAAAGTCTGGGAGGTTCTACTACGCCTTGCTACGACAACGATGACATGAAGTGTATATGTACCAGGAAATATCTACCAGTTTGACTAATCCATGGATGAGAAGCTGAAGGTGTCACACCGAGTCGATTTAGAAAACCTTGGAAGGCAATTCCGACAAGAAATGTACCAGACTAAAATTATTTCCCACAACCTTGGAACTCATCACTGAGTGAAAGTCAGTCTTCTCCAAGGTACTAACACCAACTCCAATGCCATTGACCCAGGACCTCGGATTCCATTACGCACCTAGACCAATGCCACACCAAGTGGCCGAGACAGTTGAGGGCGATAAAACATTCAATCTTGAAAGAAATAACGTTCACGAAAGTCTCGTGCTGTGCAACGGTAGCATTGGAACCAACGGCAATCATCCAATATGATACTCGCGGCTTGAGTATTGGAGAGTGATGAAGAGACTCAAGAATACTAAGGGAGATTTTGGGTTTCGTAAAGGGAGGGGAGTTTTAACGGAAATCGCGCCGTCCTAAAACATATTAATCGTGCCTTTCATGTGGGAGATTCAGATGTATATGGTGTGAAAATGCAGAATTCTTCACTTAAAGTAATCAATTGACCCCCAGCCGAAGTAATGTCCCTTCAACTCAACCTGATCACAAGAGTAACGTTGGATATTAGATATGAGCTATACAACGCCCGCTAGTCCAGATTAGGTAATACTGGTCCCGACGCGGTCAGACGCGCCTTCATTTCTCCGTCGCATTTCCCATTGACTTTACAACCATTCTCTCTTCCCATACAACCAAAATGGCGGAAACCGGCTGTAAGATGGCAGGCTCACTCTTCTCCTCTCAGTGACTAATTGATCTCATAGGGTCTTGCGACGCCAACGATGCGATCCACATTACCATGGTGCAGCCTGGCGACACCAAACCAAAGACGCTCTCCACCTTCCACCCCCAGTTCACCTATCCCATCTTCGGGGATGACGAACAAATCTTTGGTTACAAGGGTTTGGTGATCCGGTTGCGATTTGCGGCCCACGACCTGCGCCCTCATCTCCACATTTCTTACGATGAGAAGTTCAAGCCGGTTGGCGACACCACAGCTCTCGATCTTCTTGGTACTTTGAAGCCATTTGTTTCTGAAGGTTTGTGGAATATTTCCCTGATAACTAGCATGATTTTGGCTAACCATGGCAACTAAATTCAGAGGCGCTCATCAATCTACCTGAATACGAGAAGGCTGTCCAGGAAGATGCCTCAGCAAAGGACTTTACACCACCGGGCAAGATGGTATACAGCTATGAGGCCAATGAAAGACAATATGAGATCTGGGCTGGGTCCCTGGCGGACCCACAAGTGCGACTTCTTTTGGACCGAGTGCAGGTCTTGGTCTCATTGTTTATCGAAGCCGGAACTCCCTTAGAAACGGATGATCCTGAGTGGAGTTTGGAGCGATGGACCGTTTTCTTTGTGTATGTACATCTATTTTTCCTGCGGATTACTTCCATGCTGACCATTACAGATACGAAAAGGTTACACCTCCAACGCCAACTGCGTCCTCGTATTCCATTGTAGGCTATGCGACAACTTACCGATACTGGTATTATCAACGAGACCGGTCACACACTCCCACTATCAAAAACGACGATTTCCCGCCAGCAGAGATCAAGATTTCCGAGCTACCTGCTCGCCTTCGCATTGCCCAATTCCTCATCCTTCCTTCACACGCCCGCTCAGGCCACGGAACCCACCTCTATACTACCATCCATGCGTTCTGCATCGCTGACCCCACCATTGGGGAGTTAACAGTCGAAGATCCTAATGAACAGTTTGATGCTCTCCGTGACTCGGCCGACTTCTGTCTCTTGCGGCCTGAATTCCTCAAGCACAATGTGAACCTTAACCCGGATCCCAATGGTGCATACTCCAAAAAGCAACGACCTCGTGCAGTGCCTACTGGGGTATTGATCCCGAGCAAGACGCTGCTCGAAATTCGCACTGCTTTCAAGATTGAATCTACACAGTTCGCACACATCCTGGAGATGTTCCTTCTGAGTCAGATCCCTAAGAGCCACCGTCTGGCTGGAGGCACCAACCTCGCCCGGCTATTGATTAAGAAGCACAAAGCGGACGATGAGAACGACCGACGATACTACTGGTGGCGCATGCTTACCAAACAGCGCCTGTACAAGAAGCATAAAGAACTGCTGGACGAGTTGGAGCTGCTTGATCGTGTAGAGAAGCTAGATGATACCGTCCGCAATGTGGAGGAGGGCTATGAGATCACACTGGACGCTCTAGAGGGTCGCCTGCCTGAGTCGGAGGGTGAGGACGCTGCTCCCGCTCCTACTGGCAGCCGTCGCCAGAAGCGCAAGCTTGCTGTTGAGGATGATGATGACGAGGAAGAAAATGGAACTGAATTGGCCAAGCGCCCGAAGGTTTAGATGCTAACATTGCTTTGAACCATGAAAACTGCTCTCACACTATGTAATTTACGCAATGGGATATTTTGCTCTGGGGACTCAGGTTTAGATTTCAAATCAATGCTTGCTAATTGATGTTACCAAGACATCACTCCAACAATTTATACCAGTATTATAATTGCTGCAAATAAGATTATATAGAGCTAAGATATTTAGATTGTGCTGTTGAAAGCGACGAAGCACCAACGGCAGCTCTACCAATCTCGGCACATCATTTTTTCCGTTCTCACAGCTGATGCGGAGCTCGGTTGCGCCCATTGCTCTCTCCAACCCCTCCAAATCACCGCAACGGCCTTCCCACCGGCCTCATAAACTACTCCTCATTCGTCGATATTCTCTCTGGTAGAGTGAGCATCATTATCTCCACCAAATATCCGCGCCCGAGTTTCACCCACCGCTATATCATCGATCGCAATCCACAATGGTAGCCCCTCCCAAACCGCCCGTATATACAGCAAAGGCTAACATGATGTTCCCAGCTTCCCCTCGGCCTCCTCACGGCCGCACAGGGCCGCCCTATGCTCGTCGAGCTGAAGAATGGCGAGACCCTCAACGGCCACCTGGTTACATGCGATAACTGGATGAACCTGATCCTGCGCGAAGTTGTGCAAACCAGCCCCGAAGGCGACCGCTTCTTCAGATTACCCGAAGTCTACGTTCGCGGCAACAATGTATGTCCAGCGAAATTGATCATCTGATCTTTCATGTCCATTCCCACAAGTGAGGTCAAGAGACTAACCTATCTACTTCCGCAGATCAAATACCTCCGAGTCCCTGAAGAGATCGTCGATATTGTCAAGGAGCAACAGCAAAATCAACCACAGAACCGCCGCGGCGGACACGGCCGAGACGGCGATCGTGGCAGAGGCCGCGGCCGTGGTGGTGGTCGTGGTGGACGGGGTCGCGGACGGGGCGGCGGTCCCCCCGGAGTTCAATAGAGTCGATTCGGATTCGGCGAAACATATGGATGAAAACACTACCTGTTGCATGGCTGAGAAGATGTGCAAAAACGAGATACCCTACAGAGACAGACGGAGTGGGTAAGATCGCTCGGGGCGGACTGGTGAACGGGTTTGGTCGTGCATGGCCGTGGCGTATCTGGCTCTGTATTTTTCAGTGGGAACTAAGGTCATGATTGATTGATGATCTACAAATACAATATTAAATCCCTGACTTGATCTCCTCCGCAATCATTCTGTAGACAGTGCGGTGCAGTGCACTCACTTCAGGCTCGAATTGGCGATATTAGTCAGCATCGCGCATTTCATCGTGATTTCCGGGGACGCGGATGAACCGACCACTGTCCACGAGTAGCTCGATATGTCACCGCGGGCACTCGTCCTTGATGGGCTATGGCACTCGCTTTGTCCGTCCTTTAACCAGCTAGCATTGAGTCGCCCCTCATTTGTTCTAAAATCCCGGAAACACAATTTCAAGCCATGTCCGCTGCCCGCAATTCGCATTGCGCCAACAGTACCACGAAGATGCTATTCCAGCCAACATAGGGGACTTGGCGGCTCGAACAATCCCGGAGATAAAACCGAATCTTCCATGAACTCACACAATGACCCACCTATATCCTCCCCCGAATCCAAATCTGAAAGCAAATCCGAACCTCAAGTCGACGAAGCAGATGCAGACGATCAATTGCGCAAAGCTCGACAGCGATATGTCAGATTACCCGAGGGCTACGATAATAAATCAGAGGCTGCCCTCGAGGGCAGGTTACGGGCGGCGACGACAAGAGATCCAAGCATTGTCGGTACGACTCAGATTCTACGAGCTCTGATTAGGGACCGCGGAGTCGAACCACATACCCGTCACTACCAAGCTTTGATATTCGCCAACTGTGACAATGAAATGGGATCACCGGAGGTGGTACAACATTTGTTACAAGAAATGGAGGAGAATGGCATTACAGCAGACTCTGGAACGCTTCATGCTGCTTTGAAGGTGAGGACCGGACAGACATTTTGATTTGTATATGAGCTAACAAAAGAACTGGCTTAGGCTCTTGCCGTGCATCCGGACTACCTTTTACGCCAGGATATTCTTCGTATGCTTCGAGACCGCTGGCTGACTGTCAGCCCCGATGGATGGCATTTTATGGTTGCGGGTCTTCTCCGGGATCATCAATTCGAGTTGGCGCTGGATCAAATTTCACTAATGGAGCGGAAAGGGATGCAAATAGAGTCCTGGCTGCACAGTATGGTTGTTTACCAGCTGTGCGACTTTCAAGAGCTCGACGAAGTTTACCGCCTAATGCAAGCCCGTGTTGAGCAAGGCCATGATATGACGCCGGAGCTTTGGGGCCATGTGTTAAAAACGGCCAGCAAAGCCCTCCACTACGACCTGACCCGTTTTATCTGGCGAAGACAGGTTGATTTGGGTTATCTAGAACCGTCCCAAGAAACTTATGGTAATGCTATGGCTGTTGCATCGGACGCCGGTGACATCGACTTGGCTCTTGCTATCTTCCGCTCCTGCGATAATCGTGGATTTCCCTTGAAGGCCCAAGATTATCACCGCCTTGTGGAGATTTACTTACGCTCTGGAGATCTTGCCGCTACATTCAAGCTGTTCTGTACGATGCATGAACTCGGACTTGTCCCTGCGGAGCATTCCACAGAGGCCATGGTATCCTACATGGTCGAGCATAATACTGATCCCCGTGAAGCGTGGCAGATGCTCAAACACCTGAAGAACGACAAATGGGAGGTCCCTATTGGCTGCGTCCGTATTATTGCTGAGCTCTGTGAGCAATTGGCTCATGATGACCCGTCAGTGGTCGATGACGCAGTGGGCTTCTACAAAGAACTCTATACTTTGTGTCCCGAGGGCGCCGACCTTCGAGTCTATAACAGCTTGATTCGGATGTGCCGGCATGGCCAGAACCGGCAGTCGGGTTTGTTCCTTGTGAAAGAGATGGCGTCCTTCGGCGTTGTCCCCGACGCCATTACCTTTGAATCCCTCATCCTGATGTGTCTCGACGCTCGCAACTACCAATCGGCATACATGTATCTTCGAGACCTGCTGGATCGGGGAGATGAAGTCAGCGATGAAACACGGAAGCAGATCCGCGAGCTTTGTTCCCAATCCGTGCACGAGTTTGCCGTGCGACTCCAACACCACCCGGCGGTCCAACCCGTGGAGCGGCCTGCCCTGCCGGACCACATCGTGGATGAAGAGCCCCGGGATAAGTCTAGCAATAAATCAGATGAAACAGGACATCGTCGCTACGGTCGACCTTGGGTCCGGGCCGCGTTTCGGCGGCAAACCCTATCGGACGAAGACCGCATCGCCTGGAATAAGAAGCGGCGACAAAATAAGCGGCGGCACCAGGCAATTGCCCGAAAGGCCGAGGCTGAGAATTGAGTCTGTTTCAAGAATAGACTACAGGGAACAGGTCCTCGGGAGCTCGTCATCGGATTGTCTCAGACCATGCGGTACCATGCATCAGGCATCACATTTTCTTTCCGACCCATAACTACTTGTACAGAAATTGCAACGCAAACTTCAAACTCTGCGGCTGAACCTGTACCATAGAAACAACAATGTACTTTATATTCTTCCGTACCAAACAAAAATTCAGTCAATCGGTGTTCTACCGAGCTTGGCGGAATCGACTGAACCTTGGGCGTTCTCGCCGTTTCACTTTTATCCGCAAACCAAAGATCGCCAGGGCTGCGTCTCCACTTTTTGAACCATTGGGTGTCATTGGTACTCCACCACGGTTCTAATGCACAAATCTTGCTTTGAAATATTTGAAACATGCTAAGCAGGACCGCGGTGCGATCTGTCGGACAATGAGACCCTGTAGCACTATCTGACGCCCAGCGCCTCCTAGTCAGCCATTTTCAGCCACCGGGGGGTTGGGAATGAATGATTCGATGTATGGGCGATTGAGTTGGCATCCCCTGAAGGCGAGGGATCGGCACGATGTGGGTCATTGCGAACAAAGAGTGGAGTGTACGGAGTAAAGGTGAGGTAAATGTGAGAAGGGGAGAAGTGTTTCCGCTTGCTTGCTTTCCAAGGTTCCATAGGTTCCATACCTCGTCTTCCCAACCCCGTTCAAACTTGTCTTAACTTAAATCCGTCTCCCTTCTTCCAACATATCTTCATTTCGTCTTTTGTACATTACCCTTTACCTACACTCTTAAACTTTTTTCCAATTCCCCTAAACATGCAATTCACTACTCTCCTTCCTGCCCTCCTATCCTTGGGCTTGGCCAATGCGGCCACCCTCGCCCAGCCCTCCACCTGGCAGGTCACCAACTGGCAGATCGTCAGCTCGGGCGGTACAGTCTACTCCTTCAACATTACAGGTGCCGCGACTGCCAATTCCCCCGGTTTCAAGACCCATTGCGAGGGTATCGTCCCCAATGCCACTGCCTGCGATGACACGAACATCACCGCGGTCGTCACCGAGCAGACACACCCTCTCTGGAACGTCGCCGTCACGCACGAATGGCACATCTTCCCTGCTGGTGAATCCGAGCAGACCTACTGGCAATCCGGCTCCAAGAACGTGAGCAACACGCAGAACAATTTCACCATCACCCCCACCCTGTTCTACGGTGTCGCGTAAAGTGGTGAAGAATGCTTCCACTTTTTTTTTCTCTTGGGAAATCCCTTCTCGGGTTAGGTTGTCGGCTACATTGATGTGGTAATGGGCGTTGGGCTTGAATTCCGGTATGAAATGTCTACGATTGGCGTTTCAGGGTCCTTTTCTTCTTTTCTTCTGAATAATGCGGGCGCTTCCACTCCTTATGACCTTTTTTTCTCGCCTTTTTCTTCAGGGAAAATCATAGTCCGCCAACTCATTGTATATAGGCGGTAGATTTATGTATACTAAGGTTGAAAAACAAGATTTACATGCCACTGCCAGGTACAATTCCGAAATTTCTTAAATCTTTTAACTCTTTAACTCGCTATGCAGTGACATCATCGGCTGCGCCTCAATCCCGATCTCTCGATTGGCAACAACTCACATGCCTCTTATAACAAGTTCCTGGACATTCTTAATCCTATCAACATTTATAATTCATGTCATAATATTCTTGGTATTGCCTGACAAATTCATGACCGGCGAAGAAAATGGTAATACCCCATTGGCTACGCTTGGCGGGACAAAGATCTGACCTTAATCCTTCTCCGCAGTCCTCGATTCTCCGCCAAATCGTCGCTGGACCTAGACTACAGCATCCGGAAGCGAATTTGGATCTATGCTATGTGACTGATAACAGTATGTTTACCGATCTCGAAACTCGTCTGCAAAAATCTCATCCATTTTAGTCATCGCTACCTCCGGCCCCTCAGGGACCTACCCCCAACGAGCTTACCGCAACCCTCTCGACGCCCTCGTGACCTTCCTCGACTCAAAACATGGCTCAAACTGGTGCATCTGGGAGTTCCGCGCCGAAGGAACGGGTTACCCTGACTCAGAGGTTTATGGACGAATCCACCATTTCCCATGGCCAGATCACCACCCACCGCCCTTCGCCCTGATCCCCAATATAATGGGCAGCATGCGAAACTGGCTGCACCGTCTAGACGAGCAGAAGGGTTCAGAAACCGTTGATAAGAAGTCAGTCGCGGGAAAAACAGATTCGCCTAGCGACCGGGTCGTTGTCGTGCACTGCAAAGCTGGCAAAGGACGCAGCGGGACAATCGCAACGTCGTACTTGATAAGTCAAGAAGGATGGAAAAAAGAAGATGCACTACAACGGTTTACGGACCGACGTATGCGTGTCGGTTTTGGGGCTGGCGTTAGTATCCCGAGTCAGCTCCGGTATGTGGATTACGTCGACCGGTGGACGAATCAAATGAACAAAGTATATGTTGAGCGTCCTGTTGAGATTCTCGAAGTCCACGTTTGGGGAATGCGTGATGGCGTCAAGGTTGCGGTGGAGGGGTACGTGGACGAAGGCAAAAAGCAAAAATGCATCCATATGTTCCATCGGCGTGAAAGAACGGTTATCGAATCAGGTAACACAACACCTTCAAAGCAGATGAATGCGGAGACTGGAAATACAGATAAAACTACGAGTTTGCCCCTCTCAGCCGCGACATGGGCGCCATCGCCCGTAGCTTCACAAAGCGATGTCTCTTCGGAAGCAGAACTCACCCGGCGATCGACCATGTCACCATCAACCATAGTATCTGCCGCGATTTTCAGACCAGAGAAACCTCTGATCGTACCTGGTTCAGACGTGAACATCGACTTCGAACGACGGAGTAAAGCGTCATACACGGGTTTCGCAATGGTAACATCCGTCGCGCACGTCTGGTTCAATCCTTACTTCGAAGGCGGCGATAAGGAGGACTCAGGCGTTTTCGAAACGGAGTGGGACGCTTTGGACGGAATTAAGGGGAGCGCGAGGAAGGGTATCCGTGCTCTAGAGCGATTGAAGGTTGTATGGCGGTATCCGGAGACTGTTCGAGCCGATAGCAACGGACGACCAATCAGCGAACCGAACCCCGGCGAGCCGATTTTCGAAGGTCACGCTGCGGATTGGCGACAGAAGCGTGCTGAGAATGAGGGTGAGGAGAACAAACCTCCTCTGCCGGAACGTGGTATTTCAGAGGCAGCACCTGCTGCGACTGCGACTGATGCGGGTGCGGCCGTACCTACTATTATGTCCCCGCATGATAAGGCGTCTGTTCAGGAGCTGGAGAGGCAGTTGGGGTTAAGGCAGCAGACGGATGCAAGTAAGGATGTTAGTTTGGCTGGAAGCGAAGATGAGGGACAGGCTGTTGATGAGGAGGGAAGGGCGGCTAAGGGCAAGGGCAATGGGAATGGGGACATGGAGGGTGTGAGGTCTTATTTCCAGAATGAACAGAATAAGGGTTGAGGCTGTATAAGATTCTTTGTTTAGCATGCATTATAGACAGTATATGAATAGTCTGGACATGAATGTTATGAATAACGAAAGAAATGATCCTTACATGGACGGGGCTCATGTACTCTGTAGATCGCTTTTTTTCTGGTCAAAAGTACTCTATTACACTTGAAGTGTAAACTTGGTTAAGGTGTCTTTGAGTTGACTAGTGACCAACCCAAAAGATGTGACAGGTGTCACCTGATCCCCACAGGCATGTGACATGAACTACATAGTTTGAATGAGGGCAGAAATCGAGTTCACTTCTGCCAACCGCCTGAAAGTATGATTCAGTGGCAGTGATTCGATCAGATGGTTCGCACTGGACGGGCGCGGCAGGCTGCAGTGAACACTCTTGGCAACCTGAGCGGCTGAAATGGTAATTAGCAAATCACGGATGAAAGTGAGCTGCGAGGCTGCGAGGCTGGACGCCACATTTTCTAACCAAACAGTCGCCGATGCTGCTTTTGCTGGAGGAGGGAATGACTGGCTACCCAGAAGTCATGGCTTGCTATCAAGAAAACCTTATACATCCACCCCTCAAGCATAACGCTTGGTAGATCGGCCGTGGATGATCATGAATCAACTACTGGCGGCAAGGGAGTGGAGCAGAATGGCCCCCAACTGTTGGCGACGTGATGTGTCCGGGGTGAGGTGTTGGTCATGCGCGGCAAAGCCGTCGACCTAACAGGGCGCTAAATTTACCCCTCCCTAGACCAAACGAGCTGCTACATTTCTCTTAATTATTTTGCCCTTGTGGTTTTGGCTCATCCTGAAAGCACGATTACCAGACTAAAGGGGGAATTGGTAATGCAAGAAGCAGCGCTTGTTCCTGGCGGAGAGCCGAACCCGCTAGACAGCACCGGGCTCTGCCTACTATCTCTCGATGGCGGTGGCGTGCGCGGTCTGTCGACCCTGTATATCCTGAAAGGGCTGATGGATCGATTGAATCATGCACGCCCTGAGGGTTTACCAGCAAAGAAGCCATGCGAGGTATTTGACCTGATTGGCGGCACCAGCACAGGCGGGTATGTTGATCAGTCCGTGTTCTCAAATCGGAGAGCTGACAGATTAGATTGATTGCGATTATGTTAGGTCGATTGGAGATGGATGTCGATGAGTGCATTGCGGCATATATCAAGTTGATGAAAATTATTTTTGATAAACCGTCAAAACGGGGTCTATCAAGCATAATTGGCAAGATTAAGTCCCAATTTGATGCCACGAAGCTAGAGAGCGCGATCAACGAAGTCATCACCAGCAGCGGGTCCAAGCCAACCGATCTATTTGATAATCAAGTTGACCGTGGTTGCCGGGTGTAAGTGTATGTGAACTGGACAATCCGGACCCTGCTAACGACTCCAGATTCGTCTGTAGTATTACGCAGGAGACCAAGGAGATCGTGCGTCTTCGCAGCTACTCTATGCACAATAAGCCTGGAATCTCGGCCACCATCTGCCAGGCCGCTCGTGCAACCTCCGCTGCCACGACCTTCTTCGACCCTGTGTCTATCGGAGCACGCAGATTTGCGGATGGCGCGCTCGGAGCCAACAATCCAGTGGATGAGGTGGAAGGCGAAGCGTCTGATATCTGGTGTGCACAAACAGGTGATCTAAAGCCGCTGGTGAAGTGCTTCATTTCGATCGGCACGGGCAACCCCGGGAAAAAGGCGATGGAGGACAACCTATTGAAGTTTGTTTCCAAGACCCTACCAGCGCTCACCACGCAGACTGAGCAAACGGAAAAGCGATTCATCGCTAAATGGCGGCAGCATTATGAAAGCAAGCGGTATTTCCGGTTCAATGTGGATCAGGGGTTACAAGACGTTGGCCTAGCAGAATATAAGGACCAAGGCTTGATTGAAACAGCAACAGAGGGGTATCTCGACCATCAGGAAGTGGAATTTCGATTGCGGGACTGTGTTGAGAACCTCAAATCAAAGCAGAGTGTGTATTTAGAAAACTTTTCTTAGTCCTAGTGTGCGACTAATATACGGTACCGGAGATAGATGCAACCAATCTTATGTTCACGGAAGAGATTCGGGTTAGTGCGCTCATGACCGGAGTTATGGTATCTGGCTAATCTTATATAGGAATATAAAAAGCGATTGGCTTTTTTACAGCAATGTATGCCGCGATTCTGAACATTTGATCCCAGAATCTCACACTAACGAAACCAAAGGGCAAGGCCGAACCCGGTGGCAGGTGCCATTTGAACGAAATGCCAAGTTTACCGGCCGCGAGGACCTACTTAGTGACCTGACACAGAAAATGGAACGGAAGTCTGACGCCACCAGAAAAATTGCAATCATAGGCCTTGGAGGTGTAGGCAAGACACAGCTAGTGCTTGAGCTAGCCCACCGCATGCGAGAACAGTGCGCGATTTATTGGATTCCAGTCAACAGCCTGGCCAAACTTCAGACAGCATATCAGAAATTGGCTCAGAATCTTCGCCTTCCTGGCCGTGAAGAGGATGGCGTTGACATCCTGGAGCTGGTCCAAACATATCTCAGTAGTGAGACCATCGGCCCATGGCTGCTGGTATTGGACAATGCCGATGATATAGATCTGTGGACTTCCCCACTCACATCTGAGGCAGAAGCCAAGCGCCTGATTGACTATATGCCCCGAAGCAGGCATGGGGCGATCATATGGACCACGCGCGATCGCAAAGTAGCCACACAAGTCGCTCGAGAAACAGTGACTGTGCAGCAGATGGACGAGTCTGGGGCCCTAGATATGATGCAGAACTACTTGATGTATCCAGATCGGATCGAACATGATGTGTGTTTGTTATCGGATTTGGTGCGGAAACTCACCTATCTTCCACTAGCGATTGTTCAGGCTACGGCATATCTCAATGAGACTGGAGAGTCACTCAAGACATATGAAACACTCTTATCCAATCAGGATGAAGAGTTGATAGAGCTCCTGAGTGAGCATTTTGAAGATGACGGCAGATATTCAGACACGGAGAATGCAGTGGCAAAAACATGGCTCATCTCATTTGAGCAGATCCGTCGCCGCAGTTCTCTCGCTTTTGAGTATCTAGGACTCATGGCCTGTGTGGACCCCAAAGGCATCCCCCGGTCACTACTGCCACTTTCCGAAAGGTCAACACTCAAACAGCAGACCGATGCGATTGGTATTCTCGACGCATTCTCATTCATCACTAGACATGAGGGCGGATTGGCGTTTGATTTACATCGTTTGGTACATCTGGCTACGCGGGGGTGGCTGAAAAGAAATGGAGAGCTGTCGACTTACCATGAAAAAGCTGTTATGCGGCTGAATGAACTACTATCAAACATCGAGGAAACAAATCGGATGGAATGGCGGGCTTACGTAGCCCACGCACAATACGCCGTGGGTCGACATGGGAACTACAGTAAGGAAGAAGCCAATCTTGCGGAGAAATGTGGCGACTGTTTGGACTTTGACTTCCGATACCGTGAAGCGGAAGAGTTATATCACAGAGTTCTCAAGTATCGAGAGACAGTACTGGGGCCAGAGCATCCAGACACGTTCATCAGTCTCAGCGTACTTGGTGTAATCCTTGGTAACCAGGGCAAGTATGAAGAGGCTGAAGCCATGCACCGGCGAGACTTAGAAGGTTCAGAGAAAGTGCTAGGGCCAGAGCATCCAGACACGCTCACCAGCGCCAGCAACCTTGCTTTAGTCCTTACCAACCATGGTAGCTATGAAGAGGCCGAAGTCATGCACCGGCGGGTATTACGAGACCGAGAGAAAGTGCTAGGCCCAGACCATCGAGACACGCTAAACAGCTTTAATAAGTTTGGTTTATTCCTCTCCGACCAGGGTAGGTATGAAGAGGCCGAAGCCATGTACCAGCGGGCATTAGAAGGGTTAGAGGACCTGCTAGGCCCAGAGCATCCAGACACGCTTGACTGCGTTGGCGACCTTGGTCTAGTCCATGAAAGCCTAGGCAATTATCGCGAGGCTGAAGCCATGTACCGGTGGGCGTTTGAAGGATTAGAGAAAATTCGCGGGTTAGGGCATCCAGACACGCTCGGCCACATCAACAATCTTGGTTCATTACTTGAGAGCCAGGGTAAGTATGACGAGGCCGAAGTTATGTGTCGGCGGGCGTTAGGAGGATCAGAGAAAGTGCTAGGGCTAGAGCATCCAGATTCGCTCGTCTATGTCGGCACCCTTGCTTTATTGCTCGATAGCCAGGGTAAATATGATGAGGCCGAAGCTATGTATCGGCAGGCGTTAGATGGATCAGAGAAAGTGCTAGGTCCAGAGCACCCAAACACGCTCAGCAACGTCAGCAACCTTGCTTTGTTGCTTGATCGCCAGGGTAAGTATGACGAGGCCGAAGCTATGCATCGGCGGGTGTTAGCAGGAACAGAGAAGCTTTGGAAGGTGCGGGAGCCAGAGCATCCACACATATTCACCAGCATCCACAACCTTTGCTCATGCCTAGATAGCCAGGGCAAATTTGAAGAGGCCAAAGCTATACGACAGGCACATACTGTACCATAAATTGAGATCAGCTATATGTCTCCACCTGGGCAAGGTTTCATTTGCTCAATTACATACTAGGTAAGAATTTATCATTGTTGTTCTCGTGCTTTGTAGGTATCTCAAAGTGCTTGTTATCAGGTGCTTGTTCGTGTGAATCGTATCCTTATACTGTATATGTCTTGTTCCAAGGCTGTGGAATATGACTCAAAACACATGACCACCAGATTTGAACAACACAGATCTTCGTGTTAATCCTGTACTCTGATGGAATAAAGATTCCAAGGTTTCACCTGAAATGTGATTCCGTCCTGCGACCTCCGGTTGGTTAGGTTTCAAAACATTCTCTAGATAATTGAACGTAACTATAAGACTCAATTTTCGAGGTCGCTGCAGATGGTAGTTAACTCTAGAGCCCTTCAATTGCCTACCCAGAGTGGCTTTACGGTCATATTCCAAGATAGTGATGTTTGGTGATCTAGTTCTATATATCTCATTCCACATTTGAATACAGGAAAAGAAAAAAAAGAAAGAAAAAGGAAAATAATAAATAGCCTAACATAACGCCAAATACATACGCCTGATCAGTGCAGCATCTACAGGGGCACAAATCCTTCCATACGTTTGCGCGCTTCTTCTTCCTCCCGGCGCAATCGATCAGCCTTTCTGCGCTCATAGACTGCGCGAACAACTCGGCGCACTTGACCATTGCCCTCGGCGTAATTGGCCTTCGCCAACCCAACAACCGAGTCAATTTGTTCAGGTGTGTAAACGAAGTTCCATGTAGACAAAAAGTCGTCCACATCAGGGTCAATGGTATTGGGGTGAGGAGTAGGACCTTTCTCTTCTTCGTCTTTGAAGTTTGATTGGATAGAATGGGCAGCTGCAAGAGGTCGGTCGTTGTTGGCAGGTGGGAGTTGAGGAGCCGACGGGTTGGGAATGAGAGGGAAGTAAACAACGGCGATACCAGCATCTGGCCGCATAATGTGGAAGTCTTCGTCGGAGTGATCGGTAGCATTCTCGCGGTAGAAAAGACGCTTGGATGGCGGCGGCTCGTCCTTGGAGGTACGTTCCTCTGTCGTGCCAACCCAGACATTACAATAGTCTAGGTCGGACTCATCTTTGCCAGAACCGGTCTTTTTGGAGGAGGCGAGCCGCTTGTCAGATTCACTTTGGGCCTCGGTCATCTTTCGGTTCACTTTGTCCTCCGTGATATTCTGTGGCTCGCGCAGAGCTTCTTCTGCGGCTTCCAAGCTGTCACCCATATTTGGCCATCCAGCACCCACGGGCCATCCCTTGATCCCTCGCTGCTTGGCATAACCGTCTACAACCGAAAGCCAATTCTCACGTTTGATGTCGGCAGAGGCATCAAAGGCGACGACAATGTCAACATCTCGCCCAGGTCGGAGAAGCGGGTAGATCGGAAGGTTGTTGCTCATGCCAGCATCCATGAGGCGAAGATGACTGCTCTGGAAGATAGATTCCGGGCACGAGTCAGGGAGTTGATCTTCCATCCCCATCACGTAGTTGGGAATGGCGGCCGGATCAATAGGGTGGACTCGGATCAAATCTTTGTTCTTGCCTTGGATGAGAGAATCAATTCCACCGAAGCCGGCAAGGCCTGCTACCAGAGGCCTGACTTCTTTATAGTAATGAGATAAAGTTGCGCAAAAAGCACTACCCCATACTCCCATCAGCCCCGGAACGCGCAGTTCGGGGATGGGAGGGTTTTCAGCGGATAGTTGACTCTCTCCACCTTGAAAGTGTCGGCCTAAAGCCCAGGTTGGAATACCGGCATTGAGCTCCTCGCAGAAGAACTCATACGGGGTGAACTCAAACCATTGGAACCAGGCTTCGCGGTTTGCTTTCCTCATCATTTCCTCGGGTATGGCACGCTTGCCTTCATCCTTGTCCTCGACCATAGGAATTTCGTGTCGCACGGCGGTATAAATTGGCATAGGATGCTCACCACTGAGTAGATTGGCTTGTTGGCTCGATAGCTTGAGATCAGAGTCTACCACGCCCAATTCTCCTCGCGGAACCATCAGCCGTGCCGCAAGCAGGAGACCATAGATGTCCACAAGCCCGAAATCTGCGCCAGGGTCTCCCTTGAGTTTCTCAACCAACCCACTGAGGAGGTACTTGTTGGTTGGGGCAGTGGTAAGCAGATTAAGCGCTTTTGGTGGGAAAGCAATGTGTACATCCAGCCGGCTTTTCAGGTGGTCGACGAGCCTGTTGAAATTTCTGCCTGAAATTGAGGAGTGATATAGGGTTTGCAGCCAGCAGCTACCACTGACCCCTGCGGTGTAGGTGACACAGTCCCACAGGCCAGACTCCTGCGCAGCTAAGTACGACCCGGTCCCAGCCACTAGGGCACGTAGTCCACCACCCGATCCGCACATGGCGATAATAGGTACATCGTCAGGATGAATGTCGCCTTCAGATATATCGAGATATGAGGCCAATGCTTTGACGGCATGCTGCTTTCGTTTGCTTCGGAATTCCCTTTCCTCCTGACAGAGGTCTCCGCTCACCCGCACCTTGGCATTTCTCAGGATCTCTGGGTTAGCGTCTGGATCATGCGCTTCCTTCCAAATATCGTCGGCCAGAGAGCCAGGTGCCACTGAAAGCTCGCGCTGAAGCTTCTGAACAGTCGCTGGTAATAATCGCGCCCAATCGGGAACAATGTAGTTTGTAATGCCTCCCCCTAGTTCACCCCACTCTGGTACCCCAACAGTATGTTTCACTTCATCAAGCTTCTGTGCAATGTTCGCCCAGATGGATCCTTGATCTTGAGCTGATTGGGGGTCATTTTCGCCAGACGTAGAGCTCCGAGACTTTGAATTGGCGTCGTATTGAGCAGAAGAAGTGGAGAAATGGGTTCTCTGGGGACGCCTGCCAGGCTGCGTCCATTGACCCGCAGTATAAGCCGCAATTGCTGCTGGGGGGACTGTCCAGCGCAGACGTGAGGCGCTGGCAGCACCCATTGTCGCGAGGCAGTAAGAATTAGAAGCTGCGACCTGCATGCAAGCAAATACCAAGTCCGGAATACTGGACTTATACCGCGGGGAATGACCTCATATCATGTGACACGGAAGCACAGACGGGCCGAGGCTCCTAGTTGTGGATTGGCGCGTGTATCTGAACTGCTGGGGGCGGAGCTTATCTGAGGTAACGAACATCATCCCCTGTGGACCCCACACGGGCGCACATGACAGCTCCTGGTGATCCCCTCTCTCTTTCATATCTGAGCAATCGTCATGGTAGCCCCTCGGAATACTGCGTATGCGGAGGAGAGCGCGGAGGTCGAGGTACTCTACGCCAACCTCGAAAAGCTCAACCGCCTCACCAAAAAGATCCAAGGGTCCATGGTCCGCCTTGAGACAAGTGGTAAAGTAGTCAAGGAGGCCATTGGCCCGATCTATAGCAATACCCAATCTCTTCAAATTACCAACACAAATATCGACAAGGTTAACGATGCCATCGACCGTCTCCGCCAACCTCTCGACGCGAAGAGTCGGGAGGAAGGCGTCATTCGCGCAGGGTATGTCCCCAATATGAAGAGAGGTGCGACTGAGATTGAGTTCAACGTGCTAACTAGCTTGCTGTATAGACCGCAGAGCTCCGGCCTTTCACAATACCTGTCGGCGATGAAACGTGTTGAAAAGGCGCTGGTCGACCTCAACACAACAAACCTTCGGTCGAATCAGAAAGCAATTGCAGATTTCAATTCACTACTTAGTACTGGCAGCAGCCAGTTACAAGATATGCTCCGATCCGAATTAAAGCAACACGTCACCCCAATCGAACCGTTGCACTATCTCACCAAAGGTGTGTCTTGCCAAGTTACGTGGCTCAATAATCGGGCTCGAAGCTAATTTCCGGTGTTCAATAGAACTTCCCTTCCCATCTATTCCCGAAGAGACACTCTCACAGCTGGCCCCGCTATGTGCTGCGATTACCTCCGCGTCCGCCCTGGGCCCCCAGCGCAGCAAAGGAGAGAACCCTGCAATGAAGATCTATGCCGAGGTACGCGGGCCGTATATTACCTTTGGCCTGCAGAACCTATCCATCGCATCTCTCAATACTGTCAAGCGAAGACCGACCGATGGCCCATACAAACAGGGGACCAATGGTATTGGGATCTACTCCAATGCATTGGAGGCATTCATCAATACTGAGCATGATATTATTGTCCAGTTGTTTCCTGGGGATCAGCAGGGGCTTGCTTTGCAAGCTACTTTCCTGTCGGCAATGGGAGAGTACTCCAAGACTCTCCGTGAGCTCAACTTGTACATCCGGCAAAATCTCATGACTGACTGCTTCCTCGCATTCGAAATAATCGAGATTGTGACGGCAATGTCCTACCGTATCGATTCAAAGACTGCAGAGTTGAAGGGTTTGTTGATAGAGGCACTTCGACCTGTACGGGAAACCGCCAAATCTTCCTTATCTGAGCTGCTCGAGGAGACCAAACGCAAGGCATCGACCGTGGCCTTGCCTCCAGATGGTGGATCAGTTCCCTTGGTTGAGGAGGTCATGAACTCGCTTGCCACATTGACCGGCTACTCAGGTCCATTGGCATCAATCTTGACCTCTCTGGGTGATGGCAATTGGCGTTCTAAATCGAGTACCGCTGGCACGGCGCCCCTGGATGTCGGGCCGGACAGCGGCACCCTTTTCTCCCACTTCATTCTGGATATGATTGAATCTCTAATGACCGCATTGGAGGCCCGTGGCCGGACCTTTCATCGTTCAAAGGCTGCTCTGGGCGTGTTCTTGTCAAATGTCTTCTGTATTGTCGATCGGTCGATTCGACAAAGCCCTGAATTGGCGCGCTACCTGGGCGCACCGGACAGCATTGCCCGTATTGATACCTTCCGCAAGCGTGCTACATCAACCTACCTTGACGCATGGAAGGAGACATCGCAATTCCTTCTGGATGTGCAGTATACCTCCCGCTCCGGGGCACGGCCTAACTCGGGAGGCGCTGTGGATTCCAGCACCATCGTGAAGAGCTTGTCGTCGAAAGACAAAGATGCAATTAAGGACAAGTTCAAGTCTTTCAATGCCAGCTTTGACGAAATGCTTTCCCGGCACAAGCCCCTTCATATGGAACGGGAAGTGCGCTCAGTCCTGGGGCGCGAGTTGCAGGCGGTCATTGAACCGCTTTATGCCCGTTTCTATGATCGTTATGTGGAAATTGACAAGGGACGCGGCAAGTATATCAAGTACGATAAGTCGAACCTGTCGGTGCAACTGGCCCAACTTTCATCATAAGTACATTAAAGATCTTTTTTGCCAGCCTATAATGACATAATAATTGCATATCCATGGTCCAGAAATTGGGAAAACGATCTACACTTATAGTCCACACGTGATCCAGTGCCCCACCAATTGTCCAACTCTACGATAACGTGATAAGCCCCGCTAAACCTAGCAACAAAAATTGCATCCGACTTCGCACACTGTTCACTGCCTCGTCTTTCATCTATTTGTCGGGTTTACCGTTCAATTCATCTTTCGGGTGATCTTCACAAACAACCGACATCATGTCTACCAGCAACGATGTCTACCAGACCCCCCTCAACTCGCGCTACTCGAGTATGTCCATCCCACCATCCCGCCAATGAGCGGGCTGAAATCCGGGGATAGAAACCAAATGATTTTTAACCTGATCCAATTGAACAGGCCCGGAGATGAAGTATCTATTCTCTCCTCGCATGCGTTTCTCCACATGGCGCAAGCTTTGGATCTGGTTGGCCGAGTCCCAGAAAGGTACGACAACAGCTGGATGGATAGCTTGAATCTACATGAGGAGCCAAACATTCAATTGACTGGGTCTTGCTTCTATAGAGCTTGGACTTCCTATCACCGAGGAGGCGATTGAGCAGATGAAGTCTCACGCCACCATCCAGGACGACGAATTCGCCGTTGCCGCCGAGGAGGAGAAGCGCCGCAGACACGATGTCATGGCCCACGTTCACGCCTTTGGTCTGGTCGCTCCCGCTGCTGCCGGTATCATTCACTGGGGTGCCACCTCGTGCTACTGCACTGATAACGCTGACTTGATCATTCTCCGGGACGGTCTTGATATCCTGATCCCCAAGCTGGCTGTTGTCATTGACAAGCTGTCCCAGTTTGCCCAGGAGTACAAGGATCTGCCCTGCTTGGGCTTCACCCACGGTCAGCCCGCTCAGCTGGTCACCGTTGGTAAGCGTGCTTGTCTCTGGATCCAGGATCTTCTGATGGACCTGCGTAACCTTGAGCGCGCCCGTGATGACCTGCGTTTCCGCGGTGTCAAAGGTACGACCGGTACTCAGGCTTCCTTCCTCCAGATCTTCGAGGGTGACCACGCCAAGGTTGAGCGCCTTGATGAGCTTGTCACTGAGAAGGCTGGCTTCAGCTCCGCCTTCATCATCTCCAGTCAGACTTACTCCCGCAAGATCGATGTTGATGTTGCCAACGCTCTTGGCTCCTTCGGCTCCACCTGTGAGCGCATTGGTATTGACATTCGTCACCTTGCTATGCTCAAGGAGGTTGAGGAGCCTTTCGAAAAGGACCAGATTGGCAGCAGTGCTATGGTAAGCTAATTGTCTGGCTATTGAGCCTCGAGTGATCGGCTAACTGTTTGCAGGCTTACAAGCGTAACCCTATGCGTTCTGAGCGTCTGTGCTCCCTTGGACGTCACCTGCAGAACCTGCCCAAGGACGCCCTTGACACCTACTCCGCTCAGTGGTTCGAGCGCTCGCTCGATGACAGCGCTATCCGCCGTATCAGCATTCCGGAGCTTTACCTGTGTGCTGACGCCTGTCTTATCCTGCTGAGTTCGTCTTTCCCGCCCTTGGTCCTTACGTCGAAACTCTCTAACTTGTTCCAGACAACGTCAGCTCCGGCTTTGTCGTGTACCCCGAGGTCATCAAGCGCCGTGTCAATGACGAGCTTCCCTTCATGGCCACGTAAGTTACAAACCCTCCATTGGAGTCACCCAAGCTCATGTCCTGTTTAGTGAGAACGTCATCATGGCCTGCGTCAAGAAGGGCCTTTCCCGCCAAGATGCTCACGAGGAGATCCGTAAGTTTCATTTCCCTCTTATACTCTTTCTTCCTCCTCTAACCACACTATCTCTCCAGGTGTCCTCTCCCACCAAGCCTCCGACAACGTCAAGAAGCACGGCAAGGACAACGACCTCCTCGAGCGCATCCGCCGCACCGCCTTCTTCGCTCCCATCATCCCCGAGCTCGACAGCCTCCTTGACGCCCGCACCTTTGTCGGTCGTGCCCCCGAGCAGGTGCAGAAGTTCACCACCACCGAGGTTGCCGCTGCTCTTAAGCCGTATGCCGCCGAGGTTGCCAAGGCTGAGACCTCTGCTCTTTACGTTTAATCTACCCTTAGGTCTATCCTAGGTATATATGTTTCAGAATTTGATGGACCATTCGGTCAGAAAAGGGCGACATTGGCGTCGCTCCGTCATAAAGGATAGGAGTTGTGTATAGTTGCCCAGTTCTATGAGATATGAAAATGAGATCAATACTTCCGGTTTTCAGTCGACCTACACAGTCCACTTTTGTATACATCAGGAACCGATTAACCATTAAAGCAGCTAACTATTGATAGCTGACATGCAGAACACAAAAAGCCCACCCAGTCTAACTTGCGATCAATTTTCACCACGTTATATATGCAGAAAGGAAATAACAGTTGGAAGCACCGGGTCGCTGACAATGCAGTCCGGGGGAGAACGCTATATGCAATGGAACGCTAGGCAAGAATGACCAAGGAGCAACCAAAACATGAAAACTAAGGTTCTAGAATTCGAAAACCTGTGCCATTCGCCATCTGGATCCGTGGTCTTTGTTTCCCAGGGTGTATAGCGTTGCCGAATCAAGCAAGGAATTGAATTCTTTGAGATGCATCGGCTGGACAAGACCCGGTTGGTTGGGGATGCACACGACGCAAGCCGTGTATCCACTCGCCACCTCAACTTGAATGACAGTGGGAAAGACAGCCGAGGACGATCATTTGTGCCCCTCAGCTTGGAAGAGAAACAAGTCAGGTGCATCTCTCTCTCCCTGTTTCCCAATCTTCTCCGGGGTCAACGTGGAGCGGCAAACATGACAATCATGCCACCAATGCAAACAGAAGTAAAAACAAAACAAAATTCTCCAAAATTCCCATCAGAACCGACCAGACTCGTAAGAGCGCCTCTTTTCTCTTCGAGTCCCTCGGCCCACTTGTCCCGCACGCGAGGGGGCGCAGGTCACTCGGCAGGGACAGGTGGGGTGGACTGTGAGTCGAACGGGAGATAGAAGAGGTCACGGATCAACCAGAGGATGTAAAGGACACCTAGCACCCACAACGAGGCCATAAGCTTGTAAGTCGACGAGCGCCAGGTAACGCGGCGGATGAGACGACGGCCATTGGGACCTTCGATCGGACCCCGGCGAGCTTGAGGGGCTGGCGGGGGTTGGCTGGCAAAAGGGTATGCGACAGCCTCGTTCATGTCACTGTAGGAAGTGCGACGGCGCGACATGATTCAATTTCCCATGTATGTTTAAGGGAGGTTTGACTCCTGATAAAGGTGCACGTGGGTACCAATCAAGTTTTGGATATGATTTTATATATAACTCAGGGACCCAGAAGTAGAGGGGCCCGGCTTTGTTCCGAGTCGTTCGCGCTTAAGCTTAGATGCACGGAGTTTAGGGTTTTGCAGACAGGTGAGATGGTTTAAAAATCAAAATGTGAAGAAATGTGAAAATTTGTAAAAATCAGTGTTTACTGTGATAAAGCTATACAGGTTTTAATAAATGACACCGCACAAAACAGAAGCGAGTAAGGTTCCACCAGCTCGAAAGAATGAGCTTCGAATTGGCTCGTTGAGCAGCGAATAAGCGTCAGAAATTCCCTTTTGGCAGCATCATGCCCAACGGCGGGGCTTTATAAAGAGATACATCGATCGGCCCAAATCAGGAGAAAAAAAAGAGAGGAAAAAATGACCAAAACCTCTGCATGAATCGACAAAAGTACAGGTATCATGTGACGACGCTCGGACGAAAGGGGAGATCCGGGGTGTGACATCGCCTTACGTAGTAAAGACGTTACGTAGTGATGTACTCCGGATTGCGGTGGTTCTACTCTATTCGGAGCTCTCCCACAATATCCCACCCGGACTTAAACATTGCCGGCCATCCCCTATTTATATTCCAAAATGAGTCAATCATTGATCTGGTTAGACCAATGAAATCATCGAATTCGCTTATTTAAATTGCCGGTGAAGAGTGTGGTCATCTGAGCCTAAATCGGCGATTTCACTTTCCGGCGTCGGAACGGGTGCCAACCTCGGTAGTACGAATCGTCCCGACTCTATTACTCATTCCCCTCGCACGCGACTCTCTACAACCTCCACACTTCCCCGGATTCAAGAGAGCTATCCTTTTCTCACGTCCACTGGCCATCGGCCCTCATTCTCACTATGTGGAAGCCGTCGGAGCGCTTGATGGAAACCATCAGGCACTATGCCAGCTTCCCCGCAACCGGTGTCTCACTGCGACAGATGGTCCAGTTTGGTGACCGTCCATCCACCGGTATGCATCTATGCGATGAATGCTTCTTCCCGTACTAATGTGGTCCAGGAACCCTTTTCCGCGCTTCGCAATTCCTCTCTGAGGAGCTCCCCATTCGTCTGGCGCACCGAGTGCAGGATCTCGGTGAGTTACCGGATGGGCTCAGCGAGATGCCCTCCATCAAGAAAGTCCAGGATTGGTATGCGCAATCATTCGAGGTATGTACTATGTTCTTCATTTCCCCGTTCTTTCTACTTTCATCTCTTCAAATATCCTGTCCCTTTTTGTTTTTTTCCTCATCTGTGAGTATCGTATGACTCACGTGTTCCCAGGAAATCATCAACCTCCCCCGACCCTCTCTGACTCAGGAAGTCAAAACCCGCCTACTGCGACCGGGCCGCATGAATGGCCACTCCAGAATCCTCTCCGAGGCTACCATGAACCCCAGTGTAAAGGAAGGCCAATACCGGTCATCTCCGATTATCTCCAATGGCAATGGCAACGGCAACGGCAAAGCTGCCGCAACGGGCCGCCGGTACTTTGTGCCTGCGGATGACCATGCGGAATGGCCACCAGAGCTCAATGACTATAACCAACGATTCGCCAAAACTCTGCAACAGATCAAGCGGCGCCACGATGGTGTCGTTACCACCGTGGCCCAAGGTATCCTGGAATGGAAGCGCGTGCGACAGCGCATGCAGATCGACTCTACGATCCAGTCCTTCTTAGATCGCTTTTATATGTCTCGAATTGGTATACGAATGTTAATTGGTCAACACATCGCACTCACGGAACAAACGCACGTCAAACACCCGCACTATGTCGGAATAATCTGCACCAAAACCAACGTCCGGGATATTGCGCTGGAAGCCATTGAGAATGCCCGCTTCGTTTGTGAGGACTACTATGGTCTTTTCGAGTCGCCCAAGGTCCAGCTGGTCTGCCGGGACGACTTGAACTTCATGTATGTCCCGGGCCACCTCTCTCACATGCTCTTTGAAACTCTGAAGAACTCTCTGCGGGCAGTCGTTGAGCGACACGGTGCCGACCGGGACCAGTTCCCTGTGACCAAGGTGATTGTGGCCGAGGGCAAGGAAGACATCACGATCAAGGTCTCGGATGAGGGCGGCGGCATCCCCCGATCCGCAATTCCTCTAGTCTGGACCTACATGTACACGACGGTGGAGCAGACTCCAAATCTCGACCCGGACTTTGACAAGAGCGACTTCAAAGCTCCAATGGCCGGTTTCGGTTACGGACTGCCAATCAGTCGACTGTACGCACGCTACTTCGGTGGTGACTTGAAGCTGATCAGTATGGAAGGGTAAGCTAGCACATTCTGTCTCCTCCTACAACCCCCACTAATTCTCTCTAGATACGGAACCGATGTCTACCTCCACCTGAACCGTCTGTCTTCAAGCTCGGAACCCCTGCAATGACAATTACCCGTCATGAGAGACGGCCGGGTCCGGCCCACGACCTCGCACCGCCTGCACCCCTTCTACTACGGTGAACCGGAACCCCAACCCGCGCCGCCTCGAGGACTGACGCCCATGAACGTTCAGGCCCATCGCACCCGCATACGCAGTCGAGAAGTCTCGGAACGTAAGCAGGTGGGAGATGCGGAGAGTTTGTTCCATGTTGAACAACGGCAAAGAGAAGATGAAGAGATGTAATCTGACCTCTTCTCGCCTATTTACTCTACAAGTTCTTTGTTTTCTGTTGTATTAGCAACAGTGGACAGTTCAAGTTCAATACGGGGATGGCTCCCGATCTGACCCGGTACATAAGGGAATCCACTGCACAAAATCAAACAAAAGAAAAAACCGCAAAAACACCAGAAAAGCATAAAAAAGAAGCCAGAATCTTGGTTTTGTCCGTTCGAGATACCCATTGCTCACTCACACCCTCACATTCATCCTCATCCTCATACTTTTCCTGATTCCGATCTACCTTGCCTCATCTACTTCTCTACCGCTACCCCTTCTTGATGATCATATACACGATCGTTTTGTTACTTACTTGTTTTACCTTCTGGTGGGAATATGGTCGGATTCGGGCTTGGTTCAATTCTGGTTCTGGTTATTTGTATTTTTACTTTAGCGTGCACATATATGACAGGATAACTGCAAAAGCAGTAATTACCCGTGAATTCTCCAGATTTTCTCCAGTGTCGTAAACTATATTGGTACATTACACTAACCATACGTATCTATAGACGTATTGGCCACTGCAAGCCCTTGTATAGCAAACCCTACTCTACTGTCGTCTAATTCTTCAATCGAATCCAAGTCAGATTGTAGAAGCCATGCATCAAGTACGCTAATTATCTTTGGGCTCACCTCACAAGTACAGAAACCTATACCAACTCCACCAAAAAGTACAAAAGAACCAATTTTACTCCCTAGAAGCAGAAGCAGACCTTGACCCCTCCCCGGAACCACCCCTGCTTTTCCTTCCCCCACTCTTCCTCCTGCCCCCCGCATCAGCCTTCGGTTTCTGCCCAGGCCCCCACCACCCGCTCTCATCATGATCAACAAGCTCTTTCCACGTAGCAGGCACAAGATAAGCCATAGTATTGTTAAGACCAAGAGCCTGCTCCGCAGCCCCAGGTCCAACAACAAGAGGATTCACACCCGGGACAAGATGAGCCTTCGAAGCTGGGACAGCGAAGCGAGCAGCATAAAGCTCTTCTTCTAGATCGCGGTCTCCATTCGCGATTAGTTTAGCCTGAAAGCGGCGGCGTGTTTGTGGTAATGTCTATGCATGTTAGTAAGGATCTGATATATGACGAATCACTGAAGTTGAGTATAATGTAGTCAAGGGGGTGGGCTTACACGACCAGTTTTCAATGCATACATAGTAAGTAACTCTTCATCGTTAAGAACAGTCAGAGCAGCATGTTCTTCAGAACTAAGTCTGGAACGCGGTTTAGGTTTCGTCATATCTCCCGTTGCTGTTCCCGCCGAACCCGCTTGTTGGGAATAGCTATTTGGTCCAGGAGCTTGTGTTGAGAAATCATTTTCTGGATTGGATTGTAAGCTTTCCGTTTCACTTTACGCGTTATATTAGAGAGGTACGTACCATCGCGTATTGTTTGCGGGATTCGGCGCGGGTGACTGTATTCAAGTGCGGCTGCCCGATCAGGCGCGTCGAGATACATTCCGCCATCTGATTCAGCATCTGAATATTCTTCTTCTGAGAAATCTTCTATGCCATATTCGATTTGCACGGCAGGTGCATTTGGTGATGAGCGTGGGTTCATATTTTGAGACCTTGGTATCTGTGTATGGAATATTAGGACAGATGTTCTGTAGGCCTTTGAGCACTACTTACAACGATACGGCTATACATAAGATCGTAGATATTTTTGATTGTGTTAGAAGCACAAACATAAGACAAGAAGATGTTGCAGTGGTGACGGTATGAGGGCGGAGGGGTGCTGACTCAGCCAGCCATACATCTAACTTTAAAGCAAACAATACTGTGCTCTACGAAACGGACAAGGAACAAAGTATATGTAGAAGAGTGAAATTTAGAGCAGGTATCGAGTGAGAAACCTGGAATAGTAAAAAATAGTAGAAGGAAATATGCCTAAGCCACCAAACGCCAAAACACGATGCCGCTAAAACGACGCAAAACAACCTAAAAAGTCAAATGCTCAACAAGTATTCATATAGCTGTTCTCAGGCCAATGGTACCCAGTATCCTTCCTGTAAGGAAAGTTAGCAAAAAGTCCAGATCAAAGGTATCAGTGAGAGAAACATACCAACTAGTCAAGTTGTTATTATCGTAAGCCTTCTGGTGATCCTTAATATACTCGGTGGTCTCATAGCCAGGAGGATCACAAGTAATGAGCACATCATCCGGATCCTGGTAGATGCGGACATAATCGATGCGCAGATATGCGGGCATGTACTCGCGAATGGTATGGTTCTGTGGGGCGAAGTTATCCGCCATACCCAGGTTCATCACGATGGACATTGGCTCGAGGGGGATAGTGCGTTGGCCGATATTGCCGTTTGGACCGATGGATCGGGCATCTATGCTCCATGATTTCTCTTGGCCGATGAACCATGTCACATTTCCTTTGTCACCAGGCTCGTATTCGAACGCGTAAACCTGGTATTCTGTGCCATTGTACCAACGTGAGTTCAGGTTTGACAGGCCGGACATTGCTTGTTGGTAGGGGCCACCACGGTAGGCGTTGACTTGTGTGATACGAGGGTCATATACGGCGGCAAAGTCTGATGGGTTTTAAGTTAGTCTGATTGAGGTTCTTGGAGGTTGGAGGATTATGCACTCACCATAGTCTGGCATATACCAGAGATCAAAAGGCGCGATCTGTAAACTTTGCGACGCACTACCGACGAATGGACCACCCGCTGCACCATAAAGAGGCTGCGTGCTACCTTCGATCACATCAATCTCAGGAGCACTGCGAGCACGACCAGGAGACGGGTGATCAGAACCGGGGCAAGTACATCCTGGTAGACGCATGCCAGGAAGGAAGCTGATTCCGTCTGGAGAGCTCTGGTTTGGTGTAATACCCGCATCACATCCATCGTGATAGCTGTACGGCCACAGACCGTCGGTAGTAGCCGCGTAACCCGGTCTAGCGAGGTTACCCATTGCCCAGAAACCAGGCCAGAAACCCTCAATGTGGCCATCACCGGGAAGTGATAAGCTGGCCTCCAGGCGGCCACCCTTGAAACAAAGTTTGTTCCAACTTTGAAGCATGCCAGATCTGTATGCGACATCGTGGTTCTTAAAGTCGTCAAATCGAATTTCCAAGACACCCTCGTTTGTGGTAACTGCGTCGGGATCGTACCACTATTGATAATTAGTGGGATTCAGGTATTCCAGTCATCAGCATTACTGACCTCCTTGTCCATTGTCACGCCATACCACAAGTCTACCGCTTGGAAGAACGGGTCATCTTCATCGTAAAATGTTCGTCCGGGCATGTTGAATTCATCCGAAAACTGCTCAAGTTAGATCAAAGCACTTTCCCAGAATTTGGGAGATTTAACTTACCACTAGTTTCAACTCTTTTCCTTCCGCACTCATCTTTGTAAGAGCCTCTTTTGGTGTATCTGGATCAATCAATCCCTGTCGGAGATTATTCAAAAGAGGCCTTTCCCCAACGTCAAGACAGAGCATGTCACCAGGACGACAAACGTCCTTGGGTTTGAGAACACCTTCCACCCAAGTTCTAAATCGATTCATGTTAGCCTTTAAACCACCTCATCAAATCTCAACAAATACATACATAACTGGGTAACCAATAAACAGTACCAAAACTCCAACTGTCAAAAGCGCCAAACCACCCATGTTCATAACACCACGACGATTCCAAAGATCGCAGTCACGGTCTTTGTCTAACGGGTCCGGGTTATGCAGGTAGTCATCCTTTTCAACATCCTCCGGAAACAGCAACAACCCATCGGACGGCGTGATATTAAACTTCTCCGACACAGTCTGTGTATTCATATCATACTCGTCACTCCCAGAACGCGTCCCAGACCGCGTCAAAGGATCTCTTGAGTGATCATCAAACGGATCCATCATGAACCGGCTATCACGGCTCATGGAGCTAACACTCGACCCAGCTGCCGACCAGCGATCCGGTGAACCAGATCGCTCCGAGTCATCGCGTGGTGTCGGCCGTAACCTAGGTGGAAGAAGAAACTCCGAAGACTCTGGTGCCTGTGAGATACCATACGGAGAGATACCCTGAGCCCCAATAGCTGGGCCGGGTAACTCAGCTGCCGGTGTCAAAGGCCTCGGCAAAGTCCGGCCCGTGAGTGGTGCATACCCTTCATCAGACTGGTTAAACGGGTCTTGACGACCCGAATTGAGTCTGATATGAGGCATCTCAGGTCGCAGCGATTCCAAATCCCGGTCCGTCATCGGATGATGACTTTCTATGGATCCCTGTTGCTTTTTGGTTCCTATACCGACAAGAAAGGATCAATCCTATCTTTCTTTCCTTCTACCGTCCTGTTCAAGGCGTGGATGTTCCAAGCATCAAGCTCTTCGGTTTGGCGTGTGTGATAGATGGTGTTTTGGATAACAGATCACTCCGTAACCTTGTTCCTATCTTGGACTTTTCACCCACACCAAGCGCGTATTTCTGAGGTAAAGACCGAGTGTCAACAGCGGTGCACGGCCGTTAAGTGCGCTAGAAGCGAAAGAGTGGACAGGACCACTTGGACTGTATCCAATGTCCCCGAGAGCGAGTGGCGGGTAGATAGAGCGCAGGTATAGTAGAGGCAAAGAGAAAAGAACACCAAGAGCGCTAGGATAGAAGAAAAGAAGAGCCTAGATTGCCCTCGAGGGATTGTTGTTTGGGTACACGAGGGGAGAGGAATGACAGGCCTTCTCAAGGGGGCAACCGGCAACCCGAGGTATGTGTATGTCCAATTGAGTGTTTCCGCGACTGGAAAACAGAGTATATTACTCTTATGAGCTTGATTTGAATCAGATTATTATTTCCTTGTCCACAGCTGGGGACTCGAAATGGTTTTGACAGGTTCGTTGGTGGTCATGCCCGCATCGTGAGTCTTCATCCTGGCGAAGGGCCATTGTAGGGTGCGGCACATTCCCGACCACCTCCCGGGCAGCGAGGAATGAAGAGACATGAATGCTGCTCCAGTCGTCCGGAATCTGGGGGTATGGCATCTTTACTGGAGCTGAGTGATTTGTAGCGCTGGCCAATCATGTTGATGTTGATGAGTGTAGGAGTATAGAGGTCCGTTGTCGTTTAAGTGGGGAGATTGAATGATAGCTTGACACCATGATCTGTCACCCAGTTTGCCAGCGTTTCAAGAGCTCTAATCCATGATCTCTCTGGGCTTTTAGTTCACTCCCAGACAATGTGCTATACTATTTCTCAATTACACCTCATGAACCTACTGTAACTCGGGTACACAGCCATTCCCGACCACGCGTCCCGCTACTCTATCCCAACCATCAAGAATGCCATGATCTCCGACCAACAACCTGTCAACCCGATATCCAATTCGGCAGTGTACATTCTCTAGTCTTAAAGAAATCCCCGGTGCTTACTCAATTGGGAAAGGAAAGCCGGTGTTCCTTCCAAGCAACAAATTGCTAATGCGTATAATGTGTATCATGTATTTCTTAGCTCAGATCATCCATATCTTGGTCATAATGTAATTTCCCTCTCAAGCCAATCCATTCATATCAAACACCCCATGACCTTTGATCAATTGAAAGCAAAAATCTCTGCTAAATCAAGTCTCAACACTCTTGGCAAACAGCCCAACAATTCGACCCCCATCAGCCGAATCCAGTGCCAGGACAAAGTACTCCACAGTAGTACTACTGCGCTCAACACGATAAACCTTGATATCAGCAGATTTGCTCTCCTCGGCCGCTTTGCTCACTGCCTGCAGGACCTTGCTGTACTCGTTCCGGGGATCAAAGGAGGATGTATCAAGGGTCGAGATCTGCCCTGAGATATCGGTGTCGGGCGAGATCAGGGAGGAGAGATCATCTAGGAATTGATAGCAGGGTTAGCGGGTCTGTTTCAAGGTTCTATGGCACGAGGGGATCGAGATTGTAGGGTTGTAGGGTAGATATGTGTTCATATCTGTATATCCTCCCTGGACCATCATCTATGCAGGGGAGGGCAAGGGAGATCGGTACAGGTAGGTAGCAGTCAAGGAAGATACGTACCAGCACTAGGCCATTCACCCTTCGCAGCACCCTTGAACCGCAAAACAACAGGCTCAAAGGGTTCATCCGACTCCGAGACATAATATGCCTCAACCTTCTGCAGCGAAGTCGGGACCTTGAGGCTCTCATCCACAGTCCGGGTATTGGCCCCTTGCGTCGAGGCTTTTTGGCCAGCGCTGTGATCGGCATTCGACTTATTCAGGAAGTCCATGTAGGCATCGTCGGAAGACATGATGTGGGATGTGGAGAAGGATGAGGGTCGGGGGAGTGTAGATTTTTGCGAGCTTATATTTGCGGGGGAGTGGAGGGGTCGCGGTTTACAGTTGGCGGGATGGATGCTTAGCGGGCGAGTGGTGAGTGAGGCTATGAATCGGCGTGGAGGGTTGTTATATGTTGTGTGTAATCGGGGGACGTAGGTGGCTGGTTGGAGAGAGCGTAACAGCATCTGGTTTTGGTAAAGTTGTGCAGGTGTAATTGGAAAAAACGAAATGACGCAATGGATCGCGGCCCGCATGTCTAAGGTTGAGAGTTTAAATGTTGACAATGGGGAGAGAAATTTTGACTGGTTAAAGTGAATGGATGGAGCAGAATTAGTAAAATAAATCAGAGCACAGTATTAAATAGGGGAAATATATTTTTTGCAAATTTCAACATTCGACATTAGCTCCGGCCTTATCCTGCAACGTATATATCTCCTCGGTTCATGTCTAGATAGATTAAAAAAATATCATTATTACCCTAGGAAAATTTCAGTTCATGCAAATAGACATTCTCTCATCTGGTAGTTCAAATATGAGTTTACTCGGTAACCTTAGGTTAATTGCTTGCCCAGCTGGCTTTCCAAGGTTGTCATCACCGCTCTATGCATACCCAGGTATATATAGATGGAGACTTTACATTGATACCAAAACCTTAATCTCACATGCCAGGTGTGAACCCAAACAACCTTCGGGTCTCGAAAGTGCCCTGGTCCACTGGTGCTCGAGGTAGCATAGACCCATGACTGGCCCGTGTCTAAGATAGGTACCAGGTATCCACTTGGAAGACCTTACTACTTGGGTACTTGTGTGAAGACTACTCTGAATTACAAGAAATCGATCATAAGATCATGATCCAAGCTACCATTCGTGAAAAAGTATTGTTCGCTTTTTTTGATTGAACTTGAAAATTGCACCTATCACCGACCAAACATCGAAACATCTTAAACCTCGGTGACGAGGTCCTTCTTGAGCGTACCAAGGAAACCACGCTTCTCCTCGAAGGTCTGGAAAGCACCGTGACCGAACTTGGAGGAAGTGTCGATCCACTTGAGCTCGACCTTCTCGGTGGCTCTGCGGTTGGTCTGGGGGTACAGAGTCTTGCGCAGAGTCATGACACGCTTCTTAACACCGGGGACGGAACCCTTGAGCAGGATCCAGTCGTTCTTGACCTCACCGTAGTGAACGAAACCACCCATGCTGAAGAAATATTAGTCTGAAGTTCAGTTAGGATAGAATGTAGGGAGGAAACATACGGGGTGATCTGCTTCTTGGAGATGTCGAACTCGGTGGAGGCGGAGCCCTCATCATCAGCCTTTCCAATGCGGAAGACCTTGTGGTTGCAGGAGGTACGGTGGTGGTATCCGTCCTGACCAGCACGGGCAACAGTCCACTGGACGTGGTTAGGATGCCAAGCACCAATACAGGCGACCTTACGCAGACCCTTGTGGGTCTTACGGGGAAGCTTGGTGGTACCCCAACGGGAAGTGACACCGGAGAAACCGTGACCCTTGGTGACGGCGATGACATCAATCATCTCGTCCTTCTCGAAGATGCTGTCAATGTCGATGGTCTTCTCGAACAGGTTGCGGGCGAAGTCAACCTTGTCGGCGACGGAGCCACCGTTGACCTGGATCTCCATAAGGTGGGCCTTCTTCTGCTTGATGGGGGTCTTGCGGATCTGGGTGTGGGCAAGGACACGGACGACAGTGCAGTACTTCTTGATGCGCTCAAGCTCGCGGGTGACGGAGGCACCGGAGCTCTCGGCGTGCTGCTTGGAGTACTTGGTGAAAGCCTTCTTCTTGGACTTGTACCAGTTCTTGTAGAAGCGACGCTTGACCTCGTCACTCAGGTGCTCAGCCCAGACGGTGGTGAGAGAGCGGAGACCACGGGGAGTCTCGATGTAACCGACAACACCAACAGCGACAAGCTAAAAAGGGAGACAAGTTAGAAATGCTAATTCGAATTTTTTCCAGGGCTCACACAAAACGTACGGGAGGGGTCTCGATGACGGTAGCGGCCTCGACAATCTCCTTCTTGTGCATCTTGGCACCAGGACGGTCAAGGTCACGGACGACGGTGGTCATACCGGCCTTGTAGCCCATGGTGGCAGTCAGGTGAACGGGCTTCTTGGCGTCATCCTTGGGGAAGCTGGCGCACAACATGTATCAGTATACATTGAACTCCGCAAAAAAAACTTTTCATTGTCGCAGCATTCCAGCGATGTAACTCACCTCTTGACCTTTCCGCGGTAGCGGGCAGCGCGCTTGCGCGGCAGGTAGGCCAGAGAACCTGTAATCGTATCATCAGTATAACCGCACAATGGGATGTCGAATTTTGTCGAGGATGAAAAGTTGATCACGAACCGTGGCGGGGCGCTTCGAACTTCCGGTGACTCCTGGAGGGAAAGATCAATTAGCAATTGCATTGATAGATGTCTTTGAGTGTCACATTAGGGACGACTTACATCTTGACCCTGGTGTCGTTAGTCGTCGTCGAGGTGGTAGAGTGACGATCTAAAAGTGTTGGAGAGGTGTATTTTGCACGCTAGACGAGTGTGGGCTGACCTAAGCGAGGCGGCTTCCCATTTTGGATAAGCGACAGGTTTTTCCGAATGGTGGAGTCAGTCATGTGAGGTCACGTGCAAGGAATCCACTTGTGGAAAAAGTTCTTTGAAAGTGGATCTGCTTACTACTCAGGGCTTCTCCAGGGCTGTAATACAGAAGTACTGCTGCCCAAGATTAATCTACTGTCATACGCGGTATTACGTTGCACGGGAGAAATGGAATGAACCACAATCTACATTCATAAAATCATTTGAAATGGGTTAAATTGACTGTCACAAAGATGCCTTGGCACCGTAGAGAGAAAATTCACAGAGGAAAAGAAACGAGGAAATTCATCAGAGCAGTAAGAGAGTGAATACAGGCACAAGACCAGTCTCCGGTCCAGTACCTTCTGGCCGATGAGAGAGGTCAGGAACACACGACACATTCATACCATACATCACGCAATTGAAAAAGGGGGATAGGGTGTAAAAAGGACATAGAGGGGAAGATAGTAGCCACGAAAGCGCCAAAGAAGCAGGAAAGATGACAGAACGGCCGGTATGTTCTTTAATTTTGTTTCTCACGAGGACTCAGCCTTTGAGGGAGTACCGGGACGACCATTGCTGGCAACTCCGTTACCATTGGCGCCAGAGGCACTGCCATTGGGACTGCCCTTCACGGCAGCCTTTTTCTCCTCATCCACGTCGTCGTCGTAGTCTTCATCAACGTCCATCTTGCGAGCCGGGGGCTCGTGAGACGAAGGAGCTTCTAGGCGGCGAGGCTCTTCCTTGACCGGCGTGTTGGCAGAGGGAGGAGCAGAAGGAGGGCCGTTAGAGGCAGGACCAGCGCTCTCAGCCATGGGGGGAAGGCTGGGCCCACCGGCAGCGTGAGGCGGCATATTCTGAATGGAGGGCAGGGTAGGAGGGTGGTGGGCGGCTTCGGAGGGGTGGTAGTTTTCATTAGCCCGGCGGGCATCTTCACGACGAGCCTCCGAGGAACTGCGGCGCTGCATCTCACCAGGAGACGGCATGTGGGAAGGTGGGCTTGGACGGCGGCTGTTCTGGTCATCCAGACGCGCTCGGCTTTCCTCATTGGCCAACTTCTTGACCGGGCCAGTCTCCTCCCATTCACGGCCACGCTTCATCGCAGAGGCGGGACGGTCTTCGCCTCGCTCACGAGCAGCAGCTTCGGCAGCGGCAGCGGCCGCAGCAGGAGCAGGAGCACCGCCATCAATGCCGGACGGCGCATTGACACCCGGAGCAGGCATACCTGGGCCAGGGGGGTGATGAGGGCCAGTGTGGAAGGCCTGGTGGGGATAGCCCGAGCCAGGAGAAGAAGGACGTTCATCGCGAAGAGGACGAATCTCAGTTGGAGGTGTGAAAGGACGGTGGTATGGAGGAGGAGGGGCAGCACCAGGAGCACCGGCAACAACGGGGGGAGCCCCACCGTTAGGACCAGCAGGGGGAGCGGCACCGGGAGCGGGAGGCAAACCGGGACCCCGGGCAACAGGGTTAAAGCCGTTGCCGCCACTGGGGGCACGTTCATGGCCAGGGGCTGGGCCATTTCCCAACTGAGGCAAGGTGTGCGGGGGAGGGTAGGCTCCAGGGCCACCCATCTTAGGCGAGCGGGCCAGGCCACGAGGGTCAGGGAAAGCGCGACCAGGATCTTGGCGAGGGCTAGCCTGAGGAGCAGCACCGGGAATACGAGGGGCATCACGCGCCTCAAGGCCGTTGGCAGGAGCGGGGGCTTGCGACTGCAGGTCATTGATGCCCCGGTTCCAGCTCTCGATCTGGCGAGGAGGTGCAGGCGCCTGAGGTGGCGGGCCGATCGGAGCTGGAGCACCCCATTGAGGAGCGGGGGGTTGACCAACACCGGGTGCCTGGTAAGCCTGAGGGTGGACATCCTGTGGCTGCGGTGCGGGGGCGTTTCCTTGCTGGCCAGAGCCAGACATTTGGCTCTGGAGCAGCTGCAGACGAGCCTTAATGTGGACATTGCTGGGATCAAGATCAGCGGCGCGACCGTACGCGTCAAGCGCGTCGGCAATCTGGTTGTTGCACGATTCGTACAAAGTGCCCAGATCGTACCAGACCTCCGAGATGTATGGATTCAGGCGGATAGCTCGAGAGTAGGCGTCGAGCGCATCCCGGTACTGATTGATCTGGTAGTAGAGAACACCAATGGAGCACCAGAAGGTAGGATTGCGTCCATCGCGGTAAACTGCTTGCTGATAGGCTTCGTAGGCCTTGGGGTATTTGGCTTGCGACATGTAGCAGCGGCCCAAGAGGTACCAACTCTGAGCATCGTTGTTGTCTGCGCTGACCGACTTCTCCAGGAATTCAATCGCCTTATCCTGGCTCTGGTAGCTCGTGCTTTGCTGGTGGTAGAGCCATCCCAACTGCTGAAGGACCTTGGCGTGGTTGGGATCA